ACTTGAAAAACAGGGTTGCAGTTCCTACGGCCGTATCAACAGCACTGGAGCCCTTTTGTATATTTTCACATGACATCAGTTTTTACTCGGCAGCCTCAGTAGCTGCAACTTGGGATCATAGTGTCATCGAAGTGGTCGAGAAATTTTGCTTGATATATGTTCCGTCATGAATAAAGTGTGAATATAAGTACCCTGGTGTCTCGGGTTCCGGAAATCCTGCTCCTTGGGATGATTTCGTGAAGGAGTCTGACATTGATCTTCTACAAAGCAGGCCAATGGGTCCGAAAATATGTAGTGCGTTGAAGGAAGATGGGCACTGTTGCTTTGTGGCCTAAAGAGTCAAAGTGTTTGAATGGTCTTTCATTATACCCTGAGGAATGATGTTTGAACGGTTAAAGGAGTGAAATAAGAGTAACAAAGGCTGCTGAACATTCGGTGATCTGTCTAATTTTTTTGAACGTGCTTGTCGAACCCTTTTTCCAATAAAGCACTCCTTGAATTGCAAATGGTATTCCTCCTTAGCTGAAGCTCAAACCAGGTCTTTGTTTGAAATCACAGGAATTTGGAAGCTAAGGTTGGTGGAAGTGGATGCTGTTTGACCTACGGAGCTGTTCTGCGGAGACAAATTTTTGGATTATGGCTGTTTGTCCCCTTCAAATGGCCAATGCTCTACTGTCGATGGAGAATATCATACAAAAACACCTGCTTTACACCTCACCTTTCATTTTCCACTTCCGAACTTGGAGACACCTCTGCTTTCGAAGAACGCCCAAAAGAAAACCTCCCCTGGGCAACATGTACGATCATATCAATGACTCAAACGGGGATATCATCTTGACACTAATATCAACAGTCGCTAAGCTATCTGTCCGAAAACAGAACAATTGTTGACGACTACAAAAACAGCAGAGCTTTATTTGCTAGCTTGGATGATTTACACGACACGCTTCCAGATGGGAATCTTGACATCAGTGCTGTGACGTTTCTTGTGTCCTCACAGCATTTAACCCTCGCATCTCCTGTTTTCAAGGCGATGATGACTGGGAAGTGGCTCGAGGCAACATCAAAGAATGACTTATTCAAATTGACTTCCGAGATATAGATACTTAGGCAATGGAGATCGTTCTGCGAACAATCCGTGGCCAATACCGAAAAGTCCCGAAGGCTGTGAGCCTTGATTTGCTCGTACAGATTGCTATTATCGTAGATTACTACGAAGTCCACGAAGCAGTTGAGCTCATCGCCCGGATATGGATTAGAAAGCTTAAGAAGCCTTTTACCTGTTGACATCAACAAGAACTTTTTCTCTTGGCTGCTGGTTGGTTGGGTCTTCAAAGATGTCACTATATTTCGAGAGGTTACTAAAGTTGGCGAGCTGAAAAGTAAGCGGTATTTGCAGGCACCATCAAGACTCCCAATTTTTGGAGTGGCTCTTGGTCAGTTAGAATCGGCTTGGTTGCTTACGTCTCAACTAAGGCGGAATGGGCTAACAACTTGTTGGCTTTGTCTCTCAGATGGTATAAACAACCGTCGAAAAGAACGTGTCGACACAATTGCTGCTGCCATGATTGGCCTCCCAAATGACTATATGAAAGTTAGAGAAGGTTGTAACATCGAGTGTAGTGCATGGTATCTTGGAACCTTAATGATTGGCTTGCGAGCCGCCAATTTTCAGCCAGCAATACTCAATATGCCGTTTGGGAACTCCAGTCTCGTGGAGATTGTGGACTGTCTCCGAAAGCTGAAGAATCCAAGACCGTCTTGTTGCCACCCAGATCCACAGCAGAGAAAGAGCAAAGCAAAAAAACGATCGAGAACGAATAAGTGCCCAGTCTTGGAAGGATGTTTTGGGGGATTTTGATTTAGGTATCGAAATAACCCGTGCTTCTTGTCCGGCCCCTGGTCCCTTAACCGAATGCGTCGGCCTTGTGTTGCGTGGGCTCAAGGATAAACTCTAAGGATTAAAATTGTCTCAGTTTATTTTCATTTCTGATAGCGTGGAGGAGTGAGAATAGGACTGCAAGGGCAGAACATAACTGGATTGAGTTCATGAGGAGAGGTTTACCATCCACATGAGGGGTGTCGAGGCATGACGTGGCATGTCCCTGAGTTGATAGCGGATTCTCTACAAAGTGCTGTCCTTAACCACTTGAGATAGGAAGGGTAGAGGAAGGAATCGGATGTTGAGATGTATATGTTAACAGTGATAATCGTGAAATAAATTGTCAAGTTTAGATCACGTGAAGTATTACTCTTAGCTTAGCGATAACCTCCGATCTTGGGACGCTCTAACAGCCCGACTGCTTTCTTGGCTTGACCATCGAAACCCCATGAATTAATCGGATACAAAGTCTTCTAGTGACAGCTCTCTTGAGTGAGAGTAGGCCTTCAGGCCTGATATGATATATGCGACCATTTTCGGTAGGTAAGGAAAGTTCGAGGATTTTTGAGGCAGTTGCTGTTGGTCAAGGCCTAAATCGAAGACGTCATTGGGAGCTGACCCAGCCTCCGGCTGGACTTCAGGGGTAGTAGTTGTTGGATATATAAGAAAATGGATAAGAGTATTTACTTGGGTGTTGCCCTGCAGGACACGCGGCCCTGAGGGAATCTGTCAAGCACAATGGGTGCCGCAGAATAGCAACGCTCTATCTTCTGGGCTACACACGCGTGAGGGTGGATGAGCATGGCTTATATAAGGTCGAGCGTGCACCTGACCTCAGTGGAGCCGGGGCTGATCGAGGCAGGTCAGCGGTGACCACACCGTGGTCACGTGCAGCTAACAGTAGTAGGCCAAGCCAAGACGCGGCCATTTGCCTGAACTTGAGATGAGACTGATGCAAATGATCTGACTATGAAGAAATCCTTCACGAGGAATTAAATACTTGTTAACAGCATTGGAGTAGTTTTGGGTCTCAAATACTGCTCAGACCCTCTACTACCTCCATGATACTAAGTCCCCAAAAGGCTCGTCTGGGACATCAGGTTAGTACCTGAGGTTATGGAGTTGTATAAGAAGAGCTCCTAATGGAAGCAATCGACACCCAAGATTGCAGCCGATGGTCCCAGAGAGGTAATCCAGTTGAAGAGCGCGAAGGTCTCCACCGAGTTTTTGCAGAATGCTTTGTCTCTTGGCCATCATAGCGGCTGTATTGCACATGTGATGCACCCAATCAGCCAACAGTTTAGGAAAAAAAGATTACAAGCATTGTGACATATGTAAAAGCGCTCGACTTACGAATGATGGCAGACGGGATAGGTAGGTTTGGTGGACTTAAAGTATCTATACTGCTTCTACCTCGCAGAACGGCTATTGTGGTGACCTTCCTAAATATATCCGTGTTCCGGAAAACTCAAGCGACGAATATCCAGAGAAAGAAGACTTTATCGATTGTGCTAAAATCAGTCAAGTTTGATTTGATAGCTGAGATTCACAAAGGGTAAACACGATATGAAACTCTTGACGAAGCTGGTAGTAGTCGACAATGACGGTTATCTTTGCCAAGCATTCTAGCATAATCGAGAAGGGGACCACGTGGTGTTGGCAATGGATTACGTTGAAGGCAATTAAGAGATGGGGGATGTGAGTAACTTTGGCTGGATCTGTAGGTGGTTGGGTTAGAACTAATCTCTAGCAACTAACGTCTTGTCCTGTAAATCTATAGTTTGTCGTTTGAACAGGTACCCCAGGCACACAATGTCTGTCATAACCAACAAGGGCTTTATGTGGAAGAGTGGGTTCTGTGCGGCCAACTGATCAGAGTAGAAAGGGAGTTGTGACCCAGCAAACCTGGATATCTGTCCTCAACGAACCCACGCATTGGGGAGGCGTTCCTGAACGTCAAAAGGCATTGACCCTCAACACCCAAGGATGTTGACCCTCAACTGTCTATGCCATTGAGGAGGAAGGAGCAAAGGAAGCCACAGGGGTGAACAAGATGTAGGTAGATTTCAGGCAGGGCCATCTGGCCGAAGAAGCTCCCAAGTCAGCGATATAAGCATTAGTCTGTTGAACTGGTGATCACAGCAATCGTTCTGACTGTGTGAGAACTCTTATCTCTCAGGTCCAGCGGCCTGGCATCTCTCGAACCCATCTCAAGGCTTGTCTGGGTCGTCGTAACGTCGGGATGAGCATGGAGACAATCCAATGCTCGATGCTAGAGTCGAAGCGTGGATACCTGGGTAAATCGACGTCGATAATTCACAAATGCAATAGACACTATCTATATGATGATGGTCAAAAAATTCCAATCTAAGCATTAATAACACCAATGGAAAGGTGTAGTGCTAGGCAGCTTTCGACTTTGAAACTACTGCTGTGTATAAAAAGCGGTCCAGTCAAGACCATGTGATCGCCACGTGGTGGGTGGGTTACTGTGGTGCCCAAAGTGAGCCCTCAACCCTTTTGCGTTGTCCTCATCCGCCTCTATTCCCACTTCCCATTTCATAACCAAACAGAGCAAGCCTATTTACTGTGGAAGCGATGGTTGAAAGGATACCGAATCACCCACCGGTTTTCCTGGTTGGACTCATATACTACCTACCCATTGGAAGGGACGGTTCAAGGCTTGACAGATAGGGTACGTTGGGCTCCAAACCCCGCATTCAGGCCCCCACAGGCACTTGGTCCCACGATGCTCTCGGGTGTTTAAGTGGATCACGTGATGAAGCTTGGCCTTAACAGTAAAGGCCCGTCAAGGACGAAGGCAGCAGAGCTGGAGAAAGCATCTCCGTTCCTATCTGTACAGTTCCTGCAATTAATGTCTCCTTATTTTCACGGAGACTATTTGGTATTAGGATAATCCAGAATCAACTTTCGTGGCATTAGTGCTAGGCAGTTAACGTTAACTCGCCCGCCTCCAAAATCGCGAAGCCAAAAAACGAGCGACAAGTTCCACGCTTGATCCATGGTCCGCTTGCCCAGCAACTGGAAGCGACCGATAGTACCTCCTCCGTTTTGAGCACACTGCGCACGCGCTGGAGAGCGCGGGAACAACCCTGTCATGGCTAGCGATCACGGGCTCTCTAACACCCAGTTCAATACCATCCTTAACGCTCTCGTGTCCATCGATCGCCGCTTGTCGCGCATCGAAACCGCGCTTCAGATCCCCAACTCCAGCCATGCTCCCAACCCCACACCCCCGGCCGCGTCTGTGTCGAACCCCGCACAGGTCTCCAACACCCCCGCCACGACTGCGCTCCATCAAGCGGGGAATGTGTTCCACCTGGGACCGCGACCTCCACCGTATCCCCAGCAACCATCTGCCCCTGTCGTGCAGCGAGGACCCCTGGATGACGTCAACAGTTCGGCAAGCAACCCCTTGAACTCCAACACCAACATCACAACCACTGCCGGCACCAGCACTCCCAACCCTAGCAACTCCCTTCCGCCCTCGTCCCTCCTTGCCGCAGCAACTGCCCCCGACCGGCCCATCATCCCCCTCGAGCCGCCCCCCGCCGGCTGCACCATCACCTCGAGGGCGACTATGCAGGAGGAGCTTGACCGCTGGACGATCCCGCGGGGCTATAGCATGCGCATAGCCGGCGCAAAAGTGACCGGTAAGCGTAAGGTGCGCTGGGTGTGTTTCCGGGGCGGCGAGGCACGGCATCACCGTCCTCCCGTAGACGAGGCCGTGCTGCTGAAGGCAAAAGCCGAGGGGAGACGCAAGCCGACTACAGATCGGGCGAGCAAGAAGTGCGGGTGTATGTTCCGGTTTGAAGCTGTTGAGACGACGAGAGATAGTGATGTGTGGGTGTTGCATTACCCGAATGCGAACCATAAGGTGCATAATCACCCGCCGGCGGATACGACGACTGATCCGAGAGCGAGGAAGCTGCCGTCGTCTATGATGGCTGAGGTGGATCAGTGGTTGAGGGAGGGATGGCAAGTGAGTAAGATTCAGGAACAATTGAGGGCGAGGGGAATCAACAATGTGTTGAATACGGATCTGTATAATCGGAAGAGAATGCTGAAGAAGGAAAGTGAAAGCGGCGTTAGCTGAATTCTCTATCCTTCCTCGAGGGTTATGGAGTGCATCTAGCTTCTAATCGTTGTTGTTATCAAGCGATATCCGTTGGGCTTAAACGTTGTTCCAAGCATGACATTCGGCAAGCTATCCTAAGATTGTCACTATTTGTGGTTCATAGATATCTTTACTAGGATTCTGTCGCTAGGCAATATGGATGCCAACAAGTTTATTTTTTTGTAGATACCCCTAGGATGAACAGAACAAAGATGCGACAGAACAGGTCGAGAATGACAGATAATGTTAAACACAAGAGAATTTGGTTGAAAAATATAATATCTAACGCTTTCCTGTTCAAGATCAAAATCACGAATTTCCAAGTAAAACAGGAATTAGGAAAATAACCTTAGAATTCACGGTTCGCAGCTAAGAATGGCATTAGAGGTTCCAGCTTACACTCTTCTTCCTCTTTCTCTCCAGCTCCTTGTCGTTACCGGTTTCCACCGAAGGGTTGGCGCGCATCAGGCGTTTTCTACTATCTCGTGCAATATTGACCCGTTTGAGCGGCAATGGCAAGGGAAGTGTCTTCCAAACCTATAGTGTTGGCATCGGTTCTCGGGAAGAATGAGAGGCGAACGTCTTCTCTACTAACTTTCTTTGGCGTTTTCGATTTTCTCGGTTTCTCTTTTCCTCGCATTAGCTGTCCAATAACCCAACCAGCCTGCATATCACGAAGCTAGTCTTGGGTGTCGTCGTCTTCTGTTACTTTACCCAGCCATAGGCAGACACGTTGCTGCTCGTCGCGGCTTCCATAACGAAATATTACTGGAAGAGTTTGCGTCAGCATGCTCACCAATACGCGACCACTAATATGACATTGATAAGACTTACGTGTAACATCATAAACTAGCTCTTTCCCCGGGAAGTTAGGGCTAGCAACCTAAAAGCTTCAATCATGGACTGTCTTTTGCGTCTTGAGGTCGAGCAGATGAGCATGCTCTGCAAATTTTGCCCTGCTAAGATTTCAAGGAGATGGATTTTTGCGCAGACAAGACCATCCAGAGAGTGAGGCGATCAAACATTTTGGCTCATTGCCGCCTTCATACATCGGTGTGAGATATGTGCCCCGGTAGCCCTTCAGTGCATTGTGACATTCAGGGTCAGAGTTGGCTAGGCCTACTGAGGTGTTAGTAATTCTCAGCCGTGTGCTTCCTGGTCGACGCTGTGATGGGGTGGGAGAAAAAGAGCTCAGAAACTAACCGTTAAACTTGTACACCTTTTCCATGGAGACTACTTCATCCTCGGCGTACCACTCAGAAGCAGGGACCCAGTTATTGACAATGCGCCCCACAACCAATGACTCTGCTATATCCAACGTCTTCTCTAGATTCACATGGTGCTTGTAAAAGACCTCTGTGGCATCTTCACCGGCTAATTGATGGAAAATCTGATATTTTCCAGGGAGGTTCTCAAGATAACTTGTAGTTCAAGTCAATGACCGATGCATATGATATGCGTGCTGCGAAGAAAAAGTACGTTCGAGATCATACGCCTTCCCATTGGTTAAGCTTTCCCTTCATAAGGGTCTGCTTTTATTTTTATTTTTTTTTTCTGAGGGATGGGAAGTCTAACAAGAGTTAAAAGCTTTTGATGCAGGTAATCCTTCGTACGGGCCAAACGTACCAGTAACGTCGTAGACCATCCTACCAACAACATCCCGAAGGCTACGACCACTCTTTTCGTCATTCTCAACAACTTCTTCGATGTGCCCGCGCATAAGGAGTTTTCCAACAGGCTCGTGCCCTTAGTTCTCGATAGCATTAAGCACTCATTCAGAACGGATTACTCGGCCATGTTGTGTTCGTTCGAATATATCATTTGAGGTTGACTCTGAGATCGCTTTTTATGATGGCTGGAAGTCTGTAACGGTCAGCTCCCAACTTTGTCCAACACTATCTGTGACCATCAACACTCACAGGTAATGTCATAGGCATCATATCCTCCGCTAGCGTCAGGAACCAAGGCCCAGTTCGTTGACGCCCGACCATTGGAGATCTTGTCTCCAACTTCGACGGGGGCGAAACACTTCGTCCATGGCTCCTTAAGCGCTGGCGGCACCTTGTCCTTTTCTGTATCTGATATAACGCGAGTGACATTCTCACTTTTGTATGCTTCAAGCAGGTATTCGTATTGCTACAAGTTGGGGGGAACTTGTGGGTCAAATGAAATCCAATCATATCCATGACCACTGGCGACGAAATTAGTGTCATACGGAGGATGCTTTGACGAATCCTTCATCTATGCGGACGGCCTCACCCGTATCCAGTGTCTCTCCGTCCAACCGCAGAGTTCATCATGATCTGATCTTTCGTCATCAAAATCCAGTGACTTCTCTCGTTTCAAAAGGTCCGCACAAGCTTGAAGACCACGATTGCCTTCAATCTTTCCAGGATTGTCGCCTTGTCAGCGAACCTAACGTTGCCCAAGAGTTTCAGAGATTTAGGACCACATCACCCACATTCAGCCCCCTCCCATTCCTGGGGCTGCTCGAATAAGATGACGTTCAGCTAAATGTAGTCTTCAAAGGCCATGATATCCAGCCAGCGATTCGTCATCTCCAGTGAAACTCTGAGTTTCTTCCAGACACGCCCGACGAACATTCTTCGGATCAACCGCCTCCACTCCCTCTGGAAAGTATGTCACATCGATAATTTATTTCTAAATGTCGAACCACTTCTCCTTACTGAAGACGGGATGCCTTTCATCCTCGTCACCTTGATACAGGCTTCAGTGTCCACAATATCAGCTAGGCTCGAGTCGGCAGCATCATGGCCTCCCTTCCAAACATATAACAGGTGCTCAGCGAGGGCACCCACTTCCCAGGTTCTCTCAGTCCCCCGTCATACTGGATTTGCGTCCTCTCAGCCGCGAGTAGTTGATCCAACTCGGGGTCCGAGGGCCTTTCGATAGGTGGTATGTCGGGAGCATCTGCATAGAAGGTGGGATCAAGCTCCGGAAATCGAGCTGCTAGACTTGAATGTTAACTGCGCGCTCGAGACCGGTTTCCGCTGACTTGGGCCATCCTTCAAACTTGCTAACCCAGAGAGATGAAGGTCGTTTATCCTATTCTGTATTGTGCGCCTTTGTTTCTGGCGGGATCTAAGACCGCCAATCTGGCATATTAAGTCGGTGTGTGCTGAGAAGCAATTGGTGTTGAAACAGTTTCTTCGTAGTGAGAAGTTAGGGGTTGCCAAATGTGGAGGATTGGTATACAGCGGCCAGATGGATATTGAAGACGTTTTCTCTTGTGGCTACTATGACACTATGCGTTGTCATCAGAGAAACTAAGAAACAAAGCCATAGCTGGTGCGTGGATTGACGAGTTTGTTGTATTGTCATTTGATGTTTTCGGAAGGTCGAGAAGTCCAAACCAGATACATGGGGCCATCAATTTGGTAAAAATCTAACCATTTCTCTACCAGATTTAAAGCAAGTTCATAAGAGGATGGTTGATCACCAGTAGACATGTACACACAGTGTAAGAAAGGTACCGTCATGACCAAGTGGATGCTCATCCTAACAAGACGGCATGGATGCAGATGGTGTCACCGTTGCCCAAGAAGCTGAGGTTTCCGCCAGCAGAAGAAGGGTTAGGGTTCTGGCATCTCTTGGCTTGGCGTAGATCCACCACAATTACGACATCTTATCTTATCGCCAAGACCAGGCTGCGCATCCAGAGTCGCATGCATCAAGCTTGTCGTCGTCCATGTCTTTCCCGATCTCCTGTTCATATTGGAAGACAAGCTTGCTGACGTCTCAAGTTTTCACAGCCGCTGTTTCCATTGCACCGTATCTTGTTTTCTGTCTCAAAGGACAATTTTGTCATTCTAGCACGATTCAAGTGGCCTCTGTCATCATTCGCGGCCGCCCATTTCCCACACTGTCCGCGCCACGCGGCTCTCCCCTTGTGCTGTTTGAAACGCCCCTCCTGCCGTGACGAGCCATTCTAGTCTTCGGTATCTGGCTTCAGCACGAATAAATCTTCAGCAATGGCTCCGCAGCCGGACCAGTCGCCGGCTCCGGCAGTTAACGGTACCACTGCTGAGGAGCATCCTCCGATCGGGCCACCCTCCGGTCTCTCCGTCATACGCACCCAGTACAGCTCAGAGCAATCTCTGCGGCAGATGCTAAAGAATATCGGCTATGATGAGGCGCGTGAAGACACTCTACGCTTAAAAGGAGTCCAATTGATAGATACCGTCCGTCAGAGTTTGCAATTGTACGTAAGGTCTCCATCCGGAGTTGCCACCGAGCCGTCCCTGCCCATCACGACCATCTATTGCTTACTTCCCAATACAGACCCGTCAGGACATTTGATACAGCCGCGATATATTATCATAAGTTCCGTATGAGGTTTCCAAGCCATGAATACGCTTATGAGGATGTTGCTTTGGCATCTCTATTTGTTGCCTGCAAGGCCGAAGATACCATCAAAAAGTCTAAGGAGATACTTTGTGCTGCACACAACCTCCGTCAGCCACATGATCATAAAACGCCAGACGACAAGGTAGAGTCAGGTACTTATCTTCATCCTTTGTCCATAGCTGACATCAGCACTAGGTCTTCGAACCACAAACCCGGGTTATTATCGGCCTAGAGAGATACATCCTCGAGACCATTGGCTTCGATTTCCGGGTTCAATACCCCCAGAAATTGCTCATCAAGATGGTTCGCAAGATGTTTCCCCGAGAAGATGCCAGCCAACAAGAGGAAGGGAAACAATTCCTTCGTGTGGCCTACGACATGGCCATTGACATCTACAAGACCTTTGCTCCAATCAAGCAGACCAGTTTCACATTAGTACTGGCAATATTGGAGCTTACATCTCTTCTCTTGGACACAGATGCCGAAAAGATGAGGGCATTCAAGGAAGCGGCATCTTGGCATAGCGAGAAGGCAGCTGTTTTCGAGACCTTGTTGGATCTTCTGGATCTGTACACGCAATTTCCAAAATCCACCAAGATCGGCCTTCGTTTCGAACTCAAAAAGCTGATGGACGTCAAGATTGAGATCAATAATTTGATGACTCGGGAAAAATACCAGCGTTACCAGGGCTGGTGTGATCGATGCGCGCCAGATCCACATGACACTAGGTCTCTCACTCCTAGCTCAATAACATCACCTGCGACAAATCCTTCGCTTTCCGGAACCACATCTGTCAAGCGTAAAGCTACATCCACCGAGGGGACAATGCGGTTCGTATTTGACGCGGATGAGGCACGAAAGGAGAAAGCGCTTGTCGACCGTTACTTCATCGATGAGTACGAAGAGCACGAGATCGAGGTGGAGGAGCCCATCAAGGAGCCCGAACCTCGGCATAATAGCAGAAACACGCACCCTCCACATCGCGGCATGCAAGGCGATCACGGATGGCCCGGTTACCATCGGAGTAGCAGGCATGGACTCCATAACGATCGGCATCGGAGTCGAAGAGGTCACGGGTATTGAGAAAGTAGAGAGTATGGGTTTCGGCGTGTGTCTTGTGAAATACGACAGTTGGCAAATAATGATACCCCTTAGAGTGAATGCTCTTTCGATGACACTTTGGTACGTGACTCTTACCTGGATGAGACGTATTTTGGAGAGATATAGTGAATCCACATATTCTTTTGCTCACTTGACGACCGCTATCGAAGAACCATATGGCCCAACTGTTTCGTTCCAGACCCAAGACATAACGCGAAGAAAAAAAAAACCAACATCCATTGGTAGCAACTCAATATAAATCTGTCCTGAGATAACCTTCACAGAAGCAGTTCGACTCGATACCCATTCTGATGCGCTTCTACGCCCTTTTTGACACTTGCGGCAAAAAGTGGGCTTTGAGTTCACGTGGGACACATATTCCTCTTCGTATACACTTCCCTTGAGGCACAACCATTACGTTGACAGTTGTCGTTGACTTGTCCAGCATCTGCTCCTTCTCAGCTTGACCTTGGAGACAGTATCTACGAAAAAATTGTGCTTGCAAAAACTAAGACCACCATCTTCCGATGACGGCACGCAAAAGCACCCTTGATGCACATCGCCTGTCTGGAACGCTATTTCTTAAAATGGCATATATTGTCTGTCTGCTTTCCCCAATGATGACTTGAGCTTAATCCATTACTGATGTGTCTGTCTACCAGTGCAGGAGTACCGAAACCATCGCTCCCGCGAGTGTCAATTAAACACTTCGGAGAGTAGCAGGCTCCTAACAATGTTAATCGAATCACTCAATCATCCACATCCACTAGCTTAATGATCTTGGTCTCGGGGAAAAGGCGATTGGCCAGCTCTTCCAAATTCTGAACCACGATATCTGGTTTAATATGCTGGGCGCTGGGCTCGGCCTCCTTAACCCAGCATGTTTTGATGCCCAAACCAGTGATCTTGATCATGTCTGTGTCACGGAGAGCGCGGGAAACCATCACAATATCAGGCTCCTCGTCAGTAGTCTTGCCGTGACGAGTCTCACTCTCCTTGGCGATATCAATCCAGCATTTGACAATCGCTTTCCAGTCAGTCTTCAGCTGCTCATCAGTCATGCCGTTCCAGGCCAGAGAGCCACCGACAATCTTGTGAATCAGTTCCCTCATACCCAGACGAGCCATCAATTCCTCGTACAAAGGGGCTGTCTCCATGCCACCCGACGTAACGATGATCTTGGCATTGGCCTGCCTGGCGCGCAGCAGGAACTCGGCCGCGTCCGAGGCGGGCATGACCAGCGGCAGGCCAATGGCCCAGTAGGCCTCCATCCAAGCCTTGCTGACATAGTACCAGTGCAAGTCGGTCAGACCCTGGGGAGGAGTCAAGGGCTTGGAGGTCGAGGGAGGGGAGACGATGGTGACGTCGTCGTCCTCCTGCTCGGGAGTTGTGGCGAGATTGGCGGCGTTAGTTTTCTCCTCATGGAGGTTGAGGACGCCCAGGATGATCTCCGGGATTCGGGTCCAGGAGGTCAAGACCGAGAGAATAGTGTCGGTATCGGGCAAGTTTTTGCCATTCTTGGTCGAAGGGTACTTAGGAAGAATGAGTCTGTTGACGACAGGGTGCTTGGAAAGGATGAAGTGAAGGACCTTGGTCACAGAGACGCGAGTATCGAGCAGGGTGCAGGCGTTGGCCAAAATGATCATTGGTTTTTTGGCCTTATCTGTCGCCGGAGTGTGGCTGTTTGGCGGGCCGTTCATGATTGCTGGTGGAAACATGTTGAAGTCGCTGGGAGACGAAAGCTTAGAGCACGGTTCGTCTGTGAGTTGGTTGGTGTCGTCTGTGATCCTCACTTTCGCCTTGGCAGGTTCTTCGTCAATGTTGGTAGAAAAGGTGTTGTGACGCTTTCTCAGCGAGGGTTTCGAGGTTTTGTCCTCATCACCCAGGCCAGTGGGAGCGGCAAAAATAGTTGGAGGGGTAGGAGTCCTATTGTCAACTGGGAAAGTATCACCACCGACGGCAGGGCTATTGTCGCCGGCGAGGGTTTCAGTGGAAGCTGGGTCATCAATTCCAGTCTTAACGTTGACTGAAGCATCTCCATTAGCCGCACTGCTTTGCTTCGCAGCCTGTTGTTCCTCAGCATCCGTGGCCACACATTCCTCCTGCATTACGGCTGCCCTGTCTTTCCGTTCTGCGTCCTTGTTAAGTTCATGGTTGACGCTTGTGACTTGCTCAGCAATTGTGACGATAGCTTCGTCACCCTTTGTCGTAAACTCTCCCTTCTTCAGCACCATATTACTTGTGTTATTGGCCACATCATTGTCATTGGCGATCGAAGCTGCGTTGACACCTGACGCGAATTCCACTTCTGTGGCGAAAAGGTCTGTGTTTTCCAGTTCAACCTGACTCTCTGAAGCCATGACGAGGATTCTTATACTTCATTAGCCCTTCATTCATGACTGGGGTTCTATGACATAGGCTAACAGAATACCGTTTCAGAAATGCCGGCAAGTGTTCAGTTTAGTCGAGAGATGGTAAGTATGCATCATAAAACTTATTCCCGATATCTCGTTCAACTGTCCAGCGGTGTTGATGGAAGCATGCTCGAGAAGGGAAAGTCGGAGAAACTACCACCTCTAACACGTTTTAAATGTTTCGCGGAAGAGAGACGGATCTAGATTTTCGGACGATTCCCAAAACCACATGGAACTTGAGCCCTTTGGCACTGCATCATAGAGCACCTCACGCCAGACGGCTTTCATGTGCCCTGCAAATAGTGTGATGCTCCTGCCATGAGGCAGTGAATATTCTGCCAAAAAATTTCCGTGATAGAACTGACTGTCATGTATGGGACGGAAAACCAACTCTTGATGTTCGCTTTCATACGGTGTTTACGATAGATTTCACAGACGATTCTTCTGCCTTGTTTAAGAACCGCTTGATTGAGGGAGTAGCAGTTAACCCCTAGCCCTGGATCTAATCCCTCAACGGGTCTTGTGGAATTTAGAGGAAGACCTCTGCGATATATCTACAAAGAAAAGCAAAACGACAAGCGACATGAGCTCCGGTGACGTTCTCATAACTAATCCTAAATCTGTCTTAGCTCAAGATGGTTTCTGTGATCGCCTAATCAAGTCAATCATTCCTGCTCTCCTTCAAGCCATTGAGGGGTAGGACAAGCGCTCAATGCTCATCATCAGGTGTCAGGTTCCGGGACGGCAATAAGTTTGCAGATGATCGTCAGTTTTCTTATCGGTCTGGCATAAATTGCTACCGACTGACATTGTACTCCAGAACTCAACATAGACGTAGCCGAAGAAGACCTCATTGGCAGGCAGTTGCTCGTTGCCCACACATTGTAACCACCGGCAGCGAGGAGGGCTCGATGAGCGTTTGATACAGAATGAGTCTTGCTCGTACGTTCCAAAGACAGAGCAGTATACTTCTGCTTTTGACCCGCTTGACTGAAGTTCCATGATTCCTGCAAATTAGATTGTCGGCACGATCATGTCACGTTGGGATGGACCGACAGTTCTGAACTTGCAACCTTCCCCCTCCGAAGTGGCATCTATCCTGGGGGCCTATGGGCCCACGAACAACCGCCATAATCGCTATTACGGTCAATCCAACCTCTCCTGGCAATTTCGTTGAGGCACTCTCAACACAGCCACAAGCTCATGAACTGCTGTTCTCCCATGCCTCAAACTGCCCCATCCACTTAGTACTTCGCCCCTACTAACCTCTGACTTGCCTCTGCCGATAAGAATTATCGAGCCTTAATCAACAGCTACATCTCTCGCAGGTTGACTCTACGGTACTTAGGGGGGCATAGTTCCGGATGTCGGGAATATATGCTTGCTCAGGGAAAGGATGTGTACGTGTTGCCGGTTGCTGTGGACCCCATGGAAAGGGAAAGGCCGAGCTGAGAAGGCTTGATGAGCTATGCTCTTTAGTTTTGGTCATTGGGTGTGCGAGATAAAAGGCGGCTGACCAAACATCTGGAAACACAGAGTGTTGGCGCCTGAGGTAAGGGAGTGTGATGAGGAGGGTGTAACGCCTGTGGGAGTAGTCAGGTCGTTGAGGAAGTTATAGGTGTGCTTTCCGCAGGTAAGTGCCCAAATCATGACACGCTGCGTCTTTGAGGTATCGAGCTACAATGTAAGCTTTTCTTTTTCAGGGACTGGAGTTTGAGAAGACCTGCGCCACGATTTTATGCCTCCATATAATCAGTATCTATTTTCGCTGATCAAGAGCTCATCATAGAAAGCCCGGCAATCAAACGAACCAAAGTTATCCAAAACAACGGGTTAGAAGGTGTCGCGCTTTTCTCTCAGCCTTCACTCTGGGTCGTCAATCCAAACCAGCTGCGGCCCAGCCACCAAGTGATCCGGAATCTCGGCCAGCTGCAAGTCATCCTTGTCAACAACGACAATCCAGATATCTCCATACATCTTGCCCGGAACAATGGACGTCATATTCTCCTCGTCCAGCTCCGTAAACTCCAGGCTTCCGTACGGCCCAATCCATGCCACATAATGGGCCTTCCCATCAGGTACACCGCCTTCATACTTGAGCTGAACACTCACTGCACGCTCTTCAACCTTCAAGGTCGCTTCAAGCACTTTCCATGGCTGATCTGGCATTCCAGCAAGTTTATCAGGACAATGGTCCACAAAATGGTTCATCACATAGCTCCAAGCCAATTTTGCAGGGAGCCCGATCTCCCGAGGAGCTGAAGCTGCGAGATGATTGCGAATCATGGACACGACAGCGCCAGCGCGGGACTTTGCACCGGCCTGAGACAACAGGAACGGCACGACGAAGGGATCAGCCTTGGCGAGATGCACTGACATGTCAGTCAGTACGCCAATTTGCAGGTTGTTGAGCGCAGAGAAGGCAGCAATGAAGTCATTCACGCTGGACGTGACCGATGGAAGGATGTACTTGCAGCTGGCGGGAATGCTGCGGTTGTAGTGGGCTAATATCTCGCCTGTCGTAGCACGGTGAATGAGGGACTGAGCTGCCCAAGCGCCGATAGTCTTAACGATTGCGGCAGGGTAAACGCCAGCCCAAGCACCACCTGCCTCAAGTTTCCTATGGCCGTCCCAGAGAAGATGCAATAGAAGGTCCTCGATGCGAGAGTGGAACTGAAGGTAGGCCGCTGCCTCATCGGAGAAGGATGGTGCCCAGTTCCAATGCGTAGGCTTGCCGCCACCGGCCTTTTCGGCGTAGTAGTCGGGGGCCTCAATGCCAGGAGGCGGCAGATCTCCTGTACCTATCGGGATTGGGGGAGCTGTAGTCGTGGGAAGGCCATCGAGCTTATCTGGGAGGACATTTCCGTTGAGTGATGTGACAATGGTACCGTTGACAGTAAGAGTACCTCCAAGAGGAGCATTTGGAGGAACCTTGCTGGGTGGCGGAGCCTGTTGGGCTTTGGCGACGAAGTCCTCGTGGGTACGGCCAGAGTTGCTTTCGACCGTGCTAGAATTTCCCATTTTATCAGCGACAGCCAGCGCAGTTTATGCCGGATCACTTACGGTGCGTTGATGCTTCCGACCATGCCAGACTGGCAGTGCGTTCCTTGACCGCAGTAGAACCACTTCGGCTTATCATCGACGATAGTGTAGTCAAATGTGACACCCGACGGAGAAGATTGAGTGGGGATGAACCCGGAGCTGAATCCACCTTCTATGGGCTGACAAGGATTGTCGAAGCTACTTTCGGTGACAGAATGATTCTTTGGGTCAAAGTTAAACCTGACAACTGTCCCGACAGGCTCCATAATCTTGCTGGGCACGAACTCCAGCCTGCCGCCCTTGCCAACATCGACCTCTATCCGGCGTATCCCTCCCATCGGTCGTCCGTCTGGGGGAGATCTACTTGTAGGAGCAGTTTTTGCTACCCTCTTGTAGGCCTCAAATGTATTGCCAGTTTTAGGGCTGAGGATTGTGAGCCATGCCCATGACTGCACAAACGTGAAGGGACCCTACGGGTTGATGGCATGAACCATTCCGTTCTGGCAATGGTTACCATTGGTTTGACTGCAATAGAGCCATATGGGCTTTTCATCATCCACGAAAATGGTGAAGGTCGTTCTGGAGGGCTCGTCTTGTGACTCTGTCGGCACAAATCCAGAAAATATTCCTCCTGAAAGAGGTTGGCAAGGCTCGGCAAAACTCGACTCAACCACTGAGTGGTTCTGGCAAAACGTCAGCGTAGAACTAACCCTCGGCCAGGCTTCTGTGAATGATTTTACCCTCGCGAAAAAAGTGTATGTGATCGTATCACCGACTTTAGCCTCGATTGTCTCCGGGTCAAACTTTAATCCCCCTCTTCCCACAGCAACTGTGTGGTGAGCTGCTTGGGCATGGGCCACAAGCGCCAGAGGAAAAATCGATCTCGTTGATAATCTCATTTAGACTTGTTTGAACGAAACTTTCTGACCCCGGGAGACCTTGAAGTGGTGAATGCTTCTCGTACACTTCGCAAGCAGCGGGAGAGGGGCCGCCTTTTTACAGGTCTCCTAAGATTGTGGATGTGCTTCACCAAGGGAGCGAGCTCTGCACGATGCAACATCGCACAGCCGGAGCGCACAAGACAGACAGGGGTATGGGATGCTATTCTCGGCCGCCGCCCAGTCCTCCACCATGGAAGTCTTCCCTTCCGAAAGATGCCCAAGGATTACAGCATGTCCGATGTTGTGTGGCCCAACGGCGCAAACAGCCAAAATTTGGGCTCAACCGCGCTCCCAGCGTTGGAGTGCGTTCGGGACTTCGGAGTGTCGAAGGGTTAGGCTTGCTGCTTGGAGTTCCCTGGAAATGACTGTTCGACAGAATAGTTGGCCGAAGCAAAGCCTCCGTCAGCCTTAACATTGTTTATCTCCAGGAAGCGTTATCCATATCATCAGAGGCACATTCTTGGCCCAAAGCTGGGAATATCAGAAATATCCTCAGAAAAACCACGCCATGCGCTTGCATATCTCCTAGCGCCTGACGAGACAGCCTTGAAAATGAATCCCTTTAAGCGCCATGCGAAGCGGTGCCAAGGTGGTGGTGCCGTGTGATGTTCCATCCTTGGTACCCGTCCAACGGTCGGCAGGGGCTAGGGTTGCAATGGAACAACCCAGTTTGAACACTGTTAGCTTCAAATAATAAATAAACCTTTGCTGGTGCCCGAAAAGACGCTATTAGCTATGTCCTGAGATTGCATCCGAGGAGCTATATGCTACACTTCCTGAGTGTACCTCAACGGCGGCGAACGTGCTCACTTGCCGAAAGCATTGTCGTCCTCAAAACTTCAATACCACAACCTCGGGATCTTTTCGCTTTCCTCCCAATATCCTACTTCTGTCGGTGATAATTGGTCCTAAATCAAGGAAAGAATGACTGCCGGCTTTATTCTCAGAGCATTTGCTGTTCTTTTCAACGTCGTATCACTCATTCTCATCTGCGTCGTTTCATTTGCTGGCATCAATGAGACGATAGAGCACATCTACTGGCTCAAGGTGAACGGCAACGACGGTTTTCACCATCAGGAAGCTCCGTGGCTGACCCTTCTTGCAGGTAGACAGCTCCAAACTGTCAATACCTTCAGCGCTTTTCAGCTCCGAGTACCTAAAAGCCTTATCTAGCATCTCAAAAACAGATTATGTCGGACCAAACATCACCGCTGCCTCAATTGGGGAGCCAGAATGGTTCACAGTTCACCTAATGACCGATTGTAGACATTACTCCGATCGACCATTGCACTGCCGTTCACCCCAATACGGCTTTTCCTTTGTCCCAGAGCGCGATCTTAATTTGAAAGCCGCATCACTAAGCCATCTTATTGATAACAGCCTCAACGACGCTGTCGAGCGCTGGGCAAACGGCAGCAAAGGAGTGACTTTCATTTACCTTGCCTCCATCTTCCTTACCGTCCTGGCGACGATCGAGTCTTTCTTTGTTCTGAAGTGGGCGGCCATCAGCAGCGTGCTATGCTGTATTTTGTTACTATCCGTCACCATCGCAAATACTGTCATCGTAAAACAATTCAGCAACCGGTTCAACGACATCTTCGAGGGCCATGGGATTTCCACGAGCCCAGGATCCACGCCAATGGCTCTTGCGATTACAGCCGCTTTCCTCTCTATTCTTGCCGCAATTCTTTACTTTAATGCTGTGCGTCAGCAATCTGGACAATGCAAGGGCATGCTACTTGGTAACTTTGGTCGCAAACCGACGTTGGCAGGCGCAATTGGTGGCCATAAGTATGTCCAGATTGAACATCAACAGGGTAATGTGGGCGATTACCCACCTAGTGGCCCCAAGTATGGCGAAGCTAGTCATGGCTCTCCCGACAGCTTGCGGGCAAGAAGACTGGATGATGACTGGGCTGCGCCCGACGAGTATTCTGGTGGATTTGTGTCAGGAGGGACAAAGACGGGTTCGGGGCCATCCATTCCTCTGATGGCACTGGGCAGAAATCGTGCAAAGAAAGACTTGAACACGGCATATGAACCATATAGTGATTCGCGTTGAAAGGACTGATCGAAATCTTCCAGGGCTGTTGCCTGGTGGATGGCTCACGTCTTCTGTTGATGAAGTATTTACGCTAGCATCAGGACATAATAAAATTGGACGTGTGAGCCATTGATTTAAAAACAAAGCGTTTGATAACAAGATTCGTAGTTTACCTAGGTACACAAACCGGTCGTTTATACGGGTTGTAGGTTTGTTTGGGGGGTGATGGTAAAAGGTTAAGAGTGCTTCCGAGTCAGCGGCACTCCGGTTTGCGTGCCAGGAAACGAGGACCCGTCAAGAACAAGCGTCAGAGCCTGAAAGTAGCCCTCTCCGTGCCGGTGTTGGGATCACCATTTTAAAACGGATATAAATGAAGAAACGGACTATACATGACAACGACCGGCTGCTGATTTTCCAACTTCTGCAATGTGCAACGATTTGTGTTGTTGGCAAGCTCTATAGTGTTTTAGGACATTATTTTGGAGGGTAATAAGACAATAAAACGCCAATAAGACAAATCGTGGCACATTTTGTAGATACACTGAATTTACGCCTAAGATATCTCCCCGTGACCCAAAGGTCCGGATCGATTGATCGATTTCCGTGCCACGTTTCCTCCCGGTAGGGGTTTTCCTGAAATAGTTTGTTGTCGACTGCGGAACTTAAGCTTCTCTTTCTGATGCTTCTTCGGGTACAGATACCTATCACACTCGGGAGATCTGGGTCAATATTGTTCAGAAGAGTTAAGCCAACATTTTCTATTTCTTTCTCAATTGCTAGGCGGAAACAGTTCTGCAACGTTTCGGAAAGTTGGGGAAGTGGATGTGCTTCATGACTGGGGGATTTAGATCTGGTTAATTCAGTAGCTCTTTGGGGGATATGCTGAATAAATTAGATTTCAATGATCGAAGATCAAGCAAAGAGACCAGTCCAAATTAAGATGCTCTAAATCACTGCCAACTATCTAGCGGTATACTTTTAAACATACACAACCCTACGAACTGTACAAAACTTCCCACCACACTTCAGCACTAAATGGAGATTAGCAAGGAAATTTGAATCTCTTCCTAGCGCTATTCCGAGAAGCTGTTGTTGCTCTTCATGGTCTGGCTATGAGCCAAATGGGGCGGAAAGATTCCCACTTGTATGTCTTCAAACCTACTTCAATCATTCCCATCCTGTGTATGTCATCTTTAACAATTTGGAACAGGCACTCATGCGCTCACCTGCCCTGTAAAAAATACTGTTGCATATTCTTTGAGTGGATCAGGAAGCTCACTTCTTGATATAAGTTAGGTAGTGCGTTCACGATGTTCTACGCAGTCGCCAGGCTTCAAACACCGACAGGCCACTTGATAGAACTCAATTCAATCACCTATGCGCCCAAAGAAACTGCATATGTGGATGTAGTCAAATGTATTGTCATCGAAAGTCCACTCCTGTGTTGCGTTCTCAACTTGGAAGCTGAGAGTCTCAAAATTGAGGAAACAAAGTTGCACAGCAAGTTGCACAGAAGACATGGTCAAGAGTCAAGTTCAACGTCAATCAGTTCCCTGATTAGTGAAAACTTAACTGATGGATGGAGAACAAGTGTTAGACTGCATGACCGGATGGGAATGTTCTGCCTTTTATTAGCGATAAAAGAGCTACCGTCGGGAAGTCGGAGGATATTTTGACAAGTAGATCCTCGGAGGTTCATCCGCTTATCCATTCAAATCTAAAGTCAGGCAGTCACACCTTGGGACGAGAGCCAGACAGAGGTTTCCTAAAGTATTACTGTCTTTACCGTATATGGTTCAAGTAGCATAATCTGATCTTGGTCACGTAGCTCTGCCCCTGAGACGGTCGTCGAAGAAGCTTCGTTTGCCCATTTTTGGCACTAACAGTGAACAGTTTATTGCACGCTGAGAGCGCTTGATTGACTAGCGTATACAAGATAAATAGTCTAGCTTGAAGGATAACAAAGAAACATATCTAAGAGAAACGACCTGCTTCCTCTTTACCCCGAGTAACCCCCCGGACCATTCCCGAGCTTTAATCTGGTTTATCTCAAAGGGGCATGGTTATGCCCAACACGGCCGATGTATTCCGGTCATTTCCAAAATCCAATGCGTGGGCTTTGCTCCAATATTCTTCGGCAGCAAGATCAATCACCCATTGAGGGACCGGACTTTCGCTGGAGCCGGGGGACAGGCGAGTGCCCATCAGAACTTCCCAGGCTCTGCGAGCTCCGAGGTTGGCAGCATTAACCCTCTCCAATAAGAAGTGCATGCCATCCTTGAGGCTGGAACTCTCCGGAAAGAGCTCTGAACTCGAGAGGTCAACCCAGGTGGTTGGTCCTGTCCCTTGATATCTGCAGGTGATGGGCAAGGTTTTGAGTCCGTTTCAATCTTCCAACGAGCTGCGGCCAACCCGAGTTTTGGATCATCTTTGCCAACTCGGTGGTACAGGAAATCGGCCATCTCCCGACTGTTCGTCCTCATGACCCAGTCATGCTGCCACATCAAGTAGAAGGGGTAACTAGGTGGCAGTGTGCCACCGGATGATGTGGATGTGAGGGATCTTGTGCAGCTGGCCGAGAAGGTTCAACACTAACTTAACACAGGCTTTGAAACAGTAGTCCGAGAATGTATATGTGTAAATAATCTTTTTGAGCGGGGATAGAAAAGCGAAGAGCCTTGAGGTTTGGTTCTTTGAGACGAGCTTGCGACGGGTCTCAGCGCCATTGCCCAAACGAGAAACCGACTTGTCTATGACAGTGGAGAGATCGTCGAAGAAATATCAAATAGTAACGCATTTGAGTTTCATGGAAGTATAGCTTGAATCTCCGGTAGGCCTTTTGTTCAAGTTGATGCCAAATACTTCGGCAACTAGAGAGATGTAGGAGGAGCGATGGTGGTCAGAGAGCGATTGTCTACTCAACCTCGTGACGCTTTGTGAGTGAGTGATGGTTTAGTTTGTGGACCAAGTCACGCCTTCCTGAGCTATGATGACATGCCTATATTAGGGGGAAAGCCCAGAATTCTAAATGGTTGTAGATCTCACAATGTCAAAGGCTGAATGCTGCTATGCTGTGCCATTGAGTAGCTATCACTGTTTGACCCTTAATTGGAAAATGTGAACCCATTTCTTAAAACGAGGGACATGTACAATAAGAAACTTAGAACGAACGAATGAAAATCTTATGTGTGAACCATGTTAGCTGTGCACGTGGCGCTAATCTCAATCGTCCTTGGGCTTTGTGCAGCCAGGAAGCATGACGGTGTTAAAGGGTAGTTTAGTTCTTCTCATACTTTAAACGATCCGAAGACAAGGCTTGATATCCCCTTCAAATAGCTAGCGGATATTGAATCGTTGGAAGAAAGAACACGCTCTTCAAAGTGGAATTAAACCCTAAATTGTTGCCTTGCCCTTGTTCTGGGAGCTTTGCAACTCGAGAGGATGTGTGGCTTTTCTAGGCCGAAATGCCCACAGAGCATTAGCCATTAGTGGTGTTTTGTAGACCATAGTAAGCTCTATAAAACCTTGACCAAAATCCTAAATAACAAGATCGGATGTCTGATGAATCCACACAGCCACTAGGTGTTAAGTCTAATATCCCTTTCGAAGGCTTGACCATGGCTAAACATAAGTTGGTAGTGACCAGCTTACACCTCGGGATGACCGAATGACTGATATTGTTACGTTAGACAAACTTGGGCATCTAAATAGAGACAACACACGCTCTTCACAAATTAAACTTGTTTTGAGAGCTTCGAAGAGATGCAGGAGATGATCAAAATGCCACCGTCAGCATGAATTATCATCTATTGGAAGTTGTCAAAGCTTGAAGTCTGCATTTGTCTTTTCTTTTGTGTCGCGATGCTCCAGCGACGCAATCTTCTCTGACAATTTGACCTTCAAGGCCTTTGCTCGGTCGGTACTGAGTTCGTACATAGTAGTCAAGTTGAACAATAGCGTGTGTGAAGTCCGGCCAGCGTCAACCAGGTTTTCGAGTAAAGCTTTGCCCTGCAAGAGGATGTTAGCTGGAGTGCCAAAACATCACGGATGAAAGGAGTCATCAGCATACCTCCTCCATTTTGCCAACATATAGCAAGCACGCTGCCAAATTCACACCAACCATCTCATCGCCAGGCAGCAACATACTCAACCCTCGCCAAGTTTCCAAAGCAGCGTCATATTCGCCATCTGCCATCTGACACAGGCCCTGAAGTACTCGTATGGCTACCCCGTGTTCATCTTCTGGCGCCACAAGCTCGCCAACACATCTCTTAGCATTCTCCACGTCACCAAGGTGCAACCATAGTAATGCTTCCCTGACAGCGCGTGTGCCATCGTTATTCTGAGGCAGTGACCTTAGGTGGCAAATGGCGCCAGTAATATCCTCCATTTCAACCAGCGCTCCAGCCACTCGTAATCCTAGGTCGGCTAATCGAGCTTTCCATAACTCCATGGCCGAGTGATCGTGCCTCGCACTAACCTCGGCTAGCCGTGCTCTTGCCTCGCGCGCCAGTTCATAGTAGCTCATGATGGAACGGCGTGGGTCACCGAACCCAAGGGCCTGCAAACGGACAGCAAGGACACGGAGGTCCCATGGAACAATATGAACTTGCGTTTGCTGGGCATGAGGACGTGGTTTTGGCTGTCCCTGTTCAACATCCGCTAGGACGCTCGGGTTATCTGTTGGCGAAGAGATAGTCTGATAGTAAAAAGTACTAGATAAGTCACCAAGGGCTTTGACTTCTTGCGCAGCAAGAGATGTAGCATCGATAAGGGTGAGGCAGGCCAGCCGGGTATAAAAGAGGTCAAAGATGCGTTCATGATCGGTTGGATCAGGCTGGGCCTGAGCAGGGCTCGGGCCGCCGATGCCCGAGAGAGTCTGTGCTGCCGCAATGGCGGCGGCGCGGAAGTGACCTTGAGCTACGAGCTCCGGAATGGGGGTCTCGGTAGACGGTTGATTGTGCAGAGAGTTACGAAAAGCCGGGGGTATGTTGTGAGGTGGTAGGGGATGGTAGATCTCGGGGCGAAGCAAAAAGGAGAAGTCACGTGGTCGAGGAGGGGCAGGCCGCCTGGCTATGGGTGCAGGTGAATGAGAGGGAGATCTCATCACCGGTGATGCAGCACCAGGCGTTCTTGGTGGTGGAGAAAGCATGCTTTGAGGAGGTTGTTGGCCTTGAGGAGGCTGTTGATCTGTAACAAGGCCTAGAGGCGCTCTTCAATTTGTCAGATCTATGAGAGTTGAGGTGGCGCTGTTAATGAATGTTGAGCTCACTTGCTAGCATCAAGGGGACCCTTGGTGGATGAACGAGGTCGAGTTGCTAGTTGGTTGTAAAGGGTCAGCCCAAGTCAACTGAATGAGGGTTGTAGATCAAATAGTGATGTCGTGGTATGATCACAGCTTCAATGAACAATCGCTATCTAGTTCCGGCCCCGAGATGGTGACACGAGGTGAGAAACCACAATGAAAGCAGCTGGTAGCATCTCACACTGTAACCGACGTCTTGCTTACCTTTGACCCCAGATCTTGTCCTTGTATGACCTTTCACTGTCTGTTCTTTGGATTGTTCCATGGCACAAGAACTATGGTAAGACAGCAACAACAGAGTTCTGATTGGGTGTATCAAATAACAGTCCCAATGACTTCATACTAGGAAGGGACTGCTATGATGTCTTGATGCAGGGTGATTCGTGAACCACAATCTAGTGGAGCGTGCTGTCCAGGATCCAGCTGAAGCGGGGACTGAGAGCGCAACAGCTGCGAACAATTGATGACAGCTGGTGTTGCTCGACCCTAACCCTGTGTCTGCCCATTGCTCACCTCTTGAACAGTTCTGCCGGATGACCCTTGAAATTCCAAGCACCTCGTATTGACATTTCGATTATACTAAATGAACCGTAAAATTCCAAGTGACGGGCCACAGAGCCGATACAACTATATAAATGGACCCGGGGAGGATCATTCCATGATATAGTCATAGATTTGATGTTCCTTGACGAGAACAGATCAAAAAATATACGAGTCAAAAGTATGCCACAAGCAAAACAACACGAAACCCTTGAACCAGAACAATCGAGCTCATAGTTCAACATCATCCAGATGGATGCCAGCTGTACCGCTATCCTTCCTCCGATCATGATTCCGCCCAATATTTCTACCACTCTCAAGATCATCCCTCCCAACTTGTGTTTGATCATTATGCTGGTCTCCCGAAGGGATGATAAAATCCTTTGCACTCCCCAACCACTCCCTGTCAAAAACCACCGGCCCTACACCTAGGTGCGGCCTGTGTACATCCGAGACGTCGATCGACATTCGACTTTCCTTCGATTTCTTGACAATACTACCAAGAAGGTCGGCCATATTCATTTCGATATTGAGTTTGGTGAGGAAGACAAAAGGATGGACTTGAATGTATACAATCTCGTCCTTCAGCGACATAAGACCAATAAGCATTACCTGAATAAAACTAGTCAGAACGGAAGGATCAATGGAGAGGCGAGAGCAAAACGTACATCAAGGGATATGGAAACGAAAACCATTAGAAGGTTGTATTTGTAGACAAGATTATACTTGGTCAGACCGCATGAGACAAGCTTCGATCTAACCAGCCACATGAAATACGTGTTGATGGTGAGATCGATTGCAGCAAAAATGGCTTTTTCAGCTCTGTCCCAGACTTCATTGATCCGGATGAACGTTTCATTGATCTGTAGTCGTGCTGGAACCCAGATACAGAAAACGCTGACGTTGACAATGCCAATGGCGATGAGCAATGCAATTTTAATCCGTCGTTCTTTATCGGGGTTATACAATATCAACCCAAGTCGATTTGCCAGGATTTGCATCAAGCCTTGAATCTAGTTCGATCTTGTTAGAACGTATTGGGACATGTAGCACAATGATGGATACTTGCCTGCACAACCCATGTAAGGACTCATCTCTTTATGTTAGCAAACATTGAACCGTTAAGAAAACAGTGTCTGTGAGGAACATACGCATTCCAACGAAATACCAGATGCTGTGATAAAGCCATTGTCAGCGCAATAATCACGACATATGATCCGTGAGAAAGTATACCTAGGTGGGATCTTGCCGACCAAAAACAACCAGATACAGATTGATGTGGATATACAGGAGCCCCAAACGAGCCACACCAGGATGATGTAAGCACTAAGTCGATGACAACGGCGCCATGACCGGCGGCTCTGACGGACAGCCTTGGTAAAGTCGAAGAATGCGACGGCTGACGAAGCTCCAAAGAAGAAGGCCGCTACAAGCAGGCCTGTCAGGGACGTGGGCTCAACTCGATACCATGGAGGTATCAGTGTACCCATTATGAGATTGGTTGGATATGATGAAAGAAACGTGTGATCTGGTAGCTAGACGCGTCCAGCGCGTTGTTCAGCCAGGTGTCCCTTCCAAGGGATACTGCCTCGAAGAATTGGAGGGAAGAAACATTGGTGGTTTGGTTAGAAATTGGTCTAACAATGCCGTCATCTTTTATCAATTGTGCTTCAACAAGCAATAAGTAGGCCACATCCATGTAAGTGGCGATAACAGGAGGGGATGGGCGCTGCCACCTGCGCTCGGCCCCTTCTACCTGCTTCAGGCTTCGGACGGAATTCGGGCAGGGGGAAAAGTCGCGACGCTCCAACACAACTTGAGCTTTGACATCTACCTCACCTTCTGTGCCTGGTAACTGATAAAAGCGAACACAGTCTGAAGTTACTATTGAACTTTAGGCATCGCTGCAGGTTATCGGTGGTCTTTGCGCAGAACCGGTCTCGATCTTTCTGCCACTAGGTTACGAGTCATTCTTACAACTAAACTCTGATACATCTAACTTCGTTGTTGACAGAGGATGTTTGCAACGATAGTACTCTGATCCATGACAACAATATATGATTCTATTGAGATGGTTTTGAAGGTTTTATCAATAGCAACTCTTCTGATATTTGCTTCTGATGCTAGTCAGCTCGGATACCAGGCCAAGCAGGTAGCATAGAACCATTCTAGACCCTGAATCATGAGTCTGCATCGCAAGTATTTCGGTCATCTACTCCAAAATGAGAAGCTCATAGGATAGTTTAGAATTGATGGGCGTCATTTGTCTGAGTGAATCGGTCGTGAAGCAAACTGGTTAAATGAGAGCTACAACGTGTGGAAGGAAACACTTGACCTCATTAAGTACCTAGGTGATACAACTTAGGTGGGGAGTTCAAGAGTGGCATATATGCCATCCTCAGGGCCCAAGTCCCCAGGTTTAGGCTTCATCGCCAACCGAACCATTCAGTTTTCACACGGCAATCCGGAACCCGAGCTCAACACTGAAATGTGCTGTGTTTCCATTCGAGAACATAAAGCTTCAGAATTTCGCCATCCAACCCACCTCTCAACGGTCAGACTGGCTGCACCGCTCGAACGGTAACCAGATATTTGGGCCAATGATGACTCGACTGCGAGACCGGATCCTGACTCAGGAGTTACGACCGGATCCTTGATAGCTCCCTCTCTCACACGTGCCACGCTCGCGTGGCTGCAAGCTCCAACTGTTTAGCTAATGAGCTTTTGTCGAGAAGAGATGTCTTCTCCAGCAACATTTGAAACATGTACGGGCCAAGACGCTCGGGGCACGGATAAGCCACCCACGACCTGACTCGCCACCGCGTCCATAGCCATCGACGGAGGACTGCACGATGGTTAGGGGAAAACACGAAGAATAACGTCCATTGCATCTACAAACAAAGTAACCTAGTCCAGTGTGCAAACACACGACAGGTGGTATACATACCTCCAGTAGCATTCCCGAAAGAATGAACAGAATGTCAATATTACCACCATGAAGCAACAAGCAATGAAGCCTTGAGCAACGCTTCGTTCAAATAACCATAGCTAAATCCATGATCCTAAACTCACCTTATATTACCAAAATCCAGCCTGGAAACTGTTGACTTAGATCTCGACTTCATCTGAGTAACATCTTGAGCCCCTTGGCGTCCTCATTTGCACGGTACGATGCTCAGGCGAGTTCACGACAAGGATGTCGTTGGCTGCATGGCATTCTAGCCCAGTCCAGTCCAGTCCAACCACGATCGGCTGTGCATTAATGTTGACCTAAACTGGACGCTACGCCGCTCTCGTCGAGATCAGCTGATATCCAAATGGAATGCACATTGCAAGATCAGAATATCGAATTCAGGTGTTCTGGTATCCGCCTGAGCATTCCCACTTTGTGCCTGGACCACAGTAGTACCAACTCCTGAACAGCCATGGTGGGGGTTTTGGTGCAGGCTGGTGAATTAGGCAATGACGACGTCCGGGAAGAGCTTCCAAGGTTACTTTCAGGAGGGGACTGCTTGCGCTGACAGCTGTGATGAATGTGCTGGTGGTGATGCTAGTCATGATTGTGGTTTCTGCAGTCGTCGAAGTCAGGGGCTTGGTGGTCGGCGTGGTTATCTCGTCTTTGGAATTCCTAGGATCCAAAAGCGCACTCCATCCTGTTTTTCAGGGCTTTTGGCAAAGGACTGGCACGGGGTAGGTACGAGCGCGCGGTCTTCTAGGGGATTAGGGACTACCGCAAGGCCTGCGGTGAAGACACCGAGGAAACCCCACACGGTCAATGTTGTGAACAACCAGAGTTTCATGGTTGGCTCCTTATCTCTGATGAGAACAGAAGTCTCAGAGAAAACTCAAGCCGACCCTAAGCCGGGAGTGATCGATTCTCAAAGCGGAACGTTGAAACATCATTTCCTTCGACTTTCATGAGAGGATCAGCTCGAGACATATCGTGTCGTTCTTGATAACCTTGGTGGCGTTGTGGTTGATCGTTGCTCATCAACGAATCATCTCAAGTGAGGCGCTCATGGAGGTAAGACCAAAATGGCCCTAAATAACTTACCAACTGTTTGCATGCTTCTGTAACGACCGCAAAAACACAACACAGAAACCGTCATCCGTGGAGATGTCAATGAATCCAAACTTAGGTCTGAATGGAGCTTTGTTCTGAACAAGCGGTGAAAGAAAAGAGAACTGCTACCATAGTGTCCTAACATAATGTCCTGACATATGGCAGGAGTTCAACACCATAGACACCCATGCCATGTTGTGTCCAGGTTTTCCGAAATATCAGCTGACATCAACCTGAGAGAACGCAGGAAGAGTCCGGTATCACCAAAGAATTGTGGATGGGGGAAACATGTGGAAGCAAGATTCAGCTGCATAGCTGGTACCTGTGGAGTCAACCCGATTGTTGGTGTATTGTTGTTGAACTCATCTTGATTGAGAACAATTCTGCAGATAACTTCACAGGGGAAGGCTGGTATCAATGCGTCCGCGCGGGTAGGTGTTTTTTCCTGGTTTCAACCCGCCTTTTTCTCCGGCTTTCGTGCGTACCTGAATTAGTAGAAGCAGTACTGATGGATTTTGTTATCTCCCAAGGACTCCTTAACCTTAGCCGCTCACACCGTTTGCCCAGCCTGCGACATTCCAAACTTAGACAGGGCTTCCCAAGGGACCCAGAGACTGCTCAGCCGCCTTGGCGAAAAGACCGATAAGAGGCAGCGTCTTGTACTTTGGCTACATGTCGATGGGCAACTTCTTTCTGATGCAAGTGATGTTGGTGAAGGCGGCACGGCTCAGGGAATCGCCAGTCCTAGTGACGAGATCCAAGTTCATGCCATGTTTGCTCATAACCGCAATGCGGAGCTCGTAGAACTTCATGACATCATGCTCGCTCATGGTGCCTTCATCACACAAAGGCGTCCATAAGATTCCTGGGACTCAACCCAGCCGCCAGGCTTGAGGTGGCTATTTGCGGTGAGCACTTCATGTAAACTGATCCGGGTCTGGAGAACTTACCGGAAGATCTGATCCACCACCTTCTGTAGGTCACGTAGAACAAGGCTCATGCCCCTGAAGTGGACAAAGCCCCAATTGGAACCATGGAGCCATTTTGTCTTCCACGTCATCCACGATAAACTTTACATTCGGGGGCACCCAATGTGGTTGAAATGGTGATAAATCAACTCCCAATACTTCAGCTCCGGGACAGAGGTCGTCAACCTCTATGGCCCAAATTCCGGTCTCGGTTCCGATATCAATAATTCTCCGAGGGTGCTCGCCAATAGGGGCGCAAAAGAACTTCCCATTTGTCATCCCAGCATCATAACATGCTTTATGTCTCCTCTATTCTACTCGGAATTATCGTTCGGAATCGGATAACGCCCGTCTTTGTACACATGGTATCGTCCGCAGTTCTCATAGGCGTATGCGTAGATGTTTAAGGCGATGGATGTTGACGCAGCTGAGGATGTTGCATCCCAGTCTTCTGCCAGAAGCTCATCTTCCAGAACCCTGTGTGTGGCTCAATGGCATGACCTCCCGAGACTCTCCTGGCATAGTACCGTTCTCCGGCCTCGGCGACGATGGAAATTAGGCTGGCATTTCTGGCCTGTTGGCTTGTATCTTCGTGAAACTATCACGGGCTGAAATAGAAGATCCCGCAAAGTTCCCTGGGACGTGGTTAAGTTGTGGTAGGAAATAATAGTTGCTAGAAACGATACAAAAGATTTTTAGCCACCAATACGGACTGAAGTTGAGAATTGCAAATTGAGAAGTAGATGACCAGTATGACAGAATCACGGAGTAAGGAGAGTAAGATTGAGAATGAAAACTCCCTACCGAAGGAAAAACCTCAAGAAAATTCATTAATGCTACTCTCTCGCGACGCGGGTCCAGGACTCTCATACTTTGCGTAATCGAGAGACAGATGCAACATTAATCGTCAATCCCCGCTGCGTTAGCAGCACGAAGTTACGATGCTGCCGTTTACACACGTGAAGATGCCGGTTCTGCGTCTCAGCAACGGTACCAATCCGCAAGAGGACGGCCGTTTGCTACCATGGGCAACTGGGACTCAAATTACGCTAGAAACCATCATTGCTAATTGCAGCTGAAGAGGATCAAGCATCAGTTGTGTTGGTGAATCTGACTGACAAACGTGGGGGTCATGAAGTGTTTACGACAGGTAAAAGTAGTACAAAGAGAGCAAGTATCGCCAGGGTGTTGAAGACAATGTAACGGTGTAGCCCACGGCACAAGCGGGAGCGATGGGAATATACAGCTTTGAAAGTTCCGTTGCTTTAAAGGATCTTGGCCCCAAGTCTGCAGCGAGATTAAGTTGAGTATGGAAGTGTTGAGCTTCACATTAATCAATTTAGGCAACTTAATCAATTTAGGCAACTCTCCCATCGGCTTGTCAAAGAAATTCCGCCTTGGCAAACCTTTTGGGTTATTATTTCAAGTAGTACAAGATGCTTGCCCTGGCCCACGATGTCACATCAGTATATGGCTAATGGGGAGGTTGGAGTCAAGTGCTGGGATGATCATAAGCCTTCACTAAGCTGTGTGCTTTTAGACTTCAGCGAACCACTTGTTTTCCCTAAATGTGGGATCCAGACTGCGAGTCGCCTGCTGTTCAATGCATTTCGAGTTGATTCGTTTATTGGACACTCCTTAAAGAATAAAATTGACGAAAGCGTAACCTACTAAGGGTCCAAGGTGGCTCTGAGCATCTGAGGACAGTCCAGCCATTGTCAAGTTTAATTAACGGGCCTCCAAGGGGTGCAGTCACGTGGAACCGAACCTAAATGGGAAAAAGAAATCCCGGTTTCCGATACAGGCTTCCAGGCTGGAGCTTGGAACAGTTGGTTTCAACATTGTCGGCATGGCACGATGTTTTCAAGTGGCAGTCGCAGATGTGAAACTGCAAAAGCGGCAGTTTCATAAGGTTGGCTGCATAGTCCGTCAATGCTTGTTTCCACCAGGCTAACCTTGAGAGCACCAAATGACAGGCAGCGGGCATCTGTTTCCTTACCAGAGCCGCTGAGCCTCAGCTCTGCTGCTATCGGCGCTCGGAGAGTTCGGCAGACCCCACTTTCACAACAGGCACAAAGCACAGGCCGTCTGCGCACTCCCATCTTTGCCCCGCACGAGGTCATTCACCCACACAAAAATCCGGGGAAAACTCCCGGGGTAGCGGAGGAGACTGCCCCTCGCCCCACCGACTTCCCGCGTCCCTCGGCTATTGCTCAGCAACATGTGGGCAGACATGCGTCGATACTGACCGTTGATCGCCTGTCTCGTCATACCACACGCCGGAACACTCCGCTTTGCCATGGATCTCCTTAAACAGTGCAGCTGCCCAGCTCCCAAGATGCAAGGCTCTTGGGTAGCTCTCGTGGGCTGACACATGCTAACCGACCGCGGCTCCTGTTTTAGTGTTAAACGGCTTCCAGCTTTTCCATTCTGGATACCTGTGCTACACGTTTGCCCAGCGGCTGAACGGGCGGGTTCCTCTCCGCTGGATGCAGCGTTCTAGATCCACTTACCCCGGTTTAGGTTCTGCTTATAACTGGAAGCTGATCTCCTGGCCGGCTTGTTCGGAACGCTCAGATTTACACCCAACACTATTTGTCAAGAACGAAGACACATGTGCTCGAAATCAAATTTAGCAATTCCAATCTGAAATTCTCGTCTGCCAGCATACCAAGCCATCAGCACTACGCCATCACCATGATGAACCGCGCTTCGACTAGGCTTCTCTCTACCTCGGCTCGCGTCCACCCAAGCTACCTCCCCTACCTGCACAATGCCTCCCGGAACCAGGGCAAGGGACTGAAATGGTGAGCAATTGCGTCGCTTGCCTCTCATGGTTATCACACCTTCATGCCCCCATCGTCGGCTTTCCTCCCCTTCAGAACCTCTAGCGCCTTCCAGCAACCCCTTAGCCCAACTGCCACACTGTTCCTGCATAAGTGCCTACACTTCCATAGCCCAATCTAGAGCTAACCCCTCTCATCAGGGCCCCGCCCCTTGCAGCAGCCCTGGCCACAACAGGCTACGCCGTAGCATCCTACTTCCAGGATTCGACCACCACCGAGCAACGACAGGCGACTCTGGCCGCTGAGCGGGAGCGTGAGGAGGCCCGCCGGCAGGCCATCGCCGACGCATACGGTGACCGTGACAGCCTGGAGGCTCTTGAGAGGGCAGTGGCCGTTTATGAGGCACAGACGAGGGAGCGAGGACACTGATGCAATGCTTTGTTCAAAGATTCCACATAATCAGGGTGGCATCTTCGTTTTGGGTTTCGGCTTTCAACGTTTATGAGTACTACGTATGCTCTGGGATTCGGATGGCGCGGCGTTTTGGTATGGGTCTAGGTTCCGGCAATTCGAGTGGATGCTTCACTGGAACTGGTGCATGGGAAATCTCATCGCATAGCAAATGGTCGTTTTCAATAGGGTTTTGGAATGAGAATCAAAATATATCCAACGGAATGCAAGAGCCTCAACAAAATGCTCAATACATTTTATTTGATCACAAATGCTCCCAATGATGCCCTTGATGCCCTTGAGTTGTAGCTATGTCATTAGAGATCATGTACACAAATTAAACATTCATATACCCCCATCATCTCTTCATCGACTTCCTTTTAGAACTTTTTCCCTGAGCAATCTCCTCCTCTTCATCTTCCCATTCACCCTCCTCTTCCATCCGGGCATTTACCTGCTCCTCAGCATCACCCTCAAGACCCTCGCTGTCGAAGACATCTTCGTCATCAAATAGGTCGCTATTGTACTCCTCATCAACATCCATCTCATCTCCATTCGGTACTTCGTCTTTTCCCCCTTCACCGGATTGTTGCTGCTGCTGCCTTTGGGCCTCCTTGGCCTTGCGCTTCTTCTCAACATTCTCCTTCTGCTGCTTCTTGCGAGCTTCCTTCTCCTTCCTGCGCTGCTCCCACCTCTGCTCCAGCTCCTTTATCTCCTCCTTCGACTTGCTGACATATTCGTGCCACAGAACCTTGCCAGAGCAAAGCCCCTCCTCGACCTTGGTCATCCGCAGTCTCATTCGTGGACCTAATTCCACCAATTTGACAGCGCGACGCTCAACACTTTCGTGTGTCGCGCCCTCGTCCTCGTCATTTTGTTGCTCCCTGGGCTTGCCGCTGTGAACTTTCTTAGTAGTAGTTTCGAGGACTTCAACCTCGGCATCCGTATCCGGTTCGCTACCACTGGTGCCGTCTGTCATGTAGCCCTGGCCATCCTCGCCGCCAATCAAAAACTCCGAGATATCCCTCAGCTTGCCCAAATTCGGTACGCCTGCTTTCCTTCCCTTCTTCGACTTTAACATCTTTTCGGCAGCATTAAGTCGGCGTAACGGCTTCGATAGCCCGACTGGTTTTGTTGTGATGAGGTAGTGCCGGAAGTTGACGACAAACTTGCCGTCATTTTCGGGCGACAGCTCGCGATTAAGAAGTAGGACACGGCGGATCGATTTGAGAGGGGTTGTTTGCGGGTTGATCGGGGGAAAGAGGGATTGGAAGGCGGTAGTAGTGAGGGACTCGAGATGACGCGGAACCTTGGAGTGCGCATCTGACTTAGGATCCGTGAAGTTGTTCATGACAAGCTATGTCATGTCAGCCTCGTGCCAGAGCAGATGCAACAAGGGCCAGACACGCAACTTACCAGAGGGGGAGTCATGTACTCCTTTCCGCCGCCCTTAGGATGCCTTTGCGCCCTTCTTACATCCTTCGTGAGAGAGTACTTCTCGACTCTGAAGTGGAAAGTCGGCCCGCGCGGAGCAACCACCAAGCGCAAGTTGACATTGCCCGACGTAGACCGGGAGAAGAGCAGAAGATGGGTAACGCCGAGCGGACCGCACATCGTAACGTAGTCGCGCAACCTGTTGGCCTTCCGTTCCTTCAAACGTGACGCCGTTCCCGGTTCCATTACCTTGCGGACATCGGTGCATAGCTGGCTGACGCTGGTTCCAACCTCGCCGGCGCCAATGCGGATGACCATGCTCTTTGGGTCCTTTATGTTGGCATGGCCATTGACCTGCGCCGCATTGGGAGGATTATGTGCACCGACGTGCGTCCTCTTCTTATGCCGTCTTTTCGCCATTTTTGCTGTTGTTTGATGTGCCGTCGCTGTTGGTTATGCTTGGAGAGAGCTCCTTTGATTTACGTCGCAGGTGACGTTCCAGATGCACAGAACCCCCGGCACGGGCAAAAAATTTCGGTGGGGCAAGGCTTATCGTGCATGCCCCACACCGATAAGGCCTGGAAATTTGGAGCGCGCCGCTGCTTGTCTGCTCCTCGCCATTGAGGTTCATCATCAAGCCCAGTACTTCACCAACATCAGTCATGTCAAGCAAACGCAGGAAAACCTCCCATTCTGAGGGGGGCCTCAAGGATGCCTCGGCTCCAACCCTCAAAAATGATGTGAAATCCAAGAAAACGGAAGAGAAACAACTTTCTTCTCAGCCAAAACAACCACCTGCTCCCAGCTCAGAGGCCGACTCTGAGACTATCGACAATGGTTCAAAGCAAGGAAATAATGATGCTGCTCCAAAGACATTCGCCGACCTCGTAAGGATTATCCGCTTTGCTGTTTCGTGACTCTTGTGCATCGAAGCTGACGGTTTAAAGGGCATCGTCGAATCTCTCTGTGAGGCTTGCGAGCGCCTAGGCTACAAGCGGCCTACCCCTATCCAGGAGCAAGCAATTCCTCTTGCGCTCCAAAACCGCGATCTCATTGGCATTGCCGAAACAGGTAGTGGCAAGACCGCTGCCTTTGCTCTTCCCATTCTGCAAGCCCTTCTTGACAAGCCGCAACCCTTGTTTGCCTTAGTCCTGGCTCCTACTCGAGAGCTTGCTGCCCAGATCGCCCAAGCATTCGAAGCGCTGGGTTCCATGATCTCGCTTCGTTGTGCTTTGATCCTGGGAGGATTGGACATGGTCCAGCAGGCCATTGCCCTAGGCAAGAAGCCTCATGTTATTGTTGCGACTCCTGGTCGCTTACTGGATCATTTGGAGAAGACCAAGGGCTTCAGTCTGTAAGTGGATATTGGTGACATGTCGACGGCATTGAGTGCTGACTAAGAACACACAGTCGTAACTTGAAGTATCTGGTCATGGATGAAGCTGATCGGTATGATCCTGCCATTTTATTTGTCTCCGTAGCTTGACTGACCTTGTCCAGCCTTCTCGACATGGATTTCGGCCCTATTCTCGAAAAGATCCTCAAGTTTCTACCAAGGGAAAGGAGAACCTTTCTGTTCTCCGCCACCATGTCCAGCAAAGTCGAAAGCCTTCAACGTGCCAGTTTGCGTGACCCATTGAAGGTCAGCATCTCGACATCGAAGTACCAGACCGTCTCAACCCTTGTGCAGCACTACATCTTCATCCCCCATATCCACAAGGACACTTACCTCATCTATCTGGTCAACGAGTTCGCTGGAAAGACTATCATCATCTTCACCCGCACTGTCCTCGAGACCCAGCGGATTGCCATCCTGCTTCGTACCTTGGGCATGGGTGCCATCCCCCTACATGGTGGCCTCTCACAGTCTGCCCGCCTTGGCGCTCTGAATAAGTTCCGTGCTGGCTCGCGCAATATCCTTGTTGCTACTGATGTTGCTGCTCGCGGTCTCGATATTCCAAACGTCGACTGTGTCCTCAACTTCGATCTGCCGCAAGATTCAAAGACTTACGTTCACCGCGTCGGTCGTACAGCTCGTGCTGGCAAATCGGGCCATGCTATCAGCTTTGTGACTCAATAGTAAGTATCTGTTGTAGCATTATTTCTTTCGTTTATGCTCTAACAACAACAGTGATCTTGAGATTTGGTTGCGTACCGAGGCTGCACTCGGCTACAAACTCACCGAGTACCCGCTGGAGAAGGACGAGGTGATGGTCTTCAAGCCGCGCGTTGAGGAGGCTCAACGGATTGCCAAGAACGAGATGAAGAAGCTTCAGGAAGAACAGGACAGGAAGAAAAAGAAGAAGAGGAAGGCTGGGTCTGTATCAGCTCGTGACGATATGGACGCCGAGGAAGGTTAAGGATCTTAACTACATAGGGTGTTGGGGGCAATGGTTAGTGGGATGGAATTTCCGGAAAAGTTTCCCCTGAAGTTCTGGATCTGTGAGGTGTTGTGGAGTTGAGGCTGTGGAATCATTTTGGTTGTGGGAAGAGCTTTGCCCACATGACAATCTTGTTAGTAGGTAATTGGTAACTGTCTCATTATGAGAGCATTTAGAGCTTTATGCATAGATCCATCCCAATTAACTTTGATTAAACCGAAGCACCATCCGTCTGAACAACAATACCCTCCGTAAGAACCCTTGTCCAGTCGAACTTCCTCCATCTCTTCTTGAACCCTTCCACGCGCTCATCACTCCTGGTCCACCTCCCTTGCTTCTTGATCACATCAGGCTCTGCATCTAACATACCCCCAATCACTTCCCTCGCAAACAGGTCTCCCTTCGGCCACTTATTCTCATCCTCCACGATATGCCCCAGTCCACCATCCAGATTAAACCATACATGGAAGTACGGCATCTCCTTCGCGATACTCCGCCGGAACGCCATCCTCCCCAAGGCCTCCTTAGCCTTCTTCCCCGTATCAATAACCTTTCTATGCTGCGCCCACTCCTCATCCGACGAAAGCATTGCCTCGCGGAAGAAGGCTGGCGCCGTATCGCCCAGCTCGTACGGGATTGGCACGGCGACCAGCGCTGCGTGTTGGCGTCGCTTTGGGGCCGCTGCATTCTCGTAGAAGATCACATCTCGACCTTGGTCATGGTATAGCCGGGTCAGGCTCTTCATGAAGTTACGGATTTCTTCCCATTCGTCGTCGTCGCACTCTAGGAGGTTGGTATGGTGCGTGAGAGGGACGATGACGGCACCGCCTTCGGCGCCATTGATCTCGGGCTCGGGAGCGAGGGTGAGGTAGGTCCGGGTGCCGAGGGAGATGACGGGAGCAATGGGAAGGTTCTGTGGGGGGTTTCGGTCTTCGTGGTAGCAGAGCGGGCATGTCTCAAGGATGCGATTAAGCTTCTGATATTCGTTGACTGCGATATTCTTAAGGCTCAAGTCCGTCTTATGGACACGTTTGGCCAGCCATTCCGCGTTCTCCTCGAGATACTCAAGATCGTTCTCAAACCGCGCGTCCTTGGCGATGCGCTCGGCTAGACGAAGACCCTCACCTCCGGGTTGGCCGCGGGTGCGCCGCTCTTCGCTGATCATGTCCTCAATAGTCATGTCTTCGTTAGCTTCGACCTGACCGCGTTCGCGGCCACGCTTGGTGGTAACTGCTTTGACCTCATGGCGAGGGCCAGCAAGCATACGGTTGTAGGAAGCATCGAGGACAATGGCATTGTTAGATGCGGCGCCAGTGGTAAACGCAGCAGCTGCTTTGTTGTATTCCTCTTCAAGTTTTGCCGCTTCGGGTGCCTTGCGGAATTTCGCTCTCAGATACCCAGCGCGTAACCGGTTTAAGGCCGACTGGTCCATCGGCGGCGCGGGCTGGATCTTGTCCTCGATTACAAGACCTTGTTGCGGTTCCGGAGATGGGGATCGAGCAGGCTGAGGGCGAGTCTTAGCCATGCGTTCCCTGTACAGGTTACCTGTGGGCTTCTCCTTGCCCACGTAACCCGGACCATATAGTTTCCTCCGATCGAGCTCCATCTTCTCCTCCATGGCTTCGTCAAACACTTCCAAGCTGCCATATCTCTCAAGTGCAACATCTTCCACAGATCGCCCAGTCTGTTCGGCGATCGTGTAAACACCCTTCAGCTTGGTCATCCGCCATTCTGACCCTTCATCACCGAAGGTGTAGTTGACCTCTCGCTTCTTCGCAGGCGCTGGCTCTTTCCAGTCGTCATCGGCTAACCTCGTATTGAGTTCGCGTTTATGTAAAACCAGTCTCGGCTCTTCTCTCACTGGGGAAGGGCTTTTATCCTTCTGTCTGCGATGGATGTAATCAATGTCCATGGCGGACGGTGCTGTCATCCACGCATCGCGAACAAGGGGCGTGCTGCCAGCAGGCGTCTTCTCCTCGTCTGGCAATGGAAGATCTGCTTTCGGGTCTGAAGACTTCAGGTCCTTTGTATCCTTGACTGTGTGCTTATCGTATCTATCGCGGTCCCGTTCTTTCGATCGCGATCTAGATCTGCGGCGATGCCTGTGTCGATCACTGCGGTCGCGATCGCCCTCGTCACGAGACCGACGCGAGTGCCTATCACGATGCCTGTCCTCATCAGAGTCGCGCTCCCGAGAAAGGTGCCGTGATCGCCTGTCCTTTTCGCCGTCACGGCCTGGAAGTTCATGCCTGTCGTGGTCGCGATCCCTATCGCGGTGTCGATCTCTATCTCGGCTTCGACTGCGATGTTTGTGTCTGTCTGAATCACGGTCGCGCTTGGGTGATTTGCTGCGGCTGCGATGGTGGTGATGGTGGTGTCTGTGTTTGCGTTCGCGCCGCTCTTCTTTCTCCCGAGCGGCACGCTCTCGCTCTGCCTTTTCAGCGGCCAGCGCCTTCTCAAAGGCTGCAAGGCCGTCCAACTCCATTGATGGGAGCTTAATCTGCCTTTTTGAAAGTTGATTCCAAGTGAATGTTATCTCAGTACTCAGTCAAGTACTTGATGTTTCTCTCAAAACCTTGGTTAAATACACAATATGGTAACACATCTCCTATAGCGCCTGAAAAGAGAAGGTCTGGGCACTAAAAATGAATGTTTTCGACAACGTTGAGTGACGTCTTCACAGCAACAGGGGTCGTGTCTGGTGGGTCATGTCTGGTGGGTCAAGACTCACACGTAACAAACTCAGAGTTCGCAGCCTACCACATCTGTACGCGAAACCCGTTACATATTACATAACATGTAAGTTGGTGATGCGAGTTACTGTTGGATGGGGACGAGGTGTGTGCTTCTTAATTTCCCTTCACTGCAGTCATATGGGATCTTCAAACTCAGTGCATTAGAACCTATGAATATAAAGAACAAGAAACTCAATGACTGATATTACAAGACACTGTTTTTTGACTCGCAAGGTTATGGCTGACATCGCCCATATCACGACATGACAATTTCGGAGTCAAAACCAAACTGAAACTGCCAAACAACTCTAGATCAACGAGTTCAACAACTTCTGATTTGCTAGAGAGATCTACTGTAGGTGACTTCGTGCCATCCCCACCAATATATTGTGCCGTACACCATTGGTTGAGTTCTACCTAATGGTTCATGGAACGAAGACGGTGAGTCAGCACAGCCGGTATCCAAGATTTGAGAAGGGGGCTGTCGCTTACCCTGGGCGTTACCACGAGCATATTTGCAGACCAGGTGTGAGAGATCTCGAAGTTACTTATTGCCGAAGATAAGGCTCAAAGAGATCTCGGCATTTTGCGAGAACGAAGGCTCTTTTGTTCTCTGTCTACTCAATAATTGTTAACTCTCGACAAAGCTTTGTTCTCCTCATTTCCCCTTAGGCATTTGGTCCATCGTGCTCTTGTATCTGAATTACAAAAAAATAAAAATAAAAATAAAAGTAAAAGTAAAAAAATTAAACCATATTCCTGTGGGCAGAGAAAGCACCATATGAACTCCCGAAAGAAATAAAGCTTCTAGAAGCACTTTAGAATACTTATACAAAGTAGCTGCGAGTGCAGTTGATACGTAAGGAAAGTCAACTTTAGGTTGTGTGGACTATGCCCCCATAGAACTCTTGTGAGGTGGCAAAATCCTTAGCACGTCTATGCTTAACAATAACCCTCATCTTGCAAGTAGAATATTTTGCGTTTTTGCGAATGCACGTGGCTATCTTCGCACCAGTGGCCTCTGCAGTATCACCCTGTCGCGCGGGATGACTGATATCCAAGACAAACATGCGGTTGCTGCAAACCCAAAGATCTCCCCAGTCGTTACGTCCAAACCCCTACCAAGTGTGTCCGAGACAATGGGAATAGAGAGAAGAAACTCCAAATACAACCCCTGTCGCTTCTGACTTTTAGACGTCTCTCGATACAGAATGAATCCATCCCAGTTTTAGTGTCGAAAATCCGCCAATAGCCGCGTGACGTTGAGGGTGTAAGCAGATCAGACGAGCCCACTTCCGTGGTAGGACCATTTTAGAAGCAAAGAAACTGTGCCTCGGAGATGTTCAAGGATATTCGTGTTACACGGGGCATCTAGATCACCATCGTCGCGGACTTGCCGTGGGTAAATTGCGTCATCACGGCCCGGAGCTATCACTCTGACCTCACAATAAGCCGCTTGAAGAGGGGCTAGACTGTATTAGATGTGTTTATCAAGAAAATGCTTATATCCTGCTTTGAACGCCGGTCGCCAGATGTCTGCACTTTCCCAACCGAGACTCCCAACCCGAAGTCCCAGGTTATATCATACAAGATAATATGCGAGGCAGCCTGTCATTTGAACGGATATTACTGCCGACAATCTACTGTACATAACCATACTGCTGCCTTGATTGGCCGTGTCCATAGGGCGATGCTGCCTGCTGATGCTGGTGCTGTTGTGCAAACTTGGCGTAATCAGCTGGGTTGTATGGGACAAAGTGAGCCTGACGCGGAACCGATGCGTCAGAGTTCTTCTGGCTTGATTGGTGTTCTTCATCAGTCTCCCCATGAGGTGCTAGGGAATTCAAATACCCCTTCTTGTTTTCCGGTTCCGCCGACTCCTTGACCGAATATTTCGATTCTTGAGTCTCAGACTGATGCGGTCGTTGTGCGTCGGTCTGTGACGAGATGGAATTCGTGTTAGGTGATCTGGGATCAAGAGGCGATTCCCAGCTGTTTTTACAATTCTCCGATGGCCGTAGAGGGGGAGAAGTGTAGTAAAAGTCGCCCGGGCATTTCCACCGGCTGTTGGGGAGGTGGGCTATATTGCAAGGTTCCAAGCTCCTGCGGTCTCGATTGAAATCCGTAGTCTGGAGTGGGAGAACTTCGGTTGTTGTCCTGTGATCCGGCATTGCTTAGACGGTAATAACCTCCTGAGTACCTGGTTGAGGGAACTCGCGGAATTTGATAAGGAATAGGAGGTGAACCCAACGGCGGCGATCCTGCGGCTGATTGCGGATATTGAAAATGCGTCGGAGAGGCCAAGGGAGACCTACTCCGGTCAGCGGGATTGATCGTCCTGAGCTTTCCGTCCTCGATCATGGCTTGAAGGACGCCGGCATCCAGCAACTCTGCCTTCTTGATGATGCGCTTGACCATCTCCCCGCCAGCTTTCTTAAGTTGTGACTTGACAAAGCTCATGACAGTCACATTGCATCTGATCTCAATGTCCTCTCTCAGGTACAGACCGTCAGCAGGCGCGCCGAGCGCTCTCAACCCAATTTCAGGGACCTCAGGGGGTTCAACACCGGGCTGATTTCCACAGATGCGATAAGTGTTTCGGAGGTCGACATGCATCGGCGCATAAATGTGAGTTTGTAATCCCCACGGCATGTCGTGGAAACAACCGTTGAACTTGATAGTGGAGGACCCAATCTTCCCAAGACCGGGTACGAACTGAATGCGCTCTGTGATTTCGTACCATGTCGAATAGTACTCATCCGTCTCAGCATTACTAGGTGCCGGAATGGGCTTGTGGTCAATGACCAGAGGATTCAGAGTGATAACCTCGGAGTGCGAATGGAGGATATCGATAGCCAATTGGCGAGGGATGAAACCCGGAATGGGTGTGATAATGGTGAAGTTTTCTTTCTTCCGTAGCATTGCTGCGGATGACTATGCTTGCTGACTTTGAGTTTGATACGGTGTTTGCTTAAGGACTTCACTGGAGTCAAATGATGCGACCGTAGTTCGTGTGGACGGCACGACAAACAGAAGCCTAACAGCTGGCCGAGAAGCTCGAAGGAAAGAACTCGAGGACAAACTGGTCACAACCAAAGGATGTTAAAGAACTGGGGTGAGGTGGGAACCCAAGGTTCTTTATTTGGGAGCCACGTTTTGGTGGCGGCTGTAGAGACGTGTGGCACAGCCCGATTTTCTGTGCTTGCTGCGGCTCCCAGGAGGCAGAGATTCTCACATTGTCTGTTGCGAAACCCCTCCTGCCATGGCTGGTAGACATACAATATGACTCCAGTCTAAAGACAAGCTAAAGTTGTGTTACGCATGGAAATGACAGCCGCTCTGTCATCGGCAAGACTCATGCCAACATACCTCTTTCTGCTCATCTTCGGGCTGTGAACGTGCATCTGACGTGAGACTTCTAGAGATAAGAGATAAGTCAACGATAAAAAGTAGTTATCTCCATGATGCTGCAGGCGCTCATCATTATTTCAAATCAATATTAGCATGGGACACCCACTTGATGCTGTCTTGCATATGTCGGCGAGAATCTATTGACGACTGAACAGGGTATGATGTCTAGTGGTGAAAATACTGCCGCCCAGGGCATTTAGACAAAAAGAGAGGAGCATCAATACACGTTCTCCTCCGTATGAGAATACGGTAATGTATATCGAATGATACCGCAACCTGTGCACGGTACGGTAATGCCGAAAGTAACGCCTTCTATAAAGGGTTAGGGTTGTACTTATCAATGGCAGACTGTGATCACCCCGCAGTCTTGGCCGCTTGCAGCATCAAGAATCGAATTTCTTCCACTGCCCCCCGAACCCCGCTATCGCTCAACTAGGTGCTGACGGCATAACCCAACACCGTTCTGACCACCGAAATACTTTGGTGACTCCGGGCATCGCATTCAATTAGGAGAGTAATGGCATCGAGCACGGCGGCAGAAAGTGCCCCTGGCAGGCAAGCCAACCAGCCAGTGGTTGTTGTCTGCATCGGCATGGCAGGTTCGGCGCGCCGATAAGCCAGCGCGAAGCAACTATGTGCTGATATCGTGTCTTAGGTTCTGGCAAGACAACATTTATGCAGCGCATCAATGCCCATCTTCATGCGAAGAAGACACCTCCCTATGTCATCAATCTTGACCCCGCCGTGACGCATTCCCCCTTCCAGAGCAACATCGACATCCGTGATTCAGTCAATTACAAGAAGGTGATGGAGGAATATGGGCTTGGGCCTAACGGAGGCATCATGACATCTCTGAACCTCTTCGCGACCAAGGTTGACCAGGTCATCGGCCTCCTGGAGAAGCGGGCACAACCAGATCCTCAGAACCCTTCCCGCAAGCCGATCAGCACCATCCTCGTCGATACCCCGGGCCAGATCGAAGTATTCGTCTGGTCGGCTTCAGGCACTATTTTCCTCGATTCCCTCGCATCTTCTTTCCCTACCGTTATTGCTTATATCATCGACACTCCTCGCTCCAGCTCAACATCTACCTTTATGGGCAACATGCTCTATGCCTGCAGTATACTTTACAAAACGAAACTCCCAATGATTCTCGTGTGCAACAAGACCGATGCCAAGGATGCATCCTTCATCAAGGAATGGATGACCGACTATGAGGCGTTCCAAGCTGCGCTGAATGAAGACGAGAATCGGAACGCTTTTGGAGGGCAGGAAGGCGGCGGCTCTGGCACTGGATATATGGGTAGTCTGATCAACAGCATGAGTCTAGTGCTGGAGGAGTTCTACAGCCACCTCAGTGTCGTTGGTGTCAGCGCTCTCCATGGTACTGGCATTGACGAGTTCTTTGATGCGGTCAAGGAGAAGGCGGAAGAGTTCAAGAGGGACTACCAACCTGAGCTCGAGCGCGTTCGCGCAGAGAAGGAGGAAAATCGGCGCAAGCAGAGGGAGAAGGAACTAGAAAAGATGATGAGAGATATGTCGATGGGCGGCGGAGAGTCGTCAAGCGCTGTCGCTGATGTCAAGCAGGATGATGATGATGAGATTCGACCACTTTCGGATGAGTCGAGTGACGAGGATTTCGACGAGGACACTCGGGAGGGGCTTCAAGCCAGATACGAGGCGGCACTGATGGAAGGGAAGTCTGTGGATGAAGATGCAAGCTTTGTCAAGTATCTACACTCGCAGCGCGGATAGGTACATTCCGCGTGTAGCTCATGACAAAGAGTGACGGTCAGTGGGTTTAGACAGGGTCGGGAGGTTGCATAAAACGGCGTTCTGGGATCCATGATACCATGACCATCTTCGGTAGACAAAATTCAGATTGACTATTTGGCAACGAAAATCATCAATTGAATATATCCCTGTATCCCAAACGCCATTCGGATCCCATGCTAGATGAAACGGTTATCCACGATGAGAGACTGGGCTTCACTTCCTCGCAACGCCATTGCCAACCCCTCGCTATCACCGTTGAAATGCGTCTACCGCGCCTCGAACTGAACCATCCTAACGTAGAAAATGCCTGTCAGCATGCAATCATCTCGCGATGAAAAGATCATCTCAGGTTGAACCAACCTCTTGGTGCGCTCCTTGTACAGCACACGCGCGCCACACTTCTGGCAGCGGATAGGAGCGCCCTTCTCCAGGGGGACGCGCACCGCGCAGTCGCCGCAGGTGTAGTACATGACGCCGCCGCTGCTCTCACCGTAGTCGCGGCCATAACCTCCAGAGCCAGACTCCTTCCCGAAGCCCTGAGAAGTGGTCGGGACCTGATAATCCTCGTTGCGAGACATGATTGTAGGTTGATTTGATTTTGGGGTTTCGATAATGCGAAGAGCGCTTGCTGAACTGTTTAAATAGCTGATTATGGCGAATGGTAGCAGAATCAAGTGAGTTGATGGATGCGAGCTGCTAGGCAGTTTCGACAGCGTCGCAGGACTCGAATCGAAGATGAATAGAATGAGTGTACGGAGGGGCGAAGGTGGCAGAAAAATATGGGCGGTGAGCAACGCTGATATCGATAAGCTTTTATGGGTCCAAGCGTGCATGTGGGCCCACTGCGGGGTAAATGTCACGTGGTAACGCGCGTTGGTCCGAACCCCAAACTATGGCTGCTCGTTCGTTTAAACAAACAGGCGGGACATCGGACGAAACCTCGGTCCATCTCTTCCGACAAGGGTCCATCGTCGTAAGGCTCACTTATAAGCCCAAAAGAACAACCCAGAAGCTGCTGTGATGTCTCTTAGCACCATTATCTTCTGTAGATTCATCAATATTGGTAACTTAATTCTCCTCTCGTTACCATTCAGTTACAAGACAGTTAGTTGCAGCATCATCAACCATGGCATCAGAGCACGAGACACCAACTCCCTCATCTTCGTTCGACCCTAGCCTTCCCAAGAGGCAAAGCTGCTCGGATTGCCCATTTTGTTCCATTTCATCCATCTACGCCCCATACGACCCTCAGAACCCCCCAGATGCAAGGTCTCGTATCATCGATCCTAACTTGCCCTCTCCTGGACCGTCTACTTTCATTGTGCTTTCCACGCCACAGGTCATGGCCTTCCTCGATATCATGCCGCTTTCAGTTGGACACATCCTTGTATGCCCGCGCAATCACCGGCCCAAGCTCACGGATGCATCTCAAGTTGAGGCCGCCGAGCTAGGCCGCTACCTGCGTGTATTATCCGCAGCCGTTGTACGGGCCACGGGCATCAAGGACTGGAATGTGGTTCAGAACAATGGTGCTGCGGCTGCACAGGTTGTGCCACATCTCCATTTTCATATCATCCCACGACCGGAATTAAGGGATAAGAGGAGTGAACGATTTACAGCCACCATGTTTGGAAGGGGTCAGAGAGATGACTTGGATGAGGGTGAGGCTGTTGTGTTAGCAGAAAAGATCAGACAAGAAGTTGCCAAGGTTGTGAAGGAGGATCAAAAACAGCAAAACAGCTCAAAGCTTTAAATCCAACATGCATGTACTTTGTGTGTAGCCTCATGTTGTGTGTTAGCTGCCTCTGAAATGCTCAGAAGTTTAAAGTAGTGTGCCTACTCAGACGGAACTTGCTGAAAAAAAGCTAACTCCTTTATCCAAGTCCATCATCCTTCATTCATCATCGCCGAAGAAGACCTTGATAGGTAACCACGAGTCACCACAGACCTTGAACCGGTCAGGAATAGCATCAATCTTGGCCATCTCCTCATCAGTCAACCTCCAACCGTCAAGATCGAAGTTAGCATGAATACGATCAACGTTGACACTCTTAGGGAGCACGCTCCAGCCCTTCTGCAGACCCCACATCAACAGTACTTGGGCTACTGTGCGTTTCTTTGCCTCCGCGATGGACTTTAGTGTCTCGTTGCTGTACAAAGGCGAGTTGCTGCTGCCGAGAGGCGAGTAACCCGAGCAATGGATGCCCTTTGAATTGCAGTAGGCAACAAGCTTGGGTGACGGGTTCGCCGGGTGCAGCTCGATCTGGTTAACCGCGGGAACGATCTGCAACGTCATTAGATTGACTCAGTCATCTTTCCTTTGTTAGAGAACGGTATTGAACCGACCTTGCAGCTGGGATCGTTGAGTAACCTCTCAAGATTCTTGATCCCAAAGTTGCTGACACCCAAACTCCTAACCTTGCCCGTCCCCGCAAGCTTCTGCATCTCGCGCCAGGTATCCACAAAGTCCCAGTCGTCATAATGCTTCTTCATGTCATCTGGTGTCGTGCTCGACGGCCAATGCATCAAGTACAGATCAACATAGTCGACACCGAGGTTCCGGAGTGAGTCCTCTAGCGCCTCGGCCACGCGCTTGTGGTCTGTATTGTTCAGCTTCGTGGTCAGGAAGATCTCTTCGCGTGGCACGCCTGATGCCCGGATGCCCTGGCCGACTTCTTTCTCGTTGCCGTAGGCGAACGCTGTGTCGATGTGCCGGTAGCCAGCGCGGAGCGCCTCCTCAACGGCCTTCTCGACACCGCCGGGCTGAGACTGCCATGTGCCGAGGCCAATGGCAGGGATTGAGTACCCCGTGTTAAGTTTGTACGATTTGCTGGGAGTTGTGTGAGTTCGCGCGGAGTATGGGCAAATATCTTGGAGCAATCTTCCTTACGTGGTATTCTTGATGTTCACCATGGTTCTCAAGTGGTTATCTCAGGGTACGTTGGAGTTGGTCCAGGGGAAAGGCGTAGGAGGAGCAAGACTTAGCTTTACGTTGGACTTTTGTGTGTCAGAAAGCGGATACCTGCACAGCTTCCACATTCAAGGCTTTATTTCTCATTCGGGTTGATGTTACAGCGGCTAGTGACGTTATCATTCACCCCGCATGACATTCCACCTGTGACAAACCCCATGATGGATCCCGCATAATCACGCGGGAACAATCAGAATTAGAAGTCCAGTCCAAACGAGATGCACATCAGTGACGGCCACATCAGTCAGTACATTGCAATGATTCCAAGTGGAGATGATCTTGGGTCACTTAAACGGCATCCAGGTCCGATCTTGCGTACCTAGGAGCCACTCCGTCAGTTTTGAGATGGAGACATGAGGGGTGGCTTGGCAAACATCAAGCAAATATCTCCTACTGAACCAAGCATCACAAATTTTACTCTCGGTATGACAGCATAGGAGGAAACATCTCATCCAGCCCCGAAAGGAGAAACTTGTCTATTTCTAGTGGCAGTGTTCCATGTCAATCGCCCCTCCAATTCACAAACAAGCAAACCATTCCTTCCCATTGAATTGGTTCCTATTTCTTTGCATTAGACGATGGCAATACTCCTCTGGCGTTGAGGGTCCTTAGAAACGAAGCAATAAAGAAAGAATATGTCCAGCCTTGACCAGATTAGCATCCACGGTTAAGAGGAACAGATTAGAGACCACAGTGAAACTGGAAGGCTGGATATGTTGGCTCAAAGAAGCGAAAATGCTCCGCAGAAACGGCATCCTCCCCAGCGCCAGATTCCCCATCATTACGTTCCTCATGAGACTCATTACATGACTCTTAGCCATCAGTACCGCTACTCCGGAAGTTAGCGCAGAGAGCCGCATAGTGATGCGTCAGATCCAGTACGCTCTGGGGCAGGTTTGTCGCTTGGATAATGCTCCTAATCTTGACGGCCCCCTCATCCTCGATGAGCTTACGCACTGTGTGCAACAGCTCTGGCGAAAACTCCGAGTACCAGCGGTACTGCCATGTGACAAGACGGATGGTAGCTGCGACAGTATCGCGAGTGCTAGCCTTTGTCTTCTCGAAGACTTTCAAAATGCCAGCTAGAGCCTTCGGGCTGAACCTCTGGGCCAGGCAAGCGCGGTAGGCCTCGACGGCCTCATCTGTGTGCTGTAGTCGCTCGGCAAGGCTGCCGAGGATTTCCCATTCCTCGGCAGACTTCTTGTACTGCATGCTCTGGGCGCGGTATTGTGCCATTTGCGTGCGCCAGATGGTATAGACGCGCAGGTCCTCATACAGAACCATGAAGAGGCTATCAAGCCAGCGCTCGCAAAGACGTTTGTTGTTCAAGCGGGAGAAATGATCGTCCGTCGTGCTCTGATAGTACCACACATGTTAGACCTCGAGGATGCCAAGCGTGATCAACTGAAAAACATACCTTCTCTTCGTCCTTCCTGACTTCATCAGGATCCATGGCACTGGATGGTCTCTCGAGATCCTCCGGCTTGTAACCAGGGGTTAGGTTGTGTGCAATCGTGTCGCTATCGCTACCATTCGCGGCATCATCCTCTTGTTCCTGCTCACCGTCGCCGTTTGTTGTGGGATCGGGGGTCCCGCGCAGGGCGTCAGTGCTAGCATTGCGATTCTTTGGGTAATTTTGTTGATCCTGTTTCTCACGGTATTCATCTTCCATAACAAAGACATTGCTCCGAATCTTCAACAGCTGATCCCATCCAATTTTGGCCGTCATCTCGGTTAGAATGTTGTAGGCATGCTTGAAAGTTCCACGATAAGCGGCACCGCGCAAATTCAACAAACTGGGATCGACTTGCTCCGAATATCTCCCCTCAGGCTCGCTATCAATCTCGTCTAGTCTGGTCTCAGGAAGAGTTGGAAGGTTGATATCGCGCGGCTCAGGCATGACCGGAGCGTCCTTGTCCTGATAGGTAAACATCGGACATGAGTTGAGTGTCGTCAGAGCATTTTCCCAGTCCTCCAATGCAACATACACCTCGGCTAATCTTGCCCAGGTACGGAACTCGCTGGGTGCTGCGATGGTGCTGCGTTCAGCGCAGCCCAAAGCCAGACGCAGCCTATGCTCCCTTTGTTCCCGATCCGGTGCGGTCTCAGCTTTCTTGAGTAAAAACTCGGCCTGGGTATCCAGCATCACCCAGTCCATCGGTGTCTCGCGCAAGGCTTCGTGCAGGACTCGGATGCCCTGTACCTCTTCGTTGCCCATAAATAGAACCTTGGCCAAAAGTGAAGCAACCTGGACATCCTGTGTCCTCAGCTTCTCAAAAAGATTAATGCCGGAGGCGTACCGGCCTGTTGTGTAGAAGTACCTCAACAGTCCATTCGTGAGGTGGTTCGAAACAACAGTGGGAACTTGGACGAGTGAATCACATCCCAGCTGCCAGCCTATAAGGTTTGTCAGCGCAATGTCTCCAGCCACACACTTAAGGATTGCCAATGCTAACCCCTAAAAAAGAGCTGTTCAGCCGCGCTGAGGAACTTGTGCTCAGTCTCCGTGTTGGTGATGGGGTTGAATCGCCGGACGCCAACAATTCTCCTAATCATCTCGCCCGTTCCGTCATCAGCGTAAGAATACGCCCTCAACACGCTGCACACATATGTTTCGAGCCAGAGCTCATCTGTAGCCTTGCGCTTCTCGCCACGCTCGTCGACACAGTAGCATTCCACAGAGCCGGGAAAGGGGGCATGGACGCGCATATCGACTCGGGAGAAGGCATTGTAGCAACTAAGGAAGGGTCAGCGTCCAGATTGTTACAATAGGTGTCAAGCATGCGCAAATACCAGTATGTGCCTTCCAAGGTCTTGGTCGTTGCGGACGGCCCAACCTCCCTGTAGGCTAAGGTGTTGATGTAGGCCGCTAAACTGGCCGACGACGATGCATCCACACCTGTGACATGGTGATAGACACCTATCTGTATGGCCCCTCGTTAGAACGTTGGTGTTCAGACTCAACGCTGACCATGTGCAGTTGACTCACTTGCTTGCCAGCATTCCTAATGGGCTGCTTCACGAGATGGACGAGGTCGGGAGGGCCAAGCTCGCGCAACGAAGCTAGAGACTCCGTACGGGCATCAATTGCTTCGTGCAAGGCCTCCTCAGTCAGCCTGCACACGCACTGATTAGTACCGTGAAAATTTAGGAGTATTGAGTGGGGGAACGAACTCAGGGACAGCTGGCGCAACCATGGTGACCAGAGCAAGGTGGCGCGGACGTGATTACGTCGCCGAAGCACCTAGCAGAAGGACAGGAAAGGGGGCAGATTTAGTCTGATAAGCTGCAGGTGATACTTGAACCGGGCCCGCGGCAGGGTAGTTTAAGACGAATTGGACAGGCCCTCTTGAGATGGTTGGAAGATGTTGCCGCGGCCTTTTCGTGACGCCAGTCCTAGCTGTTGACCCGTACTGTTTGCTGAGTGCCAGGAAGCCGGCAAAGGTGGCTGCTGCTGCTTGTTCGCTGGTTTGGGCGTGGGATGGGAAGCTCGGCCGAAGCTCCCTGGCATCCAATCGGGCTGCAGGGGGGCATTCCCCACATTAAGTGGGCTGGTGCGGGTGTTGCAGATTGCCAGGGGCACGGACCACCCCAAACGCCCTGGCTGGATGAGTACGGTAACTTACACATAAGACCCATTTACGTAATTTACACGTGCGTGCCTGTCGCGTCACCCGTGTCGCCCACCAACGCTCCATCGCAAGCCGCCTGTGCTGTGTGCACCTGCGCTGGAACGCAGTATCGACTTCAGTGCTGATCCAACTTTTCCTTTTTGCCAACCTAGCACCCGACTGTTCACATCTAAATTGCTTTCTTGAGTCTCGAGGAGTATATGATTCCTCCAACCACTGCGACAAGATGGTGCGACAGCAATTTGACCCCTTTTTTGTCGTTTCAACGTCGCTAACTTGAAGCGTTTGCAGGCCGCTTTCTCGGCCATCAATGTCGAGCCCGAGGACAACGTCGACGAGGAGTATGACACCACCAAAGAAGTCCAGGTCCGTTGGCCCAATCTTTTGATGCACCTTGATTGAACGGCAACTAAACGTTTGTGTAGGTCGAAGAGGCCCTAAAACTCTTCCAAACCGCCCTCAAACTCCATGCCCAAGGGCCACAGTTCTTCGACCAAGCTTCCAGAGCCTACGCCGCTCTTTTCCAGTCTGAAATCTTCAAGTACCCTGAAAGCAAGACCGATTATGAGCGTGCTGAGGCTGGGCAAGATGTAGCTGCCGCAGCGTTTATTCCTGGCGTTGAAATCCTCGGTGCCGACATCGATGGTGCCAGCACTCTTCCACAGACGTTCTACCTGTCATACAAGAACCATGGACAGTTCATTCTCGACCGCATAAAACATAGAACTCGGACAGAGAATATTGGGAAGGAAGAGTTGCTAAACGATGCCGATGTGCGGAAAGATGCTTACCAAGCGCTCTACAACTTTTGTGTTGCCCTCGACCGCGATCCCTCGGATGCTGACCTGTGGAGAAAAGCTGCCCGACTGGCAGCATTCCTCAGAAGCCCAAGGATTACTCGGTATAGCTTGGAGGCTGCCATTGAGATGGACGATGACCCGGCTGTAGACGAAGTTAACCCTCCGTCACTGGCTGAGGGCTTCGCCGGCGAGCAGCTCAAGCAGCAATTGCAGGTTTTGGACGATAAGATCGCCCTAACACATCCCATCATGAAACCCTTCCTGGAAAAAGACATTCCCCCTTACTTGGCTGAATACTTAGATCCGATGCCTTTCCTGCCGGATCCCTCGAAGCAGTTGGCAGTCCCCGGGCAACAGTCACCAAGTGTCGAGAATGCTCGTCTTACCATCGGACTTTCAAACATCTCATGGACTGAACTGGGCACGGCTCTGGTGAATCTGGCAAAAGAAGAGGGTCTCTCAAGCAAGGGCATCTCCATCCAGCTTCCTGCAACCAGCAGCGATGAGGACGTGCAGATGGAAGTGGACGCACAATTACAACTACCTAAATCCCAACCACCTCCAGCACAACTGGACGTTGGCCAGGTCGATGGCGATAATACGGAGCATCCTGCAGAAGTTGGTGTCAAAGTGGAAGAGCCCGAACCTGCCGAGCTCGAGCCTGCATCAGCAAACGATGAGTCCTCGAAAGATCAAGGAAGCTCACGAAAACGGTCACAATCTGCAGCTGGGATTCCAGATACCCAAGAAGATGAGGCTGCTGATCTGAAGAGAAGCAAAAGGACGAGGCGTCGAGATACGACCGCTGATGAGGCCATGGACTCTGCCACGTTCTTTGCGACACAGCTCCAGCCCCTGCAAGCTGCCGACCAAAACCTCTTTCAAGCTACTAAGAACCTCCTCGAGAATCTCGGTGTGACAGATCGGGTGACGTTGGATCGAATCGCGGAAGTCTTGGATTCTTGCGCATCGGATGACCGCACATCTAAGTTTCAGAATCCAGCCACAGTTGATCTCCGCAATGCCCTTATGAACTTCGATGAGGATGTAGCGGCCATCCTCCTCAACCAGAGAGAACTTCCACAGCTCAATTTATCAACATTCCTTGAGCATGCAAAATCTGGATCGCAGCGAGCCCTTGAGGCCCCGGCATTTGATGATGCTCGGGGTTTAAGGGGATTTGTGGAACGCCTAGGCGATGCATGGAACACCATTCATGATGTTGCCTATGGCTATGTAAAGGCTTTAGCTGACTTCTATACTGACTTTAAGTGGTCAGAGCCGCTGAGGGCAACCGTGATACAATTGATCAACTCTCTGGACAGCAGCATCTATGATGGCATTGTCCATGATTTGGAGGCGTGCCAAAGTATTACCAAGGACTCCTCGTTCTCCAAACTGGCAAGTCTTGCTCAGATGCTGCTTGAGCTACATCTTGATGTGCTTGATCGTGTCAATGAATCCAACGGCTCTGCAGAGGAGATTACGAAAGTGGAAGCTAAGGGCCGCCTGCGCCGTTGGATGGAGTTGGTAACAAAGGTTCTCAGAATGCGAGATCTGGAGCAAGCGGGCACCTTGCCCCTTCGGTACCTCTGGGCAGCAGTGACCTCGACGACTTTGGCGAAGGAAGCACCGCGAGAGCATATCCTCAACTGCTGGTATAGCTTACGCGACTACCTTACTGGCTCCGTGAGTGCTGAGATTAGTTTGCCAAATAATTCGGTGATGCCTGAGATTTCGCTGAGTGCCGCTGATCGTGAGATATCCAAGCTGACAACCATGGACTTCTTCCTGGGCATCTTCCAAGAAGAGATGAGCGATCCAGTGTCCGTGATTGAAAACCTGGAGCCGGTCCTCAGCCCAGAGAGCGTTCAAATTTGTGTTCCGGTCTCGGAAACAGATAGTCTGGAGAACAGCAACGACACTTCAAAGTCAAAGGTCAAGAAGCTTCCGATTACAGAGTGTGCCAGTCAGGAGCTGCTAGACCTGTGGAAGTTCCTCAATAGCAGCAGCACCGAACTGCGGTTGTTGCTCTGGTCAAGACTTGCTGAGGCATATGGAAGGATCAAGTACACCACAAAGCAGTTTTCTTGCTTCCTTCGGAGTATTGAAGTCATTGTCGCAGACTTCGAAGGAGAGGAATATGCCAGCACTCCTCCCGAAGCGAGGAAGACGCTCTTCATGGGCATGCTCAAGGCTCTGGATGATCTCATCATCCAATCGCTGCACCTTGCCCTTAACGACAACAGTTCGTTTGATATCATCGATGAAGATCACCTTCGATCCAGCATGTCTGCGATCGCCAAGGTCAGCTGCATGTTGCACGTCGCCGCCATGTATGAGGACGAAGGCCGGATTGGCATACTTCCCTCTCCTGCCAATGGCTCACCACAGAAATCGTTCCTCAACAAGCTTCAGGAGATGCAGGTGCGGACTTGGTCACTTCAATACACGATGCTGAAGGTTGGCATCAACCAGCACCCCGATATCTTTCCCAAGCCGGAGAATGATCTTGCCGAATTTTTGGCTGCTGTGCACCAGGTCCTCGGCCTGCGCAAATGCTGCAAGTCCTCCAACAGGATCTTCCTCAAGATGATGCGTGTTGAACTGCTGAAGCAGAAGAACATTGAGAACTGGGAAGATTACCTTGGCCAGGTCCTCTATGATCTACACGGTCTCAAGCTTGGTGTGGGTGTCTGGGATGTCCAAGACCACGGTTGCGAGCCGGAGAACCTCGAGAAACGCCAGGCTCTGCAGCTCGTTGAGAAGGTTGCTATGCTGGCTAATAGGATGTCCATGAAAGATCTTCTCAAGTCGGATCTCAAGACAACCATTGAGCGGATGCAGCAGGCGATCGGTTCGGCCAAGTCAAGCCCGCAGATGTCTCACAATCTGCGCAACTACACTGAATACCTAAAGTCGCCCATCCATCCATTGCACATGTACCAGGCATTGACTGGCGGTGTCCATCTCGATGCGGTTTCCATCAATACTCCTGAGAGTGCCCCAGCCAAACAAGGATGGTTCTTCTTGCTTGGCATGATTGCTCTTACCAAGTTTAAGGGTGTCGACCTGAACCGGCGACAGACACCTGGCGCGACTGATGATCTTCGCATAGCGGCCACATTTTTGCGGTTGCAGCTTCAGTACACTCCCGACCGTTGGGACGCCTGGTTCCGGCTGGCAGAATGCTTCGACTATGAGCTGGAAGAGGCCGTTCTCTGGACGGCAGACAAGATGAACAAGGAGCGGGCTGAATTGGTTAAGTTCCAGCGCCATGCAATCCATAGCTACATCATGGCCCTGTCGCACTCGTATGCGTGGGCATCGAACCCAGCTGCGCTCACATCCTTGGAAGATGACGAAGAGGCGCTGTACGATATGTACCATGAATTCGGCATGAGACTGTACTCGTCCAGCCGGGAGCCATTCGCAATGGAGCCGTTTGAACATGGCGACCATAAGCGGTTCTTCATCGAACCTGAGGGTGCAGGCACCTATAAGAAGATCGTACACAACCAGATGACGGACTACCAGGTCTGGAAGTTTGCAGCTCATCTCTTCCGCAAGGCCATGGTCGGCAAGCCAAAGGACTGGAAGAACCCGTACATGGTTGCCAAATGCCTGTGGAAGATGTACCAGAAGCCTACCGAGGAATTAGACGAGAAGAACCGCCGACACCGCCCTACAGTACAGATGGTGCTTGATGCGCTCGAGAAGACCATCGAAGTAGTGTCGGCACTGCCAAAGCCTCGTCACGGTCAGGAGCCGATCTTGGAGCCGCACTACAAGATTGTGTCTGTCATCTGGAAGCTGGTCAAGCGTGGCGACCTTTCTCCTCAGGAGGCAACGAAAGTCCTGCAGCGGCAGCCATACTCTCCCGATCATGGTAAGGAGGTCAGTGTCGAAACCGCTGAGGACTTCAAAGCCTATATCATCCGTTGTCTCCGCTACCTTCGAGACAAGGATAAGTCTAATTGGCAACATCGTCTCATCATCCGCCATGCTCGCGTCCTATTCGATGAGAACACAGACATGAACAGGCCCGACGCCGTTGAAGCTGCTAAGGCTGCTTTTGGGGTTTTACGTGAGAACATGTTCACCAAGACCATGGTGATGAATGTCTGGAAGTGCGATGCCGAACGACCCGGCCGCCACCACGTCTACACGGAACGCTATATCCGATATGTGGTCAAGCTCCTGGACGTGATGAACGACCGCACGAACATGGGGGCATTGCTGCGTCGCATTCGCAAGAAAGGCGCAGACTTCTACCACTTCAATGAACTTTGGCAGTACTGTGTCCATACCTACGTCAAGCTGCTACGTGATACATTCAATATCCCCGTCAGCGAAGAGGATGTGTTTAAGACGCTCACTCCGGAAGAATTTGATGTTGTGGGCGAGAAGATCGCTGACTGGGCGGCGACTCCTGATGCTGAGAACCATGACGCGCTTGGTGCCATGAAGGAAGCAGTCGAACTTAAGAAACTCAACGCCAACCTCATGAAGGCTGGTCTAATTGATGACCTCATTGCAGATTGCTACACAGCAGTCTACTCATACGTCCGGCCTGAACTCCCTCGCCCTGAACGCACCCCCCTTCCCGACACTACTCCATCTTCCCCGAAGTCCGAGAACGTTCCCCCTCCTCCTGCAGACGCAGTCGACCTCAAGTCTCGACTACTCCACACCCTCGTCACCCGCGACAAGGAGCCATCTACCTCATCCATCCTCGGCTCCCTCCGTGCGGGTTCCAGCGAACTTCAGGACCGCTCCGAAAAGCACTCAGTCGCCGGCGATGTCCCCCAGCGTGCTCACCGCGTTGGTGTCGGCATCCGCAGGCCTAACATCATCCGCAAAGCAGAACAGGCAGTGCAGGCGGCGCTCCGTGCTGCTGAAGGGGCAGCCGCGCGAGCGGGCACAAACGGCAGTTCTACTGGACCGAGCGGAACGAAGTCCCGTGTTGGGTCGATCTCGAGCTTGCGAGCTGGACGGACAGCTACACGTGGAGAAGATGAAGAAGACAGTGAGGGTGATGAAGATGGCGATGTGGAAATGAAGGAAGCAGAAGGTGAAGGCCCCATCGCTGGGAGGAGGTCCAGGAGACAGTCGAATGCTACAAACAAGTCGACTGGTGCTGTTGCGGATGAGGATGAGGCCAGTGACGTGTCGAGTCCGCCGGGCAGCCTTCACGATTCTGCAGATGATGAGAGCGAGCTGAGCGATGTGCCTGCGGATTATGAGGACGATGCACCGCCAGCACTGCTGTTTCCTAACCTGCGCAGGAGTGTTGATGCCGGGACGCCGGGCAGTGGTGAGGAGGATGAGACTGAGACTGAGCACGACACGGGAAATAGGTCCGGCGAGGAAGAAGAGCAGGAAGAAGAGGCTGAGGATGGAAGTGAAGAGGGGGATGAGGACGCTGCAGTTGAAGACCATGAGGAAAATGAGGAAACCGATAAGGGGGTAGACGTCGAGGAGCATGCGGATGACGAAGAGGGCGAAGAAGACATTGAAGAGACTGAGGAACAAGGTAATGACGGAGACAGCAAGGTTCAGGATGATGCCATGGAGGTCGAAGGTGAGGAAGCTGAGGACAGCGAAGCTACTGAGGAAGGAGACGAGTGATGAATGTCTGTCTCGTTTGGGATTTAGGAATTGGGTCTACTTTGGCAAACAACAAAAGAACGGAGGGATCAATCATTGTCTCTAGGGAATGCAAGGCGACTTTGGCGTCTTAGAGGTTAAGTATCAAGTTCCTTTTACCATAGCCTTCGCGATGTATCTATGTCGAATAGTCATACACAATCAGTTTAGTGATTTAAGGGAGCCATTCAGTGGTTCACAACGACGGAGACTTCACGAAGTGTGATTTCAAAACTGAAATGATAGGTTAACTTCTGCAATTGTTGCTGCCTTGTCATTGTTGTACCTGTCCAAAGCTTGTCTTAGTCTTGGCATTGTGCCCCGCATTTGAGGCAGCTGCCCCACCTTTTTCGACAACGACCCCACGTCTTGGCACCAAACTTCCCTGTCAGCGAGCGCATCAACTTGGGTGGTTGACGGTTGACTCTTAAATCATTGATGAGTTCCGTCTCGGCCTGTTGTCTGCCTACCGAGACGTTGCCGTATAGGCCGGACATCGACGCGCTCCGTTTGCTTCTTGTAAAGATTTGAGACTCCCACAAACCCCCCGGAGGAAGTAATCTTTTCAACACTCAACAGTCTCCCAAGCAACCGACTCCCTTGCGCCTGTGTATAACAACCGTCACCGAACGTCTTGTCCAGCTCCATCATCTTCACCCAACAAAACCATATAGTAACGTCACAGTCAGAACAAAATGGCGTCCCACAAGCGCATCGCAAAAGTCCGTACATCCCCATGCTCTCGCCTGCTCCCCAGCCCATTCTGACCTTCTCCCAGGAACTTTCCGAATGCACCACGAACCCTCCAACGGGCATGACCATCGAGCTGCCGAACGAGGCAGACCTGCACCGATGGCACGTCACTCTCGAAGGCCCCGAAAACACAGTCTACGCCGGCGGCAAGTTCGGTATCGTGGTCACCCTGCCCCCCGAATACCCCTTTAAGGCGCCCAACATCACCTTTGCGACACGCATCTACCACCCGAACGTGACCAACGACAGCCTGGGGCACATCTGCCTGGGCCTGCTAAAGTCAGAAAACTGGAAACCGTCGACACGGTTGGCTAGCGTGTTGGAGGCTGTGAGGGGATTGCTAGTCGAGCCGCAGCCGGAGGATCCCCTGGAGGCTAGGATTGCAGATGAGTACAGGAGGGATCGAAAGGAGTTTGAGAAGAATGCTAGGACATATGTCCAGAGATATGCGAAGGGACCGGTAAAATGGGAGGATAGCGTCACTTCAACGACTACGGCTAGCTCGGGAAGCTCTTAAGAGGTGGAGAAATAAGAATAAGGGGTTTGGTGAACGAAGTTCAAGCACTAATGTGAGAGGTATTCTTAACTTGTGTGGAGCAAGGAGACTACACGCGTAACTACAATTTGAATGAGTTCAACTTGTTGTGACACATAGAGGAGTCAGGAATGGGTTTTTTAATGGTTAAACTTAAGGGTTATCTCATGAACCACAATCTCACACAGTTAATGAATGAGCCTCTTGTCAAGCACACAAAACAACAAACTGATCGATGACAAATATGCACGAATTTGGCTTTTGTCAAAAAAAAATCTCGAGGGGGTATATATGTGTTTGTGTGATCGCTCATCTAGCATGATTTATCCTTTCTAACTACACCACGATGCGACGCCGGATTTTTCTTTTCTGTGCTGTTACACTTTATCCTGTTAAGATGTTAGTTTAGTTTGCTTGTATTTTCCCCCTCTCCCATTTGTGACCCTGTATCCCAGATGCCACTAGCGCCAGGCCTGCCCGTAATGTCAATCAATACCATGCTGTCCGCATATTAAACCCTCCAGAAATGCTCTGTCCATGGGCATGGCCATCGCCCGTCTAGTAATACAATACATTAGAATCACAAAAGGCAATCTGTCAAGTCTCGACCCCCAATCTCTCAGTGTGGCCTGGACCTTTGCGAACTCAGGAGACCGAAAGGGAGAGAAGACAAGACCAAAAATAACTGGAACGTTGACCAAGCGTTCCGGACGCGCTGAGGGCGGCTATAACAAACCAAGACCCTCCGAAACAACAAAAAGGCCTGACCGAGTAGCAAAATGTCACGACAAAGGAAGCCAGAAACGAAGATGGGAACGAGCGAACGGTCAGGCGAGGAACCTGCCAACTGGTGGAGGATCTCAAGAATCTGGAGTAACAATAGAGAGAGGCCGTGGTGAGCCCTACATCACCTCGGCAGCTCGCGCCTGCTCCTGGTCTTGTTTGCGGCGCCCAAACAACTTGGACTTGCTGCGATTCGGGTCATCTTTGTCTCCCGACGAGCCAATATCCAGGCCCAGCGTGGCGCCAAGCCGTTGCTTTGTCGACGGCCGTTGAGTCGGGGTATCGCCTCGAGCCGCAGCCGCCGCCATCGCCTCCTGCTGAGCCTTCCAGCGACGAATGCCATCGCGACGTTCTTGGCGGCGTTCTTCAACTGTTTGTTGGGAGATGTGGCCGAAGCCGTTGCGGCGCTTATAACAAGCGTCCATCAGCTGGTTGCAATCGAGCATACGACGGGGGAAGTTCTGTACAACACCAAACATTTCCATCGGGTCTTGGACTGCGCGGATCTCGCGCTCGCCCAGTTTGAAGATCGTGAGAGCAATGCGGAAGAGCGTTCGGGAGCCCTCATAAAAGAAGACGTCCCACACGCGAAGGACTGTCTCGATAGGCAGCGTGCCAATGAAGCAAGACATAAACCAGGCTGTCATGCAAAGCGTAATAGCAGGCAGCCGATTGGGGTCGCTAATGCTCCCGCTGGTGTCTCCCCTCCTGTGGCCCTTCTTGCTCTTGCCTTTCTTTCCCCCATTGTCGAACTCGTCACCACCAAGCTGTTTCCACACTGCGGGCATGGTCTCCTTCAATGCTGTCATCAAAACACCCAGGTCGACCTTGGAGCCCTCTAGGCTCATCTCATGAGTACCTGGGAGGTAAACACGGGTGATAATGTTGAGTAGCCAGAACGCATGTTCTTCGGTCTCGACAAAAAGGAGGAGCAGCCCTGCGAGGAAGTTCAGTGATTGGCAATAGCCAATGCGTGGGTTGTAAAGAGCAAAGGCATGGAGTACGCGGCGCAGCGATGTAATAATCGGAGGTTCCGGAGCAGGAGGAGGGGGAGATCCGTCAGCGGGCGGCGGGGGACGCGGAGGCTTGAACTTGATATTGTCGGGGAACGTCCGGTACAGATCCTTTTCGATGTCTTCCACAATGACCGGCTTGACTCCCGGTGTTCTGCCGGGAAGATAGCCAGGCTTTTGAGGGTCGAGGCCCGACTTTTGCACTAGCTCATCGTATACTCCACGGTGTTTGCTGAGAATGGCAGGGCCGCCAGCATAGTAGAACCACGCAGCACCCCGCCAATCTGGAGGAATGCCCTTGCGAATAAATCGTTTGGTTTTCGTGCTCCGAGGGGGGAATCGGTTCGGATGATCGGTCATGAGTGAATTCTCCTTCAGGAATGCAACCCACTTCTTCCGCCTGCGGGCAAGGTACTCGGTATACTGGGCGTTCCACGCGTCGTATTCTTGACGGGTTATATTAGCATTCGCCTTGCGGAAACCATACCTATCACGGCTATCAGGATCCTCTGGCTCTTCTGCGACGACAGGGGGAAGTTCGGGAGCTGGCGCCGGAGAGCTAGGCGACAACAGAGAAGGCGCTAGAGACGGCTGCTCCGACTGTGTCGATTGTGGCTCTTCAGGTTGCTGCATTGGCTGCTGCTGCTCAGAGTGTTGTTGCTGCTCTGGTTGATCCTCCTGGGATTGCGGTTGCGTTGTGAGGGCTTGAGGTTGCTCCAGATCGGAATCGGCCGATAGAGGCGACACTGAACGAGGACGCTCCGACTGCCTCGTATCAGGCCGGGGTTGTTCCGATATTGAGTGTTCCTGATCTCGCTTTGAAACTGATGTTGGTGAGGCTGGCCGAGGAGACTTGGCGCCCTCATCTCTCAGAGTAGCCAGGTCATCGTCTCCGTCCAACAATTTCGCCGAGTCGTGTTTGTCTGAAACCGATTCGACCTTATCGCGTCGTTTCATGGCTTCAGAAGCCAGACCTAACCCAACGTCATTCGGCAATGATTTGGCCAGCAATGAATGTCTCGTTCGACTAAGTCGCACCGACTGTCTGTTGGCTTCGCGCTCTGGGGAGTTGGGAATTGTTAAAGCGCCTGGAATTGATAGGGTTTCATCCATGGCTTCCAGCACCTTGTCCCTCACGTCGCTAACGTCGGAACTGCGACTGACGGGTCGTGAGCCTTCGCGGTCGGGCAAATCAGGCTCGTTATCGCTGTCGACAAGGAAGTCGTCGTCGGGGAATCTCCGGCTGCGGCGAATGTTCTCCTCGGCATCGGAATCAGTGAACCCTCGCTCATACATGCCCATAACATCTTCTAGACTCGGTCCATCGTCCACGTAGCTCATTCGCCAACTCCTGCGCGCATAGTCGTTGAGAATCGATTGTTCTTCGAAGCTGCTGGCCTTAGTCAGGATGCTGTTTCTCTTGGCTTCTTCGCTTGTGAAACCGGTGCCCTGTGCAGTTGAGACTGTCAATTGAGATCGACAACTCGAGCGAGCCTCGTCACTAGATACCCATGGCGGCACATCCTTAGCATGCGGGACATAAGCATTATACTGATGCGATGTCGACTGCCGCGCGTAAGGGCCCGCGATCGAGGGATTTGCTTGTCTTGGGAAAGTATTGTTCGGTGCAGGATTGAGGAAGTCGGTATTCGGAAATTGTGGGGTTGAGGTATTGACGTTATCAGGAGGATGGGAAGCTCCGGGAATACGGCGAGGGGGGAAGTCGTCATTGGGAACGGCATCAGGAGGAGTGTTAAGAATGGTCGGGACCTGCGGGCTGGGTTCCGAGCCGTCGACAATTGGCTCATGCAACCGCGGAGCCGCCATGCGTCTCGATAAAGCGCCATCCGACTGCTGCGATCTGACGCTTGCCTTCCTTGGCCGCGAAAAGTTTTCGACCATCGCCGGGCTTCCCGTTCTTGCTGGAGCATGCTTCTCGTCAACCGAAGCGTTAAAAGTATGCTTGACTGGCGTTGCCGGGGCAGAGTGTTCTTGTGGCCTAGAAAACAGCGGAAATTTGCGCGTCTCTTGTCGCGAGAAGTGTGCTTCATATTCCTCGGGGATGAAGGGATGCGACGAAAGACCCGGGAAAACGGATCGGGGAGGAGGCCTTGCTAGCGAAGGCGACGGCGACGGCGATTCTGTTCTTGACCTGTGCGGCATGTGGTAGTCGGGGACGCTCGGGCTCGGACTGGGACACGGTCTCGGAGGTGCTCTCGAGTTGTAGTAGAAGGTGTCACTTCTCGGGGAGATGAGGTCGGGAGGGACATGTCTCTCAGATCTCAATTCGAGGACGGGTCGTGGGGGTCGCGGCGAGGTCGAGGACCACGTTGCATCGTTTAAGGAGTTTTGGGAGCGGGACGGGTGGTTGCGACTGTGAGCAAGGGCATGGTCAAACGAGTCCGTCGCATCAAAGTCGTCACGCCTCGACCGGGGTGCAGGGAGCGGCCAATTCTGTTGCTGGCTATGATGCGGCGGCGGCCGTGTCGGGGGAAACCTAGCCGAATGCTGAGCCGGATTCCAGGGCCCCGAGGCCATGTTTGGCGGCGGTCTTTGGTATGCCTGGAACTGGTGCCCGTGCGGTTGCTGCTGATACTGCTGGTGCTGCTGGTGCTGCTGGTGCTGCTGGGTATGCCGATGGAAGGGTTCGAACTGGGCCGCTCGTTGATATTGCTGCGGCGGAGGCCGATGACTCTGGTCGTATCGGCGGTCGTAGGGGTCGTAGGGATCGTAGGGCTCTCGTTCCCGGTCTGCTGAAGAACTTGAGAGCGAGCCGGGCGCGCCGCCAGCAGCGTCGTCGGTCGAGCGGTCCATCACCAAGTCGTCAATGCAGACTGGATGGTTGCTGGCAGCCGTCGCAGTGACGCGGTCGGTCACGATCACAATCGCAGTCGCAGGTGCAAAAAGGCTTAGACGGCGGGCCAACGGAGCGGAGCAGGCAAGAAGTTTGTGAAAAAGGCCATCGGGAAGACCATGGGCTAATTTTATTGTTATTTTCGCTGGCGAGATCCGATCAGCGCCCCAAAATGAGCAGTTCAGTCAGCAGCCTCCCTGGAGCCCCTGCATTGCTATTACTGTGCCTGCCTTGCACTCTCTGCACTCTTTGAACATTCCTTGTACATTCCTTGCACTGCCTTGCACCTTGCAATCCATCCCCAGCAAATGGGAATGGTGGGTCCCCTTCGCACGCCTGCTTGCAGCTGCACTGGATCCAAGTGGGTTTCTGTCAGGTACCGCGGTCACTCGGTGGACCGCGCTTCGGGACGAGAGCCGCCATTCTCCCAGCAATTCCAGCGATCCCAGCTCCTTATGCCCAGAAGAAAACTTCCACTCAAGTAGACTGCCAATCCCAGACGCCGAGTGGATGCGGATGCTTGCTCGACTATGCTGACATCCGCGCTGCATGCCTGAGTCGGCTCAAAATAAAAACAAATGCCTGCAAAGAGCCCGAAATGTGCCGTCGACGTCGAGTTCCTGGGGAGAACTTGCCTTGAGAAAGACCAAAACCTGGAACTTCAACCCCTCATCATGCACAGAACTCTCCATGTCTGCAACTCTAAAAGTAGACATCACCTCACTCCACGTACGCTGCATGCAGAGAAGCGAGATGCTCTCTCCTCGTTTATCTAGCCGGCTACTCGGGTGTGCTCGAACGGTCATATATGCTGTCTATTAAAGGTAAATATCGTAATAAACCAGATGCCTACAATCTTACGTATCTCTTGCCCACTTTATGGTCTGCCAGAGGCACGCATTACACAGGTGTGTGTGCCGTTGCAGTCGGATCTCTAAATATTCTACTCTGTATGTTAGCCGCAAAAAGAACTGCTATCAATGACTGGGTATGCAAGCTGCCGTTTCCTGCGAAAGGCAGTTGCACGCTGACAGAAGCAGCCTCAGCTGTTCCTGGCTGTGTAGCATCGGCGATTACTTGTAAGTTGTCTCGCACTAAGGTCTTACTTCCGAACTCTCTGGATGTTGTGACAGCTTGAGGAACAGCGAAGTCGTGGCATGTGCGAATGACTATGCCCTCGACACAGAAATAAGAGAGGCAGCCACGGAGCAGTGTTGTTTCAGAGATGCATAGTCGCAGAACCAGTCAAAGAGACTGGCGTCCAATATGAAGCTATCACAATCAAACGCAGCTTGGTTGGATCCCGAATCCTTTGCGCTCCGGCCACGCTCTCCTTTCAAACGTACCGGAGAAGAACAGAGCCAAGGACAATGAAAAAGTTGAAGAGTCGACAAATCCAATCTGTGCCATCATCTTTGCAAGATAGTCTGTCTCAGGCTAAAATCTCCTGTCACAGTGCTTACCTACGCCACCTTTCACCCAAAAAATTATCAGTCGTAAGGCAACCCCTAAGAATCACCTGTACTGCGGTGGCAACAGTCTGTACCTTGAGCCATGAAAACGGGCAGGCCATGACCGTCCATTGCCTCAAGGCTCTCTGCGGTTGTCCACCACCAACCGCTGGAGCTAGCCTTCTAATCGCCGTCCCCTGTTGTCAGACCATTGAACAGAAGACATTTACAGTCTTTGCCCAAGCACCCCCATGATGTCCGCCTGTCTGGTGTCACTTGCACACAAACTTTCAGCTTGTGTTCTTGAACCCACGACGTTGGAAGCTGCAAAAGCTCATGAAAAACCCGCCGGCTTGGTTTTGGCGAGCGTTCCGGCCCACTCTAGCGTCCGGCTCTAGGCTGATTCGGGGAATGTCTTTCTCGCGGAGAATGTCACCACGGTGCTCGGCGTCCCCTTACCCCTTGCAGCTTTTTTTCTGCCCTGTGGTGCCTTTGCCGTGGAAGTCTCGAAAAAATTCCAAGCTTTCGTTTTCAAAAATTACGAAGCCCTGATGGCAATCTGTGCAACAGTCTTGTTGAGGATCTTTGGCCCATCCAGCGGAGACTCCAATCTCTTTCGGCTTTCCGGCATCCCCGTCGACGAGAGAATCATCTCAGAGAAGCAATATCGTGCGGGCACTTTGTCAGGCCGGACGATGAAAGGACCTCGCGATAAATCATGCTCCGTAGCCTTGCGTGGGACACCTGAAAACTGGACGGCTGCCAACATCCGTTCGGCAGCAGAAACCGATAGAATTGCATGCAGCAAGCTCCAACGGGCAGTTCAGGGCTGAGGGCGCAGGGCATGGAGTGCCCAGAAGTGTGGGGCGTTCAACCTCAACTTCCGGAGTCGTCATCATCCAGCGTCCAGGTCAACGGCCTGCTGCGAGCCTGGAACCAGAGATTTGATAGTTGACTAAGACACGCCAGACGCGACACCAACACAAGTATGCGCGCGCTGAACAGGTTGGTCTCCTTAATATCGACTTTTTCCACAGAAATGTTCGACATAGCCAACGGAAAGACGATAGTCCAACAGGTCCATTCTTGCAATCCAACAGTAGAGCGTTTGATCGGTAAGTCAAACAGAACTGGCCGCCATCTTTGACAATGGGCAGCACACTGTGGAAAACAAGACAGATGGCAATATTGCCTTGACAAGACGCGGATGCGGTTGTCGGGACTTCAAATTTCCACAACACCAGCTGGGCTGTGGAGTCTCTAAGCAGAAACGGAAGTTTCACGTGATCTACAGCTTCAACGTGTCGGGTTCCTGTCGGTCAATGAAGGTGCCAGCAAAGCATTGCATTAATCCGGCCTCAATGATGCGATGCAAGAGCAGAGAGAGGCAGAGACAGAGAAACACGACCTTTTGTCAGCTCGGCTGCAACGAGCCTCTGAAGTTTCAAGTTGCGTTTTGTCTATCTCGTCCCGTCTCCTCACGGCCGCGCCGCATCAGGAGAGTGGGTCCAGCCCTGTCGTCGGCTGCCAAGACCAGGTCTGTGCTCCACCGCCAGCAAACCAATCACAGATATACTTTGGTCTTGGCGTGCAGCATGGACCAGAGAGCGATCTGAGTCCCCGCTACCCTCCTGCAGATTCCACAGCCTTCTGCTGCACATCGCAACGCCCAAGGCCTTACGGAAGACAGCCCCGGCCGCGTGTGTGCCTTTATAGATTGATGCCTCAGGTTCCAACGCTGCCGCGATGTGACGCGCAAACACAGCCCAGACCCTGGGCAACCCAGCTGGCAGAGCTCTCCCCGCTCAATCCCTTCTCCGCAGGAGCTCTGCCGCGCGCAGAGGAGACCGGGCGGCCCCCTCTCCCACCCCCTTTGCTCATCTTTTCTTGGTCCTGTTTGGCCTGTGTGGAGGAGGTACGTACCTGTGCGGCAGAGCTTCCCAGCCTTCGCCCGCCTACCACCCACCCCCGAGAAAAAATCCCCTTCACCCAGCCTTTCCTCCCCTTTCTCTCGCTTTCCTCTCCAGCGTTCTCTCATCCATCTACCATCCAAAACTCGTCCTTTCTGCTGAGTTCTGACCTCAAGGGACTCAATTGACATCTCCTGAGCTAAGATAACCCACTCATAAAAATGTCCGGCCGCAAAAGGAAGCAGAACGAGGAAGAAGAGCTCGTCTCCCTCCCCAGCGAGGAGGAAGAGGAAGAGGAGTAAGTCAACCGCCCAGCAGTCGCACAACTTGCGCGATCCCCCCATTGTCATCGCCTAAGCATCGCGACAAGCCTCGACACATGAGCAAGCAGAGCTTTGGCGTGCATGTCACGGCGCAAAGTCTTTGCTCTAGTGTTGATGGCCAGCATGGCAGGGAGCTCTAGGAGCTTGTTCTCCCCGAGTAGCTACCACGGAGGTAGCGTAAGCGTGCTTAGGGGAACTGCCGCATGCCACACATACCCCATTTGCCAGCAAGCACTTGACGCAGTGCTAACAGGATGACTCGTAGGTATGTAGAGGACGAGGAAGAAGAGGAGGTTGATGATGAAGAGGATGAGGACTATGATGAGGAAGCTGAGGGCGAAGGTGAGGAAGAGGAGGAGGAGGAGGAAGACGGCGTTCAAGGTAAGTTAACCTTGCTGCTCTCTCACAATGAGCACGCATGTGATTCCCGGCAGTAAGCAACGTTGTACTTGCTGGAAACACCGCGCTTGTCGGCGCTTGCAGACTTGGCTTTTCACAGCCCCCCTGCATCTTGTTTGTCATTACATGAGCTGACACTTGTCTACAGAGGACGCCCCTCCCAAGAAGAAGCTAAAGACCGCCCCTGCCGCTGACGGCGAAGTTCCCACCAAGAACGGCAATGCCGTGAACGGTGAGGATGAGGACGAAGAGGTTGAAGATGAAGAGGGTGACAATGAGGAAGGCGAGGAGGAAGAAGAGGGTGATGAGGAAGTAGAGGAGGAAGAAGAGGGTGAGGAGGAAGTAGAGGAGGATGAGGGTGAGGAGGGTGAGGAGGGTGAGGAGGGTGAGGAGGAAGAGGGTGATGAAGAGGAGGCGCCTGCAAAGGCCGCACCCAAGGTGCCCAGCAAGGCTGTCGGCGGAGAGGCTGGTGCCGCCCCGAAGGCGGTTGCTGCTGGCGGTGATGAGGAAGACTGAACTAGATGATGCAGCCTGTCATCCCGGACTGACCCGACTGATGACGAATGCCTTTGACACCCTCCAAGAGGAGGAGGCCGGCAGGTTGATCGGCTGCTTGCTTCTCGCTCGATTCCTTCGCCCTGTCATCTGGAACGAGTCGTTGAAGTAGTTGCTTTTGTTGCGACTTGTGGTTTCCCTTTACTTTGTGCGTAAATCCGTTGCTTAGAGGCCTTTTGTCTGCGTAGTGGTAGCTGCTTCGTAGGGTTTTGCGTTTTGCAGGATGGAGGTTAATAGATTCAAATTTGACCAAGTCTGTGTGCGTGGTTGAGTGAAAGAAATCTTGGAATTTTCTTTTTACAATTTCTCCAGCAGAAGTTGCTCCTTTCTCGGTCACATGTATGGCCGTCGCCGGGACCAGGGATCAGTACCCCGTCGGGCACCTGATTTTGGGCTGTCTGGGGTCGCGATGTTGCCTTGAAGCGAGGACGATACGGCATGTTAGATAAAAGACAAGAAAGGGATATCGAGTGAAGCATTGCAGCAAAATATGATACTATACAGTACAAACATTCCGCTGAGCTGACGCAGCTTTAAATGAAGTTGTTGACAAAGTGATGAAAGGCACAAATGGAAGCGAAGTTGAGTTCCATGTCCCCAACAAGTCGACGACTCCACCCGCGCTTCAGCTTTTTTTGTTCCTCCTCTTTCTGACCTTGCCCTTTGGGCCGATGCGAACAGATGTTCTGACGCCCAATCATCCGCGTAGGACTCTCGGTAGGCTACGGGAATCAAACGCCCAGCCTACACTAGGTCTTCACAAAAGCCAGTCTGTTCACTTGATTTGTCCGTCTTTCTGTGTCAGAACGCCTTGTTGGGTAGGGAGTTTTCTGGCCATTGGCATCGCTCATACTGGCTGTTGTTTTGTTTACACTCTCCAACTCCCAAGACGCGCAATTGCCCTTATCAAAAGAATGCATTCCTCCCCTACAGGGCGATGTCTAGTGCCATGCCAGACATTATTGAGCTAACATTCCCGCAATTACATATGACATGCGGTCCGATGCAGTCCCTTTGCCGTCCAAAGGCTGCAGTTCCGACTGCTTTTGACCCGGTTGAAGCAGAGTCTAGACACGAGCGGCGGTGTTGACGCAAAGTAACCCCTCAAGGGCTCTCAACGGTACACCTCGGCTTAAATTTCCCTCGTAGAAGCATTCACTTACGTACACTTCTATGTATTCTCAATGAAAGCGGCTGTGGGACCCAACTTCCTACTCGGCGGCTGACTACTTACTTCGAGACACCGAGGGTCTTGAAGAAGCATGTGAGTGAAAATCAACGTCCCCCACGTCTCGCGTGGGCGCTGAAGATCCTTATCATTTTCACAAAGACCCTTACCCACGAGATGCTTCAAGGGTCCCTTGACAGGTATTGTCACCTTGTCAACGCTCTCCGAGAGCCGCCCGGATGCAACGGGGGACGGGGAACCTCGGAATCCTTCTTGTCGGAGTCCTTGTCAAAAGCAGGGGATGGGAGGAGGGGGCTCACGGACGAGAGTGTCCTGAGAGTGAAGCAATAGCAATCACTGTTCGCCTCACGAATTGCCCAAAAGCAGAGCTCAACAAAAGACAGCCTCACCGCCATCTCGATTGTGATTTTCATCAAAAGTTTGTTTTGCCGAGTGCAGAAAACCGAATTGGCAGGCAGAATGCAACTGCAACTCTATGCAAGTTGCGTTACTCTATGGAGTGGCAAACGCTGCTCCGCACCGAAGAGCGAGCAACGGGTCTGGATGCTTGTGATTTGCAGGCAAGCAGCTTCTGGGAGGTTGGTTTTGCCCGGCTGAGAATCCCATCTCACAGCACTGCCTCATGAAGCTGTACGTGTATGGGGTTCCAACCTGGAGTTCGTTCACCGAGCTACTGAACTTGTATCCTTGACAAGGCTCGGGCATCGTATCCGGGCCCAACATCACAGGTCACATTCCCAATTGGCCGTCACCAACCAGAAACAAAAGACGAAAGAAGGCGTGCGTGAGTGTTGGGTCTACACTAGAGCTACAGGCAGGGGGGCAGTGTAGCGTTGAGACGTGCAGCTTGGCCAGCATCAACCGGCTCAGCGGATGCATGAGCGAGGTATATCCAAGGAAGCAAGAGGATAAAGTCGGCATTGGCAACGCACTCCAGGGCACCGTACAGGTCTAATCAGGTGGAGTGGGGATCGACAATGCATGGACTTCTGTGTTCTCTCCAAGGGAATTCTCAAGTTGACTGTGACGCTGCTGCCGGTCATTCCCGCTGCATATGTGATGGAAGTTGGAGAAGTTGGAGACGGGACTGTTCGGAAGCCGTTGGCAGGCTAGACAACGAATAGGGACAGGAGCATTCTGAAGCGAGGAGGGGTTCCTCAACTCTTTTCCAGGAACCTTGCATTATTGGCGCCGCAAGCGTCGCTGCACAGACTAGTCTTTTGCAGCAGTGCACCAATGGAGTATAGGTCCTTTCTAGGACGTTGACAGGCTCGCAGTTGGAGCGAGGACGCGGAGTGACAGGTAGGTATTCTGCCTAGGCAAGGTAAGCATCCTCCGTGCCGAAGAGGACAAGCTGCCCTGGAATAGAGCTCGGCAACTTTTGACTGAAGAAAGGGATGGACAGGACCGTGGATGTGGATGGATATGGCCCAGCGCGGGGAGCTAAGGGTGAGAGAGATTATCTCGACAGACCAGGCACAGAAATCAGAATGGAGTCAAACTACCTTAGATACCGTCCACAATCCACAGATAGATAATTCCAACACAAACCATGACATGCCTTTGCCTAGCCCGCTGGTGATAAGACGACCTGGAAGCTCGACAGGCAGGCACTTATCTCAAAGCACTAGGTGATATTATATCAGCTGGGGAGCGGGATGGCTGAAAAATTCTCATGTTCCTATACCAACATCAGGCTTTGGGTAAGGGTTCGTTCAGCGTTCCAGGGGGCGACCGTCCAGGGGCCATCCAAGGCTGGAGTGGCCTCCTCCCGCACCGCGGCCCCACTGGCTGGCAGCTGACGGCCAGCTGTGATAAGATAAGGGCCCCCCACCATAGTTTTCGAAAATTTAGCCCCGCTTTCCCCAGGCTCTACCTCGTTAGCTTCCTGCTTGGCGCCCGCAACGACCACTGCTTTCTCTTCCACCGTTGGCTTGTGAAAGGGAGCGAATGCCAGAATGGTGCCATTTTCATGTACGCTGCATGCAAGTCTACGGTCCAACGGAAATGGCATGATCTGACATCATGGTTTCAGAGCAGTTCTCGCTGCCGTTTGCGCTTTCACCGCCTAGGAGGGGTTAGCGGGCGCCCTGGGCTGCGCTGAGTGCGAGCAGTTTTCTTCCATTTGCCCCGTTTTTGGCATGGGGGAAAGGCTTGGGGGGCCACATGGAAACATGGAATCCTCTCGAGTCTGGATGTTTGGGAGTCTAGATGGCCTGCTAGGACCTTGATCCTTCATGGACTTGGGATTCATTGTGTCATGTTTCGTACGGACACGGCCGCCGCGGACTCAGTGGCCGAGGACGCAGCTCAAGGATGGACGAAGACAGCTTCCCATGCCAGGCAGATGACAAGGCTTGTTGATGGATAGACGACGGGCTTGATGCACAGTTGCCAACGATGACACTGCCCCGTTCGCCTGGCCTCACCCTGGACGCCCGGGTCCCTCCTCCTCCTCCTCGTCGCCCGCCCGCCGACCTGCCGTACCTCCCGGTCAACATTACACTAGAAACGCTAGTGGAGGGCACCTCCGCCACTTGCGCGGGGTACCTTGTTGATCTCCCGCAGCCGGCCCGGCGAATGCTTACATCCCCTATCTGGTAGTCATGTCCTTACTTGTCCTGTCCGTTCGTCCCATTGAGGTATAAGACCCCAGGTCAGCTTCGGTCCGCCAAACACAACACCGCTATCACCACGGCAGAGCCGCTATGTGAAAGCCTTCCTTTTGCATCGTCTCCCTTCTGGACCCTTCTCGGGCTCAGCCTAGGAGACGACCTCTCCGCACATACCGGTTCGTACTTGGACGTTCACGACGGGTCTCGATCGAAAGAAAGAGAGTCAAAGAGTCACGGTGCCCTCGACAACCACCTCGCCAAACACAACACAACACCACGACACCACGTCACCATCACAGCCATGGAAACCACCACGGCGACTATGCGTCTCCCGGGAGGGATTGATGCCACCTGCGGCAAGGTAAGAGAATGATTCGCTGCTCATCACCTTCTATGGGTTATGTTGCCCTCTTGTCCGCGCAATGTGGGAAGCTTGACAGCATCACAGAGCCATCGAGGTCGTGGTAGCTGTCAATGGCTATGGTCTGATATATGAATCAATGTACTGGACAAGGGCTACTACCACACTACCTGGTCTCTCTACATCACTGTCATCTCACCTCCTACAACAAAAATCAGGACTGGACAACTGACATAGCTTCGCTTACCTAGATGGCCCTCTCACCCCTCACCGACAGTTACGACTACTCTGCTACAGGAGCGATGGTCGTTGATACTCTCCCGTGGTGTCTTCCCGACTCCCCGTCTGCGTACTTGGACGACCCGGTGTGCGACTATGCCTCTCTGGCCAGAGGCTCCAACTCAGGCTCTGTCTACCCCAACCTCGGCCCTATCAACTGGACAGCCGGCTACTCGGACCCCCTTGCTGGCATGACGTACGGCCCGCCGAGCTCCCTGCTCCCGCCGGATCCTTTTGTTGAGACCGACTCGGACGGCTGCGATCAAGACACCTTCACTTTGACCAGTGATCCTGACGCTCCCGGTTACATTGCTTCTGCCGAACCTCGCAGCCACAAGCGGACCTGGTCCGAAGACTCGGCCTTAGACTCGGCCGATGACAGAGCCAAGGCCGCCAAAGCGTTCAAGTCCCGCATCCCCGGCAGGCGGCACGGCGTCCAACTGCGTACCGCCTCTCGAAAGCCTCGTAAGCCGTCTACCTCGTCCTGCTCCTCCAACGGCTCTGCCTCGTCCATGTCCATCAAGCGCTCACCCTCGGAGGAGCCCGATGATGACCTCACTCCGGAAGAGCGCCGCGCCCGCCGAAACCACAACTTGGTTGAGAAGCAGTACCGCAACCGCCTCAATGCCCAGTTCGAGCGCCTACTGGCCGTGTTGCCGGTCGACCAGCTTCGTGGCAATGGCTCGCTGTCTGGCGATGGCAAGCCTGAAGGCAGCACGATCAAATCGAGCAGCAGCCACACAAACGAGGAGAAGAGGATGAGCAAGGCTGAGGTGCTGGACCTGGCGACGAAGCGGATCCGTGCCCTCGAGATGGATCGTGATCGGCTCGTCCGGGAACGGAAGGAGATCCTCAGGAACATCCAGCTCATGATGGCCGGAGTCGCTGCCAGGCAGCAGGGGGTTGGCGTCAACGTTAGCGTTGGCCACAGCGTCAGTGGGATGGGTGTTGTAGGGGTTAAGGGGATGGAGTGATGACGAAGTTCATGACGTTGGGATGAGCGGGGTCTGGCGTTGGGTTCGTATGGGTTGGGCGTAATGGATAATGGATGGGAATTGGATGGCTCTGGAAGTTATGGGTTAGGGATTTCTCTTCGTAAAAGGAAAAGTTGGAAACAGGAGGCTCGTTTCTGGTCACAGTCGTTTCTGATGTGCCGGGCACAGGCTTGCGTTGGATAGGAAAGGTCATGAAGTATAACTGCATTCTTTACGACTCGAGGTTAAAAGTACAGAAAAACAGAGAGTGTATAAAGAATTAGATAATGATTGTTCGAACAAGCTCTCAAAGCAGACGGATAGAAGCATACCTAAGTTTCACACTTGGGTTGAGATCCAGGGGCAACATGTATTTATATCCTCGGTAAACACGGGCATCTCACCTTAAAACCGTAGATCCGGCGACTACATCCGGTCAGTGTCCGATGCCCGGGTCGGGTCCATCTGCAAGCCGTGTTTCCGGGAGATGCCGAGCTGGCTGGCCACCATCCACCAACCTACACGCTGCCAGTTGAAACAGAAAACGTCTTCTGGTCAGCAAGGGTCTTGATCTGCTTCGCCAGACCCTTCACTTCTTGGCTTCAGCCTCAAAACGACGGCCCAACGTCATCGACGACCCGGATCTCGTTCAAGCTCCCCGTGCTGCTCTCCAGGGCTCAACTGATATCACCTTAGCCTCCTCCGTCGCAACTTGATGCGCTCCTCCGCTTCTCCGGACACAAACTGACACTGGTGTCATGGAGCGCGGCGGTATTCTATTGACACGACGAAATGCGACGAGATGCGACGGAGCCCCTTTCATTTTGGTGAGCCGTCACCCTGTTCCCCTGGTCGTTCTAAGCAGCGCAGTCACAGCGCAGTGTTAAACGCATCCTCTCGAAGGTAGCTCCGTTCAGGCGTCTTCAGGGCTGCGATGCATGACGCGTTGTGCGATGCATCGACATTCCTGAGCCCAAAAGCGGGTCGCTCCCGCGGTGGTATGATCTCGCTTCCTAATCGACTGATGGATATCCAGCCTGCACTTGGCTTTAACCTGAACTGATTTGACCATGGTCGACCTCTAAATCTGACCCTACGAGCAGCATCGACGATTCAACGTTCGAGAAAGCAGATCTGTTCGGATGCTTGGCCGTGGGGGGACGCTGCATCATGGGGTGACTGGCTGACGGGGACGGAAAAGGGGCAAACGCCGTCACTGCCAAGGGGGGCGCTTACACGCTTAATCCGTACACGCAGCTTCACTTACACGACTCCGCATCTACTTGTACACCATCCCAAACATCCATCTTTACACTGCCCTGCCATCCACCCACACAAAAACTTCCCCATGATGATCTCTATTCCCCATGTCCGGCCCGCCCCTGGTTAGTGACAGCATTGTACGGTTTTCGTGTATCACGCGTTGCATCTTGTCAATACCTAGCTCCCTTGCTCCCCTGCACGTGTCTGGCTTCCCCAGATGTTTCGACCAACGGCCCATGCCCATGTTTCTTTCATCAGGCCCCAGACTGACGGAATGCCCCCGGGCTGCCATCACTGGCTTTGGCCGCGACCAGAGAGCGCTTGGTCCAGCTCGAATCTTCAATATCCCCACCCTGAGATTTCAGTAAGGGTCTTTAATAGCCAGCAAGATTATCATAGAGCCGACCGAGAAAGCACATAATGGCCTCCAACCCCCATCAACGGGCAGGCAAAGCGCGTGGGTATGAGCAACCGGCTCAGGTAAGTGGCGTGATCCTTCTCCAGCCGGTCGAATCAGAATCACGGGACCGGAATGTACGGCCGAGCATGCCCAGAACATCTTGGATCCTCGGTCAGGATACTCAGCTGATGAATACGGCAGGCGTTCACTATGCTATTTGCCATGTGGTGCTCCACGTAGACGGGTGTCCCATTGTTCGCGCTGGAGTTGGCCCACCTCTTCCCCAGAACATCAGAGAAATGACAGACTCGGACCACGCTATCGGCTTCTGATATTGTCATTTGTGGCTGAGTCCAGAGCGGTGCATGTTGTCTTAGGCGCGCGCGAAGTTCTTTTATTGCCTGCGTTCTGTTCCTAGCCGCATTGCTACGAGCCTCGATGTGACGCGGATACGCCACGGCGTTGGTTTGAGACTCAGCTCTTCCCAGCCCAGTCAGTCAGCCAGTTAGTTCGAACGTCAGTCAAGCGCGTCAGCGGTCGAGTCCAGTTTCAAGCTGAGAAAAAACAAAACATATCACATCCTTCCAGAATATCTGAATATTTGGTTCAGTCCTGATTTGATCCATCAACCTTCATACACCCATACAAACACACACAACCCCCTGAATCATGAGTGACAGAGAGAGCGAAGAAAGCAGAAGCAGCACGCCTCTCTCTACCGACTACGACTCCCAGGACTCAGACTATGAGGTGGGAAAGTCGAGGAAGCGTCGCCATGCGTCAGATGGGGGCAGCAAGAACAAGAAGAGGAGAAAAGCCGATCAGAAGCTATCTAGCTCTAGCCAAAAGGAGCAGCAAGAGGAGACATGGACGACCAACAAGCCCTCATCAGCAACATCCTCTTCAGAGAGCCCCGAACGCTCTCCAGGGGAGGACAACAAGGCGCCAACATCCACGACAAACAATAAAACTACCAAGTCATCTCGTCCCCATTCTCACTCACGTACCCGCCATAACCTAGTCGAGCAGCACTACCGCCAGCGCCTCAACTCCCAGTTCAAGAGGCTGCTTGACATTCTCCCCAGCACGACTACCCGAGATGGCATCAAGCCATCCTTCACTTACCATCACCGCACCCCTGGCATGCCCCCTACCCCGACCTCCAACGCCACAGTCCTCCCTCCCCTCTCCGAAGTCCTTGGAACATCGCGCAACCCCCATGTTCATCACCACCTCAACGGCCACGGTCGGCTGCCCAGCAACAATTACCCCGCCACCACCAGCGGCGATGCTAGCAACAGTACCAACAACAGTACCAGCTGCACAGCCAAAACGCCAAGCGGCGTCGGCGCCCTTGTAGAAAAGGGCTGCGACCGCCGCGTGAGCAAGGCCGAAGTATTGGACCGCGCGCGCCTGTATATCCAGGCGCTGGAGCGCGAGCATCGCCGGCTCATGGCCGAGCGTCGCGAGCTGGAGCTCTTGTGGGAGGAACACAGGCGACGGGAGCAGGAGGCGCATGCTGCAGCAGCTGCCATGCAGGGTCATCACGCTGCTGTGCCGGGACCGCCGCCGCCGACGCCGGGGGCTCATCATGCTGGTTTGCAGGTTCAGGGACAGGCGGGGCAGATGACGGTTCAGGTTTCGGGGTATCCGAGCCCGGTTTCGCAGGTTCAGGGTGGCTTGAGGAGGTGATGGGGGAGAACTTTTAGTTTGGGGATATGACTGGGAAGAATGAGATGGGGTAGGGTAGTTGAAAACATTGGACAGCAAATGACTTGACCATGACGGGGACGATTCACTTCATCCATTCACAATGGTTTCAATTGTGCGGTTCAGGATATCTTTGGGAGGATCCCTCGATTTTGATGACCTGATTCTCTTATTTGGTTGGGTTACGGCCTGAAGGGACTGCGTAACTCATTCCTGGATTACGGCTCATGGCACATCATGGGAGGGGCTTAGGTATCATTCGGCATGGTTGGGGCGGTTCAAGTGAAATCAAGACTCGGAGGCCGTTCATGTTTATTTATCTATCTATTGATTTATTTTTTTTCGCATTATGTTCATCTTTATGGGTTATGTTTCTGTGAAATTTTTTTGTTCCCCGAGTTCCCTTGTACATAGTTCGACATTGTATACTCTGCCATGTTTCTCCGGTCTCTCTAGCGTTCCACGGCTCTCGAGTTCAGAATCAGAGGGGCAGCTTCATTTTCACAGCATGATCTTACCTCTCTGTTCTTCACATTATGTCCACCATTATTATGTTTCTAGCAAAGGCATTTGCCTATGTGATTAGGTAGTAAATCCCATCCAGAAAGCCAGCTAGCATACATTTCCAATGCTGCCGAGCCCCATCATTATTGATACGCTGCGCTTTGTTATTTCAGACAACTAACTTGCCTTCGGCCTTGTAGGTTCCCCATACCTGCAGACTATTGATTTGCTAACCGTGGGTCAGGCTCGATCTCCCTGTCCAAACCCCTCCAAGAGTAGAACTCAAAAAACATACATCCATTGGCCTTAACTGTCTGATGATTGCCTGACTTGATGGGAAAGTCTCCTGACGCTGCGTCTAGGGATCAACTGAGGAGCTTGCTCAGGGATAGTTAACCGAGTGATAGTAAGCACCTAAGATGCTTGAGCTTATCAGAATGCGGGAGGAGAGAGATGTGCCGCTCCAAACATGGAAACCGTACGATTGGATACATGGTTCCGTGCTCTGTCAAGCCTCCAGCCCTGTTGACTGGTTCCTAGACCGCTGTCACGGGTATAGAGCATTGGGAGAGAGGGTTCAGGATGTGAGTCGGTTGGATTGCGATGCTGTTGTCGTGTTTAAACTCTGGGATCGGTAGCAGGCGAGGTTGTTTCTAATCATGGTCTTGGTTCCATGTCAAGGAAGATGATGAAGTAATACGTGAGGACTCTTACAAAGCGTTATTGCCCTTTAAAGCGGGAGGAGCAACAGGCTCAGGATAACCATACAACACCCCCGGGATGGCCTGTTGCGAGCCCTTCTGTTGAGCCGAGTTGGAGGCCTCCTTCATGATGCCCCATCCGTAAATCAGTGCGGGCTGAAGACGAATAGGGCCATTGTCAACAGCCGATTTGACTTGCCAAAAATTAGGCCCTTGTACGAACCCCGAGTCTGAGCACGGCACATATACCAACAGTGGAGTCTTCCTGTGCCTGTCCTTGGCCTTATTGACAAGGTGTGTTTCGACACAACAACCGACAAAAAGGATGAAGGAAATGGCGCCCAAGAGGCAATCGAAGGCCAGAAGAACTTTCAGGTAGAGGATACTGCGAGCACCGAGCTTGTGGGTATTCTTGATTGGATAGTGATAGATGCATCCCTCTTCATCACACCAAGTATCGGTGTAAGAGCTGACAATCCAGATCGCAAAGGAGTCGATAAACCAGGTAAGGAGATGAATGGCGATGCCAACTCCTGGGTTAGCGGCTTTTCGGAGCTTCGACCTCCACATAACGGAGTAGTCGATCAATGTCATCAGCATAGCAAGTAAAGCCTATAACATGATTAGTCATTTGGCTTGAATGGATACTATCGAAAACTATTTTCCCGTACCGGTGTGCCCGACAGACCAAGAATCAGTTCCGTAGGATTCCACGTACTCTCCCCCCTAGAGTACGGGGAGTTCAGTCTTTGGATAGTGGTAGCGATGACGAGAATGACGATAGAAGATATCAACAACAAGGTACCTAGAGCCAATTTGGTCTTATTCCATCGCTCATAAGTTGGACGTTCGAAGAGTAATGGTTCGAATGGCGTGTTGCCCGTAGCCATTTGGACTTGTCGGTCACCCCAGGACTTCATGAGAACGCTGGGAATTTCGTCTTTTTGGCTGCTTGTTATCCCAGACAGTTTTGCGCCAGATGCTGTGAGTTTATCAACATCCATCCTCGCCTAACTCCCTCAATCGGTGGATACAGGATGTGATCGGCTGAGCGAATGACTTCAACAGTATGAAAACGATCGACGAGAAGCAGCTAACAAGCAAGCACGAGAACAGAAGGCAGATGTACTGAGCAGATAACGATTCAAGTGAGATGTTATATCTGCGGAGTATTCAATGTAGGCTCGTTGCTTTGAGTGTCATGTCAAGGAGACCGTCGCTGTGGCTGAGCAAAAGTATTGGCGACACCGCCAAGAGGTGACAACCCCGGTTGACGGACCAAAAGCAGCCGAGCTCCTGGTAAGCAAACGAATCATCAAGCAGACTTCTGTTGCTGAGAGGTCCAACACGAACATTGCAAGGTCATGCTTACGAAAGGCCATGTGGTGAACAATGTTAATGTTGTATCGGCTAGTCCTTTCTCTAAGACAAGCCACAGAAAAGAATGGTTAAAGGATTGTCCTCCTCCCAGTCGGGTATGAGGTTCAAGATGGAAGCAATATTGATCCAAAGCACAAAATACATGGCCACGCTGCTTGGTCTGCTTGTAGAGTGGTTGGCAGCGCGACGATGCAACAGGATAGGGGAGGGGTTGGAAGGTTCAATAACGGTGTAGCATCTGCCATTTCAAAGCGATTCTATAGAGCAGTTGACAAGAGTGGACGGTGAATATCTATTCGCGCTGTAAGACAACTAACAAACCCATCAATCCTAGCATTACTGTCTTGAGCCATGGGTGCTCGGACAGCATGATAGTGACGTATCCCACAAACGGGACATAGCCCACGACACTCCTACAAGCCACAGTTAGCGCCGTGGAAAGCTCAATCTTTGTGAGGAAAACGTACCCAACGATGTCTTTCCTAGTCAGATAGTCTTGTCCACGAGCGTAGAGCTCGGTGTCATCTGCTGCATTGTTGTCGCCCTTGGTGAGAAGCTTTGCATCCGGTCTAAAGACCCCTGTCAGCTCAAATTCGATGCAATGTTGACGGGCAGACGCAGAACGAACCCTGTGCCAAACTTTCTAACCACCCGATGCACAATTGGAATATCCTTCCCCTTCACATTGTATACCACAATCTCGCCCACGTTCGTCTCGGAAAAGATGTTGCGGTTCCACAAGAAGAGTAGGTCACCGCGCTGAAACGCGGGCTCCATGCTGCCGGAGAGAACGACGACAATGGGCGATGGAGAGTCGGTAATGACAGACAGGCCTTTCCACATCTATAGCTAGAGTCAGCGACAAGGCGAAAATAAACTAATCTGACTAAATGCTTACCATGAAGGCCGTCGAAAGGATTAAGGCAAAGTTAAGGAGCTGCGTTGCAGCCTGCCGTGGGTTTCCTATCGTTGACAGCATCCTGGATGCTTGAGAGGATATCTGCCACCAGAATTTAAGTAGCCTTTTGTGAACCGAAGAAGAGCTGGTGTTGAGTCGCGGATGTTGTCGTCAAAATCTGTCAAGTTTAGGAGCTCGCAGCTGGGTAGCCAAGCTTGAGCGCAGTTGTCGCCAGTGACCACCGTGTTGAATTGACAGCGGGCAATTGGCCCGGAGACCGGAAAAGTGGGCCCAACGGTGTTCACTTGGCCCTTCAGCTTGGCAGGGCTCTGAAAGCCCAGGCAGCGCCAAGGTCATCCTTGGGAAGCCAAGATCTTGGACGCGAAGATCAAGCATGACAGCACCGGCATCTTCTCTCCCCCTGAATCTTGTGGGGATAAAGTTGCTTCCTGTTAAGACTGCTAACAGCACTTTTGATAGAAAACATGCTTCTCTCTGAGAATCACAACTTAGGCCGACTTGACCAATTCTAAGCCACGTATACTATCTTATAACCCTCATTCCCCTCCCTCTCACCTGTGGAAAATTATTTGGGCTTGGTTTAGGTCCAGGACGAAGAATCTCGAGTTCCAAGGCTGCCATCTCCTCTTTCCCAGATGTGCAGATCCTCCACGGTTGTCCACCCTCATCACTCATCAATCAGCATGCACTTACTTAGTTTCTGCTTCAACAATCAATAAACAGCACAGCCCTTTCCTTGGGGGAAACGTGTCCAAAGATGGGCAGCCACGTCTACAAGACTTCAAGTTGTAGACCAGTCTACTACTTTTTCCATGCAGTGTTTCTTCCTCTTTTCTCCAAAGTCAAACCTTGTAGTAATTTCCAGGGTCCATCTCGGAAATTTGGATCTTGAGAATAGCTCTTTTCGCTACTCTACTCTTCTTCAGTCGGACACGAGACTGACGGTCTGTCCAATATGCCTTCTCAAGAACGAACTCCGCTGCTGGCTCATAGCCATAACCCATCATTGGGTCCGGAATATCCTTTGCTCAAGGATTTGCTCAACATAATTGACCGCTTAACACGTTCATCGTGGGGATGGCTGACCCATGGGAAATTGGTGTTTTCTCGGGGTCTTATCCTAGCCTACCTCACAGCTGTCACGCCAGTCCTGGTTTACTACAAGATCAAGTCGCACTCCGCGACTGAGAACGGCTCTCCTTGGGCTTCACTCTTCGATTTTTCGACGGCGACATACACCTGGAACTGGTTCCTTGCCCTTCTCGCTTTTGTGAGTGGCCCCTTGCATGGCTTGCAATGCTGGTTGCCCACTCATTGACCTTGTTTCTAGGGCTGGAACTTTTTGAAGCAGCGTATCCGTCGTCATTTTCGCAAAGGTCGCCATAATGTGTGGGAGGCCGCAGTTTTGGCCAAGATTGCCCCCTCAAAAGGCTCAAGCCCATACGCCGACTTCTATCTTAGTCTACTCTACACTGCCGTCCAAGTCTCCAGCTACCTCAACGCCATCATGTACTTGGCAGGAGGTGATGGCGGTGAGACCGTATCGATGCCTCTGGATGAAGAATGGCTTCGTGGCTTTTATGTGATCAACTTGTATTATGTGCCAGCATTGCTGTCGGCCATTGACACCCTCGTGCTCAATGATGTCAAGCGTCATGAGGTGCGTTGACGGCCAACACTGGACTGGGACGTTATTGACTAATTGCCTGTAGTCGGTTCCAAGTCATGCTGCCGCAGTTGCAGTATTGCTAGGTAGCTACCTTGGTTGGGCATCCTTCGGCAGTCTCGTGACCGGCCAGTATCCCTACCGCTGGATGGATTCGGGTGTGCTTGGGAAACGGTCACTTGTTGCTGCATACAGTGCTGGATTCATCGGAATAGGCCTGGCCGGTACGTACAGCAAAGAGAATGAAGAGTGGGCGGAATGCTGACTTTTGCACAAAGTATTTGGCCTTACCTATGGGCTTCATGTCTTTAAAGAGAAGCTCATCGAACAAGTCTATCAAGGAGGACTCGGCTGCCAGACTGACGATTCTGATGTTGAAGATGGCCAGAATGGAGATCAGTCTGCTGAAGCCTGAGCGGAGCCCTGAGCGGCGCAACTAACGATGAGCTCGGTTGAAGTTCGCAAGCTAGGTGGGCAGTTGCGAGATGAACATGCTGGTGCGAGCCTGGGACCGTTTGGGGTATTACTTGTCAAAACGTTATCATTATATTTAACTTGATTATTGGACTTTTCTCACTGATAAGAGCTGAAAGTTAGGATCTTAGTCTTTTTAGAAGCTTTTCGGTTATACCCGAGTGGATATATGGTTAGTAGCACTCGCAGCCGAGGATGCTGGACAAAGATCAACGGACCCAATACGGCCACCTCCTTTAAACAAACAAGCAGCCTATTAGCCCGAGCTTACTTGATCTCTTTACAGAGAGTTCTCTAACAAAAAAAGTTGTGAGGTTTTTGATGCATTTTGATTTGTGCTGAACCACTCCCTTACAGTGTGATCCATCATCCAGAGCTGCCCGGCTCATCTCCTTGGAGATGTGGGACCTATTGCACGGAGCGCATGCGTTTGCCGCGCTGCTCCACTGGACAGTCCCCGGAGTACCAATACCGCGGGTGGTGTAGACTTGCTTGGGCGACCCCGCTGTGGGGAATGTAATCTTGGCAAGGATATGACCCCGATACAATGATGCATACATACACTTTTGTTCTTTGGGTATCAGGCTAGGTAAGTTCAGCCAGACTACATCCTGCTTCGCTGTTCAATTCATGAGGCTTTTCCTTGAACTCGAAGTTTCTGTGAGGCTGTGTCCATGATACTTCTAGTAGGTATGTGTGGCATCGTTTGTGCACGTGCGCTGTTGGAAGGTGGACAGCGGCTAGAGAGACTCGGTTTGAGGTGATTCGCCGTTATAGGAGGCATTCTGACCAATTCCTTTTCTTTTTCTCAGCCCCCATCTTCGGCGAGAAGTCGCGCAGGTAGCGTCTCTCTGATGCTGTTATGCATCCGTACAGCCTCTTGAAGTGACCAGCACATTCTCATGGTTCCTAATTCACTCTCGAGTATCACCCTGTCACGCTAAATTCACATCCAGGCACCACTCTCCAGCCTCCATTGATCATGGTTGACACCAACAGCAATTCACCAGTCAGTCTACACCAGGGAAATGGACAGCCTTACCCAAGAACAGTCAAGCAACAAGCCGTCCCGCCTCATTCCCTCCTGAGCTACATGTACCCAATGACGATGCCGGCGCTTACTAGGGTTGCCGGCTGTACATGCTGCCACTTATCTTTGCAGCTGTAATCTCCGCCCTGCCGACGTCTTTGCCATCCTCTGGCGGTTTGTGCACTCTGTGATTCGTGGTAATCTGTATTACCCTACCAAGCAAACCAGCCAAACACTGTTTTTGGTTGCCTCTCCACCTTGCTGCACGTCGACACATAGTGCAGTCTGAACGGCTGGTTGACGCCGGCATCTGTATAAATAGACCCTGCCACCCCCACACCAACATCTCTTCCTCCCTTTCCTTTCCCCTTTCCCTTTCATCACAAAAGTCAAGGGTCGCAAAGCTGTGTTTAGGTGTTGTCTCAGGGTCTTTTGTCTTTGGGATAACCCTTCCCGGGCCCCGACGGTCCTTTTTGTGTGTCTCCTTTTTTTTTTTCACTCCTTCTCCTCCCTCCTGCTCCAGTCCTTCGTTTCTTTTCGTCACTTTCTGCATCTCCCCCGACTCGATATCCGGTAGCGGTAGCAGCATCTAAATCTTGTCCCATCTTTAATCTGCTGCCGTGTCTACCACCCCGTGCATTGACCCCTCTCTCCAAACAAACACATCTCATCTACCTCCGATCAACATACCGTCATCGTTGTCGATAAGCTGCATAGCAGTCGCCATGTTCAGCAAGCGTTCGCTCAGGTCCCGCGACGGAAACAGCTCCCAGCGGGAGGCTGTCTCGACAGCGATAGATTCACAGCACCGAGTCGACAAGTCTACAAGGCTGATGAGGAAAGAGCGCGCACGGGATCAGCAGAAAGTGTCGAAACTGCAGCGGTCGCTAACTGGCGAGGACACTTCTCGTCCATCGTCGTCCCAGGCGAAGATCAGCGAGAAGGACCTTGCCCCCTCTCCCATCATCACCATGGTGGTGGGCCCCGAGGCACGGCTGTTTGCGGCGCATCAGAATGTGCTGTGCCAGGCTCCTTTCTTCGACAGGATCCTGCGCGGGCCCATTGCGGATGCGCAGAACCGGAGGATCGCGCTCCCCGATGAGGAGCCGGAGGTCTTCAGCGCCATCCTCGAGTACCTCTACAAGGGCGACTACTACCCCCGCTTGGTGCACAACAAGCACCGCAACTCTTGGGAGCTCGAGGATTCGCTCTCGCGTCGGGCCGCCGTCCAAGATTCCCCGACGCTTCCCGATACACTTAAATTCGGAGGTGGCCGCGCAGGCCAATCCCCCAAGATCCCTCCCGCTGTCCAGTCGACCATCTATGTAACGAGCGTCGGCCAGCACATCCTCCGCGACACCGTCATCTACTGTGCCGCGGGGCGTTATGGGCTGGAGGAGCTCCAGAAGCTGGCGCTGCGCAAACAAGGGCTGCACACGGGCATCGACGTAGGCACCGTGCTGCGCAGCGCCCAGTACTGCTACGCCAACACCCCCGACTCGGACAGCTGCCTGCGCGCCCATTACCTGGCGCTCATCATCCGGTGCCGCAAGACCTTCAAGCGCAGCGGCACCATGCAGGCCGAGATGGAAAAGTGCGGTAGCGACGTGTATGGACCGGGAAGCGGCAAGCTCTTCTTCGACCTGTTTGTTGCCATGTGCAACCACCTGGATGACGTCATCGAGGCGAGCAATATTCGCACTCCGAAGACAGTCTGAAGGGTTGGGAAAGTGGTGACTTATGGGTTTTCTGGTTATCTGCAGGTGTAGAGTATTCGGGAATGTAACCCCAATCAAGCAAGGAGATGGGGTGTGAGCAGGGCTGCATCTTTGTGTACTCTTCAGCATCCGGCGTTTCCTGGATCTTTGTTTTCTCTCGTCCTAGCTCCCCGACGGATCTCATACCTCAGATTGGCACACCGATTGGGGAGATTTTCTATCTTCTCTTCTTCTGAGGTTGGCCGACCAAGTTTTTGAGCAATCTTTGTTTGGGAGCGAGAGGGGTCCTAATGTCGATCCATGATGCGAGGATGTGCATGAGAAAACGCTCACAACCCGCTTCCCCTCCTCTGTCCCAGAGTTATTTTTCTTTGCTTGATGTTTCCCGTTTTGCGATACCCTTTGAGATGCTGGACTGGTTTTGGGCTTTTCTATGGGAATCCTGGCATTTTGGGACTTTTTTCAGATTGCACATCAGATTGGTTAGAATGTTCGCTGGTCGAATGCTGCAAGAAAAGGTCAGCTCAGGAGGAAAGGAAAGTCTGGGATCAGGAAGTGGTTTAGTTGCTTGTCCGCTGCAGTCTCGGTGCTAGAGGCAAAGAAAACATACGCCGTTGACCGCACTTCCCAATCTCACCAATCATGGATTGTGTTCTCTTATGCTGACTTTTTTTTTTTGCCTACTATCCTTCTATTTTTTTTTTTTTTGAGACAGTAACTGGCTCAGCATTTAGTTCTTCCCTGGCGTTTAGGTAAATGAGCTTCGATATCGACTCGCTACTCAGATTGGGCCAACAAGAGCAGTGGAAGATGGTATGACAAGGCAAAAAGAGAGAAAAAGGCAGAAAAAAAAGTCATGTTTGGGTTTGCTGGTTGGATAATCCTTCCCTTCTTCATTGCTTTTTTTTTTTTTTTGCAGCGCCACTCAATTCTCAAATGCGCTTGGCTGCATACGCTTTTCTTTTGTTCTTCGAGAAACGACAATCCGGATGATCATGATTGGATATGGCAAGATAATGTCTGCATGGTTGCTTGGAAACATCATCGCATGAGTCAAGCATTCACTTTCTGTAATGACTGATGACGATAGACACATCTCTGAGTCAAGCTGGCTGGAAAATCCTGGTCTTCCAAGAATTACCAACCTCTTGACTCCCTGCTTGGTTCCATGCCTCATGGAGGTCTAGGTAATGGCATGAAAATACAATAAAAAGACAAGATTCGGCCACCTCTAAAACATCGACCAACTCTCCATCGTGACATGATGTGCCTTCACATACTTAATTGCACAAAGCCGTCCAACAGAAGGTAAGGTAAAACGGACGTGGACCTCATATTGCCCCCTTTACTCCTTCCATGTCACCTCAAAGTCCCTAAACTCAACCGCCAACTCCCCTCCCACATCTCCCGGCCTCGCCGCCATACAAGCCACTTCGACCTCCCACTCGTCTCCATCCCCAAACACCCAGCATACCTCCCGCAACGGTACCTTCTCCCCGGTCTCCCCATCGATCCGGTACACCCACAGCGACGTCCCACTGACATCTGTATCCCTCTCCACCAACACCGTCGCCCAATCCCCTTGGTTCCCTGGCAAATCAGCCACGCTCCAGTCAGCCCAGGCGTCGCATGCCACGGTGCTGAGGCGAGGACGGCCGTTGTATAACTCGACGCCGGTCTTGATCCATTTTTCAGGGCCTACGTGCTTGGTTGGGGTAGTGGGAAAGTTGGCTCGACGGAAGCTCAGGAGAAGACCGCCTTGGTCGTATTGGTACTTCCAGGAGCCGATGAAGGAGAGACGAGCGGAGAGGAAGGAGGGGAGGGGGCCTTTGGTGCGGAGGGGGGATGAGGAGGTCTGGTTTTGGGGAGGTATGGAGGTTGGTGCTGTGGGGTGTTAGCTGTGATGTATAAGAAGGTTCAAGATGAATAGTTGGCATGTGTAGCGTATGGGTAGAGAAGTATGCGCAAGAATCAGTGGCTTAAGTTAGACGGACCATTGAAGACATCTGTAGAAGGGGGCTTGCGCCAGATGTCAGTCCCCGGGGCAGCTTTGATAGAGAATGTCGTGCTGGAAGCCATGACGGTTGCTTCGGTACGGCAAAAGAGCACGAGGGTACAAGGCCTGACAGGAAAGCTCTCAGAGATGCTCGAGATGAGATTTGAGTGAGATTTCCGAGATCATAGTGTAAAAAAAAAAAAGACTGAAGAGACATTTGGTTGGCTGAGTAAAGATAACCCATTTTATACTTCCCTAAACGGCCAATTCCGCTCGCCAGAAGCTTATTGCGAGCTTGGTGCTACTATAACTGCTACCTAGTGTCATCAACGAGATACCTACGTCAATAAAGATTCCGTCATTGACATGTTAATGATGGACTGAAGAAGAAGGTGGTTGATGAAAGTCCATCTTGAACAGAGGAGCAGCTGACCCCTGGAACGGCTGCCGGCCCGTTAATCCAAGTTGCCGCGTGCCAACAATTGGCTATCCGGGAAAAGCTCGGTAAAACCGAGCCTCCGGATTCCCAGGCGGGACCAGCTTTTTTTTTTTTGGCCGTTGCCCAAAATTTTGGCATCCCATCGGAACTCGAACTCTGGCCTTTCTCTGCCTTTGAAGGGCGCTGACTCATCCGGGTGGTCTGGGCGTCCTCGCACCCAGTTTTTGTGCTGTTCCCACCCACCCCGCTCGGCTATCCAGACACAATTTTCGCACAATTCCAACAACCCCACAGACGCGACCGACGTCAAACATCGCCGCCAGTATCTCGCTGCGGTATCTCGCACCCAGTCTTGGCTAGGTCATCCTTCCGCCAATGGAATAACACCCTTTCTTTTGACGCAACATCACCAAGTCTGCTCTGTGCCCGTCGAATAGAGGCAGGCCGAAACCGCCCTTCCCGCCGACAATACTCTGCCTTCACATCGTTAACGGCGGAGCCGTAGCAAACAGTTTGGTGGGGCACGACTCGGCCGTTACTTCGGTTATTCTACTTCCCGCTCAACTGCTTTGCTTCCTTTGGGGAGTTTACTTAATCGCACCCCTGTTTTTACATGATCCCTTTTTTTTTTAAAAGGAATTGCGAGGCCAACCATGTCTTCGCCCGTGAAGATACGCGTCGGCGGTGGCGCCGGCTCGAAACCCAAGTCGAAGAAACCGAATGCCGTCCGCCGCATTATTCTCCATGAGGAGCGCAACCGCGAGAGTTCCGTAGCCTCGACGGCATCTAGCAGCACCCCTGCCGCTCCTGCGGCATCCAACCGTCCTCAGTGCAAAAACCCCAACTGTACCAAATCTGATGTCAGGGACGGAGCCTGCCAGAACTGCGGTTACGTCGTCTACGAGAGCAACATCGTCGCTGAAGTCACTTTTGGAGAAACTGCCAACGGTGCTTCTGTGGTCCATGGTACCCATGTCGCCGCTGACCAAGGTGCCATTCGCCCCAGTGGAGGTGGTCTGGCCTTCCGTCGTGTCGCTGGTGCTGGCGCCAGCGAGGCTCGTGAACGCAGTCTTAGGGAGGCTAAGCAGCTTATGACTCAGTTCGCCTATCAGCTCCAGATCCCTCCTCACGTTACTGAAAAGGCCTTCCAGCTTTACAAGGTTGCTGCCAACAGTAACTTCATCCAGGGTCGTCGCAAGAACACTGTGGCGGCTATCTGTCTCTATGCAACCTGCCGCAAGGAGGAGAACAACAAGGTCATGCTCATCGACTTTGCCGACATCATCAAGACCGATGTCTTCCTTCTGGGTCGTAGCTACAAAGAGCTGCTTGCCTTGCTTCCGGATGTCAAGGAAGGCTCAAAGCCAGTCATCATTGAAGACCTTATTTTCCGTTTTGCCAGCAAGCTTGAGTTCCTGCACGATACTAACAAAGTGGCCATGTCGGCCATCCGCATCGCGCAACGTATGCGCCATGACAATATCACTCACGGTCGTCGGCCTGCTGGTATCTGTGGCGCAGCTCTCATCATGGCCGCTCGTGCCCACAACTACCGCCGCACAGTTAGGGAGGTGGTTTACATCGCCAAAGTTACCATGGCCACGCTTCAGGAGCGTATGGAAGAGTTCGCCAATGTTCCGTCTGCTCAAATGACAGTCCAGGAATTCCACGAGTCTGACAAGCTCCCCGAGACGTCACACGACCCCCCGTTCGTGTACAAACAGTCCAAGGAGTGGCAGGAGAAGCATCCCAAGCGCACCAGAAAACGTAAGGCCGCGTCAACTGCTTCCTCTAACGGAGCCATAGACGAGAATGCAGCCAAGCGTCAGAAGACGGGCCAGGACCAAGTTTCATCTACCGGCACCGAGTCAAGCACCCAGGCCACATCACCTCCCCAAGCATCGCTGAACCATGGCTCTTCTGAGGCTGGTGTGAACCCCTTGAGTGAGGAGGAGCTCGCTCTTGTAGGTGCAGCCATCGAGAACCCTGAGGATCAATTGGAAGATTTGGCCAAGGCCTATGGCTCTGGGGCCGAGGAATCCGATGAGGAGTCGGAGGAAGAAGAACTGGACCCAAGCAGTGAGATGGCGATGGCAGCCGCGCAGGGCATTCATGTCCCTGGAGTGAACATCAAGATCAAGCCTAGGAATACCCCCGGGGATGGCAGCCAGGGAGCAACGAATGAAACCAGAGCAGGTGGTAAGAGGACGCGCAAGCAGAAACCCACTTTGCGCATCGATGAAGAATGGGAGTTGGATGAGAACAACCTGGAAAAAGAGATGCAGGGCCATTTGAATGATCCTGCCCTCATTGGTGCCTCAGAGCAAGTCGCCAGGGACATCGAACAGCGTCGCGAGAGAGAGAAGGCGGCGCGCCAAGGGCTGGAGTCAGCTAAAAACGCTGCGAACAAGACCAATTCCTCTACTACCGTCACGGCAACCACGAATCAACCCCAGCAAAACCCTGAACAACCCTGGGATCCCCGATTCACACCCCCGTCTAAGGTCTCTGATGACCCGATCATTCACGAGGATGAATTCGCGGATGACCCGGAGGTTATATATTGCAAGTTGGACGAGAAGGACGTCATGATCAAAGAGATGATTTGGGCCAATCACAACAAAGATTACATGCGCAAAATGCAGCAGAAGATATTCGAGGCCAAGATGGCGCAGAACGGCCCGCCGAAGCCGAAGCGTAATCGCGCCAAGAAGCCCCGCATTGGTGAGGGCCAGACGGCACCCGCAGGCTCTGCGCTTGAGGCGGCTCAGAACATGCTGCGCACTCGCGCAATCAGTTCCAAGCTTGATTACTCGCGCATGGGTAACCTCTTCGACCCTAAGGGCAGTCTGGGCAGTAAGTCTGGGGCGACTAGTACCAATGGCGATCACAGTGCCCGTGGCAGCTCCGCAACCAGCGATGCTGGAGACCACAGAGAAGGGTCCCACAAGAATGGGAACAGGGCATCGTCAGTCACTAGCCAGACCACATCTACGACAAAGGCTGCGTCGGCTTCCGAGGCGGCCGTCAAGGCCCTTGCCAGTCTGGCCAACGAAAGCCAGGAAGAAGATGGTGACGAGGATGACTATGATAACAATGACGACGGTTATGGTGGTGAAGAAGACTACGAAGAGGATGGATACATGGAGGACTTTGATCCGTTCGGTGGCGATGATGAATGAGTACGGTGAAATGACAGGCACGCAGAGATCTTATTTGAAGGGGTCTGCCATTGCATAACCAAAACGGGGAGTTTAGGGCTTGGACAACGGCATTCAAGACATCGGCATTTCGGGCGGTTAGCGTGACATAACTCGATACCCAGGTAGCTCCTATTCGTGTAGACGCAGGATCGTGGGCAACCACAGCGTTGCAGTCTCTTGTTGTGCTGCTCTATAGAGACCGGTAGGTGTCTCGGAAATAAGTAGAAATCTAAGGTCACATGTTACTACTTTCTGCCGTCTGATGAGTGATTAGTGCAAGGAAGGCCTCAGTCGTTTCGCACCACTCACTACCGTCCTTTGATTTTGCCCGAAGCCTTGCTGCCTCATAATAAAACTCTCACAAGATTAGCGTTAAAGGTCGCAGTCAGGGTCGAAACCTGTCCACTCGCGACCCCTGCAAGCAGGCTGGCAGGTTGCCATACCACGCACGGGCTCCCAGCCTGCTTGTAGTTGGTGTTGAGTCGCTACACCTAACCGCTGCACCAAGCGAGCGGTATCAGGTCAGGGCGGCCTGCTGGTTGTTGAGAGCACAGGTCTCGACCTCGTCCACAAAGCCCCTTCCCAAGAGGAGAGCTCTTATGGAGACGACTTAGGTCCCTCCCTGCTCCATTCACCATCCCCTTCAGGGCGACCTGCATTTCACCAAATCAATGATATCCACGTAACATGGCGAGCGGCATCTACGATCGACCAGGGGCGGGATCATCTCGATTGTTGACTTTCCCCTTACCATTGCCACAGCAACCGTCGCTTATCACGTTTACTCTGCCGAGTCATGCCATGCTAACCCTCGGCATGGAGCATAGATACCCAGTCTTAGACACCGACATGAAACACTCGAATGCAAATCAGAGGATCTTACTAGCTATTCTATACTCCTCTGGTCAATCTTGTGTCATGCAATCCTGGTATGTTCAACATCGACGACCCTTTTCCACAACCGAACATAGACCTTCCCCCTCCGTCCTATCTAGCACCCCTAAAGAAGCTAACTCAGGTGTTCATGTCGAAAGTACCTCCCGTGATAGCCACAAACTCTCGTTCAACCTGTTCCCACACTAGTGGAGCAAAACGTCCCCTCTTCAATTCACTCAACTCCGACACGGTCCTCTCCGACGTCTCTCCTTCAACATCAACAGAGTACACCCCGCTGCCAATGATCCCATCCGTCCCCTTCGCCACAGTCACTCCCTCAACCAAGGGTACCCCATCGCCCTCATGCTCATCTTTACTGCCCTCCTTCGGCGCAAACCTTCTGCTCGTGGCGAAAAACAACTGCCTCTCCCCCGCCTCCTCCATCGGCAGCTTCAAATCATTTTTCATCACCCACATCACGGTGCGACATATCATCCTCAAGACCGTCGCCCTCACCCCCGGGATATCGCTCCAGTAATTCTTTGGTATCTCTCCCGGGTCTGTATGCACAAACGAAACCAAGCCATTGCCCAGCCCGGCGCGGAGGTGCTCATCCGCCGCGCGCTTCGCGCATGCTTCAAGGGCCAGTGTCATCAAGGAGCTGTAGTGGGGAATAGCGTGCAGTGAGCAAGGAGAAGAGGACATGTGGAGCTCTCGGCCCTCGTCGGCCCAGTGCGAGCGGTAGACCCAGCCTTCTCTGGCGCCGGCGAAGATGGAAACGACGCGCCGCAGTCCCGTTGCGGAGTATAGGAGGGATGAAAGGTTGGTGATGAAGCGCAGGCGGGAGAAATACATGACGGCGAGTTGGTAGGGGAGGCCTTCATCTGTTTCTGTTGTTGAAGTCAGCGGTCCTCGGGTTAGAGCTTTGGAGGAAATAAGTTTTCTTGACTTACTCGTTTTGTCTTGCATCGTACTCGTGTTGAGAAACAGCAGGTTGACTGCATTCTCCCTCCGCCGGATTTCCAAACAGACTTTGTCAACCACCCGAAGCAGGCTGACATCGGCACGTATGTACAGATACTGTCCGCTAGGATTAAGTTGCTCGAGCTCTCTCGCAATCTTGTTTCCTGCCCAGCAATTGCGGCCAATGAAATATATACGAGGTTGTTTTGCATGTCGTGCGAATTGTTTCATCGTCGCCTCTCCGAGGCCGCGCGTGGCGCCCACGAAGACAGCAACTAGGCCAGGCGGGAGACGCTCGATTTGGGCATTCGAGTCTCGCATCTGCTGTAGTGTGACCATTTTTTTTATTTTATGATTTACAGCTCGAACGTCCTGAAGATTTATCTAGTTGGATTGTTAACGATGAGATACCGGAGTCTAAATGGCCATGGATTTGCTGGAATCCCCGGACTTTTGAGTGGTTGATGCCACGTCGAGACATGTGAAGCAATTTCAGTGTCGCCTTCCTCTCTTGCCGTTCGCTCTGTGAACCAAAGTGGTCAAATAAAAGATGTGAAGCCATCCGAAGCCTGTCGAAAAGCTACAAGAATTTCAGAGCCTGAGTGGCCCAGTGTGCTCCATGATGTCTAACGACCGCGGAGAATCTATGAGGTCTCTTCAGCTAAAGCCTTCCAAATTACACCGGTTATCTACTACCTAATAACATGTAAAAAACCTCATCCTTTGGTATCCATTCCCCCTTTCCTTGTGCTGTCCTGCATTTAAGCAGGGCATGAACAACTACAAACCCTTCGCTAAGGGGGTTTTGTTTCACGTACTCAAACTGCATCCTCCAAATGGTTTTGTTAAACAGCTTTACACTCCTTATCGTTCTTGCAGCATCTTCCTCGCTCAGTAACTCCAGTTACAGTGTCTAAACTATGGCCTCATGGTCGTTCCTTACCTTCCTCCGCCCAACCCTCCAAGTGTATCCAAAGACTCTTATATATCGCAAGCGTGGCAACAGACTCTCTGGCCATCGTACAATATTTTTCTTCCCCATCCTGTCTAGCACGCTTTTTGAAGTGGTGTACCCTCCCGTTGATCTCTATTAACTGTGTCAGATTCCTCAGGCGCGGCGAGGCCGAGCTGAAGAATTTATCCCAAAGGGCTGGCACGCAGTCAAACTTGCGGGATATGTGTATAGCGGGCCCTCCCAATGAGTTACTGAAATTATTTGGAATGATGTGCGCCGAAGATTGCCAGTTAAACGAGATTTCTAAGATCCATCGGCCGTCGGGATGTAGAAGCAGAAGCAAAGTTCCGATAGGGGTGTTCTTTGAACGAGATGGTTAGTGATGCAGCATGCCGTGGCCTAGAGAAATTGCTATGGCGTTCCAGAACTTTTTTTCGCAGCTCAAAAGCGTTTAGACGACGTAGCCGTGGGCATGTTGATGGATTGAGCATGGTAATAAGAAAATAGAGAAGATTGCCGTCATACCCTGCGGTTGAGATCGTATAAGCCAGGGTGAAGGTCCAAGTTGGCAAGAATGCGCGCGAGAAATGCAGTATCTCATTATAAAGGTCAAATCTCTTCTAAGTATTCTAGATTGAATAGCCAAGATGCGGTCCTGACAGTCCGGGAAATAACCCCGTCCCGAAGTACCAATGATCGAAGCTTGAGCGGTGCAGGAAGTATCTTCTCATATCGATGACAAAGGGTGAAGATATAGAGAAATTTCATGCTGCCTTCGGCTAAATAACGCCTCACTGTCGCCATAGAGATGGATATGTGCAGGTATCGGAGGTTGGCTGACATCAAGAGGACTGTTTCAATCTCCTCGACCCGCCAGTCGATATTGCAGTAAAAACCAGTCAATATCAGCGCCTGAAGGCCGCGGAAGACAGAGATGGTTGGCTTGTCCACAGGCCGTTTCTATCGGCACTCCATTTTAATTTTCACTATCATCTGTATACGAGTCCAGTGAGTGTGCTTGGCGTCTAACCATTCAGCAAAGTCGATGTGCAGAACCTTGAGCTTTTTGCAGTGGTTTTGCATACTGCGAAGGGTCTCTCAGACAGGAGAGACATTCGCTATCCCGTTGGTCTAAGTTATAGATCAGCCTGATTGCAACATGTGAGGCGGTGGTTGTGTGAAGGAGACATACGTCAGAATCCCGAGAAATGCCATCTCTGCTGCTACTGTCCGCATCAGCCTATCATATTTCTTGTTATACATGTTTTCAAAAGGGCTGAAAATGACTGTAAACTTCCGAACGAACGAGGTGTATCCGGCAGCTCTAAATGCAGGAAGTCCCGATTTGTACCCGGTGACCTTGAAGGGGCGGCAGCGGAATGGCGTAAAGATGTTTCTGAAGGCCTTATTCACGCAGTGAAGAGCTAGTAAGAAAGGGCGATTGTCCATTTTGAAGCATGCTGTCAATGTTTCGAAGCTCCAGGCGCTAGAAGTGGAGGTAAAGGAAGTTTACCTATTCTCCCGAGAGCGAAACGAGGTTGGAGTCGCTCGCGAAGATAACAGCCGCCGACATGGTGCTTTTAATCAACATTGTGCAACCAGAGCTGCAATGCCAATGAGAGTCAGTAGATAATAAGGGATGCCTACAGCAAGATGCGAGATGCGATTGACATGGATGACACCTTACTGAGAGCCGGTAGACTCTTTGCACACAAAGTTGAGTAGGTACCCAGCAGGCTGCAAGGGGACCGTTAACCTGTTTTTTTTTTGATCACAATACTAACGGAAAGTACAAGGCATAATCTATACGGAAATAGAGGAGGACTTGTATTACATTAAAACAGATCAGCTGTCATGGTTACAGAGAAAGTCTGTAATCTATGTGGTATGCCTCAAAGTCTCAGCTAACGTCGAGATCTCTGCGACACAAAGGTCGATGTTACGACTTCATAAGTGAATAAGTCTTCACTTCGTTAGTCGCACATAGAGTGATAGAAGAAAGTCATCACGCTCATTTGATCAGCCCTAGGAACTATCGAGGGAAATAGTTGTTGAACCATCGCTTGAAAGGCTAAACTGACTGCTGAGGTGTTAGCCAACGAAGAGCTCTCATTATGCTTTGCTCAAAAACCACGCACATTGGAGAATGGATGAAGACTGGCAAAAGGATGGAACATGGACTAGAACTTACGAGGGCTGATGTCTGATCCTCCCTTCCCACTCATGCACAAACCGTGAGCCATCCTTGAGCCAACTACCGAGCCTTTTCTCAATCCTCCAAACTAGTGAGTGCGCCTCGGACGTTTCTTGCGGTGAAGGCATCGCCATACTGGGTGTCCCGTCATGCTTCTCTTGAAGCCAAATCCCGGCGCCAGCTGTGACCATCCTCTCCCTTGCGATCCTAACCTGCTCCATTTGCCTCAAGTCTGCAACGGTAGGGTCGTCACGCCAGTAGAGGTAGAGGCGGCCGGTCTGGTCGTAGACGGCACGCAGACTGGGAGTACCACACGTACATTCTGTGTGTGGTTGGGTTAGCAGGGACAGGACGGGGTGTGTTGTATCGCAGTTTCCGCACAGCCAGGTTGTTGGGACTGGGAAGGCCAATGCTAGTTCACCGGAAGGAGCTTTTCTCTGTTCAGCATTTGTCGGGAGGGAAGGGTTGATATCGATCTGGGAAGGCGGGTGTAGTTGGTGGGGTAGGGGGTTGATGGGCTGTTGACTCATGGTGTTGGAGTGTTTGACTCCGACAATGTGAAATGTACTGTTGCAATTGGAAGGACCAGACTAGAACTTTTGGGCAAGGTTCCTAATGTGCTGAGCATTCAAGTCATTCTTCGAGGGGGAGCAGATGTCATGTGTCGGTGTCGACCGCGTTCTGGATACAAGGACCTTCAACAAAGACTTAGTTACAAGTTGAAGGAGGTATATAGGTGACAGGCTACATTGCTCGACATTTATAGGTCAAAGCTCTTGAAGACCCGAAAACAAGGCTATATTAAACCATCTCAAACAGCGTAAATAAGCCACCATGCATGGTGATGTATGGGAGGGGCAACTCCGAAGTATTACTCCGAAGAGAACCTGGAACTCTCTTTTAACAGATATGGTAACATACATAATACCCCAAGCCGCTAGTTTGCCTGCTTCAAGGTAAAAATTGCAGCAAAATACCATTAGACATATTGTCTTTTTTTGTTCTCAGTAAGCGATAAGGAAAAAAAAGTTCAGGGTTATATCCCTAAGGAGAGTCATAGGGTTCCGGGATAGGGGGAGCGGGGGAGATGACCATATGACGGACTTCCCCCTTTGCATCCCGACTCAAATTAGAGACTGGCTATGCCAACAACATGAGGTGAAGGGCAAACTGCACATGCCATTATGGCATGCAGTGCACCTGGACAAATGTGACTGTTATTCTTGAAGCATTCAACATGCAACTGTGCATTCTAAAACTGCAATCGTCCGATCTCTTCTTCAATGTCTCTGTTTGCCACGGTGACCAGCATTTCTGATCATTGTCAAGTGTAAAGATGACCTTTTCACAACAGCTTCAATGAGTCCTTTCAATGTTTTGCATTGACACGGGACCAGTGTGCAGTGCGTGTTTGGCACTCGACCGTTCTCCACTCAGATCGGATCAGAATGACCGGTCATCACGGGAACTTGGCTGACGAAAAGGGCATGTGGGACTGGAGTCTTCGGGATCGGCCGGCTGGGAGCCACCAGCAATGCCGGCTCCGATGATCGGGGCATGATCTCGATTCTGTTCGGTTCAGTTGGTCGGGTGGGTCATCGGATTGGTCGCTGAGTGGGGTCAGGATTCTCACGAGCACGCCCCAAGAGTTCCATGTAAGGGGCGTCTCAGCCCCACTTCGTCGCCATATATGATGTATCAAGCTTCCCCTACATGTCAGACATATCGATCGTGTGGCAGCCTCAAAATGTCGGCTGTTCTTGCATGCCGAGTGTGATATTACAATGGTATACTCTACCCGAGGGGCAAGAGATTGGTGCCAGTGGCTAAGCTGAGTTCATAGTTTCGGCTCACAAGTCCCTTGTACTCCCTATCTATTGTTTTCCCGTCTTGTATAATAATGAAAGGAATCACAGAGCATGTGAAGTGCATGTAATAACATGCTAAAACTCGTGAATATTCCTGTACCTATAGATATCCTCTCTATACAATGTTCCATCTAAAGCCGTGGTATCATGGAGAAAAAGAACGCATGGCATAAGCAACCGCAGAACCTTAAAACCCAGTACAGCCCGGTATGCTCCACATTACATATCGCACACATGCTTGAAAATATATTCCAGGGGTCAAACACATCCTGCTTCTTTCACGCAGTTCCATCATCCGGAAGCCCCTCTACTGTTTCTGGCGGCTGCAGCCACCCTCTCCCAGAGGCCTCAAGCATCCCGCGATACCACAAGTCCGCCATCTTCTTGTACCCGCTATCATTGGGGTGAATGGTATCAGCCATGTCGTGGGCGGTGGGCGCGTTGGGGTCGCAGTGCATCTCAACAAGCACGATGTGCCGGCCCTCACGACGCAATCTCCGAGCAAGAGTGCGGTACTGGGCATTGATCGTAATCACATTGCGCTCAATCTCCGGCTTCCGGTTGATAATGAGCGTGCTGAGCAGTATCACAGCGCGTGGTGACCGGTTCCAGAGGTCAATTAGCATTGATTCCATACGCCGACCAATGTCGTTGAGCGAGTGAGACTGAAGCGCGTCATTGGTGCCGGCGTTAATCAGGATTACATTTGGTTTGAATCGTGCCACAGGCCCGCCGTTCGGGCTCGTCGCCTTGACGTGGACTTGGTCAACTCGAAACCCTGGCCAGCCCTCGACGTCGTTGTCGAGCATGGTGCCCGATTTGCGCGAACCAACCATGTTCACAAGGTTCCCTCTTGGGCCAGTAAGGCTTGCGCGCAAATGAGCGCGAAATCCATTGCCATCAGTCGAGGCCTCTGTGCAATGAACTGTGTCAGCTGCGGTACTGGGATAGGAAAAAGGACAAAGACAATGTCTTGGATATTCCAGGGACTATGCCAGGGCTCGATCAACACAAAGGAGACATGTGCGCTTACTGAGCACTCTTACGGCAGCTGATAGATACAAAAAAAAAAAAAGAAGAAGGTCAGTATGAATGGGAAACATGGGCTTACATACGGCCGTAGACAATCGACGCGCCGAGCGGTATTATGCGAAGAGGCACACCATTGCCCAATGCTCTTGCCTCGATGGTTGAATTCCCAATAGGAACAGCTTGTGCAGTGAAGGGAAGGAAAAGTGCTGTTGGAAGAGTCAGTAAGTCCTGAATCAGAAGCAACTCATTTATCTCAAGGCAGGCTTCATAGGCTTACTGAGGAGGCCTGCAAGCGATCGGGCTACCATTATCGCGATTGTCTGTTGTCGAGAATCCGCAGACCAAGAATCAAGTGCGCCGATACTGCGACAAAGCGCCTATAGACGTGGAAGGGGAAGCCGTCCTCGAATTATGCGTATTAAATAGAGTAAACAAGAAGAAAGAATGAAATTTTCGAGGACGTGAGGTGTCTCGAGAAAGAAGGTGGTACAGCAGGCGTCGCCGACGGTGATCGGAATAAAGCAAAGATTCTAATCCCCCGCCCCCTTTTCAATCTCAACTTCTTCTTAGGAGACGCTTCAGCAAGGGCGTATGGACGTGCTTTGTTCAATTTAGACCTCGACGGACGCATGAAAGCGTCCAGAAGGATTGCTAATTATGTTCTGACTCAAAAGTGTGAAGGAGCGGGAGCGCCTTGCGGACAGCCAACAGGCTAAAAGGGGGGGGGGGAAAGGTACACCAATTATCAACAGAGGAGGGGGTCAAACGACCCCACGGAATGATCTATTGGAACGGTAGACATATAGTTTATGTATGTAGGGTACACATCGCTCGGACGTCTACCCAGCCCTATATCGACTGTGATGGCATGCTCCCAGTTGCTTGTCAGACTTTGGCGTTACATTGTTCTTACGGGAGACCGAGGCGCGGGCGTGGCGTAAAAGTAACGAGCAACGGCTCCAGCAACTTTGTTGAGCTGTTTGGGGTCTCGGCGCGGGCTAGGCTTCCTATCTGGCACAAAAAGCTTGAATTTCCCTTGCAGAGGTATGTGTTGTTACTTCGTCGCGAACACAACCCTGGCGCTCCTCTTTTTGACGCTGATAAGACGCTCCGCAAACATGGTGATGCCAGCGTCTCAGGTTGGAACCTTCTTTCTGACCAGAAAGGGGGCCTGCCGACCGGATCTGGACTCCAACCAAAGAGAGGGACGACAATCCAATACTAGCCGCCTTGGCTCGTTATGGAGCTGCTTTGGCGTGTCCAGTGTAGTGCTGACTCACCCGTTGGGTGCCAATACGTAGGCGAAAGCGGCAGAGGATCTATGGTAAGTACACACTACACGCGCAGAATTCAGCATAATCTCTCATGCAGCAGCATTCACATCCTGATTGCCTATCTGGCTCACTTCGCAGGCTCACACAAGGTTCAGCAGGGTGTTTAGCGAAATGCCCTCACCGCACCAAGAGGCGCCGTGAGGCAGGGGAAGATACTGCATTGGTACTGAGGAAACAGTTTAGGCAGTGATTATCGTTTATCATTGATCCGATGAAGTCAAGAGGAAGCTGTGCGCTGCAAAAAGCCATGGACCCGCGGCTGTTCCTGGGAACCAAAATGCGGAAGCGATGCTGCGTCACGATGCTGCTGGGATCGCTGGATGAGGACGGTGACAGCGGGCCGAGGAAGCGCCACGATGCGATCAGATGAACTTGACGGTTGGGGGCCAAAAAGCATGTGGTGAAGGCTGGAGCCGTCCTAGAGCAGCATCCAATTAAAGGCTCTGCGTTGCACAACAGATCGTTGATGCTGCTCACCAACAATCAAGGTACCTGGCTGTATGAGCCCACCTCTCAGCGACTCCTTTGATGCCGATGCAGCCCTGGCGATCTTGGCTCTTTTTGGTATGTGTGTGAAACACTCGTGGTACTAGTCACTGGAAAATAAGACGTTTTAGCCAAGCAACAAAGACGTGAGTAATCTGGCACGCAAGGAGCCACATCAGTTTCCATTCCAGGGGCTTTTTCAGCCCTACGTCCCCCTAGTGCAACCATGAGAAAAGGTGCGGCAGTTGGCCAGAGCGCACGGCTTTTTTGTCCAGCCACTTGACTGATCGCTTACTGAGGGAGCAAGGGACAAGTGGAGCCAACACAGGACGGTAGCAGCTCAAAAAGTCTTGGCATTGTTGATCCATGGCCAAGGGAGGAAAGAAATGGAAAAAATTGACTCGGATGCCGGGAGTCGAACCCGGGGCTGTTGAGGAAGCAGTCACTGCTTAGCAGTGAGAGTCAACGATGTTACCGCTACACCACACCCGATGTCGAGAGTGGTTTCCGATGTGTTGCCACACGTTCTCCGGAGATCTCATCTTCAACCTCAGGATAGGACCGATCGTCGTATTTTTTTGTGGGCGGCTCATGATCACTACCGCGAGATTATCCTAATCTTGACAATAGTAAAAGTTTGCGATCATCATTGTATTTTTGTACTTCTGCGCTGGTTTCGGATGTCTGACAATACTCATATTCAAGACCAACCGCTTCTCTGGTGAAATATACCGCGGACCTAGCCACTGCGCCGAGAACAAGACGGGTGTAATTGCAGCGAAGCTTATGTTCCTCACCAGCAGCACGGCCTTAAACATAAGCATATCTGACATCTCTCACTAAGGGGCTATTTATGGTCTCCTGTAATCCCACAACACTATATGCGCGCGGCCGAGCTTCAAGATTCGTGAGCTGATCCGTCGGACCTTCTCTTGCTGACACGCGCCGAGTAATCCCTGAGTCTCTAACTTTCTCTATGACGAAGTTACGAACTACGAGTGGACCAAAAGTAATACTGGGCTGATCACTAAAGATTGTTTCTATTGTCGCCCTTTGCGGCTTTTGATCTCATGAGAACAGTGCTCACGGCTCAAGTCACTTGCTCTTTCTGCCCAACGGCCGAGATGGGAGCTGTTAAACGCGATGTCAAGCGTGGCCATGGTCCATGGTGATACCATTTTCGCAACTGAGTCTTCGGGAGAGATAACATTACCAGTAGTTCACGTGACATTGTCCTCTTCTCCACTTTTAGCACTCTTCTCCAACATCACATTGACCGCTTGAGGACGGGCCCAAGGCCGTGGGACTTGTTGGCATGGCAGATATTTTGTGAATGTCTGCAGCCCGTAAGGACATGTAAAGCCTTTGCCGTTGATGCTTCAGTGCCGATCAGCTGCATTGACACTGTCAACCCTTGATAGTGAGCTGTGAGCATAGGACGATCATATAAAGTCAATCCAATTAACTTTCTGCTAAGTAGGGCCGAAAAGACAACCTCCGGCATAGTTTAAAAGTTCCAAAAGTCGGTAACTTCACCTACCTTGACTTTTTCACACCTCTCTTCGTTCATGTTCTACTTTTGTCTTATTTCCTTTACACAACAAAATGCCAATAATTTCTCCCAGTTTTGATGTGTGTGGTGCCGATTATGACTCGGTCAACCAGGTTGGTTCAAAAGACCCAAATGCGTCACTAGAGCTCAGTTACGGGAGTTAGTGAAGGAATCCCCTGCAGTCTGCGTCGCAAGTACAGTATTGAAAAGGCTGGACGTGACGAAGACGTGCTTCTTACCATTGCCACTGGAAATCTTCTTTCAGCCTTCCTCTATGCTAATGCGGCTGCTGGGGAGTATATTCTGCCTTAAGCGCTGAGTCTGCTCGGAAAGAACCTTAAAGCCAGCTCAGCCAAGTTCCTGTTAAGTTGCTTCTGTGTAACGAGAACATCCGGAACATAGTCGTTGCTGCAGCGAGGATTGCCCATATATCCCCGCTCTCTTGGGTACTCTAGTCTTTGTCAAGTCTGCAACTCACCGAGTGGCTTTTCACTTGGACTGGTTCTGTACGAGCTTGAGTGGTGGCGTATAAGCGATCATAAGAGACTGAAAGCAACATAATTTGCATCCCTTTCTCCTCAGTAACTACTTACAAGCCAAAAGCATGTCCCCTTCTAACATGTGTATGATCAGCGAAGCTGTTGTCGTCAACGATGCCAACTGAGACCCAGCAAGCCAACTTCCTAGCTCACCACTCCGGCCTTGGAGGACTAGCTCACATCTTCGCGCCGCCCATATTGCAAGCATGCAACATTGCATGGTTGACCCGTTCTATTTTGACGGGACAACTCACTGGATAAGGCTGTTGTCTTCTCTTCCCTTCTGGAATTTGCGCGGTGCTACCGCATGACTCACTTTGTTTTCCCTGTGTTACCAACCCTCTTCCTCATTTTGAAATCAAAACTCGTGATCTGATCACTTTCCTTCCGTTGTGCAGGCCGTATCCGGTGCGGCGCCAATGGGAAAGGAGCTGCAAGCTGTGATGAGGAAAAAGTCGGGCAGAAGAAAGGCACAGGTTTGTCAATTCTGGGGGCTGAGGGAAATCTCGGGTACAGTGACTATCTTGCCACTGGCAGCCGGGCAGGATGATACAGGCAGCGTGGGATCTCTAGTCAACGGAACGGAAGCACAAATCGTGAAAGAGGACGGAAAGGATGTTGAGTGCCCGGGCCGCAGTCGACGAAGAAGTTAACTAGGATATCACCAGGCTAATTGTGAGACGTTTGTGGTCGGCTGGTCGGAACGGATGATGTAAGAGTCTTCAAGGCTGGGTTGTTGTGCATTATGGGCCGCAAGAAGGTGAGTTTACTTTTTTCAAGCAGACCAAACGGCGTCATGGACAAACACTTACCCAATCACCAGGAACTCATCAAATTCAAGGGGACGCAAATCGCCCCCACTGAGTTGGGGGCATTGCTCATCAGTCATCCAATGATCCAAGACGCCGCAGTTGTCGGCGTTCCTGCAGAAGGGACGGAGGTCCCACGGCAAGTCAATCGCTTGCCTCCTTTTTACAGTATCAATATGATATGGACCATCATCTTGACTCTTTTTCACTTTTTAGCTCACACGTTATTGCTGATTCAAAAATAATTAGCAAGCATGAAATTGTTGAGCAGGTATTTCGGCAGGTAACAAACCGCAAGAAGTTAAGGGCGATATCGGCTTTCTGCAGGCTATCCTGAAGAGCTCCGAGGGCAAGATCTTGCTGAGAGAGCTGAGAACCTTGGCAGCATGAGAAGCAGAATGGAGCAAACGGTAGACTGCGGGTGTGCAAAATTCACTGTCCATAATCAGAACTTGGCAGAAACTTGCAGTGGCTCTGGAGATCCTGCATGAGAATTTCGCTTTTGATCTCTTACATGAGGAACGATGCAGAACTGTCGTGGGCCTCACGGTTACATGCGTCACTGAGGATTGGCAACAGCTTTGCTAAAGAGGGTCAAGTAATCGCCGTTTGCAGTGTGCAAGTACCCAATCCATCAAAGAGTCGGGGCCGGCATACAAACGCTCAAGGCCGGTGAAGCTGCTCCCAGCCAGGTCCCAGATGGACATATAACCGTGAGGTCTATATTTTTGTCCCAAAAGGTTGCCGATGTCTTTGGTTTTCTCGTCAACAATCTACATACTGAGCCTTTTGTTTGGGTCAAGTCCGGTTGACCTTTCTCAAAGCCATCATTGGCATCATGACTGAGGACACTACTCGCTCCTCCAATGGAGGACAGCTTCCGGCTCTCCAATCAAAAGAACATCGCGACCTCCTTGATATAGTCGACAGACTGCGCTTACAGGGATTGAGCCGATACATTGACTTACCGCAAATCATTGTTTGCGGCGATCAATCATCGGGCAAAAGCTCGGCCCTCGAGGCAATTTCGGGTTTGTCGTTCCCAACTAAGGATAACCTTTGTACCCGGTTTGCTATTGAGCTCATTCTCCGTCGTGTCAACAAGACGAGTGATGATCTTGATATCAGCATTATCCCCGGCCCCGAGCGGAATGAGCAAGAAAAGGCTCGGCTCCAGAAGTTCGCGTTCAGGGGTGCCGTAACAGATCTGGACCTCGCCAGTGTTATCGAGGATGCAAAAGCCGCCATGGGAATCGGCGAAACGTCCAAGGTCTTCAGCACCGACATCCTTCGTGTAGAGATCTCGGGGCCGTCGCAACCACATCTCACCATCGTTGACCTTCCTGGCTTGTTCTTGGCCGGTAATAAGGATCAATCCGAGCAAGATGCAGCTTTGGTCGAACAGCTCGTTTTGTCGTATATGAAGAACGAGAGAACAATCATTCTTGCGGTTGTATCGGCCAAGAACGACTTTGCGCTTCAACAGATCACCAAGCATGCCAGACGTCTTGACCCCCAGGGGAACCGAACGCTGGGCCTTATTACAAAGCCAGACACCCTGGATCCCGGGTCTGACAGTGAGAGGTTCTATATCGAGCTCGCCCAAAATTTGGATGTTAAATTCCGCCTCGGATGGCACGTTCTTAGAAACCGCAACTATGCAGAACGTCACAGCACATCAGCGGAGCGCGATGCCGTTGAGGCAGAGTTCTTCTCCAAGGGAGCCTGGACTTCTCTGAAGCCTTCTCAGAAAGGCGTTGCTGCACTGCGATTGAGACTGAGCCATGTTTTACGAGAGCACATCTCGAAACAGCTTCCTCGTGTGATTGACGACGTGAATGAGGGTGTTCAAGAATGCAAGGACACGTTGGCGAGACTTGGTTCGCCCAGAAACACCACAGTGGAACAACGGCGGTATCTAATGGCGATCAGCACCTCGTTCACGGACGTTGTCAAGGCTGCCATTAATGGCGATTACAACACCAGCCCACTGCTTGCCACGTCACCTCAGTGGCGTATCCGCGCTGTTGTGCAAAACACCCTGACGAGGTTCGCGAGAGAGATGCAGGTGAAGGGACATGAGAGAAGGATCATCGATGAGTCACTGCATGTCGACCAGCTAGAGAATGGCAGCATATGGAGCCTGAAGTTCGAGGATGATGGCTTGCCTCCAGCCGTGTCCATGGAGGATTACATGGAAGAGGTAAAGCAGCTACTTCAAGAAACTCGGGGTAGGGAGCTCCCTGGCACATACAACCCTCTCATCGTCTCGGAGCTGTTTGGAAAGCAGGCAAGGCCATGGAAAGGCATGCTTAGCGCTTTGTTAAATGAGCTGTTTGGCAGGGCGTCAGACACAGTCGAGGCCATCCTTCGAGATGTCGCCGACACTGAAACTGCTGATAGATTGCTGCAGCTGATTGTCAAGCACAAGCTGGAGGAGATCAAAAAAGACTTGAACAAAAAGGCAGAGGAGATTTTGAAACCACACATTTTTGGACACCCGATCACATACAATCACTACTTGATCTCCAACGTTCAGGAGATTCAGGCGACCAGGAATCAAAAGAATCTGGAAGAGAAACTGAAAGAATTTTTTGAAACAAATAAGATGGATAACACGGACCGGATGTATCAGTTCAAGATGACTGAATTGCTCGGTGCCTTGGCCGAGCACACAGAGCTTGATATGGAACGCTACTCTTGCACCATGGCCATCGACATGATGCAAGCATACTACAAAGTAAGTCATAAACTAAGAAGGCCAATCTGTAGATGCCACGATGAAGACTAACAATTATTATTTTTAACAGGTTGCCTTGAAGACATTTGTCGATGCAGTCAGCACACTAGCGGTTGAGCTATGTCTAGTTCAAAGGCTTCCGTCGATCCTTTCCCCAGAAGTCATTTGCAGCTTGACAGATGACGAGGTAAGGGCAATTGCTGGAGAAAGCGATGACATTGCAGAAGAGAGGGCACAGGCGGCCGAAAAGCTGAGCGTGCTGCAGAGAGCGCTGGAGGATTTGACCCGGCTCTGGATGCACCGTGGTTCAACATATTCTGAATAGGTAGTTCGTAGGGACCTTAACATTCGCATTACCCATCACCAAGTGCATTCCTATTATGTCTCTATTCTCTCCTCCGTACATTAATCGAAACAACTGTGCTTGAGTCCATAAACCCTTCGTTCTTCACCCCCATAAGCCAGCCCCATTCATGATCTGTCTCCCATCCAAGTAGGAGTCCCGTTCATGCCATCAATGGTGTTTAACCCTTGCAAAGTGGATGGTGATGTTCTCAAAGGGAGGATGAAGAAAAGAGGTTTTTTGAGGCTGGAAGCGTAGAGAGCTGAGACAAAGCAATGATAAATGTAGTCATACGTTTGTGTCCTCAAACCTAGGATGTCAGCAATCACCAACTGGTGGTTGGCTTGGCGCCGAGAAGGCCTCTGGTGTGGGGGGGGGTTTGATTACGTAATCACACGGGCGGGGGGTTACGATCTTTGAGCGCCGTGAGATGGCTGTCGAGCTGCCAATGCGGGTCCTGGCAGGCGCAGCTGGCGTCACCTACGGACCTGTACACAGCACCCCCTGGTCGGCGGGCATCCCTCATCCAACGCCAACTCCAATCTGGAACAGCGTGCGAGTGCGAGTTTGTGCCAGCTCGCAACGCCGACTTCACTCCACTTTGATAGTGAGACCGGAGGGAGAGGGAATGCATAATTCGCAACATCTGCGAGCAAGCATTGCGCCAACAGTTCGACAGTTTCTTCAACGCCGATAGCCGAGTTCTTATCTCTCGCATCACCACATCGGCTCACTACCTACCTTCAGATCACAACCTACACAATGTCGACCCCTGCGCCGCCCGAGGAACAGGCTCGTCTGCTCGAGGATGCCCTCATCGCTGTGCGCCAGCAGACAGCCATGATGCGCAAGTTCCTCGACACGCCAGGGAAGTTGATGGACGCGCTGAAGTGCTGGTTCGTCCCTACCCCGCTCTCTCCCCCCCTTTCCCAGGGTTTCCTGTTGCGTTTCCCCTTGCTGACGTTCTCATCTCGCTGTTGCCAGTTCTACTCTCGTGTCCGAGCTTCGCACCAGTAGCCTGAGCCCAAAACAGTACTACGAGCTGTACATGGCGGTCTTTGACGCCCTCCGTTACCTTTCAGCCCATCTTCGCGAGAACCATCCTGTCAACCACCTCGCCGACTTATACGAGCTTGTGCAGTATGCCGGCAACATCATCCCCCGTCTTTATCTGATGATCACCGTCGGGACCGCCTATATGTCCATTGACGGTGCCCCTGTGAAGGAGCTGATGAAGGACATGATGGACATGAGCCGCGGCGTGCAGCATCCTGTTCGCGGTCTCTTCCTGCGCTACTACCTCTCGGGCCAGGCTAGGGACTACCTCCCGACTGGAGATTCAGATGGCCCAGAAGGAAACCTCCAAGATTCCATCAATTTTATTCTCACAAACTTCGTCGAGATGAACAAGCTGTGGGTTCGCTTGCAACACCAGGGCCACTCAAGGGAACGGGATCTTAGGACACAGGAGAGGAGAGAGCTTCAGTTATTGGTTGGCAGCAATATTGTCCGGCTGAGCCAGTTGGTGGACCTGCCAACATACAGGGACAGCATTCTCGGACCCCTTCTGGAGCAGATCGTTCAGTGTCGTGACATCCTGGCCCAGGAATACCTTCTCGAGGTCATCACTCAAGTCTTCCCCGACGAATACCATCTCCACACTCTTGACCAATTCCTTGGGGCTGTCTCCAGGTTAAACCCTCACGTTAATGTCAAGGCCATCGTGATCGGTATGATGAATCGGCTTTCAGATTATGCCGAGCGAGAATCCCAAAATGAGCCAGAAGAGGATCGGGCGAAACTGGAAGAGGAAGCCCTGGCGAAACTTCTCGAGAAGACTAAGCTGGGGCAAAATTCTGAGCTCGAGCCGCAAAATGGCGATCACCCGGATACTGAAGTTTCTTCAACTACGGATTCAGCCCAGGCGCCGTCAACCGCGGACTCCGATACAACTGCGGTCAACGGGGAGGAAGAGCCAGTCAGGAAACGCCGAGGCATCCCCGTAAATGTCCCGCTTTACGACATCTTCTTCGACCAAGTGCAGCATCTGGTGCAGGCGCAACACCTCCCCATTCAAGACACCATTGCCCTGTGCTGCTCACTGGCCAACCTGTCTCTCAATATTTATCCCGAGAGGCTAGACTATGTGGATGGAATCTTGGCATACGCCTTAGCTAAGGTCAAGGAGCATGCCAACAGCGCAGACTTGCACTCCCAGCCCGCTCAGCAAAGCCTGCTATCTTTGCTGCAAAGCCCTCTGAGACGATATGTTTCTATTTTCACCGCGCTGTCGCTTCCTACCTACGTTTCACTCTTCCAAGCCCAGACATATCCGACTCGGCGTGCCATCGCGGGGGAAATTGTCAGGACTTTGCTGAAGAACCAGACACTAATCTCAACACCTGCGCACCTTGAGAACGTCCTAGAAATCCTCAAGGTCTTGATCAAAGAAGGCTCGCAACCTCCGGCCGGCTATCCGGGCGTTGTGCAGCCTAGGGCTCGGCCACTTGAGACAGACGAGACAATGGAGGAGCAAGGGTGGTTGGCACGCCTTGTGCACCTAATCCACTCAGACGACAATGATACCCAGTTCCGTTTGCTCCAGATGACAAGGAAAGCATATGCCGAGGGTAATGAGCGTATTCGGACTACGACCCCGCCTCTAATCACCGCTGGTCTTAAACTTGCGCGCCGCTTCAAGGCTCGTGAGCACTATGATGATAACTGGTCATCGCAGTCTTCATCCCTATTCAAGTTCCTCCATTCTGCCATCTCAACTCTGTACACCCGGGTTAATGGGCCTGGAGTGGCAGATCTTTGCCTGCGCCTGTTCTGCTCCTGTGGACAGGTTGCGGACATGACAGAATTTGAGGAGGTTGCCTATGAGTTCTTTGCCCAGGCGTTTACTGTTTACGAAGAGTCAATCAGTGACTCGAAGGCTCAGTTCCAGGCTGTCTGTGTCATTGCCAGCGCCCTGCATCGCACTCGAAACTTTGGTAGAGAGAACTACGATACCCTCATTACCAAGTGTGCTCAGCACGCTAGCAAGCTGCTCCGCAAGCCTGATCAGTGCAGGGCAGTCTATCTCGCTAGCCACTTGTGGTGGGCTACGCCCATTGCGGCCAGGGGAGAGACAGAAGATACCGAGGTGAGTTTCTTACTATGTTTAGACCCTCGACGAGGATAGACACTGACTGTCCGAGCAGCTCTACCGTGACGGCAAGCGCGTCCTCGAATGCCTCCAGCGCGCGCTCCGTGTCGCAGACTCGTGCATGGAAACGGCTACATCTATCGAGTTGTTTGTCGAGATTCTTGACCGCTATGTCTACTACTTTGACCAGAGGAACGAATCGGTATGTCTACCCTGGGAAGTCTAGTTAGTTTGTGCATGCAACTGATCACCATATCTAGGTCACAACCAAATACCTCAACGGGCTTATCGAGCTCATCCATTCCAACCTGGCTGGCAATCAACAAGACTCAGCGTCGGTCGAAGCTAGCAGGAAACATTTCATCCAGACGCTCGAGATGATCCAGAGCAAGGAATTTGAAGGTATCGTGGTGGCGCCCAAGTGAGGCACAAGTATCGAAGGGTGATAAAGCGGAGCTGGTGAGGTCTTGCTATAATGGAATGATGACTGGAATGGTCAGCGGGATCCGGTTACGGCTGAATGAATGTCCAACCAACATAAGATATCTAATCTTTATCGACGTACCTGCGGAGTGACAGTAAGGGCAGGACAGTGCCCAGGTTTTTGTTTGAGTTGTACATTTATGTAAATATGTTTATACCATTCTGTTCTGCCTCCCCGACAGTCTTCATCGACCTTCCCAATCCTTCTTGCTAGTACTGTTCGTATACGCAGAGAGTATTTGCAGGACAACCTGTGAACAACATTATAGCTGAGACCCTAGTATTTCTACGAGAAGACACAAGCGTTATGTACAATATAGAAAAAGAAAACGAATAGACGCCTGCGATGGGTTGAAGAACAACAGATACAGTTTTAGAGAATTTTAGCCTCACTCGCCTCAAAGTTCAAAAGAATTGGCGAGGAGATTCGAAACAAGGGACGGTGATGGGGAAAAAAAACCCGGGAGGAACGATCCATGACGCCAATGCGATGCCAACAGATTATGGAAACGGAGAAAAGAAAGATACTAAGACAGAACCAACCTCCCCACTACCCGCAATCCTTCTACCTTACACCATCCAGCCCGCTTATGTGATACAGAGACAGCATTGGAAGCTCAAGACCGCCCGTGTTCCACCTGCAAGCTATTGCAGGAGCAGTACCGTTCTGATGCCATTCAGTTCGCTCAACTAGGGAATAAGCGCATGCCGCTTGTATATAAAATAACCAGCTAGATGAGAAAGAAAAATGATCGAAATTAATGTGTAGATGGGGTATGACATGAAAAACAAGCGTGTTGAAAAAAAAAAGGTTTGTCCACAGTGAAAAAATTATGAAGAGTTCATTCCTTCCACAAGGTTGGCTGCGGCTTGCTTGATGATACCAGCAACCTTGTCGGCAGTCAATTGAGCTTGAGTCCAGTTACCCGAAAGGATGGCGTCTCGGATAGAAGGGAAGTACGCATCCCGGTCCGTCGACCATTGCAGGGGACCGAAGACGACGTGCTTGAACTGAGTACGGTTCGGAATCTGTTCACGTCGTGTCAATAGTTGGTCACCAAAGACGATGTCAAATGAGAGAAATACTTACCCCGTCCAAGTCAAGCAGATCAGACTCGAACTTGGCCATGCGTGAGTTGTACTCACAGCGCTGCCGGCCAGTCGAGGAGGGCTCCCACCCGTTGGAAGCCATGACGCTGTTCTCCCATGCCACCTCGAACTTGATGAACTCGTGAACCGACTTGTCGACCTCCTTAACAGCGTCCTTGAGTGCGGCGAGACTGAATGGCTTCTTTTCCGGGCCGATAGCCGCCTTCTTGGCGCCCTGTTCGTCCGCCCACAACTCGAGCTTATCAGTCCACGTGGACAAGCTGCTGGCGTAGGAGATCATGTCAAACGGAAGCACAAGTCTGTCGGACAGCTCAAGGACCAGTAGGCCAAGAACCTGAGCGAGGAGGGCGTGGTAGACGAAACCGGGGTCGCCGTGCTGCTCCATCCAGTCGAAGTTATCCCAGTTCGAATGGCGGGGGTAGCCCTTGCCATCGAAGTGAAGGTCGAGAGAAGAGGTGCCGACAATGTCCTGGAAGGCAACGTAGTCCGAGTCGGTCCCAAGGCCTTCGATGCGTCCTTGGCGTTGCTCCCAGCGATCGCGTAAGGTAGTGTTGTAGAAGGGATCACCAACTCGATTCAGGATCTGGAGAAGAAGCCTGTGAAAGACAGGAGAGCCGGCAGCGCGGAAGGTATCCCCTGATACCGCCTTGTCGAGATTAATGTAGGCGAAGGCGTCCTTCCGCAGGCTCTCATCGTTCTGTTCGACGTACTCCGTAGAGCCAATCAGGTTTTGGGCACCACCATCCCAAGACATGAATTCGATGGTGCGCTGCGGGCGCCAGCCACGTGCAACGAGGTCGCCCATAATGCGTGCGATCTCGAGCATGATGGCTGTACCTGAATGCGGGCTGGCGGCACCGAAACCCCACGCATCGCGGTGGTTGCCGATGATGACCCTCTTTTCCTCCTGCTCGATGCCTTCAATGCGGCCGTACACATTCCAGATAGGCTGCTTCTCAATCTCGTCTTGCTCGTTCTTGAGCAGAACGATGGGCGAGGAGGCATTGCCGGTCCACATATCCTTGTAGTCAAAAGCCGAACTGCTCCACGTGTCGGGGATAGGGTCACCAAAGCCCTTGAGCCGTTTGAGGAGGGGCTCAGCATCTCGCCAAGCCAAGGGAAGGCTGGGGATCTTCACCAGGCCCTTAGTCTGGTCTACTTTCATGCGTGGCATGCGCTCCTTGCTGCCCCATCCAGGAGTTAAGACATCACCAACAACCCAGTTTCTCAGGCTTACCGAGGCCCTTTCCACGCCATCGGCGGGAAGATGGGGGCCATTGGGCGCACCGGACTGTGGTTGGAAACGCCCATGATCTCCGGGATTGCTGAAGATTAGACAGCCGGAGAACCCTGCCAATTCGGCAGCCTTGACTTGCAACGCCGGGTCGTCCTGCGACCCACGCGAGCGAACCAGGGCAATGGCGCCCTTGGTGTCAATTCCTTTCTTTTTAAGCATCTCAAAATCCTCTCTGGTGCCGTAATTGGCATAAATCAGTGGTCCTTTGACCGTACCAGACTTGGAATGGCCATGAAAGGCATATGTCTGGTGACCTGCCGTTTCACTGTGCGTTTCTTCTTCTTCCAGTTTTGCGGACCAGGTGGGCTTCCCATCGGGGCCTAAAACCTGAACGGCCCTCCCGTCAGCCTTAGGGTAGTTTAGGTAAACGTGATATACATCACGTTTGACCTCGTCCAGGCCATAACTCTGGAACATCAGCTCGATATCTTCCATCAGAGCAAAATCGCCCTCTGTTCCTGAAAGATGGGCGTAGCTCGTAAAGTGCTTAAGGTTGTCCCTGATTACCCTCGGGTCAACGCTGGCCTGGATGTGTATCCTGAGGGTCTCCGGGTCGATCTGGCGAGCCATACGACGCGCCATATCGGAGAAGACATTGCTTGCGAACAACAAGTAAAGGAAGCCCAGGACAACAATCAACGCCAGCACGCGGGCGACCAGCAAAAACAGCGCGGTGCTCCCCAGCTTTGGCAACGCGAAGCGCCACCTGGTCGTCTGCGTAGAGTCTGTTGCACCCGAGCCATCCGTGCCAGCGCTCCCACCTCTACCACCTGCATCATCGCCGCTGCTGTCACTGTCTCGACCAAGCCGTATCCTTAACCTGGGAACAGGTAACCTCCAGCGCCATTTCCAACGCCATTGCGGCAGCGCCAGGGACAAACGGCCGATTCGCTTCCCCCACAGCGACGCGCCGCGACTGCTACGCCCGTGGACGTCTGAGTCGTCGATCTCAAGCTCTTGCATCTCGCGCCGGACCTGATCAGCCTCGCGCTCGTCGGCATCCGAGTCTGAATCGTCCGAGGAGCTGAACAAGCCGCTCTCATCGTCTGTCTCAACGGTTGGAGGGCGGTAGCCCCGGGGATAACGGCCCCGTTGCGCCTGATGCGAGGATTGTGAAGAGGACGCTTCGGATGCATTGCGCGGGTTTCGGAGAAGCGAAAAGGACTCGGAGGACTCGGGAGCATGGGGATCATCGACGGGGGAATGAGGACGGTTTTGGCTAGGAGTGGAGGGGGATACGTTGTTGGCACGGCTGCTGCTGGCGACAGCCTCGTCGTAGGTTGGTATCGGGGGAATGGGATCGTAATCTTTGCTGTTTGGCGCCATGGTGCACAAAATCGGCTACGGCTAGATGCGAGCGGTGTTGCAATGTGGAGGGAGAGCGATGTTGATGTCGGGAAACTAGCGTGCGGTTGGCAACATTCGCGGGCAAGCCGCAGATCTGGACAAGGAGGGCCAAGAGCGTATGCGAAAGGGGGAGGGGGCAGGGCAGAAGGTCGGTGCTGTGTACGGACAAGGTAACCGGCAAAGAGGATGCAAATGAGCGTCGCGAAGAAATAGGGTCGATTAGCGAACGGCCGAAGAAGGAAACGAAGTAATCATCTGAATAGGCGCCGAAAAATCCAATATGTAAGGGAAGGAGGTTACTATCCACAAGGCGCTGCTGGCGTTGATGCTGTAGCCTTTGTGGTGTGTTGGACGAGACGCTTCACGCTCATGCTGGAGGTCGCCAGCCCCAAGAACTGCGAGCCGAGTCTCGAAATTGGCCTCTCTCTAGGAGCGTTCCACCCTTGGCCCGTCGCCCCTTGTCACAGCCGTACCTTGGCGTCCTGTCGGATCCACCCAACGAGCCCAAATCTTGGTGGGGCCTGATTACCTAATCACACCTAATTTTGTCTGCACCGCCCCGCTGCCAAGAGACGAGACTTCGTCCAACTCATTCCTTTCACTTTGCAGAAGGGAAGCCAACTTTGGACACTATTCACATGCCTCAAGTCTCAGCAACATCTGTGCTGTGATGGGTTCAATACTGCCCTAAAGCATAACACAGAATCTCAGTTTGACTCATGGATTTACCAGCCATTCACTGCACTAGAGTCCTATCGGACTGTTCTCCACTTTCCTCAATTGCCTATGGACAAAAGAATGAACATGAGCTGCAGCCAGATAGTCATCAGCACCATAACTTGTTCGTCCCTCGGGGACCAACGTCGCAGTTGAGACAAGAGGTATCGGAGTTCGTGAACCTCACTGGAAGCCAGTTTCGCTAGTATCACATCTACACTCAATGCTTTCAGGATAGTCTCGTATCTTTTTCAAGATATATCAACGCTTTTCTCTCCTGGAGACTTTCTCATCAACCAGACCATGGAACATGACCCACGGGTAATTGAGGTCTTGCCCAATGACACGCAAGAAGAGATGTCCTGCATAATTGAGGTCTAGCACTAGAGGTTGGATGGTAAAACCCTTCTAAGAATAGGTAGCAGATACATTATCACCCGCTGGTATGGAAAAAGCCGTTAGCTGTGTTAGCCTTTCAGCCCCTTCTTGCTTTGGACTTAAAATGTTGTGTTGAAGGAGATGCATGTGCCCTTAAAGCGAAACCGTGAAGTTCTCAGAATCTTCAGAGGACTCTCATCCTTGGATGATAAAGAATACGTGCTTCGTCTTCACCTGCCCTTAGGCTTCAAAAGGAGGTCGGAAAAGCTGGATAGAAGAACAATGCAATGGATGACGTCGTGTTTATGCGCAGCACAGAGCCAACTGACACCAATGTTGTGGATCCACCATCTTTTTGACAATGAATCCGCACCACATGTGTCAACAATACGGGACACGAAAGTTGAATAGTTCTATTATTGCTCCCGATGCACGACACCATTTTCTGTTGGTGATATTTTAGACAGCCTTTGTCTCCTCCTTCTTCTGCGCACCACAGTTAGCAGATTCTCTTTTGGTCTAAATTCATAAAAATGGAATACCTTTAGGATCAGAGATTATCATGGTATACCTAGTGAGCTTCTGGGATTGTCGAGACACGTGCACGGACATAAACCTTGAGCAGAGTAGAATTGCGCATCTGCAGGCTGAGGTTGAAAGGCTCTTACCTGATTGCAAGAGATATACCACTAAAGGCAAAGAAAAATGAGTTAGTATTCGTCTCCTAACTGCGAAGAGGGGTGTGGCCTTTTAGTCTCAAGTGACACTCTGCGTACTTTGTTCTTGACCGGCTTCAGTTTGCAGCAATCATTGCTTGTTGACAAACATTTAACTAGGCCCAGCTGCTGTTGGGAAGTCAGCATTGACAAAAATTCTTGGCGTCGTCTTGTCAGCGTCCCCTTCTTCAGCTGAGGGTTGGGGATCTATAACAGCCAGGAGAGCTATCGATACTGCGAAGCCTTCCTTCGTACGCCGAACCTAGCTGTCGTTGAAATACAGTCCTTGTAATGCAAGATAGTTAATCTTCTCTAGACAGATGTCAACCCGTGATAAGAGGCTAGCCCTCTTAGAAGAGAAAAATGCAGATGGCCTTGTGCGTCCCGGAGATGATGCAGATAACAGGCAAACTGCCGCTGTGGGTGATTAGTCGCGTCGCAACCACATGTTTCCTTCTGATGTAAAAGCTGATGAAAGATACAAAGCTAAGGGATCTCCTAGAATATCACTCCGGGACAGTCATATTCATTACAAGTAACACCACTCTTGTCGACTATGCCTCTCGTCCTGCACTATCCACAGAAAAAAAAATGTTGATATATGCTGGTCCATATTTCGTTTCCAGGATTCACATCCCTCAGACGGAACATGCTTACTTAAAAACTTATCTCCTCACGTTGCTTAACGGCTTCCCCGGACAGCCGGAAATGGTTGATTGGGGTTGGCCTGCTTCATTATGGGTAGCCAGGAAAATTCCGCAGAGTTGTATCCACCATTCTCAATCGTCGAACCCTCCATGCCTTGGTGGATTAACCAAGACAAATGTTCAGCTCAATTATATTGCAATAGCAACATGCCCCCGCCCCCCCTGGAAGAACTTTGGTCACAAAAGGGGCTGAGCTTCGGATTGAGAGGTGCCCTCCACATGAAAGGGGGAAGTCTATCCATGGGTAACCCCAGCGCTGTGTAATGTAAATTTGCATGATCGTTACTGCCCCTGAGCATCATCATATATTAATAGGCAGATTATATAAAATTCTGGAGTTTGAACCGGAACACTCAGTATCAAAACACGTGACCGATATGGGAAGAGGGAAAGGGACACATTAGCATCCAAGCCCCACCCCCTCCAGTCAAGGCAACTAAAATTGCTATTTCCTGGAATACCACAGTTGGAAGTTCATTTCCAATCAGACAACAAAAACTTAGCTTGTCTTTATGGCCGTGTACGCCAAGAAATCTAGCAGATCTCTTACCTCGTGTCTGGATATCACGGCATCCGCCCGCCTGACGTGATATCGGGGTTTCACATCGTATTCTACGCGATTCTTCCAGGCAGTATAAGCAAGAGTTGTTGTCTGGATCCAAAGAAATTGACACGGTAGTGAAGGTTTACCACTACGGGAATGAGGGATGTGCATTTGCGGTAGGAAGGCCTTTAAACCCAGGTTTATGTTTTCGAAAATCAATCTATATTAATTGCAACTTTTCGGGATTTCCCAGGATGAAGAGTCAAGATGTGACTTGCTTCCCGGCGGAACGCTTGACGATCTAACCTGACTGGACCACAGTTTGTCTTCGTCCATTCAACTATTTTTTGGATTCTGATTATGGCAGCATATTCAACCTTAGTTGTAAAGCGCTATTGCTCAGAGCGAAATCTGCTCATTATGTGGCCCCTGCACTCTCTCCATTGTGAGTCAACAGTGGGTGGACATCCTGGTGAAGCTGAATGCATTGGTTGACAGCAGACATGTGTTTCAGTACTACAATCAACTCCAAAATGTCCTATGCGGTAACAGTGCATTCTTCAGATCGAAGCTAAACTTTGGGGGATCAATTTTATTCATTAGGCGATAAGTCTTCTGGATGATACCCTCAAACAATGGAAATGCTACCACAAAACAGCAATACAGCTGTTCAAGCATGATTGCAGACTCAGGGAAAGCACAAGGTGAAAAGAGCACTCTCTAAGGGCATTAAGTATAACAGAGAGCGAATCGGGCATGTCAAAAAATGAAATCAATTTTCCAAGCTTTCCAGAACGAACTGTAATGTATTACTGTCATGCGAGACTGTGCAAATCCAAGCTGTTCACTTAGCCTTTATGGTTTTCTCAACAATGTTGCTGACAGACGTCTTCAAGTTTGGCTGTTCAATTCCAACGCGGTTATGGAGGATCGGGAGTCAATGTAACTCGGGGAAAATGTCAAGTTACTAGCACTTATCGGCCGTTTTTTCCCCTTGCTGTTGGGTCTCTGCGTGCTGAGCTTGTTCGCGCTATGTGGGCAACATACAGCCAAAGGAGGATACATCTCGTAGAACCAAATGGCCGGGCATTCCAAGTCGCGTATAGTGAGTCTCCATTTTCAGGTGTTTCTCGGCCCTAGAACTGGGAAAAGACAACCATCGGAAAGGCTGATTGTGAGATTTGAGCTATGGCATCGAGGACGATACAGTGGAGGTGTTTGACACTAAAGATTTCAGGACCTGTTTGGCTTGGCTCTTGCGTGCGCGAGGTACCTGTGCCGGAGCTTTGGGATTGTCCGTGGCGCAGTGAATGAGAGCGCGCAGCATCCTCCATAGTCCGTGATACAGACGGGAAACATAAGCATACAATTGATACAATTGCAATAACCAAGACGAGCACGATTCCAAGCATGGTTTCTGCAGGAAGAAAGCCTGTTTCCCGAAAACCGCCGGTATTTAGACACAAAACATGAACCAAAGGAACGTCCAAAGTTCCATCAGTATGGGAAAATCTTAGTGGTTCTGTGCGTGAGCCTTCTATCCTCAGGGCAACTGCCGACGCCCTCAGATTCAGCACACCTGACTCGACCCCCTCGTTAAGCCATAATAGGCCAGAAGTCCCTCTCAGCTTCTAGAAGTGTCCGCCACCGGCTCTCTACCCTCGCCAGAATCTCAGATTTGATCTTCTCAGCCTTTCCAACTTCCGCTTGAGCTGCATCAAGTACCTTCTGTACGGCCTGATCAACGATGCTCCCTAGGCGCTCAACGAACGCAACAAACTCGGGACTGGTCCAGTTGGGAATAAACTCCTTTCGCAGGGCACCCCCATCAGCATCCTGATGACCATCTGCCGGCGATCCACGGCTCCTCTCGGCAGCCTTGGCGTGCGCAAACGACCATGCATCCAGATAGACTCTCTCAGTGCCCCAAAACGTCACAGCTCCTTCCAGCCAGGGCAGCAGGGGCGTGCTCATAGAGGTACCACATGCGTGAGCCGACACATGGGGTGTCACATCGGCAAATATCTTCTGCATTCTCTCCAGGGCTGTTGGTTGCTGGACTGAGTCATTTGATGACGGCCCAAGCACCTCGAGAGATAGGCCGTAGCGCTTAGAAATGTCAATGAAAAAGCTCTCCTCTCTGCGGATGGCCACCAATGCTTCAATCAGCCAGTCAGCCAACTGTGTCTCCCAAGCTGCATCCTCTTTCCCGAAAGGATCAACGTAAGTGGGGAAGTCTAAAGACGACAGAAGTTGTCCCGCGGCCCGGATATATGAGTGGATGTAGAGTCTGTCTGCTGCCAGCCATTTACCCAGTATTTCTTTTGGCAATCGGCCTTCTGCGCCAGCCAGCAAAAAGTCGCTTCGCGTCGCGGCTTTGTACAACTCAGGTTGCGAGGAGAGGAGGTGGGAAGTTAGGGACCAGCAGGCCATGATGACGTAATTCTGTTTACTTTTTACCCCAAATGGACTTAAGGATTAGCTGCAGGATGAAACCTAGCTTGTGCGCATGTTCTTGCTTACCAGAGCGTCACGTACTGAGAAGAAAAGACAAAGTTGATGCTCTAATGAATTCTTTGATCAGGATGAGAAATTTTTATGCAATGGGACAATGTTGCTCGGAGTTGATGTATGCAACCATCCAGCAGTGCCGCACAAATATGCGTTTGGTTACCCCACTCCAGCTTGTGCGACCCGATGCTCCACATCACGCTGACTTAACTGAGATGATGATCCACCCTTGACTGGCTGTCCACGATGCATGTCGTAACTTAGTCTGGAAAGTCATTGATGCACTGAAAACAAGAGCAGAAATATGAAAGGAAGATTATGACTATAGCACGCTTCATGCCACTTAATGACCCTGAGTATTTGGCAAGATAAGCATATTACACACAACTCACACATATGAACAGTCAGATAATGCGAAACAGCACACACACCGCACAGTCTAGACTTTTTGTATATTGACTTCATCAAACAATGGGGCAATACTCCCCCGAACAAACAGACCCAACCTGAAACCAAAGCCAAAAATGCGGCTGAAGTCCTCCAGAAACGCCAGGCCCAAATGCCCGCTCCCAACCTTCCCTGGACTCACTCCTAGTCGTCCGGGTCTTATTCGGTCCCGGCCTCCTCGGAGTCGTCCAACACCATCGCGTACATATCAGCCTCGTGGCCACAACCTCCTCTTCTTCCTCTCCTCCTCCTCGATGCCCGCTGCGCCCTGGACGAACTCGTCGGTAGCCCGTGCCAATTGGCAGTAGGTCGCCAGGTACTGTTGAGGCTGCAAAAGTGCAATGATCAGCATCCAGCGCTGACAAGCTAATGGAACAGAAACGGAAACAGAAGTGCACTAGGACATTGTTTGCCCATATTGAGCAACTAAGAAAGCCTGAAGGTGACAGGGAAGCCGACATTGATTATCGTGTAGTTTTTGGGTTTAGACAGAAACAAAAAGTGCAGGAGGAAAAGAAGAATACATAAGGGCAATGTCTGTTCGTTAGAAGAATTCACAATGAAAAAGAACACACCGAAGTGAAAGTCAGGGAGAGAGGACAAGAATCATAAAGAAAGATGGGTTCAAAAGACATCTGATAGCCCACACAAAACCTGAGTGCAGTCATTACCAAACATCTCTAGCATCTTGAGTGAGCAACAGGAAAGTGGAAAATTCTTGGGTATGTTGAGAACAATATTCCAGTTGGTTATAACTGAAGAAAACGAGGGATGAGTGCTGAAAGGGAAAGACGAAATTAGAGGGCAAAAGATGTTGAGGGCTACCAAAACAACCATATAACTTGGGGCAGGCCTGGCTGCACCTACAAGACAGGGCCAGCAGGAGGAGAAGAGACAAGCTAGGAAGAAACTGAGAGTGCAATATATGTAGACAAAACTTGGAGACCTAAGATTCGAAGTTGGTGTCCAGAGAGATGATGGCAGAAGGGATTCTAGATTTTTTTTTAAAAAAAAAATCTGCTGATAATCAGCAGTCAGAAAGCCAAAGCCCAGATAAAGTATTTATGCGCGAATGCAATGGATGCCACTACCGGGATGTCTGGCAGACTACTTACAATTGGAGGACGCGATACCCGACGAAAACCTCGTGAAGATGGCGTAAAAGGCATACGGAACCCAGTTGAGATGATGAAATCTTTTGAAAAAGAAAACACCAGCAGCAAATGCCAACTGGCAAAAACTGGGGCAGAGCTAAAATGTTGTTGTGATACCCTTTTGAAAAAAGAAGATAGTAATACCGGGCAAATGACGGGGGCGACGTAAGAGGCGAAAGCGGCAAAAGCAACCGGTGTAGGCAGAAAGCAACCGCAGGCCGGAAGAGTCGGATGATTTTGAAAGAAAAAGATCCGGAGACGAAGACACGACGAAACCCTTGGGCCTGGCTCAAACGTACACAATGAAGTGCTTGAGTATTTTGGAGAAAAAAAGCGACTAGAGGTCTTGATGGCGCTGGGACGGGAACCAAGATCGAGCGGGCAGCCAATGCCGGTTCGGAGAAAGAAAGGTTGCTCGCCTTGGGAAAACTGGTTGGAAGAAGGAAAAGCAAACAGAGTTCAAGGCAAGGGAAGAAATACTAGCGGGCCAGCGGGGACCCATGGCCACAGTGCCCCCAACTTCAGATCGACATCCGCGCCCATGCTATTGAACTGGTATAAATTTCTTGTTCTTCGGCCTTCCGTCTTGCTATTGTTGGTGCTTCTGACATCTTCTGTCTGTCCTGCGCCGTGTGAAGAAACCCAGCATATACCGGTCAATCTTAGGCAACAGGAAGAAATCACCAATAAGGAGACCAGATAGACTCGTTATTTCTTGTTCAGGTCTGTGTAACTATTTCATCTACCACATGGTTTCCGAGGAATAATGACCTAAGTTCGCGACTTTAACCAGGTCTTAAGACAGCAGGGTCACATTAATTATTGACAACAACATACAGTTGATTGTATAAGACCCTTGCTGGGCTTACAGTTTCGGGCCTTTTTTTCTATCAATAACGTGGACACGAGGGTCATTCAGAATACGAAGAAAAGACGCCATGTGAGCACACGTGGCCTCCCACTCCATTCCAACAAGTACAGCTATCCTGTCAATGGCCTAGGTGAGCAGTCTATGAAGTATTTACCACAAAACGGCTGCGGGCGTTAACGATGGCTCAAAAGAATTCCGCGAAGAGACGAGACACCATACTGTTCCGCAGACGGTGCTGGCGCCTGGTAGCCATGTTGTCAGTGCTTTTGTTCAAGAAAGTGAAATCGTCTGCTTACTGAATTGCGAGGATGAAGCCATATGGACCGAAGCTCCCCACACCGGCAAAGCCTCAGTGCCATCTGGAAGAAAGAGAATAACTCGCGTCCGATTTGGCATGGCACAGGATGCATGCCAATCTGGTAGAAGGCACGCTGGACCTGTTCATCTCGGCGAAAGCTACGCAGAATGCTTGCGTGAGCTTTTGAACGCATGTTTTCGAGCAGCTGAAACGCAATTCGTAAGACTGCGGCCACCTCTAGAAGTCGAAGAGTTTCTCATGTTGAAGCTCCTCCGAGTCAAAGTTATGTGGAGATAAGGTCTTTCGGAACTCGATAGTTGAATAACCCAACAGGTGGAAGTCACTCTAGGATAAGAGTCTAACGTGCTGCCAACTCTAATATTTATCTCCAAAAAGATCATGCTAATTAGAGACCGCGAAACCGACCGACGTAAAGTTGCTAAAAGAACTACACAGCAAAGGAGGTTTTGATATCGGTGCCTTGCCATTAGAGCTCGGCCTTTGGATTGAAGCCGTAGTTCTGTTGCTATGGCTGAAGAGAAAGTTATCGGGGTACACTGAAGCAAGAAACATGCGGTACACAGACCTCGATATGCTTAAGGTAGGTAGGTGGTAGCTATGCTGATCTTAATGCCGCCCACTAATAAACCAAATATTTCTCCCTATCGGACAGCAAGTCACGTCTGCATGCATATTGTCGTTGATAGACATACAGCATACATAGATTAGTGTTGATAAAGAGCTAAGATTCGGCACACTTTATGTCTACGGCAATGACTACCTACCTGATGTACCTTGAGGTCATTCAAGGACCCTTACGGCAGGGAGAAGATTCCAAATCACACGCACCTGTCCGGGCCTTACACCAATACTGTGGGCCAAAGGGTTCAATACAACTCAGAGACCAACATCTAAACACATGAGACCGCCCTTCAAAGGTCGGATATGAGATATGTCCTGGAACGACCCAGCACGGGCTGACTGTTAGTCAGGTGGTATTTGGTGAGCCACCTTAGCCGCCGCCACTTTACTAAAATCGTGGGTTCAGCTCCTACGATTGGCAGTCGTTCATGATAATTTGCATCTTGAACACTCGGTAGGTCACCCATATAACGGTTGTGGCTGGCCACTACACCTGACAGGACCACGTCCGTGGGACTGCTGGCGCGCTCTGGGGGATGACCAACCGACAAGAAGTCACTTTGCATCCGTCGGTCATCTGTCATGATAAGCAGAGTTGCTGCTATATTTGTTTTGATCAGAAATTTGAACGATGCTGATAACGGTGTTAGTGTGCTTTTTCGAGCATTTTAGCGACGTTGGACTGAACCCACTGATAGGGCTGAGGCTAGTCCAACTCGGTGTTTAGTTCCCGGCTTGGCATTACAACGGGCTCCACCATCACTGTCTGTATCGTAAAATTTTTAGTCCAAACCTGTTACCAAGTTGATCTATATCTATAAGCAGCCTCCAACAGTCGTAATCATAGTTGTTCGATATCTCAATTCACACGTATTGATTCCAGACCAGCGCATCGGTTCACGCAACATGCATCTCGTTTGCCGATATGTAAAGGTCGACCCCGCTTCCCGGGCCGTTCCGTTGTGGCATCTGGGGAAGATCTTGATGCCTAACCGATCCGGCGCCAACGAACAGCGAGGATGCAAGTGGACGCCACACCACGCCGTGACTCACAAACATACGTTCGCGATCAGCAGGTTCCACAACGTCCGCCTGAAATAGCACTTGTACCAGAGCCATGTTTCTAGAGTCCCAGACACTGGACGCAACATCCATGCATGTCCGAGATACGCAACCACGCACAAGGATGTCCAGAACATGCTTTTCATGTCGGTACATACTTGAGTGCATTCTGCTCAGCTGCAAGCTCGAGGACATGACATCCCAAGCTTGATCTGCAGATGCTGTTCTCTCAAATTTTATACCTAGACCCACAACATATTATCCGAAGCCCGCAACAACTCGATGGTGGCCTGTTGGGAAAACCAAGACGGCTGATTCGGTTTGAAAACTCGAGTCAGCACTAATCAAGGCCCAGATAATCTGTTGTTTTCTCTAACTATAATACACATTGAACAAAATGGGAACAGAACTTCGTGAACAGACGTGGACTCTCTCGGGAAAAAAAAAGACTGCGGAATCACTGCCAAATAGCAAATACATTGAATTCCAGCTGGACCGGTTGATTAGCTCCGCATTATTCGAGAATGAGACTTTGCGACCATGCCAGCCGTCCGCAAAATAACTATGTCTTCTGTTTACTTATGCCGGAAATAAAGGACAACGACGAGCCAATCTTGAGGGTACTGCTTACTCGTAGCTCCCCGAATCCGCGCTACATCCTTCGCTGCTCTCGACACGCTTGACATTCTCTAGCCACTCCTCTACAAGCTCACGGTAATCGGCCGGGCTGTATGGTTGCAAGATCTCAGAAAACCATCCCTTCTTTCGGCGTACTTTGAGACCAAGGTCATCAACCAAGAGATCAACATATGGCAACGCGTCGAAGACAAAGTCAGGGAACCGGTCTCCATGGCCTGCCGGATAGCGCCAGCGGCCGAAACGCGAGTGAAGTAAAGTCTCGCGTCGGATATCCTCTGTTGACTTTCCGTTTACGTCTAGATGTGCGTCCTCCTTGTTTGTGCGCAGAGTTGGCAGAACATCTGCAGGCAGCTGGTTGTTAAAGTATGCATTAATCCAGAGCGCTTGAACATGGGCAATTATGGAGGTAGTGAAGTTGAGCAGAACCCCAGCGAAAGCTATGTCCCGTGTTTGAAGGAGCTGAGCAGACGGTGGTACCATGAAGCGATACAATGTCCACGGAGTTAGGGGCGTATCTGAGGTTATCTCGTCCGAGCTTGAGAGGCCCTCAGTATCCAAAAGGGGTTTGAACTTCTTATTCTGCACTGGTTGGTCTTGAAGCCGAGGAAACCGTGTAAATATCTCTGAGTCCGCCTTGGCGATCTCCTCTGAGGTAAACAAGTCCGCCTTGTCTAGGGCATGAGGGAGGCCTAGCTCCCTGTCGATTCCCTCAGGGAGGAACTTCACTGGCGGCATATACTTCCAGCCCGTAACACAGCACAGTGCATCTGCATCTAGGCGTGTTCCATCAGATAAGTGGACTGCCTTAGCAGAAAGCCCCGTAATGTCCGCAATGTGCACCCTCACGCTGCCATTTCGGACATACTCAAAGATGTCGGTTGGATAGTTCAGGATGGAAAAGGAAGAGGCCACAAACATGGGATTGCTCCATGGTTTCAGCTTCTTTGTTTCTGGATGGGCGTCGTACCGGTTTAGCGTCAGAACGTCATTGCCAATGACCTTCCAGAAAGCGTCCGTGATTGCGCGGCCAACGGCAGTTTCGTGGTAAAACTTGCGAATACCCTTAAATCCATCAACTCCTCCCCATATGCAGGGGCTGAGCCATGTCAACAGACGTGTATCTGCACCACAGAGTCAATACATCTACTAAAAATTAAAGCATAGTGATGTCAACGTTTCATGGTCATACTTACGCACAAGTTTTTCTAACCATACCCTTAGCGGCGTGACATATGGTGGGGATATCCAAATAGGACCATGGCCACTCTCTTCAACGCATGTAGTCGTTAGACAGTTGTACTTGAAGAGGGATCTATTCGCGCCAATCTTACCTCTGATAACCCAATCTACTTTGACTCCTTGTGAGGCATATGCATACACAACGTCGAAAGCTGACTTTGTTCCACCGAACACGACCACAGACTTGGAGCTTTGGATCGTGTCCGAATGCTTCGGAAAGTCCTTGCTATGGAACAAGGGTGCCCCAAACTTCTCTTCGCCTCTAATGCGCGGTAGAAATGGTTCTGATGTAAGTCCGGTTGCGATGACAAGCTTTCGTGAAAATACTCTGCTTTCAGTGCAACCGTTCTGGATGCTTAGAATCCAGCCTCCCTCATCTCCGGTTTGATGTTCTGCAGAGAGAACTTGTGTTTTACGCCGAATTTTGTTAATGATTCCATATTTTTCGGCGTATCTAGTGAGATATTCATTCATAGCTTCTCCAGATATGTGCTCACCAGGCTGAATGCCAAATGTCTCGGGCTCCATCGGGAAGTCGGGGTATTCAAAGGTTCCCAGCATGTTGTTTGTCTTGAGCCCTGGATACAAACGGTCCTTAGACCACACTCCACCAACCGTTGACCCGGAATCAAAGACAACTAAACTTTTGGTGGGATTTAACTGGTGCAGTGTCTTGGCCGCAGCGACGCCAAAGAATCCTATCCCCATTGGACAAGGCAGTCATTAGCGCCAAATTCAAGCATGGAATCCGGAGCATCAGTTTACCGTACCTGCTCCAACGACCGCAAAGTCAAACGTTTCCATCTTTAAAAGCGCTGAAAGGGACGTTGAGTGTGTCGAGACATCAGCTGTTAAGGACTGACATGCGTCAGTAAACTGTAGGTGATGAGTGCTGAAACATCAGTGGCAGATATAGGTGTTGGAAAGTGTAGGTGGCCAGAACGCCTTCGGTCCCGACTGCAGGGAAGAGGGATTGCAGGTGCGACGGATAACGTGGTGGCTTGCAAGAGGTATCAATGGAACAATTGGGAGGATTGGGCCATCTGCAAGCAAAAGAGTCTTGAGCTATCGAGAACATACTCTTGGTCTACTCATTTCATGCCAAGATTAATTCGGCGCTACTTCGATAACGCCACCTTGGTCACCAATTGGGCTACCGGTGGAAGAAACTCAGTTAAGTACTAGTTGCAACGCAATTCTGACTGTCTGGGGATCCGATAGTAGCATAGATGCCAATTACAAACGAGGCCAAGCTCCCAGTTCACACCTGATCACCAATCCTACTGTTTCTTGAGGATATATCACGGCATCGTTCTACGATGCAAAATTGCATCCTGGCTTATCAGAGTGCGATACTGGCAGGAATACCATGCGGGGCGCTAATTAAGGCAGTTCATTAATCATCAAGCTTTAATCCAACATTGGCTTTAATCTGTGCGTGTCAAAACTCTTGAGCAGACCCACAGTATCTGTACAGAGGCTATGACATCTAAGCTATGTTGTCTTCGTGCAAAATGCTTCGAATAAATTTTAGAGATTGTAACTTCATTAAGTACTGCAACTCTGATGTTGCTAATTCTCCCTGGTTGTGTACTGAAGGTGTGTTAGTTATACTGACTTGCACGGTTGCCACGAAGTAGCTGTGGGTCGTGTCTATGGATAGGCTTTTTTTCACCGTTGAGATAGCTTGTTTTTTTGCGGTTACCCCAGGACTTAGGTGGCAGAACGGGTATGAAAATTTTAGACTAGGTGAATCTCTGGCTTTCATAAACTACAAAGTCATCAGGTACTTCAAGAGACAACCGGAAGCAGTATGTGTTTCGTGCTGTATATCCGATGCTACATACCGTATGGTGTCTTGATAGCCATGCGGCCCCATCTTCCATGCTTTGCGCACCCATGAAGTGTGTCTTAAAAGATCAACCACCAAGCCAAGCAGCATTGCTCGCTATGTTCAGAGGTCCTCGGCCATTAGGATCTTTTGTGCTGGTTTTGTCAATTGACTATAGAGCACCATAGATGCTCTGAGGTTGAATTCTGTCAATTATCCCATGCCGGTTATAGTAAAAGCACACCTCTGTTCCCAGTTGGAACATCGACATCCGGTGCATTATGTCATTATTTGCATTTGTTCTTTTAATAATCAATACAGTGCTAGGGCAAGGACTTGCTTAGATGCCAATGCCATCAATGGAAAGCATATATAACGCCTGGGTACTGCATCCACAAAGACAGTAATAGTCTTAAGCACAATATTTCGATTTGGTGAGGGCCGTTTGCTCTCCAAAGTCTTGCAGATACCTGTAATACGCATCGTGGAGACTGGACACGGACCGCAAGCACCTTGCATCTACTTTGCAAGTAAAATGTCAAGTAAAATGTCATGATGACGGCATGAACCTGAAGATATGTGGCAAGTCAAGGACAGGACTGTTGCATTGGCATCAAAGCAACCAACAGAATATCAATGGATCTACCTGACCTGAAGGAACAATAATATTGTCAGTACTACTTTGTGTTCCTGCATACTGTCTCCATACGAGGGTGGCATAGGTAGCCTGATGACACAAAAAGGCTTTGAGGGGCTACTAACCTTAAGACAACAACCAATTGCTAACATGGCCGCTAGATTCGCGCACTGGCCTGGCCGTATGCAAGCAGATTCGCAGGGTTAAGAACAATGACTCTAATCTCCCGATCAGTCTCGGAGGTACAAGTTTAAGCAGGAAGACTGAGAATTACGGGGGTGAACATTGAGTACAGATCCTTTTTTTGCTAAGGCCTGGAGAGGTTGCTCCAGCTTCTGATGTCTAACTCCCAGCATGTAAAGTTGTTCACAATTTCGTGCCGGAGTAACCTAGGTATAGCATTTGTCACATCTTACCAAGCTTTAACCATACGGATTGAGGAGCTGTAGTTTTGGAAGACTTGGGAATAATAGGAACTCACGCAGGACGTCTTTTGTTGTTGAACTAGTGCCCTGCTCCGTCTTCCATCCGTGCCTTACTTTTAGGTACCCACGAGTGTTTTTCGACTGAACGTGCAATCACCGGTGCAGATGTATAGAGATACTTGGTTGACAATACGTTGCTGCTCGCTGTAAAGGCATCGGAATCAGTCATGTTCCATTGAAGAAATAGCACTGACCGACAACACATCCAATCCTTACTTTCTTGTCCGCAAATTACGTCACTACTCCGCCAATAAATGCTGTTGTACTTAGAAGCAGAAGCCACTATAAGAACACAACTACCAGTCAACAGCACTAGTCAATGGCTGGGCTGCCTTTGCCATATTAGATCTATTATTGTCGCACACATTTAGGGACACCGAGCTCAGAGATGCATCCGCATGTACATACTTGACAGCAGGATATGTGCAGCTGCGGACCCAGTCAAAAGGTTGCGCAAATGCCTATTGCCTCTCGCCACCTACCCTTGACGTAAACCGCAGCCAGATCCTCACATTTTCGCTTCTGCAATTCTCCTCTCTGACTTGCCGTCCAAGAAGATGATCGTAATGGACCCCGATTCAGGCCATCGATAGTCTTAGTTATTGTGTTGTTCCACCACTAGACTCCTGCTCTCCGCTAGCTGCCGCCGTCCCCCTCCAGGACCCTGGCATCGGTCCGATCTGATCGCTCAAGACAAATCGCCGTCGGTTGCCCTCGGTTTTGCTGCAACTAGCCGGTATTGGAGGCGAAAACGGATCCATGGTTCAATTTGACGCGTTCACGAAGGAGGCTTTCTCCTTGCTTGGTGTAGGACTGTTTTTGGTCGGCCTCCGACTGTACGTGCGGTTCTCGCTGGGAGGACTGAAAAGATTCCGTGCGGATGACTATCTGATGATAGCGGCAGCGGTAGGCACTTCATGATGTTTTCCAGATGATTGGTATTCGCTTATGCCATCCTCATGTTCGGGTTGCCTACATCATTGGAACATATCTTGCATTTTCGGTAGGGGCGTTTTGGAAGGGTCTGGCCAACAATGGCATGACCCCTGAGCAGAGGAAAAATCTGGATCCGTCCAGTGAAGAATACCGACTTCGGTATGGCAAATATGGGATCAGCGTACCCGCCCGTGTGTCCACACAAGGCAGCTAACGAGCATCCAGAGTGAACGGATCCAAAACACAGGTAGCTGGCTGGTGCACATATGCATTTCTCATGTGGGCCATTAAGGCTTCTATGTGCTTCTTTTACCTGCAGCTTACAGTAGGGCTCCATCACAATTCATCTTCATGCGGCATGTTGCTTACAGTTGTCTCCGAAACTAGGACGGTGTCGGCTTTCGCAAAAGGATCTTGGGTGGATTTCTTCTACTCTTTATCACTTGGCTGACAGTTGTACTTTCGGTATTGTTGGCCTGTCGTCCACTAAGTAAAAATTGGCAAATTTACCCTGACCCGGGAAGTAAGAGCGACTATATGCTTCCCTATACGACGATCAGTCGCTAATATATTATAGATTTCTGCCAACCTGCAGTTTCGAGGGTAAACATTTATGTCACTCTTGTTTTAAATGTTTCAACAGACCTCTATCTACTGAGCATCCCAATACCAATGTTTTGGGGATCGACAATGAAACCACTCAAGAAGTTTGGTTTGATGCTGCTCTTCTCTGGTGGCCTGTTTGTCACAGCAGCTGCAATCCTGCGGTGCGTTCTCATAGTTACAGTTAGTATATTTCTCAAATCGCCGCTGCTGACAAATAAGTACCAGAGATGCTGATTCGCCGTCAATAGGATCTGGCCCACGGCGCTGAGAAAGCAGGATCTTGGGCAGTTCGTGAAACCTTTGTTGCCATTGTCACCTCCAATCTGCCCATGGTTACTCCCCTGATCAGGCGGATATTTCATCCCATCATTGGAACTCTCAAATCATTATCTTACACAGGAAATCGGCCATCGAAGGCTTCAAAGAGTTCGGAGCACCAATGGGTGCTCATGCTGGAAAACAATCGTCGTGGAATGGGGCCTCGAAGTGTTCATCCAATTCCAGATTTCAGTGCAAATGACAGCAACGAAGTTATGCTTTCCAGTCTTGACCTACAAGATAGCCAAGAGCAAGCGACAAGGAGCATATCTCAGGAGGGCAACAAGGAACCTTGTCGGACAGCAAGCCTAAGTGATATGAGTAAGGTTATTGTTAAGAAACTGTCTGTGGAGGTGACAAAAAAGCGGAAAAGTGAGGTCGATGGTTACACCGATCCACAAGACATCGGAGACTATTATTTAATCCATCAAAGGAAGCGAGAGGAAGACCGTATCACATCACAGACCAATGATAGAGACGACAGGACAGGCAGTAACTTAGGGATAGGCATAGCTCTGTGATTTCACTGGGATCATGATATAGCTTCAGCAAGAAGTATTATTCATGCTGTTCTTTTTTGCGCATTCAATATTTACTCTCTTTAGTTCTCTCAAGCTCCATCCACAGTGCCAATTAAGACATGTTTTTGAGGGATGGCTGCAATCCTTCGTTCGCCTCATCAAGCCCATTGATGCATTTTCATAATGCAGTTCCACGATAACCAGGGGTTCAAGCTTCGCCATCGGATCCTGATACGTATCGCCATTAAAGTCAGTTTTATGCGACATCTTGGGTTAGCCGAACATCTTGGTTCCGAGACATCATGACATGACAAGTCGAACTGATCACACAGTAATGTAGCAATCAACAAGGAGGGAATCCTGATCTAGCTTTAACCCACCCAATGCCGGCGGGGTAAGTGGTGCACGGACCATATCAAACAAGCCTAAGTGCCAAGACCTTGAGGACCCCGCTAAAACTTTCTTAACGGCATGTCACAACTATCACGAGATGCATCCTTTGTTCTTCCAGTCCTATATCCTTCGTTTTCACTGGCTTCATACAATGGCTCGTGGTGAGTGACTATATGTTGAACCCTTTGTTTCCATATAATGTTATGCCGTTTCACACGCCATACTGATCAGGGCCGTGCGATTATAGTCGTTCGTGATACCCGTCCTATCGTTATCTCTGGTCCGTCAGGAGTCGGCAAGGGGACCCTCTATGGCCTGCTCTTTCAGGTGTGAAGCCGATACCATTTCGTTCCGCAGTCCCGGAGGATACAAATACTTACCATTGGTATATTCAGCGCCACCCCGACACCTTCACTCTTTCCGTTTCCCACACCACAAGGCCACCGCGTCCCGGGGAGCAAGATGGCGTTCACTATCACTTTGTGACCAGGGAGGCCTTCTTGGAACTCAAAGCTAAAGACGGCTTTGTTGAGAGGTGCCGAGTGATCCCTTCCAACCTTTGCCTTTTTAGGTTCATCATGCTGATGAGATGTCCGGCAGTGCCCAGTTTGGAGATAACCTCTACGGAACTTCGAAGGCTACCATCGAGGAACAAATGGCCAAGGGCAAGACTGTGATCCTGGATATTGAGATTGAGGGTGTTAAGCAGATCAAGGCTTCCGGCTTCCCTGCTCGGTTCGTTTTCATTGCTCCTCCTTCTGAAGAGGAGCTGGAACGCCGCCTGCGCGGTCGCGGAACCGAAAAGGAAGAGGCCATCCAAAAACGCCTGCGCCAAGCTAAAGTTGAGCTTGAGTACTCTAAGGTCCCTGGTATGCACGACAAGATTATCGTCAATGATGTGAGTCCCTTTCCCCCAAGCGGCAGGCTACTGCGGATTGTACTCACAACTGCCGGATGCAGGATTTGGAAAAGGCGTATAAGGAACTTGAGGATTTCGTTTTTGCAGAGCCACTGACGAACCTTTAATGGACTTCCGAACCCTTTTCGCCATATCTTCCACTTGAATATTTCCAAACCGATTATTGGTTATCGACTACCCGGTCAAAGATTGACTAGATTGCAACTGATCCCCTTTCCAGATGGACCTCCTTTCCGAGCCATCACATTTCACTGCAGCATTCCTCTCTTCTGGTAAAAATCGTGATGATCCTGGAGCAAACGTATATTTCAGCCCGTAATCTTTTGCGTAGTGGATACACAAACTTACCTAAACTTCAAACACCGTGTCCTTATATTTTTCTCCGGTGAGCACGGAGCCTTTGGTCTCACCATTCGATGGATGAGACCAGGGAAAACCTCAGGCTCGTAGCTTGCTGACAAGTGATGATCATGAGAGAACCCCTCTAGACGAATGTGAAAACCACATGAGGCCAGGACGAACAAAATTCTGCACGTTAAAGTCAAAGAAACCAATGCTGAAACCGCATTTCTGGACAGTGCGAGTGTGGGGTCGGGCTACTAGGTAGGTTGGCTCCGTCGACTTGGCACCCGTGATAATCATCATCCTACCTGAAGTACATATAAGAGCTGAGGTGTGCGGTTCGCGAATGCGCGTAATCAAGGCATGGAACTGTTCTGGCTTATATTGGACATTGCGGGCACTTTTACTAGGAAGTTCAGATCTAAACGGCAGCTAAGGTTGAGTGTTGCTACAACATTCTGGATTTGGGTAGCAGCCAGTTAGGTTTGAGCATTTGTTGCCATGTCAGCAAATGTGAGTGAGGTGTTGTGTTTTCTCACAATCCGTAGATTGTCCTTTCTCACGTAACTTACCAATGGTGTCTCTGAACACATCTGACAGCGAAGTTGGAATCTTATCGGGATCACGCATCGTAGAATGCATCAAATAGCGTAGTGGCATGTTTCTCATATGCTTATGCTTGGAACAAAGCCTATGTGGTTCTTCTGATGCACCGGCGATATCAACCAACGGGACTACGCACCGAGCAAAGATCTAGCTTTGAGAGTGCCGACTTTTGGGCCACGATCAATGCACAATACACGCATAAAACAATATCCTAATTTGCTTCTACCTAGCTTGACTAAGCAATGATGTTGAAAATGATTCCTCCCATATGTTCAACTAAAACAGCAAGAGGGGTAGTATCTCACATTTCTCATAGGAAATATAACTCCCCATGGATGCTTTTAGCAAAAGAGCTGTTTATCACATGTCTTGGCCCTCTTGACAAAACTATGACATTTGTCTCAAGTACAAGATAGAGTAGGCTCAGGATTTGACCGGCGCAAATCCAGAAGCAGAATCACGTGCATACGTGCATACGGACATCTCATACTTGCGATGGTGTCAATATGAGAAACTCTTGATGGAAGCTGAAATGTTCAAGTGCAAATGGCATATTATGAACCATGAAATTGTATTCGACATTGTTTACGTCCCGGCTGTTTCCCCTAAACTTAGCCAACCGGCACCCTCCTATACATTGCAACTGTTTCTGTACGTGGGAGAAACATCAGCATGGTCTCGTTTCTTCCCAAGTATTTCCGTTCGAAAATTAATGGAACAAGGGCTAGAAACGACGATGATCCCGTCGGTCAAGATTCTCGGTCGCAAAGGCGATCACGCTTCTTTTCTCTCTTGACTGGTAAGAAAAGAAGGGAGAGAACAGAGGACTTTCAAAACGCACGGCTCCGCAAAAATTACCAACACGCCAGGGCGTCAATTGCAGACCAAAGCGATCTTCCAGACTTGCCCTCAATACCGATCTACCAAACTTTCGAGGCGAATTCCCAGAGACAAAGCAAGTCAACGGCCTTCAGTACGGAAAAAGTCCCAGAGATGTGGCACAGTTCTAGCCCACGGCACGACATGGTGGAATTCGCTACCTCCTCTCATTCCCGCCGGATCAGCCAGGTCGGTAGACAACAAGGTGTTATCCGAGGCAAAGTGCCTATGAGTTGTGGGCATGATCCAGCTATCGAACTTGGCAGGATGTATAGCTCCATGCTGCCCGATTTTGATACCATGGAAGGAGAAGTAGCAGGGTCAACACAGGCCCAAAACTGCAAGAGGGACTCGGTCCTGTCAAGCACTCAAAACCCGGCAGACAACGGAGCTCCTTGGTCTCCCTCTTCTAGGAGAGATCATTCGCATGCATTCGACGCGGACAGTTACCACTACAATACGCCCACTCGCAGTGCACCTCTCCGCACGCGTTCGAAGTCATTGAACGAAACGGTTAGAAAACCGCTGACCATGACTTCTGGAAACATTAATCACAAGAGTCACGTGCGAATCCATCCTGTAGAGTGGGAATCGATCGCAGCAGGCACCAATTCTGGTTCAAACGATGATTCTTCCTCTTACGATCACTCAGAGTCTGGTGACCCCGAGGCTGATTTACAAGTGAGAAGCAGCGGGCATCTAGAGAAGGAAAAGACACAAGGAGTTTGGTCCTCGTCGATAGTTTCAGCTGTCAGGGCAAGCAATGGCACCGGAGAGAAGCGACATTCGTCTGCATTGCAAGCATGCGCAAACATTACTGCAGATAGGGTGACCGAGGCCCTTGTCCGGTGTGCCAAAGCGGTGGAAAAGGAGCAAGCCGAGTTTCGCGCTTCACTATCCCGAAACGGTGCAGACCCAGTAACGAGCATTAGGGGTGAGATGAGCGCGGTTGGTTCCGAGACATCAAAGGCACAGATCCTGCTGATAATGGAGTCGTACCTGGCAGTCCTGGACGGATACCATCGGGGAGAAGGCAGGCATGAAGGAGACGATAACGAGGTGATCCATCTATTGGAGCATTGGATTGGCGTTCTGTATAATGTATACGAGAGGATGTTTGGTGAGGGTCCAACTGAACTGCTTGAGACGAACGATCAGTGGTAAAGTTAACAAGCAGGTGATGGAATGATGTCATAGTTGCACGTCCAAGGAACAACATAACAGGCGAAATGTTGATGGAAATCGCTTGGCTCCGATCTAGGTTGGTTCCAACTTCGTGGAGGAACTTTCTCTTGTGGGCAGCATGTTAGGGTAAGATCTGTTAACTGCTTGCCTCATCACCCTACAAGCCCAGGCAAGTGAACGCGATGTCCCTGCAGCGCTTGAGATAATCGTCTACGGTCTCCCTCGTATGCCAAGCGTCGTTGTAGGCAGCACTCAGGCACAGTTCGCCATCAAAGGTGGACAGAAACAGACCCCAGCCGGTACCAAGCTCCTCGCCAGTAACCCAAGGGTTGCTGACCCTGAAAGCCCCCATCTTAGGCGTTAAGATCGTATCAGAACGGCCCATACTGGAAATTGATACTGATGGATGGGCGTTCGGCAGAGGAACAGGGAACGAATGGGACGAGGGGACGGGTAATGGCGGTGTCGATAATGCCCACAACTTTGGAACGAGGGCATAGTGATCGCTGTCATTCCGAACGCCCTCATAGAAAGCCTTGATTGTTTTGAGAACGGAATAAAACTCTTGCTTGCGATCCTGATCGCTCGGCTCATCACCTGCTTTGCGCAGATCCAGGTCGACCACCAGACTATTTCCCGAAACAGAGTGATAGAGGGCCACTGGATGACGTGTAGAGTTGAAAGGCTCCGCGCATCGAGATCGTTCGTTACGTAGGATGTAACTGATGTACCGGACACGTTTGGTGACTTCCGGTCTAGGCTGGAGATCGCGCAAGGCAACTGCTGCGGCCGCGTGGAAGACATGCGTCGGGGTGACGCCGTTAACCTTGCAAGCAGCAAGAAAAGAGGAAGTTTGGTCCCGACTGAGAGTGAGAGCTGAACGCTGATGGCGACCGGGAACAAGGGCGCCATGTTGGAAAGGAACAGTGAGTATCTCAACAGTCGCGTCTGACTTCACAGCAGCCCTCTGTGCTATGATGCGCTCGATCCTTCGCTCTTGGGCTTCAGTCAAGACTGATGGTACGAAAGCAGCAATGCGGTAGGATGGGCTGAGATTTGCGTTTTCAGAACCGTCCAGAAGGGGGATTGGATAGCTGTCACCTTTGGAATATGCTTCTGAGGAGCGCGCGATAAAGTTGCTGAACAGCATCAGCGTCCCAATGCCATCGATAATATCGTGTGGTGAACGGAGAACGATATCACGGCGAATAATGAAATTCCCTGCCTCACCTCGAGCAGAAGGCTGTCGAAGGACGAAACAGGTCGGGTCTTTGGGAGCCGGAGGATCGGAGTTTGCAAACTCAGCGCCACTTTGCCCATTGGACAACACAATAAACGTCCTTCTGAGCCAGTCTTCCAAGTCCGAAGCTGCAAGGATTTTCCGATAAGATTTGATCCATTCATGTGTTTTGCTGTGCAATGAAACGCGAGATGCGATGGTAGGATGGTCGTATCGCATGCAAATCCAGGCTTTGGAGAGGGCGGCATCAAGTCGCTTTTCAGACTCGTCGACGGACATGTGACTGGGGACATCAACTTCGATGGAGACATGGCCGGTGATAGCAAAGAACATGCGACCGCTTCCCTCATACAAGGCAGCCATGGTAGCGTAAAACTCCTCGACCTCATCGATGCCGCGCTGCCAGAGGCCAGGAGAGGTCTGGTGCCACTTGAGCTTCTCATGAACTACCATGTTGCTTATGCTCGTCGTTCGTCCGCTATCTCAGATAGTGGTCCTCGGCTTAATGGTGATCGCAAACGATCTCCCAGAAATATCCGAGCAGCTACATATTTGCTTGCCTTTAAGTCGTCTACCTTCATCTCGGATCTCCAAGTTCACGTAGACCGTGGATAGGACCGGATTGTCGGGCTCGTTCTCCGCAAGATTTTTGTTTCAGCCCCACTGACTTGCTAATAGTCGGAAGATGAGGGTAGGTTAGATCAAACTCAAGCTCGAGAATAGTTGATTCCTTTCGCTCCGATGATTCTATGTCGGGACGCGCGGTCCAGGTCACTCCTTTTGAATCTTAATCCATCAATAAGCAGTGTCGCCGTGTGGCTGCCTGTCTCTAACCACTTACCCCACTTACCCCATCAGTTGCGCTCCCACCAGAACCCGGGAGTTCGGGCCGCCACGCTGCCTTTCGGAAAAGCGTCGCTAAAACCGCAGCCAGCCATCAGCTGACTAATACGTGCGCCACAATGTGGAACAGCCACTCTACTTGTGCTCGCCCTTCCCAGTCCATCCCCAGTACTCTCCGGAAGCAAGATGTGACTTGTAGCGCGCTCTCCCAGCATATTAACTAGCATCTGCCAGTGGGGATTTTGGTATACTGCAGCAAGTTTGCCTGTACGACTTTTCAAATAATACTAGTTTGGCTTTGCACCACAGTTGAGAGTTTCGAAGTGGTTGTCTCATTCCCTGTAGCCCCAAGCTCCAGGCTCCAGGTAGTCAATCATCAACGCGGCTTGTCATCTGAAGCCTCAATCGACACAGCGCAGTAACCTTCACCTTTGGAGAAGGAGACGTGAGTGATGGAGATGCGTGTTATTGAAACAGAACCTGCCAACACACCGGCGTGTTTGCCATACTTCAGCGAACCTGCCGAGCCGACTCATGAGGTGCGAAAGTCTCAGGGGCATGGACACCGCCACCATCAGATATACTCTCCTATTGACCGGGAGCCCCAAACCCATGGTGCCGATCATGTTCTCACGCTCAAGTTGGTGAGCGCCGGCTTCTCGTTCTTCGTCGCTGGTGTCAATGACGGCAGTGTGGGCGCTCTGATTCCGTACTTCATGCGTGAGTATGGAATCAGCACCACCGTTGTCTCTACCGTGTATGTGATCCCCCATCATCTTTAACCCTCAACGCTCCCTGGAGGAGTGGCCACCTTGCCATTAAAGCCCACGATGTGCAGGATTTGAGTGTATTTATCATAGTCTTCTGACTCTCGACTGGCTGATAGTTTCATTTCTAACTTCCTCGGCTGGCTCTCCGCTGCCATCTCCAACACCCATCTGAGTCAGTGTCTCGACTTGGGCGCCATGCTCGCCCTTGGCGCTGCATGCCAGGCTGCTGGCCATGCCTTACGACCCTGGGGCCCGCCTTTCGCATTGCTAGTCTTCAGCTTTTGGCTTATCACTCTCGGCCAGGCCTACCAGGACGCCCATGCAAACACTTTTGTGGTCCGAGTTGGAAGCGCCGCCCACCACTGGTTGGGCTTCATTCATGCTATGTACATGGCAGGCTGTCTTGTAGCACCATTTGTTGCCACTGCTGTTGCCTCATCCGTTGGTGTTGGTGATCGATGGCATCTGTTCTATGTGTGCCCTCTAGGGCTGGGGTTAGCCAACCTGGTCCTTGTATTGGTGGCATTTCGTGATTCGGTCAGACTTATCTGCACACCCAAAGCGTCTTCGCAAGACGCCCTCCCTCCAGATCAGGGAAACACAGCAGCAACCCCATCCCGCCATGCTGCCGCCGCTAATTTGATCAAAATAACCCTGTGTACACCAGCCATGTGGCTGTTGAGCCTGTTTTTTTTCTTTTTCCTTGGTGCTGCCATCACGGCAGGAGGGTGGCTCGTGGAGTACCTCGTAGTAGTCCGAGGAGGCGAACTGGCACAGATGGGTTACGTTCCGGCCGGGTTCAACGGAGGCTGTCTGCTAGGACGGCTTTTGCTCCCAGAACCCACAAAACGGTTCGGTGAACGTCGCATGATCTTCTTGTATGCCGTCTTATGCGTTGCGCTTCAACTTCTATTCTGGTTGTATGTCCTATCCCTTGTCCAGCTCGAGCTGACCTCTTCCATCCGGACCAGCATACTGACTGCTCATATCAGAGTCCCTAATATCATAGCTGCTTCGATCGCTGTTAGCTTCCTCGGCTTCTTTTCTGGCCCTTTCTTTGCAACGGTAAGCATTATCCCACGGATTTTACGCTGGCAAGTCCTTTTGTACTCATAAAAGTGGGTTTCAGGGAGTCTCGGTTGGTTCGAAGCTCTTTTCACCAGAAATACATTCAACTGCCTTGGCGTTCGTCTTTGTCCTTGGCCAGCTTGGAGGTTCATTGTTTCCCATTGTTACGGGAATCCTCGCTACTCGGCTAGGTGTTGCAGTGTTGCAGCCAATTTTAGTTGCTCTCCTCGTGGCCACCGCTATTTCCTGGCTACTTATCCCCAAGCCAAAGTCGACCGAGAATACAGCATTGCATCAAGATTAACCACAATTTCCCTTGCTCTTGAATTCTCCATGCTACGTACAGAGCAATCCCAGGATTCTTGTCTAAGCCGCCAAGCCTTCATGGTTCTACATCGACCAGGGGCCAGTTGATACCTGCATCTGCCGCTCCAATACCGCCAAGACCCTCACAGCTGAAGAAACCAACCGGATTGTTTTCAACTGCTCGCATAAACTGGAGGTCAACACATTGCTCTATTTCAATTGTTAGCTAATCATCACTTTGATGCTACCGGGCCATCAGATGTGATAGTCCGAGGACATACTGGAATCAGATGCTTTAAGAGCAATGCGACCGTCTTCCATTACAACCCAAGTTTGCGACGGAGAGTTTTTAACACACTCGATGACATAAATATCTGCCATGTCTTTCCAGTTGCCTGCTATCTAGTCAGCGCTTGTTTTCCTTCCAGTCTTTTACAAAGGCACAGGATCACTTGCCTTGAGGACCTCCGTCAAGGCACAAGCTCGTGTCAACTAGTTGAATTTTTGTTTCACCATCCTGGAGGTACCACTGCTGTTCTACAGTGTTGTTTCGCGTCTTACTGCCAAGGTGTTAGCGATTTGTCGAGTAAAGCATGACTACCCGCTCAACGTACATGATCGTTGTGCTGCCCGCAACACGGTCCTTTGGAACTACAACGAATTTTGGATCTATCTTGGACGTAATGTAGACCTTACGGTATCCATCAGAGACATCTTGACCGGCCGCTATTACGGCAAGTCCAAAGAAAGAGACCAAACACTTGAACATTTCGGCAGGGCCTAACACGCTCACGACGCAAAATGGTTCACGGTGACCATTGAAATGTTTATGTTTGTTTTCATGCTAGTTTGTGTCTTTTAAATGTTGTTCCAGCGCAAGGCTTCGTTCATAGGCAATATCGTTTTTGGAAGAGCTAGCAGGTTCCAAATCGGCGCTTCCAGTTAACAACGTAAGTTCAGACCAGTCTTCAATGGTATACATGCTATTAGTTTGTACAGTTATGGTTGGCTCATCAAAATCAGCCTGGATTCTCTGGCTAATGAGCGCGCGAATGGAGTAATCGATATGATAGGCTAGTCAGGAGCCTGATTGCTTGGATAAATTCCCATCCTCGGGCGTTGACCGGTTGGTGTGTACCTCTATCTGCTTATATGCACTCATACACTCCGGATCAACTCTAAAGAGTCTTTTCTACACAAATCAAGCTAAACTACCCTGGAAGTTTTATCAACAACATTCATTAATAATAACCTACATTATCCCGACTGGACATGCGAATCGTTCGGCTGAAGACCTTCCGCAGCCAGTAAAATTGCTTTTTCAACACACCATATGTTCAGAAGTACCGTCAGGATACTTTTTTCCCCAATGCTCCCTGAAACACACAGGGTGGTCAATGCTTTCATATGCCATGAACGTTAAGAGGTCAACAGGTAATGATGATGTCACGAGGACCCATTAGGCACAAGGCTGTTTCGTAATAAATTTGGCATTTGAAGATCAAACATCGTGTAGGAATTGCCTACTATACAAACGCCTCTAAATACATATGTGCATTATCGCTGCGACAGCTTCCACAGGGCCATTTAGTAGTCCCACAGCTGAAAACCAGCACGATGTCTGACGCCTTCCCAGAAGGAGGTGATCTTTCGACCATGGCAAAGGAGGGTACCAAAGGTCGGTGCATCTGAATATCACCCGCCTTGACAACATAGGTACTCACCCAACTGATTGCTTTTTCCTTAGTCCCTTCGAAACCATCCATGCCAGAGGCGACGCCATCAGCACAGAGCAAGACCACTAAATCAAAGGCCGCTAGTGGTGGCATCAGTAGCTCGCCTGAGGAGCTACAGGATGAAGACATTGTGACGGCCGTGGGTGGAGAGATTCCAGAAGATTTAGGTCAAAAGTACAGCAGAAGTGGGGGAAAAGAGAGGCGACACCATCACACTCCACATGGAGGAAGGAATTTGCCGTCTCACTAAACTTATGGTTCCAGTGATCCCGGATCTATGTGAATACAGGATCATTATTAGTACAAGATCATTATTTGTTTTGCGTGCATGGAGGCTTCTCAGTGACCCATGGGCTGTGAAGAATTGAAGACTCTGTCTGTATTGAGATGAGACTGCGCAGGTTTTGCAAGTGACAAGCCATAGTTAAAAGGAAAACGACGAGTCGGATAGGAAACAGATCTGGGTTCCCGTTTTGATGCAAGCCGGCATTTAAGCACGCACTTAGCGTTTGCCATTACAACAGATTTCACAACCAGATCATTAGGAACTCAAAAGTCGTTGATGAATTCATCGGGTTAGGCAGCTCACAGTGCCATTTTCCACTACTGCACGGACTGCAAGGCTCTGAGGCTTGTCCGACGATCCTGATCCTAAATAGGCAGGTGGGGAGCCAAGGCTCCGGTCTCATTGGGCCCGACACTGCGGTTCAACGTCGTGTCGACCAGGGGCCGCACGTCATCAACAGCCGAGGCCATGGAACTGGCGTTGCAGATACCAATAGCCCTCTCGCTATCACCGCATCTGGTGTAAACATTCCCAGCGCCAGCAGCTCTATGGAGATAAACCAGCAGCGGGATTATGAAGTCTCATGTGAATGAGCCATACATAAAGTGCCTAGACATGAGTGGTACCCGGTGACATATCCTCTTCGCACTGCCAAGGTCGTTTGCTCCATGTACTTATTAGGACTAAGGGGGTTCCTTCTTCTCAACCTAGTGTCTCTCAATCGCATCAACTTCAGCCCCACATCTTGATGTCCCCAGTATTGTTCCATCATATAGATACCTGCATTAATATCTTTCTATACAGCATGTATAAATTTTGAGGTCGACCGAGTTTCTCATGCTGACAGTCAAAACCGGCAACCATATCATAGTCACTTTCCTGTACCGTACCTATTCTCCATTCTTCCAGATCATCAGATTGATAACTTCGATATCAGAAGTTGCCGTCTGGGTAGCAATGTAGTTGCGTCGACCACGATTAGGAAGTGACAACTGCGAACGCACTCTAACCATCGCCAGCCGGGTGAGATGTAAACTGCACGACGTGGACAACGTGCCCTGAGATCTAGTTGTGGATGTCATGGATCAGGAGCATATTACGTTACTACATGCCTAGGCCCATATATGTTACCTTACACTGCCGTACAGATGGATCGCTTCCTGGTGATAATCTAAAACATGTAGAAGTCAACAATATGGTTCTGCTCTGCAGTCTAGTCACTGACTAGAGCGCTTCCATCACAAGTCTTCGTAAATATGCGTTGACGGATGTTCCAGTGAGCGCGTATCTTCTCTGCAGACGCTTCCCTCGCGGTGCAGCATTTGACAACCTCAAGCCGGTTATCTTTTTTTTAAAAAAAAAAGAAAAAAGTGGTCGCCGCGTAGTGTATCTCAACCGTTCCCTCACTTCTCACGTCAGCATTCAGAGAAATCTCCCTCCCTCATATATTATCGTCACAGATCAAGCCATAGTTGCGAGGGACCTTTTTTATCCTTTTCTTCGGAGGAACTTCGATCGCTCAACGTCCCCGGCACGTGGAACTGCTGGAAGCAGTCCATTGCGTACAGCCACTAAATTCTTAGACTTTTCGCTTTCCTAAATCTCTGATATTTCAACATCTCGACTGGCTACGGGTATCAGCCTCAATTTGTGCCGAGGTCATCATCCAGCTTTCAGAATATATGGTTAGTCCTCTCTTTCCTACTTTCTAACTGTAGTAGTATTGACACTATGCTTGTTCAGTTAGCCGGTCACCCAGAGAGGCCTTAGAAATAATGACTTCAGATGAAAGTTGGCTAGTTTCTCATTCCTACTACTTTCACATCCGGGGATCGAACCGACTCCAATGCCCTCTGCAAACATATCAAACACTCAGGAACGCATACGTATGGTTGGCCCTCAAATCATCCATGCGACTCCTTCAACGTCAATTCCCATATTATCAAGTCTTGGAGGGCCCGGTGGTCAAGGAATGGTTGCTAGGATGGCATAGCTACTCAACCCAGATGAGACAAACCTGTGATCACACATTGTACTGTCTGGTGAACAAAAATCTTGTCCACTTTGCCTTTTCTCAAAGCACACGTTGTCCATCTATCTTTGAAATCTTGATCTTTTGGATTTACCCGTCTAAACCTCTTATCCTTGGCAGAAATGACATCTGACAATTTTTTTTTTTTACACTTAGTCATTGTTTTTTCAAATTACTTGCCAAGCGTTCTTGCGACACTAATGGCGAATCAGACACACTTCACCCACCGAAAAAGGTGTCACTCACCACGGCTAACTTGAGCCCAAGATGGAACTTGAGCATAATGCCTTGGTCAATCCAAACAACCTCTTTAAAGATCGATCTTCTAATCGGGGGAAGTCGACAGCTGGCACGGTCCCAAGTCAATCACTGCAGTTGGCCTACACCTGTACTATAACTGCGTCCGACGAGTCCTCGAATAAGGAGGAAGCTATCCGAAGGGCAGAGAGCTCATTACCCAGCTCCCAGCCAGAGAGTCTACCGCCCTCGTTCGCATAGTCGTATTTGCGACAGCTCTAGAGACTCGGCAGACCGTGCTGGTCACTTGGAAGGGCTTCCTGTGGGTTTTCAGTTGTATACCAGGGCCATGTGATGATCCATGCCGTCGGCCAGGCTTGGAGATTTTCAACATGCCAGATAATAATTGGGGGAGCTGTTGGCCAGAGCAGAGATCGAGTACCTGATAATGACTCAAGGGAACCGAACTAAGCTGTCAGACTCAGAGGGACAGGAGTTAACTGAAGTCTCTAAACAACACCTTTCAGCCAAGATTCGGGAACTGTTGCAACCACTCTCTGACCCTCAAATTGCGAAACCTACCAGGTTTCACCACAATACAATCTGGCCGGTCTTATACGCGAAGTTGTTTGACAATCTAAAACGGTTCCGGAGCAATAACACTCCAAGCACAAAGCAAAGAAGCCTTTTTCAAAGGCTCAATTAGCTGGAGGATATCGATAATGAGAACAGAATAGCTAAACAACAGGCAGAAGCCGACAAGCTGTATCACTTTGTTCTGGAAATCCATCGGTAGGTAAGCTCTGTATTGAGACTTACCTTCAGTGAAAAAGGACCACCTGCCCTGTACTTCAGAGGCAGGCTTAATGTATTGAGCATCTTTTATGGATTATTGATACCTGTTGGGAATAGTATCTGTCGAGGGATTGTGGAGGATAAGTATGATCTGCCAACTAACGGCACTGTTGATAATTAATGGGACTGCACAGATGTGGCCATGACTCGCTGAACAAGTCACCACCCAGCATCCCTTGATCTTTCCATACGCATTCGTAGTTGATAGCTATGTTTAGAAGGTTTTCCTCAATAAGGAAAATCGCCGATTGTCTATGACAGATCCATCGCGTCCACATGCTGCACTGTTTGGTCCTTCTCTGTCTTACCAACGGCGGGATCACCTTCGTTTCCAAGCACTACCCGCTGCAAAAAGGAGGCTGCATCGTCTAAGCCCTCAGGCTCGTGGAACCAATGCCCACCATTTGGATATTCCTTCCATTCCACTTGGGCACCAAACGCCACCAGCATATCCCTCAAATCCCTTCCCCTTTCTATCTTCACCAGTGGATCATCTACACAATGCTCCAGCAGCATCGGCGTTCTCCTAAGCACGGCATCTTCCCCTAGGCTCGGTTGCCCCTCAATATCCTTTGGCAGACCCAAGACAACTCTCATTCCCTCCAAATCGCGTCCGGCAAACGGACACCGAGCACAGAACGCCATGAACGCAGCCAGTCTGCCGCCTCCTTCCTCCGGCACAGAAAGATTAAATAGCGTGTGCAAGCTCGTCGCGCCGCCCATGCTAATGCCGGCGAGCACGACACGGTCCCAACGGCCGCCGAGGGCCTCGGCCTCGCGCCGAATGATTCGGCGGATGAGTGGAACCATCTCGCGCAGTCCTGTGAGCTGGTGCTCTTCGCGCTCAGAGAAGTCGCTTGCGTTCCACACGTCGAACCATTGAGGCCAGTAAACAGGGCCGTTGGGCACGCGGCTCAGCGAAACCACCTGGCGCATGGGCGCTTGCGGGAAGACCCAGCGAAAGGAGGGGAAGAGCTCGGGCAGGGAGCGGCCGTATGAACCGCGCCATCGTTGGATGGCTTTGGAGAAGGCCGTGATGTTATCGCCGCGTCCATGGAGGAATATGACTGTGTGAGTGTGAGGGGCTGTTGGGGGGAATGTTATTGTTGGCAAGGGGTCTGGAGTCCTCGATATGATCGGCTCGGCCATTGTCTTTGCAAAAGAGAGAATTCGGTGGCTTTGACGCTTTTCAGTGTCAGGAAGGTGAGTCGCTGAAATAGATGGATTATACAGAGGGACAACTTTCGTGTTGCACTTGTTGTGTAAGGTTGTGGTGTTTTGAAGTTGAAGCAATGGCGTGTGCCTTTGCACGCGGTGATGTTGCAAAGGAGACATGGTTGGCGATTGGTGGGCCAGTCAGCATGACGGCCCGGTGTTAGGCAGCCTCGTGGTTGTTTTGGCTGCCCAGCCTGTTTCACGGCTTGAACAGCCGAAGTCGCCAGCCTGCAGTTCAGACATTGTTACAGTCACAATCTATTAAAACTCGCAGAGAGGAAAAGCGGTCAACCTAGGAAATTTCGGGACCTTACAGCGTGGTGCTCATCCCAGATCATCTAGCATATGGCAAAAAGGCCAAGAGGAATTTGGGGGGGGGGGGGGAGGAGGGGGCAGCACTTATATCAGCTGACAAGAAGTAAACACTAACAAAACGACCAGCACTTGATTAAGGAAAAGCAAGGACTTGGGAAGAAGGAGTCTTTTCAGCCAAAAGGGGGTATCTCATATTAGCTATCTCGCAAACCATCTTGCCTGCATCAGTGATCTGCCAGACTGGGCATTGCCACAGTGAAACCCGTACAGACAGATTATTAGCCCCAGGTACCGCCACCACCACCCGGCCGTGCAGCCCTCCGTTGAGCGCTGAGACGCCAGCCATCTTCACCCTCGTACTTGTTGTACAAGGGCTGGATCCTCTCGGCCTTCTTCCTCTTCGACAACCTGTCCGTCGGCGCGAGCTTAAAGAATGTTGGAGCGGCTTCCACGAGCCACTTGGGCTCAATGGCCGTCGTAAAATGCATATACTCTTTAGTTGTCAGTACCAGCTCGTGGTAAAGCACCCACTCGGCTTGCTTTCCAAAAAGCGCCGAGCTGGGGTGTAGGTACACCGGCGTGCCCTCGGTCAGTGTCTTGTAGCCCTCTTGCGGGTCCTTGCGTGCCGTATTACGGAAGAAGCCAGCGCAGAGCGCTTGCCGGATCTTGTCGGTGTCACGCCCGCAGCTGATGATGGGATGACGGTGGCGTTCCATGATCTTGACGATCTGCTGCCGTACATCCCGAGCACGACGCATGGCCCGCGCCTGGATGTAGTTCTCAAAACACCAGGCGTTGGAGTAACCGCTATTTTTCCAGGCATTGTAGACGTTGAGAAGGGTAAGATGGTCTCCCGTCGGATCATGGAACTTGGCCTTCTTCTGGTCGGCTTGCTGCTGCTTATCCTTTGGTCGGTAGAAAATCTGCTGTAGGTTGAGCATGGAAACAATTGTCACCATTTCGTCCGAACAGCCCTTGTCGACAGAGGCGATCAAGACCTTCGACAGAGAGGGCTCCATGGGGAAGTCGGCCATCTTCCTTCCCAGGCGAGTCAGCAGGCCTTCATCGTCCAAAGCGCCCAGTGCATAAAGTTCTTCGAGTGCAGTAAGCATTGTGTTGACGGGCGGAGGCTGCATGGATTGTTAGCTTGTGCTGCCGAAGGAAAGTGGACAAAGCAGCTTCAGGTCACTCACATCCATAAAGTCAAAACGAAGAAGGTCGTTGATACCCATGGCCTTAAGTAACAGGATCGTATTGGCTAGATTTTGTCGTTGGATGTCTGGGATAGTCGTTGGAAGCATTTCTGATTGGTATGCAGCCTCCGTATACAACCGAAAGCACTTGCCCGGACCTGTACGACCGGCTCGTCCAGCACGTTGGTTGGCTTGAGCCTGGGAAATAGGGGTGACCACAAGAGAATCCATTCCCAACTTTGGATCATAGGCGTTCTGCTTCACGAAGCCGGGATCAACAACGTAATAGATGTAGTCGATCGTGATGGATGTTTCAGCGATGTTTGTGGCAATGACCACTTTACGACTGCCAGGAGGTGCTGGCTCAAAGATTCGGCTTTGCATCTCGCTGGGCAGCGCAGAGTAAATCGGCAGTATGATGAGCTCTGGGACGCTAGGCCCCAATGCCTTCATTCGCTCATATAGGATCTCGCAGGCTGTATCAATTTCTTCTTGGCCGGTCAAGAAAACTAGGATATCTCCTGGGGGTTCCGTCAAGTGGATCTGCATTACCGTAGTCAGAGCTGCCTCGAGGTAATCCGGTTCCCTACCGAAAGTCAGTCACTAGTTTTACATGCGAGTCAGGACGAGGCAGACGTACGGTTCTCGAGAGTAGAGAATCTCCACGGGGAACGTTCGGCCAGGAATGGTGAAAATAGGACACGAGTTAAAGTACTCGCTGAACTTCTCTGCGTCAAGGGTAGCACTGGTGACAATGACCTTAAGGTCCGGCCGCCGCTTAACCGTCTTCTTGAGCAGCGCGAATAGCACATCGGTTGCAATTGTCCGCTCGTGGGCCTCGTCTAACATGATGACCGAGTAACGCTTGAGATCAGGGTCCATCAGAATTTCACGTTGTAACCTGTATCCAAGTAAGAAAGTGGAACCACCGTCGTGAAATGAATAGAGATTACCCACATTCCGTCCGTCATGTACTTGATCTTGGTCGCCGGACTAGTAACATCTTCGAATCTGATGGTATAGCCAACCTCTTGGCCTAGCTGACAGCCAACTTCTTCAGCCACACGCTTGGCGACCGAAACGGCGGCGACACGCCGAGGTTGCGTGCATCCAATCATGCCATATTTGGTGAAACCGGCCTCTGCAAGGTACTGCGTGACTTGAGTCGTCTTGCCAGAACCCGTCTCACCAACCACGATGAGAATCTGGTTGTCCTTAACAGCTTGAATGATTTGATCTCGGAACTGAAACACAGGCAAGGATTCCCGCTGTTCCTTGATGGACATGTTGGTTCGAGGGCCAAACGACTGATTCTTTGGTGCAATGGCTCGTTTCCATTCAGGGACAGAATCAGAAGAGGTTTGGGCTTGTGCGCGCTTGCGTAAATCACTGGCAAATTGGCGATGCTCGGGATTGGCCATGGGATCCTGCCATTGAGATGACAGGTCAACCTTAGCCTTCTCTTGCTGTTCCTCGGCCTCCTGTTGGCGAGCCTCTCTACGCTCTCTCGCAAGTTGGGCACCGGTCATGGCCGCACGATTGAGGGAGCCATCGGGGGCTTTGACCACTCGGATGGGCGACAGCTCGAGCGACTGCTTTGTCTGTCCAGCGAGAAACGGAGGCTCCTCATCCCGGATCTCAATGTCAATGTCTTCCTCCAGCTCCATCTGACCTTCGCCCCTGAGAGTGGCATTGTACTCTTCTTCGAGGTCCGGATAATCTGACGCCTTCGCAATCCCCGCGGCGATCATCTGCCGGATCTCCCATCTTTCAGGAGACGTTAACCTCTTCTTTTGCGGTCTTGTTGCTCCAGATAGAGGCGGCCCGTTTGCCGCACCATCAGAGCCACCTATGCCTCTCCTGGAGCCTCCTAAGGCCTCCATATTGGCGCCGGAGCCTATCCTCATCTGCGGTGCAAGGTCCATTCCAGTTTCTTGATCGACATCTTTCATCGACAGTCCGATGCGGTTGCCCTCAATCTTGATGACCTTCACTTTGACGTTCTGGCCCATTGACACGGCGTCCGATGGATGGTTCACTCGCTGCCCAAACGCCGAAATGTGCACTAAACCATCGATTTTACCCTTCACTCCATGCAAGTTAACGAAAGCGCCAAAGTCTTTGATACCTGTGACATGGCCATCATAGATTTTGTACAGCTGTGGGGCATCGTCCAAATCCCGTGGCGGTGGGCGACGAAACGTATCATCTTCATCGTATCGGCTGCTCTTACGACGACCTCGTCGTGGCGATTTAGACCTGGATCTTGACAGTGACCGTGAGCGGAACCTTGCCGGTGACCTCGACCGTGAGCGGTATCTGTCCTTTCGGCTCCGATACGAGCCATCGTAATCCTCTGGGCTCCGGCTGCGCTTTCTCGATGGACGGTCCTTATCTGCGCGCTTCGGCTCCAGGCTCTCGAGCAGAGCAAGAGTATCATCGATGTCGTCGGCGGGTTCGATCTCCCGGTCGGGAATGGCAAGCCCCTTGAAAATCGCCGCTTTCTCTTCCAAAGACTTGGGAGGTTTCTCTTCACGGTCTTCCCTTTGGTCACCATTCTGCTTCCCTTTGAATTTAGGGTGCATCGTCCGGACGAGGCGATCAATGCTTTCCATCAAGCTGGGCGGAAAGTCGGCGCCGACGGCGGCCAGCTTGGCCTTGAAGTCCTCGAAGGTCGCACATTCCAGACGCTGGGCGATAACAAACTCGGCCAGTGTCTTTTCGTTAATCCCTAAGTGATTCTGTAATTCTGACGTGACTTTCGACACGAGGGAAAGTAGCTCAAGCGACTCTAGGTCGTCCATTTTGTCGGCCAGTTGCTGCGGCTGGTCTGCACAGCAGCAAGGCGATGAGGTTAGTGGCAAAAAGCCGGCCCTGGAGCGCGCTTCAGAGTGTAAATGCAGCTGTTGCTGCTCTCGTCTACGCATGGCGGAAATTTTACCGGAGATTTTCCGCCAGCGTTCTGTGGAGCGGAAACCAACTGATATCTACAAGCAGCTTTGATATGGGTTATCTGTTGAGTTTTCTTCGAGCAACCCTTCAGCCAACACGCTTGAGGAAAGCAACGGGAGGAATTATGCGGAAGGTCAGCACGTCCAGAAAGACACGAAGCTTTGCTGAGGCAGGCACCAAAGCAATGGAACAGGAAATGTGCGTTGCTATGTGTACGTATACCATTTTGAGCACTTCTGCTAACCCTACCCCTAACCCTTGATGCAAGCATGCGGCTTCAGGCGTAAAAAAGAGAAAGAATCAGCGGCTCTTGGCATTACGCAGTCCCTGCTGTCGCTGTCCAATCCGATGCCTGAAGTGACTTCCAGACCCATCGGTTGCATCATGGGCTCATGACCGTTGTTCAACGGTCGCTGCGCTTCCCTTAAAAGTTCAACTGTAACAACCGCCGGCTTCCCTGCTCTCCAGCTTGTCCACAAACTCTTGACCGCCGAGAACACCTTTACCAGTGGTTTGCTTCATCCATCCGAACTGAACATCGCACAACCTGATGTGCTCCGTTGATATCTTCCTCGGCCTTCTGGCCGTTCTCTTCCCGCCCCTACCCGGTTCGTCGCCCCGCACCCCGCAGCAACGACCGTTGCCTTGCGAAGCTCTCTCATAGTAAAACCCAGCCGCCCTCTGGTCGAGCGCTATGAAGCTGACCTGTCCTCTATTGATGCAGTCTGGGTGAAACGCGGCATATGTTCCGCTGATTCTGTCATCAACATTCTCCTTTTTATCCTGGGATATGTAGGTCTCTCTTCGCTTCATTACAGGCTTACATCACTGATCGACAAGCCGAAGTTCGTTGGGACATCACTTACGCAACCCATCGTAGGTTCCGGGCCTTCTCCATTCATGGTACATCATTGCCAAATATCCTGAGCCTCCTTTCGACTACACTTATCAAGCTCTTCCTCATGATCCTGAACGCGGGCGCATTTATGTCTGCGTTCACGGCAGTGGCCCATGCCATTCTGCCCCTTATCAGGGCCACCCACAACCTCAGTATCATGCCCATACCCAACCGCACACCAACCTAAACTACGGCACCACCAGCGCTCCTCCCAGCAACCCGCATTGTTCTTGTGCTTCTACACCAAAGCCACAGCCGCCGCAACCGCAACTGCAGCCGCATTACCATCCACCACAAGAGCAGGGGACCATTGCCGGCCCAAGTGACCCTCCACCGAGCTACGCTCAAGTTGTGGCTGGCGATTACAAGATACAGACGCAGGATTAAGATGCTTGCACTGATTCAGTCCGATAAGGGTTCCTTGAAATGGAACTTTGCAACGTGATTGCTTACCCAACGCGTTCTGGAACTCTGATGATGCACTTGGCTATGCCGACTAGTTTCAGTTCAGTTACGCTCTATTGATCCAGTTTTGTTGCATTCTTTCCTGGGATGGATCTTGTGCTTCTAATGACCATACTGACGGGACACAGCTGGCGTTGATGGCCGACGGGGCGGATCTTTGTGTCTTCGTGCCTGACTGGGCACCTTTGGATTAGGATTGAATGTTCCTTTAACTAACAAAATGACCGCTTCAACCATTCTGTTGCACAACTTTTTTTCTTGTTTCTTCGACAACGATGTGGTTCGTGCCTTTGTGTATCTTGGTAATATAACGCTATTTCCTCGGACGTGCATTTATTTCCGCTACCTAATGGACTGCTACGGCTGAGAGCAAGTCACACCAGCTGGTAGGTTGATTGAGTCTCAATTCAGTCCCCCTGTTCATGCTTGTCTGATACGTCATTTGCTCCAAAGCGCCCGAACTTGTCTTTCCATGAAAGCATTAGTCATCATTATCCCCCGCATCGTCGTCAGCTTCATCGTCGTGGATGCTTGGCGCTGGCCGCTTATTTGGGGCCGGATCTTTGTATCCAAACATCAACTCCTGGGGAAGGAAGACGTAGAAGGTGGGCCTGATGTCAGTGATGGACTTAATGAACTTGAGTCCCACGTTCAATGTGCACACTTCCATCTTCAACTTCATGCCAACCCCAAGCTTGTCCAGGATGTCCTGTTCTAGGATGAAAAAAGATCTGCCAGCACCCTTAAGCATAACAGTCTCGGACGCACTATTGTCCCAGCCATCCCGCACAGACACTGGCTGGACAACCATGGTCCCGCAGGGCTTGATCTCGGAAACAGAGTCTGCGAGACGTTCTTTAAAATAGTCGTTCAGGCGTTTGTAGTTGGCCAGCGCAGCTGTGCTAGGGGATTTGATCTCACAGATCTCGAAATCTTGCTCGACCGTGTCTGTTACGAACCACTCGCCAGTACCCTTCGCATAGTCCGGGCCAAGAATAATGGTAATCGTTGCAGCCTTGTAAATCTCTGCTTGTTTGCGATTGGTAGTGCATAGCCCACTAGGTCCCAGTGAAGAGCCAACTTCCTCATCGCAGCAATAGAGAGTGCTCAGTGCAGTGTTGAACTCTCCGGGAAGCAGCGATACCGCTTCCCATATAGCCGGAAGCTCCTCACGGGCCTGTTTGCATACCTTTCGAGCATTTCTAACGTCCTCTCGATACTCTGGACAAACATCATGGCTATCAACATAGTTAAGGAAGTTGGTGATGACATCAGCGGCGTCGGCAAGAACACCAACGTCCGTGCCACATATGGCACGGAATCGCTCAGAGCTATTAAAAGCTGTCAGCATATCTTTCCTACAATCCAAGGAGAAACAAAGTAGGTTGGCATACAAAAAGCCGGCCACAATTCCGCTGAAGTCAACATCCCAGTGTTCAGGGTATCTGGGATTGTAGAATCGATGGTTATATGCACCTTCGCCGGCGCGGTTGATGACATCGTCGGCCGTCATCTCACGCACTAGCGACTTTCCTGTAATTTCCATTGTCTCATCGGTAATTTCCCGAGAGCTCTGGAATTGACGAACGGTAGCATCGATACCGCCCAGCATGAGATACTGCGAAAAGATATGCTCCCTGCGGTTGTCCAGGCGACGACGAGCTCTGAATCGCTGAATGCACTCCTCAATGCGATCAACAAATGGACGGTGAGGAGGGTAAAGTACGTTTTTCTCTTCAGCATGCTCCTCGGGAGTTATTGGCGGGTCACAATAGTACTCTGTCATGTTCAAATGTCGAAGGTTAGCACTAGCTTTAAGATTCTCTCGGCGATTCTGGTCCTGGATAGCAAGGAAGAAACTAACCCTCAAATCCACTCGCCCTTTTCTTGCTCCTACGGCTCTTCTTTTTCTTCCCGTCTTTGGAAGTGGCCTCGCCCGTTGGCTTCGGGCCCATCAGAATCTGTTGCGTAGTACCTTGAACCGTGGCCATTTCCTTGATATCATCGAGTTGCTGCTCCGTCGGTTCCGCGGATGAAATCATGACGAAATCTTGGTACCAGAACGGGAGTAAAAAACCAAGATATGGCAAACAGTTGGAATATGATTGTGTGTAAGTTGTCAGGTGAGGAAATGTTGCGTATTGCAATGCTCAGAGGAGCATAATATTTGGGAGTGTAGGGAGATCCAAGTGGAACTAGAGGGCACAAGATTTAGACTTTCTAGAATCAGTTACTTGAGATCAGTCACGTCAAAACTGTTGCAAGGCAGGTATGGATGAAATGCGGATCCATGAATATCAAAGGCAGCCACTCCAGTTTCAAAAACAAAACAGTGTTGCGTAAAAGAGTTGAATTTCAAGAATTCAGGTTCGGAGGAAACCACGGATAGCATAACGCCAAAAATTTGATGCCAAACTTCCTGTTTGAACAGGAGAGCTTTTGTGATTTGTTGCTCACAAGCCAGCTACTCTGCTTGCAAACAGCAAACTACAAGCAGAGCAAAGGAGCAAAAAGGTTAATCAGCAATAAATAAACTTGTCAGAACCCCGGTATGATTCTTGTTTTTTGCAAACATGCATCGATTTAAGCAAGGATGTATGTTTTATGCAGCAGCTTGCAGAAGATGTAATCCCTCATCTGCCCTATTTACTGTTAACTTCCGGTTTGAAGCATAGTGCGCTGGATGTACTCCGCTCGTGGAGGACAAGATATTGCCAGAGAGCAAGTGAACTCTTCCAACTGCTACACTAGGCCACTGCGCTTTGTTTATATATGTGCCAGCACAGAACCATGGCGTGTTTTGCACTCCTTGAGGGAGAGGGTAGGTCGAGTAGAGCAACAAAACATCAAAAATATCATCAGCCCAAGACATCGGATGAAAAGTTTTTCCAGATATAGCTGACCTCCACTCCCAAGACTGACTTGGCTGGTGCATGCCAAGATCATCGCAGCTCAAGCTTGTCGTCCCTCGAATTGGCTCCCACCTATCCAGCATTTGCAGCTCCACCCTCATGAGTGAGGCTGGATAGCCTGCCCCACTAACGCAGCTCGAATCCCATCCAGCTCAACCAAGCTGTGCTGCCCAACTCCCCATCACAAATTCCAATCTTTCAGGCTGTGTCTGTTCTGTGTGACAGTTGAAAGCCAGGATCTGCACACTCTCTTTCGCCGACCAATCAACTCGGAGTTTGTGTCACGCTCTTGGTTTGGCTTCAGCTCAATTGGCCCCCCTTTAGTCATTTACTACAAACTCAGGTGCCTAGCAAGAACCGTAGATAACTGTCGATCATCGACAACGTTTATTTTCAGAAGCCAGACACAGACTGTGCAGCCACCGCAAGACATAGCTGAATCAGGATTAAGAGTAACTTGTCTTTGTCTCTTGCGTTTGTAGAAGTTTACTCCCTAGGAAGCCATGGCTGGCATCAAGGAGCTTCCAAGCCATGCTGATCTCAAGCCGTTCAATCATGCTGCAGCAGGACAGTAAGTCGACACATCACGGCTTCTTTACCGTCGTATCTGGTCTGACATTGTGTATAGTGAGGGTACCCTCAGTGATCCTGACGGGATGCTCTTTATTAAACCCTGTACCCAGCAGGAAATTGACTTCTATGAAAAGGCTCGGGAACATCCAGACTTTGCCGAATTAATGCCCGAGTACCTAGGCACTCTTTCGCTCAACCCTACTGGCCTAGCTGATGACTTGGAGAAGCAAGTCACCAACGAGATTACCCAGCAAGCGGCAGCCGGACCCTCAACAACCTCTGGTGGAAGTACCTGGCAGCCGAACAAAAACCGCAAGCTCGTCACTGACAAATCGGTTGTTTTGGAAAACACAACATACGGGTACAAGAAGCCAAACATCTTAGATGCTAAGCTCGGCATCCGGTTGTGGGCAGACGATGCGCCACTAGAAAAGCGGCAGCGTTTTGACGAAATCTCACGCACTACTACCAGCGGGTCGCATGGCTTCCGGATTGCAGGCATGCGCGTGTATAAGGGATCTGACGATCCTGCTGACCTCGATGATGAAGGCTTCAAGGTCTACGACAAAAACTTTGGAAGGTTCGAGGTCAATGGCGAGAATCTGGTAGACGCATTCAGGAAGTTTATTTTCAATCCAAGAGCCGGCATTGATGAGGATCTCGGGAAGGCCGTTGCGGAAGCTTTTCTCGTTGACCTAAAGAAAGTGGAGAAAGTTCTCTCTGCCAATGAGACCCGCATGTATTCTGCCAGCCTTCTCTTCACCTTTGAAGGTGATGGCGAGGCTCTCCGCTCCGCGATCGAAAAGGCTAACGAAGAGCACGACGCTCTCGAGAAAGTGGAGAGCAACAAGGACGTTGATACCGATGGATCTGAAAAGACCGATGGTGCCGTTGCGTCTTCCGACGCTGAATCCTCTGTGAAGGGAAAGTTACCCGATGTCTCTGGACCTATCGAGGGAGATCTCAAAGTCATCGAGATGACGGGGTCTAAATTACCCGATGACGACGATGACGAAGATGTGGAGATGACCGACGTGCCAAAGATCTACTCACTGAAGTTAATTGACTTTGCGCATGCGGAATGGGTGCCTGGCCAAGGTCCAGATGAGAATAACCTCTTTGGCATCCGGAATCTGATTAAGATCTTCGAGGAGCTTGTCAAATGAGGAACCGACGGCGATGAAAGCTGCTTGTGTGTCAAGGTGAAATCAAGGTTCGCGCTCACTGGCAACGAGGGACCTATCATTCCCGCCTTTTCACGAGGACTACATGGTGCTGCTATCAAGAATTTCAGATACCCTGCATGGCGTTTTATACAATTACAGAATATACAGAACATCTTGGTGTGTTGTGTTGATGGCTGTTAACATACCGTTCATGCAACCTGCATCCTGACTCAACCGTAGTTCATCTGTCAAGCGTATGCAGGACTCGGTTGATTATCGTGTGCATACATACAACTCTTCCGTGTCAAAAATGTGTCACAGTGCCAATGGGGTAAAACAGCTGTCAGGTTGGTACCTACCAAGGTAGGAGAGTAGTTGGTGTCCGTACTTTGGTGAGTTTTAGTTTTTCGAAAATTGAACATCAAACACGCCTTGGTAACTTAGCTGTACCTTAACGCAACAGCTGCCCTGCTGTGCTGTACTGGTACGTAAGTAACTGTTATGTTACGCGGTAACATTACTCCGTCAGCACTGAGGTTGCGACCATTCAAGGGAGCCGTCAGACGCGATTCACCAAAGCTTCAGTCTGCAAGACTGACCTCAGCCCAGCTTGCCGAGCTTCGACAACTCTATAGTATCGAAAACAATTTTCTAGGCTAATGCAATGAGCTAAAATGTCAATTCCGGGTCTGGGTCAGTATACGACACAGGTACGGCTTCACCGATATCCCTTTATAGATCCTAAATTCCCCGATCTTGCCATCCTTCCTTCAAGCATATATACGCTCTTTCGCTTTGGAACAAAGTGGTTAACGACCTCTTTTCTCGTTTTTTCCTAGCCCACCGCATCTACCTCGCGCACTATTACCTTGCGCCCGTTCTGGGAATGGCGCTTCGATCTCCCTCATAACAACAGCAGCGTCTCTGTACGCCTAGTCAATGGAACTGCCGAGCGCGATGGAACCGAGCTTGCCCTCAACCATACCTACACCTTCTCACGTACCAAGTCTAAGATTCTTACATATTCGGGTTGTACTCTGGAAATCAGCGGTCAATGCAATGATCATGTTGCTCAATATGCGACACCGGAAGAATCCCCAGCGTTGGCGCATCTAAACCTACATTTCGCGTTACAGACACAGAGGACTGCTGCTACAAGTCAGCTCAAGAACGGCGGAAATGCCATAAACAATGATACTAGTCTGGGACGGGGCCCTCGAGTAATGGTGTGCGGCCCGGCCAGCAGCGGCAAAACGACCCTAGTGCGGACCCTTGCGGCATTGGCTACGCGTACCGGGGCACAACCGCTCGTCGCAAATGTTGACCCGAGGGAGGGCTTGCTCTCTCTGCCTGGAACGATGAGCGCAGCTGTGTTTGGCACGATCATGGACATTGAAGAGCCAGCCTGCGGATTTGGCGTTTCAAGCACCCCCAGCACAGGTCCAAGCTTGGTTCCGGTGAAACTACCCATGGTTTATTATTTCGGAAGAGAAAAGGCCGATGAGGACCTGCCATTATGGAAGGATCTTGCAGCAAAGCTGGCGAGCTCGGTGAGGGCCAAGTTCGCGACAGATGACGCTGTCAGATCGGCAGGTCTGCTGTTAGACACTCCGGGCGTCGAAACGGGGAAAGATGACTTGGAAATGCTGCAGCATGCCATTGCCGAGTTTGCAAGTGAGTAACACATTGTATTGCTTCTAAGTACCTGCTGACAACCGGTGGAAAGTCAACGTTGTGGTGGTTATTGGATCTGCGGAACTCCACACGCAGCTACAACGCGAGCTTGGAAATCAGAAGGCGCCGCATGGCGAGCCAATTACTGTTCTTTTCCTAGAAAAGTCGCAGGGAGTGGTAACTAGAGATAAGGACTTTATGAGATCTAGTCAGAACGCGGCCATAAAGGAGTACTTCTTTGGTGATTCGAAGAGGACTTTAAGCCCAGCGACACAATCCATTAGTTTTAATGACGTGGCCATCTTTCGGGCCACGGAAGGTAAGTCTTTTCAGCTCGAGGACCCTGTCAAGTACATTCAGTGCTGACCGGTAGATAGATGCTGATTTCTATGATGGTCAACAAACTCTTGAACCCGCCGAGATCTCCGCAGAGATGTCACACTGGACGCTTGCGGTCATGAATGCATCCGTTAACGATCCGCCGGAGACGATTCGGCAGGCCCCAGTAATGGGGTTTGTCGCTGTCGCGGATGTGGATGAGGATAGACGACGACTAAAGATACTCTCCCCAGTCAGTGGAAGACTTGGTAACAGACCGTTAGTTTGGGGCCGCTGGCCCGAGCCTTACATCAACTTGCTTGGATAAACCGATCCTGAAACCTCCAGCACTCAGACTAGCAGACGGATCAGCCGCTAAGGATCTGTTTTCGTGGCTTGAGATAGGAGGCACTATAGGGAGCGTTTTGCTTTTTCTTGAGGGGCATGGTTCATGGAATAAGGCGCATGGGGGCTTTTAACATCCATTTCGCGGCAGTTCAAGGGCGAGCAGGCATGGGCTGAGGATGTAACAACACTCTCACGCACCAACTTTTTCACTAAGCACTTATGTCGACCAGGAACATGTGATACACTAATCTATACATACCACAGCATATCAAGCCAATGATGTTAAGAAGCAATGGGATGCTGATCTGGCATCGTCTGACGATCTGATGGGCAATTCCACTTCATGATATCCGCACCCTACCTAGGTACCGTAGTATCACGATTCTACCTTGGTGGTCACTGCTCGGTGCTGTCCCTGTTTTCTCTTCATCTCGCGATCTTAGAACCGTAATGCCGGGACTGCAACGCTCTCGGGGATGCAAGCGCACAGTGTCGGCTGCTGTCCTGCATGAAAACTAAACCATTCTTGGACTTCGTCATTGATTTCTACCTATTTAGGTACTTTCATAGTCTCTTTTACGATCAGCTGGCCGATTGGAGGTGATCGCCAAAAGCCGAAAGTGCGAAATCCGCATGTTGTGTACCTAGATCTGCGCATAGCACACTTACTGTAGATCCTTGGGAGGGGGATGGAGGTAGATGACTTTCCCTGACCATATCGTCAGGCTGATCTTCAACTGCTTCACTAACGTGGTTGTGTAGTGTGTCAACACTGGTCGACGGCATTGAGCCGGTCTGAAGCACTGACAAATGAGATGTTCTCAACAGCATGGTTTTGGGAATGTTGGCCTGCATTATTGGAGCGAGCCATGCCGTCAACTACCCCGTGGTTACGTACAACAGTCCCTTTATTGCATCCGGTAGGCCATGTCGTCCTTAAGTAGTAATATTAACAGTCTCCTGACGAGGATCACCTGAACAACAGAAGAGAAAAGCCGAGAACCCAGAGCAAGATCTTGGGAAGCCTTTTCTGTGGCTCGTGAGGACTTATCCGATATGCACCCGGGCGGACGGTTTTGTGTGGGTCAGCGTCAAGTTTCCCCCACCCAGACAAAAATGGAAGACCTACAACGGAAGCTGGATTAAGCGAGCGGATCGGAAATCTTCCCCGCTCCTTTTTTTGTACATTGGCATGGGTACTGTACGCTGCTGGCGCAGGATTCACAGTCAGTGCTCCGTGGCGCCAGCCGATCAACCAGGTCTAAAATGCCGTGCAAGACAGTCAAACCTTGCCGGACAAATTTCCGGCCTGACTGACTGACTGATGACCCTCAACTCGAAAAGACCACGAGACAAAACCTGGCAAAATGAAGGCAGCTGCCCAATGCTGTTGGCAAGCACCCAACGACTCCGCCCTTGGCACTCGAGACCGGAACTATTGCCAATCCGAAGGGCTGGGACGGCTCTCGAGTCTCCTGCATGCATGAGATCTCCGAACATCTTCCCGCAATTGAGATTGAGATCATGAGGGTGGCTTGAGGTGATGCGGGTGATCGGCCTGGATGACCCGATCAGGTTGCAGGCCGCCAGGACTGTGCTGTGCTGTGTTGTGCTTCTTCCCTTCTGACATCTCGAGTCAGCAGTCCAATCAATCCAGACCCCACGTGTCTTGCTATGTCAAACTGCTTGTGGGCTGCTTGCGAGTTGTTGACTCCAGCTCACGGAGGGCGCCTTGGAGAAATGAGGGTTGGGGCTGTGAGTGGCACTGGATGTCTGGCACGTCTGGTCGTCGTCCGACCTTTTCTTTCTAGATTGTGACGGGCACACTGACCTCCAGGACAGCATCAAGGTGACGGCGTTAGACGACCAGAATGCCGGCCCTCATTATGCTCGGCGCTGCCCGACACCGTTGGACCCTGCTTGCCTGTAGGTCACCGCTGGTGGCCGCCCAGTGGGAGCTGTGAGATCGATGCTTTGGTCCCCGCGCTACATGCTGTTGTGCGCATTTTTCTTGTTCCAATCACTGCATTGCATCACGGCAACCCCAGATTAAAAGTCGCTTGCCACCGCCAACCGCATCGCATCATGACGTGGACTGTGCTAGACCCATCGCTCTATTGCTCAACAGCGGCAGCCAGTCCTATGCGCACCGCAGCCCAACCTGACCTGCCTGGATCATGACCGCCTGCCCTGCCCTCTGCTCTGTTGCCCATCACCCCGCTTTTTGTGTTGCTTTTTTGGGGCCGCCCAGCTGGATAGCGCCTGGACTGTTGCCCCGTCCTGTTGGTTTCAAGCGACGGGAAGTGCGGTATGGGCAAATGCTTGGTCTCGACTGATCTCGCCGATCTGCACCGTGCGGCTCAGCGCCAATCTCACCTTGCTCGGCTCCCAGAAATCCACCAAGTGTCTCGGTTGTGTATTCTGTTTGATTAGGTGGGCATAACCTTGTGTCGACCCTCGACCCTCTCGGGTCCTCGATATCACTCGCTCATAATATCTACTCCCGCCCGCCCTCTGTCCTTGGCGAGGTTTCCATCCTCGGTTCCAAGCGGCCGATACCTTTTCCCAAACCAACACACCAGTTGCCCATCTCGGTTGCTGTCTGAAATATCACTTATTGCAACCTGCTTACCAAGATTCTCGCTCCTTGGGTTACAGATCCCAAGTTTGGATCCTCTTGCGGCGTTCCCTTCGCGACCAAACGGCAGTTACTCGAATATTTGTTTCTCGGCCCAGCTGTCTGCATCGTTATTGTTTCCCCTCGCACCTAACCTTCTCGGGTACCCTTCGGACCAACCCTTCACCATGCAGCGACATCTGTTGTCTCGCCTTTCTCCCTAGGCTGAACGGTTGGTCTTGCAAGCTACGGGAGGGTTGATTGTTGTTGCTTTGTCACACCTGCCCTTCCGTGGACCACTATTCAGGATGCCAGCCATTCTGCTTCCCGAGACCGTATTCGAGTCGCTGCCGCATACCATATCTCGAAGGACACTCAGCAATGAGCAAAGACAGCACCTTGCTGATGTCTTGACAACTCTATCGCTCACCTTCGCCTCCGTCAGCGTCCTGTCGACGCTGGTTGCGTTGTACTGGTTCGTCAAGATGAAACGAAACTTTCGTCATGAGTCAGTAACTATCTTACCCGTCCTTGTCCGCCAACTACTCACATGTCCCAGGTTGATTTTGCTGTTGATACAGAGCGACTTCATCAAGTCAATGGCTGCTGTCATCTTCTCCGTCGTGAGCTTAACCAGGGGCCCCGTCAGGTCTGAGTCGGCCTTCTGTCAAGTGACCGGCTTCGCCTTCACCCTCGGCATTGAGTCATCTGATATTGCCGTGCTGCTGATCGCGATCCATTCGGCAATGTACATCTTTCGGCCGAAGTCGGGCCTATATCCCTACAGACAGGTTGCTTACCTTGCCTATTACCTCTCGCCGGTCATCACGTCTTCCCTGGCCTTCATTCGTGGTAACGGGTACGAAAACCTTGGACACTACTGTTATCTTCGAAGCGATTCCGGGCACTGGAATCGGCTGATGCTCAGTTGGGTGCCACGTTATATCATTTGCATTTGCATCGTGGGCATCTATGCTTTCATTTACATCTATATTTTGTGGCACATGGGCGATTGGAGGAGGGAACAGTCAGAACTGCAACAAACCGGCCGGCGGAGTGCAAGCAGCACCGTGCCGAGCTCGCCTCACCTTTGCTGTCCCGACTGGCTCATATCTCCGTCCAGCTCGAGGAGGACGTCGGCGACGGACACAATTGCCGCTTCTAAAGGGAGTCGGCAGAGAACTGGATCAGTCGTTAGCAATATTGCCCAACAGAATTTCCCCGGTTCTCAGGTTTCCAAGACCCAGACTTCACAGCCATGGACCGCCGTTCACTGGCGTTGGTCGGGGTTTGGACAAACGCATTCCGGCTTTGATAGTAGGCCATCTCTCGACCACACGACCGAGCCGATACCGCCAGATGCGCCGCCCATATCGGCACCGCCGCCAGCTCACACATCCGATCCAACTTCACCTGATCCAGAAAACACTCACATTAACACATCCTCGAGCGACCAGGCTCATTCCAAGCCAACGATCAGCCGGGCTCTCCATCGCCAGTCGCAAACCTCCCACGAAACCGAACAAGCTGGCACCGACAGCTCGCTGATCCAGCTCCAGTCCGTCGTTGACGATCCGGCCATGCTACGACACCGCGAGCGCATCCGCAAGCAGCTCCGATCCCTCTTCGTCTACCCTCTCGTCTACGTCATCGTCTGGCTGTTTCCCTTCATATCGCACGTCGTGAACGCTGAGACGTCGGTCTACCGCGGCGACCGTCCCGCGTGGTTGCTTGTCGTCAGTATTGTGAGCATTTGCAGCCAGGGTACGGCCGACTGTGCGCTGTTCATGGCGAGGGAGAAGCCGTGGCGTCATTCTGCGGGTAGGGGTTTTTGGGAGTCAATGGGCAGGAGGATCGCCTGGAGCTGGGGAGGAAGGTGGTTTGGTAAGGGCGGGGTTGGCAGCGGGGACCGTGCAGGGAGGATCAGGGAAGAAATGCTGGTTGATGGAAGGCTGGCTAGAGAGAGGAGGCAGGAAGAAATTCAATCTGAGAGGAACAATGTGGGAAGGAGTAGGAGCAAGGAACAAGGGAATGCGTCGATGGAATGGTGGGATAGATGGGATGAAGAAAGGGAGCCAGAAGGTCGCAGGCCCAGCGGGGCTGAGCCTCGGCAATCTGCCGGTAATTGATCCCGTAATGAGTTCAGGTTGGTATAGGAGGTTTACTGGAATTTTTTTTTAAGTTCTTTCTGTGGGATACTTCCCGGTGATTTCTTTTGCATTGTGTTGGCATACGGAAACGGGATACGGAAGATACCCAAGGCTCATGGCATATTAAGGGGAAAGGAAGGATGCTCTTTTTCGTTTCTATTGCACATTGAACATTAGGTAAATACGCATGTGGCTTTTGCGGACATTGACAACAGCCAGATTGATCATTCACGGGGCGAATCTGGACCAATAGTGTGGAAGTTGCATTTGGGGCACTATGAGTCGATCCATAATGCGTGTATTCGGCGATCATAGCTTCGAGGCAAAAGGCATGACGGCGATCTGGCGATCGTCTTGGCGGTGATGTGATTTGAGCATTGGGGCTGGCGTTCTGTACAAGAGGGGTAAGACTAACAGAGACGAACTGCGATCATCAGGTTCCTCAAGGATATCTGTTGTGCATGAGAATTACACAGTCTGAAATTGTCATCTGTCCTGCAAAAATTTGAGAAGGGCCTGGGCTGCAAAGACGCCGTCGTGATGGTCGCCGTTCCGGGCGCGGGCTTCTTCGAACATTTCATCGGTGAACAAGCCGGACTCGTGTCTTAGTTCGAGAAGCTCGTCCATGATCTCAGCGGTAAATTCGGGGTGCCCCTGGACTGTAATGACGCGGTGGGGGATGAGAAAGCCTTGGTTCATACACCTATCGGTGGATGCCAGCAACTCGGCACCATCGGGAACAGTAAAGACCTGGTCTCGATGCATTTGCTGCAGGCTCTGGGTGATTGCATTAAGGCCAATATTAGCATCATCTGTGCAGCTGACAACCAACCAGCCGTGAGATAGTCAGAGAATCGAACTTACCAGCGTCTTTTTCCCGCCGAATATCTCCTTCCCTTTCTCTGTCAACTCGGTTTCGGTCACGCTAATCTCCCATCCCTTGTCACTCCTCCCGACCTTCGCCCCTAAGGCCCTACCGACAATTTGATGCCCGAAACAAATGCCAATTACCTTTATCCTTGGTTGATTCTGCACCACGTCACGCACGTAGTCCACCAACCGGACAATCCACTCATCATTATCAAAGGCATTGTGCTTTGACCCAGAGATCAGAATGGCGTCGACGGTGTCTGGGTCTGGATAGGCCTCGGCGCCGCCAGAGACGACGTCATGGGCAGTGATGGTCAGGAGTGAGGACAGAGGTTCAGGGGCGACGGCGCGCTCAAAGAGGTACGAGAAGACACCGGCGTAGCCACCATGGCGAGCGAACGTACGAGGGACCGGGGTGTCGGCTTCGAGAACGGCGAGTCGGAGAGGGGACATGGTGATGGTGTAAAAAAGATATAAGGGGTTGCTTGTGGGAATGTGGAATATGTTATTTCAACCTCAGGTGCGTCGTTCTGGCAACCAACCTCCCCTGGAGGCTGGATGGACCCCCAACTGATGTGGATACTGGTTCTAACACTGAGACTCTGCGGCCGCCTGGAAGTTATTCCAAGTCCGGGCTGACTAAATTTGGAGGTGTTGTTTGCTTCAGTCAAGCAACCAGAGGGGAGTTAAATGTCAGAAGTGACAGGAGGGGTCGAAGCACGGACTGAACAGGGGGACAGGTAGGAAGAGATGACTGAAGAGCGCAAGTACCTCGTGAATGGAACTCAGATGCAAGACGGGGCCGAGATGGTACAACAAAGAATAAGCCAGGCCCCGACGAGCCACACAACCACCAGAACCTGAGGGTATCGGCATGTGGATACCGGTTAAGAATTAGCTGGGCAGTCAAGCTTCTCCAGGGCCCCAGGACCGCGGCGGGCGGGGGCCAGGGGCGGATCCGATATCCGATAGGCCCGCAGACGACCGCCCAGCGGCCACATCCCCCGCCCCCACTTGCTCGGCAAACTTCAGTTTTGACCACATGGCCGTGGGCGTCAGGGCCTCGTCCACCGCGCCAAGAAACCGTTGCAAAAATCGGGGCTCGGAAAGGCGTCGGGCGTTTCTCCATCCCATAGATCATGTCGTTATACCATGCAGCTACCCGGACTTTTCCCTTGAAATCCACCAAGTCTGTGACGCACAGAGAGCGACGCCTCAGTTGACTTCCATACTCCCGGTGGGCAGGTGTCCTTACGGCAATGCGGTGCTCTGTCACGTTCTCCCACGCAAAGTAAAGAGGTACAGTCATCACGTTCCGCTCAGTTGGAACTTTGGGAGTCGAGTCTCAGCCAGTCAGCCAGTCGTTGTTAAGCCGTCGATGTGGCAGCACTCTCAGTGACAGCAGCCTTTGAAGGACGCCAATAAGTCATTGACGCAACCCCACAGAGAGCAGCTAGGCTTTTGTACATAGTCCGTACCCGAAGCGCGGCTTTGTGCAACCACCACGCTTGGTTGACGATAAAAGAAACACTGGGAGCCTTGGGCAAGCCGAGGCTGGTTATCGGCTATAAGTTGGAGTGCAAAACTACCACAAGCTTGCCTCGAGTCCGCCTGCGTTAATCGATTTGGGTGCTGGGTTTCGTGTCTCTGCGTATCCACTTAATACCAACTATTTAAGGTCCAACCATCCACTGAGTGTACCTTATCGCCATGGGCTCCCGGACCTCACTGAAGGCCTTCCTGGCCACGGCCCGGAAAGCCCTGGCATCCGCTCCCCCCGAGCGACCAACTCCTTTGACTTTTGTGGTTGGAAACGAGTCCGCAGGTCTGAACATCCTATGTTCATTTGTTAGCACTGTATAATCCCCTGCTAACAACATCTTACAGACCTCGACTCCCTTTGTTCAGCCCTGCTCTATGCCTATTTCCGCACTCACATCCCGCCCCATACTCTGCACATCCCCCTCTCCAATCTTCCTCGCGCCGACCTCGCCCTACGTCCAGAGCTCAATGCCGTCCTTGCGCCAGCAGGCCTAACCACCAACGACCTCATCACCCTGTCTGACTTACCCCCAGCCCCTTCAACCAACGGTAATGGCACAAGCGAGGGGAAGCATCCCCTCAGGCCCGAAGATACCCGTTGGCTGCTCGTCGACCACAATGTCCTTACTGGGGAGCTGGCCTCCCGATTTCTACCCAAAGGCGGTGGGGCCGGGGCCGGCGGCGGCCGCATCATTGGTTGCGTAGACCATCACGACGACGAAGGCGTTGTGCCTAAGGAGGGCATCGACGTGCGAGTCTTCGCTCGATGTGGCAGCTGCATGAGCCTGGTGCTGGACCAGTGCAAAGACGTCTGGGAGCAGCTGAGTCGTGGGGACGCGAAGGTCTCTGCCGCCACCGGCCAGCGTTCGACGGTTGATGGCGCGGAGTGCGATGCGCAAATTGCGTATGTGGCGCTGGCGCCCATTCTTAGCGACACTATCAATCTCACGTCGCAGGACAAGACGACAGAATGGGATGTAAAGGCAGTTGAAATGGCCGAGGCAAAACTGTTGCAGGGCAAGAAGAGAGCCGGAGATGCGTCGGCAGCTGTTTTGAATGGCGCCGAAAGCGCGGGCTATGACCGTACGAGGTACTTTCAACAGATCAATCAGCTTAAGGAGGACATTTTGGGTATGTCGTACCGTGATATCCTTCGCAAGGACTTCAAGCGTTGGGCAGAAGGGACGTTGGCAGTCGGCATGTCAACAGTGCCACAAGGGTTCGAGTACGCCCTGAATAACGTCGGGGACAAACACCTGTTCCTCAGCGCTCTACGTGATTGGGCAGCGGAGCAGAAACTTGACATTGCAGCTGTCATGACTGTGTCAACAGTCAACGGGGTGTTCACCAGGGAGCTTCTGATATGGGGCTTCGATGAAAACGCAGTGAAGGCAGTAAAGGCGTTCAAGGCAAAGTATGGCGACGAGTTAGGACTTGAAAGGTGGCGAAACGGGGAGCTGGATGGCAGCAACGACACACAAAGGGAACTGAGAGTGTGTTGGATACAACGAAGTATCAGGCACAGCAGGAAACAAGTGGCGCCGATGCTGAGAGAAGCGATGAAGGATGCCGCAAAGCTGTGAGAAGCGGATGGCTAGAAGCAGCGCGCTGCTCCCCGTCATGTAAACTTAAGAAAGCAAGGCACCTCGGTACTGAGTTTTGAATTCTGCCAAATGTCCCATATCTGCCTTGAATTACAAGCGAGAAAGGAAAAAAAAATCCGAACGAGCACCCCAGCAAATCGCAATGCAATAATAGTGTATGTCGCGGTACGAGGACAAAGACGAGACGGGTCTTTCTGGCACCGACACAATCAATCCCACTATACCAAGTCATTTTCAAGGAGCATGGCCACAAACTCGCGGTCCTTGACAATCTTCAGTCTCCGCTCAGCGCATTGACGAGCTATCTCGGAGGCCGCTGGGTCGGCGATGTCGATGCAATCCTTGAGGTTCTTTCGGATGGAGTCATTGATGGGAACTGGCGGTTCCTCGTGTTTCATTTCATAGTAGAGTCGACGCAGGGCGTCGATGCACCGTGCCCGGTGGGCGTCTTTGGCAAAGATCCTGTAGGCGTGGGCATATAGGCGCCACGATCTACCTTGACAATACCGCGGAGGGATTCGCCAAACATCCCAGAACCGTTCCCATCGTCCCTGATCAGCGTAAGCATACATCAACCGGATGATTAAATCCTCGGAGGGGCACGGCAGATCTGCTTGGACTAAAAGGTCCTCGAATTGGGCCAGGATGCGAGCAGCTTCTGAAGAGGGGCTAGGATGCCGGACGAGAGCTTCGATCACCGTCACAAGCACATCGTGGTCCAACACCTTCTGACCGCGTGCAAACATGCTGTCGATGACTTCCATCACCAGAGCAGCCTGGTCGCGTGCGACAACATCCGTGCTTGCGGGTACGGCGAAGACACTCTGGATGAGATGGAGGGCAATGCCACGGGTCATGACGGGGCTTGACAGCAGGATCTCTCGGAGCCAGTTCTTCGCAACGCCAAGATCATATCCAGGGAGGTCCCGAGAACGGGCTGTGTTCCACAACCACATGCGATGCTCCCACGCTAGCACCGGCGCGAGGTTCTCCATGGCACGATCGTAGAGCTGCAGAAACGGCGAGGGCGCCACTTCTGGATGTTTCACAAGGATTGCATCGACCTCGTCCTTGCTGAGGCGTTTCAAATAAGATCTGAGTTGGGTTAGAACGTACAATTTTGACTTGGTATCTTGGTGCAGCATATGAGCCGCTTGTGCCGCAGATGATTCCTGGCATCCTCCTAGAACGACGCTTGAGAGGGGGTTGTCTGAGAAGTCTAGCGAAAGATTTATGTTTAGCCGCCTGGTCCAGGTAGAGAAGTAGCGTGATCCCGCGGGGTCAAGGTGCCTCTCCGAACGTACCGAGCTGGATCTGTCGGGAGGGAGGATGGTAATTTCCTGAGGCTTCTCGCTGACAGGCAATCCCTTATTTTTCCTAAGGCTCTTGTCTAGCGTATCTCTCCAGAGGCCTTCCAGATCCAGTTCCTCTCTCTTAGCCTCTGTCATAAGCTGGACCACGATGGTCGTGCCTGTATCGGGGACACCAAAACCAGTTGGCCTTCCTTGCTCGTCCAGGAACTGAATTTCCTCGTTTGAGCCCTCCACGGCGCCGAGGTGAACACATATCCAGCCGGTGCCAATGCCGTCATCGACGTTTGCCCCAACGCCTGAACTACCCAGCAATTTGGCCTTGCGGGCAGCCCGGCGAAGCCTAACCTTGAGCTGATTTCTCCCCAGAAGGCCGTCCGCGGAGGCCGAAACACCTTTCCCACGCAGCCAGCGCACCAGACGATCCGCCGAGACGTGAAGATGCCGCTCACTGCGGGCTGTACCGAACAGCATTATGAGCCGAGGACCCAGAGCGGCTGGAGGGTCCAATTCGCGGAGGTCGAGGAGCTCCAAATCATCCATGCCCAACTCATCCGACACATACTTAAGCAACGGCTCCATCAACCTGGGGGATCCCTCGGGAATCTCTGGTAATGGCACTGGTTTCTGCAGAAGCGTTGGGTGCCTCGGTGCCTCGACCTGGAGATACCACGGCACCTCTCCGTCTGACGTTGTAGCTTTCTGGTCCTTGTGTTTATCGTCCAGCCTCTCTTCGAGAGCGGGGCCGCTCAGCAAGCATGGTGTAGGTCTAAATGTCGAGAACCTGGGCGCCTGCGCCGTATTGAGTGGTCTGGCAATGGCGTTCAGCGCAGGAAGTCGAGCATTTGCAGATATTGCCGGGACAAGACGCAGGGCTGCACAACTACAGGCAGAGCAGCGGGCTGCCCGCAAAGCTGAGGCGGGCACCATTGCGGGCGATGGCATGCTAAACAGGTGAATTGGCTGTGTACGATAATTCCGACGATATCTGCGAAAGAGTATACAACGTCAGAGACGTCGGATTGCACACAGTTTTGCTTGATGTTGATCTGTTGTCCCTGTTGTTGAGTTGTTGGCTGACATCCCACCATCGCTGCACCGGCCCTCGGTGTTCTGTCGAGTCCTGTCGCTTATCTCTTATCGGATATCAATTATCGTTATCGTGCCTGGCCCGTCTGATCTTATCGATGTCAGTCAGGCCAGCGCCCGCACTCCCCCGAGCGCCAAGTGGGGTTCCAGGGTGGAAGTGGCCAATCAGCGGGGTAGTGTGATTTTTTTTTTCGAGAACCGACTCCAGCTCCACCCTCCCGCCGGAAGGCCTGGATGGGTCGTAGCAGGCCAATTTTTCGAGCACCATCGCCGTCGTGTGTTGTCCTCAGTTGTCCATCCTATCGTCTATTGTCGCTCTCTCTGCTTCCTCCACTCTCCCACCCAAGGCCCGGGTCAATAAACTTCTGCTACCTCCCACGGCGTTCTCCTCTGTCCCTGCTGCGTCGCAGGTCGATGATCCTGCTGCCCTGCTGCGTCCAAGTCCTCGAGTTGCCGGCAGCATCGTCTTCCTCCTGTTCCTCCTCCTCCTCCTCCTCCTCCTTCTCCCTCTTCTTTTCTTTGTCCCAGCTCGGGGCTCCTTTTTTCCGTATTAGATCTGGTGCATCCATCTTTCCAGCGTCTTGTCTTGTTGATCGCTTCTCAACTTAAATGAACTGATCAGTGTCCCCCACGGTCTTCAACAGGTCGCCTGCTCCATCTGTTGAAGCCCACAATCGTTCCTAATCTCAATCTATATCCTGTCATCCTCGCCTCCTCCCACAGCCAACTGCGCCTCTTTGCGCTTACATCTCTGTCTCGTCTTCCAAGATGCTCGTGCGATCCGGGGCAGCGAGACAGGCCCTCCGAGCGCGCCAGCTCCTCCCCTCAAGCGGGTCTCTTCCATCTTTGCCATGCACTCTCTCCAAGCTGGAGCGCCCGCTGGGCGAGACCAGGCCGCTCGTCACATTGGCCCCAGAGGCTCGGCCAGGGAAGAGGAAAAGTTTTCGTGCTCTTTCCGGTTTTGAACGGAACCTTGCTACGGCGCTCGAGGAGCGACGTTTCGATGACATCCCGTTCGAGGGCCTGCCTGGCGGCATGACTTTCAGGCAGCCCCCCATTTACGAGCTGAGACCATGGAACACTACGCCCTTGGTGCCCGCCGACCGCCCGGCCTATCCGCCCAGACAGCGCATCAACCCATCTGGTATCCCCGGCGATCTCGACGAAATGCTCGCCATCTTCGAGGCTTGTGTGCACGTCGGACGGCTGGACCGTGCGTCTCTGGTGCTCAAGCGCCTTGGAAACATGCAGGCCCTGCCGCCGCACAAGTTCATGGAGCTTCACAACCGCTACCTTGAGGGCCGTCTTGCCCAGATCGAAGCCGACGCGAAGAACAACGGCCACCTGGCTGAGAAGGTCCATAGTTGGTTCGAAACCGAAATCTGCGACCAACGTTTGCCATATACCCCACTTACCGTCGCATATATGCTCAAGATATCCCTCCTCACCAGCTCTGGTGCGAAATTGAAGACTTATCTTGAACGTTACATGAGTGTGCTGCCGCAAGATAGCGCCACAGAAGCCCTCGACTTGGGAGATGTTCTCACCGATGATGATCTTGCCGCCATTGCCGAGAACTGCCCAAGTCTCTCGCTCTCTCAGGAGGTTCTGGCTCCTGCAGAAACCGAGGATGCCGCCACTACCACCATCGCCGAGAAGTTTGCCGCTGATCGGGAGTCACAGAGCGCACCCAAGTCCCTGCCCGAAGTCCTTGCCACACCACAGAAGGGCACCGGCCTGGAAGCGCTGAAGTCCACATTAGCTCTCTTCTACGAGCTTCCTCCAGGCGCTGATGTTGCTGCGCTCCCCCTCGAACAGCGTCGCGAATTCCAGTCTAGGCTCGAACGCGACGTCTTGGAAGCCGCTTTGCAAAAATGGAGGGAGGACAATGAGTCGCTCGCATCCATGGGCCTTAACCCGCAGATCTCAGCCCCATCATTAAGCTCAAAGCTGTACCAGTGGCACCAGGCACTTGAGCGCCGCATTGCCGAGGAACAAGCCAAAGTTGAGGCGTCAGAGAATGTTCCCAAGAAGTCGGCTGAAGACTTAGATCGCTGTCTTTACGGCCCTCTGCTTCTTCAGGGGTCCGCCACCCGCCTTGCTGCAGCGACAATCATTTCCATCCTTTCGCTTCTCTCCCTCCACGGTGCCGATAAAGGAGTTGCTGCCTCTCTTGCTGTTCAGCAGGTAGCCAAAGTAGCCGAAGAGGATATCAGATTCCAGATTGCCGAGAAAACTAAGAAGCTGCCCAAACACCAGACCGAGCTGCAGAAGCGGAAGGCCCGCAGGCTGATTCGGGTCAAAGGTAATGGCAGCCTTAAAACAACGGATAAGAAACAGCTAGGCGTCGCGACGCTGCCGCTAGCGACCACTGGAGAGATGGCGCCTGCAATCACCGAGAATACCCGATGGCCAACTGCCATCAGGGCCAAGGTCGGCGCACTGTTGCTCACTGCGATGATGGAGACCGCCAAGATTATGGTGGTAAGAGATCACCCGGTCACCAAGGAGAAGGTGCACCAGCTGCAGCCAGCCTTCTCCCACGCCATGCAGCTCAGGAAGGGCAAGAAAGTCGGCATTATCCAGGCAAATCCGGAGCTAGTTGAGATTTTGAAGAGAGAGCCCCGCGCCGAGCTGCTTGCTCGCCATCTGCCTATGCTGGTTGAACCGGAACCGTGGACAAAGTTCGACAAGGGTGGCTTCCTGGAGTGCCAGAGCCCCTTGATTCGTCTCAAGAACCACGAGATAGAGCAGAAAATCTATGCTGAAGCGGCCATTGAGCGCGGTGATATGGAGCAGATGATGCGCGGTCTCGATGTCCTAGGCAAGACGGCCTGGCGAATCAACCGCAAGGTTTTCGACGTCATGTTGACTGTCTGGAACGAGGGCATCGCGTTTGCCAACATTCCTGCCCTTCACCCCAACATCCCCATCCCTCCTGAGCCGGATTCGAGTGACGACCCGATGAAGAAGCGTATCTGGATGAGGCAGGTTAAGGCAATTCAGAACGAGAAGTCCGGCATGCATTCGGTTCGCTGCTTCATGAACTTCCAACTGGAGATCGCTCGAGCTTTCATTGACCAAACCTTCTACTTTCCTCACAACTTGGACTTCCGTGGACGCGCGTACCCGCTGCCTCCTTACTTGAACCACATGGGTGCTGACCACATGCGTGGTATGCTCCTTTTTGCCAAAGGAAAGCCCCTCGGCGAGAACGGGTTACGTTGGCTCAAGATTCACCTGGCCAATGTCTACGGTTACGATAAGGCCAGTCTCGACGACCGCGAAAAGTTTGCCGACGATAACTTGGCGAACATTATGGACTCGGCAAGCAACCCTCTCGGCGGGAAGCGTTGGTGGCTCCAGGGTGAGGATCCATGGCAATGCCTGGCCACTTGCTTCGAGCTGGCTGCGGCGCTTCAATCGCCTGATCCAACTCAGTTCGTTTCTCACCTGCCCGTTCATCAAGACGGCACCTGCAACGGTCTTCAGCACTATGCCGCTCTCGGTGGTGACACTTGGGGTGCGCAACAGGTCAATCTGATCCCCGGCGAGAAGCCGGCCGACGTCTACTCCGCAGTCGCCCAGCTTGTGCAAGAAATGGTCACCAAGGATGCTGCAGCCGGCAACGAATTTGCCAAGGCCTTAGACGGCAAGATCACTCGCAAGGTGGTGAAGCAGACTGTCATGACCAACGTCTATGGTGTTACCTTCGTCGGCGCCAAGAGACAAGTCCAGAAGCAGCTGGATGCACTCTACCCCAATCTGGAGTCTCAGACGGGCTGCTCCACGTCCATTCTCTCGTCATACATGGCGACCAAGATTTTCGCCGCTTTAGGTACGATGTTTTCAGGAGCTTACGCTATCCAGAGCTGGTTGGGCGAGATCGGTGATCGTGTCTGCCGTGCCATTACTCCCGAGCAGCTTAATCGCATTGAGGCCGAAGCGACTGGCGAGTCGAAGAAGAAGTTCACTGATGCCGAACTGAACAACACGTTCCGCAATACAATCGTCTGGACAACGCCACTGCGCATGCCTGTGGTCCAGCCATACAGGAAGAGTGGTACTCGCGTGGTCCCAACCTGTCTCCAAGATTTGGCCCTGCAGGTGTCCGACCGCGACGATCCCGTCAATCGCCGGAAGCAGCTCCAGGCGTTCCCGCCAAATTTCATCCACTCTCTCGACGCCAGCCACATGATGCTGTCCGCGCTCGAGTGCCACGAGCTTGGCCTCACCTTTGCTGCGGTGCACGACTCCTTCTGGACTCATGCTGCCGATGTTGACAAGATGAGCAAGGTCATCCGTGAGTCTTTCATCCGGATCCACAGTGAGGATGTCATCGGTCGGTTGAAGTGCGAGTTCGAAGCCCGCTACAAAGGCGCTCTTTACCGCGCAAAGATTCTGTCCTCATCTCCTGTCGGCGCGATGATCATCAAGCACCGTCGGATCCACAAGATGACTTCCCTGGAGGAACTGTTGCAAGAAAAACGTCGCCAAGAGCTGCTCGCCTCTTCTGATCCTGATGAGGTCAAGAAGGGCCAGGAGATGGTGACGCCGGCCAGTCTCTTCGAGAAGTACGCCACGCCCGATGCACTGGTTAGCCAATACGATCCCGAAGAGCTTCAGCAGGCCGAAGCAGACGAAGAGGCCAGCTCCAATGCCGGCGAAGATGGCATGTCTGAAGAAGAGGACTCTCTCACCATGGACACGGCATCGGAGGAAGCTGATGCCGGAATGAATGTTCGGGACTTCAGCCGCGTTGATGACATCAAAAATGTCAATTATTTTGAACAAGAGCTGGACAAAAACAAGAAGATTAAACGCGGAAACTCCAAGAAGTCAGGAGCCCTCAACACTATTCCAGTCTGGCTACCGCTTACCTTCCCCGATATCCCGAAGAAGGGCGACTTTGATGTCCGCCAGCTGAAGGAGAGCAAGTACTTCTTCTCTTAAACGAAGCTATTTTCACTCAGTCTTCATCACGAGAGGGCAACCCGGGGTTATGTTCGATAGAGGCTGGGTGTGTTGTACTATGTACATTAGGGGTTAACAAAAGTCCATTCTTTGGGAAGTGGTGTTTGGCGTTTGTTGTTATGGGTGGCATATAGCGGTACGGCGTTTCATGAGCAGTAGACGGGTGGTAGGTGGGCAGAGGAATTCATCTCCATATCCTGTACATTAAACGAGTATGGCGATGGGAGTCACGCATCTTTACTTGATGAGAGAGAAAGTGTACATGTATCTATCACCTTTATTTATATCTTTTGTATACTAGACCGGTGACTCAAGAAATCACTGGTCAGGCACAGCATGTGTTATAGATGGCAGATATTCTCTGAGTCAGGAAGCAAGCATGATGTTTTGCAAAATTAAGGTACATAATGATTTCCACAAATCTTGATCCCCACATCATTGAACCAACTTGTGTGTTCTGACTAAGTTCATTTACTTAGTCCCCTTGGTCTGACAACATGAGCAATGGAGAGCGCTTCATGGCATGCTGTCCACTCTTTATCTTCTTCCCTAAATGCGGATCTCCGAATCCGCTTATGCTCTCCGCCCACCCAGCCAGGTTACATAGACTGCACAAGGGGAGATGGTCAAAAGATGCACAGCACGTAGCATGTATGATCAAGGAAAAAAGGCTTGGCAAGGCTAATTCTGCCGTTTTCTTAGCAGATTAAATTGCCAATTGCAACAGCACTTCCCGATGTAGAGGTATAGCCTCATGTAACCGCTCAGGCGTAGGCTAACCAACACGCATACCCGGATTAGGAGATCGGAAGTTATCAAACGGACCATCTCGTTAGGGTTAGCAGGCCGCATTTCCCGGTCCGTGGAGGCGGTCAAGCCTGCCTCCAGATTGCCGCTAAAGTAACTGATGCTATTTATTGCTCTTCGGATGCTACCAGGTCAGTTCGCTCAATAGTGTGCTGGTTGCGTTACCAGCCGCGGCCAACATATGGGCCAAGAGCTGCAGCCAGGACACTTAATTTTTGCTGTGTTGTTGGCTAGTGCGTGGAAGGACATCTACCTAGGAACGATGCATGTTTTGGCGGGTGTTCGGAGGATAGTCTTCCACCTGCTACGCCGATCCTTTAGACTCAGAGTTTGCCTTGTCCTTCCTTCGTGGGCATCATTGGCTCGATGCGTCCGAGACTGCAACCACATAACTCAAAAATGCTTCCCAACAAGTTGTGAAGCAAAACTGGGGTGGTGGCAACCACGAATGCTACGCACGATTTCCCTGAATTTGCTTTACTGGGCTGGGAAGAGAGAGGATCGCAGCAGGATTTAAAGGGCCGGTCATCGCGAAAGTTGGGAAGACACATGCTGGAACTTTCTTTGGGCGTGGTCGAGTAAAGTCAAGTGAAGCACACTCCAGAGGACTTAGAAGATCCAAATCAAAAAGGGACTGCCTCTACCATGAAATTCGACGCCAAATCCCTCTTCATCTCTTGCCTGCTCACTGGGCTTAGGTATGTCATTTTAAGGCAGCCTTATCTCATCCCTTGCTCCCAAAAGAGAAAATCCGCTAAGACTAGGCTCACAGCTCAGCCGCTCCGGCCGCTGATCCCAATGCCCAGATCGACCTGCCGGTCCTGACCCTGACCGGCGGTATTATCGGTCCCACGCTGGCTCCGATCCCGACCCTGATCCCGCCCACGTGTACGAAATTCGTTGATGGCGCGCTGGTGACGCCGTCCTGCTACACGCACACGACGACGGCGCCGTGCACGACGCTCAAATCGTGCCCGCTGCCGACGAAGCCGATCGTGTGCCCCGCGGTCATCAAGATCACGACCATCTCCGTGCCTTGCAGGTAAGTTGCCTACTCCAGAGGAAGAGTGTAAAAATGGTTGGAGGCTAACTGTGCATCCTTCTAGTACGGACTGCTGCCCCGTGACGCCAACCAAGACTGTCACTCCTCGGGCGTGCCAGACCTGCATCACCGGCTGCGTGATTCCGACCGAGACCATTACCGTTACCACTGGATGCAAGCCTACGCTGACCGTGAACCCTCCGCCAACATCTCTCACTGTCATCCGGCCAACGCTCACTACAATCAGGCCGCCCCTTCACACAGCGGTCATCGATCCTATCCTCGATGTTGCGTGAGTTTGTAGGGTGAGACCGAGGTGCGGCATTGGGGTGAGAAGATGGAACGGGGGGATGGAAGCTGGTCGGGAAATGGGCGGCCATCTTTTGCATTAGGTTTCGTTGGACATATTTTGCTCGTTCACAAACAGTGGTTTATATTGGGAATCTTCCATACGCTATATGAGACCGTCCTTCTTGCAACGTCAAAAGGAACATTAAATTTAAATCTTGGTTTCCCCTTATGCCTGGCTTTTACCGTACCTGAGCACCCTTTAGGCTAGCAACCGTGCACACACCACCGCTCTCGGTGACCAACTTCGCCAGACCCGTCTTGCCCTCCAGGGCCTCGACGACGCTGGGATCAAAAGCCACCTCAAGCGAGTCAGTGGTGGTGAAGCCGGGCTGGAAGGTCTCCCAAATCTTCTTCTTGGGGTTAAGCACCTTCTCGGGCTCAGCCTGGAAGCCCTCGAAGAAAACACGCTCGCCAGCCTTAGCATCAGCAGGAGGGTTGACCAGCTCAACGGGGCCCTTGTGGTCATCTTCGCCCTCCTTAGGCCGTGGGGAGGCAGCTAGGACCATGGCGCACGACTTGATGCCGCGCATCTTGACAGGCTTCAGATTGCAGACCACCACAACCTTACGGCCCTGCATCTCCTCGAGCGGGACAAGGCCATTCAGGCCGGAGCACACGGTCCGGCAGATCTGGCCCTCGTACTCGACGGTGTCGTCAGTGCCTGGCTTGTCGCCGACGTTGATCGTAGAGACGTAGAGAGAGTCGGCCTCAGGATGCTTGATGGCCTTGAGGATGTGGCCGACACGCAGGTCAATGAGACCAGGGGACAGCACAGTGGGCGCAGGGGGAGGAGCCTGCTTGGGAGCACGCTCCTTCTTCTCCTTCTTTTCCTTCTTGGGCTTCCCGTTACCGCCCTCGGCAGCAGCAGGGGTAGTGTCAGCGACCTTGTCCTTGGGCTCAACCGCAGCACCGGCATTCTTCTCCTTTGTCCTATCAGGAAGAGCCTGGTTGCCGGTGGCGGCGGAAGCGGCAGCAGCAGCGGCGGCGGCAGCCTTCTCCTTCTTCAAGCGCTCCTTCTCAGCCTTGGGATCGGCTGGCGGCTTGACGTAAAGGATCTCCTCGGGATCGACTTGGACCTTGTCGGCGTCGGCAACATCGAGGCCGAAGATGGGGCTGTTCTGGACAAAATCGACCAGACGCACAATGTTGGGGCGCCCGTTCTCGCCAGTGCGCTGCTCTGGGGCCCACGACTTCACAATGGGAGCGAGAGACTCATAAAGAGCGATATCTGCCTTGCTGGGCTTGGTGCCAAGGGCGGTGGTGCGAGTGGCAAGCTCGGCATTGAGGGCATCGAGAGCAGCATCGGAAGCACCGGCCTTGAGCTCCTGGGCCCTGGCGAGCCAGGCCTGGATTTCAGATTCCTCAGCGGGAGTGTACTTCTGGGCGCCGAGAGCGGCCATGATGCGTGGGTTAGAAAGATTGATGGAAGCAAAGGGCCGAAACAAGAAGTTGAAGTTAACGTGTCGCACAAAATAAGCGCTTCGCAGGGCGGCTGCTGGGCGCGCGACGGCTCGAAAGAACGGCAGTTTGGAGGATTGACGAAGGAATGACCGACGACACGGCAGACGCAGACAAATAGATTTGCTCTGGCTCTTAAAACCGGATAGCGTGGCGAGGCTGAGAAGTCGGTACCTGGGAGGGGCCAAAGAGTCGTGAACGGACGATGCCAGGGTCAAAGTTTTGAAACGGACGAACAGCAAAATGTTTCTTGGGACGAGTCAACGCGGCGAATGGCAAATGCGGGGCACTCACTGTCTTGACTCAAAAGGCTCCTGAGAGGGGCACAACGTCCCCATGGTCCATCTCTTGGCATGCCATGCCATAGGAGCACAGACCAGTAACCCTCGAGACCTCTGTTGACTTCTCCCTGCGGGCGGTGGGGGTGGCCTGGGCACTTTCAAAGTCCTTGATATGCCGCCCCCGCTCCCCAAGCCCGAGACTGCGCGTGGGTCCCCGTGGGGTCTCTAATTCGGGTCTTGACGCGCGCTGCTCGTGATTTCGTGGCAGGCTCCCGTCGCGTTGCATGCGCGTCTCCTGTTGGGTTTTCCTTAATCAGCTGGCCCATTTCTTGAGTTTGCATTCCTCCATCCATTCCCCCATCCCCGGTGTGCGGTGCTCTGGAATGGGAAGCACAATTCAAGGATCAATCAGTCGTTTATTGCATTGTTCTGATTCTCACTTTGACTCTGGACAGCCCCAGTTCATCCAAGTCGAATTGGATCGCTGACCGTTGACGTAACTGCATCTTCAACCCTTCTGAAGTTCTGTCCTTGACAATCTCGTTTCTCCCCATCCAGTGATTGCCCCCGCACTCATCTCCTCTTCAGCTTCCTTTTCCGTGACAATGCCACATCTCGAGTATTCCGAAGATGATACCACAGCTTCCACGAGCTCGCTCTCAAGACTCCCCACAAGTGCACCCTCGTCCCCGCCGCCAACGAGTCCGGACAAGAAGACCATGGACATGGACAAGCCTAAGATGACTTATACCAAGCTGCGGGAGGAACAGATCCTTGCAGAAGAAGAGGAGAAGGCGCGCATTGCAAACCTCAAGGCCGAGGAAAAGCGTAAGCGCAAAGTGTGGAGGAAACGCATCTTGACGAAGGAGGAGAGAGAGGCCAAAGCTAAGGATCTGGACCGTTTGTTGGCCCAGAGCGCCGCGTTCAGCAGTATTCTCACGAATAAGACCAAGGTGCTGGGCCGTGTGGGAACGAGTCTCGATGGCAAGACGCTTGGAGAGCACGACCTGGTTATGGCCAAGCAGCCCAAGTGCATGGTCGGCGGCACCATGCGCGACTACCAGCTCGAGGGCCTGACGTGGATGTACGAGATCTGCATCCAGGGCATGAGCGGCATCCTGGCCGACGAGATGGGACTGGGTATGTGATCCAGGCTCCCATCCCCTCCCAGCATTTCTAATCCGGATGGCTAACGCCCTTTTCCATCAGGTAAAACGGTTCAAGCAATTTCGTTGATTGCCTTGCTTCGTGAACAAGAGAACTATCTGGGACCTCACCTCATCGTCGCCCCCCTGAGCACACTGTCCAACTGGCTGGATGAGTTCCATCACTGGGTGCCATCCATCCCAGTGGTTATGTACCATGGCACACCGCAGCAGCGCACAGAGATTTTCAAGACCAAAATTATGCGCAACCTCAAGAACGGCCGGCCAACCGAACAGTTCCCGGTTGTCTGTACGAGCTATGAGATGGTCCTCAAGGATCGTGCCTCGTTGTCCAAGATTAACTGGGAGTTTATCATTATCGACGAGGGCCACCGCATGAAGAACTTTGACTCAAAGCTCTTCAGGGAATTGAAGTCTTTTAGCTCAGCTACCCGCCTTTTGATCACGGGGACGCCTTTACAGAATAACCTCAAGGAACTCTGGTCGCTCCTGAACTTCCTTCTTCCCAAGATCTTCCGCGACTGGGAGGCCTTTGAGAGCTGGTTTGACTTCAGCGACTTAGAGGATGAAGAGGGCACCGAGGAGTTTATTGCCGACAAGACCAAGCAGGAGCTCGTCAAGAAAATGCACATCGTGTTGCAACCTCTGCTTCTCCGAAGGGTCAAGGCTGATGTCGCCAAGTACCTCCCAAAGAAGCGAGAGTACGTCTTGTATGCCCCAATGACAAAGGAGCAGACGGATCTCTATAATGTCATCAACGATAAAAACATCGACACAAGGGCATACCTGGAAAACAAGGTAATTGAGCGGCTGACCAGCGCCGCCGCCAACAGCAAGGCGAGCTCACCTAAACGCAGCACCCGCCAGTCAAGGGCTGGGAGTGTAAAGCAAGAGTCGGACAATAATAGTGAACCAACATCGGATACAGCCCACGACGCCCGCAGCTCTGCTAAGAAAGCCGAAGAAATACCACCGGCCAAGAATGCATTTGCTCTCTTGATGGGCAAGGCTCGCCACCAGAGCCAAACGGCCAAAGACGCCGCGTCTGCTTCCACAAAGAAAGCGGATTCTTTGCCATCACAATCAAACAAGAACACCATCAAGAGAAAGATCCCACCAACATCTGAGGAACCAGCCCGAAAGACTGCCAAGGCTAGCAAAGAAGCCACCCCAACAAGTGCTCGCGGTCGTCCAAGGAGAGGAAGACATTCATACAAAGAAGCTGATTCCGATGAGGAGTTGCTCGATGGTGACGAGTTTGAGGAAAAGCTCGCTAAGGAGCTGACTCATGGAGAAGAGACTGAGGAAGAGCAGACCGCAGAGGATGAAGAGGAAATTGAGCGGATGCAAACGCTTGAGCTTGCCAGTAAGTTTCATTTATCTCCGGCCTCTCTGGCTTCTTACATAAAGCTGATGGGTCCCCAGAGCGTGAGATTGCGAGCAAAAAGCTTGGAAATCCTTTGCTCCAGCTTCGTTTGGTTTGCAACAGTCCTCACAACTTTTACAACCCATGGTCTGTTGACAATGGGCTCCCGGTTGATGAAAGCATCGTGACTGCATCTGGAAAGATGCTCCTTCTTGATCGCCTTCTGCCTGAACTCTTCAAACGCGGGCACAAAGTGCTCATCTTCTCCCAGTTCAAGACCCAGCTCGACATTCTTCAAGACTACTGCACCGAGCTTCGGAAGTGGCCAGTGTGTCGTATCGACGGTGGTGTGTCACAAGAAGAACGGCGTGCCCAGATTCGTGAGTTCAACTCCAATCCGGATCTCAAGATCTTTTTATTGTCTACCCGGGCCGGTGGACAAGGAATCAACTTGGCCAGCGCCGATACTGTCATTCTCTTCGACAGCGATTGGAATCCACAGCAAGATTTGCAGGCTCAAGATCGCGCCCATCGGATTGGGCAGACTCGCCCTGTCATTGTCTACCGGTTCGCGACAAAGGGAACCGTCGAGGAGGAGCTTCTGATGAGTGCCGATGCCAAGCGCAGATTGGAGAAGCTTGTCATCAAGAAGGGCGGATTCCGGACCATGGGCCAGAAGATTGACCTAAAAGAAGAACTGGACCGAGAGACACTGCGAACGTTGCTGCTCAAGGATGGGCAAGTCTACAAGTTCTCAGGGGATAAGGAGATCTTGAGCGATCACGATCTTGAAGTGCTGTGTGATAGGAGTGATGAGGCATACGAAAGAGCTGCCGCAGGGGCTGGCAATGCTGATGCTTACAAAGTCATCGAGACGGGCGCTGAGGGGATTGTCCATGCCGGACATGCCTGAAGGCTTGGGTTGGACAAAGTGCAACTCAGCTCAGGTGCAGCAGATACCCCACGTCACACGACAGCCCGTCACCGACTGACTAGATGCAGCATTTCTACGGGTTTGGAATGCAACTGTTTCAGGCATTCTTCATTTTTCTTTGCCACAGGCCACACAGCTAATCTATAATAGACCAAACGATGTGATATCAACCGAGCTTTCACAATCCTACAGATTACATGATGGTGCTTGCATGCATACCTGCCTGATTTTAACCCCCGCCGTTTTTTTTTGTTCGGCCCATCTTCTAGCCTCGTCTCTCACTGCATCTCCTATGTAATAAATCACACTGACGATGCGTAGAAGCACTACGTTGATCACTACCAAAAAGCCATTAATAGCAATATTCTTCTTCTCGAGGACGAGCCAACACCACACCCACGCGACCATTATCGCTAACCCTATTAACCACCTCTCCTACATGAGCGTCCATAGCTCTTTCAAAAGCTCCTTTGCAAGCACGTCTGCAGCGGCGAACAAAAGCTGTACCAACCCATACATAAACTCTTGTAGTGCCCAAGCAATTGTCACTGCCCAACGCCCCGTTGCATAGCAGGCCCAGGCGTACCAATACAACTGGAGGAATCCCTTGAGCACCTCCCAAGATACTCTCGCAGCAATCACGAACCACGGAACTTCTTGCGGATCACTGAAGTCAGTCCCGAGCCAGAGCAGGGCAAGCAGCAAGATGTATGACATGATCCATGTCTTCGCTAGCGAGACTCCCACCCCGTCGACACAGCAGTCACTGTAACGCGGCCACAACGCGTGGGCGGTCGCGCACCAGGGGGACAGGATGGTGTCGTGGCAGGGTGGTAGCAGAATGGATGGGGTTGGCGGCCAGTCGCTGTGGGTAAGCCTCCAGAAGGGGGAACGCAGCCAGAAGATGATGATTGGGACGATGCTGAAGGGATGGAGGAGCAGGGTTATGGCCAAGGAGCTGAGCCCTGTAACAAAGTGGAAGTGTTGGGAGAAGAGAGGCAGCAGCTGGATTGGAGTGTTCTCGGTGCAAATGCTAACCTTGTAGGCGTTGAAAACCATTTTCAACAGAACGATCAGGCCGATGTGCAAAGAAAGTAAGAACGAAGGCTTGGCCGTCATGTTGCCATGATTGGGGTTGGGGTTGATGGGTTGTCCCTCTGGCTAAGACGCTTGGCCCTCGCCATCACTTGCTGATGATGCTGCGTCTGAGTCATGATCATCTGGAACCCTGACATGAAAGGGCCTACCATGTGTTTCATTCGATGCCAATGCCATCTCCTTTATGGTTACTGATGCTGATAGAGAGGGGAAGGCCTTTAGTCCTCCAAGGGTTCTGAAAGATGAGAGAGTTCGAAATAACCACTAGAGCACAACTTACCCTGATGGGTTAGAGATGTTCATGTGGGATTTGGATTCCGAATTCCCAATGTTGAGTGGTGGCCCTACTCACGGCCCGAACTTGGGGTATTTCACTTTATTAGAGCTGAATATAGATGGCACATAGCAGGTTGTTCTATGTCCCTTTCATCTGTGCTAAACGCAGATCAAGTTTTTTACATTTCTTTGTCCTGAGAACTGTGTGGTGCTCCATACATCTGGCCCGGTCACGTGTTCAGTTGATGTAGAACAAAGAGTTTGTCTTGGAAAGCTGGATATGGTGGTGAGTTGGATAAGAGCAAACATATTGTATGTGCTCTTGCTCACTGTCAATGTGCCTGTAAGCATCACGAATAATTACTACCAGGGATGAACTGATTCCTGCGAAGTTGGGGGATGGGTAGGATCGCATTTTGTTTGCTGAGCTACATCCTTATGAAAGTCCGCTCGATGTATGGCCCGTTGGCTACGGCTGGAAGATCAAATAACAACTCGGTGGTAGGCTGGGCCTAGAAGCTCTCATTGTTTACAGGTTTCAAAATCAAGCCAATGCTACTAAGTAACAAAAACCAGCTTCGATGTAGAGGACGCTGGGTGATAGCAGAGAAATCCGCAATTATTCATTTCAAAGGGACACTCAAATCACATTAAGTCATTGTCTTCTTCAGCTACCCCTTCGAGAAGCACCGAATCCTTCATTTAACAATAATTTAGTGAAGGGACTTTTAGGATTGATTTGGCCCTGGAGGTTTTCACAGTGGCAAGGACGAATGAAAGGCAGTGTTCTCGTGACTGTTAGTAGACACACCTTTGTTGATACAGAACGCTCGATCCGTACAATAGCATTTATAGATCACATCAAAGAAACAGACCAATCATTAGACAAGGCACATATAATGAGGGCAACCTGCCAGCAGATTGAGGCCAAAGCAGCATCGAAGCATCTGCAGCGGACAACATCACAGTTTCACCTGATCTAACAAGCCAAATATCAGCTCACTTCGGAACAATACCAACTAAACTCACTATCACAGCAACTCTGGTCCCATAAAGCTAGCATCAAAACGCTACAAACAAAATGGCAGGCCGTCACAAGCGCACTTCCAAGAACACCCGTAAGCGCCATCGATTCCACATCCCGGGCTACGTGCCACGGCAGACTCGTTTACGGGCAACCGGGCCGGATGCCAAACCACTCATCGCTATCGATATGAATGCATCTTCGCATGTCTACACAGACAAGAATGGACGACGGCATCGGTGCTTGCCCATCGTCGTTGTCCAACCGGGGCTAAAGCACCGGCAAGAGCCGAAAGACATCGATTCTGATTCTACGTGTTCAAGCGATGATGATACTTCTTTTACTACTGACTACGAATCAGAGTCTCGCAGTCCCTCTACTGCAGGCTCTCAGGATACAAGCGGCGACACTTCTGCTGCTACTGACTCTAAATCAGCGTCTCGCAGTCCCTCAGCGGCATCTGGCTCTGAGAGTCTGCGATGGTCCCGAGAGCACATTCCTACAGGTGAGGAGAGCCACTAGCAGGTCATACCCACCTACTCTTGTTTTTTATCAGCCAAAAGTGCAGCGCTAACGTACCCAAAGCATCCATATGTAAGCTTGAAGGATTGGGATCGATTTTTGCGGAGAACTTCACATTGTCACCTCAACCCGTTTCGCAACTAGACAGTCACAAGGACCTCGAGAGCTGTCATTACAGCACTTCATGTACCTGCCTGCATGGCAGGCAGGCCTTGGACCTCATAAGTCCGAAGACAATACCGCCAGGAAAAAACTTGCCCGTTACCACAACAAAGCGGATTTCGGATGAGACAGAGCTAAGTGCCCCTCCGACGCCTAAGAAATACAAGCAGTTTGATAACGGTGGCCTTGAAACACACAGGACGAAGGCAGGTAAAACCACTGGTAAGCCAAGTTGTGATTTTCCTCAAGAGGCCATGGAGAATCTTACTGATACATCGTCTTTGGGATGTTCCAGTTGCTCTGACTGCGAATGTATCCTCGGCAGCTGCCTGTTCTGTTCAGGCTCTGAATGGAGCGATGGGGAAAGCAATGCAAACAAAAGCCTGCAGCTGACGGAGCACGCTCTGTCAGCAGCTATTAAGCTAGAATACCCTGACTCCATCGGGCCAAGATCGCCAATTCCGTTCGATGACGGTGGCTCGATCAATTCCATGATGGATATTGACCTCACAGACGTGGATGTCGTCATCACCGTCAGCAGTAGCAGTAGTGGCAGCAGCAGCAGCAGCAGAACTGTGAGTCCTTCCAAGACCCCAAACATTCCAATGATGGGGCAGGGCGTGAAGAAGGCATAGAGAGCGAGAGAGGCAATAGAGCAGGTTGGGACGCCATCGACATCTTGCTGGCAGGGCTGAGGAGATAGCCGGGTGAATGAGGATGAATCACGCAAGGCATTCCAATGCTTGATATCGGCGAGGGGACGTGGGAGCGCAAAAAACGATCTCTCGATAACTTAATTGCTGTAGATAGGTAGTTGAACTCGCTTTGGTTACCAATGAAATCGGGTATCTGGATAGATAAGAAATTGAGCATATGTCAGTTTTAAACTTGCCGATGTCCCATACAAGCCTTGTGTGTGTCGGTACGGGGTGAAGTTTTAGATGCTCAGTGGGTGTATTTGAGCTGTCGTCGCTTTCCTGTGCCGCCCTCTTATCAGAGGCTCACAGTCCCATGTCCTCATCACTCGCGTCAGCGCCCTCTTCCTCTTCCTCAGCCTCTCTCCTCGCCGCTTCGGTGCTCGCACCAATCTTCCTCACGCCATCCACGACGCTCAGCACGAACCCCCGGCTTTCGGCTAACTCCATAGCGCCAACACCCCTGAGACTCATCAAGCCACCGCCGAAGCCCTCTAGCACGGATGTGCTATTCCTCAACTTCGCAGCGCGAACCTCTACTAGGTCACGCAGCAAACCTCGTACTTCACCGGCCGGAGCGCCGATGTCATCGGCGGCATGGGCCAGCAGCATCTCGGCAACCTCGAGCCAGTGATAGGGCAGAAACCCGACCGGAGCGTCGGCGGTGCACGAACCGGGACGGAAAGGCGGAGACAGTATGAAGCCGTCATCGTCCTGGTGGATAGGCAGTGTGCGGCCGGGACGAGCGGGATCGGCGCGGGGATGGCGGGCTGGAGGGGGCTCGGAGAAGGCCTGGGGGTCAACAGTGGTTTCCTGGTGGATGATTTCGCGCAAGGAGTCTGGGTGCAGCCACGGGGGCGGCAGGATGTTGGCTCGGCGCTGCTTTTTGAGGAGAAGAGCCAGCCAGAGGGGAAGGTCGGCGCGATGAGGGGGACGCAGGGGAGGGGTTTTGCCCTGAGGCGCCGAGAAAGGCGTGTGTCAGCACTGTCAGCAGCTGGCAGCAGCCTGGAAACTGGAGAAAGAAGAGGGGAAGGGCCAGGGGTGTGGGTATTGTGTAAGGAACTCACGCTCAGCAGCTCAATGCTGTCGAGTCGTTGGCGTGGGATGACAGTGACCAGCTCCATCTCGGCGAGGAAGGAGACCTCGGCCGGGGTCAGGCCTGGCGGGAGTGGAAGCGCCATTGCTATGACGGGAATTCTTGTAGACAAGGTTGAGTTACCGTAGGTGACTGACGGGGAGGTATGTCGCCTCGTCAGCTCCCAGTCATGATGATGTTGAATGTTGGGCCCGTCTGACAGACTGTAATTGTGGAAATTGTTACCGCTGCCGCGAGGAGACGCGATTATAGGTACGTAATCTGTGCGCCCAGGTTGAAAGGAAGTGGTAAGTACGAACACGGAGCACAGAGGAGCTCCGGGCCCCAGACCGAATGATCGCGATGATGGGCTCTGGAAACGCGTTGCTGCATGGAAAATGGATGACAGCACGCTAGGCGGAAACTTAGGCTTGGCAGGCCAGGCACTGTCAGCCCTGTGGGGCGCCAAACAGCTCGGCATGCGGGGAGGTTGGGGGGGATCAGGGGTTTACTCCATCTGCCTTATCTCCCTATGACCACCTGATCTCCCTCATTACCATCCATCGTCTGCTGTACAAACCTGGAACGTTGGCCAATCTATCAACAGAATGGGGAGCCCCTGCTCAAAATCACGTTCCTTTCTCTATTTGAAGAAACGTTTTGGATGAAGTAGGTACTTAGCCCCAGATATCCCCTTTTTTTTTTTCAGAAACAGAAAGAGAAAAGAGGGTTGCTGGCGCAGCGGGTTTTGGAGTGTTGAAAACTCTCCGACATCGGTCAATCAGAATTAACAACGGCAAATTCCAACTCAATAATCAACTTAGCATAAACAGATAACTTTCTAACTGACAAAAAGACTTGAAATCTGAAATCCAGTCAAGAAGATGGCCGCAGAGGGCAACAGCTTCAATAGCATACTTCAAGCGTGTTTTATTGACCTGCTGTGATAATATATGGCCATATTTGATTCCTTTCTAGCCCCCATGATACTTTCTTTTCGACTTGTTCCTGTCCCACTAACGCATCCCAAATCTCTGCAAAAGAGTAGCAACGCAAGGAAACGGAAATATCGCAACACAAACGCACATGTTAGCACGCGAGCGTTATGAAACACACCTTGAAATCCTCTTAGACGTGCATCATCTCGTTTCACAACTAGACCTCCTCGTCCCTCGACGCGTCTTTTGCCGGCCATGGGCTTTTGTCATATGCTTCAACATATGATCACGACGTGCATATGTCCTTGGGCAAAGCTCACAGCTCACTCGCTTCCTCTCTTCTGGCGAAATCACCTCGGGGTGTCTGGCGATCAAGTGCTTTTTCAAGTTGGCTTGGTAGTCGAACCCTTGGTCACAGACAGGACATATCTCAGGTCGTTCCTTTTTCCTACGTTGCCGGCTGTTGCATTTCATTGCTGGTTAGTGCTATCTGCATACGTCTATTGAAAATCCGCATCACGGGAAAGATGGGGTGAGAGCATACGCCGGCAAGCCACCATTGAGACGACGTGACCCTCCCTGTATTTGTACTGAAGCAAAAACCCCTGCCTCAGGCCTACCCTGTGAAGACGTAGTATCGCTGGAGGAGATAGAGGACATATGTTGTTGGGTCGACAAACTCGGCACACAAGGCGAGATGGCACCGGTAGGTACCGAAGGCCCTGAGTAGTTCATTAACTTCGTTCGGGGTTGAGACGCCCTTCTGGATGTTTGTGACGATCCAGGACTTGAAAGCGATGGCGGACTCAACCGTGTCCTCCGAGCTGCCTGGAGAAAAGCCATGACTTCCAAAGTCATCGATCGTGGGTTCGTTCAAGCCATCTTCAACAGCAATGCCACTTGGGATATCGTCTAATGACTGCATGATTGCTAGATCAACCTCAAGATGGCAGGACCGGATGTGGAATTCAGGGAGCAGGGGTTCTGTGTCTGACCAGACCGGCTCATATGCGAGCTGATCGAATATAGACCCATGCGCAGGGAAGTTCTGATTATCCAGTGCCTGCTGCTCACCAGGGCTTACCCATCCTTGGGCATCCCAGCACAGTCGAACCCTGGGGCTGGAGCATCTAGACGGGTGGTTCATGTTAAGTGGTGGATGTCCTAGAGATTAGAGGTGATGGATTCGTTTTTTCAGACCCAAGGGTCTTGGTTAGTCGCAATGGAGCGTTTTTTAAGAGGGTTGAGTGGTTGAGTGAACGCGCACCCCCAGGTTGCTACGTCGGCGATACGCGAGACCTTTCAAGGACTTGTTTTTGCCCAGGTCCATTCACAATCTCCTATGTACCAAATCTGCCGTGTTAGTCTCCTCAGTTCCCGCCAGAGCTAGCTGGTTCTCTGAGGCAAAGGCATACGGTGATTTCCGTTGGCAACTTGATTATTTGATAACATGCCTTCTCTGCTCTATCACCGCAGACATGGCTCCTGTTCACCCTGCCAGCGGAAATATTTTGCTAAGTTGTCGTCAAGGCGCCAATATAGATGTGATGGCAGATACGAGGCATCTAGTCGTCCGGCGGACCGGTCAGCTTCCATTGCACTAACCTGCATCCCTGATGTTGTGGTTGAACAGGAAGCCCGTGGACTCGAGAGCTCATAAAGTTCGAGAGATACCCTGAAACGGAAAAGTCATTGACTTGTCGAAACGTCCGGATGAGAGAAACTAAGTGTGCCATACAGTTAGCCTCAGAGCAAGTGGAAATTTCGCATAAATGAAGAAATAAAAGGGCCTACAGATTGAACTTGGAGAAGAAGAAACATCCTCAAAACAAAGACTAAGATGAAGGCAGTGGGCGGAAGGAGTATAAAGAAGCGTGACGAGATCAGATATATCCCATCGAGCAACAGCGCTCTAGGATAAGCTGGCTCTGAGGTCAAAGGACCCTAGGCTGTCGTTATGAAAGCACTGTTGCTCGATGGGATATACCTAATCTTACCAAGAATAACTAAGACGGCCGTGTGAAGGTTGAGAACAGGAAGATGAGCGGCCTCGATCTGAGACGGGGAATTCTGCATTTTAACCCTCTCTAGAGAGCCCACACACAGGACCTGCAGTGACAGAACTTGTGGTCAATATCCTACCTACTCAGCTGGTACTTCCATGTAACAGAGCAATTGGGACCGCTGATTGGGAAACTCGGGGGCTAACATCTGCAATATCTGCATTCCCCCTCTTCTGTTTGCTTCCGTCAGCATATGCTCATTTGATACGGTACAGCTTTAGCATGTTAACGCTATACTTGATCTTTTCACTGGAAGTACAAATATCTACAACTCCAAGCTAGCTGAGATACTGCGAACCGAAGAATATCGATGTAACAATGCAATGGCGAGGACCCAAATGACAAAATAAAGATTAAAGATAGGAGAAAAGGAGATGTAAAAAAAAATATACCGATGTTGAGCATCGAGTTTGGGCGATCATCCCGAGAGAGTAATACGGCTAGTAGGAGTACCTACTTAACAAGCATATGTGGTAGAAACTGCGCTTTAGTGAAGCAACGCAGAGCAGTGTTTGCGCCGTACTCAGTCAGCATTTATTGCTATTGGCCACTTCCACTGCTGCCCGTTTGATACATGCATCATGCACCAAGACCAACAGAGAGTTAAGGCATACTCATCGCTGACAATGGCTAATCTCTGGAAGCGGTCAATCTTTTCGCTTACTACGCTATCCGACCGAAAAGCTGTAGGAGAATACATGAAACTGCAACCAATCCGCTGAGGGTTGCCACGTTGACGTAATTCTTACCCTCTCCTACTACCCGATTTCAAGATCTCCTGGTGGCAGCCTGCCCATCCCCCCAAGAGGCGATGAGATGGACCCCACGCTTGCAATCCCATGCCGTGGCCATTTGAACGTGCAGTCAGCCGAAAATAGACATAGGCTACTTACTGGTCACCAATCATTGCGTCAACTGGGAACCTTCTCCTTCAGCTTCCTCTACTAAGAAGTGAACAAAGTAATGGGGCAAGGCTTGCAATGCTTGGGTTTCTCTTGACAATAGGCGCTCGCTTTCACCCAGGAATTGATCGCGGAACATACACCACAGGAGTCGATCCTCTGCGTGCTGCTTTCCCGGACGTGGAAAGTATGGGTCATTGCGCAAGAGGCAAGCAACGGCATGCTTCACGCCCTTTTTGTCCATCGATAACTTCTCGCACATATTGAAGTTGAACATCCACAGCGTATAGTCCTCAATCATATTTTTTTGGTATGGAGCGGCGAGAGGTCGTGAGGAATGGTAGTTAGAGTTATGATACTCAACGGACCGCCGGGGAGCCAGGACGAATTCGACGCCATTCCCATCCACTCGAGCTTCCCACAAGAGAAATGCAAGGGCATCGGCTAGGGACCTAACGATCCCGCTGACGTCGAGTGTGAGCTTGTTCATCTCGTCGATGTGGACAACAAGGTTGCGGACCGAGAAAACTTGACGCTGACGAGAGGCCGGTCGAATTTCCGTGCTTCGCCGTCCAAAGTACGGACGGATTAGGATATGGTCATCCATAGGTTTTGGCGTAGATGACTCCCCATGAGAAGGGACGAATGCTTGTACGATCCGCTGGCGGTCCGGCTTTCGGAAGGTTTGAATCTTCTCCATTGCCAGTGCGTCGCAAGGCTCACACCACGGCGGAAACCGGCACTTCAGTCGTTCCTAAAACTCGCTGTGGGATTCCAGCCGATTGATGATATCTGGAACGGAGAAGCACAGGCGATTGCTGGTTCTTTGGCTGTGCTCTCGGAGAGCCTCGACAACAATGCTGTGCATTTCCCATTCGTGCTCCGCGGGCTTTCCATGAGCACCGTCATAGCGCTTCAAAACGACGTGCGAAAACCGGCCCGTTGACGTTGCCTAGACGCTTGCGCTGCTCCCTGCGCCTATCCGTTTGAATTGGTTCACTGTTTTCGGGCGATGCTTGGATGCGATGTGGAATCTGCGACGGATGACCTCGAGCACTAAAGCCATGAATTGCTCGGCGTCTGCTGCGAGGAGCAGCTCGATTGGGATGACTGACGACATGATTGCACACAGTTTCAATCTCGTAAGCGCTCTTCGGGTTTTAGGTGTACCTTAGGTGAAAGGGGACGTCGCAGGAAACAACAAAACGAAAGACAAAGGAGGAAATGAAGACTCGATAAGAACCACGGGACTGGGACCGGTGGTAGTGATGAGGGGGAGAGCAGTGTTGGGCTGTTGTTTCTAGGGTGCTGAGCTAAGGAATTGTCAGGATAAATCGAGCTATCACTTGAGAATTTTAGACGAGGAACACTCAATAATCATACGCTAGGCCTCTGAGTTTCCGTCTGCGGGACATGGAGAGCCATTCACCAGTGTTTGAGAAAGGACGAAAAACGGGTGTTCAATCCAGCGTGGTGATCCTCAGGGGAACCACTGCATATGCCACCGCCTGCCCGTCTGACTAGATGGTTGCTGCCTGGACATGACAGGAATCCAGGTAGGTCAGATAGGCAATCTGCACAGTGTACGGATTCGTTATCCGTACCTATAGTACTAGACATGGGCCTATTGTCCGTCGAGTCTTCCCTACCACAAGAAAGGCTGACATTGGATTAGCATGGAAGGCACCTGCTTTGTTCATAACTTCGACCATATTGCTGTTGCTGCTATTGCTGCTGCTGCTGCTTCTCATTCAGTTTTCTCGACAGTTGGCGACCAGGAGAGGGGCCCAAACCTAACGAAACCTCAGGGTTTTGTGTTGGAGTCCTCCCCCATACATAACCCTGTTTTCATTTTTCAATTATGGCAGTAAACGATTCAGCATCAACACCGTCCACCGTCCAATACCTCAGGTAGGTAGTCAGCCCCAATCTTTGCATCATGACAGAGAGGAAACGGTCCAATGGATCCAGCCGGTTCCAGCTGGCCGGAGCGCAGTCCTGGGCTCCAGCGCTTCTCAGAACTCACACATCGCACGGTCCTGTTGGCGGCATCCTGCACAGCGTGATCCATCATCCATGAGTCGATGACATTGTTAACTGCGGCTGCGCAGACTCTAACGAGCAGCCTGGAGGTCATGCTTGCGTGCTTATCGTTTACCCCGTTATGCCAGTTGGGAGAGTGAAATTCCGACAAAGCCCTTATGGTCGATCAAGTGATTCATGGCTTGATCAGTCCATGGTAGCAACCTAGTGGCAGGCAGCTGCCGCCTTCCTGCTACCCAGCACCACGCCTTTTAGCCGTTCGGCTCTGGGCTACCGAGACCTAGCAATAATCCACGTTGTGTGGTTACATCAAAGGCCCACTAGCCGCCGCCCTTGTCCTGTTCTGTCATCGATTGTTTACCACAAAAGACGCGACGATCCCCAAGGCCCCCTCACCCCTTGCTGCACGTTACTGGTTGCGTCGCTCGCCAAGCCTGCGCTCAGGGGGTGTTCCGGGCCCCGGATCGCCACAGACGGTTTCAGCGTCGTCGATGTGCACTCGCTACAACCCGAATCGAGCAACTGGCTGCCAACTCGTGAGTGTGACAGTGATCTTAATCAAGTGAACTTGCTCTGGTGAAACCGCCAAACCACGCGCTTGGGCGTGGAATATGCAGACCATTGGAAGTATGAGAAAGGCTGCAACATGGGCAGCATAGGGGCACCGTTATCGCTTTTTCTGGCATATTTAAAAGAACTGAGGAGAACAGTCACTCAACACACTATATCTATTGACTGCGTTAGACCTCCTCCACCTTGCTATTGCTTCCAAGTCGCCTTGCTGTGACCCCTTTGTGTTTTTTTGTCGTCTTTTTGTCCAATATGCCTACATTTAGTCGTCCCAGACTCTGGTAGTCTCACCTATCTAGCTATATCTAATTTGTTTTTTGTTGAGCTTATGGTGATCTGCCCGAGATGTGCAACATTCAAGCTACCAGTCCTTTCTGTTCTCCGCTAGATGGAGCCCAGTTTCGGATAGGAGACACGGTCAACAGTAAGTATTGCATCCACAAGCGCACTTGCTGAAGATACAAACTAATACCCTCACTGTAACATGGAATCCTTTGTTTTTCAGCCTAACTCCTCTTACAACCTCACTTCAGATCCAGATACAGGCCGAGTTTCATCCACTTATGCTTGGAAATGGAAGTATAGCGATCAATGGGATGAGTACGCCACTAGTCAATATAAGTGATGGGCAGTTTTCATGGCCACTGCTCGAGACACTTTTCAACAACGATGAGCTTGATGAAAGCCCGAACGCGGCACTGTCAGCATCCCTTTATATCGCCCGCCCCCTCAACTCACAGTCTCCGAATGCTCCGACCCCGCGGCCTCGCATACTCCGGTTCCCTGGGCCACGAATTCGCATCCTACGGCCCCAAACCAAGCTTCCGGATCCAGTCAATTTACCTCCTGTTGTGAACAACCCAGAGTCGTCACCACCAGGGGCGGTCCCGTCTGCTGCGTCTCCAACTCCCCCCATATCATCACAACCACAACAGAACCAGCTGGAGCAAGAAGGCTTCCCAAAGTCGAGTACTAATAACGTCAACGCAGTTGCAATCGCTTTGCCAACCACACTCGCCATCTTGACTCTTCTTCTTGCCAGCCTCTACATAGTCTTGAAGCGTGACAACCCTCCTGAACGTGTAGCACAACTACGGGAGCAGCTCCTCGTTATCTTTTGCTGCCTCAGGGCCCGACGGAAGTTAGGAACGAGGATAATAGATGTTCACGTAAACGGCGTTGGAGAAGCTAAGGGCCGACAGAAAAGGGTTGGCTTCGTCTCCTCTGGCGGAACGTTTGGGATCTCATGGCTCTGGTCTGAGAAACGAAAAAGAGACAGTGACAGCACAAGCGACAGTGGAGAAAGTGGGAAATCAGGAATTCGAGGCAGAGGCATTTGTGTGATACCAGCTGATATGGACAGCTTGAGAATGAACGCTGCACGGCTGGCAGAACAAGGGTTGGAAGGATGGAGTCCCATTGGGGGTGACATTAGCAAACCCCCGAGAGATTCAGAGAGCAAGGGGGGAGGGAAGAATTGATCAACACCGGTTGTTGGCCGAGGACGGAATGATGAAAAACCATAGAATAGTGGTTAATAATTTTGACCTCGATAAAGCAAGGGAACTTTAAACGCGCCCCGGGTAATGTGATCCTGTCTGATAAATGGAGGACTCCATGGCTGATATGCTCCAATGAAACAAACCTCTATTTCCCGGACGTGATAAAACGAGATACAACTTTCCAAAAAAAGAGCTTACCCCACGTTGACCACGGCTTCCAATAATCTTCAAGGGCAGCGTACACGTATCTTAAAAATCAAGTATTTTTCGATTGAACTCCATCATAGAGCTTCGGATTCAAAGTCTGACGTTGATCCAACCCAGCTCGTAGTAAAGAGCGCAGTCCGAATCATCCTTATAAATCGGCGCAATGAATGCCAGAGTTCTTGGAATTCTTTCGCCAGGGGTTCCCCTGATTATGGCTGGGTGAGCGAGTCCTTGAAACTGCACTTTCAAATCGAGGCTTTGGCTTTGCCATTCGATAAGCCGTTCTGAAGTGAGTCCGGTAATTCTGTAGGGGGAGAGAGAGGTTGTGGAGTTTCCTGTGTATTGTTCGATGTTTGATTGAATCGACGTTTCGCACGAACAGTCTCGACTAATCGACCAAGTCGTAGTTGATCAACGGGGGGCGGATCGAGTGGCCTGCCGGTAGCCAGTTCGTAGAGCGCTGCGGCGAGAATCGAAACAACCAAGAGGCCAAGTAGGGCTCGCATCAAAAACACCAGCAAATTATGAATCTTCCGTATGCCTGGGAGGAGCCCCACAAGCTTCCGTGCTAATAATGAAGTTGCCACAACCGGGGTCTGATCCGGGCAGTCGTAGTCAAAGCCACTACGGAACGAAGCATTGAGACCACAGAAGCCCTTGGTCATGTAAGCGTTGACGACGTCTCGATCGGAAGTCAGGCATATCCGAAAGTTACACGGATTCTCGGGAGGACCTGGCACCACTACCGGCCACATAGGAATGTCGGATAGCCGGCCAAATTTGGGGAGATCGAGTTGAACAGCCAGCGGTTGACAGAACACTTGGGGGACAAGAGGGAGGTTGCCTAAATGGAGCTCCACAAGCCTCATGTGAATGGCCATACTCATACATTCAGTCGACAACAGGACTTGCAATACTGCGTGGCTGGAGGAAAGAAGGTTCACTAAGCCAATGACGACCGGTCTTGCTTTTTGTTATTGCGGTTCTTAAAACCGGCAATAGAGCTAGAGAAACCACTGAGAGATGGCTTGCAGCTGCCTTGGCTAAATGAAGGGACACGAAGTGTTAATATAGCAGACAGCATGTGATAAGAACATCATCAGGAATGCCTTCTGCAACAAAACTGACGCTTTCTCCTTTTCAGATTTGGTAATGTTGACGATATAATGGATGATAGATGCGTACTGCATGGTCTGATCCTGACCCGGACAAAGACTAAACAACAAGCAACCGACTATCCACCCCCTTCGTCATTCCTAAGGTCACATTACCACATACTACCGGTATGCACACTATACTCACGGTCCTCTCTGTTGGTGCTTTTGTTGCTGCCGTAGTAAGCTCATCAGAATGGCCTAAGAGATGCCTGTTCAATGGTTAATTTTGATAAAGCAGACATGGATGGATACCGCGGGATACCTGCAGCCGTCGGCACAAGGATACAATATCGACGATGCACAACCCGCATTTACCAGCAGACAACTCGGTTGCTTGCGTCCTGTGCTTAAAGACCAGCATGTCCAAATGATAAATGCAAGGACTGAATGCCGAACGCAGGAAGCTGAGGTAATCGTATTGGCAGTCAATCGGCCCCTTAGGAAGAGCGTCTCTGGGTTAGCAGCGACACACAAGAAGCCCACGGCGTGTAGTGCACAATTCGGCAATCGTGCTCTCTTTGAGAGCATCCAAAGCAAAATTGATGGGCTAGCAAAGAGGCGTGGATACTGCCATGTTGGTGCAAACACGTGTGTCAAGCTATCATGCTCTCTGAACGGCTCGGTAACTTGGTGCAATGACGGGCAATCCATTCTTTCTCGACCTTGTAGGCACATTGCAAAGGATGCCAAGCGGTTGATGAAGCGCTGCAAGGTCTCACACCCCCGAAGCAGGAAAAGATGGGTTCGAGGACAGATTCGAGACTCGAATCAGTCAAGGATCGTGATTAATAAAGGGGAGTGCACGGGATCGAGGATGGTTGCTGGTGAGGCAAGCCCTGGTGCTCGGGTCAGCAAAAGTGTGAGTAGACGAAAGGATCGCCTTGCAAAAGCAACGATTAGGAGCTGAGACACCAAGGTATCCTGAACCTAGGCAGACATAATCTTAAGGTGTATCGGTATCATCGAAGCAGATTAGAAAATAACAACGCCATCCTGTAGGAACGAGCCATCAACTGATGTGTTCCCACCATAAAGCACAAAGCTGCGAGTCAAGATCATGGTGGGCATCAGCCCCAATAACCATCCTTCCAGAGCTCCGGACGGTACCCTTCCGTGAGGCGTTCATCGGTGCCAAATAACTCCTGCCAGCCTACAAATCCGCGATCGAGGACATAGACCTTCTGCTCCTTTGGCTTGGGAGCATCGTCGTCGCCTTCTCGAGCTCTAGCATTCCAGGTCGGGAGCAGGCGTTCCCTCTCGCGCAAGTAGCGCAAGGCTGCAGATGGCCCTCGCTGCTGAGACAGGGCGCAGTGGAAGACGACTGTGTCCTTATCTTGCAGCTGACGCACTAAAGTAGGGAGCATGGCGTCGAGAGTGCGAGAGGGCACATTTTGCGAGCCCTTGATGTGCCCGCCAATGTAGTCTGGAGAGAAGAAAGTATCAGCATCAGCATATGATCACGCTGATGTTACATGTACGTACCATCGTCCCGCACATCGATAATAGCCAAAGATGGTGTGGAGTCACCCGCAGCAGCAGCCTCTTGGGCAGCTAGGATAAGCTTAGAGAGAGAGGTGGCGGACAGCCGTTGGAGCGTGCCGATTGTGGCCATTCTGGTGGGCTGATTATGTGTGTTTGGGATATGCCGATAAAATGAAATAAAGTGTCGTGTATTGACAGCAACCAGGTGTTGAGCACATGCGGTTGACGTGATGTCGCTGCTACGTCTAGGCTTGGTCCGGCTTTTTGGGCAGAAGCTTGTCTCACCCTTCGACGGAGATTCTGGAACAGCGCAGGAACAGGCACCATTTCCGTTGGGTGGAGCCAGCCCTCAAGGACCCAATTCGAACCAAAGTGGACCCAGAAACTACCACTCCAAAGCCGTTAGACAGCTGGTAGCAAGGCTCGAACAGCTGGCACCAACAGTCAGGCAAAAGAGCCAGAGGATCTCGGCTGCGCTGCCGAGATTTCCTGAGCATGTTCACTAACCTTATCCAGACCTCACCACCTCCGCCGGCATACGGTGTCGAATGCAATTTGAAAGCCACATTTGAATTTTGCACCCTTATTTGCCACAACTGCCTCTCACGTTGGCGGTTTCCTTGCGTTCAAGTGACCAGGAATGGAAAGAGTCCTCGTCTATATTGACGCATGGCATGCAGGCCTGTGGGCATAGTCCGGTTCATGGCGGACGCGAGTCATTGGTATTGCATGGACTTGCCACTCACGACAACTTTCCCCTCTCTCTCTCCGCGTTTCCAGGACATCCGTAGTCACGAATCACGGGGTGACTGTTAAATCTATACCGTCACGTATCATCCCATCCTGCTTGGCATTTCTGACACACTGACAATCTTCCCTTGGTCCTCTAGATCAGACGCAAGTAAGCCATCGATTCGTCCAGAAGGTTTGCTCTTCATTGGGGAGTATCTTTGTGCAGATCGCTGGCTCGGTACCTCCGGGTCTGATCGTTATGGATCCAACGATGGGGAGCTGACCTTAAGGGCAATGGATACTGTACTTAAGTGTCATGCGTTTGGTTCATGACTTGTTCATCTTATCGCTAAGTTTCTTGTATGATGATGTATTAGGGAATCCCATTGATCAACTTTTCCTATTCAAGGTCTTGTACAGTCCGATATCAGCGGCCATCAACGTCTTGCACTTCATCAAGTTTGCTTACCTTCGTCTTCCTCTTCTCGAACACTTGGAGACACCATGCTAGGATGTCCAGAGTATAATATTTTCAGAAGAAGAAGAACGAAGCCCGCAAAATGTCTTTTTCTCTTGCCACACTGGTATCCACATGTTTACCACCAAAGGCGTCGGGATCCCAGAGTGAGCAGATCCACCGCTGATCGAAGCCATAGGGCTTCCTTTTGAACAGGTGAGGAATACAAGCGATTATCTTATATCCTAGTTTCTTGTCATCTTTCACACATTCAAGATCCACACCACACGCATGGTTCTTGGACGAATTAATCCTGTCGGCTCTTGCACCTGTGCACACAATACTTGCCTGCCACAGTCTGCACTAAGTTAACAAAGAGCTCACCAACCCGATAGCCGTTCAGATCCCGAATTCCTCAACGACCTTAGAAATATTGCACTGAAGCATCAAAAATCCTCTCTTGCGTCCTACTTATCACAAACGCGGGACTTTCAAGAAGTGTCAACAAGGGGACGGTTACAGATCCACATCATAATTCAAAAGAGGGTGTGGACATGAGGCCAAATCTGCCTACGCCGCTTGTTATTGTTGCAATTGTCATATCTGGGGTCGGATCTTCGTTGCTGACTCTGGTTTTCTTCTGGATGTTTATTCGCTTCCGCAAAGCAAGGAAGTGCAAGCAAGAACTGGACGTCAAAGAAGTCAATGAAGCCTTGGATCGAGCAATTGTGAGCTATATCATCAAAGAGAATCCGAGTCCACAAGACCGGTCTTTGGAACAAGAACCGCAACAGGATCTTGATCCGGTAATAACTGGCTCCACGGAAACTCCCACAACTGTCGCTCGCGAAGGCACAATAAACTGGCCTTTACGACCATCAGTTCCCCCTATTCCCCCAACTCGTTTGCTCACGCCAGTTGCTCTCCCAAGGGGGATACCTCGAAGAACGCTTTCGTCGCATGTCACTGTTGACTCTCCAAGGGCTTTTCACCGAAAAACGGCATCATCCCCGCTGACAGATAGCGCGGAACAAGTATATGCCAGCATTCTCGCCAGCCCCCTGGAAAACACCACGAGGAACCAATTACCACGTCCGATAGAAGTTGTCCCCGCGGCAAGACGTGATGACATAGGCTGGCCTTTGACCACTGAAAATTGGTTTTGACAGAATGCAGAAAATGGGCTCGACTCAAATGCACTAGAAGACTTTAGGAGACAGGAAGCCCACCAGGCAAGTGGAGGAGTTTTGGGAAGTTTTGGAGAAGCAGGAAACTCGGCGTTCAAAGGAAGGATAGTAGCATGTGGCATAACCCTGGTATGGATTTAGCGCAATGGACTCGAATGTGCTGGTGGTTAGCATGATTCCCTTCACTATCTAAGTACTGGTAGGCTTTGTTATTAGAACATTTCATCTCTTTAAGATGCATCCATTTCATGAGCCCCAGTAATACCTGGAGAAAAAAGTGATCAAAGAGGATTCATGGGCCTACCAAGCCTTTAATTCATGAACCAGAGAAGCTCAGTCATATGATCTTTCTTGGAGCTGCATTAGCTGATGTCTGCAGGAACCTTCAACATCACTAAAAAGGAATTTCAAGGGAAAGGACGTTACGGCAAGTGCGTAAATCTATCCTTGGAGATATGGTCCCTAATCTGGGTGTCTGGAATCTGTGCTTGTCTCGTTATACTGAAAAGAGAACAAACTGATGTGAGATTCGACAACTGCAACCATATGGTAAAAGAACCAAGACATGAATCATATTATCAACCATATGGCTTCTAGGGTTCCTTAAGTCTGCTGTGAATTTCGTGTCCCAACGATTTTGGAGGAGACCCAATGTCCTGATAGTATGATGTCAGCGAGATAGTGAAGTGTCTGGTGCTTCAAGTCAGCAGTTGTTCAAGCTAGTTTAGCCGGTGAAGCTTGGTCTGCCCTCTATACTCGGCACTTCGATTTTCTTTTCGTCTTTTGCTTTTTTTTTAAAAAAAAAACTTGGAGGCAAAAGGGTCTTTCAGACCGACCTCTGGCCTATTGTATCCAACCAACGCCCACGAAGGCAACGCACTGACTCACCGGGCACCGAGAGCCCAAGCGGGGCCGCCGCCTGGCCCACTGCCAACCCTGGGAAATTCGCTGCCAGCCCTGGACACTCAACCCGACACCTGGACGGAGTCTTTTCCCAATCTCAACGCTGCCAATTGCTAACTGCCAACTTTGCCAGCAGCCCACCACCCGGACTTCAACCTCGCTACCAGCCATCTCCACGGCGTCAATCCTAGACTACTCCGCAGCGAAAAAAACCCCCAAACCTCACGACGTGAGCGTTCCGATTCCTTGCATTTCCTTTGATTGCGTGAAATCGCAACCCCATCATCATCGACAACCATGGCTCCGCCGCCACCGTCGGCTGACGTGCCTCTGGCCGAGAGGCTTCAGCGCCTAGCATCAACCTTGCAGTGTATGTATATTTATGCTCCCTAAGCAGCTCCTTCCTGTCTCTATCGGGCCTTTGTAGCTTCAACGGTATCGGCAGCTGACACTTATCGCAATTGTAGTCGCTTGGTTTTCTGGGTACGTGAAGCTCGACGGAGAGCTTCCAAAGCTCTACTGACCCGACCATCTTGCCAGACATGCTCTTTTGCTCCTTTGTGTCTTCCGATATGCGTTCTCCTGGATCCGCTTCAATTATTATAGCGGAATGGCCAGGTTTTGCTATCGTTTCGCCTTCATCGCCGCGGCCGCCACGTATGGAATAGTGGTCTACAAGACATGGCGGGCTCGCCAAAAGACCGGCGTCAAGACTAGTGGAATTAAGGACTATCTTCGGGATGAGAACATCCAATATCTTGGTATGTCTGCCATAACTGGTCCACAGCTGCAGCACCAAGCTTTTACCCCAGTAGCTCGCTGACCTGGCTAACTCGACATTGCAGTCCTTGCCCTGGTTTGGCTGTTCATGCCCCAGTATCCCCTGGCCCTCCTTCCTTACGGCATCTACTCGGTTTTCCATGTTGCGACATACGTCCGGGCGAACCTCATCCCCACCCTTGTCCCTCCTCAAAGGATCAACGCTCCTGCCGGCGCCTCGCCGAACGCGAAGCCTCAATACACTCAACACCCTGCTTCGGAGGCCATTGGCGTATTTGTCAAGAAGTACTATGACTCATCCATGTCGATGGTTGCGCGCCTTGAGATCATGCTGTGGCTGCGCCTGATCCTCAGCGTGATCCTGTTCCAGCGTCGCTCCTGGATCCTTTTCGCTATCTACACCACGTTCTTGCGCACCCGCTTCTCCCAGAGCATTCATGTCCAGAATGCCTTTGCCCTGCTCGAGGCCCGCATCGACAACCTCATCGGTGCCCAGGGCACCCCGCCCCAGGCTCGCCAGGTCTGGGATAATGTTAAGACAGCAGCTCGCCAGTTCTACGCTGTCACCGATCTTAACAAGTATGAGAGCGGCGTTGCTGCACCCAAGAAGTCCTCCTAAAAGCATGAACGTATTCCTTCCATGGGCCTTCTCTGTGACAAGGAATGCTCTCCGCTCGCACAACGGATATTTAGCCTCGAGGGCATGTCCACCTCGAACATGGGGTTTTCTGGGGGAGCCAGAGCTCCGGCTAAAATCGTCGATTGACGATGGATAAAGATCTCTATCGGGCAATATAAGTGACAATCGAGAAAGAAAGAAAGAGAAAGAAAGAAGGCTAGACATTGTGGGTTGGCTCGGGAGACAGGAATCTAGAAGGACTAGCAGTGGTGAACTCAGGAACACAATTTCACCTAGGCTTGGGTCATCTCGGAGCGTCTGAGGCATAAGCCAAGCAAAACCAATATAGGCTTCCTAATGTTGTTCCGCGCATTTGTATTATAGCCTCATCCATAGCTATGCCCTAGTCCCATTATTCTTGGCACAAAACCCCCATACTGAGTTTGCCCCAGTCAGCTCGTTTAGTCACGCTGTTTTGACTCTTGAGAGTGAGCTTGCAGCTTTTGGTTCTCCATCAGCCAGCACGCCACCCACTTCCAGGTGTTTGCCAAGACACGTCCTACCCGTCTCCTTGCACCTATGACGTCGCTAGCGCAGGAGCAAGCCTCAACCCAAGCATCCAACAAGCCACACCCACGGACTACCTTGAAAACTCGCTTTAACATCATTGAGATCTGGTCTTCTACCAACCCTTGACTCGCTGCCTCCCGCCACAGCCTACAACGCCGCACTGGCTTCCATCGGTTCGACCTCATATCATGCGGGTTCCCATATGGATTATAGGTGACATACATTGTCTTCACTCCTCCGTTAAATTGTTGCAAGCCCACGAGTAAGAGATTCAACCGCAAACCTTGAGTTGTGCTACGTGACTTCAAACATTATCGCAACGTCTGTATGCCCCTTTCGGCCACTAGCAGCTTGCTTTTGTTTTTGCTCAGCACAAGAATACATTGAAAGAGGACTACCATTTGCTAACATTGCGTTCAACAGATTTGGTCTTTCTCGAGCGTATCCTCTCCAGGCCTATTGAAATCCTTTGGATCGCCTCGTGGCTTTCCTCGATGAGCGCCACGGCCGCGATGGTTGGATGATCTGGGAATATCGCGCTGAGGGCACTGGATATTCACATAGCGCCGTACGCAATCGTGTCCGCCACTTTCCCTGGCCTGATCACACCAACCGCCGTTCCGGATCCTGCCGATCGTCCTAGATGGAGTAAATGTGTGGTTAAGCGGAGGAGCACTCTAAGGCTAGTGAGAATCGCCAATCTAGCGAATTCCTTGGTCAGAACGATGGGAATGTGACAAGCAGAGTCGCCGTTATCCATTGTAAAGCGGGAAAAGGACGCTCCGGGATAGTAGTGTGCAGCTACCTGGTCTAAAGAGAAAGGCTTTTCAGCGGACCACGGACTTGGATGGAGGGCGAAAAGATGGATGGGGTGTTGGTAGGGGAAGCGCTCGCCATAAACAAAATCATGGGAGGTTTGTGGGGAGCAGCAGGGAGCACGGTGCAACCATTAAGAACAGAGAGGATGAAAAATTGAAAGGACTCAAATCTCTGAGCCAGCAGCAGAAGCGGACCTGAATGATTCCCTAGCGAAGGATGGTGCAATGTTGAGGTTGGGAAAAGTTAACTAAAACACATGTTCAATTGCACGGAGACAGCCTTAGAAACATCCCATCATGATCATGATGGAATGGCCAGTTTCAGTTGAGCATTTACTGGAATTATTAGGAGTGGTGTGGTGTGCCAGGGTTATCCGTAAACTCATGATAAGTCTTGAGTATGGATGCAATGCACCGGGCCTGAAAGAGCATTAATGCCTCTGAGGGCAGGCGTACGGGAGATTTTAACGCCGGAATTGTGTTAATCGTGTCCTGCCAGAATGGCATGACAGCTGTATCTTGTTCCCTTTTTTTTCTTTCCGTAAAGACTCACCTGAGCGAAGGTGTGTACACGGTTGTCCTGCGTCAGTCGGTGTTAGCCAGCGTCGCAGCGACCCTGCTGTCTGCATTCTCTGTGCCAAGAACACGTTCACGTGCAACGCCGCTGTCTTGGCACTCTTATCGATATGCCTGCAGTTTGTTTCGGAAACGGCTCGGCTGCGCCGCTAGTGGGTACACTGGCCCGGTACCTGGGAAGCGCGGACTGGAGGATCTCCACTAATTTTTCTTTTCAACTTTTTCTGCGGCTATAGGGGCAAGTTTGTTTCCGATTGCTGCCGGTGCGCCGTACAACGTGTAATTGGCCTCCGGCATCCTCTTCTCTTCCATTCTGGTCTTCGAGGTGTCGTCCGTCGCGATCAAATCCATTGACGCCTTCTGTCCCAGTACGCGCCGTCGCCCATGTCACTGCCCCGCAGCTGGGTTCCCCGCTAACACGCTGATAACGCTGCACCTGCAGGACAAAGCAGCTTGCCAGAGAAAACTTGAGCGGTCCTGTCGTCCGACGGGCCCCTCCCATTGATTCTCTTCACCATGTCCGCCGAGATGGCAAACGAGATCAAGCTGATCAGTGGCCGCAGCCACCCCGAGCTCAGTGAGAAGATCGCAAAGCGGTATGTCGGCGCCGAGCCAACTCGCCCACATGTTCCCTTCTCTTCAAGCGGCACAGATGTCTGTCGCACCTTGTCCGGAAAAATCACTCGCGACAATCTAGTTTTTTTGCATCATCCGCTAACACGATTTTTCAATGCAGGCTCGGTATTGAGGTTGCTAGGACAATCTCTCTGAATTACTCAAACCAGGAAACCTCCTTCACCGTTGGCGAGTCCGTCCGCGACGAAGATGTCTTCATTGTGCAATCCACCGCCACTGGCGACGTCAACGAGGGGTTGATGGAGCTATTGATCATGATCTCGGCATGCAGAACTGCGAGGTCCGTTAAACGCGCAGCCTTCTCCTTGCTTTATTTAGGCGAGATCTATGTCGCTGACATCTTGGCAGTGCTAGGAGGATAACGGCGGTCATGTAAGGGCGCAGCGTCGACCAGCAACAAGGACCCGAACTAATTCTTGCTCTAGTCCGAACTTCCCATATGCTCGTCAGGACAAAAAGGACAAGGTATGCTCCGCTTACCTGTCCCTATATGAATTGGCTCTGTACTGACTTGCTGGTTAGTCTCGAGCTCCTATCAGTGCCCGGCTAGTCGCGAACATGTTACAGACCGCTGGTGCCAATCGTATGCCACAAGGTTCATCCAATGTGTGCGTGCTCTGCTAAGATTGGCCTCAGATATCATCACTGTCGACCTTCATGCGTCCCAGATTCAAGGCTTCTTCAGTGTCCCTGGTATGGCCACCCGGTCTCTTCTGACACTCTTGGTCTTGGACCGTGCTGACTCCTCCGTAGTGGACAACTTGTATGCTGAACCTTCGTTCCTCCGGTATATCAGGGAGAACTTCAAACCTGAGGATTGTGTCATTGTTTCCCCTGATGCTGGTGGTGCCAAGCGGTGAGTAACCCCAACGATTTGCTGACAAAGACTCTTACTAACAATGCTGTAAGTGCTACTTCTATTGCTGACCACCTGAACACTGCCTTCGCCCTAATCCATAAGGAACGTCCCAGGCCCAATGTTGTCGGCCGCATGGTGTGTTGCTCTGCCTCTGCTGTTGGGGACCAAATCGCTAACGAAATCATGTCAGGTTCTTGTCGGAAATGTTCAGGACAAGGTTGCTATTCTTGTTGGTAAGTGACATTGAAATGCACGTCCTGGTCTGTATCATGTAAACTGACGGATATCAGATGACATGGCGGACACTTGTGGTACTCTGGTTAAGGCAGCCGCGGTACTCAAGGAGCATGGTGCAAAGTCGGTCCTTGCGCTAGTTACCCATGGTATTCTTTCTGGAAATGCCATCGAAACCCTGAACAACAGCGTTCTGGAAGCACTTGTTGTCACGAACACTGTCCCGCTGGGTGACAAATTGGAGCGGGTACGATTTCTCAAGATCTCTGATCCCCGGCTGTATCGATGTGTGTGCTGACAGTGTATAGTGCCCCAAGATTCGGGTCATTGATATCAGCCCCACTATCGCAGAGGTATGTGTCCCTATCCGCTTTTCATGCAGCGCATCTCACTAACAGTGTCAATAGGCCATCCGCCGTACTCACAACGGTACCACTTCCGTTCCCCCGAGACTCCATGCAGTAGATGTAATCATATATTGACTCTCTGACCCACAGGTGAATCGGTGTCCTATCTGTTCACTCACGCCCCAGTCTAAGTCTGCACATTCTGCAGCTACTCATCCTATTAAGTAGAGAATGTACGAGGAATGATATTCTGAAGCAAGGATAGGAAAACAGGACCTTTCGGGAAGAGGTTATCCGGTGTGTTGGGAGTGGTTTGGGTTTTCATTGGCAGAAGCGCGTATATGCATGGTATGGGTAGGAGTTTAGCGATGGAAACTTCAAGAGCTATGCTGCAGGCATGGCCCTACTTCTGTTGATGCGTTGTTGCACTTAAATTTTCTTTGGAGAACCCTGTACTCGCTACTGAAAGGAAACAGATGCCATTGGAAAGGCACAACAGTTTGGATATTGCATTCCTACTGGCTTAACTGAGGTCGAATGATTACCAAATCGTTTCACAGCGTTCTTGGTTCTTACACCGGATTATGTATGCATTACCCAAGGGACCTTTTCTTCCTGCTCTTTTGTCCTCAGTCCAAGTGGGCTTAAAGAGTAAGTGAAATGCTAACAGACTGTTTCACGGTCACCGTTTGTGGTTCGTAACAACTTCACTAGTTCCTATAACCTTAATTTATCCTAATAAACTAACATTACACATTGACTGTTACAACAGTTGATGCCAAAGTTGTTGTTCGTGCTAACAAAATGGGGCCTATGGAGTGGTATCGTCGTTGACAACAGCTCAAGTCCTCATCATATCTTTCCAAATCTTCCTTCCGATCCGAACAACTGCCTCATCATTTGTTGTTTGGTTTCCGCTAATGATACCTGTCAGTGAACACCTGGGAAGGGATCTCCATATTCCGTTACCCTGGCAACGAATTGTTTTGCTCAGGGTTTACCCCCTGAACTCCACACCCGACATGTTCGAACAAGTCTTGCATAGGGACATCTTGGACGATCTATGTCAATGGCACATTGCAACAACGTAAAAATTACATGACCAATGATTTCTGTGTATGATAGAGACTCATCATGGTATTCCTAGTTGGCGGCATTTGAAGTACACCTTGTACTCAATTTGGGATGTTAATTGCCACGCCTCCATTGATCATAATATGCGCATTGCTGACTGGTGGTGGTCACTGGTTCTAGGTAAGCTAAACAGTTCTAAGATGACCCATAGTCTCTATTTCATGCATGTTACGTTGAACAATATGTACGGTAAATCAAGTTCCGCTCCCAATGATGAAGTTTCACAACCGAGCTCTTTGGGATTAATCCCCTTCACAAGTTCCATCGACAGATTAGAATGGCACCCGCTTCCTTAGGAACCCATGCTGGCACTTTGCAGAGTTGAGCAGTAGTGTACGAGTAATCATCGGAGTTTGGAGACATACTGTGCCCAGGGGCATTTTTGACCTCCTCCAAGATCGTTTTCAACGGCCGTGACATACCTGGGAAAAGTTAGATGGGTGTTATATACCTCAGAAGTTCACGGTAAATTATAACTTACTTAATCTCCTTAGAATAAATGCTTGTTATGGGCAGGGTGGGGTTCTCAAAAGAGTTGCTCTGTGCCAACATCTGAGCTCTCATGCAACTATTGATTCCACTTTCATGCTAATTGTTGTCAGTCCTGGTGTTGTGAACACCTCTGAACATAGGGTTCTGGCAAATGTACTTTTAAAAATGAGAGTTGTGAAAATGAGGATTGGAAATGTAACTGGTACCAAACTGGATCGATGGGGAACGTGAGTTAAAATTCTTCTAGTAATTGCTAGCATATTGATACGCAGATGGTCTTTGTCCTAATTGGCATTATCTTCACTGTGCCAGCAAGCGAGGCCTTCCAGTGATCATGAAAATATGTACTCAGATTTTGTCAGCCGAAATGCGAGTAATCCAAACTAGAACCATCGAGACATTTTATTGAGAGACTGTGATGAAGTCACTGCCATGCGAAGAGTCAACAAGACCATCATAAAAGTCCTTGCTTCTGGCCAGAGTTGAATCATCCCTTTGAACATTATTGGACATTAGAAAGAGTCTATAAGCAATTGTTTCGAAAAGTCAGGAAGATAGCACCGCTCTATGTAGCTGGGATCTTGGACAAAGGGCTTGCAAAGTTCTAATGTCATGACAGAGTTTGCAAATTCCTACACTGAAAATCATGATCCGTAGCATTTTGGGTCTGGTAGCCAATTCAATCCGTACAACACGAATGTTGCCAATAAGTTCTGCTAACTTCGCCTTGGCAGCTATTGCCTATACTTTCAAGCGTCAAAGCATAGTACCCCGTTTTTACTTACTGCCTGTGGCCTCCAGCATCTACCCACTCTGATAGCTTGCTGAGGTTCTTCTCAGCGAAGACTGAGTGGCTTGCTGCAACTTCCTATCTGTAAAGTCCTACCAGGCTCCCGATGGCAGTTTCGGGAAAACCACAATCTCAACACTTCGTTCCTCAATTTCTCCTCAGGAACATCTCATATCCACATGGCCCTGATAGCGTGGGGTTCAGGAAGTCCGAAGATCGTCACTGCAACTATGAAACGGGAATATTTTCTGGAGACCCTGTTGTCTGCCACTCGAGTTTACATGCTGAGCCCCAAAGATCTGTTGGAAGGATGGCGCACGGATTCTTGGCCAAATGAGCATGTACGACGACCCCATCAACTCCCGGGGTTTCAGCCGGAGATCAAGACTATTTTTTTGAAGCTAGAAGTCAGTACAAGCACGGTACTTTGAAATATAAGGAAGATGCATGAGGAACATCGAGAGAGCAATCTGTCTTGCCAGACAGGAGAGGGATCTTGCTCGCAATTATCTCTTTCTTCCGTACCGTGAAGATGCTTTACGCAGACGCTTCTTTCACCAAACACTGAAAAGAATACAGTGAGGAAGATAAGGGTCTTCAGGAACGTATAGCCCGTCGTCGTCTCAAGAGGTCACTGAAGCCACAACATCAGTCATCGAGTTCGATCCTGGATTGGAGAGAAACTGGGGAACTAGACTGGCCAAGTTATTGCACCCGGATGACGCTTTCTGGTACTTTTTGCATAGAGAGGCCTACTACATGGCCATTTACACACCATTGGACCCCAGTGACGAGTTCTTGCTCATAGACAACAGTGATCGCGTCTTCGAGAGTTCCGTTGGGCTCACTAAGAACAGCAAGACGGGCCGTGCTGGTGATGCTGCCCGTACCCCTCTGCACTACTTCGCGCCAATCTCACCAAAAGCTTATAATCGTTCTTAGCTGCCATGTACTCCTGAACGCCCTGGAGTATGCTGACCCAACAGTTGAGAAACAACGCAACTTCGACCGATTTCTTCTCTTGGATTCAATCTACAGTCACAGAGTCAAATCATTGCTTGAAGGCTTGTTGATCAATCTTGGCGCGGAACGACTGGACTAGAGTTTGTCAATGGGCGCCTAGTTCCCCTGGACGGAGCAGACGGGACGCACAAAAGGACTGACAATATTTCACGCCCCTCCCACTTCTCTCCTTCATCTTCTCAATCCGTTTGCGGCATGATCACATGATCAACGCCATCTTACTGATGCTTACGAGATCCCGGATACTTTGAACCAGAAGATAACAAGACACCTCGAAGAGGCTGTTGCGAGATGTATGGCGATGACGGCGCTGGGCTACCAACAGTCAATATATGATCCGCAGGTGGCAGTTTTTTGGTTTAATTGCCTAATTAGTTAGATCCGTTGTGCAACCAGAAAAAAAAGCGAGGCTTATCTACATCACAGCTATCAATGACGTCAAGATGCAAGAGAAGTCTTCAAGGGTTATCGAGGATTTCAGAACTTTAGTGAGCAATGCAATCAGCCCTACTCAAGCTTTGGCCACGATCGGCACCGTGAAGTTTGTCTTGTTTGGAAACACAGGTTAGCATGGACCTATGCTCATGGCAAGTGAACTGTCCTGAGGACTTGAGGATGAGCCCGGGAGGGACCGCAAGTCAAGTCCGGCAGACAAAGGTGAAGTAAACCACATGAGGGAAGAACAGCAGGAGCACGACTCTTAAGACGTTCAAACTGGATGGGAGAGAGTAAAAGTAGGTTCAATTGCCGTAACATTTACTTAACAGTAGTTAGAACAATCCCAAGCTGACAAAGACTGGCAGTTAGCATTAAAGAAGCAAATGTATTTTTCCTGGATGAAGACCAAGCGTTCTAAACAAGACGCTGACAAACCCAACAATAACCGTGAGCCTCTAAGAACACAACCAGCATTGTACTTGACCTACTTATCCGATAATTTATCCCAAGAAACACCGCTACCAAAACCAATGGGTGTGCGACGGAAAATAATTTACCAGGCAAGAGCACCAAGCAGCATGGCAACGCCGGAGATAACGAAAGCGGCGTATCCTACCGTGCCACGGACGGCAGCGCTCTCATCCGAGTCGCTGGAATCGCTGCTGCCGTCTGAATCTTCGAAGGTACCAGGAGTGCTGCTGGAGGCCTGATCAACAGCCCACTGAGAGCCAGGGCCATTCAGGCCGGGACCCTTGCCGGCGCCCTCCTTCAGGAACTAGTCAACCGAGTCAGCATGGCTTTGTGCAAACGGGAGAGTGGAACAAGACTTAGTACTCACCTTCCGAGCGCCCTCTGGCATGGCCGGAAGCTTCTCAGTGTGCACATCCCAATGGTCATCGGCAGGCGGGCAGGCGGAGGCCTTGCTCACGGGGTTGTAGCCACCATCGTCATCCGGGGCAGGATACTTCTTGAGGGCATTGGCAAAGGCAGCGAACTCTTCAAGCTCGATACGCTCGCCAGTCTGGTCCTTGCTGCCCTTCTCACCGCCCTTGATCTGAACAATGCCGTATTTGTTCTCCTCCATGCTGTACTCGTACATGAGGCCGCCCGAGTAGACAGAAGTCATGTTGCGATGCATGAGGGACTCGAGCTCGCCAAAGTTGCGCTTGTTGTGGTTGCAGCCGTATTCTGAGAGGAAGATGGGAATGCCATAGTCCTTGAAGGCCTCGACCTTCTTGTTCCAACCAGAAGTGACAAAGTCACTGGTGCACCACGAGTAGTCGTTCTGCATAGGGTGTCAGCTATCTCGAGTCATAACTACACTGATGGAGGGTAGTAGTAGCACATACGAAGGCGAAGAAATCACTGCGCTCCTCATCGCTACCGCAGTTGAAGTAATGGGCGGTCTGCATGCGGTTCGTGCTCACATCGGCGGCCGAGTAGCCGACAGGAATCTTACGGTAGCCGCGAGCCTTGATATAGGCACGCATGTCGCGATCGGTCGCCTTGACATAAGGGGCGGTCAGGGTGGTATTCTTGAGATCGTGGATGACCTCGTTACCGGAGAAGAAGGCCATGGTGTTGGGGTACTTCGCAAAGGCGTCGATGGTGGCAAAGACGCTCTGCAAGTACGGGGTGTTGTAGGAGCCATGGGGATCATTGCGATTGATGGAATACAGCGGGTTGTTGGCATCAAGGACGACGTAGATGCCCGCATCGGCAAGGGCATTCATGCACTCATCATGGTCCTTGGAGTTGTCGGTCGAGTAGACGCGGATGACATTGATACCGAGCTTCTTAAACTTCTCGATGTCCTTAAGGCAGATCTTTGGGTCGGCGAGAGGGTCGACGTTAGCGCTGGAGCCACCGGGCTGGTAGTCAAGGCCGCGGATGTAGAAGCGCTTGTTGCCCTGGAAGAAGGCATTGCCTTTGATGGTGATGGGCTCGATTTCAGCGCGAGGCTTGTGTCGCACAGATGCAGCCAGACTGCCATGGACGGCATTCGTAGCCGCCAGAGCAGACACCAGGGCGAGGGACTTCATTGTGAGCAATGGGGACGTGGGACGTTGGTTGGACAAGCTGCTGGGAGTGATCGACGTCGTAGAAAGAAGACAAGGTGGGTGCAAACACCGCGATTAAACGAGATGTTACGAACAAAACACGAAGTCGTGATCTGTAAATGCCCAACAAACGAGTGAACTGGGCGTCTTGATCAAGAAGACAAAAAGCAAATCCTCGCAGCGATCGACTGAGAAAAGGAAGAGAAATCGGAGGGTTTGGAGAGACCGAGGTGAGGAGAGAGGAAGGAACAGAGAAAGGCGCTGTCAGGAGGGTTGGATGGGGAAAAAAAAACAGCCGGGTCCGGCACTTTCAGATCTGATCCTGGGGCATCCCTGGGCCAACCCGGGTCGGACGCCAGGGGCTCCAGGCGCCGACCGGGTGCATAGCCACCTGCCAAGAAGATCCAAGAAACAAAGACAGGCGGAAGCGGCAACATTGCGTCTGCCAAGATCGACGCCAAGATTGCCGGCGAGCTGCTGTTCCTGACTGATTTCTCCCTTTCTTCTCGATGCTAAAATGGCGGTCCCACCGCCCAAACAGGCGGCGAGGCCTCTGCGGCCTCGGCTCTTCCACCAAAGGGTCGCACTCCAAACAATAAGTGCCGCTGCTGTTGCCAATCATCGCATCCTGTGAGCGCATTCGAGCTCTCGGGCCCACTGCCATCATGTGCTTTCCAAGGACCACTGCAGGCCGCCGTCATGCTCCTCTCTCCAACAAATCCGTTGGCTTGCACTTGGCTGACTTGTCTGATTCAATACGAAGCATTTTCCTGCAGACATGGGTAACTTATAAGATTATGCAGCATGGAAGCGTTGCAAATACAACCGTAGTAGGGACGAAAATCATCAGCCCGGATCTCTTTGCGCATAAGGTGGGGGCTTATACGATCCATCGTCAATACGCATTCCCCTGAAAACAGCGAAAAATGATGGCCGTTGGGACGTTACGGGCAAACCGACCCCGTACCCGAGATAAACGCCAAGCCTGCCAAGATGAATGCTAAGTCTCAAGGGCACACAGTTGTTCCCCGCAAATTGCTGTTTGTCCAGGACGGTTGTCGGGCTCGAAGAGTCTCGAGGTCTCAAGAATGACGACGACGACGATGATTCTGTGCCTATCCTACTACATAGACTCAAATCAGCTTGTGATCTGCTTCGTAAAATACCTGCTAAAAGAAAGCCTTTGCCACCTAAAGACTGCTATTTGTCATTGTACCTGCCTAGGTGCAGGGACGAAGTACGGACCATGTCCGCTTTTGCGGCTACTCTCTTCCTCTTAATCTTATCGCTCTGTCCGATTGCGAGGACTCCCTTTTGGCTCCAAATTACATGAAACCAGTCTGCCCCCAGACAAAAAGATCTGCATCTAATGGAGTCATAGTGGACTTACCAAAGATCGGAGGGGCCTATGGCTGCTTGTAAACTACGTGCTGTACAAGTCGTGCAGATCCACTCCGTTACCTCATAGGGTCACCTGTTTCAGCTGAGGATGTACCCACTGCGAACGTCGTCCCAATGGAGTGTGTTGGTGAGCCACCATAGATCCTAACAACTTCCGCCCTGAGTATCCAGTATCAAGTCGCCTTCTCAGTCATCTGAAATGCATGCCTAAAGTCAGATGTGTTCTTGTTGTCCCATATGTAAAAGGACGATGAATAACGTCTGTGGTGTGCCGTACTGTCCGAAGCCGTCAATGTGATTGACTCCGTTACCATCGATGATATGCTGAGTATCTTCAACGGCAATTTCGCATATAACATGCAGGCTATCATCCCTGGGCCCGTGATCAGAGTTATCCGAAAAGCGCAACGATAAATCATCTTCTGCTCTGGCAGCTACCGTGGCCAGGCTAAAAATGCCTTCTGCATTCTCAGAGACAATCGAGATGTGAGAGTCTCGTTCGGTATAGACCAATGCTCCTAAACGGGATGATGGCTGTCTGAAGCTAGATGCTTTGAGCTTTAATACGTCTTACCTGGACATTTAGGCTGCTGTGAACAGAGGCATGAAACTGGGGACATTCTCGAGCAAAGAATGCTTGGGTAAGAAGAGACGGGAAGAGAGTCAAAATGAGAATCCCAAAACCATCGAACATGTTCTGCCCTGCACATAGTAGGTTACTTGAGCTCATGATGATTTTTCGCAATGCAGCTATCTAACCACTGGTAACTAGCCCTGTTCTCGAATGGTGAGTGAAGTCCCAGGGCGCCTTCGATGCAAGATACTAGAATCTTATTTCACTCCCCCCCTAACGTGATCAGATAACCATGCAGATGAAGGGTTTCATTCGTGTTACCATCTCTCAAACCGAAGTGTTGTAGGGTTCTGGATTTCTTCCAACCAGGATGAAGGTGTTGTCGTCGCTTGATGTTGGAAGATATTCCTTATCGGCCAACTCCTTCGACTCCAACTGATCCACATACCAGATGAGAAAGATGAGCATGACTGCTTCCATGAGAAGTGTGTCAAATATATACAAAAAGACTTCGTGGGAGATGAGATAACCGGCATTGCCCTGGACGTATTCGATCACACGGAACACGCTCCGGATGAGAATTAGGGCGCTAGTAGTGTAAAGGACATGGAGGTAGCGGGTCCAGGGGATGCTGCGACAACCCGGGGTGGCGGCTGGTGTGCATGCAAATCGACGATGAAAGTGAACAGAAGTGACGATGAAGAACCCGAAGAAGCCAATCTGGACGAAGAGGCCGCCGATGATGATTTTTTCGCCAAGTTTGAAGAAGTCAAGCGTTCCTGCTGTTTGTATTCCTCCGCCAGATCCTTGCAGCACAAAGGATAGAACATCGCCAGCAACAAATATCCTAGTGACCCATTGGACAGGAATCAAGGAAAGGTGTTGAGCTCGGAGGGTACGGATAAGCCGACCAAGGATCATGTAGATGGAGGCAGCAAACAATGCCGGTGCGAGGAGAATAAATAGAGCCTGGGTAGTAAAGGCGGGGACGGAGAACTTGTCAAAATGGCTTCTAATTCGAGCACAATAACCGATAGTTTGGACTATAGACAGTTGTGTGTGGTCAGCTCACATCTGAAGCCCAGAATACTGAGGCGGACAAAAGCTCGAGACCACATACAAGCTCCTCCAATCGTGAATGGAATAAAATAGTACGCGCGTGCTTTGAGTAGTTTCCGTAGGTGTAACAAGGTTAAAATTGCGAATAAGATGACACTGATTACCGCGGTGAACAACGAAGGAGTGTATCTGTACAGCTGAAAGTCGAAGGCAGCATCTGGAACACCGTGACTTGGACTTGACTCAGACATCATGAAGCAATGGGACTCGAGGCTTATTCCACAAAGGCAAGATAGCAAGAATACAATCAGCTTTCAGGAGACGGAGTCGTCTTGGATCTTGAGTCCCAAGGTCAGAGAGATAGTCACTAGAGTCACGCAACCAGCGGACTAGAACACACCAGACAGGAACACGACAAAGCCATGGGAAAGACGCCATGTTGGGAGCTTCGGCAGCTTATCTACTCGAATGCTGGTCCCCTCGTAATCCCGTCGTGATGCTATACGTGGTAGGAGGCCGGATATCGTGCTCTCTGAGAAATACGCGTATATCGATCGGGCTTCCCATCGTAACCCTGGAATGGTTTCATTCAAGACCCGCTGCATGGAAATGGACTGTCGGGGATTGCATGAAAGCCCGCTACAGCTTTGTCAGACCAGCAGATACGCGTAAAGTGTGCAGGTGGATTTCGAAAGACATTCAGATAACGATGTCGGCTCAACAATCGTTTCCGAAACCGATGACTGATGAGGTGTTCACGTCAACGGTTGGCCTTCATGACTTGGCCAGGACCCTCGGTTGTGAGAAGCTGTTGTAGTAGAAACGGACTCCAGAATTCTGAGTCCTATACTCCTAGCCGCCGACCCGGACTCCCTGGCGTAAGGAATGGCTGAACTTCCGTCAGCAGAGCAGCGCTGGGTTATCTCTTCTAGTTCCGCATTTGAGGCTACAAGGAACAGGCGACCTGTTGGGTTTCTCAGGGCCGGCCGCTCGCTGGTGCTTAGGTGTCAGTTTTGTCCTCCCAGCCTTCATTTACATCGAATACCATGATGGTGCTGATGAATATTCATATCAATTCTGATAGATGTAATATGTAAAGTGAAAATTGAGATAGGTTGACATTGCGTTGGCGCCTATACACTGTTTAAATTCTTGCATTGAACTACCCTCCGAGAGCTTGAGAATGGAGATTTTGGATGATTCGTACAGAACACAGTCTAAAAACGGTGTGGAGTAATTGCCAAGCGCCAATGGGACACCGGTTCTGCGAACCGTTTCGGCGGCATCTCAGCAACGTTGCATCACCTACACAGTGAACTCAGCACGAGCCCCTCCAACAACCTGCCACTCGGGTGCTCCAAAGTTGTCGCAGACGCAGGCGCGAGCAACTCGCAGGTCCCACCAACAACAAAACAGCCCGTCCCAGATCTTTCGTCCAGTCCCCTAGACCGCCTCAGCGTTTATCTCTGCAAGTAACTTGTCTACGCAGTAGTGCCTCATTGTGTCTGCGTCGGTCTAGGAAACGAAAACCAGTAACTTCTATGTTGGCGCGGCAGGCCGCAACAACTATGCCCCGTTAGTCGTTATGGCGAACGTCAGTATCACCAGTTCATCTTCGCTCAATCGCACTCGATCGGTGCGCGCGCCCACTGCCGCAGCAACCACATCATCCACTGCTGTTGGCACCCCAAAGCCAGCCCAGTCTTCTTCTCGATCAGGTGCCTCAGGTGCTGGGACTTTGGTGCCTGCCTCTCTTTCGGTCCCAGCGCTTCCTGGACCCTCTAATGTCGCCCTCTTCCTGACGAACCTTCGGCTCCTTGACCTCGACCTGCTTCCCGACTGGCCCGATATCAGCGTGGAAACTTTCAGTGGAAAAGATGCCGTGCAAGGCCAGAAGAAGCGGATACAGGCGGTTGAATGGGCTCTTTATCAGCTCTTCGCTCTCTGGGACCCAGAGGAGACCCGCAACAAGCTGCGCCCCTTCTTTCCCCCTCTCGATCAGATCCAATCGCTAAATCTACGCGCTGCATTGCTCCGGTGTCTGGAACAAGCGAAGAAGAACGGCGTTCTCGGTCGCGATGCGGTTGTCCGCAAGACGATGTTGGATGAGTGCAAGGGCGAAAGGCTTGAGGAGGTTCTGGCCGTCTTTTCGTCCGCCGTGCTGAAAAAGGTCGTCGCAGAACAACAGATGAGTCGTGGCCAGTCTCCGGCTATGGCGCAGCTCATTTCGCTGGAGAATCGCGGATACTTAGGTGACCGGCTGGACCTCACAGCGCTTATTCTGGCACATCGAGTATCTTTGCGTCGAAACCTAGAAGACAAGAAGGCTGCTCGTCAAAGATACCGGGAGTTCTTCGAGCTCCTTGAAAAGAAAGAAATGACAGTAGCCAAACGTCGCCAGGATGCTGAAATCACTAAGAAGAGTGGGCATCGCCATGCCATCTCAGACACACAGGCTCATGCTGTCAGCCGCGCAGTTCGGAACAACTGGACAGGTGATGAACGCTGGATGGATACCCTTCTTTACGGAGACACAAAGTCGCACAATGACGCTGTTCTTTCTTCTCCATTTGACAGGGTTTGGAGGCGTGTTCAGTCTGGTCGGCTGACGGAGCTTGAGGATACGTCCTCGATTGGCCTGTTAGAGCAGCTTGAAGCTCGAGTTCGGGATCAGCAAAAGAGGTTGCGGCAATGGCAAGATCTTCGAAAGCAACTTTTTAAAAAGGACGGCTCTGCAACGACGAACAAGATCCCTGGATCGCCGTCAAAACAGAAGCGTCTTGATTTTGGTTTTGCTGAACATCAGGATTTGCAAGTTGGCCGTCCCAGTCTGAGAAGGCTATCAACTGTCAGGCCTGCTCAAGCGGATAGTCATTACCAAGCTCTCATTGATGGGCTGAAAACGGAGTTGACTTATATTGGCTCTGCTGTTACGCGGGTCCCTCAATTCTTTCGTCCAGCCCCACGACTGGAGCAGACGCCAAACAAGCCCTCAAACGATCAAGTTCATAATGTGCCTGAGTCAGAAATATCTGAAATAAGTGATACCGAAGATGTACCAGTCCCGACACGCCCATATCCTGTTCGGCGGGAACCGGTTCGCGTTTCTATAGAGCGAGCCTTTGAGCCAATCTTGAGAAAAGCGAAGACGTCGTTTGAGGATGACCAATCCCATACTGTGGACGAGGGCCAATCCTCGTCCGCTTCGTCTGGACTTCGGAGAGCAGCAACCGTCCACTCTACCAAACGGAATCTGAGCTCGGATGTTAGAGAGCGTTCTCGTAACAGAAGGCTTAGCTCCCCTCCCAACCCCAACCTTCACTCCCCCCATCTTCTCCGGCAAGGTCGCCCCTTGATCCCTTACCCCCTCCCTCTCCCAACCCTTCCTCTTCTCCTGAAGTTCCCGCCTCTCCTCCCCAACCAGCAGGCCACCAAAGTGTTGGCCTAGGCGGTACTACTCAATCCCCAGCCAGGAAAACTCGGCACAGGCTTTCGCTAGAAGAGCGTACTCGTCTCTCTATGGCGCGCCGAGCTTCCCATGCCAACCTCCGCGTACCCCAAGACGAAGATGCCGACGCCGACGATGGCTTTGACCCCGTCCTAGACAATTCCGATGGAGACAACCTATATCAAACGGGGACGAAGGAGAAGCGAGCTTCGATTGCCGCTGTCCAGCAACAAGTGGGGAACAGCAGCAACGAGAGCGAACCACGCACTTACGAAGACCTTCTGGAGCGAACAAGAAAAAGCCTAGCTGGGTATGAAGAGGCAAGGAAGAAGGCGCAGCAGGAGAAAAGACGATCGTTGCAGCAACAGAAAAAAGAGGCCGCGGCAGCTGCAAGAAGGAAGAGCCGGCTTGGAGGCGTAGGCGAGGAGGAAGAAGGGCAGGCTAACACCTCGCTCTTACTGGCAGAGGAACTGTTGAATGAGGGTCGGGACAACGACTATGAAGCGGTATTCATGAGTCGCCCTAAGATCAAGAACAGCCCCGTTGGGTCACCGGCCGTCGGATTTTGGGAGTAGCAGGCAGAAGTTACAATTATGATCATAATGGGTATGTCATGAGACTCGGGTGATAATTGTGGAGGACTGTACCCTGGGCTTATTTAGGGAATGGGTTGGCAGTGTTGTTCATGAGCCTTTCATGTCATAAACCATACTATAAACACAATAGAGTAATGACATACTGAACCTCATAAAATGGTACAGTTTATGCTCATTCCAAGCAAGGTGTTATACACTGTCATGAATCCTCTAATTCGGAACCATGACATTATACGTACACATAGAAAGGCTGTGTCACCTTTTTTGTTGCTCTCCATATGCCTGCTGAGTCTCGTGCTCACGGCTGTTTTACAACGATCCAGTGCCTGCGTACTTTCCACCATTTCCCCCCCCCCCTCCTCCCCCAACCCCACCTTTCGACGTTGCGCTCTGATCACCACCCTTGAGCCTTGAGCTGCAGCACCCTGTCGATAGCGGCACGGAAACCGTTCTTGAACCTCTCACGCCAACGCTCACGGCGCAAGCGCTTGATCTTAAGAGCCTTCCGTTCGTGCTCGCGCTGCTGGTACAAATCCCGGCGAACATTGTTTTGTTGGACCAAACGGCCCAGGAGGCGAAACGCGCGAGCCAAGTCTACACCCTTATCAACTGGCACCGTTCTTCCTGTCGGGGGGCGCGTCCGGATTTCGGGATATGGCTTCAGGTTGTGCTTGTGGAGGAAGTCCTGCTCGTTCCAGACTGTCAAGCTGGATGTTGAGCTGTTCATATCGGAGTTGATCTGGTTGACCAGGTCAAAGGGGCTACTGGGGGAACTGAAGAGGGAAGATTGGAGTTGGGACTGGGTTGTTGTCGCTGTCGGAATCGGCTTCTTCGGTTGTGAGTCCAGGAAGAAGTTGGTCTTGCGAACCGGTGGTGGGCGCGGGGGTAGTGAGTTGATGCTCGGGATGGAGGAGCGTAGCTGGTCGATCTGAGATTGCGCCTGGGACTGGGACTGCGACGGGGACTGCGGCTTGGACTGGGCAGCCAGCGTGCTGGACTCGGGCACGGGGGTCTCGTCAGAGGAGAGCAACCGACCGCTGGACGAGAACTGCCGGTGCCGCTGGACGGCTAGCCGCGTCCCCGTCAGGATATACGGCCTGGCCGCCGTCATGGCGGTCGAGCGAGAGACCAAGTGGACGATTTGACGGAACTCCATGATGCTGCTTGGAAGGACAAACCGTCAGCACCTATCCCTCCAGGGTACCAATTGAATCTGGTAAATAAGCGACAGTACTCACACAGTGTGCTATCTTATGGATTGGTCCTCGTCCACGCTGACAACCCACGAGCCGCGGCGCTTGACCAAGGGCTCAAAGTTTCCTGGGTTTCGATTTTCAAAGTCGCGCGGCCGGCAGCATCAGGTCCATTCCCCTGCGGGCGATTGGCTTGGCACGCACAATCCATGGTTTAGCCGAGCCAGCTGCCCCACCTTCTCTATTTGGACAGTACATACCATCACTAATCCTGTTGCCATCGCAAATTATGACCCTTTAAAACCCGAATTCCAAATCATATATTCCCACCTGAGGTTGAAAAATGGCACTTCTGTTTCATGGTGAAATTAGTTTTGGAAATCGGCATGAGACAACAATGCTGTCATGTTTCCTTCACTTTCATAATCACGTGAAAAGTTGCTCTTGGCACCTGCATCTGATGGACCGTGCTCCAAGAGCTTCCAAGGAGTGATCCGTGCGTTGGATGCCATCATCTGGGCGAACTTTTGTTGTCGCGCTTGTCGCGAATCTCGTCGCCTTCAACTAATCCTTTCAGCGCCTAACTTGCAGTGAGGTCATCAGCTTTCTTTCCTGACAACTGCGCCCTCGCACCATTACTTCTTTGGTATCTTGGAACATCCGGAGTGACGTTGAATTCTGGAAAACCGCCAGCATGGCGTACAATCCCTATGGAGGTTGGTCCATCTTTTTGTGAACATCTGTGGCCTGGGCATCATCACATTATCACTACCCCGCGACTCATCCACCATGGGAGGGGCTAGGTTTTATGCTAACTCTTCTGTTTAATCCCAGTGCCGCCCTATGGGCCTCCTCCTACTTATCCTGGCTATCCGGGCGCGTCGCTTGCGCCCGGAATGGTTCCTCCGCCAGGCCTAGGTATGCGTCGGTCATTATGGATTAGAGTTGCTCTTCCCCTGCTGTATGTGTTAGTACTGACATGGCTTTGCACAGGTCCTCCTCCAGGCATGTCCTCTACTGCCCCTGGAATTGCACCGCCCCCTGGTGTCCAGCCGCCCACTAGTACCCAAGCTAATCGACCAAGCGGGCTCCCGCCGTCCTTTCAACCGCCCCCCAATCTGCCAAACATCAATTTCAATGCACCCGTAATTCGCCTCGGAGCGAGCTTGCCATCGAAATCGGGTTCCTCCACTAGCGAACGCAAAGATAGCCATGCCGCTACGTCAACACGCCCCGGGTTGGGAGCAGATCGTCTCGACCAGTCACGCTCCAAAACAGAAACAGTCCAGGCGTTGATACCGCCCACGGCAGAAGAGCGTCTGCGCACGATCTTTATCCATAAGATCCCCGAGGGTGTTGGCGGTGATGAAGGCATCCAGAAGTTACTCAAGACTGTGGGCAAGCTCAAGCGGTGGGACTCGGGTCAGTCGCACCTATCGGATCACAAGGGGGCTTTATTTGGGTTCGCACAGTACGAGGATCCCGAATCGCTAGCTGCTGCAGTTGAGTTACTCAAAGACATCGAGGTGCCCGTGAAGAAGCAAACTCCGACCGAAACCCCGCCCGCTGATGAAGATGACAAGTTCGAGAACATCGAGAAAGTGAAGCTTAAGGTTGAGGTCGATGCGAGCACCATCAAGTACCTCGAGTCGTGGAAAGAAACCACGGGCGAAGATGCCGGCGTCCAGGCTCGCTTGGGCGAGTCCAGGCTAGCCCTCAAACAGTTTATTCGCGAACTATTCTACCCTCGTGTGCAGACTGGAGCGGATCCTGATGGAGATACAGCAATGGGCAATGCACCCAACGGTCCCGGTGAGAATGTTGAAGTCATCAACATCCCCTTGGCTCCCGAAGACGAACTTGCAGATATCCCCGCTGAAATGCGTGCGACGGTGGCTGCTGAGATTGCAGCATTCAGGGAGCGGAGCAATCGGAGAGATCTGGAGCGGCTAAAGAGGGAAGAAGAGTACGAAGAGATGGAGCGTCAGCGGAACGGCGCGCCCCGCAAGTCCCGTTTGGACTCGCCTCCGGCGGGTAATTCTAACATGGTCCCTCTTGGACCTCGAGGCAGTAGTTCCAATGCGCAATCTGGTCCTCGGTTTGTCAATGGCACGGCCAATGGACAAGCTCCACAATGGCCTGACGACGACGACACGGACGCCGACGACGAAGAGCTGTACGAGAGGGAGCTGGCTAAACAGAGAGCTGAGGAAGAGAAGCTGTACCTGGAAGCTGAGAGGAAGTGGGTCAACCGCGAGCGCCAACGTACTGCTGCCCTAGAGAGAGAGAGGGAACGTGAGAAGGCAGAAACCGAGGGCTATGCTAGGAGAAGAGAAGAGCAGCTTGAGAGGGATAAGAGTTGGGATGATGATCGGGAAGCGGCGCGTAAGGGACACCTTTACTACCGGGATCACGGTCAGTGGATTCGAGAGCGCACTGCATTCCGGGCAGCAGAGGCGGCAAGAGATGAGATGGACCGCCACGCCGAAGAAGAGGAGCTGCGTAGGGCTGAGGCCGAGCTCGAGCAAGCGAGGGATATGGCCGACTCCTTCTTGGAGCGGCAAGCCCAAGAGATGGAGAGCAAGCCTGCAGCGCCAGCGGCACCCCAACGTGTCACCATTTCGTTTGGCGCTGCCGCCCAGAAGGCGGCTCAGCGTGCAACAGCACGGCGTACCGTCGCTGAAGTCGAAGGCCTGCTCGACGACGAAGAGCAGGAGCAAACGACCAAGCGGCAACTTGTGCCAATCAAGTTTGAACCCATCACCGACACGAAGGCCATGTCCGAAGAAGATATTCAGAATGCTATTCGTGCTCTCGCACACGAGATTCCGGTCGACCGAGATGGTCTTTGGAATTGGGAGGTCAAGTGGGATTACCTGGAGGAGTCGGTCATCCGCGAGAAACTGCGCCCGTTCGTCGAGAAAAAAGTGGTCGAGTACCTGGGTGTACAGGAGCAGTTTTTGGTCGACGTCGTGGAGGAGCACGTGCGCAAGCACAAGAAGCCGGCCGAGTTGGTCGAGACTCTCAGCGAGGCGCTGGACGAGGATGCGGAGGACATGGTCAAGAAGCTGTGGAGGATGGTCATCTTCTTTACCGAGTGCGAGAAACGTGGCTTGCCCGCGTAGAGCACAGCTTAAGGTCGTCTGCCTCTCTGAAAACAGGCTGGGGCAGCACTCTTCCCGTTGGGACTACGGTTACTACCATTGTACGACATGCTTTGGACTTCATTTGGGAGAGCTATTAGGGGGGAGGTGGGGATTGGGCTTGGTAATATTGGGTTTGCAACTAAATTCAGTCTACGTGTGCGCTTTGCCAAAGTGTATGTTGAACAACCTGGTTGTCGCTGGATGTAAATATACCTCTATGTTAACTTACATCCCAGGTCTAAGTGCTTACTCTGCATGTTTGCTCTATCTTTGAGCTGTCAGAAGGAGTTCCGTCAAACACAGGCAGGCAAGCATATCAGCCGCAGTTCCCGAGTCTGTGTAACCACCTAACGAACGATGCAGCCCGGAGATTGGGATCCGGGTGCCTCGGCTCGGGACCCAGCTCCGGCCAAGACGGATATTGCAGGTAACGGGGATACCCATCAGACACGGCCACTGCCGCGCTTCAGCAATTATCTTTTTGATACTGGATAGTAAGTGATAGAGTTAATGTCAGAAACGTCACCAAAGTCTTGAAACAGGACAAAGCTACCTACACAGGAATGCGAGTCGGACATGTTGGCACTGCACCCCGATAATTGCTTGATCTCGGCGATCTGCAAGTGGTCCGGCCGGATGACGAAGGGGCCGCGGCAAGACAACACAGTTGATGCGGGGAGCAGCACTGGTTGGAGTCCACACTTGGAGCTTGGTTAGAACAGGACTCGCTACATCTTGACTGGATTAAATATCTAAAGCTCAACAGTTCAAGTCAGCAGTGAGTTCCCTACTTCCCTCATTTTTCTAGCAGCACTTCCGAAATCCCTTTAGGCCAGTTACTTCCTTGGTTGACTGAAGAGCTCTTCCTCCGATTCGACGCAGTATTCCACATATACAATATTTCATCGCTTTGTTTTGAATCGTTATATTGATAAGACGAACGACTCCTTTGCTCATCAAGCCCAACATGGCTACTTCATCTCTCCTCTCTACAGCCCCCGAGGTGCCACACACGACTCTTTCACTTCCTTCCCCACATGTCCTCCTTGTCACCCTCAACCGGCCCTCGGCCCTCAACGCGATCCCGACAGCCCAGCACGAAGCCCTCTCTCTCCTATGGGCCTGGTACGATGCACAACCGACCCTGCGCTGCGCCGTCATCACGGGCACGGGCCGCGCCTTTTGCGCCGGTGCCGACCTTCGCGAGTGGGACCAGCGCAATCACGCAGATGGGGCGGGCCAGCTTCGCAAGTGGACGGTCGGCGACGGGTTTGGCGGGCTATCCAACCGCGCGGGCAAGAAGCCCGTCATCGCGGCGGTTAATGGACTCTGCTTCGGTGGCGGGATGGAGATGGTGATCAACTGTGATATTGTTGTTGCGGATGGGGTAAAGGCGCGGTTTGGACTGCCCGAAGTCGGGAAGGGCGTCGTGGCCCTTGCTGGGGCGCTGCCGCGGCTTGTTAGGACTGTGGGCAAGCAACGCGCGGCGGAGATGGCATTGCTGGGGAGGATCAACTACACGGCGCAGCAGATGAAGGAGTGGGGGCTGGTCAACTTTGTGACGGCTGAGGGAGAAGCACTCAAGGAGGCGCTAAAGGTGGCCGAAGAGCTGGCCAACAACTCGCCGGATGCCGTGATTGTGTCTCGGGAAGGTCTGAAGCTTGGGTGGGAGGGCTTTGGTCCGGAGATGGGTACAGAATTGTTGGATCGTGGGTTGTATGGGCGGATTGATGCTGGGGAGAACATGAAGGAGGGCGTGAGAAGCTTTGTGGAGAAGAGGAAGCCGGTGTGGAAGGATAGCAAGTTGTGAGGCAGATCAGAATAACTGTACCCAGGGTCGGGCTCAAATCATAGGTACCTGGATACAGAATACTAGCACAGTCTTTAGCTAGCATCTGCTTTTCGCTCGGGCTAGGCTTGACGTAGCAGTACATATTCGTGATTCAAGAGGACCAGGTCACACACGCTGCTAAGTTGAGGGACTACGAATACAAAGCGGACAGTTAACCATTCGATATTACTTGACTCTGAACAATCCAGGTTTAGATAACAGACATTCCCTTGCTCGTCACGACATTGAGGTCGGAAGGAGTCCTGATGACCAATCCAGAACATGACATTAAATTGGGTATCAACCACCTCTCCATCTCCCTTCTCTCTTGTTATATAAAGTTCTTAGAGGGCGGCAACAACAGCAAGGAAGCCAGCAAGGGCAACAGCCAGTCCGACAGTGGCAGTTTCACGGTGACCGGCACCAGTGCTGACGTCTTCATCGTCATCGTTGTTGCCGCTGCCGTTGCTGCTGGGACCAGAGCCGGAGCCGGAGGTGGCCTGGGGGCCAGCAAGCGTGGTCCGCGAACCGTTCTCGGTGCAAATGTAATTTTGACCTTCGTCGTAGAGGGAAGAAACATCGGGGCACTTGGACAGGGCCGCACTGTATTCCTTGGAGTGGGCACTCCACCAGGAGGTCATGGAGCTAGCATAATCCTCGAAAGCTTCTTCGACCTTTGGCGGGTATGTAATCTTGCAGGGATTTTCTTCGGTTTGGGTCGCAGCCCAGGAGTACAGCTCGGGGGGGGGAGTCGGCATAGAGGTCGCGATTGAGACCATGGCCTTGACGCACTCGGCCGCACCGTCGAGATCATCCAGACCGGGGATTTCATCAATCCAATCGCTGATGTCGGTCTGGCGCGCCTGGAGCTCGTGGCGAGCGACGATTTGGGCAGGGGCCACGCGGGTGACAGCAGCGGCCGTGGAGATGAGGCCGGCGAGGATGAGAAAACGGGAGTGCATCTTGGTTGATGTGCATGTACAATTAGTCGAGGATGAAGATCGGTGTTGGCTGGGTGTTTTCGCGAGACGCGAGTATGGAACTAAGCTTTCGTCTTTCCACCTTGGGGGAGCTTGGACTCGAACTTCGACGACGAGGACAGTGTGGGAGGAGAGAGAAGCCGGAGAAAGTCCTCAAGTCTTAAATAGACATCCCCAGCGCTGCTCTGAGTACAGACGACGCAACAGCGGTACGACCGCGATGAGCAGCGTTCCGCTAACAGGCAGCAGACCGGCATTTGGAAGTTGGTTGCCTCTCTGGCTTAGCCGTTTCTAGTGCTATTCAGAGTCCCATCACTCACAAGCGCACGCCAATGCCGGCAAAATTCCAGGATTCCCTGCTCCCAGCAAGGGATGGCTCCAGTAGCCCACTCGCTGCGCCATTCTGGAGACTCTGCAAAGGGAAAGGATGAGCGAAGCGATGGGGTCTACGAGCCGCCTGCGCCACACATCGCTCGTAGAATCGTTGCCCATGTTTCATTTCATGTTGGTTCCTTGCAGCACATGGAGTTTCTGCCCCTTTCGTGCCTTGCCTGATCAAGCCTGGTACTGAGCGTTGATAGGCTGCCAAGAGAAAATGGTCTCCAGCCCGCTACTCCATATCTGGATTAGCTATCAGCCCTGAAGTGGGTCCAATGGACCCTATGCCAATCATCACCAATCATATGCATGACTTCTGTGGAGACCGTTGCTGCCTGCTCTTGTTTTCAGTTGTTCGCTCTCGCACTCATGGCTGTCTTTGGCTGTCAGATCCAGCGAGCTCCTGACAGATGTGTGGAGCTTTTGTGGCTTTGCACCTCGTTGTGGCTTATGGCCCTCCCGAGCTATCTCGATTTCTTATTTCGCCCAGCAGAAAAGCCAGAAGATGCCGCACCATTCAGAGGGTACTGCGCACCCTAGGAAACCAGCGCGAGAATGCAAGGAGCTTCTGGATGAAAAAGCATAGATGACAAAGGATTGGTAGGAAAGATCCGTTTTGTGTTTCAAATTGATTGCTGCCCCAAAACTCCACGCAGGTGAAGCTAAATGCACTACTTGGTCTTGGGATGAAAAATCAGAGAAGCTACACTAGGGCTGGCCGCTGGTACATGGATGAAAATGCTTGCTACATGCTGCCAAGAACGGAGCAGCGGAAAGTACTTTAATAAAGCGGAAAGTTGCTGCGGCTTGGTTGACCCTGGCACTCATGAGTCATTAGTAAAAGCGGAGCATCCTGCGTCCAGCATCGCTGCATGCAACACAATACACACGGAGTCAACATATCGACAGCCAGCTGTCGGGATAACTGGAGCCTGGGGCCTGGATGACGTCGATTTAAGCTTCATGAAGGAGCATCAAGACCCACCATGATGAAGTCAATTACCTCTCGGCGGACAATTACCTGCCGACCGAACTGACCAGAATGAAAAGAGCCATGTAGCAATACAGCATTGCAGAAGAGCCCGGACATATTTAAATCCTTATGTAGACACTACATGATTGGGCTGGGGTCCTGCGGTCCTGCGGCTCCTTTTCCTTCGAAAGGTTGAAGCGTTTGCAGAGAAGGCCTTTCAAAACAGACACAAGCTCACCACGTTCGCTGATTAGTTCGCACATCTTGAAGCATCTCTTCAAGTTAGCTGGAATGTATGAGATCAATGTGTTTTTGTGTTCGAAAGGCCTGGTTTGAGACCTGGACTTCTTGGAGTCCGACATCCACCGAGCCGATCACCTGGACCCACTTGGCCGACTGTCGAAGTGTCCGTCCCGGACCGTTCCGGAACTGCGGAACTGCGGGACTGCTTGGGGTCCGTTCCGTCCGGCGTTCGCTACCCCACAGCTCTGGTATTTACTGCTCGCTTTATCATCTCTATGCTAACGAAATCTAGTTGGACTTTCAATCAGATGGAATAAAGCTAGGTAGGTTTTTACTTGTGTGGAGAAAAGAGGTTTGTTTTGAACCCCCTGGGCCTCGGGTCATGACTCATGGTTCAGGCTTCAGGGGGCAGGGGCCGGCGCTGGAGCTTTGGGTTCGACACTTTTGCTTGTGCTTGATGGTACCTGAATCGTAATCCTGATAGGAAGAAAGAAAACCTTTTGTACATGAATGTCTGCCTAGAAGTCAAGTTGTGGCCCGAGTTCATAGTGTGAGCCGGAGCCCAGCCAGGAAGCATTAACTGAATCTCTGAAAGGGAGCCATCCTCATTCCTCCATCCTCACCCCTCATAGGACTAGTGGGACAGCTCTCCAAGAGCCGCAATGGAACCCAAGCCTCCCTAAGTTCATCTCAAGGTTAGATATCCGGATATATGAGGCGATTGTTAGGATTCAAACAGAAGACAAAGCGGAAAAAAATAAAACATGGAATAAGTGGGATTGTACTTCGTTACCAACCCTAAACTTACCCGCCCATCCTACAGCTCATCCAAATGACTACCTCCCTCTCCCTCGTTCAAGCCCCGATTGGACCCAATTTCAGTGGAATAAATGGCTTCTGTTTTGCTGGAATAATGAGATCACAAGTTCCAGACTCTAGATGGACTACTAGTGTGGGATGAACGGGGCTGAAGGTCTGCAACGTGTCACATTTGACTGACAGGTGCGATTCCTTGATTTTATCAAAGTAAATCTGACCAGTGATATTCGATCATATGCTTTCAGAACTGAGTCTGCATGTATGCAACCTCTCTCATCAATACTATTCCCATATCTAACAACCTACCGACTGCATGCAAGAGGTCATGCCACTTATGATGACAAATCCTGCATTTGTGGTAGTATTCAACGGGTTACCAGCATCGACTGTTTGAGAGATTTGATTTGTGGCTCCTGGAAGGAAGCTACATAGATAGGTGCCTACACACTCATGGTTAGTAGGGGGCCTTAGCATGTAAACAAAGCATCTACCCAGCCTTCGCAAATACCTAAGAGCTGTATCATACGAGGACGCAGATATCACAATAGAGAGACGGTTCCGATTCAAACAACACTTGTCCCAATTCTCAGTCTGGTTACGACCCAAAAGCAGCTGAATCAGTAGTGTAGTACGCCACTATTACTCCATAAGGCATGGAGCATCCACTCCAGGCTTAGCCGCGGTTAGTCCATGCGGAGTCTTCTACGATCGATCTGGAGCTGAACTATGCTACGTCAAGGAGCTAGCATTGTAGATTCCCTTCCGGCTCACTGGGCTAAGGGAAGACATGTGGCAATGAGAACAGGATCTGATGGTCGATACACATTACGCACCAGAAACTACTACAATTGAGGGTCATGGTGGACGTGGAATGTTCAAGATGAGGCTCAAGTGATGTCGTGGCCCATCAGCGGACCCCCAAAATTTGGATCCATCACACAAGATTGGAGATGTGAGTGAGCACATTTTACTGCATCCAAGTCAGTGACGCGGTTGACGGTGTTGCAGGTGGAGGTTTGCTGCGGCAGCTGAACAAACTCTGCCACCTGTATGTGGAGCGCAGCAGCTTAGGTATCGAACAGTTCTATCCAGTCACGTATGTCGTGAGGCTATGAAAGGTCTTAGCTCTCTATCATAGTGCTGTAGTGTAGCACTTGAAAGCTAGTATCCCTTCCTTTTTTCCAGACTCCAGGCCAGATGTTAGTCATCGCAGCCACTGTTCCACAAACTCAGCTTCGTTCGATTGGATCTATTTGAGCCGCACGCAATTGTTTGTGTTGGTTGGCATCGCGTTTGCAAGCTATCCAAGTTAGTTGCAGCGTCTCTTGCAGCATCCCCTCTCAACTGGCCCAACCCCCACGTTCTTGTAGATTCTATGCATGCTAGCTAGCCAGCCTTACCAGTTACAACCCTACTGCGGCTGGGCTGTTGACGTTCAGCTTACAGGTCTGATTTGTCATTGAGATGCCGGACCATGTATTTGATTTCGCTCGCCATATGCTTTCCGAAGCCTAGTTCCACGGCGCTCGTTCCAGAATTGTAAGTGCGGTAACCCTCTTGCCCAATCTGGCAGAGAAATTTGTCTTGAGAATGCGGGGAAGATCGGGTCCTCCGTGCATTTGTTGGTTCCACATACAACACCTGTCGTTGTTCAGATGACTTGACTGCGACTGGACAGTGATGTGATCACTGATGATCCATCCTTCGCGGACTACCACGACAGCCTTTATCGAAGAGATTCGGAGCTCCAGATCAGATCTCGTCTAACAACAAGCGATGCGGCTCTGCGTCTGCATGAACTCAGACGAACGCTTCCAGCCCTACGCACCGGCTGATTTGGGCTGGGCTCTGGGTCCGGCGAGAAGGGAGCCGGAAGCCACCGGGACCTGCGGCTCTTCGATACTGAGTCCGTCGTGCTGTCGACTCCTGAGTAGATGACGCAGTGTTGTCGTAGCACTCAAACTATGTATCGCTTAGTGTATGGGAAGATGAGGCTCAAAATCTGTTGCCAGAGCCTTGAGAAAGGTCTCTTCGAAGAGCATAAAAGGGAGAGGAAATGCTCTCGTCAAACATCGAGACAAGAAGTAGACGCATTGACCTAAAAACAAAGACAAACGACAATCCATCATCTTCCGTCTGTGAATAATCCTTGAACATATTTCGGCTCCAGTGCATCTTATCCATCCCAAATCTTCCCCAGCTTTCACTATGGCCCAATCTTCGTGCCCCCTTCCTCCCCAGACCCCAGCTGCCAGCGGCATCAAGGTTGCCAAAGAGACAGGTCAAGAGATTGTTAGGCCCGATATCTCTTGGATCCCTTCATACAAGGTCTACAAGGACCGTGAAGAACGCTTGAAGCTGCTTTACCCAAATCGCCACACAACTCTACCCTCTGAATGGCCTGCTGAAGTTAAAGCCCCTAGGGTTTGGTCCGGTTCCGACTTCAAATCAGAGGACGAGTATGTTGTGCAGTTGAGTGCTGAAGACATCGCTGAGATTGAGGCTGGTCTTGCGCACTTCAAGAGTGAGTGATCCCTCAGGATGGTGCCTGTTGTCCTATTCAACCATGTACCCCAAGAGACTGTAGAAAGTCGAGGTCAAAACACTGACCAAAAAACGGACAAAGACCTTCCAGGGAACCTTGGTCCTGCCCAGGTCAACAAAGACACCTTTCCACTTCCTAGTCTAAGCGCTCGTCTCGAGGAGGTGTCTGAGATTATTCATGAAGGACGAGGCTTTGTCATTCTGCGGGGCCTTCAGCCGGACAAGTACTCCAATCTAGACAACATTCTGCTGTACCTTGGAGTAACAAGCTACATTGCTGAGACTCGTGGAATGCAGGACTTTGATGGACGGATGATCCGTAAGTTCCCTTGGCTGTGGAGTTTGCCATGCGCCCCAGTGACAGACAAACTTCATACTTACCGCCCACAGTTCACATCTCTGCTGTCGTTGAAGATAAGAAGAATGGCAACATGGCCCACGGCCCTAACTCTCCCTATGTTACACGTGCTCAACCGTTCCATGCCGATCTGTGCGATGTGCTCGCGCTGTACGCGCTGAATGTGGCTGCATACGGAGGGGAGTCCTACCTCGCGTCTACGGCCAAGATCTACAACGAGCTTGCAAAGACTAGGCCAGACATCATCGAAGTGCTGGCCAAGGATGACTGGGTGTTTGACGAGTAGGTTTCCTCCGGTATGCCTTTTTGGTATAGGCGCAACTCTGACTGATTGAACTTGTCAAAATCAGATTTTTTGAGGGTCAATACCACAATCGCCCACTCCTCTACAACTTCCCAGACCATGGCCCAGTCTTTCAGTTCTCCCGCCGGCCGCTCACGGGTTCGCATTTCTCACCTCATCACCCCGCTGTGCCAGCCATGACCGAGATTCAAGCCGAGGCCCTCGATGCTGTGCACTTCACGGCGCGTGAGCACGCCCTGGAGCTCCGCTTCAAGCCCGGAGACATGCTGATTTTCAATAACTTCGCCATGCTCCATGCTCGCAGCGGGTTCGCTGACGACGAGGCTCAGGGCCGCAAGCGGCACCTTCTTCGGCTGTGGCTTCGCAATGAACAACGTCGTTGGAAGCTTCCTGCGGGACAGCTTGAGCGCATCAGCTGGGAGTGCTACGGGGACCATCAATGGCGCCGTGAGCTCGAGGTTTGGGATATTGACCGCAGCCCGCCGGAACTGAGGGTCAAGCATCGCCGCGCGAGCTGCGCTTGACCCAGAAGGTACTCGTTCAGGTATTATTCCACCGAGTCTGATGATCTTCCATTCCAATCTCGCATTTGAGCTCTTCATACATTTTTTTTTCGAGTTTAGCATGACAAGTTCACTGTCAGGAGGACTCAAGAGTGACATGATTTGGTGTGTAGGTAGGCAGCTGAGTTATTGTCATTTTTTTTCAATCAGATTGATATCAGAGTACTTTCATCCTCTGCTTTCCAACACTTCGAGTATGTAGTGCCGTTTCATTCCTCATTTCGAAATGATTAGCAGAGTAGTATACACCTTCCTGGTTGTTACTGAACTCCATACACGGTATGACGGAACAATTCAACTTCATCCTCTTCTTCCTTACTTAGCTCCTCCAAAACGACATTCCAAGGATCGAGGCGCCGGAAAACGCGGTAGCTTCTGTTCAGCACCTGGATGTAACGAAGCGAATTAATTAGAGCAGCCAGACGCTTGGCCAACCGCTGAGCTGCCAGTAACGAGATGTTCCTGGGAGACGTCTTTGACCGGTGATCAACAGTCACTCTGAGTTGTGTAAGCTTCTTAAACCAGTGTAACGTGGCACCTAACGGCGCGATTCGAGAAGGGTTGATTTTAGGTTTGTCATCACGTTCATCTTCACACAGGTGGCTGTGCAGCCCCTCGAGGGAGGTTCGGCCCACTAATTTTACATAGTTCACATAGGCTATCGACGATCGCTCTTCTGATCGTGGTGCTACCGTTGTAGCCCGTGTCCAGGACCAAAGTGCCTTGAGATCCAACTCTATATCAAGCATGCGAAAACAAGGATTGAATATCTTTATGTGATGCTCGGCAGGCAAAAGGCCAGCAGAGAATAGCGAATGTATCAGCTTGCTCGTGTATTCTTCGGTGAAGGAGATAGCCAGTTGTCGCTTGAAACCGTCATCCAAGCGCATGAAAAAAGCATGAACTTCTTCCGTATAGCTGGTAGCGAAAAATCGACGGAGCCTGGGAACATCACTCGCAGTAACGTCGCGAAGCACCGTACCTGTCCCGATTGGGGCTAGCAGCGGTCCTAGAAAGTCCAGGGACGAGGGCTCCCACTCATTGCCAAGAAACAGCTCTTCGAGAAAGGATAGGTCGGTCAACTTTCGTAATGCCGCTAGCTCTAGAGGTACGACACCGCATTGCACTCAAAGGGAATGGAGTCGCAAGGCACTAGCACCGAAGTCACCATACTTATTGCATATGTCATTCGAAGAATTTCAGAAGCCTGTCGCTTTGCAGTTGATTTGTATGATATAATTCTGAGACTGTATGCTGGTTGAAACTGAGCTTCAACTTTCGAAGATCCGGGGAGACTTTGAAAGCCCGTACGATTTGTGACAGCCAAAAGCCCATGCTCTTCGTGCTGGGTTCAATCTTAGAGAGGGTAAGTTCTCTGGGATGATGGAAACTGGTCAATTTAAGCTCATTTTCTGCCTTAATCCACGGTCCTGGGCCCTTCTTTTGGATATGGAGTTCGAAATCCTTGATTTGTGGACAGCTACGAGGAACGAGAGCCAGCGTAGTGTTTGATATCGCAAAGCCATGAATTCTAGAGAAAGTAGTTCGAATTATGCGGTTAGTTTACCCTCTCAATTGATCAATTGCGGATACAGAAATGTAACTTGGAGAAGAATTACTCAAGTCGCTGCAGGTATGGGATTAACCAGCAGTTTTTGTAGGGTATTGTTGTTGGCAGCTGCTTGGGCTCGGTTTGCGTCTGACAAAGTGCCTGCGGACAAAATGAGGGCTTTATATGGAAGAACTGGTGGTGCTCGATCTGTCAACCAGACTTCAACGTTGATAGATCGAGTCCAAGTAAGCCGGTGAAATATCAGTGGCGAGACTGCATTGCAAAATGCCCGATTCACCAGTCTGAGGTGTGCTATCGGGTGCTGATGGTCGCGCCGCACCTCCTCGGCCAGGGGGGCCAAGAGGTCTGGGAGCTAAAAGAAACGCTCAGTAGCCGGCAAATCTGGCATTCTGTTGTTGGATCACGTCCTTATACCTGGGAGTGGTGCCATCTGCGGAATCGGATGAGGCTCAGAGTGTGAGAAAATGAGCCAGTTTTGTAGATGTGAGCTGTACGACGTCTGATTCATACGGATTACTTTGGTTAAGGGCTCAGTGTGGCTGAGCCTGGCTTCTATGCATCTGTCCGGGAGAGGTGTTCAGATCTGCGCCACGGCAAGTAATCCATAGCGATTGTCCAATCAGATCTGAGATCTCGAGGTTATTGTTACAGCAAAACAAAACTGTCTGTTTAGTATAGTGTTGATTGACAGGTTGTTTTTCCAAGTTTAGCAAAGCCCAGTCATTCTACCTCCACAACGCGTACAGGACTCTTATCGAAGTCTTCTGTGTAAAGTTGACCACTCCAGTACAGTGGCTGCTCATACTTATATGTGTGCCGGAGCTGACGGATCTCATCATGTCTGGCCTTGACCACTTGCTGTGTTTTCTTCATGAATTTGACTTGGTCCTCGTCCAAGTCCGCCATAGCAACGACTTTCTCTGAATTCCAGTCCAGCTCACGAAGGGGAATCCACCCTTTGCAAACGAAGTGAAAACGAGCAAGGATTGACTTTGCTGTGTGGAAGACTCCTTCAAGAAACTCGGTGTTCGAGTACTTGCTCTGTTAGGCGAGCATGTTAGTCAGTATTTGGAAGGGTCACTTCTCTTAGATGACGAAACTGTAAAGGGGATGCTCACATCCATTGCGTTCAACTTGGCGAAGAATGCCGAATGCTTGGCCAAGTGTTCTATATGGTTCAGCAAGACGAAGCTTGACAGGTAAATGTCAAACCAGTGTTGAGGATATGGTGGTGAGATGAGTTTTTCGAACTGCTTGATGAGCTGTTCCCGCAAGGGGTACAGGAATTTCTGAATGACTATTTGGTCCAGTTGAGTATCCATGATGGGCGGGATTGGAATCATCCCATACCGCGGGCTATAGGGGTCATCAATTCTGGAAACGCCAAGGGTGTCTTCTCCGCATATCTGCCATGGAATTTCGATGATCCGACAAATTGCCCAAAGGTGCAGAGAACGCGCAGTAAGTGAATCCTGGAGGAACTCAGCAAATGGTCTGTCGTCAGAAAGCATAGGTACATAGCCCAATGATTGCCAACTTACATGTTTGGTCTGAGCGTAAGCCATTGCCATTTCTGCCGTCATCTTGGCAAGTTCGTGGTCGAATTTCAGGGTATCAACATAAGACGATCTTGCTGACATGATGTACTGACCGAGATGTTGTTGAACTTTGTCGATATTTGTCAGGCAAAACGGCGGCATCGGAAACACTGTCATTTTTCCTGTCCGCGGGTCTTTCCACCTGTACGAGATGACGTCGCCTTCTTGGGGATTGAACTCCGAGGCATAAACAATTAAGCAATGACCACCAATGTTTTGGGTGAGCTTCAACGTCCGAACAGGTACATCTGGCTTCGATGGGTCTGCGAGTTTATAAACAGCCTCGCGAGGTGTGAACAAGGGCTCATTCCTGGCCGGACCTAACAACAAACAATTAGTTAACTCCTTGAAAAGAAGCAACTGAGTAGCATCATCCATGATAGCCGCTTAAAGGTGCTAGAATATGAATATAATGGGTAACACAATTGCCAACAGTGCTTTTACACCAAAGGCTGTGGCAAGTCCCTTCATGCTTGAAATGAAGACACTCTTACCCGCACGGAAAAACTTGATGTGTTCTAAAGTCTCCTTGAAGCAAGGCATTGGACGTCTGCCTTTGTAGAGTGCCGTTTCAGCGCAACGACTGCAAGGCTCATACATGCACTTTTCGCAGAGATCACACTGCCCACGCGTTAGCACTGGAACAGGCTGGGCAAATCTGGGCCTCACTTGTTACCTTTCTCTTGGACTTCTTGCAGCGTAAGCAAACCCCTTCTTTCCTTGCCAGGGCCGTTTGTCGTTTCTTCTCTGGCGTAAACGGGGCACGCTTTCTTGGTAGATCCCCGAAGGTCATAAAAGTTCCTTGGATGCTACCATTCCCGTCCCTCTTTGGGACTGAACGTGGCTCTTTGACTATCCCCCTGCTCTGATTCATCTCCATCTCTGCTAGTCTTTTCTTTCCTCTTGGGTCCTGTTGTTTGCCGGCATGAGGACTGTATGGAACGATCGTAAGCGATGACGAGTTATTTGTCAGTTTACTTTGTTGGCGGGCGGTTGAGATAACACCCTTTTCAGGGATACCGCTTGCCGCAGAAGTCACTTCTCGCATGGCCGACACGGGGTGTGAAGGGATAGGTGACCCGACAAGCGAAAGAGGGGTATCTCTTCCGAGGCACGGCCCATCCAGAGCAATATTCTGGTTGGACAGATCCCCTGGCCTCAGTTCCTGCTTGATTGCAGGCTGAAGTAACGATTGGGGACCTCCAAGATGTTGCCCAAAGGTTTGCGAAGGGTCAGAAGTGGCAAGAACCGTGTGAAGCGATGGGTCCGCAGTGGCTATTGTTGGTGGTAGGTAGGAAAAACTTGGCTGGCATAGAAGTTTTTCTGAGGGCAACACAGCATTGTAACTGATGTCGTGAGGTCGCGATGTAGTGACATGACAAGTAGAAATCGAGGGTTGGCTCACTTTGGTTTCACTCGGTGTTGGGTCCATAGGGATTGGGGCCGTAACGCCATGATTGTCAGGGGAAGCGACATGTTGAGTCGAGAACCCTCCTGTCTTTGGGACACCTAGGGAAGAAATGGGTGTCCTGTTGAATCTGGCACCGAACTCCCTAATTATGCCCGTGAAAGCCGAAGCCGGAGCCGGAGCAACAATACCATTGATCGGAGAAGCTTCCCAGCTTGCTGAGTCGTCGTCGACGGGTCCGGAAGAAGGTGCCAAGGGACATAACAATGTCTGGTTCAGGGTATTACCAGGACAGACAAGAGGAGAGGCAACCAGATTCTCCAGTTCGCTGACATATGTGAAGGAGGCTTCAGTCAACGATCCCAGGGAGTGGTGGACCCAGGGTGAAGACGACGGGTGTGGTGAGGGTTCCTCGGCACCAGCACCGCCAAAAATCGGGCTTGGGCCGTGATGAAACGCAGCACCAGAAGTTGCTGTCGAAATGGGATCATCCATGTTGTTGGTCCCGTGCATATGGAGAGCTTAAACAAGCACACGAGCACCGAAAACGTCAGAGTTGCACCCGGCCGCGGGAGCCAGACGACGCGAATGGTGTTCAAGGAAAATCGGTGACCTCGTGCCCTCCAGGCTGTGCGGCCAATATCTTGCTGGAATGTAACAGAGGCGCGCGGCGTTTTTTTTTTTTTTTTGGTGTCTGCGTCACGCAGAGGGGTCAGAACCAGGTCGCGGGGGCAAGCAGCCGTGTAGCTCAGTATAAGCGGCTCAAGACAATCACCAAGCTGATGGTGACTGCAGACCCCCAGATCGGTCCAATCAGGCGGACAAGAGGAGATACCGCACTGCCCACTTTGGCACCGCATTTCTGTTTCTGTTTTAGCGTCATGCGATACACTGGCATGTATGCCAATCAGCTCTGGCGATGTTGTTCCTGGGCGTTAAGAACAGGCGTGTCCTGCTGGACCGAGGTGTACAGCATCTTTGCCCAATCATCCATCACTTGTTTCCCGCGGATAAGAACGCGACGCCCTCCCAGTGCTCACGGTCAAGCTTTTAGGTGAGAGAGGCGACCAGTCTGGTGTGCTTGGACTATCTCGGATCATCGGAAGGCTCAGCTACTGGCAAGCTTTCAGTCTGTGTGACACTGTGCAACCTGGCTTCTTGAGACTGTAACAAGCCTCCTGACAGCTGACGCCTTGCCGCTGTGTTTAATCACACATCCTAGGCACTCCTGATGGTGCCTTTCCATCATTTCTGCTGAGAAATTGCGGCGAGTCATAATCGTTCTAGGATTACAGTGGTGCAGAGATGTTTGCAACGGCAGCTTGACCCCAAAATCCTTGTACTCTCAACCTTCAAGATCGGCCTTCGGCAGATCGCGGTGAAACGAACAGGAAGCTTGGTGCATGCAGTCTGTGGCTCATACCCCTCCATCCATCATCAGGCTGCTAATGGTTTGCCAGCTCAGAGCCTCGGCGTGGTCCGATTTTACTCTCCAGTCTTGATAAATACTTACCCTGTTTCGCGATCGCCCTGTGTGCCGCACACATCTTTTCTCCTGCCTGAAAAAAAACAACGTGTAGATCTTGAATACTACGCTGTTAACCATGAAGCCACGAAGAGCCGAGCCGTCTGATATCGAGGCGATAACAAAGGTCCATATCAGGACGATGCCCCTTGACCCCCAGTGGAATTATCGCTTTCCATATCGCAATGAACATCCAGAAGACCATTACAAGTACACAAAAATGTTACTCGAGTATTTTCTGGACCCATCGTACGACGATTGGCTAGTTATGGTAGTGGAAGATAGCCTCGAGCCCGGAGGACCAACAGAAATCGTGTCGTTTGGCGTATGGGACGTTTCGTATGTCAACAAGCGCCGCTATGGCCCAGGATACAAGACACAGGATCGCAAGTGCCATTTCCAAGGCCCCTGCGCTGCGGTAAGAACAGCATTTACTGACAGGTGCTTGGTATAGCTGTGACCGAGGTCCAGAAGCGAGGAGGAGGCTCACGACGTGATGCGAATCCTGAGCACTTCAAGGCGTTCTCGCAGGGCCAAAAGAAGGCGTACCAGAAGTACTTTGCACCGATCGGGCCAGAACAAATCCATCTGCAAATCCTGGCCACTTTGCCCGAGTATCAGCGGCGCGGACACGCATCATCGCTGTGTAGATGGGCCATGGAGTTGGTCTGTCAAGAGGGGCTGAAGGACATGTCGGTCATGGCAAGCCCTATGGGTTATGAGTTGTACAAATCGCTCGGTTGGGACGTGGTTGGGACTTTTTGGATCCAAGTTCCCGGTGAAGAGGAGAAGCTTGTCCTGAGAGCCATGATGTACAAACCCCCGAAGCTGGAGGGATCGTCTGACTCTGAAGAGGAGGTCCAAGTTGCGAATGGTCGATGTGCTATCGTTTAGATATGAAACAGGGGTTATCTGGCAGTGAGGACAAGTCATATAGCGTTGCTTTAAGTGATTGTTGCGCTTGTTGAACTGCCTGCTGCAATTTTGAAGGCTTATGGGTTGAAAAGGAACGCATTGTTACAGAATGTGATGACAACCAGCTATTTGACTGCAGGGGGCAGTGAGTTGGGCGAGAATGGCATTATGTTGGGCCCCCAAGTAATCAAGAAGGCACACGACCATTGGGTTTTAGCTCAATGACAGCAACTGGGCGTCAATCCTCCAACTTGCCCACCTTCATTTCCTAGATGGCCGATCCGGGACTCTGGGTGCTCAGCAATTGGACTGTGGTTGTGTGAGCGCCAAGGTGTCATTGCTCATGATTGACCCATTACAACGGGGTTACATCTGGACGCTGGCAGCGGGAGTTCCAACTGCACCAGAGAAAAACATGACCGTATGTCGACTCATCAACTCAGTTCCGAAACACGAGGTCAGAGGCCGCAGGCGGTTTTGGGTCGGAGAGCATTCGACGTCCAATTTGTGGTTTTAGTGGGCTCGGTCAACGGGTCGGCCCGGTTGAAATGTGGGGCCCACACCAGAAAAAGGGTGGCGCCGATCCGGCATCACTTCTACCAGCCCACCGGACCCACATTGAAAGGCTGTAGTGGGACGTTATGTGGGGCTGCTCTCGCGATCTGCCGGTCTTGCACCATTGCAGCCGTTGTCGCTACCGCTTGCCAAAGCAATTCTCCCATCTCTGCCCACAAAGACAGATAATAACGGGATGGTTTAACAGATCAGCGCAGATGTCATCTAGCATATGAATTCTGACCGTCATTCTGTTGCTACTTGCAGGGAAAACGACCTGAGATCCTGACTTTTAGCTGCCTTAGGCTCTCGGTTTTGACAATATTGCTCAATCCCACAGTCCGATCATACCTAGACGTTGATTTCGCCATCGTCTCGCGCCCAGTCTTGCCAACCCACTACACAAGTTTCCCCGCTGGAGGGAGTAACAAATTGAAACACGGACAAGCCGGTCAGGACCCATATTCTGCGCTCGCCGATATCCACACAGCTCATCTTCATTGAACAGAAATTGGGACGGCCCTTCAGAGGTTGATTCCATTTATTATGGGACCCGTAGCAAGCAGATTTGAAATGAACAACATCTCTTTGAACAATCCATCTCGCAAATCACAGCTTTGGTCATTCGTTGGTCGAGCATCCCGACAAAACATTCCCTCGTTTACATTCAACGACAGACACAATGGAGCCTCAGCCTTCTATCGAATCGTTACCTAACGAGGTTCGTTGTTTGCTTTCTCCCTCCCTTGTGATCAGCATCAAAAACACCGTCTTAATTGATTTTAGATACTTATCTCTGTCCTCTCTCACTTGCCGACTCGCTCGTTACTTCCACTCTCGTCTATAAGCCGCCGATTTTACTTTGTGACGCAGAGCATTCTCCGTCAACGCCTGAAACGTGCCACTTCCTCGTTATCTTCCGACTACCGTTTGATTCTTGAGTGCTATCATCCTGCTGCTGCGCTCTCCACGCCGTATCTCTTCTGCAACTACCTTCATACCGATATTGTGGATGGGGGGTATCTGTGTGAGCCAGTTGATGAGGATGCTCCTTCTATTTCTCCAGAGCCACACGATTGGTCTCTGTCAAGACACAGAATTGAGAACATCTACTCACATTTCCGACCAGTAGTGCAGCAAGAGAATAGGAGTGGTAGAGTGAGGTATCCACGGCGACAGCAGCAGCAACAACAGTCGAATCGGGCGCAGCAGGAAGAAAGGCTTGAAGAAAAATACCCTTACCAGGACATCGAGCTGGGGCTTGGCGAGTTGTTTTCACAGCTCTGTACCGTGACCAATCTCGTCCGGCTGAGGCCTCGTCCAGGTTTGTTCCTTACTCACGTCAACGTGAGTGACAATGTGATCCGTGTGGAGCGTGATTGGCTGGCTGCGCAGGCGAAAGCAGATGAGTCGAGGATTTTGTGGGTTGACGAGAAGTACACTGTGGGCTTGCGCTTCCGAGTCGAGGAACGGGACGTCCGCGATCAACACCCTGTCCTAGCAGCTGCCGATGAGGAGCTGCCAGCCGTCTACCGTCTCGAGTTTGAGGAGCTACTAGTCCGGGCCGGCACCATATTGTTGATGGTGGAAAAGTCGGAGGTGCAACGTGATAGCGCCACTGAAGGTAACGCCGTTGTGATTGCCTTTGATGGATGAAGTACTTGCAACTCCCGTGTTTCAGATTTGCTTGTTGTTGGCAATTTTTGCCAATGTTCAATGTCCTTCGTCCTCCTCCCAAAACATGATCGGCGATGGAGGAGCCGATCCCACCCTCCCTCCATCAAGTGGGATGCTCATAGTAACGGCGAACATGCAGACACGAACACACTTTTTATTAGTGATAGGTCTGTCTGTTTCGTCGATTGCTATCTATGCCTTCGCTTGCTATCTTCGTCCTCATAATCTGCTCTAGAATGGGACGAGAGCCTATCTCAGGGCTCGTCGATCGGAAGTATTAGAGTTGTGGCAACAGATATCAGCAGCTACTCCTACAAGGCGCGGGCCAATCACATTATCGTGGAAGGGCAAAGAAGAGACTCGCAGACAACATCACTCGCAGAACAACTTTGGCTCACCATTTGCCGCTTCGAACGTCTAGGTACAATTTTTGAACCCCGAGGACGTATTTCATACCCGGCCGTATACTTCTACTGGTCGGGTTCCCTCGTAGACCTTCCGCCTTCTCCTCCGCTCGCTCCTCCGGTCGAAACGATTGAAAGCGTCTAAAGATGCAGAACGACAGTCTTGTGGAGAACGCTTTTGACACTGCTTTTCTGCCCTTTCTTACATTTTCGACAAAAGTGCTGGCAGCTCAATCTGGGAAAGATTGGGAGAATCTGTGTGTTTGGTAGTGGTCGATTTCAAGAGATGTGAGGTGCTGATCATGGATGGAGTGGGTAGATATGGTCAACCTAAAACTAGTAGAGCATATCACCCGATGCCAACTGGTGGTCAATGGATCAAGCCGTGAGTCGGGATTGGAGTGGAGAACGAAGGACCCAGAAACACAGAACGTTGTTCACTAGAATCTAGAGTTAGGTTTGCTCCCAGTTGTCCTTTATCGGTTTGGCTGCTCGTTCACAACCGAGATTTTCTGCTTGTTTAGAAGACATTTTGCAGATGCCTAGCTGCTAGTAGATTGATTATTACAAGCCTTGCCGACCGGGAGGGGACGTGTGATCGCCGTTGATCGGGTGCGACAAATGGCGTTATCATGGAAATGCTCTCTCTGGATCAAGAGAGTGACCAGAGAGCGCATTAAAATCTACGGAAACCAGATGTAGGAAAGGGGAGAGAGGTAATCTCAGGATATCAAAGGAATCATCATCCGTTAGTTGGATATGACGACCAAAATCCTTCTCCTTGCTCACGGGCTGAGGTGTGGTTTTGTATGGACGTTCACACGGGCTTTTGGAGCAAACTGACCCGTTTGACGTGGGGGGATAAACAACGTTGCCTACTTTTGGCAGTGTGAGACAGATCTTTGACGCATCGGGAATTTCACCCTTGTTGCTGAAGCTCCAGAGAGCACAGGTACGCAACATCCTCCTCTGTTTTCTGCATCTTGCTCCAGCTTGAAGCTCTAAGTGGGCAAGATCTGACGTGGGGATTCGAAGCTTCTACACTAGTACACGAAGCGCCTCCATGCAAGGTTTGTCATTCACCTGTCCTCTACAAATGCAGCTGCCGAAACCACAATTGAGTTCTCTGTAAGGCTTGAAAACGAACTCTCCAATTCAACATTAAAAGCTTAACGGCTCTATATGGGATAGTAAACCATACACCATTCCTGCAGCCTGCTGCAAAGTTTACTGTGGTTATTGCATTCGTTGCTGTGTCTTTAGCGGTGAAGACGTGATCAAGGAACACGATTACTGTGCAAGTTGTCAAAGCTTTCCGCTAGTGCCTTTCTGCGCAATGCTGCCAAAAATGCAAAAAGGCCAATGGTGCATGGTTGCATGGTCACAGGATGGCTAGAAGTGGAGGACCAACAATGAGCCGCGCCCCGACTTTAACAGCCCTTGAGATTTGGCAAAGCTACTAGTGCACAGCTCTGCCACGCTGCGGTTGGCGACTTGGCGTTGCCCCACCCTAGAGAGCCCCACTCATTATAGGGATACACCGAGCCCAGGCTAGGTAAGTGGACCCCCTGCAACTCTACATTTCGCTGTAGCCGGGCTTGGGATGGCCCCTCTTCTGCCAAATGTCTTCAACACTTCTGCTTTCTTCCGTCCTTCCTCGTCCCTTCTCCATATCCAGTGTGTTTGGGCTCGCTTTTGTTCGATTAGATATGGTATTTGCGACTCCTAGGACATCAGAAGGGAAGAGAGCAAACCAAACAAAATGATACAAGACACTGCCGCGACACAGTGCACTTATCTCCCTCGAAACACGCAGAGACTTTCGCTGCTACTGTACTGACCGCCTGTGTCAAAAACCAGTTTCAGTATGTTACTGGCCCCTGTACCTTCCAACGGCACGCATGGGTAGGATAGTTATAAGGTTTGACGGCTGGTCAGAGCGGGCTTGATCGCCCTACCATCACACTGGATCGTGGCCTGATAGGAGATGTCTTCGCTGCAGACCCTGACAGGCATTGCTGTATCTCCGGGTCCCGGCTCTGTGTGTGGTGATGTACCAGGAAATGTAGAACTCAAATGTACACAATCTTGCAGGTCCCGAACCCTGGCAGCTGCAAACACACCGGCAACGCTCCAATAGACAATGATGAAGCTGTTTCACGCTCCTCGAAACAACCCGGAACCTGCACTCGCCGCATGAAGCCGCGACCGTGGATTCCGGGACGCTTGTAATCCGTACATCCTGCTCTTTGCTTCATGCTCCACGCTCCTCTCATTGGGGAAAAAGCACTCTGTGGTTAAGGCAATCTTACACTAGCTCGGTGGTTGATGCACTGATATTCCTTGTCATGGCGCACAGCTCAGTGCTCGGTGGCTGGCCACAAGGGTCCCCCATCACCATTGCCGATGGACAACATCCGGCATCGTCACTGTTGTTGCTGTTGTCACCATCATCACCGCCAAGCATCCCCACCCCTACTGCTTCATCACCATGTGGGCCCCCCCCTGCTTCTGAAGCGTGTAAGCCTCTTGTCACGTTTGCTCAGACACCCTGCTGCCTGTGCAGGGCCCGGCTGTGCTGCGGCTGATCACGCCTTGTCTCTTATCCAAGACTACTCCGTGCTTCGCTGCATTTGCTCCTTGCGGATTCTTCAATTCCTTGTCTAACAATGGCCCTGTGATTGGCCTCCGTCTCTTCCTTGTGTTCTTCTCCTTCCTTTGGAATGCCCACAACCGCCGTGTAGTCTGCCGGACAGCAACGACGACAAACGCTCCTTTGCAAATTCTCACCTCCTCTGGGAGTTGAGGTGCTTTTCCGTCCTTACTCAGACTGTAGCGTCAGCTTGGATTCGAGAGCGCAAGCAGGTCAGGGAATTGGGCTCCTGGATTCATCAAGCAAGTGAAGAAGAGCGAAAGGGCGTCGTGAGCGAAATGAAAGTGCTGCGGCGATGGATGTCCCGCCAAGTCCTCCAGACAAAGATCTCCCACCACTGCCCGCGGCAGCCGTGGTGAGTCTGAGTATTCTCAGCAGTCCGTATGAACCGCCAAAAAGGCCATTGCCTCCGACGCCGACGCCGACGGTGAAGTCAAAGAGGACTACCAGCATACCACAACCACCACCTCCAACAAAAGCACCTCCCATCAAGCAGCCGTCTCCGCTTTCCTTGAGCCCTCCCACAAGGCCCGGCACAGCTGCCACTGAGACTTCGCAGTTGACTGCCTCTGTTCGATTCCCTGGCTCGACGAAAAGACTGTCGTGGAATTCAATCGCCTTGAAGAGACCCATCAAGTATGGCAAGGGAAAGTATAGCAACGTGGAACTGGTTCCACAACCGAGTGATGACCCTGATGACCCTCTGGCACGTACCACTGGTTCGAGTTTGGCTGAATTCTATGATCAGCTTCGCTAACAGCATTAGTAGAACTGGCCTTCATGGAGGAAAGAGTTAAACTTTTACTCACTGATGCTGATGGTCGCCATGACAGGCGTGATGAAGACCATCTTTATGACCGTGAATGGACCGCTTTCCACGAGCTTTGGTGTTTCGTACTCAGCCGCTGCCTGCCTTACTGGAGTACCACTCATTCTGTCAGCCATTTCGGGTTTTATTTGTCTTGTAGCCTCGAGGATATGCGGTAAGAGGCCACTGTATCTGGCCTCCTTGCTGCTGGTGTTCATTGGTGCTGTTTGGAATACCAACGTTGAACGCAGCTATGGCCAGTGTATGGCTGCCCGTGTCTTTCAGGGACTAGGATGGGGAGCTTTTGATACCCTTGTTTTGGGGTCGATTCAAGACACTTATTTTGTAGGTCTACAGCAACCCTACTGTCTTCATCCGTGTATGCTAATCTGTCTCTAGGAACATGAGCGCGGCTTGCGAATCGCCATCTACAGCGTCGTTACTGTAACGACGACATGGGGTCCTCCGTTGATCGGGGGTGTTGCCTCAGAGACCAGGGAAGGCTTTAGCCTTCAGTTTATGATCTTGAGCGCATTTTTTGTGATTGCTGTCCCTGCAATTGCCCTGGGTGCCCCAGAAACAAGTTTCGACCGAGCATTCGCTGCAGCCCAGGTTCCCGGGACGGCGGCTAGCACATATCAATACCAACCCTCTCTTCCGGCAAGCCCGCGACGCTTCTTTTCGCTTGAAACATTCAACAACTATATCGTAAAGTTGAAGCCGTACGCTTATAGCGGTCCGGCAGACTTGAGGACCCTCCTCCAGGTTCCCCGTGCTGCGATAACACCCACTGTTGCCCTCATCACTCTAGTGACTTTTCTGCCATTCGCTGCTCTGTGGGGCCTGGGAACATCTTTCTCCCTTCTACTCTCTCCCTCCCCTCTCAACATCTCTCCTTCGACAATTGGGACGCTGTTCACAAGCCCGTGGATTCTGTCGATCACCGTCGTCACTGTGGCATCAGTGCTGCAACTCCTTCCCTCTCACTTCTTCAAAAAGCTCAACTCCCCCATCACACTAAACATTACCCTGCGTTGGACGCCAACAGCCAACATCCTCGCTATTGCCGCGGGCACCCTGCTGACCTTCATCGGCGTTCTGACCCTGGGTCTGTACCTCAACTCCGCGATGGCCTTCTTCAACTTCCTCCTCGAGCCCTCCGAATCTGACCTGTCGCCCAAGGTCAACCTCGCCGCCGTCTCCTTCCTCTTCGGTCTGCTCGCCGCTGGCGCCTACCTCCTCGCTTCAACTACCGCCCCGCTCATCGCCTCCAGCACGGCCTTCACCTCCTCCAGCCTAGCCAGCGCTACCCGCAACACTGCTGACATGACCGGCGCCGTAGTCTGCTACCGCTCGCTTGTGTCAGGCATTTTTGCTATGGCTGTGCCGAAGGCGCTGCTCAACAACGTTTCTTCGTTGTTGGCTGAGGGGGCCCAGGTGATGACGTTCTCGCCGTCTTGGAGTGCAGTTAAGAGTTTCGGTCTTGGCGTTGCTATCGCTCAGTTGTTGATCGGGGTGATTGTCGCGGTCGTATGGTGGGTGTGGGGCGGGAGCAGCAAGCCTGGGGAGGAAGGGAAGCCTGGGGAAGTGAAGAAGTGGGATGGGAAGGTGATGAAACTTGTCGGAGGAGATGTCTTGCTGGGTGGGCTTGAGAGAAAAGGGAGCTTCTTTGAATTGGATTAAACTTGGTACAGTTGGGATGAGCGTTCAGGTTGCCAATGATGTGATGATGAACGATGATGAGTTATGAAGTGCTAGGTTTGGTTGAGACTTTTGGCTGGGATCAGTTGGATAGTGCGTCTCTCTTTTTTATAATGTGTTGTCTTGTGGATATTTGGATCGGGTTGCCTGGACAAGCTGATACCATGAAGATAATGTATGATGTATGGACATGACGAACTTGAGATACCTTCTTTTCTCTCGATGCCCCAGTCATTAAACAAGACATATAAAGTCTTTGCCTGCTGGACTACGACGGGTTATGTATGCCGTTTTCACGCCTGCACAACTTGATCACAGAGCAGATCTTTCCGATCTACGGAAAGCAACTAATTTTTACCAACCGAAGAGACGAGTAGCTTTATTTTCCCATTCAGCCAGGACTTTGGATTCCAATCGGACACTGTTAAATTGCTTCCGGATAATATGGTTAATAGGTTGGAAGGATTTTGGAACATCGACGAGACGGTTTCTAGAAGCTTTCTCTCGGACCTGACAGCATCAATATGCCGGGGATAGGGCCGGTCGCGTCGATCAAACATGTCCCGAAAAGACGGGTTGGCCACAACACGAACCCGCATTTTCAAGGTTCACCTTTTGATATTAATTAATGGTTCACAAGACACGAGATGCCTTCTTGTCTCCTAGATGGCCTCTTCGCATTTGTACCTCACTTGTAGGTAGTTTGTGTTGGTAGGATATAGAACAAAATCGAACAGCAATCGCAAAGTATATATGGTGAATGAGACCATACGTACCACTTGACACGCGTATATTTCTCGTGGATATCGTAATGTTTTGGCGTGTAATATCCATTTTCAATGCTTGATAGCCCCAAACAAAGAAGGCAGATGAATTCTAGCTTGCTCAGTAAAGCAATCGGTGATAAATTAGTACTTATGTTGACATAATGCTGGCTCCTTATCAAGATCGACTCCATGAGGATGCTTTTAAACGTCGACCTGCACAAGGAACACAACAGCAACAACATACAAAATGCTCCTCGAGTCTTCTTTTGTCTTTATCACCCCCGCTCAGTAACAGTCCACCGGCGCTTATGCGAGCTAGTATCTCGCAGTTTGTCAGCTTCGTCCGGCGGTATCGAAGCCCCCCACAACCCATCGGAATCTGCAACAGCCTCCTCTTCGAACTTGACCTCTTTGGGCCCGTTGGCAGTCTTGCTGTCGGCCGAAATTTCCGCGATCTTTGCAGTCCTATCTTCGGTAATCAAGGAAGATGACGAATATTCTTTCTTCACCTGGTCAGACTTGGATTGAGAGGAATCCTCTCTCTCCGACTCCTTTAACGATGAGGAAGGGGTCCACAGTCCTGTGCCAGAAGACTTGCTCACGTTGGAAGAAGGCTTAATCGACGAGAATAAGGTATTCGTTCTCGGAATGATGCCGGGGTTGTTGAAGGCGAAGGATACCGACGAGTTGTTTTGGTTCCTACGGAATGCACTCAGACCAGCATTGGCCGAAAATATTCTGCTCCCGGAACTATCGAACCAAGTAACCTCATTTTCCCCGCAAGAGAACGACAAGTGGCGTCCACGGGCTCCACTCAGTGCGGCGTTGTTGGGGGGGTTTCGTGACGCAGACGGGCTTTGCGAAGGGGACCGGATATGGTCGGTACTGGCAACGATTTCTAGGTCGTACATCTCGTGAACTGGACTGCTGCTCTTGGGACCATCTACCCCGTTGTCGTCCGAAGACGACTGCGAGCCTAGGTGTTGTTTGCGGACAGCCATTGTCAAGGAGGTCAAACCAACGTCGATGAGAACGGGCTTATGTGTAATGGCACCGATTAGGGCATTGCAGCCAGCTCCATGAGAAACAAGGATCACAATCGCCTCAGTTTCGACATCTTGAATCCCCTCAGGTAGTGCATCTGCAGGAACACTCTTGGTGTTCTTCAAAACAGACCTGGTAACCATTTCCGTGGGGTTCTCGGTTGTCGAATACCATTCTACCAAGCGTTGAATTCCTGCACGAAACCGTTTGTGCATTTCGGGCCACTCCTCAGGAAAGGAACCGCCATCACCCCAGTCCAGCGGGCTCCTAGTCGAGTCCCACTGGTAGTCTATGTCAACACAAGCATCTTTGGCATGGGAGACAAAGCCTGGGGGGATGGTGCTGTTGCCATCAACGGCATAATGAGGGACTGGGGCTATGTAGCCAGGTTGGGCAGGGTGCTGAGTAGAATCACTCTGACCATTCTCAGCACCACTTCCTGCCGTTGAGCTTGGCAGCGAGCCGGCCAGACCATACATGTTCTCGAGGGGCTTCGGCTGGGAAGGGCTCCAAAGCTGAGAGGAATTTGAGCGTGCATGAACGCTAGTGTGGGGATAATGGCTATAATCTTCTCGACGAAGCAAGTCGGCTTTAGCACTGGCAAGCATCATGACTGACGCAGGAGGGGGAGTAATGAACTCAAAGTAGCTTGGTGAAAGCCATTCTCCCAGCCAAGCATCCAACCGTAGCACCGATCTTCGTATCCTTGGTAATGGAGTCGCTGTGGCAGAAATACTAGTGTCGAGAGTGAGCTTGGGTTGTTCGTCAGAGGACGAAGCTTGGGCTTGGTGTGGCGAAACCTGAGGTTGATCGATCCCGACATGGAATGGGGTCGAGTCTTGCGCCAGACCCGCGCTGATGGCAATGGACGTCTGGATGCATCGGAGGAAAGGGGAGCTGTGGATGACAACTTGGTATCTTTTACGCTTTGGTTTTGCTGAGAGATCCGAGGTCATGCTTGAGGCAAGTTCCTCTTCTTTGATCTTTTCATAGATAATGTTTGCGATCCTGACACCTAAGCTCTTTGCCTGCTGCCAACCGCTGTAAGTGAGAGGAGGGTCATATGGGGTTGGTGATGAAAGATGCCATTGCTTGTCGGCAGCATCGAGACGGTTGCCGTGCCTGAAAAGAGGAGGTCAGTTCTAGCCCAAAGGATAAGGGGATGAACGGACGTGGCCATACCTCACGACGAACAGGTACGCCGGAGGGCGCCCCATGATGCCCGTGATAGTGGCGAGTCTTTCACTGACTGCTGGGAGTCTACACTAAAGGACTGTTTTTGGTTCTCCTGTCTCTTGCGGATTCGAGACGGCACGGCGGAGCTGCTGGGAGCTCGCGCCTCAATCAGACAATGAACCCCAATGGGGTGACCGCGGTAAAGATCACAAGAGGGGCTGGTTCAGGTAATCCGTAGGTGCCACAGTACCGAGAACTCGTGTTGTCTTTAACTGGGGAAACGCTGTGCTTGGTGTATATTTTGTCGAAAACTTTTTCTTGCCTGTGTCCAAAGAGCCTTAACTGCCGCCAGTCGATGGTTGACGAGCGTGATGTACGTAATCCGTAATCCGACAGAGAAGCAAACGAAAGGCTGGCTCAGCCTTCGGATGACAAGATGACAAAGGCGCCGTCCAAGTTACCGGTCAGCGCACAATTGAGGGTGTGAGTCGAAAAGGTGCAGGCCTGGTCTGGCTATGTGGCCTTTTGTTTTGCTGACCTAAGTACTTAAAAGTGATGTGGGATGTATGGGGTTGTGGTGTGGTGCGTGGTGGCAGTTGTCTTCCTTGTTGGTTAGGAAGATATGTATGGAGAGGTTTGGTTCGTTTTGCTTGGTGATACGACGAGAAAGAAGAGTTCAATCGGGACTCCTTTGACTGGGCTTTAATCGCTTCAAATCTCATAAATCTCATGACCTGGGGGATCAAGAACGACAAGGTCAGCAGACCGCGTCAGTCTCGGACGGCTGATTCGTTTAGGTTTAAAGCGAGATTCGGTTTGCTCGTGGTATTCACTTCAACTGTAGTGGGGGAGCTCCAGTTAGGATGGTGCGGGGATGCTTGGCGCAATTAATGACAGGGGGCTTACCAAGCAAGGCTAGCCCAGGCACAGCTCTGTAAGGTATTGTACCGCTGAATTACGGCCTGGTAAGCCTAACGTTGATGGGGCGGTTTGATACCGTCCCAGTCGCTGCAGTCAGCGACGAGAACAAACACAAAGGCGTAGCACGTCTAGGCTTCGTGTAACTTACCTAGGTGTTTCTTTGGTCCGCCAGAAAATGCTACCTACCAATCGTTCTGCAGGAATCTTCCGAGCCTTCGAGCCGGCTTGGGGTACCGACTAGGTACCTGTAACACGTGCTAAGCCAAGAGAGATTGTTGCACGTGGTTAGGTGGATTCTCTCACTTGGGCTAGGCTCCTACCGTAATGCATTTCAGCCCCCTATGACAGTGAAGCGCTGCTCTCTGCTGGAATACTGTGGTACTTGTTGGAGGGGGTGGGCAAGGACGTTGAAGATGACTTATCAAGCGGTGTCGCAGGCTACCACCACAGCAGAAAGTCTACATTAGATATGAAATCAAGCATAGGACGACGTTCTTAGGAAGAAAATGAGGTTTGATAAGCAACTCGCAAAGTCTAGGACCAAGTGTTCTGTACCAAAAGAGGCGAACCAGAATCCCCAGCTAATTCCCTCCGACACGAATGGACTGCCTAAAATCCAGCTCTTCGACAGGGGGTTATGGATGTGCCGCAAGTCTCATGTTCCTGCAACTTGAACCGATGCCGCTCTTGATGAACCCCACGGCGGGGCCCTGGCGGCAGTAGACAAGGGATCTGACGCCGTGTTCCGTCTAGCCAGGAACATGACCCAATGGGAGACAATCCGTATTCTACGTAACATTAACGAAATCTTACCGTCCGAACACATTTCTGGCTTATGTAATCCGTAACTCTACCGTAACACCAGCGACACAGGACGCTCGCTTCGGTCTTGTATCCCAACCCACGCCAAGTTGCTTGTTGGCACATCGCCGGTTCGCCGACATCAACAGCGGCTGCCAGCTTGGACCGCTCCCCAAAGCGACAGGCGACACCTCAGACTTCGGATCGAATGGCGGCCAATGTGAACGCCTGCGACGAGGAGATTTGACTTTCGTGAAGCGTCCGCAGTTCTTCCCAGCGACAGTGACGGCCATGCAGTTGTCTCGCCTGCTTGCGCTTCCTGTGCTCCTGGGGCCTGCGCTCCCCGTCGCGGCCGAACATACGAATAATTGGGCCGTATTGGTGTGCACATCCCGCTTCTGGTTCAACTACCGTCATTTGGCGAATGTCTTGTCCATATATCGCACCGTCAAGAGGCTCGGCATCCCCGATTCGCAGATCATCCTGATGCTCCCTGACGACATGGCCTGCAATCCGCGAAACGCCTTTCCCGGGACCGTCTACTCCAACGCAGACCGCGCCGTTGACTTGTACGGTGACAACATTGAGGTGGACTACAGGGGATACGAGGTGACTGTCGAAAACTTTATCCGGCTGCTGACCGACCGTGTTGGCGACGAGATGCCGCGCAGCAAAAGACTCTTGACCGACGACCGGAGCAATATCCTCGTGTACATGACCGGGCACGGCGGAAACGAATTTCTGAAGTTCCAAGACTCAGAAGAGATTGGAGCCTTTGACCTCGCCGACGCATTTGAACAGATGTGGGAGAAGAAGAGATACCATGAGATTCTGTTCATGATCGACACATGCCAGGCCAACACCATGTACAGCAAGCTATACTCGCCAAATATCATTGCAACGGGCTCGTCGGAGCTCGACCAGTCGTCGTACTCGCACCACGCCGATAACGACATCGGGGTTGCCGTCATCGACCGCTACACATACTACAACCTGGAGTTCCTCGAATCCGAAGTGCGCGATCTGAGCAGCAAGAAGACCCTCGGCGAGCTATTCGACAGCTACACGTTCGAGAAGATCCACTCTAATGCAGGGGTTCGCTACGACCTATTTCCGGGAGGGGCAGAGGCGGCACGCAAGCGTCTTGTCACCGACTTCTTTGGAAACGTACAAAACGTTGAGGTTGATGGCAGGAATAATACACAGCTCGAGCAGGAGTTGCTCGAGCTCAGCCGTATCATTGCGGCACTGCACAAGAAGGCCGATGAGCAAGAAGCGGCGATGAAGCAGAATGCCACCACTGGGGCGCAGGAGCAGAAGCACATTCACAATACCATTCAGAGCAAGGCACAATATGCAAAACCGCTTACGGATGAGAATTGGTGGACGAGGAAGATCTTCGGGGCCACAGCGGTTGCCGGTTGTGGATTACTATGGGCGTTAACCTCCATATTAGACGGGCATGGAAGGTGATTCAAAGTGAGCTCTACTGCCTAATAGTTCAATATAGTTTAATACAGCTTTTTTTTCGTGTATGACCTCATACCGGTATGCCTCTGGATAACATTGACGAACTGTATTCTGTTTTCGTAGGCTTCTCAAGGGGCCGAGGGGCTTGCATCTATCACGCAGCTCCTCAGGGTTAGGGTTATACATGAAACTTTGATAACCTTGACTGTGGAAACTTGAATCTTCATGAAACATTGAGCTCACTGGAACCAGAAATTTGAAGACAGACTGGCTTTATCGACACCTTTCAAGCCAGCACATAAAGATTGGTGGAATAGCGAGTCAAATGTTGGCTTTGTGTTTAAGTAGATCAAAAGCAGTTTCTCCGACTCTTGGTTACATTCGCAATTAGATCGGTCGGAACAGCTTGAATCTTCCATTTCGAGTTTCGACCGTCCTACACTCCAATCTCATCGTTGTCTTCCTGCGCATGTCATTGGAGTATAGGTGCTCAAACCTTTTAGACCCTCTCGGCCTATGGTCACGGTACTTAATTTTGAGCAAACGCTGGAAAGGAACGGGAATTATCAGCTATGTTTGGTGATCGTTCATCGTCAAATCCTACCTCTCAAAAGGTAAGTGTTTGGTTTCGTCGCTCTACATAATTCCTCGATCCGGTTCTGACAAAGATCGACAAGTATCTTCCACTGCGAGAAATACAACTCAATTCCCGACCTTTGGTTAAGCGAGCCATTCAATTCTCGTGTGATGGCGACCTTGCAGTGGCAGCCGACGACTCGGTGCATGTGTTTGTGCCTGAGTTTCCCGACTTGTCCAAATACAGGGAAAAGTTAAGGATCAAAGCCAGCGAAGGACAGTACAGTGGCATCCCTCTACCAGACGATACTATTTCGGACGATGAGGATGAGGCAAGCTGGTCAGAGCCTAAGGGGTTCACGCGGCAGACATTCCGGGCTCAGTACTCGGAGGGCAGCAAACACATGCCTGTCTCCTACCCACCACTAGATCCGCGTGTCAACCGCGAGCTCTTCCAAGCAGCCAACATGCCATTCCCATATGAGGGCGCAGTTGAGGCCCCAGATGATGACCACAGCGAAGGCAGCAGTTCGGACTCTGACTATGAATCCGATGCCGGGGCAGGCGACGAGGAAGGGGAGGGCGGTGGTGCCTCTCTAGGCTTCAACCGCCCTTTTGGTGCCGGATATGGCCCCATCACTGGTGTCGGAAGCAGTATGAACCACGTCGTGAGCTTAGCTTGGTCCCCATCAGGCCTCGGCGTCAACCGGCGTCCTATCTTGGGTGTCCTCACAGGGTCTGGCACCCTGGCAGTATATGGAGATGGCAACGAGTTCTCCAACATCCTTCCGCGTGCCAATGAGGGCATGTTGCAGCGCCGCGAGCTCAATTCGTGGATTGTGCTTTGGGGTGTTGGTGAACGCCTGATTGTCCCGGGTCAGCAAACCAAAGTTAGCGAGTACATTCGAGCATTTGCCTGGGCGAAGGAGATAGGGCCTGGTCAGGGCTTACTTGCAACACTAAATGATCAAAAGGAGGTCGCCATCATCAGTGTGCAGCGTGTCTTCGTGGAGGACGATGCGATGGCCAGTAAGGGGGAATTCACAGTCCAGCCACGAGAGAATGCCGTGTGGCTAGTCAGAGAGATTGTCAGGTTCAAGGCTGAGGGACCACATGAGGAGCCGAATGTAAGTCACCACTCATTTTTGCCGTCAGGATGTACGGGTACTGACTAGAGGCTAGCAACTTGACCCGGATTGGGTGCCCTGCGGGAGCTCGTTCAGCCTGAGCTGGGGCCCATGGTTACGGGCAGAGGGTTCTCGTACCTGTGTCCTCTCATTCTTGGATTACAACTACGTCGGCTTCCGGCGCATCACTCTACAAGAGCCCTGGATTCGGGGAGAGCTCCCTGACCTAACTGTCGAGGAAGAGGATATCTATGGGAGATGTCTTCCTTTATCCAACGATGGCTTCGTCGAGTTTGAAGATGGAGTATGCTGTTGTCTCTAAGACTCTCTCACAGTGGTTTGCCCGGGACACTAACGGTTAGTAGACCCGGACACAAGGCTCTGTCCAGACCTGTCGAGGCATCATTGTGACGGGGCTTCATGCAGTGCCGTTCGAATTTGCCCTCACTGGCGGTACAGTCTGGAGCCAAAAGAAACACACTACATGGGACTGTGGAACGACCTATGTCAAACCCCATCAACAGCAATGCCTCAATCCTATTGTTGGTAAGAAAGCTCATTGAAAGAATTTGTGGACTGTTAGGCTAACAGCTTCAGGTCTTGTCATTCACCCTCCCGATCCAAACCATCCCACTCCGGTACCGCTTTATACCCTGGTTCGCATGTCTGCCACACCGACGACAAGAGACTGGTATGAGGCGAACCTACCTTCATCAGGCGATTCACCCATCGAATCTCGACCACAGTGGTGCACGACTATTGCACAAAAGCTGGAAGTCCAAGTTCCTATTGACATGCATCTTACTCGCAGTTACAATGACGAGAGCGACTCTGATGCAGAATCTGGGGCCGGCTCCGATCTGGACGACGATGATGATGACGACGATGATGACTTGGACGATGGCTATCAGGATGACGACGACCTGTCTAGCAACGATGAAAGCCAGACAGTTGAAATCCCACAGATTCACCCTCATCGCTTCCGGCTACACGGCCTGGCTCTCTCCCCTGGCGGCGGGGTGACGGCAGTTCTGGTAAGCACTCACAGTACTCAGCACCCGGAGCGCGGCGGCTGGCACACTGTACGTTCCAGCGTCCTGTTCGGTTATAAATCTCCTCCAAAGCAACGCCGCAGGCCAAAGTTGTCCGACGGGCAACAACAACAACAACAACAACAACAACAACAACAACAACAGCAGCAGCAGCAGCAGCAGCAGCACCGAAGCTACCTGACCACGCTCATTGACCCAGATCTCACTAACCCCACTGACCTACCCACCCCCGAGTCCTGTCACGCGCAACTTACCACCGAAGCTAAGCTCTTCGAGTACCTCTACGGCGGCGGCCCCGAGGTGCCAGGTATCAACTATATTACCCTCACGGATAACAATAACAGCCTACGTCAACTGTTTGCCTCGGCCGTGGCCTCCCAAACTTGCGACCTATGCGGCTCACGCATGAGCCTGACGCGCAAAAGCAATGCCGCCGGCGGGCAGCAGCACCTGGTTGGGTGCGAGAAGGGTCACTTTTTCGGGGCGTGTGCGACGTCGGGGTTGGCAGTGCAGACACCAGGCGGGACACGCAGCTGCGGAGCGTGTGGGTTACGGACGATGCGAGCGGATCTGTTGTTAGCAAAGGTGTCGGATGAGATCAGAGAGGAGGTGAGGAGGGCTGTGGCTGATGGGGTATGTGGAAATTGTGGAGGGAAGTTTTTGAGTTGATTGTAAGGGAGTATATGTCACGAAGAGCGATGTCAGAGAGGCAATATCAGACTTTCCAGGATCGATCAACAGTCTATTGACCACCACTCGTGGTTGTTGAAAACAGTGCGACGCGAGATGCTTGCTCTAGAGTCTATGTCTAGTCGTACGCGTGGAACCCCAGAAAATGCATCATCTCAAGACATCACAGTGAGATTTGGTGAACGCAAGCCAAACCCGGAAAGACAAAAAAATGTTTTGCTCCAATGCATGCCCAGACTCCTACCGAAATGTGTTTTACGCAAGAAAAACGAGGTATCCATGACAGACGGCACTGACGAGAAAAGGAAATAGCCCGGTCCAGCAATACACAAGTACACAAGCCAGCCCAGCCCACACCCCCTGACCATCAACATCCCCCATCAAAGGAGTTTAGTCGAACATCTTCTTCATAGCCGCATGGGCCAGCTCGACACCGACGAAAGTGGCGGCATTGGCAGGGACGGCTCTGGCGAGAGCAGGGCCGAAGCCAGGGAAGAAGGCCTTGAAGCCGCCCTGGCTGTACAGGCCGCGGACGACGCCGCCAATAGTGACGTTGCCCTCAGCAGTCTGCAGGCGGCTCTTGACAGTGTCGACAGGGAAGACAGGGATCCACATGGCAACACCAGCAGCGGCACCGGCCACCATGATGGCCGTCAGGCTCAGCTCGCCCTTGGGCTTGCCCGTGACAGGATCGGTCGGGGTAAGCTTCTTCTTGATGATCTCGTATGTGACGAAGTAAGCAGCAGAGCCGGGGCCGTCGCGGGCCAGGGTAGCGGCCGAGCCACGGAAGACGGAGCGAACACCGCCCTCGCGGTACAGCTGGCGAACGACGTCCAGAGGGCCAGAGTACTTGGGCTTTTCGCCGGGAGCAAGTTTCTTCTGACCTTGGACCTGAAGGATGACCTTGACACGCTCAAATGGTGCAGTGATGGCGGTCATAGGGATGGCAGAGAAGAAGCCGGCAAAACCGATTTGGCCGAGGGTCAGGCTGCCGTCAGGGTTGAGGGTCGAGGTGGCACGGACAATGGTCTTGCCCAGGTCGTAGCCCCAAAAGGAGACAGCGACTACAGAGACATGTCAGCAATCTGGAGCTCGGCATGGGTTAAGGATCCAGGGACAGTGGTTGGAGCTTACACATGGGCGTAACGCCGAGCAGTGGTGCGCTCACACCAGCATATAGACCACGTCGCAAACCATCTTTGGCCACGCTCTTCCGGACCACATCGATGGCGCCAGAGTAGAGGCCCTTTTCGGCCGTCTGCAGACGCACCTTAACCAGATCGAACGGATGACCAACGAGGGTAGCGCATACACCGCCGAAGCCGCCAGCAACGAGGGAGCGGACCTGGGCCATGACGCCGGCCCTGATGTCCTCCTTCTTCGGAGCGGCGGCAGCGATGGCCGCCTCGGGTTGCTGTGATGTTGAAGACATTGCGGGGTTATAGCGATGTGCGAATAATTGGAAACTTTGTCAAACAAAAAAGGAGCTAGTTAAAGTTCCCTTCGGATGTCGCGTTTCCGGTGCGACAAGAGATCAATTGACCGGCGGCAAATGTCTGAGACGGACTGGAAGATGACTGTGGCGGTTTGCTGCCTGTATGTGCTTGTCTGCAAGGCAAGCAGCAAAAGAAATGACAAGGAGTAGGGCGAGGTAGGAAGGTTGAAGTACTTGGCTGGGCCGGATTGGTACAATTCACACGCAGAAACAAAAGAACAAAAAGCGACCACGGAAAGAAAAAGGAGCAGAAGTTCGACTTGCTGTTTACGCAGTACTTGGTAGAGTGTTGGGGGAGATGGTGGGGTTTTTGTTCCCCCTCTTCCCACGCTTCTTGCTCTCTCGGTCCGTCGCAAGTGGGAGCGTCCGGCCAGACGTCACCCTCCCGGGGCTTGGGGGCTTGGAACCTCGGCAAAAGGAGACCCTTGCCCCTTGTTCGCCCCGCCATCTCTAGCCGTTGGGAATGTCGGCCCCGAAACACCGAGGACCTGATCGCGGGGTTTATTTTTCGCCTGCGGGCATGCCTGGTAACTTTCAGGACGCTCAACATGACCATCTTCTGCATGCACGGAGCTATTCAAGCGCTTAAATTAGGTATAGATTGCAAAACCTTATTATTCATACGGTGCTTGCCGACATAACGCCTAACTCGGGAGCTAACGCGAAACTACTTAAACTTGGAGACTGGAGTTGTCCCTCACGGATGGATCTCGTTCAGCGCAGCCAGTCCACTCCACGTCAAACACAGGCAGCTGCTCAACATTTAGGCGGTTCCCTACAAGGCGCATACCACAAGACTGTCCTCGTGGTCACACTGTGAGGCGTGGGGGAGTGGAGGAGTCCTGGTCAGCGAACAGCCGTCCCTCGGCATCATGGGTTCATGGAGAGATAAAGGAACGGAGACCCTGATGGAGGGGTCAGATGGCGACATCGGGCGCACACGGAGACAGAATCCTGCGGCGATTATACGCTATCTGACTTTCCAGAAAAAAAGATGGTGATACCAATCTGGCTTCACCGTACATAGAGGTAACACAAAACAGGATGTTGTGCCCACGCACACACCTCCCAGACGGGTCACGGGTCCCCCAGATCCAGTGGATCAGCGCGAACACGGCATCAACCGTGTGCATCGGACGTACGGGCGGACGACGATCTCATAGACGGGCAAGGCAGACAAACTGTGGCTCTTCAACCAAGGGCTCACGCTGTATCCGCAGCCAATGGCGAGGACGCCGCATCTGCTGTGGCCGCAAAGAGGGCCCCTGACATTGGCGACAGGCGAGAACTGCACGCGGGATGCGATGGAACTCCATGCAACGTAGCAGAATAAGGTGTGTTGCGCCAAGCGGCATGCCGCTGTCGGGAGATTTGCATGTGAATGAGCCATTTTGGGCCAAGGGAACCTGGCAAAACCCGCTCTATTGCATCTTGGAGGGACTGTGTTGCACACAACCCTAACCCTTCGCATTAGACTTCGCAGAGCTCTGCGGCATTGGTACAAGGTCAAAAGTGTCAGCATCCTGTCATACAGAGCCTACCGTCCCGCTGGCTAGAATTAAGCGGAATGATGAGCTGGGCAGGCAAATAAATAGCTGATAAATACAGCCAGAATGACTGAGCAGAATAAACAGGAATATGAAGTGTGTTACAGTAGGCAGACCAAAAGCCTCCGCACACATATATGGAGAGATCTGAGATCTCAAGGGAGAAGATCTCCCTGGTCTTTCTCAAGTATAATAACCTCCTACGTCTCACGTACAATCCATAATCCATTATCCTCCTACCCTATCATTTGCCAACACGCAGAGAAATGGCCCAAAGTGAAACCAGGAGTCCTCACACCTGAAAAAAAGTATCCGACATTGTTCATCCAAACAGGTCCGTGTTGACCCTTCCCAATGGTATATCATCAACCAAATATCACCGGTGATAACGGAATGCTAAGCTTCTCACACAACACAACATCTACATTCCCTTAGAAAATGCTCGTGCTTCCTGTTCTGGTGTGCGACTGCGACAGCGGACTCCTCCCGACGCCACACCAACAGCTGGTGTCCCCCTCCCTCTCAACTTGCACCACCACATCCACCTTCCGCTCCAGCATATAATTCCTCACCCGATCGCGCACATCCTCCATATCAGCTCCTCGTGCAGCAACAACATGCATAACACCCAACAGTCGAGTGTCGTCGCCCTCGCCAATGCTGTTGCGATCATCGATCCAAAACTTTGGGACAGAATACCCAACAACCCCGCGGAGCGAGGTGATCCCGGACAACGTTTCCCGCAGATTGTACTCGATATCCGGAGGAATAGTCAACAGGAGCCGCTTGGCCGATGATTTCACCAGCGGTAGGGCCGACAACAGAATCAAGATGGCGATCAGGAACGACGCAAGCGGATCCCAACCTGGCCATTTCCAAACCCACGTGAGCAGGGTTGAGACGATGACAGCAAGGCTACCTAATGTATCGGCGAGAACATGCAAGTAGATGCCGTACATGTTCTCGTTTTCGTGGGAATGGCCATGTGAGCGGCTGTGGGAGTGCGAGTGTGAGTGCGAGTGCGAATGACTGTGGCTGTGGCCATGGTTATGGCCATTTTTTTCGTCACTGTGTCCCAGAATGAGCGGCCGTTCATTGCCATGGTCATGGGAATGGCCATGGCCACTGCAATTGAGGGAATGAGAGTGACTGTGGCCGTGCCCGTGGCCGTGGTGATGGTGACCAAACGCCTTCATTCCAACAAGGTTGACTAGGAGCCCAAGAACACTGACGACAAGCAGTTCGCCCAGTCTCTTCGTCTCTCTGCCCTCCATGAACCTCTCAAATGCTTCGGTCATGATCTCGATGCTGATCAGTATCAAGAATACACCGTTTCCAAAGCCACTCAATGTTTCGATTTTGCCGAACCCATACGGGAATCTTTGGCTCGGCGGCCACTTACTGGCCACGGCCGCGAACAACCCGACTGCTAGGGCAACACAATCGAAGAACATATGCACGCTGTCACTTAAAAGACCAAGCGAGTCCGTCAGATAACCATAAAACGCTTGTACAGTCATGAATGTGAGGTTAATGCTGTGGTACTACCCGTCAGCCATCGTCGTGTGCAGTGCGGGAAGCATTTTGGCAGAAAAGATTACCTCATGAAGTAAAAGATTCTTCGGGAGTCTTTGTCGGTCATGACAGCATGCAGCAACGGCAATCGTGCGGTATACGGGAGCAGCATCTCGGTAAACTTCGACCTCTCGGCACTATGATCATGTCCGGAGTGCGAATTCGAGCGCGATCTTGCCGCGACTGGAGGTTCATAAGTACTGGGTGTCTCAAAGTTGGCTGTTGTTGGTGTCAGAACTGGCCTTCCCCCTGGCGTTGACTCTGCTTTCCAAAAAGCGCTGGTCCCAGGCGGGGGGACGCTAATGGGCGCAGGAATGCTCGCGTTTGCTCGATATTGCGCAAGGCTATCATCGTATTGTCTACTGCGACGATGCGAATGTCTTCCGTGTGATCGTGGGTCTCTGCTTTGTGGTGGGCTCGTGGACATCAGAGAAGGTGTCTGGGTGTGAACGTGGGAATTCGGAGACGAGCAGGCTTGGTCAGGCCCGTGATGGTGATGTTGAGGAAGTGCCGACACCGGCAAGGCATATGAAGCCATCTTTTCCTCTGTCGCAGCGTGCTTGGTCGTGGATTGATCTTCCTAGTGGGAGCGTCGTCGCTCCTCGTGCTACCCGGCGATAAGCATCGGGTAACTAGTCGATGCGCTGGTAGGAAGAGTAGCAATGGTGCTCAAGAGCTTGTTGTCAACTTGAGCAATAGAGTCCCGTCAGGAATAAAGCGTGTCAATCCTGTAGGGCGTCGAGAGAAAACTGGGGAGACACCGAGTCTAGTCGCTTCCCAGCCGCAGCGTGCTGAACCGTCGTTGAGTGACGCAACGGGCGGAATCGGTTGCAAGACTCGCCAGGCACTTCAATGGTTCAGGCTTGTGGATGGCAGTGGCAGGCGAGTTGCAGGCTTCACGTCGCGACTCGCAGCCTAAGACACGCAACGGGCTCGTTCCAGGTTAGTCGATCGTGGGTGGCGGACTGTTGGTCGCCGACACCTTTGTTGGATGGAAGGATCGTGGTCCAACTGGCAACAACCAAGCTGTGCCCGCTCCCCCGTAATCCACGATCCCGCTGTTTATGGGGTCTAAGGTCCCTCCTTTGATCCCGCCCCTAGGTGCGGCACTCCCGCCAGATCATCTCGCCGCCTTCCGTTTTCTGCTCTATATAACCCCCCTGAACTGGTGGAACAGTGGTGTGGAGACGCCTACAGTCGCTAAAGAGATCTGATTTGATTGGCTGTAGCGATGAGTTTATCTCGGGTCTCTGGTCTGCCAAGCCAAGTAACCAAACCCAAACGGTCACGAAGTCCCCAGGTCCACCCCCCTCAAAGGGCCATATCCATGAGCGGGAACAGCTGCGCAGGCTACACATCACCTTACATTTATCCCAACCTTTCATCCGCCAACCCCATGTCCAACCTGCAAGGCTGAGCCGAATCTTGACTTCCCCTGCATAACAAGGCTGTGAGATACACCAATCACGGCTTGGACCGGTATTATCAGGCCGATTCACCAACACCCAACTCGAAAGAAGCGTAGTATCATCTAGATGGGTCGGCAACGATGAACTGAAGATCCGATTCTCGATCTGACTTCCAACTGAAAGCTGCCACACATCCTCAAACTTAAACGCAACGAGGGTCACAAAGCAGGGTACTGCTTCTGTGATCAATTCCGTATCGATTACGGCCTATCCTTTTCCACTAGTCTTTGACAACTCGCGGAATGGGTCGCTAAGGAAATGGTCGTCTTATTGCTGGGTCTTTTTCTGTCCACTATTGTTGGGCTTCTCGCCGTTGCCATGTATTTGGCAGACGGGGTCTCTAAGTATGATGGACCACCCGCAGGCTCTGCCGAGGGCACTGTGTCTATACATGTACTTGTTCTAGGGGATATCGGACGCAGCCCACGGATGACTTACCATTCGCTCAGTATCGCCAAACGTGGGGGCAAGGTGCATTTAATAGGGTATCTGGGTAAGAAACGGTTATCCAATGTGTTGTTGACGGAGCAATGGGGCTGATGTCAACCACCAACATAAGAGAGTCCTCTTCATCCGGACATACTCAACAACCCAAACATCACCGTCACTGCTCTTCCGGCCCCCCCTCGGAAGCCATCAGCAATGCCCTTCATCTTATTCGCCCCATTCAAAGTCATCTACCAGATCGCTCATCTTGCCCGGTTACTCGCATATACCCTTCCTCCAGCCCAATGGATTTTGGTCCAGAACCCACCATCCATCCCAGCTCTCGCCATCTCCAGCCTGGTATGTTACTTGCGAAATAGTAAGCTTATTATCGACTGGCACAACTATGGCTGGACTATCTTAGCTGGTACGCGAGGCCCACGCCATCCTTTGGTAGGCTTATCAAAGCTCTACGAGTGCTATTTCGGCCGGCTGGGTCACCTGCACTTGACCGTGACGCATGCTATGGCTCGGCAGCTGCGCAATCCTCCCTACAGCATCAGCCAGCCCATGTTGGTTGTTCATGACCGTCCTGCTGCCATATTCCAGCCCCTCCTCAGCAATACCCCTCTGTCGACGAAGGAAGAGATCCTGAGCAGAGTCGTCCCAGACTCAGAAAAGCCGCTCATCCCATCTATTATTACCGGAAAAACACGTTTGATCGTCAGCAGCACAAGTTGGACGCCTGACGAAGACTTCTCGTTGCTGCTAGATGCCCTACTGCGTTACGCAGCAGCCACCACGACATCCCGCCAGATCGATCCGCCAACCCCCCCACCTTTGCTTGCAATAATCACCGGCAAGGGTCCCCAGAAAGCCCACTATGTATCTCGAATTGCTGACTTGACCCGCGAGGGTCGGCTTCCTAATGTGCGCGTTGCAACTGCATTCCTCCCCTTCGAGGACTATGCTGCCCTATTGGCTGTCGCCGACCTGGGCGTGTGTCTCCACAGGAGCAGCTCTGGCGTGGACTTACCCATGAAAGTCGTCGACATGTTCGGAGCGGGTCTTCCCGTAGCTGCATATTGTGGCTATGAGAGCTTCAGTGAATTGGTGAAAGACGGGGAAAATGGGGAGGGGTTTGAGACGGCGGACGAGCTAGCGGAGATTCTCAAAAGACTTCTGAGTGAGAATGGGAGCGCGCAACTGGAAAAGTTGCGTAAAGGGGCCGTAATAGAAGGGAGCAGGAGATGGGATGAGGAGTGGGATTCCAAAGTTGGGATGGTGCTGGGGTTGGTGTCATAAAGGCAAAGCAGCCTTGCACACTGCTATTTCCTCTTTATCCTCAAATAGGTACATAACCATCACGTAGTTGTACTGTAGGACTGTGTGAACTCTGTCGAGATTCGAGTACTGTAAACCCCTGAACTCCAGAAAACGTGCAAAAATGTCCCATCTTGAATGTCATCCCATATTCTACTACGCCCAAGACCCTCAGCCCTTGGCTGAACCAGAACCTGCCCTCGATACTCGAAGAGAGAACCAAACACCTAGTCTTCACCAAGGCTCTCCCGGACACACTTGCGGCAGCGCCTCCTATACTCCTTGCTCTTGCCCTCGCGTTCCTCACGCAGAAGCCGCGCAGCTTCAACGTTTGCAGGGCTTTCATCATTGGGGTCTTCGAACAGACTGAGAACACTCAGCAGGATCGTCTCGGGCGTCTGTACAGGGCTCCACCGCTCGCTGGCGAGCTCGTATCCGAATTTATCTTCCTCCGGAGGGTGCAGAATGCTGATGCAGAGCTCGCCATTTGGATAGATGTTGGGATGGAATGGGACAGGAGCCTGGAAAACCAGCTTTGGAGGCATAAGGGGATATTCTGGCGGGAAAGTCAGATGGGCGCGAAAGTTGCCGCCTGAAGTTTTGCGATGCCAGTTAGCCTTCGCCACGATAAAAGAACAGAAAGAGAAACCAGCCATCTAACCTCCATAATACTTGCAGTCGTCGCTTATCATCAGCATAACCTCCCATTCGAAGATGTTGTTGTCATTAACAAGACCACACGAGATACCGGGAAGATCACTGGCAGTCTGCATTTGCTTGAGCTGCCGCCGGAGCAGAGTAGCAGCAGCAGTCGCCTGTGTGGAGGTGCTCGCCATGGCGGTTGGCAGTGCTCGGCTCCAAGAGGATTGTCTAAGTAGAGGATGACTCGGGGAGGAAGTTGTCTAGGAGAAGCACCACTAGAAGGTCAAAAGCAGATGTAATAAGGGACGTTCGATTGGGAGAATGGGTAGATCTTGCACACGATTTGTTGTAGATCCAAAGAATAAGAAACCCTGTTAGCACCAAAAAAATAATACTTGGATATAAAAGTGGAGGCACGACACAGAAGATCGAAGAGCGTTAGAAGAGCGCTGAAGCACCTTGAGGAGGCAGGGAAAGTATGTTGGTCGTGTAAAACGTCGCGAGAGTGGCCACCGGGTCAAATGTGACGATGGAAGCCGCGGGGCAGGCAAGAAAAAGCGGGGAACTACCCAAACCAATGCGACAGGGGTCTGTCAGCGAGGCACGTATCAGCGGCCAACACCTTTGGATGACCTCACAAACTCCTGAACACCTATGAGCTTAGACAGATGCATCTTACCCATCCAGGTTTCGATGTTGGCCTCCAGCTGTCTTGGTCCATGTACTACAGGCATAGGTAGCTATGCACGATCAGGTCCTAGCTATGGATCTTAAGCATTTCGTTAAGGGGTGACGCCTCAAAACCACGAGTAAGAACCTTGATATGGTTATGCTGTTGTCAGCGTTCTTAAAAGTGATATCCAGCTTCAGTTTACATACTATTCTTTTTAATCTTAAGGTTAATTAGCAACTACCTCAGTTACGATATGATTGCCTATAGTAATAGATGGCATGTAAAGATGGAGTTTTTGTTACACTACCCAATCCCTAGATGAGCAGGCAAGGTCAAAACTGCGACTCAAAGTGTCCGCGCAGACTTCTATCAAGTGAATAGAACGCCAGAACACCAGACGCCATTATTGCTTCCCAATATACCTTCTGTCATAGGTCCGAAAGACCGTATCCATATCATTTCTTTTCACAAAGCCCGTCGGACCAGCTGAAGAATGAGAGCAGGCAAAGCGAATTTTTACTTCTTTGATGTGCTGCCAAAGCCGGTAAATCCTAAGGCGGCCATCATATCATCCTCATCATGCTCACCCTCTATCCTCACGTCATCACCGTATTCGGTCTTGATCTTTGCTGCCTCTTGCTTTTCCCGTCGCCTACGTTCTTCAGCCTCTTTCCGCTTCCTCCGTCTCTCCTCTCTCTCCTTTTCCTCCTCTTCTTTCCTGACCTGCAATCTCTCCTTCAACGAGACCACCTGCTCCTTTTTCTTTTCTTGTTCGCGTTGCCACAGGAACTCGATACGCGCATGTACCTCCTCGGCTGTGGCCTTTTTGACCTCGCCGGTCGCGCCAATTGCGCGCTGGTGCTGCATGCTATTTGTGTGCTCCACATATTGCATGTTGTCTTTGAAAGTCAAGTCGCACGCCTCGCAATAGAAGCCAGCGCCGCGCCCTCGCTTGCCTACGCCCGCGCCAGCCGGCACCAACATCGACGTGCCGATCAGCTTGCTGAAATCATGGGTGTGGCTACGTGCGGTCGTGAGCGTTTCGCTGCCGTCCAGCGGCTTGTAGTACTTTTTGCCCTGCATCTTCGCCTCCCATCGTGCTTTGCGCTCTTCCTTTTCAGCCTGTTCTCGCGCCTTGGCTTTCGCGGCGTACTCCTCAAGGTCATATTTCTTGCGAAAGTCCGTGTCGCCTGCCGCTTGGCCATAGGCTGACCCGTTTTTGGACATGGCGGCGGACTGGAAAGCTATTAGGTCGCTATTATTATGAATCGACAATTTGGAGAGCTTCAGGAAATTGAATCTGAAGGATTAGGACTTTCGTTTGTTGATGGCAGCTAGCGGCTGTCTTAAGGTTCTCATCTGTTGTAGATGGCCATTTGGATGCGGTGAGCTCTGGGGTGTCAGAGCTGTAGTCTCGCAATGGGTCAGTGCTGGTACCATGCGATAAGATAACCATATTCTGTCAAGACATGCAAAACCAGACGAGTGGGGTTGGACCACGGAAATTTTGGAGGGGCTTTGGTCTTTGGCGGGGGTTAGGTCAGCCCAACACCTGCTCTCCCGCACAATGTTGACCTCTTCGAAGTATTCACTAATCACCAGGGAAGGGGTCGAAAGAAATATATTTCTACCTTAATTCCCCAACTGCAGGTTTTTCAAGTTCGCGGCGCTCCATTTCACATACATCAGCCAAGATGTTGTACCTAGTTGGTCTAGGTCTTTCCGATGAGACGGATATTACCGTCAAAGGTCTCGAAATCGTGAAGAAGGCTGAAAGAGTTTACCTTGAAGCTTACACCAGTATCCTCCTCGTGGACCAGTCAGCACTGGTATGAGTCCTTCGACGCAACAGAAGGGATCCATCTTCCCCTTCTAAGTGATTCCTGGCACAGGCTGACGCTAAAACACAGTAGGAATCCTATTATGGTCGTTCTATCATAATTGCCGACCGTGAGATGGTCGAGTCCAACAGCGACGAGATCCTGCGCGATGCCGCCAACGTCGATGTGGCCTTCCTCGTCGTCGGAGATCCGTTCGGCGCAACTACGCACACCGACCTTGTGCTGCGAGCGCGCGAACTGGGCATCCCTGTGCGGACTGTCCCCAACGCGTCCATTATGTCGGCTATTGGAGCTACCGGCTTGCAGCTGTACAATTTTGGGCAGACTGTGAGCATGGTCTTCTTTACCGAAACCTGGCGCCCTGCCAGCTTCTATGACCGCATCAAGGAGAACCGCGAGATTGGTTTGCACACCCTCGTTCTGTTGGACATCAAGGTGAAGGAGCCAAGCTTGGAGAACTTGGCGCGTGGCCGCAAGATCTACGAGCCCCCGCGCTACATGACGGTGGGCACTTGCGCGAGGCAGATGCTGGAAATCGAGGAAGAGAAAGGCCAAGGAGTGTACGGCCCCGACAGTTTGGCCATCGGCTGTGCTCGGGTGGGCGGCAAGACCGAGAAGTTTGTCGCCGGCACCCTGAAAGAGCTCTGCGATGCCGACGATCTTCTTGGTCCGCCGCTCCATAGTTTGGTGCTTCTTGGGAGGAGAACCCATGAGCTCGAGCATGAGTATGTTCGAGAGTTTGCCATCAACAAGGAGACTTGGGACAGGATATGGAAGGCTGATTACCAGGGCAAGTACTAAACATTCATTAGCCTGCCTTACAGAATTGGCCTTGTTATGCATCGTAACAATATTATACATAAAGATAGATCGCTTATGTCACTTTGCCGCCTTCGTTTTTTCAAGATCGCTGCATGCACAGCCTGATCAATTGCCCGAATGTGTCGCTCTCCACTCGTTGACCTCAGCTTCACTAATTTCTCGCAGTTTATTTATTGCTGGCGGCTTCCCGGTTACAGTACCTTGGGCAATCTGAGCCATCTTCTCAATAAGCGTCTTGGACGAAATCGAGTAATGGGCTGTCTTCATCTTGACTCGAATGATACCCAATCGAGGGTCATTCTCGCTCCCGTCATGAACTCCATCCCCAAGATCGCCCAGCCAGGCTTTCAGCCGCGAACTATAATGCTCTTTGACCAATGACCTGTCGGTAATCACATTGGCCGTTCCGCTGATCGACGCCCATTCCCCTGAGTTATTCAAGAACCCAATGTTGATATGCGAGTCCTTTGCCAGGTCATGGGTTTTTCCGGACTCGGTGTTGGTATGAAAGAGAAGGTCAATTCCTCCTGTCTCCTAACCCAAGCAGTCAGACATCTATCGCAGCTAATAAAGGAGCATAACTCAAAGCTCTGGTCTGGTTAGCTCACCTGTGCTGCAAGTGCCATGCATCTGGATACCAAATTCCCTGTGTCGGCGTCATGGGTGGTCATCATGGCATACTTGCAATGCTCCATGAAGTGGCTTAGATCGTAGATTTTCTGCTCTAATGTCACCTCAGTATCAAGGTTGACATCCTTATATGGGTCAAGGTGCTTCGTCTCAACATGTTGCTCTGCCATGATGCTGGTATCCTGTATCTTTCCCGACCTAGAAATCGGTTGTGATTTTGCGTTAAAGATGTAGGGAAATTAGCAGGTAGATTCTCATATACCTGTAGGGAAACACTACGATGGGGTCTCCTGAACAACCCCATGATGTAAGGTACCGAGCTCCATGGCTCCGTCGATGAGCAATATCATCATCATCAAAACGTACTGTCACAAGAAGCAGGTCTTTGCCTGCGACAATCGCGGTCGTTTCGGCTGTTGACGGTCAGCAGACGGTTCGTGTCCCTGACGTCAGAATCCAGTGTTGGAGAGGGGCAGCGCGGGGCTTGCGGTTACAAGTGAAGGCCCCGGTTGGGCAAGTGTTAGTGGCCCCCATCTGGCAACTCGTTCCAGGTGTGCTACCGGCAGTTTATGGTTAAACCATACTTCAGTGTGCAGTTGCATATCTGACTTACAGTTGACTCCCCACTAAGGCGCATTTACGAAAAGCGGCTCTATTACTCCAAAGGTTTATCGACGGCGTTGGAAAGTGCCAAGTAGTGCCAATCCCGTAGGAATTGTATCAATCTCGATGCAAGCCCAGTGTTTATGCGATTTCCCGAGATGATATTTACCAAACTGCGCTTCCCCCCTTTCCCATAGATCAGGTAGTAATCGCATAGCAAACGGTCGTCAAACCACCCCAGATCAATGGTCTTTTCTGCTGCGTAGACCATACTTGCGGTTAGTCAAGCCCAGTTCTGCCCGTGCTACGCTCCTAGCGCTGCCCAGGATCCAGCATTCTCGAACAAATGACCTCCCAAAACTCCCTATTCCGATTTATTTTCTCTTTCTTCTTTGTAAGCTAGGCTGCTAACAGCTGCTAACCTTAACTTAAGTCCTAACTCGAGTGCCAAAACCTTTTTCTGGTGTCCCGGGTTGCCAGTCTCTCGTTGATGTCTTTGCGTCCCTCGTATGGATTCGATGTGGCAAATTCCCTGTATCCGGGTGTATCCGTTTGTAACTTCCGTGTCAACAACCCGGCCTGACGAGTCCTGCTTGTAAGATACGTGACCGAAAGATCAGGGCCTGACGCTTTATGCCCGCCGCCCCAGCGTCCCTTTCAAATTCACCCCTCCACATGCCGTTAGGTGTTTAGGTTCCAGATCGGGCAACTGCACTGGTGCATTGAATGTTGCAACCCGTCTGTTCCTTCTGACTTCTCGCCCGCCCAAAGCGCGCCCATCCTCCTCTTTCCGTCTGATCCTTTCCAACCTACCAAGGCTGCCCGGCGGTGCAATCCTTTCCCCGTCTTCCTCTTCTTCGCATGCTCAATTTTTGGCGGGTTTCTGCCACAAACCACTAAAGACCTCAATCTGCCTTATTGCTTCCGCCCACTCAAACAGACCCCCATATAATTCCGTTTGTGCGTTTGCGCGGCATCGGGAGCTCTGGCCTTGAACCTTCGGTCCGTCGATTTAGCGCCCATAGCTAACCTTCCTACGTTTTCGATTATCCTCGACGAGCGCAAAGCCAGCTGTGTGTCAGTTGCACTTCACAGGTCGGATCAAGTTGATCGGGTCCTGTGTATTGTGCGCCACTGGAAAAACTTCTCTGGCATTTAGTCCACAGGTCACGCAATTTGCGGTTGACAGTTGATATTCCATCGGGACCGGCGACCCTGATTGCAGCAATCAGCCCTTGAGTGGCAATTCATTAAGACCGGCACCACACATTTCATTTCTTCCCCGCAACCTCACAACAGCTCTTTATCTCACTCCAAGTCTCATTACCTTCTCAGCAAATTAAGCCTCGCGTGTTCCGAGCCCAGCTCAGCAGCTCGCTGCTTTACGCCAATTCACGGCGTAAGTCACAGCGTCACACACACCAACATGGATTGGGACTCTGATGATGTGAGTGTTTGATTGCTTTTTCCAGCTACCTTTTGAGCTAAATAGGTCAAAATGATCGCCTAGATGTTTAAACATATGCTGACGATTTAGCAGGCCCTGTCACCATTTGAGCAACGCGATCAGGAGGAACAGGCCGAGGCTTGGTACAACCATCCTCTTCGCGTCCAAAATCGGTTACTCCTGGAGGAGAACTTGCGCCTCAAAAAGCTTCTCCGGGAAAATGGCATATCATGGGATCCTCGATTAGTTCTTGATCCTAATGATCCGACCCGCACTCGAGGCACGTGGACTTCTCGTAAAAGGACGCGAACTCGGTCATCAAGAGGATCCCAATCACAACAGGAGGGAAAGAGATCCCTCCCGACCCTCCCTATGGAGATTCAGCTTTACATCCTCGAGTATGCCATGACGAGCAAGTATCCTATCATCGATCCGCTATGCAAGCTGAACAAGGAAAACTTGACCGTCGCCGAGAAGACCCGCCCTAACCAGATCGCCATCGGTTTCCTCGCCACTTGCAAAGCTTTCTATATGGAAGGAACTCGCTTCTTGTGGAGCAATAATACTTTTGTGTTCACCAATCACCATGCTTTGCGGAATTTTTCCAATCTCGATCTCAGCCACCGCCAGGGTATCAAACACGTCATTTTCCGGATCATTGCTCGCTATTATGACGACGAAGAGCGGCCACATCTTGCTCCATATCCTTCTGCGGAGTATGCTCATGAAAAGATGATCAGCCTGAAGGTGATTCCTCGCATCAGGGAGCAAAATCTTACGCGCAAGGGATTCCGCAGCTACACTTGGGATCAAGTCATTGACTTCCTGGACGCTCTAAGGCCACCATTCGACCCAAACCACCCCAAAGGCCAACCACGTCCTCGCTTGTTGCCCAACTTGGAGTGCTTGAGGATTGATTTTGTCAACTTTCCTGAAAACTATCTTTCACCTCCTGGCGGACCCACCCTCCATAACCTTGCCTCACACGACCTTGGTTGCACCTTAAATGAACTTCAACTTACGGGCCTTCCAGATTGTGCATGGGGCTTGGAGATGTCTGCGCAGTTGTCAAAAATGATCAAGGATGACGGGTTGCTTCTGAAAGCAGACTCAACATATGTTTTCTCTGGCGGCCGGCTTCGCCTGATGTCAGAACGCTCGAGGTGGAACCCGACCTGGTATCCCAAGGTAGTTCGTGCATGGAAGGTACTTGCAGAAGAGTACATGCGTGCTAAGAAGAAGTCGGGATCAACACCTTCTTCTGTTCGTCTTCATCGCCATGGCCATGATGTGCACGTTCAGATGCCACCTGCTCCCAAAGAAGAAGGACATCCAAAGTCAATCTGGAGAGAACGGCGGACCCTGTTCAAGAGAGTACCTGTCAGACAAGACAGCGATGAGCGTGTCTGGTGCGAATTTGACCGTCTTAGTGGTGAACCCATTGATGCCGAGGAGTATGATTCGGATTTGGACGAGTATGATGTGGATATTCTTGTCTGTCTTCACTGCGGCATCATGCACTCACCTTATAGTGATGACTGAGAGCTGAACTCTTGGACTGAATTGTTCCCCTTTCAGATCAATCGACCCGGCTTCCACCTCTCCCTTGATAATTTTTACCATCTTGGGCCTGGTGTATATGGCTGTTCCCATAAACATTCCAGTGACCTTTTTTTGCTGGTTTTGTTAATGTCGCATACACGTCTGGGGTTTTGCGAACTGTGCAATGACTTCAGGCACAGTTCATGATGAAAAGGCCATTTAACGTGGGAGAACTGTCTTCAAATAACGGCGTTGGTAGGAAGGGAGAATATGGGATCGTGAACAGGAGAAGACATGATCTTAAGTTTTTCTATTCTCGGGCTGGTGCTCAATACCCCTTAAAGCTAGCATGTGCATTAATACGACGATGATCTTGCTGCTTCAGTATGCATAACCATGGAACTGAGAGCATTTGATGTCCTGGTGACAAATTCCATGAAAAAAAAGCAAACACAGCAGCTCCTACACAATTAAGTTGGAGTATAACCCAGCAATACAAAGCTGTTGGTACATAGGGTTATTTCAAAAGGAGAAGGCTTCTCCCTGCAGACAAAAAGGGACTAGCAATTGATCATAGGAAAAATATGGCCATGACAAGGGTGAGATTCGAACTCACGCCCCTTTCGAGACCACGGATATTAAATTAAGGGTTGTAAACACCTTAACGTGGCGCCTTGGACCGCTCGGCCACCTTGCCTAATTGTCACTTATGTCCTTAAGAGAACAGTGAATTTCAACCATTCATAGCTGTGGAGCATCATTGGCTCCCCATCTACTTCTCAGACTTGATGCTATCTAGAACTAACTCTTTCCCCTCCATGATGAAGCTGTGATCAACCAAGCTCTTGGTGTATGGAGCCCTGTTAAGTGTGGCTCTTTGGATAGACACATACTGTGATCAAACGTTTCCTTGCCTACAATAATGCGGGCTGTATTCCCCGTCACGGGATGAGTAATGCTAACATCTTCGAAGAACGGAGGAGTAAATGTCTTGGCCTGGATTGGGGAAGAGACCCATCATGGCAAAGGCATCAAAGAGCCCATAACACCATTGTCATCGTTGTCAGGCAATCCGTCAATGGTGGACTGGGAGAAAGCAGGGATGTAGAAATGTAGAAATGACTGTGTAGAGCAGAGAGGGCAAGTCTGCCAGCATAATGATACTGGGATACCGTTAGAAAAGATGGTTCATTGCCGATGTAAGTGATGCTGTGATCATGTAGCTAGAAAGTGTGCATTGGCAATAGCTCTATCCACTGCAGGATTTTCCTACAACTGACATACGTAGTCTAGATGGGCCACAAAGGAGGGCGGGCTCACGTAGAGGGCCATCAGAATAGCTTGATCATGGGCACAAAGCTATGAAGCATGATTTGCATTTGAGGAGCATAAAGAGGTGTACTCACAAGCTACATTCCTAGATGCTACTCTCAAAGGTCTCACGTCCATTGTTCTATTTTTCTAGAAAGAACAGGCGCTAAATTCGTAGAGATAGCTACAATTGAGAGGATCCCAAAAACCCCCATGTCTTGTTCAAGTATCGGGGCTGGAAGAAGCCAACAAAACCGGAGTCGCTTCCATCCCACCAAACAGAGACCCGGTCGGCCTTGAAGAGGTTTTTCCAGTTGCTGCTTCTCTGGGTATACTCCAAAATACGAGAGATACTCCTGGTCATAATGCCAAGCGCTCCGTAGTCAAAATCTTGAACTTAAATGTAGCCTAATGACTTCCAACCGTCTCGACCACTCTGGCCTTGACAGCACCAGTAAAAAAGGCTCTACCTCGCATCTCTAACCATTGTAGCATAGCCATCGTGTCACTAAAATAGTTAGTGGTGTTCAAACCAAAGATAAATTGAACTCACATTGATGCCCTCTCTCAGCCCTTTTACATAGGCATCCACTAGTACAATATCGGCGTCGGAGCCCCCCAATAACCGTCAGCGGGAACCATTTCCAACCGGCTATCGAATAACTGCCACTCACCTGTGTGAATCCCTTGGAGTGGCTCACCCAGAAACCTGGGAAGCCACTCGACACGGAGATAAGTATCGATGAGCTAACGGACCATCTCAGTCACAGCATCCGGGTCGATAATTATCAATAGTGGAAGCTGAGAGCGAAACTGACCCAGATACTGGTGGGGAAAGAGCTTTAGTGTATGATCTGGCAGTACAATATGACCTCACTAAGCATACTAATAAAAAGAGTCAAAATGCGGTTCGATGTTAGACCAAATAGGATTTTATCTGGTGTGGTTCTGACGGTTAATCATGGTTCGGTAGATCCCACTGTAGAAGTTTGTCAACATGGAGCCATTGACCCCTTTAGGTGACATGCGGATCGTCATCTTGTTCCATCAAACCCCGTATGCTATTTCTGATATGTCATCAAGGTCGAAGTCGGGGATCTCTTTCTGCATGATCACAACCTTGTTGATGCTGATGAATCTGGTAGTGATACGGACAAGGATTGATTCTTGTGAACACTTGAATCTTGCAAAGGCTCCGTCTGGAAGCGGATATCCTTAATCGACCTGGATATGGTTAGAGTTTGACAACTGTATTGGCGCGGCTATCGACGAAGATGCCGCTGTCAAAGATGCCAGCACCCCTGAAGTCGGTGCGAAAGTGCAACACATAACTTCCCGAACCAAAGCTAGGAAGAAAGCGAGCACTGCCGGTGATACGACCTGTTTCAGGGTTGACGATTATGGTGGCATTGCCCTGTCTGGAGTCGGAGAGCTCTGTCGTGTTCTGCAGAATTAGCAATTGCTGGGCCATCCAGTTCCTGTAAACATCATAATTTTTCGGGAAGGTAAAGCGGAAGAGAGAAGCATGTGTTGTGGTCATTTCAGTTTCGATGCCGCTATCTAGCGTGATGCCAAACGTTCCGGGCTTCGCAAACACAGTAGCATTGTCGAAGCTCTCAAAGGCCGCGCGGTCTCTCTTAGAGAAAACATATCGATTAATATCGTTTTTGGGGCAAGAGGTATACGGGAAGATTGGAAAGTTTCCAAGGTTTGGATTACCACCAGTTCCGCTGTCATGCATCATGCTGAGGCCAGCAACATTGGCGCCGTCCATGGTAAACCCTCCTTGCCTCTCGCAGCTATCGATGTCAGCGACGGCCTCCGCCATGCCATATAGAAGTGATGCTCCAGAGAAGACATTCCCACCATTGCTGCAACCAATCAATGGGTTGATGTACGCTAGAATGTCAAAGTCGTCTGGTGTCTGAGCTTTCATAGGCGCTCGTAACAGGAATATCATGGAAAGGACAAGATTGGAAGACACTGCTATGTTGCGGCAATGAAGGCCTTTGCCGGATTAGGATACAAGGAGTTGACTTGGAACTCAAACTAGCCAACTACTCTGTCACAAACAATCACTTAATCCCCGGAAGATAAATCGGTGACATTGTTTTGTACAAGGGGCTGCATCGATGCAAGGGCCAGATCTCATCTTGAAACAGTGGTAAAAAATGGAAAGTACTTGTAAGTTTATCTCTCTTTCTGAAACCTGTTGACGCTCCAAGAAGCCGCTACCCAAGTAATTGATGCCGTTTGATATAAACTGTACCACACATACCCGAAGCAACCATAATGAGACTCCGAGGGTTGAGAAAGGACTTCGTGAGCCCCTGTAGTAGAGTTTTAAGTTTGGTTTTCAAGTCTGCCTTGTTTTGAAAACAAAACGAAGTTGGTCGTCAACTTCTCCTAGGAAGGGCACTGAAAAGTTGATACCAACCAAGCTTCACAGTTGCTAAGCTGCTTCGCAGTGTTCATATTGTAATAACAAAGAGAATGCATCGTTGATACACAAGACCTGTGTGGTGGACTGACTGGGTAATGGAAGATTATGATACCTATCTATAAGATCTGATGGGTGGACCGTTACCCACTTCTTCACCAGTTTTGGCGGGTCAGTGGGCCCTTTTGTTACGGGGAACGTGGGACAGTGGGGCACAGATCTCTTCGCATGAAAGTTGGGGGAAAAGCTTGGCATAACGTTGACAAGGTTGAGGCTCCATGTCTGCACGAAGGTTGCAGGGATGCTTTAAACTCTAAGCCACAAACGCCAAAGCTCCCCGATGACGCCGATTTGAGTCCCGAGTTTGCCTCCACTGCTGTTTGCTGGGTCGCCTTTTGCCTCTTCAACATGGTGGGAGTACTCTCTGCGATTTTGGACCTCGGCGCGCCTTCGCACGTGCTTTTGCCTGTTTCCATCCTGTCGAGCTCCTTCATATCGTGGCACCGTTAGCACTTGCGGTTTAGGCCTCAGAGCCCCGAGATCTTTGATGGTTCTCGCTGTGTTCAAGTCCTCTCCGCACATGGACTAGCAGACAGCCGAATAGGCATGCTGGTTGCATACATGGGGATCTACTGTATCTAGCATATAGCAAAACCAATTCAATCAATTCATTGATTGACATCCCCAATGTGTAACTACAGAGGTGACATGATACATGCCAGATGTTAGGTCCCTATGCTCTTCGAGTTCCTTACAGTCGACAACTGTGACAGGACCTGCCATTGCTACTACTCATTCATCCTTTCTTTTCCTACCATACGCAGACCAAACAGAGAACTGACTTTGCAATGCTTACGGCACAGCTACCCGTTGCAGATATGATGATCCCTCCTGGGCTGGCCTTCAAATGTCATGCACGATACGTACGCTACCGATTTTGCGTCTTGTGCTCTGCTAACTCCCCTGCTCCATCAGTCCATATCCATATTATCTATGAATGCTCACTGTGGCCCGGGACGAGGCTGGGTCACTGGCTCGCTACAGCTGGCTCTAACAACAGCCACAGAATATGATGCAATTCCCACAATGAGACGTAGAGTATGAGTTGCTCCGGTAGTTCTCCGATGCGCTGCGCTTTGCGGCGTTTAAACAACCTGGTCGTATCAGGACATATGCAAACATGCCAACCATGGAGCAATGGAAAGTCACATTCTGTTTAACCAAATCGTCATTTCGTCTCGCAACAGCCCATACTGAGCTCATATGTCTCCCAAAAACAAGTCGTTGGAAGCCGATAAGAATGCCGAGCCACTTATCCCGGAGTATTGCTCCACAGGTTCATCATCATAGCGCCACCTTGACTTTAGCATACTGCTTCCAGCCCATTACAAGGCAGTCCGCTTCGAATCTCGAGTCAGGATGCTCGCCGAGGCAATCGTCTTGTCCCAGATAGGCCATCTTATTAATGACCACCTTCTTGGCGGCTGGCTCGCGTTTATCGGTCATTTAGAAATGAGTTCACCATCCCATGACAGCTTCGGCATATGACGGTCGCCCCTAAGCGCGGAAGAAAGCCGATACGCGAATCGTTGCCCCAATACCGTTCTGGTTCCAGGCAGTCAGCATCGACTCCAGCAAATCCCCTAACGAGAACCAACATCACGAGGAATCAGGATACGGACACACTTTCTGCCCTAGTCCTACCTCGTTCCATGGACCGACCACTTAACCCTGTGCCGACGACCTTGTCGTCCACATCCTTATCGAGAATACCAGACTTCAGGCTCAACGGCTCCTACTCCCATCTAAGAAGTGACTCGGGCCTGGCACTGCACACAAATCAAGCAGCATTTCGCCAGTACACGGACTACAACTCGGATGGCTCACTCACGTACCGGCCTTCCCCTCCTATGGCGATTAGCTTGTATGAGGTCGACAGCATCGAGGAAGTGCCCACAAAACCACCACCGGCAGTTACCAAGGTTCTACCTCCATTCTTCGACCCCGCCATGGTTAAACTTGCCTTCTCCGATCCGATAACCGAGCAAAGAATCCGCAGGTTTGCAGAGATCAGGCATGGTTCAGCAGACCTCGAGTTCTTACTACAGGTCCGCCACCATTTCTCGAAATCTGACATGACTCGGATTTTGAAGACTAACGCGACCAATAACAGGTGGAAAGGTGTTCTCAGACCCTGGGTGATATGGTCTCCTTGATGACCTCCATATCATCCAAGACATTCACCGGAGCAGCCGCCTCGCCAATCCCATCATCGTCACTCGCCCTGTCCCCGGATGTGGCCAGCACTCTCAAGTCCAACACAAAGCAGTGCGCCAGAACGGCCCTGCCGGTGTTGAGCAAGCTGTACGATGATACCAAGGCGGCTGTTGAGGAACGGTTGGCCCGTGACGTCTACCCAGAGTTCGTCAAGTATCAGCTCGCTCAGCGCATGACAGCATTGTTGTCGGCGAACAGCGCTTCTTCTGCCGAAATCAAGTCGGTATACCCTGGTCTTGGTGATGCTTTCTGCATGACCGACCCCCTTCAGCCAGACAACCCCGTCGTTTACGTGTCGGACGGTTTACTGGACATGACCGGCTATCGGCGCAATGCAATCACCAAGAAAAATAGCAGGCTGCTTCAGGGTGTCGCGACTGACCCGCTCGCTGCACAGAGGGTCAGCAATGCCATCTCGACCAGGAGAGAAGTGGTTGAACTGATGGTGAACTATCAATCTGATGGCACTCCCTTTTGGAACTTGCTTTTTATCTGTCCTCTGATGGAGCGTGGAGTCATCCGCTACTTCCTCGGAGCCCAGATCAATGTTTCCGACAGTATGGGCACCGAGTTCAAGGACGTCATGGAGCTTCTCAAGTACGGTGCATCAGCAGACGTCTGTTCAACGAGTTCGAAACCCCAAGACTCTGGAACCCAAGAGGCTCAATCCAGTTCTGGTCTGGAAGACCTGTCCAGATTAGATTCAAAACCACCCTCGCGCCGTCAGCGCTTGTTCCAGCGCTTTCGCCGGAAGTCGCATGGCTCCCGCTCTAACTCCCCGTCTCGTGCAGCCTGCGAGTCGGGTTCTTCCGTTCAGTCTTTGTTACACTTTTTTCCCGACAGTCAGCACCAGCTCGACGAATACAGTACACCCTACTCCTGTTTCCTGGTCATGCGCTATGAAGCCTCGTCTCCCGCTCAGCGAACCCAAAACCAGGCCCACAATCATCATAACCGTCGTGTTCTGACTCGAGATCCTCCAGCATCGTCTCGAGTGCACCTGCCAGTCGCCTTCTGCTCGCAGCACGCCCGAAGGTTGCTGATGAACAACGGAAACGGCAACTCCAGTGGGAACGGAAGCAGGCACAAAAAGCACCATCATCAGCATTCCAGAGGCGATGAGCACGATGAAGTTCTCGGGCACGAGGTATTCTCCATCCTTACGAACACCCTCAACTCCCCCAGCATCACCCGGTTTTTCAAGGCCAACATTCTGAGTAAAATGGCAGACGGAGAAGCAACATCTCTGGACCTGATGATCCATTGCGACCCCGGAACTTCAGCAGCCGCTCACTCTCCTCCCTCCCCGCTATCCCCCACCACGGTAATTGGACCGGGCCCTTCCGAGAACAAAACAACGACAGCAGTTTCGGGAAGTTCTAATGTTTGTGGTTCTTGCCTCGCTCCTCCTTCCCCTCTCAAAGCTGTCGTCAATTTTTCGAGGAAGGGATCTGCCCCGGTGACATCGTCTTCTACGCAAGTGGTGCTGAATGAAGGCACTGGGAGTGGGGGTGGGACTTGTGAGCGTGCGGAAGGACGGCCCAGGCTTAGCGAAACGCTTGACCGAGGCGCAGGGCTGGTGAGTCAGGTGTTGTTTGGTCCGGGAAGGATGAGGCGAATGGTTAGCACCTGGGTGCCGCTGAAAGGTGCGGAGGGAGAGGTCAAGTGGGTTGTTTTAGTTTTGACTACAGCTGGAACCCCGAAATGAGCATGAAGAGCTTTATTTGTTTGCTTCTGGTTGCGGAATTGATTCCTATTTGTCATTCCGGACTCCCTTGATCATAGCTTTCTTGACTTTAAGGTGTTATGAGGGATGGCTTGCATATACTCCATGCGTTGACCTGCGGGTGAGTGGTTGAGGAAGGGTAACAAAATTTCTCGACACCAAAAGCTGTGTTGCTCCATGCGCTTGGGTAGACTCGGCAGTTGGATTGGATAGACCAAAAAGTCAGATTCACCTCTTAGAATGGATTAGCTACAATCAAGTCAATAGACCACAAGAGTTGAACTCATCCCATAAACATGCCTCTAACACAGATAGCTGACCAAATTCGGTAAGCCTTTACTGTCAATCTAAGGATCTTCCCTCATTCCCGATCTCGATGCAAGCCAGGCATCCATTTGACCGCACGTGGCCACAGAATGGCTAGACTCCGGCTAAGATGATGGGGGCGTGAAAGACGATGCTGTTCAACGGCCCCTTACCCCACTCAGGCGGCGGGAGCTTACCGAGCCGGTTGATCAGTGGATCAAACAAGTGGATCTCTGCGGAGACGCACCCCGGTTTCACATGAACATCTCCGGTTGGAAGCAGACAGCAAACAGTATGCGAAGCGAAGTCTCCGCTGGGATGGTGAAGTTTCTAGTGAGCGCCAGCGCCGTAGCTCGGCAGTCATTGTGGTCCAAGCTCTGGACGAGCAGAGGCATCAATCTTAAACGGCCGTGAGTCGAATGTCAAATTGAAATTTAATGATGAAACAGATAATTGAATCGTAAAGTGGGTATTCAAGAAAGTCAAGACGAGGTGTGTACAGAAGGGTATTATGTCTACCTATCCAAGGCCTGGCCAACAGATCATTGAAAGGCTCAAAACTCCCGCGTCTCTCCAAGGGCACAAACATCAAACACGCCTTCTTCAGGTAGTCCATTCACTTTCAGTGCTTCCCTCAACAACTTGGGCGGTTCCTCGACATCCTCGGAGGTCAGCACCCATGTGCCCCAGTGGATGCCCATAGCCCGCTTGCAGCGAGTGTCCTTGAAGATTTCGACGGCATCATACGGGTTGGCATGCATCCAGCTGAAGACGTGGCGCGGCTTGTACGCGCCAATGGGGATCAAGCCCAGGTCGAAGGGGCCGCGCAGCTCGCCTATCTGCTTGAATTGCGGACACCGTGGCAGCGACTCGTATTCTGGCCCGTAGTCGTTTACGCCGGGAGGGACCCTCGGTACTCTACGGTAGCCCGTGTCGCCGCCAAACCAGACAGACTTGCCACCGGACGAAACGGCCCATGAGGCCCAGAGCGTGTGATTCTGATCCAGGTTGGAACGGCCAGAAGAGTGTTGGCATGGAAGACAGCTGATGCGAGCGGTAATGGTGTCAGGGGCTGAGGGATCATCATTCTCGGAAGTGCTGGTCTGAGCTTCGTCTTTTTTCTTCTGCAAGGTGAGCTCGATATCCTGCCACCAGTCCATCTCGGTGACCTTGGAGATGCCGCTCTGGAGAAACCATTTTGCGAGTCCCAATCCAACAAAGAAGTGCGCTTCTGGGTTCTTTTTTGCCAGCTCTACCACACTTGGATGCGAAAGGTGATCATAATGCGAGTGGGAGATGACGACAGCATCGACGGTTGGAAGGTCCGACAGAGAACAGGGAGGCTGTGTGTAGCGCTTCGGGCCGAGCCATTGAACGGGCGAGCAACGGTCTTCAAAAACAGGGTCGAACAGCACACGCAGGCCGCTGGGGAACTCGATGTAGTAGCAAGAGTGGCCAAGCCAGGTGGCTCGTAGGCTGGCTGAGCCGGTGCGACTTGTCAGGAATTTGGGTTTGGTTGAGGGAATGTTGGCATTCTTAACATCTGGAAAGCGCATCTCTCCTTTCCAGGCAGCCCTAACACGTTGGAGTGTGGTCAACATCATGTTATCAAGTCATGTTCAGAGATACCATCAAGACCGTCGCCGTACCGAAACATGTCCATCGCCATGGCCCAGCTCATGGGCTCAACGCCGCCGGTAGACGGATAAGGATTGCGAAACCTGATAGTCCTGCCATTTTTGTCCTTGATATGGTGTGCAAGGTCCTGGACGTCAGCAGGAACTGAACCAGCCAGAATCTCCGGCTGGGAGACGGAGCTCGAGTATGCGACCATGGAAGCAACAGTAGCAGTGGCAGCGGCAGTGGTGGCAGTTGCAGCAAGGACAGCACCCGACACGGTGACTGATGAGCGTAGCACGGTTTTGCTGGCAGGTGATGGCGGTGAGCGAAAGAGGAAGCGGCCCAGTCTTGTGGCTCCCGTAACGGCTCGGCTCATCGTGGGCACTGTAGCTAAGAAGCGAAGAGGGGCCGCATTCCCTATTGTTCTTTTGTCTTTTTCCCCTCTTTTTGTCCGATGCTTCCTTTTCACCCAGTTTTAACCGGTCAATCGGTCAGCTGAATGGCTTGCGCAAGCCACTCTGCATTCCCGATGGAAACTGAACTAACTTAAGCTTGCTAAGTTTTCTGAGGGGCAGTGTGGTCAGATTCGCGCTTGGAGTTGCGGGTGTGCCGATGTTACACAAAGAAGCTCGCGAGTGGACGGCTCCGGATGTCATCGGCACAAAAAGCTCCGACATGCCGACAAACAGGGCTCCGAGGGATTAGATTATTTTAAGGGTTAGGGTTTGAACCTCAGCCCGGATGTCCCCCTGGCTGCGCCGAGACGTCTACTCTCCGTCACAATAACTCATCCTTTCATCCCGTCATCTTAATTATTGCCCCTCTAAGTTGCGACACATACCGTAGTCAATAAATACGACGTCTAGCAGATCAACAAGTCCACACGGACAAGACAAGGTGACATCCCCGTGATGACAGTCTTTTGCGATAGGTGCAAAAATACAGCCTTCTTCCAATCCACCACCCCGTTACAGTTCAAGCTTCGCCTCGCAGAATAGATATATATCCAGATGCTATTATCTGCCACTGCACATGTGGCTTTTGTTCTAATGAAAAGGTAATATATATGTTTTTTCGCTAGGAACTACCATTAACCTATTTAACCGTTGCCCGCTTCCCGTTCCCTGGGGCAAAGCCGTGGGGAATTTTGCTGTACCAAGGAAGGGCCAATATCCATCTCATAGCGCATTGTACAGAATAGTTCTTTTGTAGAATCTGATTGAGTATTAGGATCCTTGCTCAATATCCCATTGCCTCGACTAAGGAGCAACTATTCATGACCAGGCCATATCCGGGCTAATATCTTCGGTGAGGGGCCAGCTATGAGGATGGCCGCAAGATACGACCTTCAAGCACGAAGGTCTGTATAAAAGTGGCAAAGGTTTTTTTTATCACTGTAATCACTGCGTCAGCCTAGTGTCAACTGAAGACTTAGTCCATATATCGACTTTGACGGTCTGATAGCAACAACAGCCAACCATTAGACGACAAGAATGCACCCACTGGCACTCCTTTTTCTCTCCATAGGAGCAACGGTTGATGCCCTTCTTTCCCCGAAATTCAAGTATGTTGAGAGACGCGAGAATTATCATGCCTTCAAGCCACCCCCGAAGCGGCAGTCTGGCACCACCATCACAGTCGATCTCACTAAAACATACCAGAAGATTGATGGATTCGGCTTTTCGGAAGCGTTCCAACGGGCTGTTCAGATGAGTCGGCTCCCTGAAGCCGAGCAACGTCGTGCCTTGGATCTGCTTTTCAGTACGACTAAGGGTGCTGGCCTGACGATTCTGCGCAATGGCATCGGTTCTTCCCCTGATATGAGGAACGATTGGATGGTTTCAATCGCCCATAAGAGCCCCGGTTCTCCTGACAAGCCTCTCATCATCGAATGGGACGGCTCAGACAACAAGCAGTTATGGCTTTCCCAGGAGGCTCAACACACTTATGGCGTCAAAACCATCTATGCTGATGCCTGGAGCGCGCCTGCATACATGAAGACGAATGGCAACGATGCCAATGGTGGTTCTCTGTGCGGTCTGAGTGGTGCGTACTGCGCCAGCGGTGACTGGAGGCAGGCCTACGCCGATTATCTTGTAAAGTCAGTGTCTATGTTTTTTTTCCTAGAAATCGAAGATGGAAACTTATAACAGCAGATACGTTCAGCTGTACAAGGAGTCGAATGTCACAATCACCCACCTAGGTTTTACCAACGAGCCAGACCTCACGTGAGGGAATATTCTGCTTCGCTTTTCGCTGAAGACCAACCGCTAACCCCACATAGAACAAGCTACGCTTCCATGCGTTTCACAGCCGGTCAGGCAGCCGAGTTTATCCGCATCCTTTACCCGACTCTCGAGCGTGCCAACCTCACCTCCCAAGTGACCATCACCTGCTGCGACGCAGGTGGTTGGTCGCAGCAGGCGGGCATGCTCGGCTCCCTACGCAACGTCGATAACATGCTGGGCGTCATCACGGCACATAGCTACATGTCACAGCCAAACTCCCCCATGTCAGCTCGGCAGCCTGTCTGGAAAACCGAGGCGGCTGACCTCCAAGGCGCCTGGACATCAGCCTGGTACTCTTGGGGCGGTGCCGGCGAGGGCTCACCTGGGCCAACCACGTCTACCAGGCCATCGTCAACGCCAATGCCTCGGCCTATCTGTACTGGGTTGGTGTTCAGACGGGTAGCACAAACAGCCACATGGTGCACATCGACACGAACAAGCAGACTGTCGAGCCATCTAAGCGGCTGTGGGCTCTGGGCCAATGGAGTCGTTTTGTGCGACCTGGTGCTCGTCGCGTGGGTACAAATGGTGGTGGCGGAAACCTTAGGATTTCTGCTTTCCGGAATGAGGACGGCTCGGTTGCCGTGCCCATTATTAACAGTGGAAATACGGCTCATATCAATGTCAGGGTTGGTTCTGGCAGCTACACTTCGGCCAAGGCATGGGTGACGGATATTACGAGGGACATTGCTGAGTTGCCGTTGACATCGTTTGCTGTTGATGGTACAGCCAGCGTTAACATTCCGATGAGGAGTATGGTTACCGTTGTGCTGTATCCATAGAAAGTAACAAAGAGCGTACCTACAAGTGAGGTACGTAGCTTTCCGGTCTTTACGGCATTCGACAAAGTTCTTACACTAAAATGTTGAGTTCTACATCAACTGTGACCTTTGTTTCGGTTGTGTCCTAGGACATGGCACTATGGAGTGTGAAGTTGACCAACTATGCCCTTTAGATAACCACTGTTGACAGCAAAAGTCATACTCTAGTAATGTAGATTGAAGGTTATTTTTAACAAATTGCTACCTAGACTGCTGCTTTGGGAAATCCTGCTCAAGAACGCACAGAGCGCATTTTAAGCGACGATGAACTCTCCTAGTACCTTCACTTTTTAGCTCAGCAATCGAAGCCACTATCCGCGTCCCTTGCCCTCGACGTAGATGTAGCAAGTCCTTAACCACAACTCAACTCCCAAAAGCAGCATCTTGTTGTATCGTGCTCTAACTGAATGACTCGTGAGTACACATCCTCTTTGCTCCTAAGTGTTTAGATAACAAAACAACATACCTTAAGGCGCTTGTGACGCAGTCCTCGCCTGGAGGTTGCATTTCCTTCCGCTGGCGAAACTATGCTCTCAAGAACATGTCCTCTCCGACTTGTTGAACCAAACTCCATAAAACCCAGATCTTGCATGGAATTCACTGCATCATAAACCAAGAACCTGTTTCTCAAGATCACATAGCGCCAAGCAGAGTCAGCACGGAACCTCAAATGGCCAAGTCAATCCCTCAAGACATAGCTCCCAGCAGTATGACCTCAAAAAATTGAAGCAGGGTTAGTTATGTTGTCTGATAAGTCAAGGAGCAAGCCTCATAGGCCAGGAAACCATAACCCCAACAGGCGACTGAGGAGTAGGCGGAGGAGGTGGCGGTGGCTGCTGAGCAACCGCCAGTATGGCCAGCGTTGGACTAATGAGAATGGCTGGGCTTTGAGCAGGAGGTGGAGGCGGCGGCGGCGGAGGAGGAGGAGGAGGAGGAGCTGCCGCAGCTGGAGTGATATGGGCGATTGGCATGCCAACATAAGTGACGTTTTGAGTGGTCAGAGCCAAAGGAGCTGGAGCTGGAGTTGGCGGCGGAGGGGGTGCAGGCGGAGGAGTTCTGTAGCATCCAGCTTGTCAGTGAGTGGCATCATGGAACTTCATCCAAGTAGTTAAGCTAATGAGAGCCACAGGTGAAGCACAGCCTTTCGTTTTGTGCTTTGCTTCACACAAACCGATGCAGAAAGTTGTTAGAGCTGATTGCTTGCACTGCTGCAGCATGGTTCTTGATAGTTTTTTGCAGTAAACTAGGAGTGAGGAATCAACATACCCGCTGAAGGTGGTCACCATGACATTGGCTGGCGTGGTTACGCCCTGGCAAATGACGACGGACATTGTGTTCTAGTGATCACTTCAGGGTGCTATTTGCGATGTTTGAAGTGCAGACTAGAGCAACAGTGCGAGTTAATCGAGGGACCACAGGAGTTTAGAATTAGGATGCTTGGATGCAAGATTCAAAGCTGGAAGAGGCTCAGGGAAGGACTGGTGCAAGGAAGAAACTCCAGTCCGCTTCGCTTTTATGGCTGTTTGGATTTGCATCTTGTCCTCGTGCGTGGCTTCCAGAATTAAAGCATAACCTGGCCACTGTTTGTTAATCTGGATGCTGTGGCTGGTGCCCTCTTCCTTCGCAAACCGGAAGAAGACAGAAACCATTGTCTTTGAGAGTTACCAGACTGGGCTTTGCGACCATTCATTGCCACAGACTTGAATTGAGAATGGAGAACAGGATCACACTGGTCGATATGTCAAAACCATTCTGTGACGTTCATGAATTCATCTCCTTGAATGTCAATGCGGAGGAACACAAAGTTTCAAGGAGACTCTGGCAAAAAGGATAATGAGTTTGAATATCCTCGGCATCCATACGCAGAGGTGTTAATCTGAAGATGAAATTGACAGCCTCTTCTTATTGAACAAACGCGTTGCGGTCATGGACCCATGTACTAAAAATGCTACATCAGACTGTCCACAAGACTTGCTCCCTGCTCTCAACAGAACATATCGAGACATGGAATATAACCCTTTGCTAAAGATGTGCATCAGCTGCTTTGTTCACTCTCTAGTGTCTCCTCTACTTCTTTTGATGTTCCTTCAACATTCGAGCAGCGGCCTCAGCCAGGCCTTGAAGGGCTTCCTGACGCTTATACTTGGCATCCTCGATCACACCTGTGCCATGCTAAATGTTAGCACCAAAACCATTCACTTCAAGTAAGCGAAAACTTCAGGGGTATACCGAGATCAGCATCGCTTGCAAACTTAGACGTCCACTGAACGAATGTTGAATCCGCAAACTCCCCTGATGTCACCGCCCAGCAACGGATTGTGCTGACAGAACCCGAATATGACAGTTCCGGTTCTGACTCAATGACACTGTATGTGATATAGTGCTCCAAGTTCTACACCAGGAATCTCCTCATCAGCCTGTTTATTCACTTTCGATAATGGGCTGCTTGTAGCCACCCACACTGTGTTCATCCTGCTTGACCTCAGCAATGCTGCCGTCCTTGAATTTCCATCTGACCACATCCGTCTCATCGCTGACACCCTTGACATGTTCAGCTTTTTCGATCGCTGGCCAGAACTTGTCAAACTCAGCCAGCTTGATGAAGTGCCACACATGCGACAGGGGCGCACGAATAACAGCGCTCTCGATCACCTCATTGGTGGTTGCAATGGGTTTTGATGCCATAGTTGTTGTCTGAACAGCTTAGTGATTGTATCTGTCTTTGGAGCCGCAAAGTCAATTGGTTCGATTAGCTCACAGTCAAGGAGGTGTTGTGCTTGGGGGTTGGGGATGTGGAACAAAGGGAACTAGAGGTACCGTGACCATTTATAGATCCTGTGCCTGGCCATTAGGAGTGTGTAGCAGGAAGCGACTGCAGGCTTGAGGCAGTAGCATTAAAGCATACGGCAGTTGCATGTTGCGCATTGAGCCGCTAATGCTTGCTCGCTGCTGCTTGAACAGGAACTGAGCCCTTCATTATACGTCATGCTGCGGTCATGAGGGCCTGCACTACGGACAATTAATATCCCCAAGTAAACCTCTCACATTCCAAGTTAAAAGTAGCAACATCTAAGTAGAGTGTTGGAATCAAAACCTCGGAAGTCCCTGAACTTACCAAAAAGGCCCTGGAACTGAACTTCTGAGGTATAGTCGATCAGGGAACTCTGATCATAATGATTACGTCAAGGTCCATCGATCAAGCAAACGTGACTCTGTAGCAAACAAGCAAAATAAGCTTAAATGTCAGATGCTGCAGGTGACAAGGTGGTAGTGGAACCAAGAAAGCTATGGGCATCCCATGGGAAAGTCGCAACAAGAACCCTTCAATTGGGTCGTGAAGGGTCTATCTTCGGCAGTTACCGCCCTTTGACTTGCCTGATGGGATGGTGTGCCTCAAATATCAGCTTTCGAGAAGCCACGTTTTGTTGTGTGTGTGTGTGTGTGTGTGACTACGCATTGTTTGGACAACAACAATTTCTCACTCAAGCTGGTCGTCAAATATTTCTGATGCTCGGCTTGCAGTTGTTGCGCAAAAAAAAAAAAAATAATGGATGAGAGACTCGGACAAAGTCAATGTCAGCATTTATGCCAGACATAAACACAGAGCAATAAATGGCAGTCTCACAAAAACAATACCTATTAGGACAAAAACAACTTAAACAACTTGATTCGTCCATCTGCATTCTTGCAAGAAGCATTTGCATTTCATAGGATTCGGTCAGCCAAGCTGGTGATGGGGCTTTGATGATGACGGGTGGGCAGGTTGTCGCCAAGCATAACCCAGAGGAACAGCTGACAAAAGCGGGCTTAGTCCCCACCATCTCCAAAAAACAGCCCCACCGCCGATACACCTACGGCGGCGCCTCGCAGAGAAGAGCGCGAGGCTGCGGCAGTAGAAGATCCTCATCGATGGAATGAGCTATCGAAGTTCCAGAAAGTTTTTGCAAGAGAGTATGTCAAGCAGTTTCACGTGTGGGAGTATACCGTCTCCAACACCCTCATTGCAACTTGCAAAGCTGTTTCAGCCCTACCAGACCCAGAAGTCGATCCGAAATGCAATCGCGATTCTGTATGGGTCCAGAACGGGTTGTCCGCCACTCCGCTCTCCACTGCCTCCAGGTCCCAGATCGGTCCCGCCAGCTTCATGGCAGCATGTCTATAGTGGATAGGAGCTTGACTTCGAGTCCATCCAGCTTCAGATAATTGAATCGGAGGGATATTGTTTATCATATTGATGATCAAGATGCTGCGCATCACACAATCCGTCTGGTTTATTCAAACCGGCTGCTCTCTGCATCGATTTTCAGTGGCTTGTCCCAGAGGCGAGCACGCGATTGGGCTGTGAGAACAGCCAACAACCTGCGGGGGCCCTGCTCAGCCTCTTTCCGATGCATGCAGAGCACCGGCGCCGCCCACCACATTAGGCTTGCGCGGATCCCTCGCTGTCATTAGTTCTGTTTTTAAAGACCCGAACCTCGTCGCAGGATCTTGAGCTTAGCATTTGCCTTTTCCCATTTGCCGTTTGCCCTTCTCGTCTCCTGTTCTTCCCTAAACCTGGCAGTCGTTTAAGGTCAACGTTCTCTTCGTTTAACCAGTAAAAGGTTCTAACCGTAAACAGAATGCGTCAGTAGGATCAACTCCAGAGGTCGAAGAATATTCGCTTGGAAAAGGAGTTCAGTACCGCAGTTTCTGCCAACGCAATTTCGCAGTAAACCCGTGGTTGGTCATCACATCAAACTTTTCTCCCGCTCTCGGAATTTCCTACCAGGCTCCCAATACCGCAGTCCTCAAGCATGACCAGGCCTGTCCGGCTAGGGGCCATTCCTGTGGCCTTAGCAACACTCGTTCTTGTCAGAATGGTAGTCTCACAAGCGAGCAATACTATTGACTTTGGCTTTTACCCAGAAGGAGCTCAGTCCTGTCTGTATCAGGCGGCAGGAGAGTCACATTGTGAAGCTAGCACAGTGCCACTGACCAACTCCTGTCTCTGTCGTAACGGCGGCGACTTTATCAAACGAACAGCGAGATGTCTTGGACGAGAATCTCCTGACGACCTGGAATCTGTTTACGACATTATGAGGGTCGCATGCAGCGACTCGAATACACCCATTGGCCTAACTAAGGCACAATTCCTGCAAGAAGCAGAAAGCGCTAAGTCATCAACGTCTTTACCAACTGCTACCGAAACGAGAACCGTCACAGCAACAGGAATCGTGACGGCAACCCCCAATATTACAGCAACACCGACTGGAAACATACCTGGTAGCACGACAACAACAATAGGCAATAATGACGAGGATGACTCAGGCCTTTCTAAGACCGAGTTGGCTGGGATCATTGCGGGAGGTGCTGTGGCGGCTATAGCGATCCTAGGCGGTCTGGGATTCTTTTTTATGCGCAAAAGAAGGAAGAGATACAGCGAAGAGTCGCACCCAATGCTTCCCCAAGGGCAGCATGGAGGTGCAGGTGCAGGCGGTGGCGGCGGTGGCGGCACCGCGACCAACTCGATGGTGCTCCAAGCCCACCCGTACTCAAGCCCTTTGCAGCCCCAAATGGCGGCGGCAGCAGACTGGCAGCCAAGGCCGTGGGGTACCCCATCTCCCGACCTTCGTCAAAGCGTCGTCAGCAACCCCGGCCTCAGTTGGGAGTCGCCCGGACATCTGTCGTATGCGAGTAGTGTGCAACCGTATGATTCCCAGTACGGGGCGTATGGTCTTTCAGGGTTGAGCATCACTCCTCCCTCGGCCGGTCTGCCCATGAGCACTTCGATACCACCAGCGTCGGTTCCAGCGCCAGCTCCGTCGCCATCGCCGGCTCCGGTTCCAGTGCCAGTCTCGATATCGTCCCCTCCGCCGCCAATCTCGGAGCTTGAGGCAACCGAACGCCATCCCCTCGGCACAACTCAGGCACCAGCCGAGATGAGTGGTTCCGAGCCGAGAACACAACAATGGCAGGGTCCCTCTGGATTTTCTTGGAGCAAGCCGTGATGTTATAACCGGGAAACGATTCGTAAGCGGATTGAACGGCTTCATTTTTTTTTTTTGCGGAGGGAAGGATAAAATACTGAGCAATGATCTGTTCATTGGGCGTTTCTGGTTGGATATATGGCTCAGGGTTGGTGAGTTCAACAATGGATAAGGCTAACCATTACCTTTAATAAAGAGGACCTTAGCAGTCATTACGGTAGTGACTGTCAGATTTTTATGTCTGATGCTCGAAAACTTAATGGATGGCAGACAGAGCGATTTGGACCTTTTCTTCTGCATCTACCTAAGGTAGCTGTAGCCTGCATACCCTGAGCCTTGCGTGGTCACTCATGTCCCGCCTCCTCCCCAGTCCCCTCTCCATAGTCCCGATACAGCACTGCGAAATGTCTTGGACAACGAAGCAAGTCCCTTGGAGTAAACGGACACTCGTCGACAGAACATGGGACACGACACCGCAATACTTGTTCACATGACGCTAACAGCTATCAGCATTTCTTGTGACATGCAATCGAGCGTGTCTATCACACGAGAAGATCGCCGGCCACGCACCGAGTGTGCATTCTGCCGCACAGTTGCCATTGAGAGGCTGATGTACTGTACCCGTCATTGGCGAGGTGCATTCAATACGGGCCGAGCTACGGAGCAAGTAACTGGACCTTGACCCGGGGCCAGGCCGCACCGGGAAGAGTAGCCGGCGATGGTTGGGGGTTGACTACAACTTGTCAGCCTTTCGAGGAAGTCGAACAGGGTTTTCAAGTTCTTCCCCGCGATCTCCCCTGCTGCTGCCATCCCGCTGCCCTTGCCCTGTCATCATTGGACTGCGGGGGCCGGTGACCTGGGATCCGGCCCACCCGTACTTCGTACTTTCCCATTATTGTGCCTTCTCGATGGATCCTCCACGATGCGACGTAACAGCGTATCCGTACGGTACTTTACAACTGCCCCATCATCCACCATTGGGCAAAGTTCGACCTTCCACTCAGGTTGCAATGCTAGGTTCCTGGTTGCATCAAATGGCCTGCGGGAAGCGCACCCGCCGATCCGTCGTCGCAGCCAGCGAGTCCTAGCAGCCAACGACATCTCACCGGGTATCGCTCCCGACACACGACATCCTCTGCCTGCGTCTGCCGGTAATCGTTAATTCCCAATGTAGCCGCGCAGCGTCGACCACCTGCCTACCTACCTGAGCTACCTGACCTTACACTCAAGCAAAGCTTGCAGAACAGAACCCGTGGCTGGCAGACGGGAACGGCAGAACCTAACGTGGAAGCACGACACAGTCCGTCATCCCATCAGGCCCTCTCCTTCTCCCTGCTCGAGGCTCAAAGCTCGGCCTAGAACAAGCAATCTGGAACCCGCCACAAAGCCGCTGTGCTACCTGAGATCTGTGAATAGTACAGCATCTGTCGGGGGGGAGGGCCATCTTTGTGCCTCTGCCATCCTCAAGCGCGTTGGTGATATAGCCTCTTCCCCCGTATTTTTTACTCGGCCCCCGGCTATTGTGTCACTGCCCTCATTTGTCGGTGAATGGTGCTGCGGAACACAATTGCTGCCCTGATCACATCGATCGGTCACGCGTTGCGGCCACAGGTCTCAGGAGTGTCGCCGCTTTTCACCTGATATCTCTCTATCCGATTGCTCTTCTGGCCATTTGTCGCCCCGACTTTTCTCCCCAGTTTGTTTTGACAGTCGAGAGTTGGCCGTTGTTGGGCTATTCCCGCGCTTATATTTAGTCCTTTAGCCATGCCATTTTGGATACTGGTTGCCCTTCATTTCCCGAGCCGATGCTGATATTTCGCCTTGACCACAAACACCCTTCCTCCTTGGTCTTGGTTCGGGAGCATTCACAACCAACCCCCGCCATGGCCACTGTCTCTGTCGACCCGGGTTGGTGGACTTTCTGGTGGCCATGTTACCGTTGCTGCCGGCAGCTATGGGCAAGTTGCACCGGCCGGTCCCCCTTTTGGCTAGGGCTTTCTGCTCTTGTTTCCTCTAACCGCTTACCTGGTCTTCAGGATCTCGATGGCTAACACACGCCTGCTCCGCAGATACCTTCTTTGGCCGTTATATCTCCACAATGTCTTGGTCCCGTCGGCCATATTCCTCTATGGACAGCCATTCTCACTGTGGCGCTCCGTTATGTTGTCGGGCCTGCCTGGTCCTCCTACCGTCCCTTCTGGCTGCGCAGGTTTGCGGCTGAAGGATGCGAGTCCCCTATTCCTAGAAATGATCCTGAATCCGGCCCTGGCCCGGTTGTTATGAAGCCCTGGACCCCCTGGACTTTGTCTCTTCTTCTGCTTAGCACTGCTACCGCTGTTTCCGGCATACTTGGTGCTGTGATATGGCCGGGATATTCCCAACTTTGCTTAACTCCTGTTCTACCAAGCGTGGGTTCCTTCTGATATCTTTGTCTTGAGTATGTGACATGTCACTGACATGGACTGGTCAAGGTCATATCTCTTCTACTTCTGGGCATCGAGCGTCCTAGAACTCTCCCAGGGGCGGTCTTCGTCATCAACGGCGTGATGCTTTCCGTCCAGTTTGTTATACTCACCCTGATTCCCGATGTCATCGAAGAAATCTGGCCTCTCCTCTTTGTCTGGGGGCTCGGCGTTGGTCTCCCCCTTGCATCCCTTATCGTCATGCTTAACATGCCACTTCGAGACCCTTTATTGGACAGTTCTGGTATCGGAAAACCGTTTACTGAACCCACGGCTTCTGTTCGTAGCCCCGAAGATATCATTACTTTGTGGCAATGGATGACCGTGTCTTGGATGGCGCCTTTGATTCGAATTGGCTACAAGCGGCAGCTGAACAACGAGGATGTCTGGTCTCTCGCATACGAGTTTCAACATGACCGGCTGCACAGGCTGTTCCGCGAGGTTCCTGGGACAGTTCTCGCACGGCTTCTAAAAGCCAACGGTCTGGATCTCGTTATTATTTGTTGTCTGGGAATATGCGAGACATGCCTCGACCTGGCGAGTCCGGTCTTGCTCAAGCAGTTGCTCGGCTCACTTACAGCAGCTCCCCCAAACTACCGAGCCGCCATTGCCTACGCCGGAATTACCCTCATTACTAGGCTGATCAAGACTCAATCTGGAGTATTCAGTCTTTGGTATTCCCGTCGGGCATATGAACGATGTCGAGGAGAAATGATTACTATGATTCATGAGAAAACACTCAAGCGGAAAGCCTTTACTTTCCCCAGCGGAAACACGTCCGTTCCATCTTCAGCCGAAGAGCAGCAAGAATCGCATCAAGAAGGCATTTCAACTGCAACAACATTAACTGATGACGAATCTGACAGTGATAATGACGGTGATAATAAGAGCTCCGGTCTTAGTGTAGTTGAAAGACTCAGACTCCTTCTGCGTCGCGGTTACAGAAAGTTCATCAGGTCGGAATCTAATGCAGAAACGCCCACAGAAAGCGCCTCGCCTGCATCAACAGGAAAAATCCTCAACCTAATGCGCAACGACGCCTATGAAGTTGCCCAACGATTTTGGGAAGCCGCAGGTCTTATTACAAAGCCCCTTAACTTCATCATCTCACTCGTGTTAATCTGGAACATCCTGGGCCCAGCGTCCCTATCGGGAATTCTCGTCTTAGTGACTGGCATGGCCTTCAACATGGGGCTCATGCGTATGTTGCTGCGCATTGAACAAGATCGCCGCGAGGTAACCGACACGAAGCTCCAACGGACAAGCCAGTTTGTCGAGGCCATTCGGCACCTACGATGGTACGCTTGGCAAAATGCCTGGCTGGAAAAGATCATGGAAAGTCGGCGTGATGAATTATCCAAACGGATTAAGGGCAATATCGTCATGAAGGCAATTTCCATAGTCAACTCTCTCGCGGCATATCTCTTCCCGGTTGCCGGTTTTTGGGCATTTGCCATCGTGTCCAAGAAGCCATTAACTGTGGACGTGGCATTCCCTGCACTCGACTTGTTCAGTACGTTGCAAGACAGTCTAAGGGAACTTCCTGACCTGATCACGGTCTTGTTAAATGCGAGAGTGGCAATGATGAGAATTGAGAAGTTCATGTTGGAGCCAGAGAAGGAAGATTTGGAGGAAAGCGGTGGCGAAGGAGAAGCTGGTGTCTGTCCCCTGGAAGAGCTCGAGGTTGTCCTCAAGGACGCTTCGTTCTCTTGGCCTGGTGCAGCGAAGAGGGTGTTGAGGAACGTTTCAGTAACTTGCCGTCCAGGTCTGACACTGGTATGCGGCAAGGTGGGCATCGGGAAGTCGGCATTGCTCCAGGCTGTTCTTGGCGAGATGGACCAGCACGGTGGCGAGAGGGTAGTGCCCCGGGAGATGATCGGGTACTGTGCCCAGAGCCCGTGGTTGGAGAGCATGAGCATTCGGGAGAACATCTTATTTTCATCCATCTACGACAAAACTCGATTCGAACAGGTACTGGATGCTTGTTGCCTCCGGGAAGAACTTGACAAGTTCCGTTGCAAGGATCTCACTCTTATTGGAGAGAATGGAGTTGGACTGTCGGGAGGTCAGCGAGCACGAGTAGCTTTAGCAAGAGCCATCTACAGCCGAGCACGGATCCTACTGCTCGATGATCCTATTGCTTCTTTGGACCATCAAACGGCCACCAGGATCATGAAAAACCTGTTTTCCGACAAAAACTGCCCCCTAACCGCTGGTCGGCTTGTCATCTTTGTCACTCACCGCATCGATATTGCTACCCCTTATGCAAACCAAGTCATTGAGATCCTGGATGACGGCCGGATCGAAACGTTTGACAGAACAGAGTTGGAAAGCAACGAGGAAGAGCTACAACACCTAGCTAGCCTGGTTCGCTCCGCCACCCAAGCAACCCTCTCAGCTCACGGATCACGCTCGGAAGAAGAAGAACCGGTCCCTGATAAGTTCATCGAGGACGAGCACCGCGTAAATGGCGGGGTCCTGGCATCAGTATATTGGCAATACGTCAAAGCTGGCCGCCTGCGATGGTGGGCAGTCGTAATCTTTTTCTTCACTCTCTTCAGGCTCGTCAGGTTGGCGTACTTCTGGTTTCTTAAAGAATGGGGTGAGAAATATGACGAAGAAACCGAAGCTCGTTACCGACTCACTCATCTCAGTTTCCAAGGAGATCTTCAGCGTCTTAATCCTGCTCGTCACGCGCTTCAAACTGCGAGCATCCCCAGTGCCGAGAAATGGCTGGATTTCATGCCTTCACCCGCCGCCGATGTGAAACCATGGTTGTTGGGATTTTTGCTCTTAAGCTTCGGGCAAGTCTTCACATTGGCCCTTTCTGACATCGCTCTCGTGGTCATTGTCTATCAAGCAGGCAAAAACCTTTTCCAGAGGGCCATGCATCGAGTTGCAAACGCTACTTTCAGATTCTATGATGTTACCCCTGTTGGACGGCTCATGAACAGACTGACATCAGACATGGGTACCGTGGACGGACAGATAGCAGGCCAACTCATGTCCGTGGCATGGTTTGCACTCGGATGGCTGTCGTCGATTGCGGTTATCGCTACTACTACTCCTCCCTTCCTCCTCATTAGCATGACCATGACCGCACTGTTCATCCTCATCTTCAATCGGTTTTTGCCCACATCTCAGTCTCTCCGTCGGCTTGAGACGGTGTCACTTTCGCCTCTCATGTCTAACTTCGGCACACTAGTTGAAGGACTGACCACAGTGCGTGCTTTCCATGCGGAGCATCACTTCCAAAATCGTGTGGTTGCGAATACGGATACGTTCCAGAAAATGGATCATATCTACTGGTGTCTTCAGGCTTGGCTCCAATACCGCTTCGACCTCCTCTCTGCACTCAGCACCTTCGCTCTGACACTCACAGCAATTCTCTCAGGCTTGTCAAGTGGCACTGTTGGTTTCGTACTCGCCTCTGCATCTAATTTTGTTCAGGCCACCCATAGCCTCTGTCGTCGTTACGGCGAGATGCAGATGCAATTTGTGAGTGTCGAACGATTAATCGAGCTTCTTGGCTTGGAGCAAGAACCTTGCGGAAACATCAAGCCACCAGCGTCTTGGCCATTGTACGGCGACGATATTATTTTTGACAAAGTCACTCTGCGATATGCCCCTGAACTGCCCCCCGTCCTGGAGAACGTCAGTTTTAGGATACCTGGTGGTGCGAATGTTGCTGTCACCGGCCGGACGGGCTCAGGCAAGAGCACCCTTGCTCTCAGTTTGCTTGGCATCCTTCATCCTGATCACCGGGGCGGTGGCAGCATTTGCATTGGTGGTGTCGACCTCGCCAACGTGGACAAGCAAGCGCTTCGCCGGAATATCACGTTTGTTGCGCAGGATCCGGTTCTCTTCCCCGGCACGCTACGGGATAACCTGGACCCGTTGGGTGAGCACAGCGATGAGGAGTGTGCGTTGGTCCTCAACAAAGTGCTCAATGCATCGGGACTGGCATCATCCAACTCAGATGGGAGTATCGAAAGGTTTTCACTCGACACCCGCGTGGATGGAGGTGGCAAGAACTTGTCTCAGGGCCAGAGGCAGCTGGTGGGACTGGGAAGAGCCATGCTGCGCAGAAGTCCCATTGTTATTATGGACGAGGCAACGGCCAGCATTGATGGGGAGACGGCGATGTATATCCATCGGCTGTTGAGGGAAGAGCTCAAGTACAGCACGGTCATCACAATTGCGCACAAAGCTGAGGCTGTTGCAGACGCGGATTTTGAGATTGTGCTGGATAGGGGACGGGTAATCAAGGCTTGTCCGAGAAGGACGGAAAGCCAAATCACTTCGGTAGCATGATTTTCGGTGGGTTGGGAAGGGAGGGTGCATTTAGGGCTGTATCTCTAGTGCTACGGACGATATAGCAGCTGGCCCACGACGAGTGTTTGCCCGCAGTTGAGTCGGGATAGATGCTATACCAAGCTCCGGCCCGGTCATTGTGGGATGGGTTCGATGATAGGATCGAGAAAAGGTGTACAAGAGACGTAGATTAGTTCCAGCGTTGGATCAATTGATGCCCTATCTTACCCAAGACTTTCGTTTTCTTAGACCCAAACATACCAGATCAACTCTATTCCTCGTCGGACCCGTTGGTGCTGCCACCACAATGGCCAATTCCTTAAAGAAACGATCTAGAACTTCCTGTGTTTCGCACGATGACGGTAGGACGACTCTAAGTTCCTCAGCAAGACTACGCTACTCTTTCCAGATTATGGGACCTAGCCCCGTCTCTTTTGCCGGGAGGGTACGAGTGTACATATTGTTTGCAAACACCGCGCCCGGTGGCTAGAAAGCATCTCCTGAAAAAAAAGACAATGTTTCTCTCAGAACTCTCAGCTTCTTCTTACGAGGCTACTCCTCGCTCACCCATTACCATTATCATGACAGCAACAAAAGGGACCTGGGAAGTTCTCATCGGGGAATCTGACACACCAGCTTTCCACAGAGGCAACAGTATCCTCCCACGATGCTCTGGAGCCTGCCGGATAGGTGAAGACGCGACAAAATGATGGATGAATTTGCGCTCTAGAGCACAACAGTTATTGGATCATGGAGGCTACAGATCAACGTCGTATGCGTGTTCGTCGCAGAAGGAGTAGATCTCGCGCTCGGGGATGGGACTCGACCCCAGGCGTGCTTGCTTCTCGATGTCGAAGAGCCAGGAAGACATAATTGTAAATGTGATCAGGTCAAAGCTTTGTATTTTGCTTACGATATGAATGCATCAGACTTTAGTGAGAAAGATAATCAGGAGTTTAGATACATCATACAGCTCGTTATCGTTAGGAGCCCTCTTGGTGCGTTCCACAAATAAGTACAACCCTCGTCTATAGGCTCAACGTGGTGTGCTCCTACATTTCGCAAATCACCATGAAACAATTTACAAGGTTGCATTCGATCACCAGTTGTTTCTGTGGATAGCTCTGGTGATACTTTGGGGAATGAAGAGAGGACACTATTTCTCCTGTTTTTTAACTGGGGTATAATTGGCTGATCTAACTGCAAGATACGTCCTACGTAGCAGTCTACGTAACCCCAGGAAGTGTCCAACTCATGGGTCTCTATTAGTACGATATTGATGCCTTCAGTATACCACCGCAAACCAGCTCACCGGCTGCATATGCGATTCCTGTTGCCCATTCAGATGTATGTTTCTTGGATTGGGACGCCAGCAATTGCTCTCATCAGGTTAAATCGCAACAAGAGCTAACGTTCACATGGCCAGGCGCATTTGCGATGGCAACTTACGGGAACTTAGCCAGATAAACGAAGCACAGATTTCATGTATGCATCAAATGGATTGAACTGACGCACAAAAGCTTAGTGTTGAGAAGAACATGGAGCCTGACTCTTGTCTTGCAAACATTACGAGCAGCATCTTGGCCCAAGGTATTCGCTAATTGGTCGATGAAGACATATATGGCACACCTATCTTCCTGTTTTACTTTTTTTTCACACGAAGATGGTTTATATCTCCCTTCCTGGGCTCACTTTTATGCTTCTGTATGGAGTAAGTTCCAAAATATTGTCAACCATGATTGACTCAGCTACACCTATCCCAGGTAAGCACCAGATACACATAAGGAGCCTGACTGAGCCCTAGTGTCTCTCTGTATGTGACTTTCATCGCCTACCACCTGAGTACCCAACCCCCACTCTTATAGTGGTATTGGCAGTGGGTGCTTATCTATGGGGATGCTTGCTGGGACTCCAACGAGCCAATCATTAACAAACAGAGAGGCTGTGATGAGAGCTGGGTGCATTACACTACCTACTTGTACGGTGCGCGGGGTGTATAGGCCTGCAGGCGTGGCTCAAGTAAACATACATGGTCTGTCTTGTCATCTGTGGTGTACCTACTTCAAACAGCAAGCTGAGCGATTCTGGTGGACTCTCCCTGACGACAGGTTTGACGGTTTACAAGAGCATTCACATTAAGTTCATTGCCGTCACCAGATACCAAAGAGAGTGACTGTTTGGCACGAAAACCGAGGCGGTTTGCCGATCACTCAGGGACAGAACACATCGTTCCTGCACTCGTGTCATGCGCACCGTGGAACCACTGCAGAACCAAGGAAAGCCACTGCCAGCCGCTCACTTAGTCCGCTGATGATTATGGGCAGCCACGGACAATCACTGGCCACGAGTACTCGGCGACCCACGCATCACCTGCTTGCCAAGCTTTCTTGTCGTGATGTTGGAGAACCCACTCAGAGACCCCATCGCCTATTGTGCTGGGCTGTTGGTGACGCAGCGGGCGAGGCCATTTGTGGAGATGTGATTCGATCCGGGGGCTCCACACTCTCTTCGGACCTCGAGGCCCCATTCCACGAGCCCGGGCAGTGCAGCAGCAAATCATGTCTCGCCGGCTGGGCAATGAAGCTTCGTGTTCGACTTGCTGAGTGTGGCCATCCATCAATACGCCTATCCCACCATTCAAGGACCTAGTTATCATCAGTGGCTCCAGCAAGGCACTAAAGGCAAGCAAGGCAGGGAAATTTAGCTCTTTGGCCGCCAGCGGCTGGATCGTACTCAACAGTGTTTCGTAGGTGGCTGCCAACAACTCCAACAGCAATTATACCTACCAATTCAGAACGTCATAGGCTTAAAAGTTTAATTTAGTTATATCACAGCGTAGGTAGCACCCGCAAGACAGGTTACCAGCACCCCAGTATTCGTGGGCGCCGAGAACCCGCAGTTCTTGTGTGTCACGATGTCCTGCAGAGGGTCAAAATTCTTCGCTCGGTCCGGCTTCTGCCGTTTCTTCACGGGTTACGCCACGACCACTCCGTAAGTACCTGTACATTATTCAAGGCTAATGCTGTAAGCGTACTTGTAGGTAAGAGCAAGCAGGTTAGTGCGCGTAAATCGCAATTTAAACCTCCATCTTTCGAAGACGCTGCCATTATCCAACCGAAGAGATTCGCCCTAATTTGTATACTGGAATAGTGCACTGCGCAGGCCATGAGGGTGACAAGATTATCAAGATTATACTGGGCGTCTGTAGCCTTCTGGGGATCCGGAAGCATGTTATGTTTTCCATGTAGACGGAGTATTGGCTAATGTACCTTATACTGATGTACAGATGCGGTCATGCTGGCGAGCAACACATTACTCATCTCAAGCCTGACCGCCTGCCCTCGGGTTTGTCTTCCTTGGCCTCCGTATTGGGCATGGTGCACACTAGTGCCCTGCGAGAACCCCGGCCTAAGCTCTGCCCGGGGTGAGGAATCAATAATATCGTTCCACCTCTGCGCCAATCCTTCGAGAACTTCGGACTGCATGGGATAAAAAGCTTTGTTGCTCGCTGTCTCCTTGAGTCCCAGCCTTCTCTCACCTTACGGCACAGGGTTTTCCCAAGGCAAAGCGTCTATCGTTTCGCCCTATAACATTCTGCCTTTGCAGTTGCCCCTCGCTCGTTGGCCTTTTCCTACGCTCGCTATAACTCCATTTCCCAGTTAATACTCAAAACCATCACCGTAGCAAAAATGCGCGCTGCTCTTTTGTCTTTGGGCGCCCTTGCCCTACCTCTTGTCGCCGCTACTGAGGTTGATGTTTGCGTATGACACATCACACATGTCCTCTCTTTGCTTGAATGTTAGATGTTAACATGGCTACTAACCGTCATGATAGGATGCGGAGACCAACCTGTGCCTCAGCGGCCTGCTCGAACGCGATGACCCCGCTTGGTTGTGCGAGGAGGTGACTCCCGAGAATGTTATCGGCCAGGAGATGGTGCCGTCCTGTGCTACCGCTCAGGATGTTGTTTCGGCCTGCGAATGTATCCTTTACGATTCCGACTTCTGTGAGGAGGAGCCGGAGCCCACTACTACTGCCGGCGGCAGCGACCCGGAACCCACGACCACCGACGACACTGAGGAGCCCCCCGCAACCACCGTCACCGTTGGCCCCACCGGCGGCTCCGGCCCGGAGACCACTGCTCCCCCAGAGACCACCATGTGGACCACTAGCACCATTACCACGACCCGCACTTACACCATCACCTCCTGCCCGCCCGAGATCACTCGTTGCCCCGGTGGTGGCGTTCCGATCGTGACTTCAGAGGTCATCATCACCACGACCGTTTGCCCCGTCACTGATGGTCCTGAGCCGACCTTTGTCCCGCCCCCGGCCCAGCCGTCGTATGGCAATCATACCCTGCCCTCCATCGAGCCTAGCAAGCAACCCGAGAACCCTGCTGTCCCGCCTGCCGAGACTGGGTCTGCTGGTCCCCAAGTCCCGCCGCCTGCTGAGACCAAGAGCTTCGGCACCATCACTGTCCCGACTGCCAAGCCCCCGACGCCCACCGGCGCCATCCCCGAGCCCCCGATCGTCACTGCCGGTGCTGGCCGCGTCGTCGCTGGCTTCTCTGTTGCCATCGCTGTTGCTGGTGTCTTCGCCGCTCTGTTCTAAGCGGTTGATGCGATGAATGAGTTCTAATTTAGGAAGTGGAGAGGGTTCCTGTATGATGCGGTGTTTTTAATCGTAATATTTAGTTGGTGATAATTTATGGCCCGCATTTTTGGTTTTCAACGTGTGCCCCGTTTCACCATTTTCCTGGTCAGCGCACCTCTGCCAGAGCGTTCCGTTCTCTTTGCCTTTGTTTTCCCACGGTCGTCCCGTCCCGTGAGCGCTGGTTCGCCAGCCTCTATTAGGCATCATATGCTGTCAGCACTGTCCCTACGGAGGATTAGGGACATTCATGAATGGCCAATTAGCCTCGAGCACACCACTGTATCGGTTACGTTTCGCGGAGCGGGTGTTACGCGGAGAGCTCTGAGGATCATACACTAAACGGCTTACTCTCCAGCCACATCAACGCCTCCTTCTAGCACCTGTGCACCTGCGGGAAGATTGGGGACAGGTCCGCAGACAAGCTGCATGGACATTGTGTTACCTTATCTTAGAATTTAGAACCCGTCAACAATTGATTTAAGTGTGATAGCAAACATTAACTACCCGACTTTTTAACTTACTTTTCCATGCACCCTAAAGTTGCTGATGGAGACACTTGTCGACCTTTGAGGAGGGGAAACCTGCACATCGCGGCCTTTACGATGACTGGGGATCCCTCCAGCCTGACCGCCCAGCTCGGGGGCTCTCGTCATCAAGGCCCTCGGGGTCCTGACGGTCGTAGCTCGCTTCTTCCGCTGCCTGCATCAGAGCCGGATGCTCGTCCGGAGATGTTGTAAACAAACTGGAGCCGTAATGTCAACCTAGTCGTCGTACTCCCAACATCGAGTGATCTAACAAAGGGAAGAGAAAATGATGCCGCATTCTTACCTCTCGGCTACCTCGAAGTCGTAGGCAAGAAGATAATGGCCAAGCTTTCAAGTGACATCCGTCCTCTCGGCCCATCTTATCTTGTCCTAAGCAAGCACCCTCAGCTGGCAGATCAGGGCTTTATAGTCCTTGATTCATGGCTTTTCATCTCCCCCAATCCTTCACTTTTAACACTGATATTGTTGCCCAGTTCACGTAGAGCCGGACAGGTCTCCCAAAGAGCATCAATCTTAAAGCTGAGTTCAGGCCCCTTACACATTAAGGGGATATTGTAACGCTTGAGGGCGCCGAATGGAAGTGATCAGGATCAATCTTCAACCCTAGCTTCTCGATAAGAACCATATATTTCTCACTCCGGCTTTCCTTGAGGAGATCGGTGTCTTCATTGACAGGCTGAGAGAGCTGCAGCCAAGTCAAACGAGATTATCCAGCTTAAGGATTACACCACTCTTATCACAATGGACGTCATCTGGACGTGCCGTCCTGTAAGTTCCTATCCCGCAGGCCCGAGAACCCGGTGTCGGGGAAGAATAATATAACTGGTCATGTCCAGGGGAGCACGAATGCATTGCCATACAGCCCTTAGACCTGTGCAGGATGCTCTGTCCAAACAGATCTGGTGGTTATGCCTAGAAAATCCCTCAGAACAGTTGGCAAAGCTCCTCAAACCCGTTGCGTCCGCCGCTGATGTGGTGGAGGAGCCGGATCATTCGCGAGTATTTTCTTCCCATCGTCGAGGAGGTCGTTGCGCAGGCGGCTGATAAAGTCAATTCCAGTGAAGGTCCTGATGTCAAAACCGCCCTCTTCCTGGCCACAAAGGGATATGTTGCCGCAGAGCGTGAGGAACTCGCAAACACCAGGTTCAGCTTCCGTCTCGACAAAGATTTCATCTCCAAAATCATCCCTCATTTCACGATATTCATCCTCGTCGGCCACGGCACCACAGCCGCAACGCTCGGCTTCATCTACTACCTACTGAGAATCAACCCCTCAAAACTGTCTGCGCTATGGGCCGAGTATGATGCAGTTCTTGGGCCAGACCCCAACCGCGCCGCATCCCTCATTGCCGCAAATCCCACGGTATTCAACTCCTTGCCGTGCACAGCCGCAGTCATCAAAAGTGAGTCTTCGCATGTTCCCGCCTGCCGCAACAGTCCGCAGGGGGCAGCCGGGCTTCGACCTCATCGACCCGGCCGATTTCACAAAGCGCTACCCGACCGACGGCTTCGAGGTCCATGGAGATATGTGGTCAGCACGCCACTTTGAGCATATATTCCCGCGTGCAGCAGAGCTCCTACCTAAGAGGTTTTTGCCCCCCGAGAGCGACCCGCTGCACGTGCGGAAGAAAGCGTTCCGGCCTTTCTCGACGGGTCTAAGGTCATGCATCCGACAGGAACTTGGCACGATGAAGATTAGGATGATCCTGGCGATACTGTAAGGGAATTCGACTTTAAGGTTGCGCATGACAGGGAGCTTCTAATGGTCCGGGGGCAGGGGACGTACCAGGTTGGCCATGTTGTTAGATATCCAAAGGATAGACTGCCGATTCGACTAAAGTTCAGAGGAACATCAAAGGAAGGCAGCTAGGTTAGGTCTCTGAGGACGCATCCTTGCTCAGCGATGGGTTGATTGATTGTTCGATGCAGGATCACTGGGGGTCTTGCACAGGGTGGCTGGAAAGGTTGGTGATGTGGGTTGGAAACTGGAACTCTTTGTCTAGATCATGTCAGACTGTATATTTTTTTTCTCCTTTGGGGCACTGATTTGCTGAAGCTCATCAAGAATAGTGCTTATCATGATGACTACGTGGTGACTCTGGAAGAGGGCATAATACTGATCGATTGATAAAGAGAGCAGAAGGGTGCAGTCGTGCCTCAGGTCATTAGTCGTTATAATCGGAAAGCGTTGAAAGGAAGAACACGAAGATCAAAGAGCATAAGATTATTTCTAATGATGAACATCTAGCAATGAATGAGCTTTTGACCTGTTTATTTGTGATAGAGAAGCTTTGAGTGAGGTTGAGGCTTTGAAACTGTCGACAGGAGCTATGGAAGTAGAAGGTTGAGGAAGTAGCCAATCAGGGTTAGGGTAGATACCCCAATACCTTTGAATGCAGTCACGTGAAGCATGGGCCCAAGCGTCAAACTACACGGTAAGGGGTCGTGCGGGACCCCTTTTTCCTGGCCCCTGACCTGGGAGCTTGGAGTCCATATGGCGACAAAATGAAAGAATGAAGGGGGCTGATAAAATTCGCCATCGCTGAGGCTGTGCCCACTAATGGTTGGCACAACAGCATGCTGTCAATATCGGCCTCCCTCGCGAATGCTGCATTCGAACTCGTTGAACACGCTGAACACGAGGGCTGCCGTTTGAGCCTTGGCTCTGGGATGCCATTTCCCTGCGAAAGCGCTACGCTTCTTGCAACCATCCACTACAAACAGCTGGTTGTCTGGTTCATCTGGTTGCCCCCTGTCGGCCATTCCGTCAATTTCGCTGACGAGTGGTCGAGCTTGATCCAGGTTCCTGACCTGATCTCTTCTTGGAAAGGCTCATGATTCCGTCTTAATTTACCCCCCTTAAGCACTTTTCGCAACTTCCAGAAGCCACCCAGCCTGGCAACCTGCATTTCCCTCCTCCTGGTTAAAGCAGCCCACTTCTAAATTTATACCGTTTTGCGTGGTCCTGCCATGCCTCATATGGTCTGTGTACATTCGGATCCCCTACCTACCTGACACGTCCAAGAAACAGAGAGCGCTCGTTGCACCCACTCGTGCTTCATCCACAGAATCAGGTCTCGTCTCGTAGCAGAAGCGCTGTGCCAGAAAGGCAGTCGGGGTTCATTGCTTAACAACAATGTGTGGTTGCGGAAACTCGTGATCCTCTGGACTGTTTTGACTCTGGAGTCCAGGCTTCTGATTGTCTGGAACACAGCATCTACTTGGAACCTTGGCTGCTGTGCGGTTTTGTGGTAGCCCCACACAGCCTCAGTGGCCCACCACAGCGGTTTCGAAGGCCCCCCCAGCGAGACAAGGGAGACATTCCGGTGGGCCCGATCCCGCCCACCTCTCTCAGCCCTGGGTTGCCGCATGCGGAGGGTCCCTGTCTCAGCAGACCCAGCAAGCCAACCAGCGACCAGCAACCAGCCCGCCCAATCCGCCGCCTCCCAACTGGCAACAAGTGACTAGTGACCACCTACTCCGTGCTGCGTGTTGCGGTACTTGCCCATCCTCTCCTAAGTCCAACTCACACCTTCACACCTGCAAGGCAAAATAACATTCGAACCCGCGCTGTTGTCTGCACCGCGGCAGAAGATAACACAAGCAGCAACGGAAGCATCGTGCGCTTTCATCTTTGCTGCACGTCCATCTTCTATCCCCATCTGCATTCTCAGCTCCCCATCCCACAATCTGCCATCCTTTCCTCGCGCTACTCGGCAACATTCGACAAGTGGCACTCCCAACCAAACCCCCGATTAACCAACCGACTAGCCGACCTTCCCTCAATCGATTACACCCTTCCATCTGACAGATAGCAAGATGTCGTGGAAACTCACTCAAAGTATGTCGAGAGCTTTCTCCGCTCATCCTTATGGCATCAAAGTCGGTACTTGTGCTGTGCCTTGATGCCGCTTGCCGCTCCGCCACTCCCTTCTTTGTGGCGCTCGAAATGCTGACGACATCTGCTTCTTCCAGAACTCAAGCAGACCCATCTGGGGCCTCTGAAGGATACCTTCTCGCGATCTCCATCGACCTCCACGATCACAGATAAGGACCTCAAGGCCCAGGAATCCATCTCCGGGACAGCCACGCCTACCAACGACAGTGCGAGCAGTATGTGTTGCATCCCCTAACAGCCAACAACCTGCCTCCATTGGCTCATTATCCTCTTCACATACTGACTGCTTGTTTCTGTACAGCTACCGCAGAAACCCAAAACGAACAGCCTGTCAAGGCCCCCAAGCCTGGTATCCTCGTCGTCACTCTCCATGAAGGACAAGGATTCTCGCTTCCTGAGCAACATCGGAACGTATTCAACTCAACCCATACCGGCAGCTCGCTGTCTACAGGAAATGCCCTCGCTGCGGCTGGCTCAGTTAGGCCCTCGACGTCGTCCCGAGGCTCTGGCTTCCTATCCGGCCGCCCCCAGACATCGGGCGGCTTCAGCGGCATCCCCACAAACCATGGCCGCGTCTCTACCAAGTATTTGCCCTATGCGCTGATCGACTTCGACAAGAACCAGGTCTTTGTCAACTCGGTCGAGGGGAACCCCGAGAACCCCCTTTGGGCTGGTTCTAATACCCAGTACAAGTTTGACGTTTCACGAGCGGCTGAGTTGGTGGTTCACCTTTACATCCGGAATCCCAATGCCCCTCCGGGCTCGGGTCGTAGCCAGGACATTTTCATCGGCCTTGTTCGCATCAACCCGAGGTTCGAGGAGAGACAGCCCTTCGTCGAGGACCCCAAGATGAGCAAAAAGGAACGGGAAAAGGCTGCAGCTGAGCATGCAGCCCGCGAGCGTGCTTCGGGCTTCTGTGGTGTTGATTGGGTTGACGTGCAGTATGGCACCGGCAAGCTCAAGATTGGCGTCGAATACGTTGAGAACAAGGGCGACAAGCTCAAGATCGAGGACTTCGAGCTTCTCAAGGTTGTTGGCAAGGGCAGTTTTGGCAAGGTGATGCAGGTACGCAAGAAGGACACCAACCGGATCTATGCGCTCAAGACGATCCGGAAAGCCCACATCATCTCGCGCTCCGAGGTCGCCCACACTCTGGCAGAGCGCTCAGTTCTTGCCCAGATCAACAACCCTTTCATCGTTCCCCTCAAGTTTACCTTCCAGAGTCCCGAGAAGCTCTACTTCGTTCTTGCTTTTGTCAACGGCGGCGAGCTGTTCCATCATCTGCAGCGGGAACAGCGTTTCGATGTCAACCGCAGTCGTTTCTACACGGCTGAGCTGCTGTGCGCCCTCGAGTGCTTGCACGGCTTCAACGTCATCTACCGCGATCTCAAGCCAGAAAATATCCTGCTCGACTATCAAGGTCACATTGCCCTCTGCGACTTCGGCCTTTGCAAGCTTGACATGAAGGACGAGGACCGCACCAACACCTTCTGCGGTACACCCGAGTACCTTGCCCCTGAGCTGCTGCTGGGCAACGGCTATAACAAGACCGTGGACTGGTGGACTCTGGGCATCCTCTTGTACGAGATGCTTACAGGTCTTCCTCCCTTCTATGATGAGAATACCAACGAGATGTACCGCAAGATTCTCAGCGAGCCGCTGCACTTCCCCGGCCCAGACATCGTGCCGCCGGCCGCTAGAGATCTCCTGACTAAGTTGCTCGATCGCGATCCACGCAAGCGCCTGGGTGCCAATGGATCGGGTGAGATTAAGGCGCATCCCTTCTTCCACGCCATAGATTGGCGTAAGCTTCTGCAGCGCAAGTACGAGCCTGCATTCAAGCCGAATGTGGTAAGCAGCTACCTCTCATTCTTGCCTAACAGGATGTTCTCTAACGTTGTGATCCTCTCTCATTCTAGGTGGATGCCCTTGACACCGACAACTTTGACGTGGAGTTCACGTCGGAGCCACCCCAGGATTCTTATGTCGAGGGCCCAGTGTTGTCCGAGACCATGCAGAACCAGTTTGCCGGCTTTACATACAACCGCCCGGTTGCTGGCCTCGGCGATGCTGGTGGTAGCATAAAGGACCCTTCCTTCGTGGGCAGCATCCAAGGCAGATAAAGGGAGATCAGAGAACTCGTCTCCCTCATGTCGGAGTACTCGATCTTGGATTCTATTTGATGCTTTGACTGGACCAGAGCAAGCATTTACAGCCCTGTTTCATCGCCTCTCGTCGTGACATGACTCAAGTTGCTAGCGACTCAAGTGGCAGGAAACGAGTCTATTAGGGAATAGGGTGATGGGCTTTCATGGATGGAACTTGGCTGAGACACAGACAGAGCGACGCAAGCGCCGGGCCGGGCGTATGGGTAGCCTAGGCTTGTTTCTTTTGTGGGCATGAGACGAGTGGGTGGGTGGGCTGGAGAAAGTTGAGGGGAAGAAAGGGGATGATGGTGCTGGGGGAAAGGGGGGTTGACCTATATTTTTCATGCTGCGTTTGGTCACTGGGGCATGGCTAACTTGGTTCATTGGGATTGCTTGACTGTGTTGGTATTTGACTATGGTTCTTTTTTTTTTTTCGTCGCTACCAATTACACGTCAATAGCCGATGGCTTTTGAGTTTTTGATCATGATGGGGGTTGTGCCTTGGGTCTCCTTCTGCAGGTGCTTACCAATCCAAAAGGATCTTGGGTCAACATCATCCTACGCAATACATAGGGTCAGCCGCCCAATCCCTCAGTGGGCAGGGTATCCCACAAACAGTTCATCCGAAGTCGGGTTGCGTGGCGGATTCCCTGTCTGTCGCCTGTTGCTGCGCCAGGGATGGAGACCAGGGCAGCGATTTGATGCTGTGAGCTGAATTTATCCTGTCGAAGAACCGACAGGCGCACCCCCGCGCTAGCGACGCTGAGGCTCTTGTTGGGCCGGCCTGCTGAATTGGCTAAATCCGCGGATGTGGAGCGGCAAACTTTAGCATGGTGGTGACGACTACCCAATGGTGACAGGAAAGGATTGAGGGACTTCCTAGCTGACCATCCATGCTTTCTTTCTAAAGTCTGGCAGCCCAGGCGTGGGGTGGGGCTCTGTTGAATGCCGATGTACCAGATGACGTGCAGTGCTGATGGGACGTAATGGCCGCCGCTGCCGGGTCTCAGAGCAGGATACGTGCCAACGTGGTGCCTTTAGAATATTTATGGAAAACTATGAAATGTCTTTTCTTCCTCTTCAACAGCATCTCTGTCATCCATTGAGCAGTGAAACCGCAGCTCTGGTCAGTACCACCTTTTTTTTGGTTGTGTTTTGGCGGCGTTTTGAAACCGACGGGCCTGCGCCCCTCATGCTCCGGGCTGTTTGTGCCTGAGGGGAGGGGTGGACCAGGGAGCAAGAAAGGGGGGGAAGGGTCAGCTTCCATCGCGAATACCCGCAACCAGTGCGGGGCACTCTCGCAGGCCTGGGCAACTAACACAGATATCAAGCACCCCACCTCCCCTGCTCTGTCGTGCTCCCGATTCCTGATCTTGACATGATTTTTGAGTCGCCGCAAGTCCTGACAGCTTCCTTTCAGTAAGAGGCCGAGATCTTCGTTCGAATTCTATCTCGCTCGCCCCCCCCAGCACAAACCGCCAGGAAAACATCAAAACTCCAGGTCAAGGCTCATCATGGCCCCCACTAACACCCTCCCCGCCTGGGCTGAGCTCCAAGCTCACCATGAGATTGTCGGCAAAGCCTTCGTGCTCAAAGAGGCCTTCAAGGCCGATCCCGAGCGCTTCCAGAAGTTCTCTACGACCGTCAAGCTTCCTGCCGACATCTCTACCGAGCCCAATGGCACCGAGATTCTCTTCGACTTCAGCAAGAACCTGGTGACGGAGGAGACCCTGGACCTCCTCATCAAGCTGGCCGAGCAGGCTGGCCTTGAGAAGAAGCGCGATGCCATGTTTGCTGGTGAAAAGATCAACTTCACCGAGAACCGCGCCGTCTATCATGCCGCGCTGCGCAATGTCACCAACCAGGAGATGAAGGTCGACGGCGTCGACGTCATGAACACGAAGGGTGGTGTGAATGACGTCCTCGAACACATGCGTGTCTTCTCCGACCAGGTCCGCAGCGGCGAGTGGACGGGTTACACCGGGAAGAAGTTGACCAACATCATCAATGTCGGCATTGGCGGCTCTGACCTGTGAGTTGCTGACTTTTCCAAGACAAGTCGAGTCACTGTTAGTATGCTCCTTGCTGACGTTAGCACAAACAGTGGGCCTGTCATGGTCACTGAGGCCCTCCGGCACTACGGCGCCAAGGACATGACTCTGCACTTCGTGTCCAACATTGACGGCACCCACATCGCCGAGGCCCTCGCCAACTCGGACCCCGAGACCACTCTGTTCCTGATAGCCTCCAAGACCTTTACGACTGCTGAGACAACCACCAATGCCAACACGGCCAAGCAGTGGTTCCTTGAGAAGACTGGCGGCAAGGGCGATATCTCGAAGCACTTTGTCGCCCTGTCTACCAACGAAGAGGAGGTTGTTAAGTTCGGTATTGACCCAGCCAACATGTTCGGCTTTGAGAACTGGGTTGGCGGTCGCTACTCCGTCTGGAGCGCCATTGGCTTGAGCGTTGCTCTGTATGTCGGCTTCGATAATTTCTACAAATTTCTAGCCGGCGCCCACGCCATGGATCAGCACTTCCGAACAGCCCCTCTGCGCCAGAACGTCCCTGTCCTTGGTGGCCTGCTCAGCGTCTGGTACACCAACTTTTTCAACGCCCAAACTCATTTGGTTGCCCCATTCGACCAGTACCTGCACCGCTTCCCTGCCTACCTGCAGCAGCTGTCCATGGAGTCTAACGGCAAGACCATCACCTCGGACGGCACACCGGCCAAGTACCAGACCGGCGCCGTGCTGTTCGGTGAGCCGTGCACCAACGCCCAGCACTCCTTCTTCCAGCTGGTCCATCAGGGTACCAAGCTCATCCCGGCAGACTTTATCCTCGCGGCCAAGTCGCACAACCCAGTTTCGAACAACCTCCACCAGAAGATGCTGGCGTCGAACTACCTTGCCCAAGCTGAGGCCCTCATGGTGGGCAAGACAGCCGACGAGGTGCGCGCTGAGGGCAACGTGCCCGAGTCTCTCGTCCCCCACAAGGTCTTCCTGGGCAACCGGCCGACGACCAGCATCCTGGTGGGCGGTGCTATTGGCCCGGCAGAGTTGGGCGCTCTGATTGTCTACTACGAGCACCTGACCTTCACGGAGGGTGCTGTCTGGGACATCAACAGCTTCGACCAATGGGGTGTCGAGCTCGGTAAGGTCCTAGCCAAGAAGATCCTCAAGGAGCTGGACGAGGAGGGCAATAATGGCGAGGCCCACGACGCCTCGACCGGTGGCCTGTTGGCTGCGTTCAAGAAGTACGCGAACCTCTCATAGAATGTGGAGGAGAGGGTTTGTTTGTTTGTGGGGGAGATGTGAGTGTACTTAGAGGCTGCAAAAAAATAGCTGGCTTGCTTAGGAAGAGTGTCATATCATATGAAACCCTTGGGCTTGTTTTTGGGTTAGTATCCGTTAGAATACCAATAATATACGAGAAGAGATGGAACATTATCACTGTATGTTCCTACCTAACTCTTGTGCCGTAATTTGCGCTGAACACCCTGTGGTTGCCAACGGCTACTCGAGACTCCCCTTACCTGAGACAGCCGTCGTTTACGTTGGCCTAGAACAACGCGCAAGCAATGGAATTTGAAACCTCCTGGAAGAAAAAATCGTTTCCATTCCTCGTACTCAAGTCAGAAAGATGCAGACTCATGAGTCAATTTGGAAATCATGCTTAACACTCAACCGCATAGTTATTTTTGTTGCCGTACCGCACTGCCTCTCTGGCACCTTCTTTTTTCCATATCACCCATTTGGCAAGCAGACAATCAAGGCGAACCATGAACGAGTAAAAAGCAAGCTAAGGTAAGGAGGAGAGAGAGAAAAAAATACCAGATCAACAAAAAAATGCGTCATCTCTGTTTTTCTCATTTTCCACGTGATTGGATTGTCAGTTCAAGTTGCGATAGGTAAAAAGCAGAGCGGTAAATCATCCATCATCCACCACCAATGCATGCATGCCTGCCTGCCATCCACCCAACCCAACCCAACCCAATCAACCCAATCAACCAACCAGAGAGCCAGACCAAGCCAGACCATCCGACCGCCCACTGAAACTCGAGAGAAGACGAAAAAAAACAAGACCATGAGAAACCCTGTTACTAACACACAAGCTCACGAGAGGGAAAGATGATAGCTTTCGTAAGAGGGAAAGATCAGGAAAAATCGAGGAGAATAAGGTGGAGTCAGAAGTGCACGAACGAGGTTTGGGGAGCGAGAGAGAAAGCTCATCGCATCTCTGTTCCTTTCGCCTAAAAGGGATCATGGTCATTCCTCGTATCTTGGCGTCTTTTTTATTTTTTGCAGACGGCGAAGGAAAAAGATGTGGCAGCATCCTCATCCCGGTGAGAGAGAGGGGGGGGGAGAAAAGGGATTATTGTTAGGTTAGGTTAGGTCAGTTAAACTGCCCGGTCTCATCCGTTTTGTTTTGCTTTCCCTTCCCGATTATCAAGTCATCCCATTTTCGTCATGTAACTCCTCGATTCCCGTTTCCCATGAGGCACAAAAGCACTGCAGACCAAAGAGAATTGCAATGGAGAGGAGAGTCATCATGCTTTCCTCACTTAATGGTAATTGTTACCCCAGCCGCGAGGAGGGTTCCCATAGTAGCTCCCTGCGAAGCCTTGGCCACCGTAGGCGCCATAGCTGTTCTGATGACCTTGAGCACTGCTAGCACCCATGCCAAAAGCGCCGGCACCGGTCTGGGCCCCATGCAGACCATGACCCTGCTGCAGATGTCCCGGATAACCACCATAGCCACCCATACCACCAAGAGCGGTCTGCTGAGCAGACTGAGGCGGAGGGAGACCAGTCTGCGACGGACCATTATTCGCTGCAGAGCCAGGACGAGCAGCAGCGCCCATGGAGGGGCTAGGGCCGCTAGCAGTCTTAGACTCACCAAAGGGCTTCAAATCGTCAGTAACAGAGGTCGTAGCGGCGGGCTGAGAGCCGGGGGCATTGAATGACTGAGTGCCTTGGGACTGATAGCCTGCGCCGCTACGGCCATAGGTGTCATGAACGCCAAAGCCAGTGCCGAGGCCTTGCTGGCCCGTCTGAGAACCGGCACGGCCGTAGTCACCCAAACCAGCGTCACGATGGAGGCCGGACTGACCGAAAGCCCCGGCAGGAGAAGAGTAAGCATGAGGACCCTGAGGAGAGATGCCGTACTGGCTGGGCTGGTAGCCCAGGCCACCCTTTCCATAGGGGCCATACTGGTTGTAACCACCCTGGTAGTTCATGTAGGCCGAGTAGTAAGGGTTCGTGTAATAAGGATGGCTGTAAGGGTAGTCATGGGGCTGTTGCTGAGCATGCGACTGGGCCTGAGCAGTGGGTGCAGCCTGAGCCTGGCTACTGGCCGCGACAGGATTGGCGGCGCCACCAATTTGCGCGTCGGTGCCTGCACCGGCGCCAAAGCGCGACGGCTGCTGGGTCCCGCTCTGAGGATACTGGCTGAGGTTGTCGGCCTGAGGGGCGGTGTAGCCGCCGAACGAACGCTGAGCTTGCGAGGACAGAGCATCCTGGCCTTGCATGCCCTGCTGCGAGAAGGCTTGATTATAGTAGTTGTACCGGTTCTGGTGGTCAGCTGTGTAGTATGAGGAGAAGTCCGCGGGAGCAGAGCTGAAAGGCCCAACGGGCTGTTGTTGAGCCTGAGGCTGAGCCGCTTGTCCTTGGCCTTGGAAGCCACCTTCGAAGTGAGTCTGGGGACCTGACGAGACGGGCTGCTGCTGCTGTTGTTGTTGACCAAACGGCTCGAACGGCTTGGCTGCAGGGAACGTAGACTCCTGAGAAGTCGGCTGACCAAAGCGACCGAATTGTTGATTGTTCTGGACCGCAGGCGGTTGTGCGGGGGCTGTAATCATAAAGGAGTTAGCTTGTTCAGCAGAACTAGGTTCGAATGGATTGAGGCCGAACAAACCCTGCGGAGCGGTGGAGGGAACAGGAGCTGCCGGGGCAGCGGCAGGAGTAGAAGCTAGACGGGTATCAGCAAAGCACGTGAGATGTCAAGGGAACACAGTGGGACATACTAGCAGGTGCAGTAGGCTTCTGAGCGGGGAAGGATTCGGAGACGGAAGTCGTTTGCGCCGGGGGGAGAGAAGCCCGAGGCTGGGACACAGGAGAATCCTGAGGAGGCTGAGGACGAGTCTCAGGCTCTTCGCGATCGCCATCGATATCATCGTCGACAGGGCCATTGAGGCTGAAGGCACCAAACTGAACTGCAGCGCGGTCAACGGCATCGCGGATAGCAGGCATGCGGACTGCCTCGAGCTGATCAAGCATACGCCGAGCATGAGAGCCGGTCCGGCCGGCTGGCTTGGCGGGAGCAGTCGAGCGAGCAGCCTGATGCTGCTGTTGAGAGGCCGAGATTGGGGTAGCCGTTGCGCTGGGGGCCTGGGCATTGGGATCCCAGGAGTCAGCTGCTTCGCTGGCGGCAGTCTCGGTCGGAGGGGGATGAGAGTCATCGGCAATCTTATCGAGGTTCTTCTCGGTGAGCTGATCCTTCGAGGGCGGCAGAGCCACTTCGGGAACAGCAGGAGTCAGAATGGCCGGGACGGCAGGAATAATAGGAACAGCGGGAACAATGGGCTCAACGGCCGGTGCAGGAGCAGGTTCCTTAGCCGGCTCCTTCGCTGGCTCTTTCGTCTCCTCCTCGACCGGCTCCGGGGCCGGTTCGGGGGCAGCAGGCTCCTCTTCGGCAGCAGAGGCCTTTTCTTCCTCAGCGGGTGCGGCTGGCTCAGCCGGGGGCAAAGGCTCAACGACGGGTTCCGGCGCAGGCGGCTTAACCGGGGGTTCTTTAGGCTTAGGCGCGGGCTTCGGAGCAGTCGCTTGTCTCAGCATACTGGCCCAAGTCTTCACAGGCTCGACGGCAGGTTTGGAAGCAGGAGTTGGTGTGGCGGGGGTAGTAGTCGAAGGGGTGGCATTCTCGGCTGCTGTCGATTCGCGCGAAGCAGCAGGCTCTTCGGCCGGCTTTGCATTCCATTCTGAGGACTCCTCGGTTGGGACAGAGAGCGGCTGGCTCTCCTTATTGCGAGCGCCATTCGTGGTCGCGTGGGACGGCTTGCCACGGGCGCCGCCGCGACCGCGACCACGACCGCTGTCAACAGGGCGACCACCGCGGCCATGTCTGGAGGCATTCGCCGAGGCAGCATCATTCGCGGTTGTTGCGTCTGACTTATTCTTGGGACGTGAACGGTCTTTCTTGGGCTTCGAGACTTCGCCCCACTGTGAGATGGATCCTACGCCACGTCAGTAACTTGCATTGACGCCGCGGGGAGGGAACTGATCGTCTCACGGGGAGACGGGGTCGGGAACATGGACAGCCGAACAGAGGATGTGGAGAGAATCGGGGACTCGATGACACGAAGGACTGCAGCTGGGGAACGCAGCTGGCAGGGCCAGCGTAGATGGATGTCAATGTCGGGGAAAGGTGTTGCGGTCTTACCTTCAAGGATGCGAGTGCTCGCCAAGTTCTCGTCGCCGTCGGTCTCCTGCAGAGCAAATAGGATGTCGACCTCAGACCAATCGGGAAACAATTCTTTGATGCCAGCGACCTTGCTGCCGTAGAGCTTCTTCAGCCGGCCAATCTCTCCCTCGTCTTCGAGGGTGGGCAGAGACGAAGATTCTGTGTCGTGTTTGGAGTCGCCGTTCGTGGCGGGCCGAGCACCGGAGCGGCCGCTTCCCCGGGATGCAAAACCACCTCTACCGCCGCGGCCAGAGCCTCTGCCGCGCGGAGCGGCTGGTCTGGACTGTACCTCAGACATTTCTGAGATAGTAAGATGTGTAAATGGAGAAGAATGAAAAGAATCCGGCGATCGGGATCGCGCTGTCGGTTGTGCGAGTCGAGGCACGCCGAGGAATGGTCTGTGGTCTGCGGGTAGGCAGTGAGAATTTGGGAAATGGGAAAGGGAAAATCAATGCCGCAAGTGTCGCTGCGAGACGAAAAAAAGAACTACAAAGAAAGTTTTTCTTCGCAGGCAGGTAGAAATCGTGGAGCGATCCGTGGGATGGATCGAGCCGGGTGAGGTGCTTGGATTTGGGGGAAGGAGGAGCAGTTGCAGCCTGAGAGGGTGGAATTGTGGAAAGAACGGCGAGGCACGGACGGAGGCGTTCAGTTTTTGCCCGTTGCGCCCAGCACTGCTTGGAGCCCGCTACATCCAAAAGTTACTGGCCTGCTAAATTTGCGCGTAGAGGTACTTGCATAGCGGGGCCGCGCTAACAGCTGGACCCCAGAGCCAGTGTCTGACACGCGGCCCTGCTTTGCAACACAGCGCGCTGGACGTGGGACAATGGAACGCTCCAGCCTCGAGCTGCCCTGGGCCTCTGGAGGGCCATTCTGGCCAACTACGGCACAGCAGGTGGGCCTGGGCCACCGCAAGCCCGTGGCCCGCCGACCCGCATCGACCAGTCAACCCTCTTTGACCCCGCGACATGCGTCACGCAACTCTGCGTTTTGAGCGTAGCCCGCATGTCAAGATGTACGTAGATGGAGGGGGCTGGCAGACCGCAAAGCGCATGCCAAAAACAGGGAGCACTGAGAGGAGTTTAAAAACGGCTCGCAGCCCAGTCTACAGTACTAGGCAACCTACGACAGTTCGACAGTTGTATAGATGGCATGCAATCCTTTTGAAATGCTAAAAAAGCCCTGGCAATGAGGGGCTCAGCGAACTAAGCAGCATGTCCGTTGCCCAGATTGGGTCAGCCAGTTCCCACTGTGGCAGCGTAGGGGTAGGTATCGCCACTGTGTAAACTGACGCAGGCAGCTGTTTCGCTCGCGGATCAGCGACCGACAGGGCCTGTCGACAGGACAAACACAAAAGAAACAGTGGATGCATGCCAGGCCTTGAGTCCGCTCTCAGCTTTTTTTGCAGTCCTGCTGGCCGCTGGGACGGCTGAGTGCCCGTTGTGAAACCTGATATCACATGACTGTAGTTCCGTTCTTCTCCATAATACACACTGTCGGACCGTTTGGGTGTCTGGGACCCGCAGGACCGGGTGGGCTGACGGAGCTCCACCATTGGTCGATTTAGTTCAGCTTCCATACCATGTACCGATGACCCTCTCTTTGCCAGAGCTGGCACACGACCGACCAAATATCGCAACCGCACGACTGAGCAGCGAGTCCGTAACTGCAAGCTCAGTTTTCCCGTCTTGATCAATTCCCATCGGTACCCGACAACTACGGCAAACCCTGATGGGCGCTGCTCCCGATTGACGTCTAACATGCACGGCTCCAAAGCGCTGGGCGCCCTCAAAGCGCTGTTCCCCCCCCTCCGCCAGCCGCTTCCTATGAGCAAGCAAGAGTCTCAGCGCCTGCTCGATCTCCTAAAAGAGTCTTTCCGCAACACTCTCGACTATGAGCTCGGCCTCCTGCCGGGGTCGCGGTCACAGCCTGGTCCCCTGAAGATGCCCGCCTTGTCCTATCTCCCTGGCCACACCTCCTCTCTTCGATCTAGCCACAACGATGACGGTTCTTCTCGCCCCAAGGGGTCCATCCATGCCACTGACCAGCACCTGCATGACATTCTTACCAGTCCGTTTTTCAACCCCTCCCAAATCTCTTCGACATCCACAGGCCCTGCTACGAATCCATGGGACACACACAAGGTTCTTTTCGAGAAGGCTGTTAGTCGTGGCTTGATGACTTTGGACAGAGCACACGGTTTCCTGCTAGTTGTCAGGGGTGCAGTGAAGCAATCTTCCTTCATTTCTCTGTCTGAGGGCCTGAAGACCACAGGCGCTGGCACGCTGGTTCTGCGGTGGTTGCGGGATTCGGGGCAGCTCCGTACTCTGTCCTTTCTTCAAAACCGCAGGTTTACTGTGACCCTTGTCCAATTCCTTGTAGCTGAAGGCAAAGACAATGTTGTGTTGGAATGGCTACGTCGTTCAACTGAACCTTCCGTTGCAGAGTTGCAAGGGTTTGAAGCTTCCACTGGTTGTCATACCAGCGTTCTCCTCAACGCTCTTGTGGGCTCCAAGTTTGGTCAAGTGGAGCTGGAGGGTGCGTACGATGTCTTCCTCAAAGCGGAAGACATGTTGAAGCATGAAGGCTCGTGGAATAAAGAGGTTGGAGGAAAGGCTTGGATTACCCTTGCTCAAGAAACGACCATGAATTCTTGGAAGCACTCTCTCCCTCCTGTCCAACTCTTCGAGCCCTTCGTCGCTGCAGGCGACGAATTAAGACCGCCAACCACACTGAGAGCCCATATCGACCTTTACCATCCTACTAAGCCCTCCTCAGACCTAGCCATGTCACTGCTCTCAGATGAGAAAAACTGGATCCCGCGCGTCAAGGCTCCCAGCAGCGTTGATCAGTTCATGCGGCGCATTGTCTGGCTTGGCATCGACACTGTACAACATCTGATGAAGGTCGATCGGATGGGTGAAGCAACACAGCTCCTAACCCTTCTGAACAAATACTATAACTGGTGTGCTAACCCGCATGGTCAGTTAGCCGGCGCCTGACAGGTCGCCAGAGATTTTGCCTATAGGACCTTGGACCTTTCCGATCTTAAATATCTAAGGCAGTATTCTGGTTTCCGTTTTCATTAACCATCTGATCTCCACGTCAGCGCAAAAGCGTCTCTTCGAGCAGGGAGTGGGCAGGGAAGCCGAAAGGCCGATGCATTAGGGAACGCTTCGAAATATTTCCTGGGACCTATCAGCCCCTCAGTGCCACTATATGATTTGCCTGGATGCTATACCTTGGCAAACTCAAGTATTTTGGGGACATGGTGCGGAATACGCAACGACCAGTTGTACATTTTGTGAAATATGTACACACCGCAGGCCAATTGGTCATGGATAGACCACATGGCTGCATGATTCACATTTACCTCTCGCGCAACGTTTCCTATGTATATATACCCTATGCAAATGCAAGCTTAATACATTTATGTTATTTGCGGTACCATCCAGTGTGTTACCCATTCCAATCAATCCAGTCCCAACTAAGCCTCTAGGTTGGCTTGTTGTTTCTGGTTCTGGTTGGCCTTCATGCCGCCCGTATTCTACTCCCTTGCTTGTTGACCTTTCAAGTCTACATACGTAATTGCATAGCCAACAAGCACACTCGAATCGCAAATGGTTCAGTCTCTCCTTGGATATTCAAGCCATCATTGACCAACGCCTGATAGACCTAAGGACGACTTTGGTCAGCCTGGTTTACCAGGCTCTCGTATGGCCTTTTTGTGGTGCCATATCAAACTGGCAGTAAAAAATCAACATCGAAGTTTCGAATGTGACTGAGCTTTGTTCCAAGGAGACACCCATGGCTGAGATTAATCTGATGGGTAATACCAAGCATACAGATGCTTGTTACATCTAGAGAACACTCATTTGTTCACAGCTTTCTGTTCTGTCTACACACGCTGTCCCTTGCTGACAAGCCAGAGCCAGCCTAAAATACCCCAACAATTTGGTCAGTGTCCTGTCTTCCTTTCGTATTCCACGTCTACTTCGTGCCCGATGTAGATCTCCCTCCTCTTAGATAAACTGCTGACTATGACTCGATGCCGTGTTAGCATTTTGAGTTTCCACACCCACGGCATCGGCAAGATAACAATAGCAAGGTCAATGGCCAGACTACTGCTCGGTGCCGCGAACATAGTGTAAGTGATATCGCGGCAGTACCGTCCCGGAACAGGCCTCCACATTTGCGAACTCGGCTGACAGTTTGTTTGAAAAATGACCAGGAAGATTAGGGTAAACATAATGCAGATGAGCATGACAAAATAGACATAATTCCTGAGTCTTGGAATGTCGAAAAGTCGTCTGTGCATCCATGGAACCGACATCTTCAACGCAGCGGTCCCGAGTGTCCCAGTGACTGCCGTCGCTAAAAGAGCTTGGTGTTAGAGTCCTAGCTCATGGACGCTGGTATCGATGGCATGCTTGCCCACACCGCTAGCAAAGATGGCCCAACTGACAACACCCGCAAGGGAAAATGTGCACCCCTGTCACAAAAAATAAAGTTTGTCAGTTTGGTATCACCTTGATGTATGCCCAGTATCTCAGCACATACATAGGCAAAGGTAACGAGAGCATCGTCAGCATAGAGTCCTCTCCATACTAGCCAGGTTGCTACAGCATGCGCTGCAAGGAAAATGGTGGAAAGAACGGTGAATACAACAATCAATGCAAAGAGGCTAGTGCCTCTCGGAGCGATGTTGGTTATGGTTGGGAGGGAAACTCCCAACCAAAAATTGGTCTGTTTAGGACTGCAATGATTCGATGTAGTAGATATTCTGACAAAAGCAGATTCTCATTAAGACGGAGGGGGAGAAGACGCAGGCTATTTGTTAGATAGAGGCAGGATGATAAGTCCAAGAGGAAATGGCGATCGGATATCTCCAGATTTAATCTAACCCAGAGGCTGCTGACTGTTTGTGATCGCGAACACTTATTAATGAAGACACTAAAGTGATAACGCCACCCAGGGATATGTGAAGCTTAGATTTTTGAGTGAACAAGTCTGCCATGGACTAAAGAACTAAAGACTAGCCCTGCTTGTGGACTCAAGAGCTCCGCAATATGAGAATAGGAAGGGTAAGGACTGGCATAGCTTCAGCGTTAAGACACATATTTACTTTACACAACAGGCGATATTTGCCAATTCTGCACTATCACGATCCTTTGCCGTTACGCTTTTCTAGATTCAAGCAGGTGCATCGGGATAACAGGTTCATTTGATGGAACGTAAACATATAAGTAACGGCCATTCAAAAGAAATCGGGCAAAATCGTCCACCCCGGCTAGAGTGGCGGCTAAGGCATCGACGATAGATCACAGGGACGCGAAGTCAGGATCGGAACCCCGCAGAAAGTTCTTGAGTTGGGTTTGCTGGATTTATTCCCAAAAGTTTACCATCTCTCGAGTTGCAACAACACATAAGTGTTACTTTGTGATGGATGGCACGTTGAGTAGTCTTTATATCACCCCTTACTGAACCACTAGAGGAGTATCGAGAAATAGAGTGAGTCTGTAATGTCTTCTAGCTATTTTATTGCTGAATCTCGGCTTATGACAGTTCGAGTATCTGCATAAATAACCGCATGGTTGCCATGCAACTTGACTAAACGACAGCGACAGTGAAAAACCTGGAAATCTCCGTGTGCAGCTTGAAGGAGGTTGTATGTGGGTTAGGGTTTAAAACAAGAAAAAGAGCCTCGTCAACGGAGCTTCTGCCCCTCGGCAATAGCAACAGAACTAGACTCGAAGCACACAAGAACAATGCAACTGTATAAACCTTGAGAAACTTGATTTTGTTCTCCAGAAATTGCGTTTGTATGAGCTTATCGTTCGACAGAGAGTTTCATGAATGAAGGGGCTTTTTTCTGTCTATCGCAGCCCAGCGGCTAACAGCTGAGCTTTTTTGCCATGCTTAATTCTGCAGTCTGGGCATGAAGATTCAACCCAAAGCCGCCGCGCGATTTCTCAACGCTTTTAGTTTTAGTGTACCCGCAGGAGCTGGTTTAGTGGAGAGTTCTGTATCCAGAACACTGCCGTAACATCCATCGAAAGCTTATTCCGAGTCGCTAAGTACCTAGCCAGCCCCCTGTTGATGCCAACCCTCTGCCCTGTCTGCCCAGATACTGGCAGAGTCCTAAGTATTCCTTTTCATTTCCGCTGCCTACGTGGGAAACTGGTTTGACAACATCGCACACATCTACCTAGAAAGTATGAAATGAACTAAAGAGCACATCATGAGTTTGAATTTCTCGGTGCGTCCTACACCTTCTAAAATGCATATCGCATCTCTGGGCAGCGAACGGGTAGCTTTGGGGTCCCTATTGAAGAGAACGGCAGACTCCCAAGCAGTCAAAAGATACAAATCCACTAAACGTATGATTTTCAACCACCTCTTATTATCGAGAATCAAGGAATATCTAGGTGAAGACCATCAAGACAACCTGGTCGGCAAGAGTTCTTAAAAAGACTCTGTAAGGAGCGCTCTGGGTCAACAAGACACAAAGGTTTATCACGGGTGGTTGAAACGGACATTGATATAGAATTGAAGCCATGTCCCAAAACCGTAATACATCATACCTGTGTGTATCCATCGGGTGATTTCCGTTACTCTTACAGCCAGCCAGAAGGAACTCGACAGAGGTACGAACACTCTCAACGACCAAGGAATTTAAAAATAATGCGCCTCCAGTGCCTCGTGAGCTTACCCCTCACTGCCCTGTTCACTACTTGTTCTCCTCCCCGCAGGCCACGAGCCTCCCAACAACCAAATACTTCTCCTCAAACCTTTCTTCCCAGCCGCGCAGAGTCTCAAGCTCTTCGGGGCCCAGATCCTCAAGAGTATCAAGGGGGCCGTCCAGATCCTTAGTCAACATCGACTCATCGAAGCTGCCACAGGCAAGACCCCTCGATGCATCACGGCCCGCAAAGTTCGAATAGGGCCCGCCGGGGCCATAAAAATTCTTGCCACGGGTGACATCGAAAACGCGGCCACGGATGGCCAGATACACCGGCTTATCGCCCTCGCCATTGTACTCAATTAGAGTGCGTGGGGTGAAAGTGCGAAAGACAGTTGCAGGAGGAGCTTTGGGCCATTGTGGGGTTGGGCGTGGCTTCAAGAAGAGGTAAGATGTGTATAGAAGCAGGGCGAGAAGAAGTCCGTTGAGAGGAGTAAAGAATGTGCTAGTGGGATGTTAATGTGAGTCAAAGCTCGGTGGGATTGAAGGCTCGAAACGGCTCCGAGTTACCTGGAAGAGGTGCTTGGGTTAGAGGCAAGTTGAGAGAGTCGCTGCTGGACGTAATCCATGGTTGTCTCTAATCTTGTTGCGAGAGATGTCGATGAGAGTGAAGTGGATAATCGATAATTCTGGAACTGTTGTATATTCCACAGCACAGGGTTCGCTCAGATTTCAAGAACATTAGACAGCCACAACAGCCAATGCCCTGCAGAATGTTGTCGTTGTGGGCTTGCCCGGCGAAGATGTCGCGAGTTGACTCTCGGTCCCCACCGCGAGGTCCGAAAGGTGTCATGGTGGGGATCGATAAAAGGTTGCGAGTTCCGAGCTGCGTTTTCTTATCGATAAGCCTTGCGTAGGAATCAAATTCCCCGCCCCGCCTTTTACCGGGGAGCCCGGGCGCTCGCCGAAACCCTGAATCGCGGGGTTCCATACGTGCCACCTGCCCCCTCATCCTCTTTCCAAGAAAATGGAGTGGCACAAGTAGTATGTGTGATATGTCAGCAGCCAAATGAGAGGTTCCAGCGTTTTTGGACACATTGGCTGCCTCCTCCACTTTGTGGCTGCGAAGAGTAACCGGCTCTGCACTTCTGCGGTGCGCCATGGTCGCTGCTGAGCCCCAAGGAGCGCACCACAACCCCTGATGAGCTGAATCCGATCTGGCAGCGTCACCCATCCACAGCTGCGGGAAGCCCACTTTGAACACCCACCCTTGGATTGTGGACACGAACACCCCTCCGACTCCAGATGCCTGCTATGGCAACCAACCATGCCGCGCTCCTGCCTGCGGACAGCACTGCCTGCTCAGTCAAGAGCCGGAGAACATGGGTGCCAAGTGCGTGCTCTTGTCCCCCATTGTCCATTGGCCCTGTGCCGTGACGAGGGTAGCCCGGGGTTGAAGAGGAACAATGGTCTGGCCCGTCGACCTCCAACCTAGTTGAGACCACCCCGCTCTTATCCTTTATTACCCTTTATCCCTCGCCAATCTTATGAATTCTTCTTGAACCGCTCCTGCCTAGATCTTGTATTCAAGTGAACTGAATCTAAATCAACAATTGGGCACCTACTATCTTTCTGGCTTGACAATACTGTACCAACTCTTCCCCTTCTCTTCGCTCTCGTGAGCAGTCACCATGGATCTCCTCGGAAAGCTCGCCAACCAAGCCGTCACCAACCTGGCTCAGACCCAGCAGCAGCAACAGCAGCAGCAGCCGCAGCAGCAGCAGAGCCAGTCGAAGACTGATAACCTCCTTAACAAGCTGCACGGCCTGGCCGGCGGCGGCCCGGAGAGCGAGAAGAAGGAGGATGCCCTCGATAAGGGTACGTCCTTCACCCTTACCAATCGCTATGGGTGACACTGATCGACTGACATTCCTCCTTGCACAGGCATTGATTGGGTTCAGGAGCACATCCTCAAGCAAGGTCCTCAGAACAACGAGAGCGCTGCTGAGCAAGCCAAGGACAAGATCATTGCCGACATGATCCGCGACGGGTTTCAGAAGGCCACTGGCAAGCCCTTCCCCATCAAGGAAAAGGAGGAAGAGAAGCCTTCTGCGACTTCAGTCGTGTCCGGCCTTGCCGGCGCTTTTCTCGGGGGCAAGAAATAAAAGGGAGATGGAGCAATAGTTCTATATTTAAAGATGCCATCCTCGTCCTTTTGTGTCTTACCTGTATTGTTGCAGGCTAATCCATTTTCCTTTGTTATAGTTAAAAATATTGGGCTTCGAAGACTGGGAGAGCTTGGCCGCAATATATCCTTTGAGCATGGCGTTTGTTTACGGGAGCGCGATGCTCAAGCCCCTTGGGGAGTCGGGGTATGTTTTTGGCTATTGAGGTTTTAAGGCCCTTTCACCCATGCTTCACTGCATCTCTGTGTAGCTCGAGCTCAGATTCATGTCAGCGGTGTCTGGATTGGAACAGTCACTTAGGCATTTGGTAGCAAGCGATGGGTTTTGACCCTGAATCACCATCCTGGAAACAATTAGTGTTACAGATGATAACGACAACCTTCTGTTCAATTACACATTTAGCCTACAAGCAATAATTACGGCTATGCAAGCATTGCGTGTAGACCAGGGTTGATCTGAGAACAGGTACGCAAAAGGCGTTTCCAGTTAACATCCCCTGGCTCAGGCTTAGTGGTTGCTCAATTCTGAAGCCCTTGAGGGCCTGATGGCAAGCCAGCGCCCGAGCTTCTGACTGGGCACTGTGAAGATTTTTGATCTCGTCACAATGCAGTCGGCCCATAACCTCTCTGTCAGGTGCTTCTTGAAGATATATGGTCCAAAATACGCCGTGTGGCTGCTGAAATAATCCGAAACCAAGCGCCTCGCCTTGTCCTTCATTGTAGAATCGTCCTCAGTTTGAGAAGCTGCAGCGACATATCCCAGGCAGTTGTCGACCAAATCTAGATTCAACGGGAGTTTAATGGTCCTGTAGGCTTGCGGAGGTACTATCCATGAAAGGAAGAGGGATCGAGCATATCTTCTCCACATCCCGGACAAGTTTGGTAAGGGAAGATCGATTTCAGTCGATTCGGCTAAATCGTTCTCATTCAGGTGCATACTGGGATGCTCCAGTAAGCATGCGACCGTGTAAGCTTGATGTCTCCCATAGGCTTGCTGGAGATGGAAGTAGTGAAGCCGAGGTGGAACTGAACTTCGAGACCACTTGAGCATGGCTCTGACACCTTCATTGATCCCTCTCAAAAGTGGCTAGCTCAACAAGGTTGGTGCAACCGTCTTCCTCATCATCGCGACCTTGAAATCCCGGGTCAAAGTATTCATCGTCGGAATTCGAAATGACACGCTCCCTGCTTCTTGTGGTATGGATTGGTGTGCTGTGTTTGACAAGATCCTCGAGCATATCAACGTTGTGGTAGCGGATGGCGAGGAGCAGTGAGCTGTTTAGGACAAGCTTAACGCCTAATTTAGACAAGCCCTTGATAATTGTCATGCCATTCACTAAGGACGTCTCTTTCAAGCAGAGAACTCCTCATGGCCCTCCTCCAGCCTGACTGTTGGCCTTCTAATGTCCTTCCAGGTCGTACGACTTTTCTTCTCGAACTGGTCAAGAACCAAACCCTGTCCAAGATTCCATGCGCTAAAGCCATACGCCCCCTCTAGAGGGTTAAGCGCAAGATGACTGGAGTCCTCATCGCCTCCTGAGAGTAATCTGAGAGGCAACTCTGAAAGTAACTCGTCAATTCGTCTGCGTGGATCTCAGGCTCTTTTCCACCTAGGGTTTTCAGCCCCTATCTTAGTCGATACTCTAACATGAAGGAAACTGTATCCGGTTCCAGAGCTTCTCCTGCTTCCAAAGGCTGTCGACACGACTCAAAATTGGCATCCTGATATGCTTTATGAAGGATAGTTCCAAAAAATTCATCGTTGGCCAAGAGAGTGTTTATGCAATCAGGGCATTTAATGTTGGGATCTTCATCGTGTTTAGGGAATAGAGAGAGCAGGCGTGACTTGTCTTTGGACGATACCCAAACGGGATGATCATTGTTGTCATGCAATCTTCGAGGGAATAGAAGAAAGTTCGTGAAAAGCAGGGAGAGTGGGCTGTGGCCCGCCCTATCAATCATGTTGACATTGACCCCGTGCTCCAGGAGTAGTTTAGCGCATGCAATGAGTTCTGGGCACCCGGCAGTGTCCCAAAACTCTCTCCCCTTGGTAAACAGCTTCTCAGCGTGCGAACCTGAGACGTACTTGCGCCAAGAACATTTCGCTCCAGCATAGTTTACCAGTGCTGCGAAAGGAAAGACTCCCTTTTCCGTCAGAACAATTTACTGATGGGTTATGCTCAATCAACTCTTGGACAACGGATGTTAAGCTTTAGGTCTATAGTGGAGAGCTACTTAGCCAAAATAATCACAAATTGCATTTAGAACATTAACAGGAACACGCTGATTAGCTACCGCCAAAACCATGGGTGGTGCGATATTCGGATATCGTTCGTTGAGTTCACAATGGGCTCATGCTTCTAATAGTTTCTTTACTAAAAGCCGCGGATGTTCCTTTAATTGGAGAAGCCAAGACCAAGTAGAGGAATCCCCTTTGACCAGATCCGTTGGGATCTCTTCAATATCAAAGCGGCTGGGGTCATAGCTGCCGGTGTAGTGATGACAGCAGGATATATCGATAGGACACAGACCCTCCTTCCAACTTTTTTGGGCCATCGGCTGTGTATCCACGAAGGGCAGGTGTGATACTTGAAATTGACATCCGTCCCACGATCTATCATTTCGACAGCCAGATGAAAGTCATTTTGAAAGTAAGCGTCCACCAAAGACACAGAGCCGTAACGGACGTCGACATTGACATCCGCGCTTCGGGGAAAGAAGAGCATCCAAAGTTTTCACTGGCTTGTTCGAATTAGCACAGAACTACTCGACCTAAAGATTGGCAAGACACCATAGAACATGTGTTGTAGCATATATGTAAGCATGCCAAAAAGAGACTGTCCAGTTTCATCAATTGCATTAGCGTCTAGCTGGTGGTTGTCGAGAACCAGCGAGATCATCTCTGCCATACTGTGAGGCATCATGAAGAGCTGACAGGCGTGAAAAATGAAAGCCGCGGGTTTCCGGTTTGATGCTGCGTGTATCGATATGGACGGAACGCTCTGCTCGAGCAACGATAGTATGATTTCGGGCTTATCGAAGCAGATGGTAATGTGAGCAAGACTATATGATGAGATCTCCTCAGGGTCGTCTTTAGACGAACAAAGACCTGTGACCCCACGCTGAATTGCTCGGGAACCTTTTTAAGAAGGAATTTTACAGTATAGACAGAGCCACTGGCAATGGCTATATGCAAGGAGTACCAGTAGTGAATGGTTATGTCGGTCTAATCAAGGTCCTCACTACTGAGTCAAATGTCACTAACTGACCGGAGATCATACATCTGAAAAGTCAAGAAGATTCCCACTACACTCCCACCACCTTGGTCTCGGACAGAATGATATACTCTGTATACATACCGAGATGTGAGAAATCGAAATCGCTATAGAATACAACAAAGCCGAGAGTAGTATCAAGCAGCTGAGGATACCATTCCAGGGCTACATTGAAGGCTGTGTTGGGCTTCAAAGAGCCGGTGAAGAGTGACAGTGTGCCCGAATTGTGCAGCCCAGAAAACGAGGAAAGGATCAACTTCGACCGCAATCTTAGAGAAATCAGGCATAACAGACTTGTAGAGGGATTGACATGTAGCTGCTCTGGTAGCTACACCGCCCGTGTCGATCGTCTTCCAAACATTGATCAGATGTACAGCAACACATGAAGAGGGAAGATAGGAGAAGGCATCGAGGGTAACCTGGTGGTAGCAAAGATGGAAAGTGAAGATTCTTGTTTCTAAGAGAAGGTAAGGTTGAACGATTTGCGTTATGTCATGATAAGAGGGGAGAGCAAACTGTGCGGCATGTGAGAATTCGAGTCCGCAAGTTGATCTATACTCTGATCAAGGGCTATACGCTCACTAAGGGAAGCTCGGTCGTTTGCTCTTTATATTGACCACCAAGCATTGCTCACGCACTGTAAGTTTGGGCTCCAGCCTCAGCAGCTGAAAGTCCCTGTACACTAGGCCATTTGTTGCCTGTTGCCTTTTGAGATGCAACAAGAATGGGGGAGTTGTGATCCTATCCACGTCCTCACACACCGCTTTCTCGGGCAGCATGCTAGCTCGCATCAAACCACAAATTTTTCTTTTAATATGCTCATCTCTTCGCCATTGAGCAAGCACAAAATCTAAGTTATTGGGCAAAAACACTACTTCAAAAGTTGCGATCCCTCCACATAAATTCATCACTGACACGCCGTGGCTCTCAAAAGTGTTGTGCGTCGCTTCTTGAGATATGGGCCAAAGTGCTTGCAGCGGCAATACCTCGGGAAATATATAAACATCTCAGTATAGTGGTATACTGTGGTACCTAGTGGGGCTCTTGAGAGGACGCCCCACCAATCCTGGGCCGTGGGCCGTCGATGCTGCGTGCATGGCGTCGGCCGCGAACACAGGCCCACACAGCCGAGAGTGCCCAAACATCTTGGAACCTCTGGATCATCGCAGTCAACTTCACGACTCCATCCTCGCTTCCTCCAACAAGTGAACCGTGTTTCCGCAATTTGTAGTAGCATCGTCTGGCAACCGCATCAAGTCAGCGCGAAGCTGTTGGCGCATAGCGTTTCTTCCTGACCCCAACACTCTGTTCGGTACTCCAAAGTTTGTTGCTTAGCTCGAGCAACTTCAACGCCAGCATCCCAACCAGTCCAGCCGTGCAATAACTTCAAGGAACCCAGCCTATCCCAGCCCAGCCCCTTTTTCTCTTTACGGTTAATCTTTCTTGCATGTCTTCCCGCAACAAAGAACACGAGATCCCAGGTCAGCCCGACGCCCATGGAGAGGTGTCAGCAACATCGCCTGGTGTCGTGGTAGCATCTGGCGAACTAGCATCCCCAGCTGAACAACCGCCAGCGCAGTCTATCGGAGCCGCAGCTGCAGACGCCCACACACGAAGCCAATCTGCCGGCTCGAAGAGCGGGCTACAGCGTTTTGATCATGGGGACCGAGACCATAGATCTAAGTATCCTAAGGACACCTCACAAGGTTCCGGCCTGCTCGAGAGGGAAGCCAATGAGGCAGATGCCATCAATGAGTCGATGCCATCTTCCATCGCAACCCTGAAACCGACGACAACAACTGCAGTCCCAGGGCCGTATCTTAGCGTCGAACTGAGCGCTTCCTTGGTTGACCCAGCTTCTTTAAGTCCTGCTTCGTCCCGTCCCCCATCACGGACCTCGGGTCCCCGGTCGAGGAACGCATCTACAACACCTTCTCCAACGAGATCCGATGCTGCCTTCGATGATAGGAGATATGCTAGCGAAGATGAGCAAGAACGCGGGTCTAAAACCGAAATTCAGAGCATCATGGAGCAGTTCAACGAGGCTGGCGGCGGTCCTGGCATCGAGGAGGTTATGAGCCCGCGATTAGAGATAGCATCGCCGCGCTTGAGCGGTCCTGTTCAGCACCCTCCGCGTAAGTCAAGTTTGGAGCCTCTTGCTCCAAGTATTACCCAACAGCTCCAAGAGATGGAAGGTCTATCCATATCAACTCCGTCGCCGTCATCGTCAAGCCTTAATTTGAAAGAAAAAGAGCCTGAGGAACGTCGTCCCCCTGTCCCTCCTAAAGATGATCAAGTGCGCCACAGGGCTCCGGGCCCTGTACGGCATAATTCGCAAAGTACTACAGACCTTCCCATGTCTCCAATCGCCTCCTTACACCGTCCACCTCCTCCCGAGCCCGAGCCCGAGCCAGCGCTGCCCTTTGACTTCCACAGGTTCCTTGAGCAGCTACGCAACAAGAAGGCCGATCCTATCGCCAGGTACCTCAAATCATTCTTGACGGAGTTTGGAAAGCGACAGTGGATGGTTCATGAGCAAGTCAAGATCATCAGCGACTTTCTTGCTTTCATTTCCAACAAAATGGCACAGTGCGAGGTCTGGAGGAACGTGTCCGACGCTGAGTTTGACAATGCACGAGAGGGAATGGAGAAGCTCGTCATGAACCGGCTTTACACACAAACCTTTTCCCCCGCAATCCCACCACCTCAGCCGATCCCGGGGATAAGGCCCAAGAAAAAGGGTGGGGAGAGACCTATGGGCCCGGGCCGTCGAGGACAGCACCAGGAGGACGTTGAACGGGATGAGGTTCTCGCTCAAAAAATCAGTATCTACAACTGGGTGAAAGAGGAGCATCTCGATATCCCCCCAGTTGGTGAAGGTGGGAAACGGTTCCTTAAACTTGCACAACAAGGTACTGTTCGGTCACATCGCTCACCCCTAGAACAGACGCCGCTAACCACAACAGAACTTCTCAAAATAAACTCTTATCGTGCGCCGCGGGATAAAATTATTTGTATCCTCAACTGCTGCAAAGTTATCTTTGGTGGGTATTAATGCTCATCGATCTTAGTAGCGGCCGGCTAATCGTACCCAGGCCTTTTGAAGCATACCAAATCAGACCTTTCGGCCGACTCATTTATGCCACTTCTCATATATGTCGTGCTGAAAGCCAACCCAGACAATCTCGTTTCGAATGTTCAGTACATCTTGAGATTCCGGAACCAAGAAAAGCTCGGCGGCGAGGCCGGCTACTACCTCTCGTCACTAGTTCGTTGGCCCTGTGGTCCTTTGAGTCTCCCACACCGCTAACAAATGCAAAGATGGGTGCTATCCAGTTTATTGAGAATATGGATCGCACAACTTTGACCATTTCAGACGAAGAGTTTGAGCGAAATGTTGAAGCGGCTGTTTCTGCCATCGCCGAGAAGCATCGCGCAGAGTCCCCGCCCCCTCCTCCTCCGGAGAAGTCGACCCCCCTGAGGCCGGCCTCAGCTCGACCATCCGCCGATGTCGACCGCCCTGCGAGGCCCCGTCGGTCCAGCTCGTCCAATGATGCCCGAGACAGCGGTGAGCATAGCAGCAGTGAAGAGAGACCTGCCATCGCCGGCCTTCTCCGGACTATTCAGAAACCTCTGAGCACAATTGGTCGTATATTCTCTGATGAGCCATCGCTATCTTCACCCCAATTTCCCAGTCACGGCACTAGTTATCCCATCGAAAGTGGTCCGAGTGTAATGGCCACTCCAGTACGTACGCCACAACCGGAAGGGCCACGCTCGAACGACCGGCGTTCAGAGCCTCAAACGCGGCAACGTATGCTAGTTGAAGAGGCTGCCGCACGTCAAGCGAGTGCGGAGGCAGAGGAAGCGCGACGTTTACACCAGGTCGAACATGCTAACATTGTCGATACGCTGGCGAGCATGTTCCCCGATCTCGATAGGGACGTCATCAGCGATGTGGTGCACCAAAAACAGGGAAGGTATGTGGCTTCGGTTATATACCAGTACAATCCTCTTGTTGCTGCTAGCCAAGCTGACTTCTTATTCACTTGCAGGGTTGGACAAGCGGTTGATGCGTGTCTCGCATTATCCGCATAGAGCTTTATAGGTGATTAGTCACCATTGATTGTGCTATACATCGTTTTACTCGTCTAATCATCGTTGTCATCTTTCTGCCAATGCATGGGGTGGGAATTCATGGTTAATTATATCCTGGCATTTCTTCAGGACTCGATCGCATAGCTTAGGACAGGCGCTACGGAGTCAGTTCAAGCGTGAACACCTAGTACCTAGACGTTTTTGCCCCTTTTAATAGTAGGACTGAACTACAGTCTTGCTACTATCTTCTCAGATATCTTGGCCCTCCCTGGAACAGTCTATATGCTCTCAATGAGTCTTCATGGTAAATATGCGATTCTGCCTCAAAGTCTCTCGTAAGCTTGATTGCCAGAGCCACGGGTTCAACTGACAAGCATTATCAAACATCTTCACTGTACCGAAAAGTATGTACGACCATACCCAGTGGAAAGCACGGCATCCCGTCCGCTCTGCCCTAGTTAAGCCACTGAGGGCCTGGTTAGTAGTTGGGTCGGTGACGACCAGCGAATCCCAGGTGTTGTACGTTTTGGTCTCTTTTTTCTTGCCTTTAAGACTAGTTCATTACTCAACCTTTGCCTTATGTATCCCCAGGGGTCGAAAGTTCGGCAACTCTGGCATTCCTCTCCCGCCACTTCCTAGGTCCTTCCTGTTAGTTTCCCCCCATCTCTTCATACTTCAGCGATACGTAAAAATGCCTATTTTGGCATCCAAAAACCCTTTCACTTGTAGTTGATACGTACGACACTGTAACGCTTGCAATTTACCGGTTTGGGAATCTCTGGCACAGTTCGAGTTGGGCTCTGAGCCGTACTTGGGATACCCTGGAGAGGAAGAACTTCAACAGCTGCGTGGCGCAGCGGAAGCGCGCCGGGCTCATAACCCGGAGGTCACTCGATCGAAACGAGTCGCAGCTAAAAGTCTGTTTTTCTTTTGCATCTGGTTGTATTCAAGATGATTGGGATTGGGTTCAAGTGACACTTTTCGCATATTCTTTTGACTATGGCGGCAAAACGGCAGCTCAACATAGATTTCTGGAAATCATACGTATCTTCCGCAGTCCCTTTTCTCCCAGCTCCAGTGTCTCAATTTGTACCTCCGGTTCGGGCTCGGCTGAGTCAGCAACTTAGCTGTTGTGGGGGTCGCCCCATATTTCCACATTCCCACAACCACCTGCTTTTTACACAGGCTGTGCCCATCCCGAACGCGACCCATGGAGGGTTCACCTTTACCTCCCTCCCCCATTCTGTCCCAGCGCCAGATTAAACTATCTACGGCTTAAACCATCATGTGTGGAATTCATGCTTTGATATCTCCTGCTATTTCACCACTTTCTCAGCCTCGGGATCTCGACAGTGTCTCACCTGAACTCAGACGCGTACTTGTCGCTCGCGGCCCAGATCATTTCGGCCAAGCCTGCCGCAAGTCAAATGGTTGGACTCTCCGCTTCACCTCCACGGTGTTGGCTCTACGAGGTGACCACATCACGCGCCAGCCATTAGAATCCGACAATGGGTCTGTTCTGTGCTGGAATGGCGAGGCCTGGCGCGTCAATGGCCAGCGCATACAAGCTGAGGCCAATGATGCCGAGGTTGTGCTCAAGCTACTGGTAAACGTTGGGTCATCAGCTCCAGGAGATGAAAGATTAGAGACATTATTAAACGCGCTGCGAGCCATAGAGGGACCTTTTGCGTTTGTCTACTACGACTACCCAGCAGAAACTTTGATTTATGGTCGGGACCGACTAGGGAGGAGGTCGCTTGTCTTAAGACAAGACGGCGATGAGCTCGAGCTATGCAGCGTTGCCGGCTCACTAGGGAATGGGTGGCAGGAAGTCGAAGCAGATGGCATCTATGTCGCGCGACTGAAGACGCAGGGCGGCTTGGATATTTCGCGGTGTCCCTGGATTGTTGGAGATAAGACTGCTGACTTCGTGAGTAGAACTCTTGCTTGTGAAGAGTTGTATACTAGTTGCAATACTGTGATTGTCCTGTCAGACTTACTCGGCTTTTCATCAGGTCTTTGGCCTTGGCAGGTTCAACAAGACGCAGCCATTCGGTAACCCCCAGTTAACGCGCTTTTCGACGTCGGTTACCATGCTGAAAGAGCAGCTACTGGAGTCCATACGACTGCGGATTCTCAATATTCCAGTACCCCCATCGACAGATGGCAGAACACGCCTTTCTGTGTTGTTTTCTGGAGGTCTTGATTGCACGGTACTAGCAAGGCTGTGCCATGAAGTGCTTGACCCAGATCAGGCCATTGATCTTCTCAACGTCGCCTTTGAAAATCCACGAGTCGTAGCCCAACTCAAGAATGGAGCCGATGGCACGTTATCTGACTTCTATGAGGCCTGCCCGGACAGAATTACTGGCAGAAGATCGTTTGCAGAGTTGCAAAAAGTCTGTCCCGGGCGAGCCTTTCGGTTTGTTGCTGTTAGTTACTGCCCATCACTTGCAGTGTATCTTGGCAGTGCCAACTAACTAGGTCAGGTGAATATACCCTATGCAGAGACACTGGCCCATCGCCAGCAAGTAATATCTTTGATCTATCCACACAACACGGAGATGGATCTTTCCATCGCATATGCGCTTTACTTTGCTGCGCGTGGTCAGGGGTTCTGCACGGATAGTTCCGCCTTCAACACTGTACCAAAGCCCTATACCTCTCCCGCCCGTGTCCTTCTCTCCGGTTTGGGTGCCGACGAGCTCTTCGGAGGTTATTCTAGACACCTTTCCGCGTTTCAACAGCGAGGGTATGTCGGCTTGGTTGATGAGCTGCTGCTCGATGTGGGCAGGCTTGGTAAGAGAAACCTTGGGAGGGATGATCGGGTCATGTCTCACTGGGGAAAGGAGGTAAGATTCCCCTTTCTCGACGAGCGGCTGGTGAGATGGGCTATCGAAACCCCCTCCTGGGAAAAATGCGATTTTGCGAACGGAGAAGATGTCACGGGTGTGGAAGCCAACAAAAGGATATTGCGGCTACTCGCCCTGGAACTAGGCATGGAGGGCGTAGCCAGAGAGAAGAAGCGCGCTGTAAGATTGCGCCTTGGGTCCCTGCCCATGTAACTTTTGCTGACAGCGTCAAAGATCCAGTTTGGCTCCAGGACCGCAAAGATGGAGAGCGGACGTGTCAAAGGGACCACGCTCATCTCATAAACTCCTCAGGCTTATTTGATACAGCGGCTGTGATGATAGTTACAGATACTTCCGAGTTTCGGTCGCGATGGTGAGACCTCGGTGGTCAGTCTTGTGGTTTCCTCGTGAAGCCCTTGCCGACCATTGGTAGGCTGCCATCGACATTACTCGACGATGAAGTAAAAAGGCAAATCTGAGCCGCTGTATCGAAGTCCATAGCGTGCTACTCGTCTGAAGGACCTTTGGCTGTCAACGCCATCGAGAAGGGCACTTGACGCGTCCTGCTCACCTTTTCAATGACCGGTTCACTTTATCATGGGCAGAACTTTTCAAAGTGTCTTCTCCCATAACAATGCAATTTACACTATCTGAAATGGTTTCATGCGATGATGCGACACCCATGCTGTGAGCAGCTGGCAGCCTCGAACGGCACAGGGGCTACCTTTCCGCGCAAGGTCACAACAGTGTTACGTCCTGTGCTGTCAAAGTGAATCACCTACCTCTGTAGTTGCGGAAAGATTGAAACCTGAGCAACTGAAATTGTAGATCACTGATCCCAGTTCTACCCAATGGCACGCAAATTTCGTGGAGCGATCCCCAGATCCCAAAATCCAAATCCTAATCATGTTTGTTCCGCAAATATTGTCAGCTGAACGCTTCTCGAAATTCTCGGCGTTTGCATTTGGTGGCTGGCCCATGGGGTGAGCCCTGTCAACCCCAGATTGCGTCCCTGTTCGTGCATCACCATGGTGCCACTTCTGCGGAACCCCTGATTTTAGTCCTTGCCGCTCCCCAGGAACCGTTGGCCGCCGTTGGGCTGCTTGATTCCGGCATACCCCGGCTCAGGACCTCGGCTCAGGCCGAGTGGGCTTGGCTAGTACCTGAACGCCACGCTCAGGGTTGTCAGGTGCCGTTCGAATGCACCTTTTTTGGACTCCTTGTCGGCTCATACCCGTGCCCATCTGGATTTTCTTTTGCCCTTTTCCTATTTGTCTTCTTTCCGGTCCATCTCTTTTCGCCTTTTGTTTCTCCTTCCATGCACACTCTTTGTATGTCTCTCGTTTTCGATGTCTCGTTCGTTTGCTTTACATCGCCAGCATTGGGTTTGATGCCGATTGGTTTTTGAACAGAGTACACACAGCAGCCCTCTGTTTGAATGGGTTTGTTGGATGATTATCTGCACTGCCGCCATAAGACGTTTCCCATTTTCAAGGCCGCCCGTGTTTCGGTCCCCTCTCCTGTGCCACACCAGGCTTTCCAACACCTGCCCATTGCGCGACCCTCATTCTGAACTTAGCAACGGTCTCTACAATCTTCACCTCGATTTCTGCTCGCTGGCAACATTCATTTTTTCACAAAACCACTATCTATTCAACCGCGACCACCCCCTATCGCCTGACATGAATTCTTACCTTTACCTTTTCAATATCTAGGCGTGATCTTGTCAGTATCACGGCTCTCCTTGATATCAAGGAAATTAAACCCCCGTGGTTCTTGCTCGGTTGGGAACCATACGCTCACAATGGATGAAAGACCGAGTCAAGATACCGAAGTCACCATGGCCCCGACGCCGAGCGGTCCTCCCTCCCCGGGAGAACCTCCTGCAAGCAAGCCTCGTCTTCAGCGACGGCAGTCTCGTTTTACTGAAGATATCATGACAGACGGAACGCCAGCTGCTACCGCCTCGGAAACGACTCTTAATCTCTGGTATGGCCCGTCGAAGGAGAATATCAGCTCGAATAACCGCAGCATGACCGATCTCTCAGCCAACGACAAGTCTATAATTTCGAAACTAAAGGGAAATCAAAACTGGCTAAACCGACTTCGGCTATTGCATAGCGGCATTCACATGCTCCTGATCTCGGTGGTCCTGGCATTCTATGGTTGCGCGATCCACACCGCGCAGCTGAACGGGCGAAACTCGCTGGGTAGGGTTTCCATCGTTGTGACTTGTGTCCTTGCTGTTGAGTTCCTTCTCGACGCTTCTGTGCTAGCTGTCCCGAAACAATCGTGGACGAGGGGTGCACACATCCGATACATGCTTCGCGTCATCTGCTCCATGGCCTATTTTTGCATATTTCTCGTTTACGAGTCTCTGGGCCATGTGTTGCCGGATGGAGACACATATTGGGGTATGTCTCCTCGTGAAGCCAAGATCTTCGTTTACACCTTTGTATGGGTAGAATTGTGAGTTTCTCAACTGCTGCAATACGTCTGTTTGACTTGTGGCTAACGAGCATTATTTTAAGTTATTGGAGCCTATTGCACACCATCATGGGGACTTTGCTACGAAGAAGACAGAATGTCAGGATTATGGTTTTTACGCCTGAAGGCCATGAGTACATCCGGGAGCCTTCCCGCTGCCCTGTTATCCGCACTTGGCAGCGGCTCGTCTACTGGGGAAGGGGCAAAAGCTCCGAATTCAAGCTTGCTTGCCAGCAGTATGCACGAGAGCAAAGTCGGCCAAGCCTCCAGCATCAGCCGTCTTCTCTACCGCAAAAACAGCAGTCGCAAGAACACGTGCAGCATCAAGATCAGCCACGCCGGTCACAAATAAGGAACACAATCTCCCGTTATGATCACCCATCAGATCTTACGCTGTGGGAGGAACCTGAGGAAGATACTGGTTCGCGGCGCGGGACAGCAAAGGATGATAGCGAGAAGATCGCCCAGGCGAGCCGCTTCGAGGCTGTGGATGAGGAAAGCATTAAAGAGGAAGCCACTGAGAAGTGGAAAGAGGCTGCAGACGGCATCGACAACGTTAACCGGTTAGGTCCAGCTCTGCGGCCTGCTGATATCAGGCAGTGATTGATTATTTTGGATATTTCTCCGACGGGCTGATTGGCTGGTGCATTTTGGAGTAATGGTAATGATTTATCGGGAGTTCACGATACCCTTAATGACGTTTGTTCTGGATAGGGTACCCGGGTCAATCTTAGGCGTGGTTGGAGGCAAGAAGGCATACGGCGTACGGTCACGGCTCGGTGCATACAATATGAATGGAGCGTACATAGATGATAAATTTGACTTTTTGAAGAAGCTCAAGATCGATCGCACAAGAAGGTTTTCCACATCTTGGCAGTGAGCATCGCAATTGAGCATCCGCTACACAGCTTATATATGGCTGATGTTATTTACAGTAGCACCTGATGCGCCCCGAAGGCCTGTGTCTCTGGAAGACGGATAAGGCAAGCGAGTTTATTTCTGGGGGATTACGATAGCTGCTTATCTTAACATGGGTTCCCATGGAAGATGAACCCGCTGGCTTCCCTTTGAGCATACTCGCCAAGAGGAAACCTTGATAGGTAAAATGCTTGGGTATTTTCTAACGTGGTTCCCCACAAGGCACACAGGGATAGATCTACTGCTTTGTCTTGACAAGTTGGCACTGCCGCATTACGGCTGAGGTCGGGTATAAACTGTTTGGGACCAATCACACTGAGCAGCGCCACGGTCCAGCCATCTGTCTCTAGCTCGTTCACTCTTCGTATTTTGCGGCCACAGGTTCACCAGCAAGCATAGTTCCTGATCAGTGTGCCAACCCAGCCGCAAGGTGAATGGACAACATCTGTGTCTCTTTCGCCTTGGCTCACCACTTGCTGAAACGCAGAGACCCAATGTTTAAACTCTAGCTCCGAGATGGCTTGTAGTTGGAGTACTTGAATCATAGTTGTGGCCAATCATCTAGCTCCGGCTGACTGTCATTCTAAGGGAAAAAAAAGCACGGTGGGCGAATCTTATGTTAGGTGGATCCTCTGCCGCGGGGTTCCCTCAATATCCGACGTGGATTATCTGCTCAGCCGAACGAGCCGTCGGTCATTATAACGGTTGTGCGAGCTGCGCCCCTCAAAGATCGTGCAAGATTCAGTGGCTTGAGAACGTTATCGCAGACGGGAGGATCACTGGGAGCGTGTTGGCAAGAAAACTGGGGTATCAACAGGATCTTTCATGTAGATAGCCAGAACAGTTTTGCGCCCGTCCGATTATAGAACGACTCTGGGTTGTTGTCCACACTAGAGCCTCACTGACCGGTCACCAGAGTGGACTGCGATTTGCAGCCGTGATCCATTCCAAGTCAAACATGTGGCCATGCCTGGTGAGCCCAAGCTGCTGGACTGGGACTTGTATAACAAAAACCCAACTCCCCCGCTCCAGCATATTGAATCGAACTGCCCGTCATAAATGCACTGCATCTTGCTGCAGCTTGTTTCAACGTAGCACTCCGGATGTTGTTTGTCTATGTTCTCTTTGCATGATCTGGAACCTAGATATCGGGCAAGATGTGGCTGCCACATGCCATGCGTAGCATAAGAGAAGTGCAGAAAGAGGGAGCAGAAGCACCGGCGGCCAACCATGTAACACCAAAGCCAGCAAGCAGCACTGTGGCCTGGATCGTGATCTCAGTGGTAGGCGGCGTTCTCATTTTAGGTGGTCTCATTGCGTACACCGTCAGCCGCTATACCCGTCGACGCCAATACCAAAGAGCAAAGCGATTCGAACCGACTCTGTCCTATGATGACTTCATTAAGAGATCGCGACTAAGCATGACAGATCGGTTCTGGGAGGAGGAAAAACGCAGGAGCTACATTATCCAGAAGTCACTCGCGGCTCGGACGTCAATGTCGATACCATCCCTGGCCGAGAGGCGCCCGTCTGGAGTCCAATCGATCGAACGAAACCCCACAGAGACGGCGGCCGATATCGAGAGGGAGATTGCAGCACTTGACCGGCAGGCATCCCTAAGGCTCAAAGAAGACTGGAAGCGGTGGGAAGCCAGGATCAAGAACGAGAGGTCATGTTCGGGGGAACAACATCCCGCGATAGCCGGCACGGAGACTCTATCCGGGACCCCAATAAGTGGGACCAAAAGGCCCAGGACGCCGACGGGGTCCACGAAAACAGCAACGGCAACCAGGGTACCGATCCTTGCGGTTCCGTCGCCAGCGAAACTGCGAACTCACGGTCGATCCGGTAGCAAGGGGAATCTTCAGACTCCATCACCGACGCCGCCGCCGCGAAACCCTAATCGCTTGTCACCGCCACCACTGCCGACATAACTACGAAAAGTATTTGTTCAGGCCTGCTTTGGCGGAAGATCCAATTTCAAACAAGATTATGAATGGTGATACCTGTTGATGAACCAGTCGGCTGTTTTTTTACCGAGCAATAGGAATTATCGTTGACAGTCGGCCTGCGAAGTTTCAAGAACTTAGGTCGTCAAGAGTGCTGACAGCCTCTAGGGGGTAAACAAGGGCCTAGAGCACTGACGTCATTCCTTAGTGAGCGGCGCCTCGGCATCGGACCCGCAGCGATAATGAACAGCGCCCTCTGAAGGCTGAACAGCGCCAACAAGGCCCATTAACCTCTTTTTTTGGTATTCGAAGACACTCCACAACCAAGTGAGGACTCAGGAAATTGTTGGTAGACGACATAATGATGCATATGACTGTCGCAGGTTACATGGCTGCGAGGAAAAGGGAGCATGTCATCTTGGGTTTTGTGAAGGCAAATCGGACATCAAACGTGAGAGAAAATAAGCCAAAGCACTTCTACATCCTGAGAGCAGACAGTGAAGTTTCAGGGTATAAGTATATCAGAATTTCAGCTGAGTCAAAATTCTGCCCTATACGTAGAGGCATTCCTAAATCCAAACACATTCTCGCATAACCAAGCGTGTCTGTTGACGACGACATTTCTGTTCACAACGTTTCTAGTTAAAACCTGCGACAATGCTTTGAAACAAACCCAGCCACAGAGAGAGGAAGGTGGGCCTAGATCACGTGTAAACTCCAGCATTTATTGGACGAACATAAACAGACGCAGTGACTGCCACTGAGCGCCTGCTGCAGCCTGTAGGTCGCAACAGGCGCCCCCCCCCCTTCCCCAAATTTGAGGCCAACACTGCACTGCGCTCTCCACGGGCCTTTGACTTGGACGCTCCCATTTCTTTCCTGACCCCGTGTCCTCGCCGCTCGCTCTTGTGCCCGGCCGGCGCAACAACATAAACAGAAGCAGATATTTTCTGCAGCTGCTTTCAGTTGCGCTCTCGACATTTCCATTAGCCTGGCCGTTTCCCCAAGTTCACACAGCGACGACGAGCCACTTAAACCAACAACACCAGGCCCCCCATCTTTACCGGCCACCGACTGTTCTTTGTTCTGAGACGCGCACCCTGACCTCCACATCCGGGGCGGTTTCGGACGCCTTAGCTGGTTTGCAGAGCAGTCGCTGAAGGTACCTCTTTTTCCAGCTCTTGCACGCCCTGCCATTTTGCTGCAGAGCAAGCTACTCACGGGCGCCCAGTGTTGCCGTGGTTTACAAGCCGGCGTCCATCACCTGTTGCGAGCTTCTCGCTGCTTCTAGCAACTTCTGTTGGAGTAGAAGCATCAACCCCCCATCTAGCCTGACCACTTGGTCTCGCGGAGCCCATCAAGCCTACGTCCTCTTGCTCGCCTATCGAGCGCCCGACGACTTGACGCGTGCCGCTCCCACTCGCTTGTCTAGTATCCCTAGCTCTGCCCGCAATCCATCCTTGTGCTCGCGCTCGCTGCAAGTCGGTTGGCTACCCATTTGAACATGGCGAACCCCTTTGAGGCGTTTGCGGCTGAGAATGCCGTGAAGGAGGGCGAGTTCAAGGAGGATCTTAACAACTATCTCATCTGCAAAGATTGCAAAGAGTTTCCCCCGAACCTGATCGAGGAGTTCTCTTCTGGAGACATGGTATGCGGGTCATGCGGACTGGTTGTGGGCGACCGCATCATCGATACTCGTTCGGAATGGCGCACCTTTTCCAACGACGATCAGGGCAACGATGACCCATCCCGTGTTGGTGACGCTCCGAACCTGATGATTGACGGCGACCAGCTCCAGACCACAATCGCGTATGGTGAAGGAAAGAATGCCAGGAACCTGTCCCACCTGCAGAACAAGGTCAACCAGGATAAAGCATCCAAGGCCCTGCTGCAAGCATACCGCGATATCCAGAGTCTGACAGACTCGATTAATACTGGTTCGCAAGTTGCGAATGCGGCCAAGCATATCTACAAGCTTGTTGAAGACAACAAGGCGCTCAAGGGCAAATCGCAAGAAGCTATCATTGCCGGTTGCATCTTCATTGCTTGCCGCCAGATGGGCGTGCCACGTACCTTCCGAGAAATCTATGGCCTGACAAAGGTGTCAAAAAAGGAGATTGGTCGTGTCTTCAAGCAGCTTGAGGCCTTCCTCCAGAAGATGGGAGGCGAAGAACAGGTCGCCCAGACCAGCATCTTCACCGCGCAGTACCAGGCCAAGGGCTCGACGAGCGCACCCGAGCTTTGCGCCCGCTACTGCAGCAACCTCCGTTTCCGCCACGCTGTCCGTGTCGAGAATATTGCCCGCCGCCTGGCTGAGAAATCGGCTAAGGTCACCGATCTGGCGGGTCGGTCCCCGCTCTCGGTGGCAGCGGCATGCATCTACATGGCCTCTCACCTTGCTGGAGAGCCCCGCACTTCTAAGGAGATCTCTGTTGTCGCCGGAGTCAGCGACGGCACTGTCAAGACTGCTTACCGCTACCTTTACAATAGCAAGGACGTTATCTTGACAGAGGAGGTCTTCCCAGAGGGCGTGCCTCCCACGGACAAGCTGCCGGTGAACTAGAGAATTGCTGGTGGGACTCAGGATGGCATAACCAAGCTATCTGACTTTGCATCGGGATCTGGCGCATGGGAGTTTAGAGATAGATGAGCATACTGCAATTGAGGCTGGCAGGGCTTCTTTTTGGGGCAAACGCCCATGTGCTACCGTTTACTTGAGAGCACAAGCACCCATCAGGCCCATCAGACCAACCTGATTGGGAGGAACTTACTTACCTACGTACACCTAATAATAAGTCTTCTTGTAGGCAAACTGACGAGAGGTGGAAGGAAGGAGAGCAGCTTCGGAGCAGATGTGCACGGCTGGGGTTGCTTTTCTTTTTTTTTAAAAAGACTGATGATGATACAGTGCGTAATGACATGACATCCATTGCAGATACTGTGCTATCGCATTGTGTTTATCGAATTATGATTGGTTTGCTGGTCGCACTGGTGGGGTAACAATCACTGCTGGGGGCCAAGGCTGGCTTGTGCGCAAATCCCCATCCGCGTCTCTGGTTTCCGTGCAATCGCGTCGCCTGTGTCGTGCTTAGTCGTGCCTGGTCGCATTTGGACTCGCGCAGTTCGAGTGCCAACCGCTGCGACGACCGACTCTGCGCCAAACAAAGTGCTGCAGCAGCAACCATTCTAACGGACTACTTTGTAACACAGCGGCAAACAGACACCTCTCAGTCATGCCTTCTCGACGGTCCGGCCGCGCCGCGGCAAAGCGCGCCCAACAAGCACTGGGTAAGTTTCGAAGTTTGCCCTGTTCAGAAGCCTTTCTTCAGGTTCCAGGTTCCATCCAGCTTTCCAGCTTCCCTCTCCCCTCTGCGCCTTCACTGCACTGCGCCTGCCCATCTGCGACACCGTATCAGTCAACCATTGTGTCTGCGTTTGCATGCGGAGCGTCCCTTTTGCTCTGCCGAAACGCGCTTTCCGTCGGCGTGCAGCAAAGCTTTGCGAGCGTCCTGATCTGACGCCCAGTTTGGTCACTTCCTCCAAACGGTGACCATCGAGGGGTAGCGGGGATCTGCTGCTGCATGCCTACCTTACCTACCCCATCGCAATCCATACATCCCACGCGATCCGTCCCCCTGTATCGCTTCCACGACGCATCGGAATCGCAATTGCAGGCTGGCTTGCGGTTAGCTGGGTTTAAAGCTGAGCAATGGCTGACACTGTGACTCCCTTGCCAGAGAGCACGCCTAAAACCTTCGAGGGCATCGACGATGAGGATGAGCCCATGCCTGATGCTGCCGAGCAAGAGGATGCGGAAGCAAAGGATGACGCCGACGAGGATGGCGACAAGGACGATGGATCTGTCGTCGAGGAAGAAGCAGTAGAAGAGGACGAGGAGGAATCAGCGAAATCACCCACGCCTCCTCCCGAGCCCGTTGTCCGCCGGCGACGCCTGGGTCGACCCCCCAAGAACCGCCCTCCGGACTGGGACCAGTTGCCCATCGAGCCACCGAATCCCGATGCTACGCCCCGGCGCCGTGGACGTGGAGGATGGCGCGGCCGCGGCGGCCGCAAGGGCCAGCAGCAACAACCGCAGCAGCAGGCAGTTGAGGTTGATGGCGTGTTCTACAACATCGTGGATGACGAGCTGGATCTTCCAGAGGATCCTGAGGGTGAGGAGAAGGTTGACAAGTTGGGCAACCTCAAGGGCGGTCGCGAGTATCGGTGCCGTACCTTCACCGTCTTGGGGCGCGGCGAGCGGCTCTATATGCTTTCCACTGAGCCAGCGCGCTGTGTGGGCTTCCGCGACTCATACCTCTTCTTCACAAAGCACAAACGGCTCCACAAGATTATCGTTAATGATGAAGAGAAGCGCGACATGATTGAGCGGGACATCATCCCCCACAGCTACAAGGGTCGTTCGATCGGTATCGTCACGGCGCGGTCCGTCTTCCGAGAATTCGGTGCTCAGATCATCGTTGGCGGCCGTCGCATCATCGACGACTATGAGGTGGCCAAGGCGCGCGCTGATGGAGTGGTGGAGGGCGAGCTTGCCGACCCCAACGATATCTTTGACCCTGACAAGCCGTACAATAAGAACCAATATGTCGCCTGGCATGGTGCCAGTTCGGTATACCACTCTGGTGGTCCATCTGTGCCCCAGCAGAATGTCAAAGCCGATACAAAGAAGCGCCGGGTTGCTGTCAATGATGTCAATTGGCAATTGGAGCATGCCCGCGAAGCCAGGTGAGCTCTTGAACTCGTGGATTGCAACTGTTATAATACTAACTTGTCTCTCCTGTAGCCATTTCAACAGCGTTCTCTCGGCAGTCCGCCGTCAGAACCTCAACGGTGTTTATGACATCCACACAAACACAATGTTTTATCCGCGCACCATGCAGCCAACACATGCCCGCATTGTTCAAGTCAACGACTCCGAGGTATCGCCTGATGCTCATAAGTCCAAGGTTTTCCCACCTCTCAAGCCTTCCATTTCCCGTAATTTCCTCGTTCTGGACACCCACCTCGAGACTCCTCCCGCTGGTATCTCCCCTGCTGCTTACGACGTACCCTTCCGTACATCCCGCGCCGACTACGAGAACTGGCTTGCGACCGATTTCACAGCGCCTTTCAAGGGCCTCATGGCTGTGTCGGACGAGATTCGCGACCTGCTGCCCCCAGAGTGTCGTGCTGCGTTTGATCGCGCAAGAGAGCAGGAAGAGAACTGGTTCGCCAAGTGGGGGGATGAGAAGGATTGCACCTCGCGTAGGGAACCCATCATCGATAAGGCGATTGTGCCATATTCGATGACTCTTGGTTGAGAGAGACCATCAAGGGTGTGGGCAGATCACTGCAGCGGGCATGCGGGAGGGCAGTTAATACATATGACAGGTAATCCAGAACTGGTAGTAGTTCGAGAGGAACCAGGCCTATGAGTGAGGAAACAAAAGGAGAGAATTGGTTTCTGGTTTTGTCAGTGGGCGCTATCTCTTTGTGCAACGATCTTGTACTTCGATATCCCTAGTTATGTCCATGAGAAGGAGGAAACGAAACATGATTTCTTTATACCACAAGGTGTGGACTCGACTTCTGTCCGTGTTCTCAAGGGCCTGGAAAGAGAGAGTGCGGTTGCTCCTTGAAGGGGTTCTTGGGTATGATACCGCTCGGGTTGAGCCGTGGTCTTTGATACAGGACAGATTAGTGCTAGAATGTGGCAAATAAGTGACAGTTCACACTGAGTTTTGATGTACGTCCAGTTGCAGATAAGTCAGTAGGATCGTTGGTTCTTGCTTGTAGTTTAGCCTATCTCATTTGCCATTTTTCATCAAACTGTGTGGGCTCTGCCTTGTAAAGAGAACTAGAACATGGTTAAACAATCCGAAAACTGGGGTCATTCACGCTCAACAAGGACATGAGCGATGCGCTCTTGAAACTCATACGTAACTGCTTAGTCATCCATATATTCGGTCAAGTGTCAACTCAGCTTACTCTCATGTCCGCAAATTTGAATCGGAGCTTACATCTCTTACCGTTCAGATGATACTCAACCTCAAGTTCGGTAATACAACGTTTCTATTTAAACCAACAATCCACACTTACCGGACCAAAGCCGACGTTCTTGCCGTGGTGACTTTTCCGTAGGCCGAAACAACTCGACAACCAGAGGGTTGGCCAACATCGCGACGGCTTAAAAGAAGGCTGATGGATGACCGTGCCACCCAAAGACGTCAGTCCACACACCTGACCGCATCCAAAATGATTCTGGCTACGAAATGTAGGCAGTGTATGACAACTGCGAAGCACGATCAAAATGAATGGCTTGTCACAGGCTCGTCCTTGTGTATGTGTGTGATAACGGACTGACCGGGAAGGCATCACAAGGGACAGTAGGCAGCCCTCTGAGTGGCATGCAGGTTGTGGCAATATTCATCGAAATTAACATGGTTCAAGCAACACACACACACACACACACACACACACACACACACACACACAATCAGGCGCAGACATACCTGCGTATGCCATGCATCAGACTTTCGTTCTCCCGTCCGACGTGTCCTGTTAACAAATCCGTAAAGTCATGCATAAGCAGACAACAGCAAGTCCGCGTGCAGAGTCTGCGTGCAATGTGACTACCTGTCAGTAAGTCCCCCTAACGAAACATGCCACTTTAGGTTTGCGAGGAAAACCACAGAGCATGACGGTCGTAACCCAACATGATCATCGCGGGGGCGATATCGGACGACACAGGAACGCTTGGCGCGGCGCTGCTCTGCAACCAATGACAACTGATGTAGCTCGAATTACTAGCCACAAACTGCATCAATGGGCCAGCCGTACGGAGCTGCGGATCGCAAAAAAAGAGGCTATAATTTTGTTACGAGTGGCTTGACCATGGATGGATTCATTACTCGAGATGTTGACTTACGGGATACCATGCCTGGCGAAGCGTTCAGATTGCTTATGACGCTGGTGACGATGTGGGCGCAGTGAGGTCGGGGAGGGTCCATCTGCCCGATGAGAATTACGAGAGAACACCACGGGCGCAGTTGTCGATCGACATCGACCAACCACCCGTTATACGTACATATGTAAAACGAGACTTGCTCCACCCTTCTCCAGGAGGCTGAGGAGAGGGAGCCGGAGGAAGCACAAGGGCAAGTTTCAATAGAGTTGAATAACAGCGCCTGACAAAACAGACGGCCCAATCCGTCCACGTGCATAGACTACGCGGCTGGTGCTATGACGAAATACTATTAGCCTTGGTAGGCTTGAAACTCTTTTTGGCGCGAAAGGCCGAGCATGGCCTGTGTTGGAGAGGGTCGTCGATGGCACCTGTGAGTGGACGGATCGCAGTGCGAGACCGAGCCGAGAGAAGAACGGAGCGGAGCAGCGAACCCACTGGGACATTGCCGATCTGGCTGGCGCAACGAAAAAATTCTGATTTCTCCCGTGAGCGATCGAAGCGCCGATACAACCCGGCAAGCGTGCCCGATATGGGAACTAGCAGATGCAGCAAAGAACGCATCGACGCATCTGGTGGGAATAGGGGGGCATCGGGAACGCAGGCCCCGCTTTGGGTATCCTCACGGACAAACCTGCGTCTTGAAAGAAGCGATGCGATATGCTTGATGTAACAGAATTCGGCTTCGGTTTGAGTGTTTCGGTCCCATTCTGTGGATCACTTCTCAGATGTAGTTGTGCTGAGCTGGCGGCATGAGAACAAGAGAGGAAAGACATAGGAGATATTGACCATACGCCAGAATAAATGGCGAAGAGAACTTGGAAGCAGAGGAAGGGCGGGACTAATGAGTCGCCGCGCATGCTGTGGGCAAGCCAATCGAGAGCCATGATTTTGCCTTGTATGAGAATATGAGAGGTTGTTGGTGGGGGGCGGGCGCCGTTGGCGATGCTACAGAACCATCGGATGGCCAAAGAAAGTTGCAGTTGAGGGAAATTTTTTGCCCACTTTCTTGTCGTCTGATCCATGTCATTGTGCGCCTCTATCGAACCTCCCTAAAAGTGGCTCCCAGTGGGCCAGCGTGAGCGCTGGATGGATAAAGAGGGGTCAAAGGAAAAAAAATTCCTGGACAGAACTTGACGCAGGGTCTCCACTAGACACATGCATTACCCCACCAGCGCGTGGGTTGCGCACCCTGTGGTTGTGTGTTGAGGCGCGGGGCGTTCCTGCCCAACGCCGATCTAGCCCGTATGCAGCGCGGTCCTTGATGAGGGGCGGACATCGGGAAGGATCTGATGAGACAGAGCGGAGCCCTCTACTGATGCCGGGACTGGCGACCACGAACGACGGAGCTCGGAGCAAGTCCCGAGGTTGACTCCGGCATGCCGGCAACCTATCTTGCCCGTAGGAGGGCGGTTACGGGTTATTGACAAATGCTCAACAAGCAAAATGCATAGCTTCATGTCTGGGGTACTTTATCTTACATGAGATGTAATGTGGATAGGAAAAACTTGAGTTTAGAATATGACGAGTCGTCCAGGTTGACACTTCTGCACTGTACCACAGAGCGCTCACACAGCTGGTAAGTAGTACCTCTGAAACTGTTCAACGCTTTCGCAGCCATAGGCGAATGTTGTCTGCCTTGACCTTGGCATTTTTGCCTTCGGGAATCGTTTGTTCGAATCTTTCGGCAAGTCTTTAGCCAGAGGGAAACAGTCGTTGCTCAGCCATATTCTTGCTTGTGTATACAACTGCCTAGTACATCCTCTGGTTGAGTAATGAGTGTGTGGTCAGTAAGTCTGCGTGTTCGAATCGTCATGCCCAGGGTACATGCGAAAGAGCGAATTGCATGTGGGATTCCACTGGCTGCAGCCTGTCTGGCGATGAGCTGTTGTGCTCATCGAACGTCACTCGCAGGAGGAAGATGAGCCATGAAACCTCAGCCCAACGCTAGCCGACCCGCTGGGCCCTTTTGCCTCCATGAAACCTGCAACGGCCACCTCAAGACTGAAATGGATGCACATTGACAATGGTTGACGATGTACCCGCAAGGCTGTTCACCTGTTGATGAAGCGCGTTTTGTGCACTTGAGTGGGCGCTTTCTTTCTAGGCATGCCCGTTGACAGATTCGTTGCAGCAGCACTGCCCGCCACACCGCCTGCTCCCAAGCGTCACAGCCCAGCGGCCCATGGAAACTGGGAAAGTACCACGTATTTCCACGTCCACTCCTCTGACTGGGCCAGACAGTCGCCTTCCATATCAACGAGGACAACGACTCACCAGTGAATTAGCCCTGGTCGCCAACCTACGCAGCTGGTGATATTGATGGCCAAGCCATAGGTTGCTACTTTGGCCTCCAATTCTAGCAAGCTGGTGGATGGCCGCCTCAGAGGGGCAGGCGGTAAGCGCCGAATTGAGGGGTCGTCTGGAGCTGACACGTGATGCTGATCAGGGCTCTGGAGGATCTCGTGGTGAGCGTTTTGGTAGCGTTGAGATGGAGTGCTTACATCGGATGCAAGACCAAAGTAGTCATATTGGCATCATGGAATTTGGACACACCCTGTTGCTTGTGTCTCATTTCCCGTGAACCAGGTCTCCCACAAGCATCCCGAGCAGATAGAAACATGGCAAGCAGGAATAAGGGCTTTGTGTCAAAAGTGGGCTGCAAGATACGTACTCTATGCTTTGCGGGACTGTTTGAAATCGTGATTTCGCCCAAAGCCTGATGGTCGAAATTGAAACTTGGTTTGTTCAAGCACATGAGGTATAACTCCAGCTGCCATTCAAAACTCCATGCCCAGGACTTAGGTTGCTAACCATTCACAAACATGAATCCAACATTTTGACGTGAGTTTCCTGGTTCATCTGCTTTGATATCACAGGAGAAGTCTAATCAACTGTGCAATTCTGGGTTTATAAGTCCATATCATTCTCGCCTTACCTTGCCTAAAGGGATACATTGCCGTCAACAGTCCTGGGGGATAGGTAACGTGTTTGCTTCAGGTACATCATGAAGTCTCGGGAGACAGGGACGGGCTGGGTGTTGACGAACGCGTCTCCCAGATCCCTGGTTCCAGCTGGCCTTGTTGACCGCTTTCTCTTTCAGCTTTCGCCGGAGCCCAGCCCCGCACCACAGGGGTGTCTCTAACAAGCGACGCTGTTACGGCCCTGCTTCTCCGATAGTCCCAGCCGGCCAGCTCGCCTGTGAGAAATCCTTCAAACGTCACTGGATTGGATATCCCGGAGCAAGCACAGGCATTTTTTTTGGTTTTCTGACTCGTGCTTCAGAATTTTTGTAAGGGGCCTGGCTAGAAAATTCTTGAAATGATCTCGGACCTCCGGACAAAAAGCTATGCCACGTTATTAGGTACCTACTTATTGTACGCTATGTACTTGTAGAAGCCCTATGCCCTCTCCAGACCATGGTTGTCGATTGACTTCCGTACCATTTCCGAGCGAGGCCAAGACGTGCACCGGGCCATCTCCTCCTCTTCATCACCATTGTAGTTTTTTTTTTTTGATAACACATAGGCGATTTTCGGTCTAGGTTACTACCCTCATCTTAAAGTGGGTTTCATCAGGTTCTGCTGGCAACTCAATATGTAGGCACTTTGACACCGTTAGCCTACTCTTCTCATCGCTTGAATTTTAAACCGCACACTGCCTGCGACCCATAAAGTCACTTGGTACGTACCCCACGAGTAGGCGTCAAGGCAAAGCTGGCCTGCGAGACCAATCAGAAGCACAGCCGCCTTCTGCAGCTGATGAGGGGAGGCTGGCTCGTCTAACCAGTCCCAGCTCACAGCGTCATCGTGGCTGCAGGAGCTCATGCTCCTCTGGTGAAATGGGGTCATGGCTGGTCGGATCGGAAGAGCTTTACGTACACTACGGCGTAAACCAATGTCCAAGGGAGCATGCTTTCCTAGCCAATCTTTTCAAGTAACCGAACCGCACCTACCGGTAGGTAGCTCAGAGTCTTTTTGATCATGACCCTCACTAGCCCCGTCAGGCTATTGGTCATGATGAATATTGGAAATTATATCGTATATAACTCTGATGTGCCGTTATTGTAGGTATACGCCCAAGTCCACATTTGCTGCTACCTATTGCCGGAGCTACTTGTGTACAAAATAACATATGTACGTTTCTTTATTCAATTCTGTTGAGGGGCTACGCGGGATGAATCCTTTTCGCTTCCGGCGGATGGAGGGCTACACCATCGTTACGGAACAGCTGTTGTGAAAGCTTTGCGGTTGAGTGTACCTACATGCCTGGTGCAAGTAATGTAAGGTAAGATTGACCCACATCCAATACCGGACCGCTTCCCAATTTACCACTGACTGCTAGAAATTCACTCACTTTCATCCCGGCTCATGACATGTGAGCAAGATGTCAGTCAGACTCAACTCACAATCGACATTAACACATGTTTCTGCTGATGGAAGTTGTGTGCTTAAAAATGGACATGAGTCAGGCTAGACTCCTTAACCCGCTCTGTGAAATGAGCTTTGGAAGTCTTGCTTGGATGCGACCAGCTCGCTTCTCAAGGGTGCCCATACAAGTTTCTGCCAAACTCTGCAACATCGACGCCAAGAGACTTCTACCAAGATGTCCCTCCGCTTGGGCTCCGTGGTGCTCTGTACACCCGTGGGCAGATTTTTTTCTCACAATTTGGGCTTTCCGCTGCTGCTCTGTATATCGAGGATGATGCTACCAATGCTATATTAGGCAGTCTCTAAAGCTGTCTGGCTTCACAGCACAAGGACAATAGGCTGGACTGAGAACTGGAGAGGACATGGCTTGTACGGAGTTACAGCAGTCCGTAATCCGTACGCGCGGTATGTGTGGCCGAAGAAACACGGGATATGGAAGGTCAGATTGTTGCACCCCCCAACCAACCGTTTCCCCCATCCCTGCATCTGAGGACCTGGCCTGGTTTGGGTAAACCGTCTGTCGGTTGTGAGAGAGCGACCCACTGCCTTCTCCTCTCGATTCTTGGCAAAACTCGCCACAGCCAAGAAGTCTCTGGCAAAAGGTTTCAATCGGCGATAATAACCCTGGTCATTTCCGTCATCGTCGATGCTGTGTCCGAGTGAAATTACGGGTTCATTACACGTGTGAGGATATCGGCTGTCTGTCCTCATACGACGACACGGAAGATCGCTGTGCCGAATGGAATGGCTGAAGGCAGCAAACATGCCGCTGGACGACAAGCACACATGTCGAGGCGGTTGAGTACAAGCAGGCAGTGTGCGTTAATACAACGCAAGGGTCAGCCAAGGGTAGAGTACTGTGTAGAGGACGCGCCGCAAGTGGGCAGCCATCAGAACGAGGATGGAAACGTCAGCCACAGGCAGTTTCGTCCAGTCTCAAGAGGAAGCCCGGCTTCTCGGCGCCCTTGCTCCCCGGTCGCACCGACCCACCATGTTCTGGGTGGACACTCAGACTCGTCCCCCCAACCCATACATGCCGCCTGTTTTGGCATGGTTGTGCCTTGTTCCATCCGTAGTCCCCGGGCCACAGGCCACTGTTAGCGCGGTCTCTCCTGCTCTCGGTCCACTGTGCTGCACCACTGATTTTCTCATCCTCTTTTTTTCCCTCTCTTTTTACCAGCTCCTCCCTCACCCACCGTCTTTACCCCGTCCACACGGTTTTTCTTCCTCCTCTCCCCTTTCAGCCATCCCAGGATCCTCCAGGGACCGAGCGGCTAACGAACGACCAAATTCATTTTTGCGTCGTTCACGAAAAGATATCGGTGCTTTTCGTCGACCTTTTCGTCGTCCACTCGCTAGACAGGAGACACCGCCTGTCCGCGAGCGGTCTTTTGGGCCTGGGTACAACTTCTCCAGCTTCGGCGTCTTTTGTTGCAGCAGTCGATCGTCCCGGTCAGCAACTCCAGGCGCCAGCTTCCACGGCACAAGCGAGGAATTGTTTCTTTTATTTTCTTCGATTCCTGGCTAAGGTTCGTTTCTTCCTATTTCTGTTTTGATCTGCAGATCAATGTTGTGGCAGCTGTCGGACATTCTCTGGCTGCCCGGTTTCCGATCTAGTTCATCACACACCCGTCAAGTTTACGTTTAGCGACGCGGCCCCAAGCATCTCGAGACGCAAGCTTTCTTTGGTTTTGTTTATATGCGCTTCTTTTTCTCTTTCGTCATCTCTGCGTTTATTGGTACTGCGAATGGTGTCTTTCCGCACAGTCTAGCCGCGCATTCTCGTGAGAGTCATCGAGCAAACCGCGTACTGACGTGTCCTGCGGTACAGTGCTTCCGATCACATTCCTTTCCTCTTCCCTTTCAAATCCTTTCGACGGTTTGATTTGAACCTCGAGTTTTTACCGTTCTGTGTTCGCCCAGTGGCTTTTGGACAAGGCCATCTCGTGACGAGCAATAAAGCACAGTTGGGTCTGGGCCTCTGCTTCGGCACGGTTGCTCGCAAGGCGCTCTAATCATCGAGTTCTCCGACCGTTTGACTATACGGCTCTCGACCCTGCGACGACCACATCCGAGTTCGCTCTATGGCGAGAGAGTCTCAGTAAATCTCGGTCTTCTTCACCTTTCGGGATCCCGCAACTCTTCTAGCTCTGGAACTGCCTGGGAAGGCGTGATTGTTCCGCGTCGTACCCATCCTTTTCCAGCTGCTTGAAGTAGTTCGATCGACATTTGCACGATCCGATCGCTGTTCTTTCGACCAATCGCCAAGACTTCAGTCAACATGCCCGGAGGCGTCTGCGCTGTTCTCGACTACGATGTCGAGCTGATGGCTGACTATGTTGCCGAGATGGCCACGCGACTGGTCACTCCTCACACCAACACGGTCAACCCAGCCTTTCGCAAGTTTGTTTGCCAGATCTTGACTTCGACTCGTCTTCCAAGCACGACCATCTTGCTTGGAATGAACTATCTGGCGAAGCGCATCAATATGATGGACGCTGTTGGACAGAAGCCCAACAACGAGGGTCAGATCTGGCGTATGCTCACCATCGCCCTGCTTCTCGGGAGCAAGTTCCTTGATGACAACACGTTTCAGAACAAGTCTTGGTCTGAGGTCAGCGGGATCTCCGTTCAGGAGCTGAACACTCTGGAATACGAGTGGTTAGGCGCCATTGGATGGTCTCTTTATGTCCACCTCGACGAGAGCAAAGACTACCAGGCCTGGCTGGCCAACTGGAAGGCTTGGAAGGAGACCAGAAAGAGGGAGCGGCAGACGAATCTTACCACTTCAGTCGAATCCGATTCCAGCCGAGCTCGGGCGCAATATCTCCAGAATACTTGGTACCAGATGCAAGTGGCAGAGTATAAGCGCTACGAGGCTATGAAGGCCAACGAAGCCGCGATGGCTGCGTCGTACCGCCGCGACCAATCTCGTTGGGCTTCTCAAACTTATTCTTGGTCTCAACCTGCCCCTTCGTTGACACCCCCTGATTCTGGGTACGGTACCCCCGAGTATCCCAACCCGACTACACTCCTCAAGCTGGATTATGTCGACGCGTCGCTGTATGGCAGCACCGCAACCTCACGGCACTACGGCAATCACCAAAATCCCTCGTACAATGCAAAATCCGGTGCTTACTATCCGTATGCCTACAATTTTTGGCAGCACCCAAGGATGGCTGGTTGTCCTTGCGCCGGATGCACTCCTCCGCAGCCTGTGGCCTACTTTGATGCTCGTGTGTATGGGCAAGCGGTCGTTGGCTAAATAACGCCATCTGTGCGTCCCAGTCTTCGTGCTTGAGGGGCGTCGGAGGGGACACGGTTTCATTTCTTTCCGTTCCCTAAATTCAGGATCCAATCCAGGCCAAGTCAGGTTTCCTCTACAACTCTCAAGAAGATACCCCGAGCGACTACACTGGGGGGAAAGTCCCGAATGACAATCCCTTAATCTGCCTGATACGTTTGGGATCCCGAACCTCGAGTTTGCAGTCACGATGAGGCAAGATGTGGGCGTGCTCGTCCTTCGCGACCTCTCGGTGTCTGTTGCGCTCGACTAATGAATATCCTTTTTCCCTTTTCGGTATACGGATTCGCGATACCACATATACGGCGTTGTTTTTGGATTTCTGTTATCGTCATGGAGTTTTCTGCTTTCAGTACACGCATAGATTGAGATCCCCTATTTGACGGTCAGACCCGACGTTCTTTATCCAGAATCGAGCCGAGAATTGAGGTCCTTCAGTCGACTAGTCAATTTTTGCGGCATCTTCAAAGCTCGTTTGCTCCAGGGACCGGACGACACAGCGGTTACATCAGCCGATCTTCCATTTTTCACGCCCTGGAAGATGATGCCGTTCAGTCAAGACTAGCTTACAAGAGGAGCCGCACAATCAGCGACAAAGTCGCAATTGCCGACCGATTGCTTGCTTCCTCATTTCGGACATTCACCCCATCGCTTCTGTTCCCTTACATTTGGGAAGTTTGACCGGGCAATCGCATCGGGATTAACTTTGGGCATGATGGCGCTCGTAAATGCGTTTGCATGCCTCGTTTCCTTTGCTCTTTTATTGTCATCACAAAAGTTGGCTGGTTTTGTGGGGTATATATCTTCTGCTATTTCATGGGGATTAATTGTTTTTGTTTTTGTTGGGTTCGGGTTATGATGGTCGAAAAGTTGGACTCAGGGTTTAAGGTGCATTCGGGTCTTTGTTTTCTATCCTCGGAGATTACAGTGGGAGGCATCCTCCTTTCAGGGGTTGGGAGAACTAGAAAGTTTTCCCTTTGCATCTTAATTTCTTTTCGGTGGTCCAAGCTCGCCCAGCAGGCAGGTTATCATGTTGCAGACTCTGCCAGCGTCAAGGCACCAGCAGTATTGCCTCAGGATAGTCGCCTGCCAGAGCTCTTTTTTTGTTTTGCACGATTTTTCTCTTTTGTTTTTTCGGCTCTTTCCGATTAGGATGTTATGCTTTCTCAGGACGGAGTAGAAAGGGGTTTCATTTGGGCTCATGCTTCAGAAGTAGAGTGGTAACTGGGGGAGGCGTGCGCATTTTTCTAGTTGATTCCTGATACATCAACTCAAGTCACAAATCGACTCAGGTCGAGGTCTTCTTCCCTTTTTCTATCACCTCTTTAGGGTTACGACATGATGAAGATCAGAGGAGGATACTGCGGCAAAGGAGGATCGAGTATGGGATGCAAGGCACAAAAATATTGGGGTAGTTGAGAGGAGGAAATGGAACATTCAAGGCATGGCGAGCTATTGGTACTCTGGGATAGAGGACACATGCCTTGTGAGAAGGTGCATGGCCCTGGTAGGTTGTTGTGTTGTACTGGGTATCATCCAGCGTGTACGGATACTGCGCAGGCCATTGGCCACAGCGTCAGCCTTTGTTAGCACAATCAACGAAAACCAAATAATATTGATACCAGGAGACTTTGCCTCAGCATCGCGATCGTCTGAAAGTCGGTCTTTAAACTTTGGTCTACTATATGTGCATTCCTGCTTCAAACTATCTTGCCCAGTCTGCGATGAGAGTTTTTGGCCGCTTTGTCCATTTGCACAGTTAATGAACGGGTCGACATGCGGGGTCCAAGCTCCTCTTAAGCCAGACACCCCTCTTAGAGGGGCACCGTTGTCTTGTACATCACTCCTTATCTCATCAGACACCATTCTGCATGCAGACCGGTCAGCCTTGCCAATTTGAACCATCTATTTGTGTGTTTAGCCATTTTATGCACCTTGCTAAACTTTAACGTACTTTCTTTGGTGGCTCGACCATAACCGTCAACCAGTAGCATCTACGGTGTGCGCACTTCCCTTGGGGAGCCTAACATGGGCTTTCCAAGACACAGGATTAACCACACAACATGTCCTCCCGTTTCATCTCAGCTGGCTCAATAGATGCCTCGAAAGGCCGATCCCCTCCCAACTTCCACACCCAGCCGCCATCCACCTTCCACTCTGAAGCTCGGCAGAAGGAGCGGGAAGAAGCTGCCCACCAACTCGAGCAATCACGCCAGCAGTCGTCACGTTCGGGTATTGGCGCTTCGGCAGAAGCAGAACCGCAGCGCTCTCTGTATGAGGTGCTTCAGGCCAACAAAGCAGCCAAGCAGGCCGCCTTAGAGGAGGCGCGCAGGCTGAGGAATCAGTTTCGCGCGCTGGATAACGATGAGGTCGAGTTCCTTGAAGGGATTAGGGCTAGGGAGCGGGAGGAGAGTGAGAGGGTGAGGAATGAGGTTGAAAGAGGGCTGGAGAAGTTTCGCGAGGAGAGGAGGAAGAGTAGTGGTATCGTGGGTGCTGCTGGGGCTGGGAATGAGGTCCTAGCGGAGGAGTTTGTGTTTCAGCGGAAGCGAAAGGCCGCTAGAGAAGGGGGAAAAAAGAAGAGAGCAAGGGTGCTTTTGGTGAAGAAAGTCGATAAAGATAATGAAGAGAAGGAGGGGAAAGAAAGCAAGGATCAGGATAAGAACACTGCGAAGGGAAATAAACCTACTGCAGAGGATACGCCAGGTCCTGGTGAGAAAGTCAAGCCAGTATCCAGAGGCTTGGCAACTGAGAAAACAGAGGTTGTCGAACAGACATCCAAAGCAACAGCTCCATTTGGGACAAAGCTAGCTGGCCTCCTTGTTGACTACGGATCCGATGATGACGAGTAGGGAGATTCGGGCTCTCGTCAAACAGCAGTGACGCTTCTTTGTCGGCTGTCGCTCCGGTCCAAGAAGCAATGGATGTGACAACGCCACACACAGGGCCAGTTCAACCGGTTGGACCAAAAAGAGAGCATGATATTCAACAGCTTAGCCCAGCGTCTATCCTTTGAGGGCACAGGTTTAAGTAATGTACAAGTGTTTACAAGAGGCTGCAATATAACAGCCATTTGTCATGATGCCCCAACCCTTAAATCATGCAGTTATTGGTACAGTGAATGTACACATATGTTCTCAAGTGGTTACACCGACCCTTCTTTCAATGTTGTTTGGTTCCCTTTGAACTGAGCATAAACTTACCTGTGATCCGTTAATCCACATCCTTATCCTCTAACGGCGTCCTCTTCTCCTTCACGAACGCCTTCTGATATCCCCAGCGATATAGGGCACGCAGATTGCCCTTGATCCAACCCTCGACCTCTTCCTCAGGCACAATAATCCGACTGACACGTTCCTCATCGGCCGGAGTCAAAGCGAAACGGCGCATGCGTATAGCAATGCGTGGGTCCATGACGATGGGCTTTGGCCGAACTTTCTCAGGAACCTCTGGATCGACCTGGTCAGCCTCCTTCCAGACAGACTTGACCCAGTCCTTCTCTTCCCAGGCAAGTTCGGCCTGCTGTTCGTATTGGGCGGGTTGGTTCCAGGGCTCATTGTCGGAGGGTGTGGAGTCGGGGTTGGCCTGGAGCTGACGGAACTCGCGGTAGGTACAAAGACAGACGGCAGCGACCTCGCGGCCGATGTCATCGGCAAGCTTGCGCCGGTTGAAGTAGCGGTACAGACGGATTGGTGTATTCAAAAAGCCCAGGAGATGTGGCTCGCGGATCGGAGCGGTCGGGTGGAAGGCCGGAGGGATGTGCGGCGGAAGGGGAGAGGAAGGGTAGTCGGCTGTGGTATTATGTGGCTTTGGTTGGGGGGTCTCTTCGGTTTCTTTTCCTCCCCTTCAGGCTTCTTCTCTTCCTTCTTTTCCTCGGACTTCTTGTCTGACTCTGAAGTGTCTTCTGAGGGAGTAGCAGAAGGGAGGGGTTCTGGCTCTGGAGGAGGAGCAAGGGGCCCTAGCCAACCCTCGTGCAAGCCGCGAAGATACTCTTTCCAAGTGTGCCTGCCAATAACAATGTCACCACGAATTCCATCGTAGTCCCTGATACCCCGCGACTTGCGGAACTCTTCCACGATCTCCTCCTTGCTTGGGGGCTTAGTCGGGTCACGCTCCTCCTTGCCCTCGAGAGAACGGCGCACCCGGCGAATGCGTTCGGCGACATAGGCGCGGATATCGCCCTCGCGCCGACCCTGCACAAATTCCCAGTCAAGGCCGCTGGCAGCCAAAATAGGCTTAACATATTCGGTGTAATGGTCCTGAGCCGAACGCAAGCTATCGCCGGGGGGGGCGGAGAGGTAGATGGTCAGCTTGCGCGGCTGAGCCAGACCAAAACTACCAGAGGGGAGCGGCTCGTTGGCCAGATGCTCGACAGCATGGCGCCATTTTGCAATGTTGCGCTTCTTTTCTCTCTTGTCGTAGATGATGGCGGCAGCAATGGCAGTCGAGACTGTCCAAAAGATCATCCAGTTGCGTGATGGGAGCTTCTTTGGGAGGTTGGGAAGGCCGAGTATGCGCAAGGCCGGGTTCGTAGAGGGCGCCTTCGGGACCTAGGAGGAGACATAGTCAGGATGGGTCGGGTCTCTTCGAGAAGAACAAGCTATTCAACACTGCTCGGAATCATACCGCGTTGACTGTTGGCTGGGGAGGAGGTGCTGGGGTTGGCTCAGCCATTGTTGAATGATAGATGGATATGGCGTTTCTGAATGTCTTTTCAGTCTTGCGAGGCAGATCCAGCAACACAACTAGCACATTGGTTTTGCCGCGGGCTTGAAGTTGAACTTGGGGTTTGGGCTTGAGGGGGGATCGACAGGCCTCGCCACTTTCCAAAGACGGTGAGAACAATGGTGACACTGCCAACCAAAGAAAAGATTCTTCAGGTTTGAGGGTTGCCCTGTCTTCGCGTCGCCTTTCCTTTTTCTCTATGGCCAGTTCAGGACCATGGGTTCATTCATCACATGGATGGATCCTGTCTGCTCCATGTTGACCAGCGCTCAAATTTCCAAGTTTCCTCTTATCAGTATTGAGATAAGATCGTGCACGGATCATTTGGCTTGGCGTCAAGGAGACCTGCGAGGTTGTTCGAAAACTTTTGTGTTAAGACTAAAGCATTTGAAATGACCTTAATTATCGATTCACTTCTGAGCCTGTTGTTTTAAAACGTAGCGAACCATCAACATCTATTCTAAAAGTTGTAATGCCTTTATCAAGCACCAATCGCCCATTGAAGATCAAGGTATGAATGTACCTACGTGCCTGGTGGAGTAAAGAGCGCGATGTGGACCGGGCCCTGAGCAGCGGTGCATCTGCGTTGCAAAGGAGCCTCTGAGGACACCGACAACCAGACTTCTAATAAGTGTTGAAAGCTAACATAAAATCACGATTACACACACGCTTCGCTGCAGACATTGTGGACATGGCATGACAAGCTGTTTCAAATCCTCATCAAGCCCAATGTTTGATCCTTAAGATGCATAAGGGTCTCAACCAACCCCGTTTTCAGGGGCTCCAGGGCTCCTAAGGGTCCAGAGCCCACCCTCTTGATGGCTCTTGGACCAACCATCAACGGGTATTTGCTTTTGCACCAAGCCCAGGCTCCTCTCCAACCGCCCAGTTATTGGTATCGATGCGGAGCCAGCGCGTTACCCCTCACTCGAGGTGTCATGGACTAAGGTAGTCGCAAGTCGAGTCAACCGAACGTGCTTGTGGGAGGAACACGTGTGTTGCTCGGATGCCAATTTGTTTTGCCTGTGCAAGTGCCGGTGTATCCATTAGCCAACTCGCCACCCGCTTTTTGGATTCAAGGTTCTCCTGGGCTGATACGGCTATGATGGAAGATGTGATTTACCCAAGCATTCATCTTGTGCTTTGTTGTCATTTTGCTGGATTCACAGTTTCCCATACCATCCCCATGCCATCCTTCTGAGGAAAAGGAGACAGTGAGGGCCACAAAGTCTCGAACAAGGCCCCGGATCCACTCATTTGGCTCCCCCAGCACCCTGGTTGTCATTGCTGGGTGCTGCGCTCGCTGCTGCTTGCCCCACCTTTGGTTGCTGGAACTGGAACTGCCCTGGGGAGTAGACGAGCGGGACGTGATCCGACTTCCCTGGCCCTGCCGCGCTTCCTCCTTTCCTGTCGCAGCAACCGCACAATCACGCAAAGGCCCTTCTTTGCCTTGCAATTCCATCCTCTCCACGCAACAGACACAAGAGTGGCCGAGGGACCAACCGTCTCAACGTCTTCTGTCGACTCCAGTGTCTTATCGCATCAATTGTGCATTGGGCCTGTCATCCAGCAGCCGCGCTGCTAGCACCCCAGCCAAGATGGACAATCAGGGGAACCGTCTGTATCTCAACTTCAACAATGCCAACAACGACCGCCTGGCTGCCAATGACCGAGCCTATCCCACGACGCCCTCGACGTTTCCTCAGCCCATCTACCAAGGCCAGCCAGGAACTCCCGCGAGTGCCGTTCCGCAGTCGCATGCATACCAGCAGCAGCAGCCCTACGGTCAGGGAGGTTACTTCCAGTATGGCCAGTATGCGCAAGCTTCCCCTTACAGCTCTGCCGGTCAGGGCTATGGCCAAGCCGGCCAGAATGCTGCTGGAGTTGCTATCGACCCGAACACTGGGCTCGCTCAGCAGTTCTCTCACCAGAATCTCGGCGATGGCTCAAGATCTCCTCATGCTGCCCGCGGCGCCTCTCCCGGCCAGCGCCCGCGGACGGCTGGCGGTCAGGGCCAGCAGCCTGGGTACTCGAGCTATCTGAATGCTCCCCCTATGCCTACCCACACTGCTCAGTCAGGTTTCTTCGTGCCTGCTCCGGAAAGGAATCCAGAGAAATATGGCCAGACGGCGCACCACAACCAGAAGAAGTGCTCCCAGCTCGCCTCTGATTTCTTTAAGGACAGCGTCAAGCGGGCTCGTGAACGCAACCAGAGGTGAGTTCTATTACTAGTCAAAGAAAGCACTTGGATATTGATGTGTTATGAAACTGCAGACAGAGCGAAATGGAGCAGAAGCTGGCAGAGACCACGGATCCGCGCCGTCGAGAATCCATCTGGACTACCTCAGGCAGGAAGGAGGGTTCCTATTTACGTTTCCTGCGCACCAAGGACAAGCCCGAGAATTACAAGACCATCAAGATCATCGGAAAGGGTGCTTTTGGCGAGGTGAAGTTGGTTCAGAAGAAATCGGATGGGAAGGTTTACGCCATGAAGTCGCTCATCAAAACCGAAATGTTCAAGAAGGACCAGCTTGCCCATGTTCGTGCTGAGCGCGATATCCTGGCCGAATCGGACAGCCCGTGGGTTGTCAAGCTGTACACCACTTTCCAGGATGCGAACTTTCTCTACATGCTCATGGAGTTCTTGCCTGGTGGCGATCTGATGACCATGCTGATCAAGTATGAGATTTTCTCTGAGGATATCACGCGGTTCTATATTGCAGAGATCATCCTGGCCATCGAGGCGGTGCATAAGTTGGGTTTCATTCACAGGTATGTGGTTCTGCGCTTCATGGTTTTCAATCAAAAATATTCTGACCGTATGACAGAGACATCAAGCCCGACAACATCCTCCTTGACCGTGGCGGCCACGTCAAGCTCACGGATTTTGGCCTCTCGACTGGTTTCCACAAGCTGCATGACAATAGCTATTACCAGCAACTGCTGCAGGGCAAGCCGAGCAAGCCAAAAGACAACCGCAACTCAATCGCCATCGACCAGATCAACCTTACGGTCAGCAACCGGTCTCAGATCAACGATTGGAGGCGCTCGAGGCGGATGATGGCCTACTCCACGGTCGGTACTCCCGACTACATCGCCCCCGAGATCTTTACAGGCAATGGTTACTCGTTTGACTGCGACTGGTGGTCGCTGGGTACTATCATGTTCGAATGCCTTGTTGGCTGGCCGCCGTTTTGCGCAGAAGACAGCCACGACACATATCGCAAGATCGTCAACTGGCGGCAGACATTGTACTTCCCTGAAGACATTCAGCTTGGTGCGGAAGCCGAGCATTTGATCCGGAGGTAAGCATTTAGAAACGAAGTTCACTTAATGAATGCGGTTTTGCTTACCAAACAATCTACAGTCTCATTTGCAACTCCGAAAACCGTCTCGGCCGCGGCGGTGCCCATGAGATCAAGGCACATCCTTTTTTCCGTGGCGTCGAGTTCGAGAACCTGCGCCGTATCCGTGCACCATTCGAGCCACGTTTGACTTCTGCCATTGATACCACATACTTCCCGACTGATGAAATCGACCAGACTGACAATGCCACGTTGCTCAAAGCCCAGATGGCTCGAAACGGCAACCAGCAGCAAGAGGAGAGTCCCGAGATGAGCTTGCCGTTCATCGGATACACCTTCAAGCGTTTTGACAACAACTTCCGGTGATCCATGAGGTGAAAATCACAACGTTGGCGCTAGGAGCCTGGTGTTGGTTGTGTTGCATCTCTGAGCGAATTGTTGCATAGCACTACCGTGTCTTTGGGTTGTATGTTTGTGTGTGGAGGAATCTAGCGCATAGCAGCTTTGATGGTTTCTTTCAGACCTGTTGTGCTAGCACATAATTCATGGTATCGTGGACATAGTTGCACCTTATAGCAGGGAGCTTAATGGAAGCTTGCCGAGTGAAAGTAAGGGTCAGTGTTTGCTGTGCTCTGACAGATAGATAGGAATTCCAATGTCTAGATTACTGTCCCGGCACTTTATTCTCCTGATTAGACGAGTAGTTTCATCCAATTAGTCATCATATATTATAGTATCACGGGTCAATCTAATCTGATGCGGGGGAAAAGATTCAGGCGTGAAGGTGCATCTCAAACTCCTTCTAGCTGACTGAGCAACTGTTAGCTTCAATGTAGCAATGTTACGACTTTCGTTCGCCTTACAGCATTTACCCCCTCAAACCACCTTTGCAGGCCCAACCACTGCGCGACCATGGCAACGGAAAGACTGTTCTGGCCTTCCCCCCTTTTTTTGTTTTCAAGCTCTGTCGTCGGACGAGCTAGATTGCATGGTTCATCCTAAAATCTGTTCGACGAGCCACGTTGGCTTCTAAGGTCTGCCTGGTCCATGTTCCACTCAATTTTGAGGACTTTCAACCTGAATGTGGTTTGTGGCTGTGTGAGCGATGAGGAAGAACAAGCCCAGGGTTGCCATACATTGGCTTTTGCCCTTGTTTCTTCCTGTCGTCCATTCAAAGGGCTTCTTCTAGTCCCCATATTTACCGCCGACCTGTCAAACCAGGAGCGGCGTTAAACCTCTCCTCACGTTCCGTCATGAACATGATTTGGATCCAGAACTCTTTGGCATCTGGATCCCAAAACTCAAACTGCTTATCTTCACGCTTGTCGAGTTCGCGCGCAGGGATTTTGAAGCCACAAGTCTCGTACGGCTCGGCCGCCACAAGTAGGTACTGGAAGTTGCGATCGGGCTCCTCGACACGCTGAGAAAACGCGCTCATCACCTGCCATTTGGGTGTCACGCCGGGGCTGATGTCCGGGTACTGTAACTGGAAGAGCAGGCCGACCTGTCGTGTAATCGGGTCGCGCACCTTGGTGATCTTGTAGCCTGGCCGCCCGATTTTTACGACATTGCGCTTTGGGCCGACACCACCCAAACCAAGCGCCGCGAAACCGGCGCCGACAACGCCAACGGGGAGACCCGTGTTAGGATCGACTTCTCCCTTGCCTTCTTTTTGCTCGCGGGCGGCGCGGCGCGCAAGGTTCGTTTGGTGCTTCTTGCCTTGGGTGTGAGCGAGATAGGAGCCGTCATTTTGATGGACTGTTAGGCACAAACGGCACTCGAATGAGCCGAGGTGGTTCTTGAAGATGTATGGGTCCTTGTCGAGATCAATCTGTTCGAGGGCGAGCTTGCGAAGACGCTCACGGCGATCGGCGTTGGTGATGCTGTGGGAGGCGACGCCACCACCGCCGAACTTGGAACCGACGCGATTCTGGTAATCCATTATGATAAATGCGACGACTGGTTATCTGAAGGGGGTGGGGAAGAGTGGTGAGAAGGACGATTTGGCGACGTCGGCGCGTTCGCAAGACTGTTTTTTGGATGATCAACGATGCCAAAGGTGACGTGAAGTTCCTTGGCTGGCAGTCCTTGGTGGCTTGTGGCAGCTGATGTCAACTGTCAGGCGCCAAGACCGGTCGGGCATAGTCACTGGCTTTCGACGTTCTTCTTGCCGATCGATTTCAATAATCCGCAATGATGTTCGAGTTCAAGATTCTGCAGAAACCAAGACATTGGGAATTCATGGGAACGAAACTCATTGGAAAAATTCTCAAGACATTTATCCTTCTTGTTTTATCCTTCTTGTTTGATTTCAGTATATCATTCCCATCAAAGATGGGCTAACTGTGCTGCCTCGAACTTGTAACTGGCAATGCGCCATCGGTGAGTGCCGATAAAATATGGCCTGCTTCGGCTCCCAAAGGGCAGCAACAGCGTTGTTAGTGGGGTCTTCCTTCGGTCTCTTTCGGCAACTAGCAGCAAGCACATCTTGGAAGCAGGCCCGTTTCTCAGTTCGTTGATCACTTCAAACTCTAAGCGGTAGACGTGTTGTGCGCTTGAGCTCCAGGCAATATATTCAAAAGTCAACATCATGTTTCGGCTGCTGACGGTGAGCCGCCGGTTGCTCCGGACCGGGACCCTGAACCCTGCGGGGCCTCGGCGCTTTACTGTTTCGGCCGTCATGGCCGCCGACGGCACACTCCCTCTTGAAGGGTACCGGGTCCTGGACATGACCCGAGTCCTTGCTGGCGTAAGGTTCACTTAAAACAAATATACGGGTTGGCTTTTGACATTAACACCCCGCCCAGCCATATTGCACCCAAATTTTAGGTGACCTGGGGTACGCTTTCTCGGCATCTAAAAAACCAGTGTGACTGCTGACATTCCTGGAGCGCCGAGGTCATCAAAATTGAGCATCCCATCCGTGGTGATGATACTCGTGCTTGGGGCCCTCCCTATGCCCCATACAAATCGAGCTCAGCACATCAGGGCCCTGGGGAATCTGCTTACTTTCTAGGTGTATGCATCTCCTAGCAAAAATGGAAATACGACTGATTCTTGTCTGACTTGAACTAGGTCAACCGGAACAAGAAATCACTGGCGTTGTCGTTTCAGGACCCCGCTGGCGTTGAGATCCTCCACAAACTAGCGGCTAAATGTGATATCCTTGTTGAGAACTACATCCCCGGATCTCTCAAGAAGTATGGCCTTGACTATGAGACCATCCATAAGATTAATCCGTCTCTAGTTTATGCTTCAATCACGGGTTATGGACAGACGGGGCCGTACTCCCAGAGAGCTGGATACGATGTCATGGTTGAGGCCGAGTTTGGCTTGATGCACATCACCGGCACCAGAGATGGACCTCCGGTGAAGGTTGGCGTTGCCGTAACAGACCTCACCACAGGTCTGTATACGTGCACCAGTATCATGGCAGCATTGATTGCCCGTGCAAAAACCGGAAAGGGTCAACACATTGACGCTGCTCTGAGCGACTGCCAAACAGTGACCCTCGCAAACATCGCCAGCAGTTGCTTGATCAGCGGAGAGAAGGATACTGGCCGCTGGGGGACAGCTCATCGTGAGTACCTCTCCTGATTCTAGACTACGTCAAAACTAATTAGAATAGCTTCAATTGTCCCGTACCGGGCCTTCAAAACCAAAGATGGCGACGTCCTGTTTGGTGGTGGTAATGATCGATTGTTCGGCATCCTCTGCGACGGACTAGGATGCCCTGAGTGGAAGGATGACCCAAGATATAAGACTAATGCTTTGCGGGTGGCCAACCGTGACGAGCTTGAGACCGAGATCGAGAAAATCACTGTGACCAAGACGACTCAGGAATGGCTAGAGGTGTTCGAAGGCAAGGGAATGCCGTACGCCGCAGTCAACGATATCCAGGGGACATTGAACCATGAGCATACCAAAGCCCGGAACATGGTGACTGAGGTTGAACATCCCGAATGCGGACCTATCAAGCTTCTCAACTCACCCATCAAATTCTCGGAAACTAAGCCCAAGATCAGAAGTCCTCCGCCGACTTTAGGTCAACATACGGACGAGATCTTACGGGAACATCTGGGTATGAGCGAGCATGAAATAAAGTCTCTAAGGGACCGGGGCATCATTAGGTAGCGAATCAGTTGCATAGGTGAAGAGACTGTTTGAACGGCATAAAGAGCAGGAAGTTTACAACCTTGCTGCTGCCCCATTTGTTGGCTTGCGCAGTCCGCCAAAGAGCAGACGGGGGCTCAGCCCCCTCTGCCGGTCCCCAAGGGTTAGGGTTGGTCACGTGAAAATCATGTGATCTGCAGCATTCACCCATCGCGATCCCGACAATTTCCTCTCATCTGAGCTTTCATTCCATTGAAACCAGTGTAAGGAGAAGCGCCAACGAAATGTTGAAAGTTGTTGTAAATCAAGCGTGTTAAAACCTCTCTGAACATGAAGTATACGCTTTCATCGCTACTATCAGGGGAACATCCGTGTTCTGGACTTGCGTTGCTGAGACGACCATTACTTCTCTCTTTGGGGCTTTGAGAATACCGGAGATTTTGGACGATCTACAGATCCAAAGGTCAGACAATGGCGGATTCTGGGACCTCGAAAGACTCTTCTAAAAGCGATGGAGGACACTCGGTCAAGGACACGGCTTCTACATCAGCCGGGGCCAGGGCGTCCGAGGCGGAGACGGAGCCAAAGCCGGCCGTTACTCCAACTCCTCCATCTTCCATACCTCCTACCCGCCCTCCATATATCCCTCAGTTTACAGCAGCCACTCAGATGATTCTATCGCGTTTGAAGGGCGAACCAAGCAGCCTTAGCACCGCTCTGTCACAAGCTGCGCGGTCTCCGTCCGTAACAAGCGCCATTTCCACATCCTCCTATGAGGACGTGAAGCGAAGACTAGTGATGAGCATGAACACCTCGACATCCCTGACAATGAAGATGCCTAGTTCATCCTCAACTCAATCAATGCCTGCCACTCTTCCCATGCCTTCGGCTATGACTGTATCAACTACTCCAACGACGACGACGACGACGACGACGATGATGACTACTACTACTACTGCTGCTGCTGCTGCTGCTGTCAACAGTACCTCGGCTACAACAACGATTGGTCCAGCCCGATCGTCCATAAGTACTGCCGGAATGAGTGCAATTAGAAAGGTTCAGGCGGGTCTGACAAGCATAACTAAGAGTCCAGTTGCAAAAGTTGCTCAAAACAAGACTGCTCCAATGGAGAGCAAAATCAAGAAGCTCAAGACATCAGCAATAGTACCTCGTGGGGTTGGTAGCAAGCGCAAGCGCGCTAGGAATAAAGATGACGACGACGACGATGATGATGCCAGCAGTGCGTCAAGCTTCAGCGAGCAGTCCGGCTCCGAAGCCCCAATTGATGGCGCTAGTCAATCGATGCCTCTTACCACTACTAAGTCTGGCCGCAGTGTTATGAAGCCGGACTCCTACAACCCAGCGGCCATGGAGGCTGCCAGCAAGAAGCGCGCCAACTATGGCAAGCGGACTACCGAGCAAGCACTCTGCAAGAATTGTACCCGCATGTACAGCCCCGCTGGTAACCGGATGGTCTTCTGCGACGGCTGCAATGATGGCTGGCATCAGTTGTGTCATGACCCCTGGATCCAGGACGATGTAGTAGGCGATCAGGCCAGGGGCTGGTTTTGCTCAGCATGCACTACCAAGCGGCACCAACAGCAACAACAACAGCAGCAGCAGCAGCCGCAACAGCAGCCCCAACCTAAGCGGCAAAAGACTGACCCCCGTCCAGCAAGGGAAAGCTGGGCTTCTCGGCCACCTCAACAGAAGCGTGCATACTTATCGACCCTTTCTCAACAGGAACTGGTCTCCCTGCTCATGCTTGCTCTTGAGATGCACCCAGACTTGCCCATTTTCCCCGCGTCTCCTTCTGGGGCTGGTGCTGCAAGCAGTCACGGCACGGCTGGCCAAGCACCCCGGTCTCTGTTCGCCGGGACCAGCACCGACGGTCTTTTCTCTCGTGCTGAGGCGCATCCGACAGGACAGATCAATTATGTCCGGAAAATTAGTAACGCCAATGGCAACGGGAACGGTAAAGGGCGCGGCTCAGCCAACGGGACGAAGAAGGAGAAGGAGGAGACGCCGAGATTGGAAGAAGAGGAGGGGTTTGACCCTCTCGCTGCTCTGTGGCCCAAGCCGGGCATGGGTTTGTACCGGCAGCTGCCGCCGGATACGGAGGACAATGATAGACTTGTGGATCAAGGCGATTTCGAGGCATTTAGTAGTATCATCTTTGATGATAGGGGAAGGAAGGTTGAGGAAAATGGGATGCCGGTGTGAGCAAAGAGGAGATGGGTGAGTTTATGGGGAGAGTTGCGTGTATTCCAAGTAATAATTTCTTGCTTTCTAGACCGGGAATTCAATGTAGCCATCGGAATGTTCATGTCGAGCTTTCACTGGGTATCTTGAAAGTGAGCAAAGAGGAGATGGGTGAACATATCGGGAAAGTTGCGTGTATTCAAAATAATAATTTCTTGCTTTCTAGACCGAGAATCTAATGTAGCCATCGAAATCTTCATGCTGAGCTTTCACTGGGTATCTTGAAATTGGGACTCCCGTTAGGGCGTTCATAGGAGATCCCCAAATACATAGTAACCTCGAGCCACCCAGCCCATCACTCCTCCTGCAGGCGAATTCCTCTTCCTTTTGTCCCCTTGCCCAGCAGCTCGCTCTCATCAGTAACTCCTTTGATCTCATTCCGACACCAGACATGGTACCCGCCGCCGTTTGCAAGCGCCAGTCCAAATCCTTCGTTCGGTACCTCTATACCGTCAGCCCCCTCGCCAAACAGGTACAACGGGTCTGTTGTCCCAACCGTAAAGCACAAATAGTCCATCTTGTTACCGCTCCCCGGTTCAGTCGAGTCAGCCAAAGGCTTCCAGTAGATGAAGGACCCGCAATTTCCGCAGAATGCGCGCTCGGCTTGCTTGCTGGCCTGGTATATTTTAAGTGCTGCGGGCGGAGTGCCGGAGCTGAAGTCATCTCCGATGAATTGAAAGTTACTTGCCGGTGATATCTTGTGGCAGCTGAAGAAGAGGGAGCCGGTTTGCTTGCGGCACTGAGTACACTGGCAGGTGGAGGACTGGGAAATCCAAATGTTAGAAAATAAGGAATGAGGATAAAACGAGCAGACAAGTCAATAGGGCGTATTGGCTGTTAGGGCACTAACCGACTTGAGAAAGTCGTGGTCTTCGGGGAAGTCCACTCGATATCGAATTGCATTGCAGAGACACCCTCCAGTGATGAATTTTGGCTTGGGGAATGTAAGAGGCTCGGTGTTTGAACCCATATTGTTACAGCGGTGCTGAATTGGATGGTTCACGGTGGTATTTGTGGATGGAGTGTGTCAGCCAAGGGACCAGGAATCGCTGATACCTCTTCACAGTTTTACAGTAGAGAAGTATGCACTGACAAAGAATTGAAGCGCAACACAGGTCTGAGTGAGCGATATATATATATATATATATATAGATAGATAGATAGATAGATAGATAGATAGGTAGGTAGATAGATAGCGAGCATTACAAGAAAGCCTACCTATTTGACTACTACTGATAGAAAAGGAAGCTGGTACACACTAGTGTCGTGATTGTCCATCTTGTGCGCCTTTCCCCTGACGACGTCAGTGGCTGAAAAGATGCCTTTTGCCTATCCTACAGTAGTCTTGGCATCTAGTGACGGGCGCGCCCTTCTGATCATCGCCCTGCTCTCTTCCCAAAAATGTCCTACTGCTGTGGGCAGCATGGTTACACCCCTGAGATAATGCAGATGGTGAGAATGAACGGTGGTAGAATCGGACAGACTTTTCACCAATTCATGCTTGTCCTCCAAAGGGCGTTGGAAGGTGAAGTTTGCAATGTTTGAGCTGCAATACCACCACGCACCCGCATCTGCCCCACCTACAGCTACAGTAAAGCGCTGGACCTGTACCCCAAGCACCATCTCGCCATCAAACTCCAGGCTTAGGTACGACGTCAAACGGCTCAGGACTCAGGAGCGGCGTTTGGCATCACGCGCCGGCAGTTTCTTCCACTTCCCGATACTTATCCAGGCGATGTCTCTCCTTCAAGGCATCCCGCTCAGCCACAGTAAACAGCCCGTCGCCGCTCTTCTCACCCAGCTTTCCCTGCTCGATATAGTTACTCTTCAGCCAGGCCAACGCCTTCTCACTGCCCAGCCACGGCATCCTCTCCAGGTTGTGCTGCTCCACACGGGCGACCGTATCCAGCCCGACTTCATCCATTCTCTCACAAGGGCCCTTCTCGGCATGGAAGAAGTCCCTGAATAGGGCGTCAATGTCGCCCGGCTTGGCAACGCCCTCACTCAACACCGCCAGAGTCTCGCGCTTGCATGCCGCCCAGATCCGGTTGAAGACAAATCCCCGTGACTGGATGCCCTGCGGAACGATCACCGGTGTGAGCCCGACACGCCGCATCTGCATCGCCAAGAAGGGGAAGATGGCGCCGGATGTGGCACCGCTCGACATGAGCTCCACCATGCGGTTGCGCGGCGGGATGAAGTAGTGCGTGTTCAGCAGACGGTGTGAATGCGCCAAGTCGCCCTCGACGGCCATCTCTGCCGTCGTTAGGCTGCTGCTGTTGCTGGCCAGGATGCAGTCGCTCGGCAGTGAGCGCTCGAGCCGCGCCAGCACCGATGTCTTGAGCGGCAGCGACTCGGGCAGGCATTCGATGGCGAGCCACGGCGCACGCGTGTGCTCCTGCGCGGTGATCTCCCCTGCTGAGTTGCGCTCTGGATGACCTGACGTCGTTGTCGCTGTGCGCAGGTCCGTCGTTGTGCATACGTGGCCTGGGTGCGTGCCTCGCTCTGCGCAGTATGCCCCTAGGTTGTCGGTGATGTATTCGGTTGCTTCCCGGAGCGCGTCTTGTGAGATGTCGTAGATGGTTACCGGCCGCGAGTTGGATGCCCAGACAAGTGCAACGCGTCGGCCAATGTTGCCTGCGCCGACCACCAGGACGGGCCGATACTCGAGAGATTCATCGGAAGGTGCCCTCCATTTGGGTGTAAGCAGTTCCTTATCGGCTAGGAAGCTCTGAGAGGTTGTAAATGTAGACTTGAAGGTCGTGATACCTAAAACAGGAGCTACGTGACGGTTGCGTAGTCTGAGAGATGCAGCCTGCTTGGCGACTGGAAGTTCCTGAATGCTTGTGGTAATAAAGGTTCTGATATTCCTCAGGGATGCCGTTAAGGCCCTCCGTGTAGTAAGTGATCTGGCCGCTGCCAGAGTCGAAGAAGCTGACGCATTCATCCTGATGAAAGCTGGCAATCTCAAGCACCGCAAACTTCAGGGAGGATGATGGCTTGTGGATTGTGTACGAGACTGAGAGATGAGAAGGCAGAGAATCGCCACCTTGTTTTGCTGAGCACCGGACATCGCGCTGGCGTTATGATGCAATTTATCATCGGAGAACCAAGCTCACTGTTCAATCGCTGTCCACAACCACAAAACTGGGGAAGCTGGGGAAAGGTCTGTGGTTAGTAACTTGGTACCGATCTTGGTTGGTGGAGTGACGAACATCTGACGATCTCCCCCTCTTCCCCGCACTCGCCCAGCCAACCTCTTCAAAGTGCGCCGCGCCATCGATCCCGTCTCCGCATCTTTGAACCCCCAATCTCAGCTCTAGTTTGTCACCGGTGGTCTTGGATCGTGGCCACTGTGTACCTATATAAACCGTAATGACAGAAAGCTGCCTAGTTGGCACATGATCGACCACAACCACAGCAACACCTTCGTCTCCAATGCTCCTTAAAGGCTGGCAGGGACTGAACGGATGGTGAGTGTTTTGCTGGACCTTTCAAGATCAATGTTAAGCCCTGGCTGTGAAAAGTAACCTCGCACAATGTTCAGTGGCTGCATCGCGCTTGCGTCGAGCGACTTGTTCATGGTTATTGGCGAAATATTATGTAACGCGATCTACAGAAGAAACAAGGGATGGGATCGCCCTTAGTCTCTGGAGCAAGGAGTAAGGAGAGCTTGAGTGGTTGAGGAGAGCAGGAAAAGGCTAGAACGCAACCAAAGATGTTGAACGGTGAGAGAGCCAAAGAATACAGGTTTGTCCTATATGGGTGATTGCCCAACATGAAGGGGCTGGTGGTCTGGTAGAATGTATGCAAGAGCCATGGCTCTGAAGGATGGTTATCAACGATGACAACCAAAAGAGTAAAGTTTTCGAGATCAAGCTATCTACATTTCTGCAAGAGTCATATGCTACTTTTTGCCTTGTATACTTCTTCCGAAGCCGAGAAGACACTATACATTATCGCTTCCACATCCACTCAACTTTTCATGTTAGCTTTCGCTCAAAGAGGTTGAAGTAACTCCTGATGTTAGGCAGTGAGCAGCCAGATAAGTTTAGTCAACTTTAGCTTCATGAATATACAGTTGCTAAATGATAGAATCTGCTTCTTGGTTTAAGCCAAAGATGAGGAAGGGGAGGGGGGGAGAGGGGGGGTTCAGAGTCGATGGCAGAGAGTAAAGCAACTCATTCCGAAATCGGGCCGTTTTGGGCGCAAGTTCGAGTACCTGCTAAGTCTGTGTGCTTTCCCGGGATCTTGGCTATTAGATCATGGCAAAAAGTGTAAGGGTTGATCAGATGAAGCCCTGTAGAGTGGGGGATGCTGTACGTTGAAAGCCCAACGGCCCGACGTGCAGCTCCTCCCGCGCATCTTGGGGGTCATAAATGGAGAGATATCACCAACAAAAGGCAAGGACAAGTGAATATTTGTTATAATTATGCTTTATGCTGTAACTTAAGGCCCGGGAGCTTGTCTCGGCTTGATCAACGGTTAGAGCGCCCAGCAGTAGAAACACAACAGGATATGCTGATATCTGGCCTCTTCTGGTTGGACAGAAAGTTGGGAGTGAGCAGAGAAGACTCAAGTGCTTGTAGAACAGGTTCGATGGCAGCTTTCCTTGGGGTTCTTTGAGTTCGGTCTCGGTTGTGTGGTATCATTGATCGTTTCGGTTCGTTTGCGAGTAGATACCGTAGATTACTGGCAGCTCTAGCCAGGATCGGTGTTTTCTCAAAACATGGTATTGGAGAAATAAACTTATTTAATCAAAGAGGCTTGAAGTTGAGGGATCAATACTCCAGGAGATGATCCGCTCTGCTGAGATGTTCCATGCTAATCATTGGCCTTTTGAGATTAAATATCAACATGGGAGTGTTCAGTCAGCAAACCTCTAATGATGGCTTAACAACTAATCGCTTCCACTGATGCCGACTAGCCCGTGATAGGTGCGGCATGATCAGGTCGCCTCTCCTCCGATCTCAACTGCATTTGCATCCTCACCACATATGACTATACGGCGAATGTTAGACCGAGTGAAAGAGCACCGACAACTTCCAAGTTCGGGAAAGCATGCTTGTGGCCCGTTTGGAAAAGAAAAAAAATGGAGCAAAAACGGGGCCGGAGTCATGCTATGAGAGGGGGTTGAACGTAATATCCAAAGCAAAGGAATCGGCACTTGATTCCGGAACAAAGGAGGATATTGTGAATGCCAACAATAAGGCGGATACTTTATATTAATCTGAGTACCTGCCGAAGTGTGCTTCCGCCAGTCGTTGGCCAGGAAACCTGTCATGCGTCCATATCAGCCACAATTATCCTACAGCTTGTGCCATATTATCCGCTAAATTGAAATTCTGGATCCGGGGTACAGAACCTGGGGAATGGTTAAACAAGACGCCGGCTCTTACGTCGCTCCCAACAAAGTCAAGCTATAATTTGAAGTGGGTTAGCGCCTGCAATTCCTGCGCCTGGAGCCACATCATCTATCGCCTCCTGAGCACCTCGAAGATCGAACTGCCAGAAGAACAGCTAAACCATCAGTATGATCCTCCAGCCGGCATTTGGAATTGTCGCCCTGCTCGCCACAGAAGCAGCGGCACACGGTGCAGTCACAAGTTATATCATTGCTGGGAAGAACTATCCTGGGTGAGTATGGAGAGCCTTTACTGTAAACCTTAGGCTAACCTGAAATCTATCTTAGATATCAAGGTTACTCCCCAGCAAATTCGCCAAATGTTATCCAATGGCAATGGCCCAGCTATGACCCCATTATGTCCTGCAGTGACCCTAAGCTGCGCTGCAATGGTGGTCGGGGAGCGACTCTCTGGGCCGAAGCAAATCCCGGTGACGAGGTTACTGCCATCTGGCAGCAATGGACACACAGTCAGGGTCCCATAATTGTCTGGATGTACAAGTGCCCTGGAGAGTTCAGCACTTGCGATGGTTCTGGTCCTGGGTGGTTCAAAATCGATGAAGCTGGGTTCAACGGAGATGGCAAGACAGTCTTCCTCGATACCGAGCGGCCGTCTGGTTGGGAGATTGCCAAGCTGGTTGGTGGAAACAAGGGCTGGACCAGCAACATTCCTCGTACGACTCCCTTGCGCTTCAACTTTCGTGATCAAGGTGACTGACCGCTCAACCACACATTTAGAGGGCCTTGCACCGGGCAACTACCTCATTCGCCATGAGCTGATCGCCCTGCATCAGGCGAACGCTCCTCAATTCTACCCCGAGTGTGCCCAGATAAAGGTCCTTGGCTCAGGGACTGCCGAACCTCCTGCCTCATATAAGGTTTCCATCCCTGGCTACTGCAAGGACAGCGATCCCAACATTCGGGTAAGGATTTTGTCATCTTCGATTTGAGGCTATACAGGAAAATAGGAATTAACACATTAGTAGGTACCTATCAACGACCATTCGATTCCTCAGACCTACACTATTCCCGGCCCGCCGGTCTGGAATGGCGCTGGTAGCACTAAAAAAGCTCGGGATTTTACTGCTTAGGGGAGTGGTTTAAGCAATGGGGGGGGTCGAATCTGGGACCAAGGGACCCAAATAACAGGGGTTCATTTATAACTACTTCAAAGTTGTGCCAGTTGCAGCCTATAAAGCTGTGTACTTTTGGTACACCTTGCCGGAGGAGTCTTCGAATATATCACTCAACTTCCAAAACAAGGCTTCTCTTTGTGCGCTCATAAAGTTCCATGTGAAGTTGAGCGGATAGTCAGAGCAAAAACCAGACTACGAAGATATGGTTCACTGAGCAATAGAATAGGTACAGCCCATATATCTAGCCAACCGTAAAAAGGTCCCGTTGTGTCGCAGGTGGTTTGCTGCATCTGACCATTCTTTGGATACTGGTCATGTCATCTTTATCACTTCCATTCCCAACATATCAGCCCTTACCGGCGACACTACTATGAAAAGCATTGAATATCAGAATGGGGCTTGAACGTTGCTCATAAGTTTCAATCATTGGATTTATGATGTTGATGCTTAAGAACAAGGGCAGTAATGGGTGCTTTTGTAGCTGGGTAACCAAGTGAAAGGTCCTCAGCTTCCTGGACGGTCATGGACTCATGGAATTACCCCTTATTTGTACTTTATCTGAACATTTCCAAGCTCCTTCTGCCTTTCAGACCCTACATAACCCAGATCACCCAGTTCACCTCCGGTCGGCACTGTGAACTAGTGTGCCTCGGATTTCATAATTTCTATTGGGAACATGAGGCTGATTGCCGAACCGGAGATTCTCAAAAATTGGTCATGATTCTCTGGTTCCAGTCGAGGAAGCATTATCTGTCGACGCTCCATCATACAACCAGGAATCTGAATCGTTCCAAGTGCAGCAACCATGACACATGGAGGGGATCTACAATCACAGTTACGGCTTCTTGGGAGAGTGGTTCAGAGTCTGGCTGGGGAGAATGATAACCTCCAGCAGGAAAATGAGCAACTGCTAAAGTACCTGGTCGAATTGGAATAACGGCACCAGTTCTATCTAGAAGCTGCTCACAAATTCAGGCATGAAGGAGAACAACTGAAGCACAACTTACAGCAACTGAAGGACCAGATCAAGTCCCAGAGCACTGTTAGACGCTTGTTAAATAGTTGATGATCAAGTGGAGTGACGGCAACAAAGCCAAGCGAAGACACATTGCAGACATTGCATGAAGAGTTGAGCGACCTTGGGGCTAAGCGGGCTGACCATGAGTGGCAACCATCCATTTTGGAAAGCACCAACGCCAATCCTAAGCAACACGTAGATCGGCTTGAAAACGAGTTACGCTCTCGAACTCGAGATTTTACCAAGGGGCTAGACAAGAATCAAGAGCAAGGATATGGTTCAGCTCCTGCAGCCCATACTCAGGAAAGCAAACTTGCCGCATCAAAAGCAGAACGTGGAACGTGATGACATCGGCATCGTGCGGATGACGACAGAATTGGTTATGATATTCAGGACTTCCAGGGCCTGCTTCCATGTTTTCATCACGAGACTCAAGAAGCCTGACATGAGTCCACTAAGCATTATGTCCAAGTTCGATCCGCAAACCATGAAACCGGTGAAAAGATGTTCGTTCTTAGATCCAAAGAAGCGCAGTGCTCCGGTTGATCTGGCCACATCACCTGGCATCCTCAAGACTACAAACTCCGATGGAACGGATTACCACCAGGAGCGTGTTCTAGTAAAACCTCAACCTCTCGGTGATCTACATGGCATCGTGGAGGTTTTCAATGCGCAGGAGTCCAAAACAAAGTCCGGAGACCGGCCGCAGCGCTCGCGAACCAGGAGCATGAAGCAGAACACACAAAATGATGACGATGTGGTTGATTTAATCTAGGTAAAGGACTTAGCACAATCCTAATAATCATGCTGATCTCTATGTTTGGGACGACACTTGACAGAGTTCGGAGCTGGGTTTCCATGTGCGGACTCTCAATAAGGTGCGGGCAGCAGCAACAAGGTCTGGACTTGGGTAACAAGAATCGAGTACAAACATTATGAGGAGCTAACAGTCAAGCGCCTACACTGTTAGTATGAGCTGCTAATGTCATCGAGTGTAAATCTTCCTGTCATTGATGTCCGTACCTCCCTGCACTAATGCTTGTCAGTCACGTTGTCCCTTCAATGTGTGTTAAGGGTACTGTACCTGAGCAAACCCCGTTGTCACAGCAACCGGGCTGAGCCCACAAAGATGGCCATGGAAACTCTGATGCTCGAGTGTCTGGGGAGCATTCGCTTTTATGAGCGTAAATTCTTAATCTACACGGTGAACCATAGTAATTTATGTACATGTAATGTTTCAAGGCGTTGTGTTGAAGGAGCTTTTGGAAGGGTTGAAATTGCCAGCTCAAAGAGCGCCGACATAAGAGTCTATGTGTTTGCCTTTTGGCGGATCAAACCTCCGTCCACTGCCGGTCTGTTCCTGATCCATGACGCAATTTGTTGGAGCCCTCAAGGACGAATATGCAATGATATGTGATATCACTACGAATCTCTCCAATGAAGTTTGCCAGCTCCCTGGCTCTGGGGCCTGTGCGTGGATTTCTTGATCGGTTATTTATGATGCTTCACTTTGCCGAGGGATACGCCGAGGGATACGCTTGTCGCCTTTATATTGACTGACACTGTTGCATAATTTGGTCTCGTGTACAATGTCTCGCAACATATGCATCACTTCGGTTGAAGGACAGACCGGCTTCTTGATTGCCGAACTGCTCCTTACCGACGAAGAGTTCAAAAAGAAAGTTGACAGCGTGACAGGCCTTGCCTTCGACCCGAACCATGCCAAGGCAAAGGAACTCGCTGGGTTGGGTGCAGTTATTGTCCCACATAAGCCTGGAAGGGAGCGCGAGGTGGTTGAGACGCTCAAGAAAACAGGCTGTGACACTATTTGCCTTGTACCTCCTGCAAGGGCAGACAAGTTCGACATTGCAGCTGAGCTAAGTAGCGCAGCGAAGAAGGCTGGTGTGAACAACATGCTGCTGATTAGTGCAGCTGGTTGCGACTATGCTGAGAGGGACAAGCAGCCGAGGCTGAGAGAGTTTATTGACCTAGAGACTCTGGTGTTGAGTTCAAAGGGAGAGGCAGACACTCCCTTGGGAAACTCGCCCTGTGTCATTAGGTGAGTAATATCCGACAGCTGGAACATGCAAGCACCAGGTCTAATGGGTGGAAAGGGCTGGTTTTTATGCAGAGAATCTACTGCTTTACTCACAACAGGCCCAAAATGAGGGTTTATTTCCTTTACCAATTGGAGAAAGCCATAAGTTTGCGCCTGTTGCTCTTGGGGTAAGTGAAATACGGAATTGGCGCTCGGTCAGAGTGCTGATAGAAGCAGGACATTGCCCTTGTTGCAGCCTACGTGCTCTCTGGAAAGGGCCCACATGGCTTCGATGATAAGCACCGAGGACAGATGATGGTCGTCACTGGACCGATGCTCTGCGCAGGAAAAGAGCTTGCTGAGGCTGCGAGCAAAGCACTCGGCCAAACGATGGAGTTCGAAAATATCTCCGAGTCAGTCACCCACCAACGCAACAACAATCCATTTATGCTTACAAGTTGTCCAGGCGTGAGGCTAAGCGAATTCTGCGCAATCAGGCCGACATCGATGATTCGGAGAAAGAGTACATCCTCGAGTACTACAGCCTGGTACGTGAAGGGAAGACCAACTATATTGCGACAACGGCTTTTCATGACGTGACTGGTCAGCATCCTACTGAGCCGGATGAGTTCTTCCGTAACTACGCGGGAGAGCTTCGGCCGAAGAAAAAGTTGAGAAGTTCCTGAGTGTTCTCCTGTGTTGGCATCTAATTCTATCGAGGGTCACATCACCTGTCGTCTCTGAAGATAAACCAGAGAGACTGAGCATCGAATGAGACCCGCTGTTGTATGTTAGTCTCCAATGACACATGTCTTTTGAAGCCGAATAGGTGGTTCTAGGCCTTCCCTGCACTTCCAAACCAATGCATGTACTGCTCCACAGCCTCTTGCATAGCCTTTGTTCCTGCCTCGATAACACTGGTCAAAGGTTTCTCTCTCATCTCCCCCTGAACTCTAGCGTAATGGTTGTTCATCCCTTTGTTGATGTTGATTTTGGTTACTCCTCTCACCATACACTCGCGGAAGGTCTTTTCATCAAACGGATCGCAGCCGTGCAGTACAAGCTGGACCTTGTCGCCAACTTTCTCATGTATTGCCTTCAACCTGTCATACTCAAGGCGAATTCCCCTCTGGCCATATGACCCATGTACATTTCCAAATGCAGGTGCGAGCATGTCGATTCCTGTCTTCACAAACTCCTCAGCCTCCTCAGGAGTCGTCAAAAATCCCTCCAGATCTGCCGTCTCAGGCACACCATCCTCCCCTCCCTCAATCCTCCCCGGCTCCGCTTCTGTGGCAATTCCCCGCTTATGGCAGTACTGCACCAGCTCAGCCGTCAGTCGCAGGTTCTCCTCGCGGTCGTAGTGGCTCATGTCACACATGATGCTGTCAAAGCCATCGGGAATGTCTGCAGCGCGCCTGACCATTTCTGGTGTCTGGCAATGGTCGAGATGCAAAGAAATGGGCACAGAGGCTGAGTGGGCCGCCGTAGCCGCTGCACGAACGAGCGCCTCGCCAGCGTACTGAATTGCCCAGGGAAAAAGAAGGATGATAGCAGGAGATCGGAGAGCTTCAGCAGCCTTTACAGTGGCTATGATACCCTCGATGTTGTAGCAGCAGATGGCTGGGACAGCATATCCTCCTTCCTTGGCCTTATTGAGGATGTCCATGGTTCGGTTTCCGTGTAATTTGGAGCGTGGCATGATGAGCTGTTGGCTGTGAAGGATGTGATAGGTTGTGGAGGAAGAAGAGAGCAGATGAAGAAAGCTGAGGTATATGTTGTCAGATGCTGGCGTTTGCTCCTTCCTGCGCTGTCTTCCAAGAGCTTTTGTGGCCACGCTAAAGTATTAAGTAGGCCTAAACAACTCAGACAAAGGGTAGGGTTTTCGAGGCGTCTTCTAAAGCAAGAGTGTTGAGTGGCGGCTAGCGATGCAATAAGTTGAGCTACTTACATTCAGATCCGTAAGGATTAAATTCTCCTTAACGTTGTGCGAAGCCGCATGTGGTATGCTTCTACTTTTTGACAGGCGGGTGGAATAGCAGGTCATGCATGAGATATTAGCCGAAAGATCGAAGTGGCTCAGTGGGGATATCAACCACCGTCATCATTGGAGGTTCAGGCCAGTGAAGGGACCAGGAACGAGCCGGCATGCATGTCATACAACCGGGAAGAGGGGTGTGTAGCATGGTGACTCAGTTTAACGGCTGCTGTGCAGATGTGGGTGGGAAAATGTTTCGACAGGTCTGGAAGAAAGTTGGTTAGTGACAGAGTTTTACACTGTCCTACATTGGGAAGAAACGGGAACAACGTCGAACTGTCCTTAAACAATGAAAGCCCCCGGTAGTAGCAACTATGCATTGGGGTTTTGCAAGACGATCCAATTCAATAAAGGAACATTGTCCACGACCATCGTTGCTCCTAGGTAGATCCCCCAGATATTGGACCAACAGTGAAGTAGGAACACACTGAATCAGCAGCAACGCTTCTGTTCTTGGTCCAAGTTTCTCTCGAAGACTATGGCAGAGGCAAAACCGTCGATAGCATTCATCGGCCTGGGAGCCATGGGCTTTGGCATGGCCTTGAACCTCGTCAAACGTGGATACCCAGTGACAGGCTACGACATTTGGCCCCCAGCCCTCGAGAGGTTTCGAGCCGCTGGAGGACACACAGCAAATAGCCCTTCCCAGACCGTCGCCAACAAGCCTTTCTGCATCTGCATGGTTGCCACGGCAGAGCAGGCACAGTCTGTGCTGTTATCCGGACCGGACCCAGCAGTCCCTGCCATGCCCTATGGTGCAGTACTTATCTTGTCGTCAACGGTGTCCTGTGACTATGTTCGATCACTCGACCGGCAGCTCCATAGCCTTGGACGTGGCGATATCTTCCTCATTGATAGCCCCGTGTCGGGCGGGGCCGCCCGTGCCGCGGAAGGAACCTTATCCATCATGGCAGGGATGTCGGAAGAGGCATTGGACAAAGTACGACCACTGCTGGCCGAGATGGCAGATCCGAAAAAACTCTATGTTGTCCAGGGAGGGGTGGGAGCTGGGAGCAACATGAAGATGGTACACCAAGTGTTGGCGGCTTGTCAAATCTTGGCGGCGAGCGAAGTCATGGGCTTTGCGGAGCGATTGGGGCTGGATCTGGTAACCACACAGAAAGCTGTGCTGCAATCGGACACGTGGAACTGGATGTTTGAACATCGAACTCCGAGGATGTTGACACATTTCCAACCCGTGGCAAGTGCAGTGAACATCATCACAAAGGACACGAGCATCATCACGGCCGAAGGAAGACGAAGAGGGTTTCTGACTCCGATGACGAGTGTGGCGGAACAGGTGTATTTCTGTGCCATTGGGAGAGGGTTTGGGCCAGATGATGACAGCAGCCTCATCCGGTTGTACACGGAATCAAAAGGAGCAGCGACTGTGAACTTAAGTGAGACAGAAGAGGAGAAGCTTGGACTGGTCATGGATTTGATGACGGGCATCCTTATCTGCTCAGTTGGGGAAGCCCTCGCGTTTGCTAGTGCGGTTGACTTGGACCTGGAACAGGTGTTTGACTTGTGTGTTAATGCTGCTGGAGCGAGCACGATTTTGGGAAAACTTGGGCCAAGCTTCATCGCAGCTCTTCGAGCGGGTGTGAACACAAACAGTTTGGTAGCAAAGGACAGCGAAGGGACAATCGGCGCAGTAGTCGAAAGGCTTCAAAGGGTTCTGGAAACGGCACAGCAGCTGAAGGTGCCGCTGTTTTTAGGCAGCCAGGCTTTCCATATCCTCCAGCGCGCATTGCGGGTTACCTCGCCACGAGCTGCACTGTGTGCTGTGGTCAGCGCCTGGGTGGTGCAGTGATCAGGAGGTGGGAGTGAAGATTTACCGAGAGATGTCTTGTGTTGGCGATGTACTGGGCGTTCACATGTTCCAAGTTCCAAGCAGCAGCACGGATACACTGTGGAGAATACGTACCGATATCAAAGGGAACGGAGGACATGAATAGCATTGGCGCGCTAAATTAACGGCAGGCCTAGTCGTGTTTTGTTAGGATGAAGGTTGGTTGGTTTCATCACCGTTTCCTTCCAGGTCGATACTTGAGATGTTCTTGTCTCTAACCCCCAAACGGGCCCATGAATTGCGGGGTTGATCCGTTGCATGGCCAAGGTTGTTGCGCGACCACAATGTGTCTGCCCGTTTGTTTTAAACAGGGGTTAGGGTTATAGACACTAGCTTACTACCAAGATTTCCTAGGCCCTGGTCCGTTGGGCGATTCGTCCAAAAAGGAGAGACCCGACTCATATCTCCGGTCTACACCAAAACTGTTGTTTACTTGTTTCCTCATTTCAAAAACTTGCTTGAAGACCGAAAGATACCTGCTGTTTAGCATTAGTACTCGGAGAGACTTTCATTTGCCTCGATGCTTCAATTCATGATTGTTTACTCCAGGTTCATCGGGGCACTGTTTCACCTGCTCCATCGGCTGCTCTTTTTGCCTTGAGTGCATCTCAGACCTCACTACTCAAAGTAGGCACTTTTGTCTAGCAAGATGGAAGCCACAACAAGCCGGCATTTCTTTTTACATGGAACTCCCGAGGTACTGAAATGAATGATAATATTCTCTGACACTAGCACATGCTCGTTCACTCTCACTGACTTGCATCCATCTAGGTTGACCCCCAAGAGAAAAAGAGTTGTCACTGGTGTCAGCTTCGCTCCTTTCCAACACACAATATCTACCCAATTACCATTGTGAATGAGGAGAACGATGACTTTCTTCCGTCAAATTTTCGATTCATTGACCGGCCCATGCTCGGGAAAGGCGTCGAGCCAACTGACGCATCATTTCGAGCAGGGTGTAACTGCGAGAGTGATGAGGATTGCATGTACACTACGTGTTATTGCCTCGATGAGGTTGTTTCCGACAGCGATTCTGACGGCGATGAAGCACACAAGGCTCCTACCACAAGTCAGAGGCGAAAGCGTATCGCCTATTATACAGATGGAGAAAATGCAGGCTTACTCAGGGACGAGTATCTTGACCCCGCAAACTTCGACCCAATATATGAGTGCCATGAGGGCTGCCGTTGCTCAAAAAACTGCCCGAACCGGGTAGTGGAACGGGGACGAACTCTTCCGCTCCAGATTTTTCGGACAAAAGACCGGGGATGGGGCGTTAGGTGCCCTATTGACATTAAAAAGGGGCAGTTCATCGATACCTATATCGGTGAAATTATTACAAGTGACGAAGCGAACCGACGGCGCAAAGAAACAGTGTCCAAGAAGAAGGATGTGTATCTCTTTGCTCTGGATAAGTTTTCAAATCCTGAGTCTCCCGATCCCCGGCTTCGAGGACCTCCCCTGGAGGTAGATGGCGAGTTCGTCAGTGGCCCAACAAGATTCATTAACCATAGTTGCACCCCTAACCTGAGAATCTTCGCCCGGGTCGGAGATCATGCTGATAAGCATATCCATGATCTGGCTTTTTTTGCACTTGAAGATATTCCAGCGGGAACAGAATTGACGTTTGATTATGTGAATGGGGTGGTGGAAAAGGAGGATAGGAAGCAAACAAAAAGGGAAAAGGATGTGATCGGCCAGGAAAACAAAGGAGTGATCGAGTGTCGCTGCGGCTCTGAAAACTGTCGGGGATGGATTTTCTAAGCGAATAATAGAGGTAGCAATAATGGCCTGAGATGCGAGCATAGCTGAGGTCGGATGCAGAACGTCGAACTGGGCTCCCTACGTCTTTTCATATCCGCAAATGGGCTGCAATGTTCTCTGAATGGTATCCAGCTTTTGCCATCAGGGTTGAATGGGTACCAATATCAAGACACAATATAATTAATATCTAACCTCCCATAGTAGTTAGTCCGTATGTGCCCAAGGGAAACATCCCCAAGCCTGTGTTATCATTTGTGCCCCAGATTTTCATTGTGGGGGTGCGGCTTCTGATTAGTCCGTGCGCGATGGAGATAGCCAAGAGAAGCACGCGCAGGAACAGGGGGGTTGTCGAACCACCATTCATCGTGGTGGGGTTTGCCTTGGGTTAGCCGGCCTGACCTGGAACCTGAGCTCGAGAGCAAAGAACACTCTCATCAGCTATCGGTCTGTCCACCCACCCTTTGCAAGCATCGCAGCTTTTTTGAGTTTACCTGCCGTGCTACGGCGGGGAGGCCTGATCACTCGCTGATACCGTGGACCTGAGCGAAACACTAATTTTGACAGCACCGATTTTCTTTCAACCTGCCCTCATCTCTGCCCACTTATTCTTCTCACGTGCCACCAATTTTGGGCGGGGACAGTCTCAGTGGTTAGGAGGATCGAGATACGACCTGAGGTCCTGAGTAGTCGACCCTCGACTATAATCACAAGCTTGATAAGTCTTTTCGCTGCCGCCAGCTTTCCCATTCGCTCTTAAAGGCGCTTCGTTTGGTTGCCGCCATGAATTAGTTGTCCAGGCGCTTCAATCGAGCGACCCGTCGGGTGCGACGTCGACATCAATCTCCACATCAACCTCGCGACTCTTCTGCTCCGAGAACAATGGTATGTATTACCAGCCAACCTTGACCGATTTCCCCTTCGCTCTTTTTGTGTTATCTCTTTCACCGCTTTTTGTCCGTTTGTTTCGCGACTCTCACACTTGCCATTGTGCATTACGCATTGTTTCGCGGCGATATCAGTTACCACTCATCTTTAATATGCTGACTCCTCAATTAGGGTTGTTGCCTTTCCCGAGAAGGGGACGCTCATTCACCTTACTCCGGCGGCGATGCGACCGGGTCATCCCGCGCAATCAATGAAGAGGCTCAGGCAGCAGGCAGCTCTGGCTCCAATACTGGCTACGATGACTCGTCTTCGCGTCGCCGCCGCAGATACAGCCACCAGCCGCTAGCGCAGCATATTAACAAGCCCCTTCGTCGCCATGATTGGACCAGCCATGACCGCCTTTGGACTCCCGCTGCTCTGCGCCGGGAGAGAATTGAGTTCTTTGATACACGTGTCTCGGGCAGGCAGGAAATTTGGCAGACTATCCACGCCGCCCTGGAAGTCCTCTGGGCCGCTGATGAGGTTGCGCGCAAGGGCCAGAGTCAAAGACTGAGCGAGGACGGCGGCCCAAGCGAAGATGATCCGGCGACAGCCTTGATGACAGCGCAGAGCATTCTGGATGCTGCCGAAATTACTCTGCCGACCGGAGATCTCCATGATGGTGCCTACGATGCCTTTGGCAATTTCTATCAGCTTCCCCGCCATATTATCTCCGATCCTACAAACTTGGTTTGGAGACCTGGGATGACAGAGGATGATGACCTCGAAGATACCAAGGCTGATTTGTCCGGTGGTGAAACTTGCGAAGAGAGAGAAGATGCCGATGAGGCTGAGCGGCGCCGGGTGGAGAAGGGCAAGGCTGTTATCGATATCCGGGACCAAATTACTGTCAAAGCAAGGCTGAGCGATACTTCCCAAGATGTTGTCGTGTTTGCGGACAAGAAGGACACTGTCCGCCGTATTGCAAGGCTCATTGCCGAAGAGGCGCAGGTAAGAACTGATCACATTGACATAGATGGACGCAGCCGGCTGACTGTTTGTCTCAAGCTCCCTTCTAACAAGAAGATCCGAATTGCTTATATGGGGAAAATTCTCCAGGAAAACTCTCCTCTGGAGGCACAGGGTTGGAAGCAAGGGCACGTCGTTAACGCACTGGTGTTTGACCGTTAGGGCGGCTTCACATCATCGGCGAAAATGATGGCTTCTGACTCTCGCCACTTCGTTCATCGACGTGGAATTCACGATGTCGTTGGTATCTTTTCGGATGTCGGCGACGATGCGCCTTTGTTGGGAACTAGTCCTGCCAGGACACACCGGAGAATCCGGCTCCTCTCTACTCTTAGAATCTTCCGCGGCCATTCGCATGCCGACAATGTACCGTTTCAGCAAGACGGCTTGAACGAAAACGCAGGCTATCCACGCCTGAGGCGGGTTGGCAATCGTCTGGTTTCGATGCTTTGTGGGCCTAACATAAACGTCCCCCAGCAGCCTCGTACAGGAGGTGATTACGGACAGTTGGCTACCCCTAACGAATGGGCCCCGTACAACATTCAACATGCGATGTTTTTAGCCAGCCTATGCGTGTAATGCTCTTTCCCCGAGCACCCCAACGCAGGGAATCTCTGCCATCGAGCGGCTCTTCTGGTCATCGACCGCTCTCCAATACCCTTGATGAAAGCTTGCAAGGGAGGACTCGCGGCTTTTTACTGGCTCAGCGTTCCGATTAATTGCAGCGCAGCTCAGCTCAGATTTCTTTGTGCGGTTCTCAGCATACCCCATTTATTATTGACGAAGGTCTCTCTCACATCAACTACGGTTTACGGTCACGATTTCTTGCATCTTGGGCGCTTTTTCGGGGTTTCGGCGTTATGATCGGCGGCAGGCTTGCGTTCACGAATCTATTCCACATGTGTTCCGGTTGCTTTTGCTTCAGGACCGAAGTATTCTCATGGATGCTCCCTGTTTTCCTTATTCCTACGAGAGAAATATCATGACCTCGCTGTTTTGAGACATTGAAGATGGGAAACCATCGGGGAGTTTGGCTAAGTACGCTTCTTAGGGAGATCGTGGAATACTTGATGTCTCCACATACATAGCGTCGCTCCGCACAGAAGCCTACGGTCGGTTTTCTGCGAAGAGCACAGAGTAATACGAATACCCATAGTGTTGATCCCCCCTATTTATTTGCAGCTTTCCATAATACTCTCATCAGTGATTGTTGAATTGTTTTTGATGCCTATTACGAGAAAAAAACATCAACTTTTAACCAATGCAGGTAGTAGGTCTGTAGATCTTGGACCAGCCTGTGGTTTCCATGCCTCCAATCGACACCAGACCAGTGTTAACCATCAGTTCACAATAACCAATTCCAAGGTTTGCAAAAAAGCCACCGCTCTCTATGACCTACCTCTATTGCGAAGTTTATGAGGTTTTATCCACTGTTGAGTCGCCATCCTGGCAAGCCCTTCGGGTGCTGCGCAGAAACACACCATGGACCAACCCTAACCATAAGAAAACAAAGTCATTAAGAAATCGGTGTGCCTCTAACATTTTGTCTTGCACATTCACAACAAGAACAGAAACGGATATCACAAATTGCTTGCTCCTGCTGTCGCCGGCACCTTCACTACTAAGGACCCCGTCCTTGACGCCTAGACTCTGCGTTCGTGCATCTTCGTCTTGCCCCGTCTCACGGTTCATCTGCATCCAGGCGCTCTTAAGCAGCCGAACCGATTTTGTTCAAGCCCTTGAGAGAGCCCAGGCTGAGCGCCAAGCCCTGTGACCGGCTGCGTATCCTGAGAAAGCCAGTAATCGGGCCATCCTCACCCTCCTTTTCAATACTAAGATTCGCAAGAGCGTCCTCGCCTGTTACGGAGCTTGGTCAGTCCCTATTATCTCGAACTGGCAACAAATGACTGGTGAAGTACATACCAAAGACACTCCTGGCGTACAAGTTTGCGCTCAGGAACTGGCAATCGCCCTTGAGGCTTGCCTCTGGGGTCAGGCAGTTCATGTTGGTGCAGGCCATGAGCTGGTCGAGGAACTCGCGCAGAGACTTGGCCTTGGAGTTGATATTGACCTTGTTCTCCCACTCAAATTCAGTCCACATTGTGCGGAACTGCGTTTCTGTGCACGTCGCGGGCTGGATGTAGTCCATAATGTCAACGTGCAAGTCGTTGAGGATAACGACATGCGTGTCGGTGGAGTGCGCACCCTCGTAGACAACATTGCCGAAAATGACACCAGTATCAGTCGACGACACCTTGATGGTGCACTGCACGTTGTGGAAGTCGTGTGGCCCGAGAGATTGGCTGGTCGGACGTTCGACTACCTTGAGGTCGCCGAGGGTGGCGAACTCCACTGTAAGGTTTTGAAGTGTGTCCATTGTCTGGTTGACGAGCAAAACATCGAGAATGATGTCAAACTGGTGAACCTTGACATAGGCCTCGGCGTAGACAGGGTCCGAGAAGCCAGTGAGTTGGACAACCCGGCTGAGCTTGCTCGAGAGATCCTCGGAGGTACTACTATCGCCGCCAGTTGCCTTTTCGAGGTCAACCTCGAAGGGATCCACACCATCGACTGCGTTCTTCTTGGACAGTTGGCGAATGGGAACCACGTCGTCAACTTGAACAGCAGTCTTGGCCTTTTCATATGCTTCCTTGGCGGCGCGCTTCTTTTCCTCAACCTGGACCATGGCCCGGAATGCCTTCTTTGTATCCTCAAGATACACCTGCTCCAGTTGCTTGTGGTCCTGGAATTCAGCCAGAGAGCGTACACAGCTCATGATACGGTCGACAGAGTCCTCATCAATCGGGGCCTTAACAAACTGAGACTGGCCAACACGAATGATGGAGATCATGATAAGCATGGCCTCCGCCCGGAGGGCATTCGTGCGAGCAGCTTCGGAAGAAATCTCAGCATGGCGCATGACCAGCTTCGTGAGGGTCGATGCGAGCACGGTAGCAAGGTAGTAGTCGCCATCCAAAATGAGCTGCCGAAGAGGAGGCTTCTGAGAAGCTTTGACAGCTTCCAACCTAGCTTGAGCCGCAGCCTGGCTCGTGAGAGCAGTTTCAGTCGCATAAGTGCCATCTGCCAGAACCTTGCGTGAGCCAGCAGGAGCGGGCTTAGAATGGCCATTAACCTGCTGCTCCTGCTCCTTGTTCTCCTCCTCATTTTCCATATTCTCAAGGAGTCGTTGCTCAGATGCCAAGATTGGGATCTCTCCCAAGCTTGCCCGAATGCCCTTCCAAGCCTCCTTGATGTCCTTCTCCTCGAGGGCATACTCGCCAATAGTCCAGAGTATGCCACGATACACTTTACCAGCGCGAACTTCCTTAAGGGTATCAACCAATCTTTGGACGATGCTCGGCCGCAGATTGGGAAATCTCTCAACGACCTCCTTGGCAAAGTTGATAACATCGACAGCAGAGGCGTTGTTGAAATCGGCGATGAAGTCCATCAACAGATCCACCACGCTTGCCGCGACTTCGGAGAACTTGACTGCGCACTGGTGGATGGAATGGATCAAAAGTTGGCGGTACTCGCTATTCTTCTCGTACTCCTGCTCAACCGTTTTCGAGAGCTCCTTCTTCAGGAGCAGAACAACCTCTTCCACATTTTTGCTCGACACCATCTCCAGCGCAATCTCGAGCGCCTTCCGACGGACGTCAATATCTGGGCTAGAAAGAACGCGCAGGATCTCCATGATCAGGTCATCCAGAATACCTTCGTTCTTCTGTCGGAGCTGATCGACACGATCAAGCACGATCAGCTTAACATTGTTGTCTGCCTCCTTGATAGCAAGCTCGATAAACTTGCCAGCTGCAGCCTTTACAGCCACGGGGTTGTTGGTAAGCGCCGTCAGAGATGACGCGGCTTCGTAAACCACTGTGGAAGTGTTTGCCTCAAGAAGATCAAAAATAAGACGCAGATAGCGGGGCTTGTTTTGAGGATTATGAAGGGCATCTTTCCTGATGAACTCGATCTCGACGAGCTGTAGGAGTTCTTCAGCATTGGGAATGCCCTCGAAGACGGTGCCCAGGTAGGACAGTGCTTTGTCATGGCTGATGCTTGAGAGAGCGGCGAAGCCATTTCTCTTGCAGGTTGGGTCACTCTCGCCCTCAAGGAATGTGGCAATGAGGTCGGCAGCGTCGGGAATGAGAGAAGGCGCGTGTTGATAGATAGAAGCGACAGCGAACACGGCGTTCTTCCGCACATAAGCATGCCGGTGTTCCAGACAGGCGCGCACAGAAGAAAGAAGAGGCTCGAGTAGTTCGGGCTCGCGAAGCTTGCAGAGGAAGCGCAACGTATTGCCCCTGATGTACTCATTGGGATGTTGCAGGTCGTTCCGGATGCCGTTGCTGGCCGCACAATCACATCAGCGACCATGCTTCTCGCTTCCAATGACCCAAGGAGCAGTAACTTACCATACTAAGATGAACTCCTGCTTCAACTTCCCTTGAGAGTCAAGTTTGGGACAAATTTCATAGTAGAAGTATAGGAGCTTCTTCAAGGGCTTGGACTTGGATGGCATCACAAAGCGGATAATGTGCATAAGCAGACCATGCAGGGGGTCGCCGTTGAGCATGATGGTCAAGATGCGCTTCATGGTTTCAATCTTGGTCTCGTCGTTGCCCTTCTCGAGCTGAGTCTTCAGCTCCTGGAGGGTCGGAGTCCCCTCCGTTGCGCTGTCCTTGACCAGCGTGTATGCATTGTCGAGGAACGACATGGCGGGCAGCAAGTGGGCAGCAAGGTGGCTGCGAATACAGTCGATGTAAAGGCGTATCGAGCAGGACTGAAGGAAGGTTCAGGGTGATGTAACGGAGGTCGAATTGGGCGAAATAGCTGGTGCTCCTGTAGTGAAACTCTCCCCGTGGGGCCTAACCTCTGGACTCAGGCGCCCCCTATTGGGATGGGTTCGCAGGGCTCGATCGGCGGGAACGGAGGGATTCGAGTGGATGGAAACTTGAATGGTGGCCGCTGCGACTGTGGGAGAGCGGAACATCACCTGTGTGATGCGGCGTGTAAGGCTTGGTCGTTCGTGATCAGAACGTCGGAAGCGACCCCTGTTGCGGTCTGTCAACACTCAACCAGCAGTCGTCGAGTCCTCGGGTGTGCTTGGGAGATGTGGCATTCCTGGCCTTTGCGGCCTTGCTTGCCAGCTGGCAATCAGTGACAAAATCACGTGTCAAATCAGATCCGTCCAAGACCCCTTGGCTGGTGGAGGGCCCCAGACGAACTTGGTGGGGTTTTCCCCCGCCGCGCCAAGCTTCTGGCCTTGGCTCAGCACTCCAAAGTCGGTGCTGCAACTTTGAGCCGCGAGGGTTCCCAATCATTATCCAGGCTCCAAACTTCGGACTATCGCCAGCCTCAACCACACTTGCCGCTGTCATGTCGACTCTGAACGAACCTTTTTACCTGCGCTACTAGTATGTATATTCATAATGTTTTTGCGCTGTTCAGGGCTAACAGATATCCAGCTCGGGCCATCAAGGCCGCTTCGGACATGAGTTTCTTGGTGTGTTAATGCTGCGTCCCTTGACATGTCCCAGAACATGCTGACCTAACCTTCATGTCCGCGCATTAAGAGTTCGACTTTCGTGTTGTTGGGGATGGCAGAAGCGCAACAGCCCGCTATGCGAACAACTCAAATTACCGGAATGACAGCTTGATCCGGAAAGAGAGTATGGGACATGCTCAAGTTCCTCCAACACAAGCATAGTCTGAGCCAAAGCCCCCGATTCGTGGACTAATACGTAATCCTGCTGTGTGTAGTGTGTGTTAGCTCGATTGTTATCGAAGAAATCAAGCGCATTGTGCGGGAAAGCGAAATCATGAAGTACGGTGGCTGCCAAAAACCATTCCCTTGCCCAGATGCTAACTCTGTCCAGGGAAGATGACGCAAAATGGCCAACGAAGAACAAAGATGGCAGGCAAGAACTCGAAATTCGGCTGGGAAATGAACATATATCGTTTGAGGTCAGTTAAGAACGATGACAGTTCTAATCGCTCTAGCTTTCTATCTCTATAAGCATATAATTGACACTCAGCAGACCGCCAAAATTGGGTCTATCAACGATGTGACCGAATCAGCTGATCCAGAAGGCCTACGGGTGTTTTACTATCTTGTGCAGGACCTCAAGGCACTAGTGTTCAGCCTTATTTCTCTGCACTTCAAGATCAAGCCGATCTGAGCGAGCGATGGCTATTGTTTGCAAGTGGAACGACCAGCCAACAGCGCTTTGGCATCGAACAAAGCAGCCTCTTGCTTTTAACAGTGGTCAACGTCTGGGGCACTTGGGACTTGGTCGATTTGCGAAGGATGGCGTACGGCACAGGTGCACTTTCGCAAAGGAGCCTGGTGTGGTTGGGCTTGGGCTCAGAGTTGACAAGTTTGTTGGTGTTTGGGCACAGCGGAATGGAAAAAGATTGGATGGGGGAGGGGCTGTTGCATCTGCACGATGCACGTTTAGCAGCTTTCTGGCCTTCATGGGTCGACATTGCCATGGGTTTCGTACGCTCGCAGAACCATCACCTTGGTTCATGACCGAACGCTTCAACCAGAGCTAGGCCAAACACTGTTTGCCACCTTGATTCTCCACCTCTGAGGCTTCTGGAGTGTGCAACTGCGTTGGTCCAGATCTCGCTCGACAGCTCACTTCCGCAGCCGGGGATCTGATTTGTTGTTTTCCCAATTACGTGGATGAACTTACCATGTGGTTTGTGGCGTAACTTCGATCCTTATGGTTCATTATGGTTGTTTCCTGCCGGCCAAACCCCAAAAAGGTGAAACAGTACGTATCTGTCAAGCAATCAAAAGCGCTGTTCAGAGGTGCTTAACCTGTCACATGGAAATATTGACCATGCCTTGTAACAGTGGGCGCCAAGTCCCCACAGTAGTGCCTTTGTGGGCTGCAGCCGAGAGCTGTCCAGCAGCCGCTCTGCCGCAGCAGGTGGAGGCCCCTGTCATTGAGCAGAAGGGAGCGATGTGTTGGCCAACCCACATGGTAGCCGAACTCCCAAAGCCGGATGCCGCACTACTTCGTTTGTGGTGGTTCTTTGATGCCAGATCGTCATCCATTGCCTTAATACAGTGTGGTACTGTGTTTTCCAGCAAGCCTGTATTTTTACCCTTTTCGCTTCAGCCTTCGCCCCTGGTTTTACTTAGGACTTGGGCCCAGTAAAGAGACTTACTCCAGGTATTCAAACAGCGTCGTTCCCACGTGCTGGCATTCTGACCCTGTTGATGATCATACCAGCACTCTGGACGGCCCGACCGCCCGCGTTGCTCCCCACGAAAGCGCCCACACAGCGCTCGATCCGGTCACTTGCTGCTGCACTGCTGCCACCTTGGCCCAGCTCGAAACTCTGGGCGCTTGGCTGCAGTCCCACCCAAACGCCACGACCATCCCCCGAAACTCCTCCGCTGACCCCCGTCCTCGTTTTTGGGCCTGAACCTCCGCTTTCTAGTCTCCTGTCGCGTCCATCGCACGGCGTTTGTCTTCACCTGAATCACACTTGTCCTCGACCATTCCTTTGATCAGTCCCTGCTTCTCCGGCGACCCTCGAGGTCAGTCTGATCGAGCCACTTCCACATTCCAGGTGATCAAACCCGTGGTGGACTTCCCTTTTCATCAAGGTGTCCCCACCACCACTGCTGGCCGGTCTTTATCGATAAACCGCAACTTGCTGCCGACCGCCGATACCGTTATATACGGCATTCGCATCTCAGCACCAGTTCCGTTCGCCATGCCTAGGCCATCATCCAACGTCTCCGATACTCAGTCACCGCGCTTCTTTCCATCAACATGCCCCGAGTCTGAAGAATACCAACGATCGGAAGTTTCATCTCACACAGAGTTCCAGGGTGCGCTGTCGCCCGAATCGCTGTCAGACTGGCAGCCCCACGCCGCGTCACAAGATCTGGGCGGTGATGGCCCATCATCACCATTGCACACAATGTCGCCCGGTCCACAATCCGAGAGTGTTCGCGATGTCGAGATGGGTAATGACGGGGAACGGTTGCCGTCGCCCATGCGAGATGAGATGGATGAGTCGCACAAACGGACAGACTCAAATGAAGCAGCGCTTACCATGCGCGCTCGCTCCAGCAGGTCCTTGGGCAACGTTCGCGCCTGCGATACAAACATTCGACCGGTAAAAACTAAGTCGTCTGGCGAACCCCCAGGGACAAGCAAGCAGGCCTCCGATGCTCTGCCGCGTTCTGACAGTAAGATCCACAATACTGATATATGGGATATGGGAAGGGGTCCTCGATGGGTTGAAGATAGCGGGTTGGCTGGCTTGGCCCACGAGTATTCACATATGCGACTGGTCCTACCAAACCCGTCCTGCTATCTGCGTCCCGGTACGAGGTTTGTTGGAACCCAACAATCAAAGCGCCAAAAGTACGCGGTTGAAGTTGAGTTCAAGCATATAGATATTCGGGAGTCCTTTTTGTGCGGTTACCTTCGTATCCAAGGTTCGTATCATTTTGGTCGCCCTATTGTCCGACCACGTCGCGCATGCTGACCCAAATCACTTTCCATAGGGCTCACATCTGAGGACTCTACGTTGATAACGTACTTTGAAGGAGAGATTATTGGCACCAAGTATGGTTTCATCACAGAGCAGCCTGCATGGGGCGCAACGCCCCAGATCGATGTCTCTCATTGGGAGAAGTTCTCGCCTTTTGAGCCGTACAAGCCGTATGTGCGCAAAGGTCAGGTGTACCTCAAAGACGCAATGCAGAGAGAATACATCTTCATGAGATGGAAGGAACATTTCCTCGTCCCAGATCATCGTGTGAAGATGATCAGTGGAGCGAGTTTTGAAGGATTCTACTATATTTGCTTCAACCAAATTGAGGGCGATGTCAAGGGCATTTACTACCACAGCCGGAGCGAGGAGTAAGTTTAAGTTGTCTATTTATCACAATCAATCAGCTAACTTACCCGGCGCACAGTTTCCAGCAGTTGGAGTTGAAATGCATCCAAAATCGAGGACTATTTGCCTCATACGAGTTCAGGTGAATCTCTGGGCATCAAGCCAGAGACCCTTCCAACTGGTCCCTTTGGGACTACTCCCATCAACTAGCGCTGGATGGGCTTGTGTGGGCTTCGATCCGACTATCAGCCATAGATTCGACGTTGTTTTTGCATTTTCTTGCGTTTTGATACGACATCAGCGATGCGTTTATTTTTGGGATGATAATGATCAGCAAACAGAGTTGGAGTATGACACCACAATATCATTATACATACACTGCGTGAAAGAGAAGGCCGGTGGGCCTATGGATACTCCTGGAAGGCGAGGGGTAGCTTCGATCGGTCCAAGAATACATAAACAGCACGAAATGTCGGTCGGTTTGGCATGTTTTTCGAATCCTCATCTTCATTGTACATTGTTTTAAAGGGTACCAAAGACACATCAGCTCACCTTCGCGCCGCGCATCTCCCTTCACGACTCGAATTTAGTGAAGTAAGCCTTACGGAACGGGTTTAGCTCGTCAGCCGTTTTCCCAACCTCTATTCTCCGCTGCCGTGCCTTCATTGCCTCGGGATCGACTTCTCGGTCGGGGATGCGGCGGTATGTGATTAGTCTCCGAGACCCTGTTTCATGTCATCAGAAACCGTTGACCCTGACGTAAAGCTAGGCCTTTGGGTAAAACATACATTTGTTGAACGTTTGCGTGCAGACTGAGACAACCTCGAGGTAGGGGTGTGTTGGCACGGGAATTTCTTGATTCTCGTCATTGGCTGTCGGCATCCAAAACGACAACCGCCCATTGTCGACAAGAGTTTGAGCTGCGAAATGCAGTATGTCATCCAACATGTTGAAGAAGCTATAAGGCTTCTTAGGAGGAATAAAGTCCGGATTCCTGCGCAGCATAACTCTGTTAGCTGAGAAGCACAAACTTCTGGAATGCGCCAAATCACCCACTTATACATCTCCCTCCCCTTCTTTTCGACCCAAGGGCTCTTTTCCGGGTCTCTCACTCCCAGCACGCGCAACCCTTCCCGTACACCATAGGGCGGATCGCAAACAATTCCATCGAACAACCTCCCTGTGACACCATCACCATCATACCGCAGTTCAGTTCTGCGGATTGGCGAATTCGTCAGATCTGCCGTAAACATCCCTCCCAAGCCAGCCAACAGACCGTATTGCTCAAAGTTTGCCTTGAGAGTACGCTTCTTCTCGTCACCCCGGATGCTCCGCCCGTCGATGTCGCTTCCGAATGTCAGAGCACCAAACTGTGCGCATGCGATCGGGAAACTGCCCGTCCCCACAAATGGGTCATACATGATTTTTCCAGGGGCTGCCAGCGCCATGTTGGCCGTCACTAGGGCCAATTCGGCATCCATTGAAGTCGTGCTGATGTACCGACGTTTCTTGAGATCCAACTTCTTAGGAAGGTCCCGAGCGCCATTGGCTAGGCGCCTGCCGAAGTAATAGTGCTTTGGGTCCGGGATACCCAAAAGGGTGGCATTATAGGGCCAGTCCTCATGTAGCACGAACTCTTCGTCGGCGCCACGCATACGGATGGGGCCTTCAAAGCCTAGATAAGCGAAAGAATTGATGATGCGGACCTTGTCCTCAGCCGAGCGAGACCCTTGGTAAGAATCGATGGTGAACTTGAAGGAGCATGTCTTGTAGAGCGACCACAGGTGTTGAGTTGATGTCTTCACAGCTTTGTGAACTGTATTGAGATCCGGTCCGTGGCCCCAAAGCTCATGGATCGACATGACCAGTATGGAGCGCCGGACGAGACGCCGTGCTGCATCTTCTGATGGGAGTTGAACGATACAAAAGGGCGACTGTAGGAAAATAGAGACTGGTTAGATGGACGCTGTAGTGTGTGGTCGTGCCGCAACAACGGTTCCTCGTATGACTTTGGTTCAGGGGGCGGGGTAATCTTATGGAGGGATTGGAAAGGCAGAGAAGGTGCCATGCTAGCATTTCTTGGTATACCTAACCGGGAAAAAAACTCACTTCAAGACTATACGAGATGATTTTCAAATCCACCCTTTCAATGACAGCCAATGCCTGAATCTCAGGGAGTCGAAAGGTTTCATGGGATTGAGAGAAACGGATGAGGAAGTCCATATTAGAAAAAGGTCGGGTTTGGGGAAGAGCGTACGAGTCCGGACAATATCGAAAATATTGTTTTCTTTTCTGTAGTAAAGTGTGAAATGTAAGATAGATCCTTACTCCACACAAATATCTGTCGCACTAAAAGTCTTGCAAACGTAGCTTGAGGATATCTGGGAAGATGATTTTGTCGCTGGACTAGACTCACACAAACACAACCCACACAGCACTGAGTTTTGTAACTCCTGCTAGACACAACCTCAGTGGGTTGGTACCGACGGCAGGTGTGCCTTTAGTGCATCAGTTACCGGTCTAGCCAATCAGAACAGCTATTGTAGATTATAGCTTACACCCGGGCGTTGCTTTATACTTCTCTCCAACTTTTCAAGCTTGGGGCATCTTGAACATGTCACCACCGCTTGCAACCAGTTTAAATCTATCATAAATCAACACAACCAAGTCTTGCGTGCTATAACTGGTAAAATGCTCTCCTTCAACCCCCCAGCAGTCTACCAAACAACCAAGTGTTACGTAACCCACGGGGTTATGGGCCATCTCGATCCAGCTCAGCCACCAATGAAGAGCAAACCCTGGATATCACTGGCCAGCCAAGATTTTATTCGTAGGGTGGGTGTCTCTTTGTCACTCATAAGGTGGCTCTTTTTGGTCTATCCTGTGCTGATATGGTCCAGGTTGACTTGGTGGTTCCTCAGAATGTCTTCTCTGACGTCGTCTGGGATAAGCTGGTCAAAGACCGGCCAGCCCCAGACTTCAAAAGGGTCATTATGTCCCTTCACGATGTCTTAACGGGAGACTTTTTCTCTGGCTACATCAAATCAGGTATGCGAAGGAAAGACACTTGCCCCAACATACTGCTAACATCGCCAACAGGCAATGCGCTAATGCTCTCCGAGGGTCGAAGAGGTATCGACAATGTCTTCTATGTGCAGAGTGGCCAATTGACCATGCTCCTGGACAAGGAGCACTACGAGCGGGCAGGGCTGGTCGGCAAGCCTCATGGCGCCAAAGGAAAGCGTGGTCTGAAGCCTCGTTGGGGTATATAAACCATCCTCGTGTCATCCAGTTGACGGCTTTACTAACCCTTTAGTTGTCGAGTTCGACCTTACAAGCCCCTCAATGATACCTGGGAAGAAGGGGTTTGACCGATTGATCTATGCGACAAAAAATGTCTTCTCTACGCCAGTAACATGGCTCGTTTGCAATCTATCATCGGGTATGTGGCCATCCCTCGGCAAAAGCAACATATTCCCATAAGCTAATGTGAGCCACAGCCCCCAGTCCCGACCCTCTTTCGCCTTATCTCCCCGTTACTTACACGGCCGAGCCCAGCGTCGTGGACAATGGCCAGATTAATATCCCTAACTTCTCACCACCAGTTGACTCAAAAGAGGATTTCAAAGACTTTTCCACTGAGATATATGAGTGGCTATCTCTCGTACGACTCCAGAGTCCTCGAGTCCAGCGTGGCGACCAAATTGACCCATATCTTTCCCGATACCGGTTACCTGAGGGCTCTGAGCCCAACAACCTCTGCACTATCACTTGGCAGGGCTTCATTTCACCGGCTTGGTGCCGAAAAACTCTCCTAGATATCGTTGACACTCTCCCACCCAAAGGTTGGTTTGCATTCAGCACAACCACCTTCTCTAAAGGTCTTGTCGGGGATAATACCGAGTGTACCATCCTCCGACTTCCCAACTCATCTGGCGAATATCTCATGTGGGAGGTTGAGGCACATGAGTAACGGCCGGGTCGAAGCAAAACAATGACTGAATCAGTTGTTCAGTCTTGTCTCGGCCGGACATTTCGCTCGTCTGCAAATTGACCGCGAATTGCCTCCTCTACCAAACGCCGCAGCTCCGCCTGGCCTTCGGGAGATTGAAAATCTTCCCTTGCCGCAAGCTCCTCTATCCTCCTGCGGAACTCGGGATCTGGGGGCAGCTCCGCGTCTTCAGACTCATCCATCGTCCCCACTGTGACCTTGAAACCTTCTGGCAGGGGAGGAATAGCCTCTCCATGGTCTGTTATGCCATTGTTGGTCAAAGAGTCGCTTTCCAAGTTTTGCAGATATTGAGTCACGGCAGGGAAATCGCCATCAGCCTCGAACTTTTCTCTTGCTGTCTGGCCCTCGTCATTTTGTATCTTAGGATCCAGCCCCAGCTCTTCAACAAGGACGCGCGCGGCATCAACTGTCTCGACAACGAAAAGCGCTGTCTCTCCATCTTCGTCCTTAAGATCAACCGGGACCTTGAACTCGCGGATCAATTGGCGCAGGAGATCGAGATGGTTGTAGCTCGCAGCCGCATGAACGAGGGAGTATCCATGTTCGTCCTGTCCTGAGGCAAGTTGCGGCTGCTCGCGAAGCAGCGAGATCAGCGCTTGGGGGTTGTCGGCGGCGAGAAGATAGGGATTAGGGGCCATTTTTCTGGGATCCGAGCGAACCGATAAGTAACGACGTGTTTGGGCGAGGGTAAGCGATTGTAACACTTGGGAAGGCGTTACTGAGGCAGAGAGCGAGTTGCGCCTGGAGATGTGAAGCCGGTCGTGAAGTGAAATTTTTGGCGGGGCTTGAAGCCATCGCGGGGCAGACTAAACGGTGTGACACAATTGGCCCCACCAGCTCGACCGTTCAGATTCTAGGGGCCATATCGAGTACTTTTCAATTTCTTTAAAAGAACATATTGTGCCCAATTATCAACAAACTGCGAAATATAGCTAATTGGAAATACTCATATTAGTTTAGTAAACCTTACAAGCCTCACATTAATTCTAATCTAGAGAATCCTGTCTGGTAAGCCAGGAAAGAAGCGATCCCCGATCGTACTCAGTACTGAGAACCTTCAGGGACCCACTCAAAGGTCGATGGCCGCGGGCAAAGGTGGGGGCATCGCAACACCCTTGGTTGGAGGGGCAACTCTTGGAAAGCTACGGAAGTGACTCTTCGCCGAACCCAGGATATCAACGACGAATTCCCATTTGTCATATACAGGTATTAGTCGAGGATTTCTTTGGTTGTGGCTTACATCCTGTGTGACTTTGGCAACGACAGGACGACAGAATTCTACCTTGCTCGGATTGACTGAGCACGGCAATTGATTCATCCGGAAAATCGTGCTGAGGTGAGAAGTGAGAAGCCACGCAAGGGCTGTCTTTCCTCAAAGAGCTCAGGCCTGCAGGTACCTGATTCTAGGTTGCCGTCCGTTTTGCGGAGCTCGTCGCTGGTTGCTACTTGTTTTATGCGCCGCTGGTGGAGGATAAAAGAAGCTCTTGGAGCCTATCCCAAACCCAGCCTCAGTCTCTGTCATTTTCTAACGAGTCCCAGATCCTGCAGATCACCACTTGCCGCACTGCGCCCTGCATTCACGCTGCTGCAGCCTTCGCAACGCTGTGTCCAGTCGTGCACCAATTCGCTGCTGCCGCGCTCACAATCCCCTCGTCCAACCGTCACAGCTCCAGTTCTCAGTGACCGAGGTCCAATCCCAGGCCCAGGCCCAGATCCCAGCCCAAGCTCCACCCAAAAATTAGTGCACGCAGTCAGTACTCCTCCAGGCACGTCGCACAGTCGCATCATGGATGGTACCGCCGAGAAGCAAAGAGATTCGCTGGCGTCGAGGTACAAGGCCTCGACCGACTATGCTAAAGATGCCGAGGGCTTGACGGCGCCATACGTCAGCCAAGACCCCCAGGAGACGGCCGCCCTAGTGCGCGCCCTCGACGATGCGGCCAAGAAGGGCAAGAAGAGCGGCGGCTTCAGCGTCAAGAAGACCCGGTACGCCGTTGCTAGCTCGCCGACTGGCGCCGAGGTCGATTCATGGCGCTTCAATGACTGGGACTACAAGAAGCCCGATTTGCCGACCTATGCCCGGGGCCTGTTCACCACTCGCACTCAGCATGGTGTCCCAGAAATTGCCGTCCGTGGCTACGACAAGTTCTTCAATATCGACGAGACTCGCGACACTGCTTGGTCTGCCATAAGGGAAAGGACCAAGGGTCCGTACGAGCTCACACTCAAGGAGAACGGCTGCATCATTTTCATCAGTGGTCTCGAGGACGGTACGCTTCTCGTCTGCAGCAAACACTCTACTGGTGACAGGTCAGACGTTGCCCTCAGCCATTCCAGCGCTGGTGAGAAGCATCTCGAGGCTCAGCTAGAACGCATCGGCAAGACGAAGGAGGAACTGGCTCGTGAGCTGAGGAAGCGAAATGCTACCGCAGTGGCTGAACTCTGTGATGACTCCTTCGAGGAACACATTTTGGCCTATGGCCCGGATAAGGCTGGTCTGTACCTGCACGGCATCAACCTCAATATTCCCGAGTTTATCACATACCCATCGCCGCTTGTGCAAAAGTTTGCCGAGGATTGGGGCTTCAGGAAGACTGGTCTAATTATCATCGATAACATTGATGATGTGAAGGCTTTCCTTGAAGAGGTTGCTGAGACGGGTGCTCATGACGGCCGTGATGTCGAGGGCTTTGTCATCCGCTGCAAGAAGTCAACGAATCCGGGCGTTGGGCCATACCACGATTGGTTCTTCAAGTACAAGTTCGAGGAACCTTACCTGATGTACCGGCAGTGGCGTGAATGTACCAAGGCTCTCATCTCCGGCAAGCAGCCCAAGATCAAGAAGCATGTCAAAATCACGGAGGAGTACCTTCTTTATGCTCGCAAGCGCCTCGCTGCCGACCCCAAGTTGGCCAAGCTGTATAACCAGAACCACGGCATTATCAAACTGCGGAATGACTTCCTGGAGTACAAGAATATGAAGGGCACCGATGCCGCTAATCTCGAAGACGACGGTGCGGCTAGCGTGACGCGTGACATCATTCTTGTACCCATTGCTACGATCGGCTGTGGCAAGACGACCCTTGGCGTCGCCCTAACCAAGCTGTTTGGATGGGGGCACATCCAAAATGACAACATTACTGGCAGCAAACGCCCTCCGCGGTTTACCAAGGCCGTTCTGGATGAACTCAACGAGCACCCAGCCGTGTTTGCTGACAGGAATAACTCTATGAGGCAAGAGCGGAAGCAACTTCTGACCGACGTCAAGATGCAGCACACAACTGCAAGGCTTGTTGCTCTCCATTTCGTCCACGATGACATCAACACCGTCAGAAAGGTGACTCAAGAGCGTGTGATCCAGCGGGGTGACAACCACCAGACGATCCAAGCTGCTACAGACGTGAACAAGGTCATTGGTATCATGGAAGGCTTTATTCATCGCTTCGAGCCTTGCGATCCCGAGAAGGACCCAGACGAAGGGTTTGATGCCGTGATCGATTTGGATCCCACAGCTGGTAGCAGGGAAAATCTGGAGGTTGTCATCAGGGAGCTACATCGCCTTTATCCAAACTTCGTAAAGGAAGTGCCACCCGCCGAGGCCATGGACGAAGCGATCAAGTTTGCTATGGAAAGCTACAAGCCAGATCTCCGGCACATTATTCCTGATCGTTCCAAGAACAAGGATAAGAAGAAAGAAGGCAAGCAAGAACAGCAGCAGCAGCCTGCTGCTCAAAAGCCGCCTAAGAAAAAGCCTTTGGAGTATATGTCTGTCGACATGCCCACTAAAGGTGTCCTGGATGCCCTCGAGAAGACTTTCGGATCGGTACCCGTCGAACAGGCCCGCTTTTTCAAGCAACTCCAGGGCACGCGGCGTGTTCAGGCCAAGTTCCATGTCACTCTCATGCATCGTGCTACAGCCAAGGAACACCCCGAACTTTGGCAGCGTTACACTAAGCTGCACGGAGAGGCAACTGCAGAGAATCCGGATGCTCAGCTTGGGGAGCTTGACGTTCAACTCGAGCGAGTGGTTTGGGATTCGCGCATCATGGCCATAGTCGTGCGTTTGATCCCTGTCAATCCCGAGGACGCTGAGGTGAAGGACCCAGCAAAGCCCGACCAACCTGGCCAGCCCAAGTGGCAGTGTGTCAACCGCGTTGCTCATATCACTGTCGGCACACGTGATGATAGTGTGAAGCCCAAGGAGAGCAACGACTTGCTGTGCCGCTGGCTTGAAGTGGGCAGTGGCGGTGAGACAGGCATCGGAGAGCTGATCATGCAGGGCAAGCCGATCCTCAGGGGCATCGTCAAGGGTGTGTTGTCAAGGTAGGACGCGAAACGGCACTTTTTGATGAAGCAGCGCAGGTATGGATGGGGTAGGCGTCAGGGGAAGAGGGATGGATGGAAATGGTGTGAGAAAAAAGACATGGAGCTAAGCAAAGAGAGAAAAATGGTCCTACGGAACCTCAGGTGAACACAGAACAAGGAAGCATGTGGCAATCATGATGGCTCTTCGAGAAATTGATGAGGAGAATAAGGATATGGTTAAGGAGTGATCCGACTGGATTTCGTGCTTCAATTATTATGGCTTTCGTGGCCCTATGACTAGACGATGCGTGAACCATATATACATTTATGATCACAACAAATATTATGTGCGAGTCAGCCAGTTATATTATGGCTATTCTCAATGATAAGAACAACAGATCCTATCACCATGACAATTTCAGTTGGGTTGATTAGATGCAGCAAATGCTGTCATACTTACAACTCGCAGACAGAAAAGGGTGCCGCTTTTGACCAAGTGAGAGCCCATCACTCACTCTTTCTGTACTCCTCTGGCCTGAACCCTATTTACTTCTTCCTCCTCAGTTACTCATTGAACTCATTAGTAACCTCAACAAACTTCGCCCACTCTCTCGCTGCTGCGCCGCTCTTAATGGCCCACCGTGCCCGTCGCACACCTTCCTTCCATCTTCCGCCGCCTGGTCCACGCTCCGTGATTACCTGGCCGTCGTCACCGGGACCCATATTGCTTGTATCGGCATCGCATATGCCTGATACTACAAACAACGCAGCCGCGTTGATAAGCACAAAGTGTAAGATGGGATCGTCGTCGGGCACCTCGCCGTTGAGAATACGCGACAGAATGGCCGCATTTTCGGCCGGCTCTTTGCCCGGGGAGACGTCGGACAGCGGATGGGCAGGTAGACCGAAGTCGCGGGGGTGCAGGCGGAAGTGTTCGGTGATGGTCCGGACGCCGGTTGGGTCTGTTGGGTCAGGCGAGATGCGCCAGCAGAGCGTGTCGCCTGCGCAGCTGATCTCGTCGAGCTCTTCGTCGCCACAGACGACCAGGGCTTTGCGGGTGCCCGCAAGATGCAGGGCGTGCGCGAATACCGGGCCGATGTCCTTGCGCGCGACACCGATCATGCGGGCTTCGAGGAGGGAGGGCTGTGAGGGGTCGCTGCGCAGGTCGACTGGGTTTGCGAGAGGGCCGAGGAGATTGAAGATGGTGCGCCAGGGAAGTTGGCGACGGATTGGGGCTACATGGCGCATGCCCGGATGGAAGACCGGTGCGAAAAGGAAGCCATAGTTGGTGTGGGAGTACAGGTCTGCGATGGTGTCCGGGCGGATACGAGCTATTTGCGGGGCGCGCGGCTGCATGTTGTTGAGAAGATCGGCAGAGCCGGATTTGGAGGTTGATGCACGGTTGCCATGCTTCGCAATCAGCAGCAAGCTGGAGCCGATGATGGAGGCTGTCGTGCTGATGTTGAAGGTATTGTGCGAGTCGCCGCCGGTGCCCACGATGTCGACCTAAGGATAGGGGTCAGCTGGGAGTCTTGCAACCAAGTGCACCAGGAGCTTGGAGAAGAACTGTCACGCGCTCACATACCAGGCCGCCATTGTACCCTCCCTCCTTCCTACCCCTCTTCTCGACAACTGCTCGAAGCGATGGCTCATCTATCTTCGCAGCCGCCTGAAGCATGCGCGCGGCTGTTTTCGCAAGCACCTCAGACTGTCTATCGAGACCAGTAAAGTGCAAGCACATCAACAGCGAACTAGCCTGGACATCTGTAACCTGGTTCGTAAAGAAGTACGAGATAGCCTCGGCGATCTCGTCTGAAGTGACTGGATCGGGATGGCCAATGGGCCACAGCCGTGAGAGCAATGGCTTGAGATCGATGAGCGGAGGCACGTCCAGGACCAGCGAAGGTTGGGTCATCATGGTGATGGTGTGGGCGAGAAGTGTTGCGGAAGAAAGACCGAGTATGCAGGAAGGCTGAAGGTTTGGTGGTTTACGGAGTCGGCAACTTACAGCCCACGCGAGGGAGGGATCACCAAGCCCGGGCTGATGATTGACGTGGGCTGTTTGTTTAACCAAGTCTAGTGGAGAATGCCAACAATACGCAGTTGCAAAGAGTATCTACGTGCTTGATGGGAGCCAATTGGGGCAGAGACGCCCTCGAAGACAAAGATGATGGGTGCGGCAACGGAGTTGACTCATTGTGGAACGAAGCATGGGAGGATAGCCTAGCTGAGTTGACGCTCTGGCAGTGCCGGTCTTTTTTCCTTTCTGGAGCCGTAACATGCTTCGTCAGGAACCAAACTTGGACCGGAGCACACCCCGCAATTGTTGGCTCAAGGCGGGGCACTCAAGCAGGGATCCGAACTCGGCACCATCGGCCTTGCCTGGCAGAATCAGTGTCAGCCTTGGCCTCCCTTTTGACGTCTCGTCGGCTGCCATTCTTTGAGGCTTGGCATAGATCTTGGCAGCCTTAGATACGGTGGCCCGAGCGTCGGGCCATCGGCTGGCGCCAAAATTTCGGATCGCGGCCATTGAGATCGCAGCGCAGGCGAAGAGAAGAGGGCAGAGCGCAGCGTGTAGGGCGAATTGAATCCGACGAGCTTCTTTCGTTGGGTTAGGTCAGTATACCAGCGCTACAAGGCTTATTCTGGCTCACCAATTGAGACCGTATCTGACCTTTTCCAAGCACAGGATGCCTCCAAGATTACGATGCGCGGCCGTCCGCGGCCTGTCCACTCTTGTTAAGCCAGCCAGGCCAACCCCCTCAGCGGCTCTTCTGCTGCCCGCCGTGGCAAGATCATACGCTTCCGGACACAGCCTGTCGAGCTTGTCAGACTTCAAGATCCCAGACGACTATGTCCCTCCCGTAAAACCTCCAACAGCGCGCCCGGCAGATACCCGCAAGTCGCAGCTCCTCCGATCCTACACTTCCCTCCTGCGCTCCGCCCCCCTCATCCTCCTCTTCCAGCACAACAACCTCACCGCCGTTGAATGGGCCGCCGTTAGGCGAGAGCTGCGCAAGGCTCTGGCTGAGGTGTCCACACCCGGCACGGACTCCGAGCTGATCGCCTCGAAAGCTCAGCTCCAAGTCATCCGCACGCGCATCTTCGATGTCGCCCTGAAAATTGTCGAATTCTTCGACCCCTCCAAGGTTCCTCCTACCACGGTGTCCTCCATCACGGGTGAGAAGGTCCAGATGACTTTCAACCACGATCTTTCGAAGGCTGCGTACAAGGCCGTCAAGCAGGCTATTAAGGACCAGAACTTGCTTGAAGGCTCGGCATACGCACAACTCGCCCCGCTCATGGTTGGTCCGCTCTGCGTTCTCAGCCTGCCCGCCGTCTCTCCGGCGCATCTTTCGGCTGCTCTCAGCGTGCTCGCCCCCAGTCCGCCAGCATTCCCACCACCTAACAAGAAGAAGAATCCCGGCTACTACGACCCCATCGCCCAGAGTGGTCTGCAGAAGCTCATGTTGATCGGTGGCAGGATTGAGGATAAGGTGTTTGATATGGAGGGTGTACAGTGGGTTGGCAGCATCGAGGGTGGTATCGAGTCGCTGCGCGCCCAGGTGGTTCACCTGCTCCAGTCCGCTGGGTTGGGGCTCACCAGCACATTGGAAGGCGCCGGGAAGGCTTTGTGGCTCACATTGGAAAGCCGCAGGAACGTTCTGGAGGAGGATCAGAAGCGCGCAGGGAAGGAGAAGAAAGAGTAAAGTTCATGAGCAGGGTATATTCGTCGTTGCTGTCAAGAACCTGGGTGTTAGGATAGCCCAAGTTCCTACCGCATATAGCATGGTGTTGAGGGGCTGGGGCATTTAAGTAGTTGCCATTGTCTCTGTAGACTTGTAAACTATACTGTACGAAATACTATGACATAAAGCTTTCAAGTTCCAAGCTCATAACCTCTCCTTGGACTATGCTTCTGAAGCACTTCATGTCTTTCGATAAGGTACATCCCAGACTGTAAAGTTGTCAAGTTGCTGATGGCTTTCCTGCCTCTGCCAGAAACTAATTTGCGACAAATCTAATGCGTCAGTTATTATTGGTGTCAAATGCTCGTTTACTCTACTCAACTCTCGAAGTTCGTCTCTCTCAGTCATATGCTTGTTGGGATGATGATCGAGGGGCTGGCCAAATAGGGTGGGGGCCCCGCCTGATGCAAGGGCCCTTGTTGGCTATTTAGACAAGGCTACGGTTCACCCCAGATTTTCCCGTGATACAGCAAAGATCAGACTCAGAGAGCCTGGTTACAAACACGAGATGCTTTGGTGTTTATCAGCTAACTGAGGTCATGAGTTTATGATATTGCCTTGATGCTGTTTTGTCAACCAAGTTTAACCCATAACCCGAAAATTTAATTTGATAGCCAACTCACACGCCTGAGCATCCGTCCTATTGATAACTCACCCTAGCTCCCTGCTCCCAAGCTTCGACCCTCCTCACTTCACCCCCCTCCCCCGGAACTCAATCTCGAATCATCAGCACCACCTACAACGCACGACAACTGCCATATCTGCACGCCTGATCTAAGCTGCAATCACTTACTCCTCCTTCAAAAGGACAGCACCCCATATCAAGGGGAAATTTTTCTTATTCTCAACAGGAGAACCCTCAATTGCATCTTGTCCGCATTAGACATCAACTCCTGGGCCCCGGTGTTAATTGTCAACAATAGCGAACCTTCTCACCTCTTTCGCCGCTTGTATCCACAACCATAAACATGGATTTTGCCCCTTATCAGTCTTCTCCTCCTGAACACATACGCAGTACAACGGCGTCACCCCGAACCTCACTGGAAACTTCCCGACGATCCTCTCCACAATACCAATACCAGCAGCGACCCTCGCGCTTCTCCCCACCTCCGCTCCAGCACCCACAGCCCCAGCGTGCATGGAACAGTGACAGCATCAGTAGAGGATATCGCAGTCCCGACGGCCTAGATAATACCGGCGGCAATTACTGGGCTCAGAATGGGGGGCCAGGAGCAGGACGGTTCGTCGTATGGCTCAGAGAGCTGGTGGGGAACTCCTTCAGCGCGCTGGCCGCGCGAGAAGGGACGGTGTCCGAGCTGTTTGATACCAGCCTGGGGCTGAGACTTGACTATGAGGCGTGTCTGGCGTACCTGGCATTTCCACCCCTTGGGGCGATTCTGTTGCTGATTTTGGAAAGGAAGAGTGATTATGTGAGGTCAGTTCATCCTTTGTCCTCCAAACAGGACCTACCTCGCAATGGTGATAGCGGAGAGGAAAGACTGTGTCTGCTGACATTCCATCCACTTAGATTTCATGCATGGCAGTCTGCTCTACTGTTTACGGCGTTGTTTGTTGTGTACCTTGTGTTTTCTTGGTCGACTTTTCTAAGCTGGGTATTGTTTCTCGGGGATCTAGTGTTAATTGGATGGCTTGCATTGAACGCTTATCGAGATGCAGATACCTTGGACAGGTGAGACCCTGCCACTTTCGCCCATATGTTTTTCTGTCGAAACACCTCTATTGACATCACTCAACAACAGGTACGAAGTCCCAATTATTGGTCCCCTTGCAAGCAGGATCTTGGACGATGAGTAGCGAGGATTCGACCCTGCCATTGCCAGATGCACGTCATAAAACCATTACACGGTCTTGTCGCCCCGTTTACTTGACTCAACTTAATGTACATACGGCGCATTATCACTGCTCTGTGCCCTATTCGCACTGAGTATGCGCAGCTGGCTGGGGTTTTCTTCCTAGATCTACTAGATGGTGTCATGGTTCGATTTACAGACAAGACGGACTCGTTTCGATTGATTGCATGACTCCTATACATCATTTTGCCATAAACCTACACCATACATCCATAGTTGACTTACTTGGCCCTCAATTTTTAACCACCGTCATTGAAGCACTTTACCTCCCCAATCAGGGTTGATCAGCTGGGAGACTCATCGAAGGTGAACACGATGTCACCGACGCTGACACCTACTTTGCAAGATCTCACCATAATTTATCCTCGGTAAGGACAGTAAAATAATATATAACCTAAAATAAATTACGTAGTTCTCGTCCGTCTACCTAGGCAGGTAGGGATGTTCACAGGGCTGCAATGTAAAGTGCTTGACTCTCTCTCCTCTTTGATGTTGGATGCGGATACATCTGTTTGCAGGGTTAGGGTTGTGCTCATGAAAGGCAATTCCGGTGGGGCAGCTAAGCCTTACCAGGGCGTTGGCTTCAGCCTCCGTAGCGCTTGGTTACGTCGCGCTTTTGCCTGCAGCAGCCGCAGCCCAGCCTGCTGTCGATTCGATCAAAGCTTCATCCTCCCACCAAACGCCCAACTATAAGCCTCGCACCACCAGGTACCCGACATACTCGATACGCGCACCAGCCGCGCTTATTTCTCAGACGCCTGAGTCACAGACCGTCTACCCGTCCTTTTGGCGCTTCTTCAATAACCCTTGTCAAGTCAACCGTCTACTGTCCCCGCCCACCATGTCAACTCTCGAAGAGCTCGATGCCCTTGATCGCCAGGAGCGCGATGACAAGAAAGACAAGAAGGATGGTGACAAGAAGAAGCAAGCAGATGGCGATGCTGAAATGAAAGATGCCGAGGAGGACGACATCCTCGACGCCGAAATCCTAAGTCTGAGCACAGAAGATATCAAAACCCGCCGACGCCTGCTTGAGAATGATGCCAGAATTATGAGGAGCGAATACCAACGGTTATCGCACGAGAAGGCAACCATGAAGGAAAAGATCAAAGAGAATCTTGAGAAAATCGCAAATAACAGGTAAATGCTTTCTTGGCTGTCGCAGTCGTTGCTGCTGCCCGGCTGCCAGTCTTTCCTGTGCTGACACGCTAGATCTCAGGCAACTTCCTTACCTGGTCGGCAACGTTGTCGAGCTTCTGGATTTGGATCCGACTGAAGAGTCCTCTGAAGAGGGTGCCAATGTCGACTTGGATGCTACGCGCGTGGGCAAATCGGCTGTCATCAAGACTTCGACCAGGCAAACTATCTTCCTGCCTCTCATCGGCCTAGTCGACCCAAACAAGCTTAAACCCGGTGACCTTATTGGTGTGAATAAGGACTCGTATCTTATCCTTGACACCCTTCCGGCCGAGTATGATAGTCGTGTCAAGGCTATGGAGGTCGACGAAAAGCCGACAGAAAAGTACAGCGATGTAGGTGGTCTGGACAAGCAGATTGATGAACTTATTGAGGCCATCGTATGGCCCATGAAGGAAGCTGAGAGATTCAAGAAGATCGGCATCAAGGCGCCGAAGGGTAGGACTGATTTCAGTATTACTATTGATTCTATGACCCTTCGCTGACACCCCTGATTAGGTTGTCTCATGTACGGCCCGCCAGGAACAGGCAAGACACTTCTTGCCAGGGCCTGCGCAGCGCAAACAGATGCCACATTCCTCAAGCTTGCTGGCCCGCAACTTGTCCAGATGTTCATCGGCGATGGCGCCAAGCTTGTCCGCGACTGCTTCGCTTTGGCCAAGGAGAAGGCCCCGTCGATCATTTTCATCGATGAGCTCGACGCCGTCGGCACCAAGCGTTTCGACAGTGAAAAGAGTGGTGACCGTGAGGTCCAGCGTACCATGCTTGAGCTTCTCAACCAGCTGGACGGCTTCGCGTCAGATGATCGGATCAAGGTTATCGCCGCCACAAACCGTATCGACGTTCTTGATCCCGCCCTGCTTAGGTCAGGGCGTCTCGATCGCAAGATTGAATTTCCGCTGCCAAATGAGGAGGCTCGCGCTCAGATTCTCAAGATCCACTCGCGCAAGATGAAGGTCGATCCTTCTGTCAACTGGAGCGAGTTGGCTCGCAGCACGGATGAGTTTGGCGGTGCTATGCTTAAAGCTGTGTGCGTCGAGGCTGGTATGATTGCTCTGCGTATGGGCAAGAACAAGATCAGCCACGAGCACTACGTCGATGCTATTGCGGAGGTGCAGGCCAAGAAGAAAGACGTGAGTGAACCATTACTTTACCAACCTGTAGATCCGGAATTGCGCTTTCCACTCATGCTAACGTCACGGTTACAGACGGTCAACTTCTATGCATAAACGTTCCAAGAGCGTCCTGGTTGGGGATGTGGGGACAGTTAATGATTTGACGGCGATAATGCATAGCCAGCACGATCCGTAGGAAGTGATTTGGTAATGCCATGCTGATAGAGCAAGACCGCCGTCCTGTTAAACCTTGATCAAGGGGCTTCCTTTCTCCCGCGTGCGGACTGTCATCCTCTCTTTTATCCTCTCTGTCGAGTCCTTGTGTTCTTGTTCCGCGAGCTTATTGGGACGATTTGAAACACCCTCCCACCTGTTTCCTGTCGGTCCGTGATAGGTTTTAAGTATGTAGTTGCCTACGATGCTGACAGACAGAGGAATCTTTCGATATCCCATTTTCACCGGCTTGCGACCTCTCAGATCGTCGTGAAGTCAGGGACAAGGGTACAGCCACTGTCTCAGTTGACCCTCTTACCACAAACGTAACCTCCAACGCGCCAGTTTATGAACGCCTTATTACATTGACAAAAGAGGTAAGTCTTTAATCGGGCTGTGCCAGTGCGAAGGAAGCAGTCCGCGCTCGGTGTGCTGCGACTAGGCAATTTTGAGTGGAGTAAATATGCTTAGGTACTTAACACAGGGAAGGTATAGTACGAGGGAATACAGTCTAGTCACGTCGATTTGCCCAGAAACCAAGTGATTTTTGACTATAGTATAGTTGTAGATATATCTAAAGGCTTGTCTCGCATCACGTAGTATGCGCGTCTTTTTTGATTTTGTCCGACATGGCACAGCAACGTCAGTCAGCATGCCAAGGCTGCCGTCCAGTGGGCTCACGAACATGTCCACTGTGCGACTGAGCACCCAAATACAACAGCTGGGAGCTGCACGGAGTCTCGAATATAGGGCAAGGTTACCGTGTGAAAAAGTGGAGCGTCGCAGGAATGATTGAAAATTGCCCCCTTGAATCGCTCCAAGAAGGCGCAGAAATGATCGAATGGGGTGAGCGGAGAGCTAGGAGTGCATCTGCTTCGATCCAGCACTGCTGCGGTGGTTTGACAAGCAGATAAATCAAGCTTACGGGTTGACAATGCTGTTGGAGGAATCCAGTAGGCGCGGATAGGCGCCGGCCACCTTGTGCGGCCTCGTCACAACCCAATTAGATGTTGAGAGTCTTTACCACTCTGAGTCATTATTTCCTGCCCTCAACCCGAAAGCACATCACAGGCCCAGAAGGAAGATGGATGATCAATAACATGAAGGTTCGCAGGGCGTATTAGAGCAAATGGGGACGGCTTGTTGCCACAAGGCTGTAGTCTCTAACCGACGCCGAGCTCACGTAATCAGGTGACTCAAGAGAATTATTCTTCATAACTGAACAGCTTCCAAGGTTAGTTGACAACGCAGGAGCTTTCTTGGGCTACCATGTACCCGCACTCCATGTCTTCCTCTGTGTCAAATGGCGTGGCTAGAGTGAGGGTTAGGGTTATATGATAATGCAAAATCGGTACCCAACCCAGGCGCAATTCAGGGGCACACAATCGTTGCCGGGGTTACCAGGAATTTATGAAGTACACACCACACCTAACCGAGTATTTGACGACGAAATACTAAGCTTTGAGGCCGACTCGTTGCACACGCTCAAGAGGGTACGTTACAGGCTCGCATTAGTTTAGGCAGAAATTGAACGATTAGGGTATAGACTCCCTATTTCTATGCTAACGCAGTCCAGTCCCACTTTCAGAACCCTAGCTCCCGATCTCCCCGACACCAACCATCAATGCCCATTACTGTCCCTGAGAATTCATTGCCCATAGTTGCCCAGATACCCAATTGAGGTGATAGTCGATACTGATATGAAATTCCCGGTCGCGTTGAAAAGAAATGAAACGCGCGCGTATGGTTCGCAAGATCTGAAAGATATCATGAAGGGATTAGTAGCTGTATGGATACTCTGAAGAAGGATCGTCTATGAAAGGGTTAGTATATTCCCGAGTATAGGTTTATGATAAAAAAAATAACTCTTACATCCGTCATAGTCGCCAGTTTGCCAAACAGGATATGAGTCCATGCCCTCAGGAGGAGGAGTGCAGCAAGTAATTTCCTCAATGGGCTCTGGTTTCAGATAGTGGGTTAGACATTAGATTCGAAACTTTATGTGCCAAACATTGGGTCCCCCAAAGACGTACCGTCGTCGACATGGATCGGCTCGCCTTCTTTCAGCAACCCCTTCTTGATAGCCCTCTTCTCAAATCTGGCAATGTCTTTCGGATCGACGACTTTCCCTCGTAGAATGAACCGGGTTTCTTTGTTGGGATCAATGGCCTTCCGTTCCCGAAGAGTCTTAATCATATAGAGGTACTCTGAGGCCTTGATGTACTTGGTGTCAAGGTTCCACTTCTTGAGCTGAGTTTTGTATTGCTTCTCTCTGTAGGACAACGTCAGTTATTGTTCCCCTCCTGACTCCAGGCCCTTCGAGAAGCCCGTCATACATACGTTGCCTTGAAGTTGTACGCGATTTGCATCTGCGTCATGACGTCCTTGAGCCTCATATTAAGCGTGTTGTACATCTCTGCGATAATCTCGCGGTATGGTTCCCAATCCTCCGGCTTGGTTGGCCGGATCATTGTTGCCTGAGATTGCTGTGGTTGTTGATAGTGCTGCCCTTGGGCATACATGTAGTAGTTCGACATGGTTGAGAGGATAGATGTCACGGACGACCTGCGCTAGCTCAGTATCTGAAGATCTAGCTGGCTTGTTGTGCGTCGGTATTAGAGTTGAAGCACGTCGACTGTGGCTTCTACGAACAAGATGGCCATGAAGTGGGAACGATCGTGGACTTTATACCGCATCGCTGGGTATTTGTATAATCACGAACCCAAATGAATAGGAGGTTGAAAGAACACCCAACAACAATAGCATATCCGCAGTTCCGCACAGCCCTAAGAACAAGGAAAATGCTCGGCTCATCCTAGACCTTCACAACTACTAGATCAGGCCGCTAGGCAGCTAGATAACTGGGGGCCAGAAGAAGCGGCACGTCATGGCTGTAGGTGGCATTCCGTCTATGTGTAGAAGCCACAATTTGAATATAGAACGAAAGAGGATAGGTAGACAGGCGATAACTCGAGAACAGGAGCATCCATTTGACGAGCCTTACGATCAGCATGGTGGGGTAGGCACATGGACTCTACAACACTACGCGCACCCCTGCTCTCGGGGGCCCGAGGTCATTTCAATAACTGCGCGATGCCCAGGCAGACGCGCTACTTCAATTCCTCTCCATCCCACCGTTGTGGCCGCAGCATTGTAAAGAAACGAAAAAGCTCAAAGTGGCTTTCAAAGTGGCGCGCGTCAGTCTGGTCAGAAACGATTGGTGAAGCACAAGTTCCTTGCATATTGCCGAAATCGCTGGGTTGTTGAGAGATGCCAGGGGCAAGAGAGGGTGGGATTCTGGGCGAAGAGAACTTAGGTAGAGAAGAGGCCAAAAGAGGCCCTTTCATTTTGCCCATGTAGTTGCTTCGATCTTCTGCCGTCCTATCCTCTGAGTGAGGTGGAGGGCAAAGGATGGACCTGGTGGAGAGGCGGAAGTCCGGAAATGCAAGACCTGGCTTGGTAGGTGTGGGTTTTGAACTGGCTCAGCCTGGAGCTTGAAATGGACCGACGCCGCCGAAAAAAAGCAGTTTCGACCGCTGCAGACCCCTCATCTCTTGTCGCTTGAAGGTTGTGGAGAGGCAGAGTCCTTGACCAAGGTCGAGCGGTCTGGGCCCCACGGTGGGTTAGCAGTCCGGCCCCACCCTCCTCGATGCAAAGTCGGAAGGGTACCCGGTGACTCGGGACGGGAGCAGGGCCGGCAGCACCACAACCGCCTCAAAGGCTTGAAGTTGGTTCGATGCCACAGAAAAGCCCCGGTGACGCGCCAGACCTATCTTGCAAAGCCACAATGCCGGGCCAGCGATGTCGCTGAGAACCCCGGACAGGCCCTTGCCGTAAAGCCGATTGACCGATTCCTGCACTGTCGGTGGGCTGCGGCGCCACCACGAGAACACCCGTGGCCACTGTTCGTCGAACGCGGGGGCCAGAAATTGGTGATGGAACCCCACGGTACTTTGCCAAGCCCGCCTGATTATGGAGCTTACACTGCGCTAGGTACAAGCAGAGCTTAATACAGAAGAAGGCACATGCAAGATTCGTTGTTGGTTGTGTTACACAGGAAGAGCGGGCATTGAGGCAAGTGCGTTAGTTCGGCAACAAGAAGGATGGTTAGGGGACATCATTGGCCGCTTACCTAACACTTGCCCACAATGAACATCATTTCCATACATCACTCCATGACTGCTCTGTCGCATTCCTTATTGGTACTTCTCTTGAGCAGCTTGATCGTTTGCTCTGTGTGCCAGGGATCCTGCCTCTCCAGAGCAAAGGCCTTAGGCACCGCTCCCAACCGGTGCAGGCAGAACCGCGCCAAAAACAGTGCTTGACAACCAACAAGTCTTGGCTTTCGTCTTAGCTATCTCGGATCTCTACCCTAGTCATCCTAGTCGGCATCACATACTTCATGCCCTGCTGCTGAGTCCGATCACCTGACAAATCATGGAGATGAAGACCGGGACCGGCTGTCGGGGGCGTTGTACAACGGTGAATTGGGCTGCTGTGTGATGAAATTATTCAGTGTGGCAGTTCTTTCCCCTTGCCTGCGCCGCCCCCAAGTTCAGCTTCAGCCTCAAGAGCTACTCGCTCGGAAAAGCCGGGGACAGCAGATGCTGACATACTATGGCTAGTGTGCGCATTGCAGTTTGCACTTATCAGCTCTTCAGCAGCCGTATTCCCAGAGACCTTGATTTGCGTGCCAGTCGGACTGTTAACGTTAGCTCTCCTTCGAGAAGCATGCAGTGGGGCTTGGAGTTTAGTAGCACAAGCCGCAAGGGCAGCGCGATTTGTGCAACGGCGCAATTTCCAGCCTAGCCAACCGACAAGAAGCTTCCTGGCTAGTGGTCTAGGCAGGGGCCCATTTACTACGAACTTCTGTGCCTGGTGTTGGAGGAATGGAAAACAAAACATCATCAAGGCAATTTGTGCATGAATTATCCTCACGCCGAGCAGCAACCCAATAGGTTGGTCCCCTGAACCACGGACAGCCAAAGCCAAAAGCCAAGAGGTACCCGAATCGCATGGAGGATGTGCAATCGTAGCACACTCAGCCGCCAAAAAGTACATTAACCTTGACAGCACAAACTATCTTCTCTATCTCGTCAAGTCTGATAGCCCAACCCTGCTCGGGCGCCTCTTGATTTATTCACTGCCAGTGGTTGGTAATACCAAGGTGAAGCTCACAATCACGCAGCCACCGTATCCGTCTCACACCTCGCCAGACAGTGCGGCTATTGTGTGGACGAGCAACAACACTACGTGTTTTGTGTAACCATATGTACACATTGGTACTGGCCATAGCCGCAGTCGAGCGGCACCGAATCTTGTGAACACTTGTGCGACTTCAAACCCAGGGTTTCCGGTCAGAGTTGCACTGACTCCAACGCCGGCTGCTGTGATACATGTTGTCTCTTGGCTTTGGTGACAGCCGGCATAGTTGCAGATAGATTTACAGCCTGGGCGGGCCCTTATTATGATCGGTTCAGCATGAGACATCGCTCGGACTGTCAGACAGCAGGCATGTTGACGAATGGCATTGGAACCTTTGGAAAATCCCACGTATTTTGCGAAACCAGATCTCTTGTCTATCCAGCAAAACCTGTGGAATGCTTTCCAGGCCGTCTTGCGACTGATCAACGGTATGCTCTCCTAACGCTTGTGCAACGAGCCACAAACACCAAAGATTGCGCGAGTTAACACAACACACAACATACTCCATCAACCGCTACATGCAGCTCACTTATCCGTACCTGTTTAACATTTGTTTTGCGGTCTTCGGTAGGCGTGGTCTAGATGGCTTCACCTTAAAACTTTGTATGGCTTACCTGCTGTGCTGGGTATTGGTGTTGGCCGATGGCGGCATATAAGCGCGCATCGTCTCCACAAAATTACTGTATTTGGCAGTAGTCGCGGCACAGCCTGCGGGAATCAACCACTAACAACCTTAGATACAGCAAGTTGCCAGAGCAGGTTAAGAGGGCTGCCGCGTGTACCCCAACTATCAACAGTCGGAGCCTGGTTTCAGGAAGCATTCTCACTACCGTGTAGCAATACACCGTATCACCTACAACGCACAGAAAACAGTCTGTTTGGCCGGCGGTGCTTGGATAACGTGAAGGCAAACAGGTATTTACTCGGCTACCAAAATCTGTAGCTAACCTATGGCTCTCTTCGATAAAAAGAGATGAGGAAGACGCAACAATCTCCAGTCCCAAGAGGTTTACAGCCAACACAACTAGCGCGTCAGGTCCTTCTCACAACGTCTTGGGGTAAACTCTCACCCTGTATTCCAACACCTTCGGAGATGGCGAGGCTTCTGTGGCGTTGACAAGATACCCCGTACTTGCTTGGGTAATAGCACTGTGCCTCTCTTTGCAACGCTCTGTTTGCTGCTCTGGGCAGTGGCTGTTGGCTGCAACACCTACCGCACCCGTAACCAGTCTTCCCAGGAAGTCACCAAAGATACACTGTGGATGATGCGTTCTTCTTTCTGGGCGGAAGACTGGCGGCAAGATCTCAAGGAACATGAACCTTACCTCTTCCGGACTTCTGGCCATACCACTCTTCACCAAGGATCATCATCGACTAATCATAATTGAATGCTCCCAGATATAGAACTCCAATCACATCTTTAGCTGCAGTGGTTTCACGTGATGTCCCTGCAGCATCATATGAGCTCCAAGGCGCTCCAACTGCGTGTTGGACACGATATTGCGGATTGCAGCATTAGGAATTCTCGCTCAACGTTTTTTTCTGATGGAGCAGAGTGCCTGGCAGAAGCAGAACTGTTGATGCTATTCGACTTAACCAAATCCCGTTCATCTGCAAACCAACGGTATGGGGCACTCTTAACAACATGGCCGAGCAATTTTTGCCAATACTATCATGGCAACGACCAGACAGAAGAACTCGGGTACACTACCAAGTTACCGATAACATCCGGGGCCCTTGCTCACATCTGATATGGCGCATCTGTTAGTTGTTGCTCATCACACCAGCTCTTTGCGACATCCTGGCATCAATACATCCATCCAACAACGTCCAATGTGCCGTGCTCATTTAAGGCAATCAGAGTTCCTGATGTGCCTTCTTCGCCGCTTTCTCTTGCTCAGCAGCTTTGTCCCTAGCCGCCTCGGACCCCAGCTTGAGCTGGTTGGCAACCCACTGCCATCCGTTCAGCAGAACTTCTTTGATCTTTGCATACGCAGGGCTTGACGGCGAGCTCGTGCCGTACTTGAAGTACGTGTATTGTCTGCGAGCTAGTGCGCGGAGTTCGTTGACCGTTGATCCCTGCGGCACAGGTACTCCATAGCTGTCCAGGTACGCCTTAAGCTCACTCTCACTCCACGTGTCGAAGAGACTTTCTTTGGCACTATCTGTTGCCTTTGCCAGGTAATTGGTCGCTGATGCATAGATGGAACCTCCCGCCGAAGATGCCGACGCGTACGTTCGTTTCGCCGCTGCCACGAGTTCTTCCCTAGTGGCATCCGACTTGTCTGCAATCTTCCTGGCTGCTGCATTGCCGCTTGACTTCAAGTATTCGCGGAGATTGTCCGTCGTCAGGTCATCCCACGTCCAAGCTGTCCAACCGGATGCTGCTTTGTGGGCATGCTTGCGCACAAGCGCCAGCAGCTCGTTGGTCTTGCTACCTTGTGGAACGGGCTGCAAAATGACAAGTCAGATGCGTTCGTCTCTATTTTTTACGGGCAAAATGTATAGCAGGCACTCACCACGCCACGAGCATCCAAAAACGCCTTCAAGCGGCTATCGGACCAGGTGTTTATCGCTTTGTCGAATGCGTCCTGGATTGCCTGTGCTGCAGCATCTGTCGCCCTAGCTGCAGCGTCAGTTGCTCGAGATGCGGCCGAGCCAATGCTAGACGTTGCGGCACCAAAAGCCGATGCTGCAGAGTCTGCGACAGTGTCACCCATGATCTCTGCACGATGCTTGCGAACTAAGGCACGCAACTCATTAAGCTTAGTGCCTTGAGGGACTAGTATTACGTGCTCTCGGTTAGCTTTTGCACGAAATAATCTTGATGCCAAGGTCATAAATCGCAGCAACCAACTAACCCTTGATTCCATTCTTATCACAGAACTCCTTCAGTTGCGATTCTCCCCAGGCGTCGATGAGCTTGTCCGTCAAAGTAGCGTATGCCTCTTGAACCTTACTCCGAGAACGCTCGGCCTCTTCCTGCATCCGCAGATACGCAAGACGTGAGTTGCGCCTAACGGAAGCAATAAGCTTGTCACGCTGTATCGTATATCAGTGCCCTGTTCCGAGTAGAACATCCTGCATGTAGAAACATACTGTTGTTGGCTGCGGCGCCGGAAAGCCATGAGTATCAAGCCATTCTTTCAGATCCGACTCTGCAAGTTTTCCTTTTCAATACTTGACCTGGGCACTATGGACAGAAGGCCTACTTACCTGTCCAAGTCTCGTAAAGCCAATCCCCTGGATACGAGGCCGTCTCTCCAAGCTTCTCAGCGATGGTGTGGAAGTTCTCGCGAACCTTCTGGAGCAGCGTGTCCCGCTTATGGGGCTGGGGAACTGCTCATGTTAGGCCATTAGTTATACTGATACAGGATCTAACACGAGAGGACTTTGAGCTCCGGGGGCCTACCCGGGATTCCATGGCGGTCACAAAATGCCTTGAGCTGACTGTCGGACCATGTATCCAGAATCCAGTCCTTGACATTGGTCCAGCCAGCTTGTGCCTTGTCTTCAGTTTCATACCAGTAATTCTTGACCTGACTGATGAGAGAGTCGCGCGCATTTTCTGCTGATTCTTTGGTCTCAACCCCCTTTCTTTTGAGGTACTCGGTGAGCCTGTTTGCATCCCAATCGCGATATGGTGTGACGACATGTGTGTCCCAATTTGCCTGAACCAATCTCTCCAGCTCTTTACGATCCGCTGGAGTTGGGTAGGGAATATTATTATCTGACAGCCACCTCTCTAACTCTGTTTCGTGCCATTTGTTGTAAGCTGGTTTATGGTGTCAGCGTTTTTGCTGTTGAAGCTGTCTTGTTACTAAAAAGCTTACCAGCTTTGGATAGCCAAGATGACGCCAAAGTCACATCAGCCACAAGGGCCAACGAAATTAGTGCTTTCACAATCCTCATCGTATGGGCCGCGAACGTTACCAAGGGAATGAAACCGAGCTTAATACAGAAACTTTAAGCTTATCCGAATCCTTCGTTGTCTGGCTTTGGGGGTTTGTCAGATATGCGAAAGGAAACTCCGATTCTCATATGGTGGCACACTTTACAACTAGTTTTTTACAAGGAGCTATGACGACTCTCTTGGGTCTAGTCTTTCACGTCACCTCTCCCAACATTGCCCCCCAATCCTTGTTTCTTTTGGCTACCGTAATAAAGTCGCCCAATCAACCTTCTTAGGGCCCGCTTGGCTCATAAGGTGCTTTTTCTTTCCTGGGAGCGTTGTGATGTAATGCGGGCCAACAGGAAAGGCACGAAAGGTGCAGTCGATGACGTCACTCCCAAGTCGAGCAGTTGTCGGAGCTACCCTCCTTTCAGTACTTTGATGACCCTCCATTGATACCATAACAATAAATTGTACATAGCTTATCGAAAGCATTTATTATCCTAAAATACGCATTTGGACTGGTCAGTATTATAGGCGTCGACAAAAGCCGGGATGTGGCTTACCATAGAGTCCTCGAAAGGACCACAGCACCAAGCTCTAGGCTAGTGCCGGCTTATGCCGTGGCGACCAACCTGCTGGCTGCCAATCATTCTCATACATTAAAATTGCTCTGGTGTCAGTGTGCGCCTGGAAGCGACACCGGCGCGATTGGCCCATTGCTTGTTGAAAGCCGGAACTTGAGCTGGGCAGTTCGTTGCCCGAGCAACTATCCCTTGTGACTTGTGCTCGACATAGCTTGCACGGAAGCTCCAACATTAATCACTCTATCCTGGCTACAAAGACGAAGTGAATATATCCTTCACAGTCTCTCGTAGCAATTTGTTGTTCTTTATTCATCGGGAGTGACGCGGTCGCACGGGTCCCATCCTGAAACCGAGATGTTAGTGCTGCTCGTAAGTAAACGAAAAAAGGAGGGGGGGAAGCCCCACCGTATTCGCAGACCACACCAACATCACCGAACTCCCGCATCAAAGCCATTCGGGCTGCTTCAGCCTGACAACGGAAACTGCCAAAACGAAATTCGACTAGGACACGACCACCTTCGCCCCCATGGGTGATGACCTCATCAACTTGGTAGAGAAGCTTTGTGTCCAAATAAGCACGAAGAAACTCTTCGTTAGCAATCGTTGGAGGGCCGCTGATGAGCAAAACACGAGAGCGATGGCCGCCAACGTCCATTTCCGCCGAGCGAATGCGATTCCAAGTCACGCGGACACGCAAATCAGGGTGGTTTGGGGTGAAAAAGCCGGTCAGTGAGTAAAGATTGTAGAAACGCTCTAAACAGTAAATGGGTTAGTGTTGTCGGTCGGTACAGCTAAGCTTCATAGCAAAGAGGAGTAGTAGATGGGGAAAAAAAAAACTACTAACCAGCAGCCTTTCTCTCGAAGAACACAACTTTGGCCGCGCTCCTAACATGGCCCCTCGCAGGATCGGGAGGGTTAATGTGCGTTGCGTATACGCGTCCGATGTCTCGAATGCCAGACAAAAGTTCATGTGTAGTAATGTCGGCAGCCAGACCCACTAGGAACAAGCTGCAATTGGCCTCGGGCGGGATAAGTGCAGACTGATTGCGCGCCAACGTCGGGTCGCCCCGGTAGTTGGGCGAAAACCCTCGCAATACCAACTGTCGTGCCTCTTCGGCCGTGATTCCACCTGCCCCGTAATGACTTCTGGCTCCAAGAGGGCGACGCGGTGCTGTGTGGCAGTTCATGGGGTGAAAGAAATTCGGAATCATGGGAGGGTTGGCCGAGGGCTGAAGGGATGTGGTCACAGCAGTACTAGTCGTCGGCTCCTTCGCTGTCGTTGACAGATGCGATATCTCCTCGCTCTCTTTCGCCGCCGTCGACAAGTAGTCGCCACTCAGCGCCGGAGTAGCTGTGAGCGACCGTAACTTAGCTGCCACTGCGTCAAGAGGTAGATTGCCTGTGGAGAGGGGATTGAGAAACTGGATTCCGCCAGTAGAAGTCGGTGAGGAAGGGCTGTCTATGGCCAACTGGATGAGATACTTGTGCAGCTCCAAGTCTCGCTCGAAATCATGACCATCGGACAGATTAGGGAGGAGTTGAATTGGGGTCGGTGGCGATAAACTCGCGTAAGGATCAGGATACGAAGGCTCATCGCGTTCACCTAGCAGTTCGAGCGGCGATAGCTTATCGTTGACCTCCATGATGTTCGACTTCTGGTTGTTGTTGTTGTTGTTGACCGTGATTTTCGAGTCAGTAGTTGTGGGGATCCAAGGTGGAAGCTTTGACTGCGGTCGACGATGCTGGGGTGGGAGAGGAAAAGCGAACGGAAAAGGGAAAGAATTTTGCTGCTTCCGCACAGCATTAGATGAAAAGCTCGCCGATGTGGCCCTCGGCGAAAAGCTCACGTCGCTCCAAGGGTTGGCTTGAGCTCCCGAGTCAGCTAGGTTCTGCGATGCTGTCCCAAAAGCCTTCCAGTGTCCTGAAAATGTCACGGAGGAGCATTCATGATCGCCATTGTCTTGCAGTTGAGATCGTAGGCCAATATTTTCGCTCAAGCTTGCTTGATCTCCCAGGTGTTTCGCAGACGCGACATGAGAGGGCTGGTAAGAAACTGATCGAATGTCCCTCGTGACCCTTGATGGCGTATCATTGAGTCCGTATCGTGCGATCTCAGCAAGTCTCTTCTTCTCCTGGTCGTTAATATGCATATCCAGCCCTGGACAGTGCTGAGTAGACTTCAACATCTCTGTGCTCTGACCACCCGGTAACCATAAGGGAGTTGTATCGGGAGTGTTGTTGGCCTGAGCATCGGTCGTCACATTTAGAGGAGTCGACTGCGAAATATTGGGGCTTGAGAAGCCTGTTGTATCAGCGTCCGACTCGGGAGAGCTCATCTCCAGGAGTTCTCTTTTGAGAATTTTTGAGACTTGTGTCAAAAGTCGTATTGCAGAGTCCTAAAGGTCGACTGTTGGAAAGCGAGCTGAATTTCAAGCAAGAGACACTGGAAATTCTGGAGAGGTGTAAACGCCTTGAAGCCAAGTAGGTTGAGGTTTAATTATCATTGAATGGACATCCAATAACAATCACTGGTTTCCACAACAAAGTTGTCAATGAAAGGCAACAACCCTTACACAGACTGCCTGCTATCCCTGCCATATACCTCAAACAAACACCTTTATTCATTCAACTTCAATTGGCACTACAGACTATTCACTCCGACAGCCTTTGTTACGTCAAAGGTACGGCATAGCTGCTTTTTTCGAATGCATCGTCCTACAACAAGATTTCACTCGAGTGGTTGGATGCTAACTCATAGGACCCAAAGAGAGGATGTTCACACCTATTACTATTGACCAAAAGATGACAGACATACAATTCAAATTGTTGAAGTTCTTTCCACACAATCTACAAAATTGCGTGTCATCCCTCGATTTCGGGATTTCAAAAGATATTTACACATGTACCCTAAACAAGATATATACGAGAAAAATAGATCAGCTCCATGTGACAACACCAAGGGCTTTTAGTCCCTTTCCAACATGATAAATAGACCGGGTCAGATTGATAGTCAATTGGCTGTTGAGGTTGCCAATTGCTACTGGTCTACATTCTTACAGGCATTGTGAGTACCCTAGAGAACATCCTAAGTTAGTCACAAAACGTTGTTGCATCTCCACCACAAATAGTGGAACACTTACAGTCATTTAGGTAGGTGCAAGTCCAAGGGCTCTCGCATCTAGTCGGCCCCGTGTACCCGATACCGCCACACTGTCCCCAACGCGGCACCGTCCCACCAGGAGCAGCAGAAGTGGTCGTAGCAGGAGGTCTGGTCGTCGTCGGCGAACCGCTGCCGCCGCCGTTGCCAGGGTTAGCACCCTGAAGTGTGAGCAGACCAGGCCGGTAGGGCAGACGGTTGTACTCGCCACCGCTGGACGGTGAGCGGCCCTGATACAGCAGCTGAAGGTTGCAAGGGTCGATGGGCATGGTGTGGTCCGGGCTGGAGCGGATCAGATCGCCGTGGCTGATATCGTTGGTCCAGGTGGCGCCGCTGTTGGCCTTGCCGGCGAAGGGATTGCTCTCGCTGGTAGCCTGGGGAGTCCAGGCGCCGTTGAGGTCATTGGCAATGTAGGAGCGGAAGTACCGGCCATTGGCACCGATCGACTCGATGAGCATTAGGTAGGTCGGCCTGCTCTGGCCAGTGACAGTGTAGACTTGGACTGCCTCGAAGATGTCGTTGCGAGGACCGCTGATGATGACCTCAGAAGCGCTGCCAAAGTTGCCAGGAAAGTTGGAGATGGGCATCCGAGAACGATAGATCTTGCCGTTGTCGCCAGCAAAGAAAAGGTACATGTAGTTATCGTCGCCAATCAGGGTCTGGTCGATAGGGCCGGTGTCAGAGCCCGAGATACTGCCAGTGAAGAGTGGCTGAATGGATGACCAGCTGTTCGGATTGGTCGGGTCGGTCGAAGTCCGGTAGGAGAAGGCTGTTGGGCCCCATTGATAGGCAAGAACCCAGATGTTCTTGGGCTTGAAGTAGAAGAGGGTTGGGGCCACGGCACTGAAGGACATGGCATTTTGGCTTGCCGTCGCCATCTGGGACCAGTTGGAGAAGAGGCCAAAGTTCATGGAGCCCCAGTTATTCCCATAGGTGGTGGCATAGACAAGATGCTGGCCATTGTATGGCACGTAGGTGAAGTCCTTCAATGAAACCCAAGGAGACTTGGGCTCAGCCAGAGGACCAGTCGATGTCCATCTGTATGTAGATGGGAGACTGCATGCGGCTTCAGCCCCAGGAAGCGTCCAGGCAAACAGTGAAAGGATGGTCGATAGACAGCCAAGGTCAGCTTTCGCAATCTTCATGTTGCCGAGAAGAAGCTCCTAGTGAACTATAGCGATCAATGCGATGGACGTGATGACGAAGCTTCATTCTCTGAATCATACATGATTCATTACCCTCTATATAGCTGCTCGTTCATGATATTGTTGAGGATAAGGAGATATCATGACATCACTAACAACCGGAGGTCCCATTCACTGCCGGAGGGCATGTGGCTTGGACGGGGAAGATAGTCTTTCCACCAGTAATTGATCGCGATGCATACATGCTTGATTCGGAGATAATACTGGACAGAGAAAGATCGGGGCACCAACTCCGTCTTCGGTACAATGCCAGTGTGCCTGTGTGAACGTTTGGAGACTAACATACCTCTCATGTTTCTCGGCAGTGTTGCATTGCGCAGTGAAACAGCTCGTCACCATTGGTGCGGCACACTCCTCAACCAGGTAGCTGGGACAGCGAAGCGTTTCAACGGTGGAATTGTGGGCCCACTTTTCTTGATCGGGAAATATTTGTCCGGGGCTGTCCGAGAAACAACGAGATCTGGGGAAAGGAACTGCCGACCATGGTACCTTGCTGTGATCCTTTAATGAAAAGTATCTTTGAACCAACATCTGCTAAAGCTGTTGTAGAATGTGGATGATCGGTATCTCTATGTGATTCCCTTTGGGAAGCTGTCTTGGCACATATATGCGCACCAATAAATGGCTGTCGAGGGGCTTGTTAAGGATATCAAAGTTTGGTACTAGAAGCGCACCAATAGAAGCCATATATCCCATTAAATCTGTTGAGGTTGTCATATATGTTGAAGTACAGATGTATATACATATATACTATGCAGAATGCTGGCCAAGTTCAAGTTATAATGCTTGACATTAAGAAATCGAGCATACTTATGATAGCTATTTATTGCCTTTGTGTTTATCGGTGACAATTGCTTCACCATTCGTGGAAGCTGCACATATAAAGACAACAGGTTTAAAGAAGACAACCTGCAACTCCATATGAGGGAGACTGTCAGCTGGAGCCATTACTATTCTGAACTTCTCTCATATCGGTTTGTATCATTCACAGGATGTGACATCAGTCTCATGCTGTAGGAAATGGTAAGAATGACAGGGGAGGAAGGCTTGAGTTGAATTAGATGTTACTATAGAGTGGTAGATCTAAGTGTACAGATTCAAAATGGTCTGAAAGCTCTGTGAGAAATATTTCATTTTCTAATTTTAGGCAAATTGTAGCCCAAGCTCAGTCATGCAGTCAGCTAAGCCAGACATTCCATGCTCCTGAAGAAGCATTAAATATTGGTATCTAGTTTGCTTGTCTCTCCTCTACTTCTCTTCATCACATGTAGCTGCAGGGTTAGCGGGCCTTGGACCACCGATCGCTACATGGCCTTTCTTTCCAATGATACCTGTGCCCCTGAAGGCGATTAAAACCACAGATAGGGCAGCGACTCCAAGACCAAAGTTCCACCACTCGGCAGCTCTGAGGCCTGCTAACGTTGCTTCATCCCACTCTATCATTTCGCCAGCATCTTCAACACTGACCCCACGCTCTCTGGCCATCACTGCTGTCTGAATGGCTGTTGCCACTGCGAGCCCCATGGCACGTCCAACCTGGCCCATGGCATTCACTAGAGCGCCGCCGATAGCCTGGTCAGCTTGTGGCAGCGAGTGACTTGTGAATAAGACGAGACACGGAAACGTTGTATCTGTTCCAAACACGGACAAAACCATGGCCGGAAATGACCATGCCCAGTATGTTGTCTTAGGCGGGATGGGAACAGCGAAAAGAAGCGGCGAGACGGCTACACAGAGGTTTCCAATGGCCAGTAAGAGGTAGGTCGGGATACGGGCCAACAACTGAGAAACGATCGCGACGGTGACGACGCCCATAATACCCGTTGGAAGGAAGCGCAATGTTGTCTGTAGCGCGGAATGCCCCTGAAAATCCTGATAGAAATATGTTGCATAAACCAAAAAACCGTTGAAGCTGCTGAAAAAGAGTGCCATGATCGCCATGGCAGCACTGAACTTTGTGTTCCGGAAGATAGAGACCTTCATAATGGGGGCAAGCTTGCCTGTCTTCTCGAGGTAGTGTTGCCAGGCAGTGAAAAGGGCAACGAGGATGAGCGACACGACAATGAGGGTGGGCACCCAAGGAGTCCTCCATCCCACAATATTTCCTTCCGTGAGTGCGAACAAGAGGGCTAACAGCCCTCCTGTGATCAAGGCAGCGCCGAGCCAATCCACAGAAGGCCTCTGCGAGCTTTCAGGTTTTGTTACCGCGCTGGGAGGGGGCGGAGGAATGGTAAACAGGGCAGCCACACAGATTACAAATGCCACCAGAGCAATAATGATGAAAACCCATTTCCATGACACATATTCGACAATGATTCCACCTAAAACGTTTCCAATTACTGCGCCCAGCGGAGCACCGGCGGCTGGAGAGGTATCCATATGGTCAGTGCTCACTCTAGGAAAGACAATAGTGGGATGGGGCATGATGTGACCATACCATAACAACTAATGGCATAGTTTTTGGCCTTGCTCGGCGGGAATGTGCTCCCCAAGATGCCAATAGCAGTTGGGACGTTTGCCGCAGCCCCCTAAGTCTTGTGAGAAGTTGCTCCTCAAAGTGAACCAATCCGATAAAGAGCTGTGGCTCAAACCTACCAAGCCCTGCAGACCACGGAATAGATCGAATGCAATTTCGTTTTTTAAAAATGGATTAACAAGGGTTGTAACGGCAAACCATGCTGAACCTAAAACAAAGATCTTGCGCTTCCCATAAATGTCGGCTAGTCTGCCCCAAAAAAGAAGCAGACAGCCGAACGTGAGGGAGTAGGCTGACAAGATCCATTGCAGACGGGCTTCTGGAATATCCAATTCTTCTCCTATCGTCGGGAGGATGATGACCACGGCCTGACCTGACATGCTCTGTTGTGATCTGGTTAGTCACTGACATCATCTCCTACTCCAAGAGGGTGAAGCTGGGCAGGCAAATCTGCGCCAGGTTGCTCTCACATTGAGAAAGCTTGCGCCAGTCAGAGTAGCCACAAGCACAATACATCGCGCTTTCGAGAAGGGAAGTTTCGACGAGCGGTCCTGGCCCATTACCGTCTCTTGAACTGCCACGGCAGCATCACTTACTTCCGACTCCTCCGAAGTCGGCTGCTGCGATGGCCCGCCTTTCTCTCCGTCACCATAGCTCAGCGAAGCGGCTGGTGGAAGACCATCATTTGCTGGTGACATGGCCACGAAGAATCCTCGATGCTGTTAATGGCGTATGCGGCCCTGTTGAAGTCTTCGTGATAGGGATGAAGTGCCTAGTCTCGACTGGCCTCGACGGACAAAATCGAGGCTGGCGGGCTACCCGTGGTTTCGCGGATGACGTGGTTGAATTTGGTGACGACAATATAAAAAATGGAACAGAAGGTACCTTTAGGTAAACGATATCCTCAGGCTCCACTGTAGTCCTTAGCTTGTTCGCCCAGTCTCGGGATAGCGCGCCCCATTGCGGTTCGGGGATAACGGGGGTGACATTCTGCATTGTGGGAGCGGAAGACACCGTGGCCGGGTGTGGTGTTCGGGATTTTACACTAGATGATGCAATGTATTGCCAAGGGGAACTGGAGCTTCGAGGAGCTGCGGCTGTGACTCTGTGCGGGTGGGAGTGAGAGACAAAGTGTGGGGTTTGATGTAAAGTCCAAGGGTCAGTTCAGCAACAGTTCAAGACGGTGTTTGGTAATTCCCACATGGCAGTCGTACTTTTCGACTTCCACTCGATGGAACCAAGGGAATGTTGGCAGTAACGTCGGCTTCGGAACGCCATCACGCAGCCGATTCGGTTATGGAGATTGTGGAAAACGCCATTCTGCGGTCCGCCGCCCGCGAGAAACCGCCAAGAGCCGGCGCCGAGGAAGCGGATTTCCCTACTGGGTCTGAATACCTAGCACGGGTCAGGTACGGAAATCCATATTTTATGCTTCTATGAGGCACTTGGTGAGTACGAAAGTTCGATTCCACCAGGGTTGATATATCTTGTGCAGCATCATCCATCGAGTCCCAGCTATAAGGGCGTCCCAAGCAGCGAAGGAGCAAAACGAATCCAATTAAGAAAAAATGCACGCAATTTAGGACGATCACAACCTACGTCTTTTTGACCGTTTTTGATTCTTCAACATCCTCTTCTTCCATTGTCTCCTCCAATTGGGTATCCATCTGCCGGGCGCTTCACAATAATGATCAATGCCCGGAACCAGAACTCCGACTCCAACCTCAGTATCATTTAAGTTTAATTTGTGACTTCCTGTAAGCATTTACTCCACGGATTAAACAACAAAATAGAGTTTGACTGCAATATTGCTGCTGCATCTGAGCACTGGAATGGCTTATCATACTCACTTTCTAAACTCCGGGGGAGAGCCTGACTCTCAGGACCAACTACCGAACATGAGGTTCTTGAACTCTCATATAAGCGCACTGCCATGCCGTATCTTAGCCTTAGACCTGGTTTCCTGCCTTTCTCAACTCCAAACAACAAGACACAATCTTCATCAGTGACAAACGCACGGCTCAAAGGAACCACCACCCACAATGAGACTCCAGTCCCTTGCTCTAGCAGCAACCAGCTTGACCGCCCTCCTTCCCGATGTAGCCTCAGCGCACTACATCTTCCAGCAATTCTCTGCCAACGGTGTGACATATCCGCCATGGAAGTACATCCGGCGCAACACCAACCCGGCATGGCTGCAGAACGGTCCCGTAACCGATCTGTCATCGACAGATCTGCGCTGCAACGTTGGCGGGCAGGTCAGCAACGGCACTGAGACCATCACGCTGGCAGCAGGAAGCGAGTTCACCTTCACGCTGGACACGGCGGTCTATCATGCTGGGCCTATCTCGCTATATATGTCTAAGGCACCCAACAAGGTGGAGGATTATGATGGCAGCGGGCCGTGGTTTAAGATTCATGATTGGGGTCCGAGCGGGAATAGTTGGCCTCTAAGAAGTAAGTGCCCTTTCGTAAGATATATTCCAAAGACCAATCACTGATACTGGAGTCAGTCTCATATACATACAATATTCCCAAGTGCATTCCCAACGGCGAGTACCTGCTGCGTATCCAGAGCCTTGGGCTTCACAACCCCGGAGCTGCTCCCCAGGTGTGCTTGAATTGATTCCTTTCTCGTATGTGTCTCTTTGCTAATATGGAACCCAGTTTTACATTAGCTGTGCACAGGTCAAGGTCATCAACGGCGGCAATGCCAACCCATCTCCAACCGCCTATATCCCAGGAGCATTCAAAGCCACTGACCCCGGATACACTGTCAACGTGAGCCATGAGTGGAAAAGTTAAGACAGCAAAACTTTTTCTGAGCTAACCATCGTTTCTATGGCAGATTTACAACACCAACTTGGCTAATTATGTCGTTCCTGGCCCACGCCCGGTAAGTTTCCGCACTTCTCTTTCCAGCACCGAGAAGCTACTAATATGCATCATACAGTTCACATGCTAGACCATTGGACCAAGCTCTGTACATAGCGAACATGCTATTAAAGGGCCACTCATTGAACTATCAGCAGTGTGAGTTCATTACTGCCAGAGATAAGGAGCAAATTGTACATTTTAGTGGTCTCCATATCTTGCAGGTGCCTCTGACTCACTGAGCGCCCTGACTCTCTCATCTCCAACCAGCGTACACTGCATTCTATGGGATAGCTCCAATCGTTCTCAGCTCAACTCTGGAGCGGAAAGAAGACCATAGCAGCTCTCAGGAACAAGAAAATGCATGGTAATGCGGCTGGGACAGCTGCGCATGAGCATGTTGGTGAAGTAGATGCTATAGTGTAAATCCTCGACCTCTTCATGTCCATCTGTGCCTTGCGTTGAAGTCATGCATCCTTATTCCAAGGGTTTCAAAATGGCTTAGAAATTCGGTTCATGGAAATGTGCTACTGAGAAGTACTCGCGTGTATCGAGGACAACCTTGCGCGGTATTGCACCCAAATAATTTTGGGTGAGGTGTTGCATCATGTCTCCTACAGAGTAGGGAAGCTGCTGCCGTCGTGTCTTGCATTAATGAGGGCACCCTGCACACCAAGGATGATTGTGTGAATAGTGTTCGCTGGGGGAATATACACTCAGCTATCGTCATCCTCTTTCAGGCCTGCAGCACTTTCTTTCCAGTTGGCAACTTATTCTGCCTCACTGGGTCGGCGAACGAAAAGCCCCAGGAATCCCCTATTGTCAGCTTACGCGTGGCCATCTAGAAAATAAATGGACAAACGCTCCTCCAACATCTTGTGTTCCAATGATAAGCAATCCACAGTCGGTGTGAGAGCCCCTTCCTTCCCTGCTTTTTCCGTTTTGATGCTTTCCGTGGGATATCACAAGGAGTCAACAGGGGTAACACGTCCAAAGAAACCTTAATAATGTTGTTGAACATCGCACATACAGTAAGATTCAGTAAGGCACCAGCCATCGCCGATGTAGCGAGTCAGTGACTTGGGGATATGCCAAGTTCCAACTCAATACACTGAAGCAATTTTCGCCCTCCATGATCAGACTGTTGACATAGCGAATGGTGAGCTCCTTCATTTGGCAATCAGGCTAAGGGCAAGGCCCATGGCATGGCCAGTCAACCTGGATGCATGGGTTATTCAGGGGCAGGTTTTTTATGATGGTAAAACCTCAGAAGAGTCGACGATTCCAGCCGTGATCTCCTCCTCAGAGGCGATATAGCTTGAGTAACTCTGAGCATCAACACAGGCAACCTTCTCATGTGGCCGGGAGAAGAATCGGATTGATTCAGCTTTTGTGATGTTTCAGAGTGCTTTGTGCTCAGTTCTCATGACAATCTGGATGATTGCATGATGAAGCCAGGCATTGACTAGCACTTTTCCTAGGGCTTGGTCGCTCAATGGCCTTTTGACCCAACCTAGTAACACAAATGTGTCGAGTCGTGCAACCTCAGCCCTATATCCTGGTGACATTGTCTCACTGAGTTTGTCGGGATTATTAGAGGAGACTTCCCAGGAATGAGTTGAAGAATGCTTTTGTTCAGTGGCCATTGCCATCCCGGCAAGATGAGCTGTGGTGCTCATATTCGATATTCCTCCAAGGGCATTCGCCTGGAGAGCAAAAAGCAACGCGAGGTATAAGATGCATTGTGCTCAAAAGAGAAATAGCTCGATGCGGTCCAAGGCGAGATCTTAGAATGGAGAGTTGTGTGTTGTTGAGGTGACTATGTTGTGAGAAGTTGAGCACCCAAGATATGGAGTACTTTGACAATGGAAAGCTATATAAGCCCCTTTCAAAGTATTTTTCAGGCACGACGAAATGACCCTTGGTCTCATAGATAGGTCATGCTGCTTGTCGCCGCTGAGCTCAGGAAGGCTTGGATAAGCAAATAGAGGATGACAACAATCTCATGGCTGCTTTTTCCACAGGAAATCCGTCAGTAAAACGATTTAATCGTCTCATCCAAGCATCTTCTGTGTGTGATCGCAGCATACTTGACCTTTATGAGTTGCCTTCAAGGCTCTTGGGTGGTGGTCAAACCCAAGGTTGAAAGGGCTACGGACTTTGATGAGATCTCCTGCCCACAGTACTGTTCCACGGAGGATAGTATGGTGCATGCAACTTCCCATATCTGTAAGCTGTACTGCTAGGTGTACTGGTGCTAATATAGGAAGTGAGAAGACTTGGCATCCCTGTGGTTGCAAGTGGGGCTGCCACAACGTCAGTGAGCTTGGTTTCGCTGCTGTCGTTGTTGAACTAGTAGTTGTCTCATATGAAAGAACTGCAGTAGTCTTCAGGCTAGATAATGTTGACCTTGCCAAAGATATCAAGGATATAGTTAAGGTTGGGGTTTTGGTATATTCATTGGCAGGGACCGGGCTTTCAGGCCCGAGGTTAACAACCTGGATTGTTTTGGTCACCACAACAGCCTCAGTGACCTGCTGTGCGGCCAAAGAAATCACGTCGGCTGAGTGCAACAATAGTACTGCCGGTAGCGCATGCACGATGGTGACAAGCACATGCCCGACAGTCGGGCTTGCTAGAGAGAAGGTAGATCCGACTTAAGTCCCGGAGGAGGACCCTGGATGAGCCTCAAAACCAGAGCTGGACCCCCAGCCAGCAGGCCCACTTGAATCCGAGCTTCCGTCGACAGCCACGACTGAACATGTTGCTCGTGGAAATAGTCCACGGCCTCTGGATTCAATTCCGCGGACTGGCAATTCATACGAAATTGTTGAAAATGGAGACAGGGTAAGGACAATGTTTTGGCCAACCTCAATTTCGGTTTGCCAGCTATCGATGAAGGAGCAGTTGTAGGAACACGATCTATGTGTATTTGAAGGGATGCAAGGGATTGATTGAAAGGAAAGAATGGGCTCTGGTCTTGAAGAAAATAATGAATCCCATTTAGCTAGATCAACAGCTAGATAGATATGCGTTCATGTCCAGGATAGTGGTAGGTGGTGGGAGAGCATCCCGTCGTTGACTGGAAAATTCGGTGGCAGGGGGATCTGCCACCCTCCCCAACCAACCACCTCCATGGAAATGGTGGAGTATGAATATTGAAGTTCTCTCGAAGACATGGACAATATATGTGAATTTAGCCGCCTTCTATCTGCCAGCAGTTCTGGGCAGAGTGTTGGCGGTGAAGCTCAAGGGTGATCGAGAAAGCCTCAAAACACAAGCGGGCAGTGAGCTACAAGCACAATTCGGAGCTTTGCCTGTTTGTGGGGCCTGGTGTGGGCTCTCACACTGAAGATGCAGATCTGGATCTGCAGCCACATCTGCACATCTGCACGACATCGGTTGTGGACCCTGCCATAGATGGAGAGAGGTTGTCTTAGCATCAATACATTTTCCTTAGAAATCTTGGCATGCTGCCAGGGGATGCGGTGGAGCTTCGCCGCCAAATAGCCGGATGAACCGGCAAGTCTGAGAGGAGTGGGAGAGTTGATAGGTACCTAGGTACTTGATACTTCCCAACAGTTTACCGATTGGTTGTCAGGCAACAGTAATGCAGTCAAGAAATGATGTTCGGTTTAGAGGTTTTTTCTATGGCAGGTAAAAGACTGTCATCCTTGTTGCTGCCTGAAAGAAGCAGTCAGTGTTTTGGTGAACACACAGGGTTGACCAGCGTTACGGTCGGTGGAGTCTTGATGTTTTTCCTGGTCAAATATGACCATCAAGCAGCACAGGTTGCAATTTAACTAGGAATTTACATATTTTGCCATTGTTGCTTAGAGAACCCGTGCTGTTCAGCCTTGCCTGCATCATGACCGACCTACCTTAAGAAGCACTATACTAGTCTAATAAGAACTTTTAGATATTGCTGTCTGTAATCTGTGGGACATTGGTTGTTTAATCTCTAGAAATGGGGGCGCAGTGTGCGCATTCCGCGTAACAGAATGCCTATTTAATGACTTTGTCGGTCAAATTGGCTGCCACAATTCAAGAAACACAACCAATCTAGCAGTGGTTGCAGCAGAGGTGAAAATCATATCAATCAGATTCTCCCGTCTTACCGGAGCATGTCCACCGTCATACACAGCAAGTGACCACAGTACACAACCTACAAATAGCATACATCTTACTTCTATTCTGGATGACCGAGAACACATCATTGACCACAAAACATCTATCAACTGTTAAGAGTTGGATGAGCTACCTGGAAGTACCCAAGCAGGTAGGTATATTTGAGTTCTTGGCTTGTCAATGCTTTGTCTGTGGGAGTTGAGGATAGCCCCTACTTCAACACCCCGGACCCTCGAAGCAAAAGGGCTTGAAATGTACTATAGGCGATATTGCATAAATCTTACAGAGAAGGTAGCTGTTTTGGCTCTAAAAAACCAATGGGGAATGCAGATATCGACCTTGGCACGACTCCATCATACTTAGTGTTGTCAGAGAGTGGGGACGAATTAGGAAAACTTTGCACGGATCCAATCAAAACGCATGTGAAAAAAGGGAAATGTAACAAATGAATTAGCAAATAAACCATGTCTGGGCATATAAGTAGCTGGAGATTTGAGCTGGATTGGTGCGCCGGTTGATTTAATTAAAGATCTTAATGTCCTGTTATAAAAGCTAAACATGTTCCCTTGATTTTAACCGAGTGGGCAGTAAGAATTCTGATTCAGAACGTTATACTTTATAGTACGGTTACGCCCAGAGTTTTTTGACAGCTTCGACATACTTCAACAGTCCATTTACAGAACGGACAGAGTGAGCTGCACCATCGTCTCGTGGATACGGCTTGGTTTTCTTTCTTGACACACCTACATTACGACGTAGGAACAGGTCTAGTTGTGCATTGTTCCGCCAAACTTGGCTATGCAGCCCACAGCTTGGTACTCGGAACACTAGGTGCGTACTTACCGACGACCAGCAGGTACCAGTTATCATTGTTGCTGCTGGCCCTATTCGGCTCACACACTCTCTTGTTTGTTCTCGACAGTTTGTGATTTGCAAGAGCACAGAAGCTACTGCTCAGGCCGGTGTCAGGTCTCACAAAAAGGTCCGGGATAAAGTCTTAACATTTTTGCTCTTCGTAAGACGATCTGGCTGGGAAGGGAGCACATTCACAGGTAGTGTGCAATTGCTTGCAAAAGATCGAGCTGAAACCTGGAAGTCAGAGTTAGGATGAAAGGGCCACTTGTACAGTGCAATGACGCAAGTCCTTCAGCTGAAGAACGGGTTGCGTCTGTGACAACTGTGATGAAGGATTTGCCTGCTGCCAACACCTCCTCTGTGAACGTCACCGGGCAGCATGAAACCAAGAGCAATCACGAAGCGACTCCCACTGTGGCCTCTAAGAAGGAGCAGCAGCAGCAGCAGCAGCAAACAGAAACACCTTCACCAGCTTGTCCAGAGCCTGGACCCAGGGGTACAGTGAACAATTTGCCAAAAATAACAGCTGAAGAAGACCCAGCATTTGTGGATGGGAACGGCAGCATACAGGCCCAAACAACGGGGTCTGGAGCAGCGGCAGGTCGGGCAGAAAGCCCTTCTTCACAGCACCCAGCAACTGGAGCTCCCGAACACATGATGAAAATAGATGGCGACCCAAATGGCACGCGATATCCCTTGGCAGCTCCTTCAACTCACCAAGCCCGGCTGCGCTGGACCGACCCGATGACAGTGCATGATCATCCAGACTGGAGCCGGAGCCAGTCGGCAAAATCGCAGGCTTCGCAGCAGGAGGTGCAGAAGGGCACTCAGCGAATCGAAGCGCCTGAAGCCGCCCAAACGGGTATGCGAACAGGCCAATCCCCACCGCTGCCACAGAGCCGGGAGCCGGCTGATGCCGCTGGTGCGCAACTGGATCAACAGGGGCAACCGTCCTGGCCCTCGCCGACACCGCAGTGCAATCAACTGGAACAACCACAACGGCAACCGCATGCGCAACCGCACGTGCAACGCTCATTGCTGTCCACATCGACACCGTTCCCGCCGCCAGCATCTGGCCCTGTGGCATCCCAATCTCACTCATCGACTCTGTCAGTAGGCTCAGTAGGATCGCAGACACCCTTGCAGCCCCAGACGCCAGCGGCACCCATCGCCCAGACCCTTCCAGCTGCGCACGCGCAACCCGGCCCAGTTTCATCTCATACTCATCCTCAACATCCACAACACCCACCGCCGTCATCATGCCAGATTAATGATCCACAGCCTGCTCCTGCTCCTCCTTCTTCGACCCCGCAAAGTTATCCGCCAGCTTATCCTCAGTCGCATCCTTATCCTCCACAGCATACTCACTTATCGACCACGCCATCTGCGCCCCCGTTGCCGGCGATTCATCATCAACCGCCACAACAACCATATCATTATCAACACCCGCCCCCCTCCCAGCCGCATACCCCTCTGCCACCTTCCAGCCCTCCCCGAGGTCCCATTACCAAGCCCATCATCATGGACCCCCCCAGCGTCCGGAAGGCCCAACAGGTTCAACAAGCCCAGGCCCAGCAGAGCCCGCAGCCCCAGGCGGTTGGCTTCCCATCGCCGAGTCTGGACCACGCCCGTATCAATCCCAAATTCATTGACGACTGCACCCGTCTTACCTATGCTGTTCAGCAAAGCTTGCCAGAGGCAGTTCGTCGGATAGTGCGCGACCATTGGGAAAAGTGTTTGATTGGTTCTGACTTTCATCAAGCTTTTATTGTAAGTGAGGACGCCCATCAGTTTTAACTCATCATGTTATGCAGAACCCTCTCATCCCATTGTTTTTGTATATGTATGTCCAGAGTTGCTTGATACTTCGCCAATCTATCATAATCAGTGCTTTCTTCGTTTAAACCCGTTCTTTTCAGACTCACTTTTGTTACCCTCAGCTTGGAAGGGTGGAGTGACGACGCCAGAGGTCACGTAATACTCTTTTTTTCCCCAAGCTGCAGCGTGACCTCCCAAGGCCGAGGGCGTTTTGATTCCACTTGTTTTCAGTATTTCTCATCCAAGGCCCCATGTTCTCCCATAGCAATCTCATGCTCTGTCACCGAATGCCCCTCCCCCTTCAGGATTGTGAACCATTCTTGGAGTCGAGAAGTCTCAAGCTCCCATCTTCATTGTGTATCTTGAGAGCAGCGCTCAAAGCTTGCACCCATTCATGATCTCACAAGAGTGTTAACTTGTCAAATGCCTTCTGTTGGAAAGAGCGTATTGTCTCTCATTGCTTCTTCAGACGAAGGTGCAGCATGAGAGGCTCTCTTCATGGGACCATAGGTGCAGCCTACCCATTGGCCGTTGTATGCTCTTGGGATCACCACCTTGCTCTATGTTATTTCACACATCGGCAGCACTTCTTAGGGCATTCTGCCATTCTGACCTCAACTTGCCACATCTTTTACTTTAACTTACCCATCTGAGGCTCAGGGGTTACATTTCCAAAATGTGTTTCCTCTTTTTGTTCCTTCCCCCCTCCCTTCCCTGCAACCTTACAAAGCTTATAAACACAAATGGCTCCATTCACAGGGCTTTCCCCTATGTCCCTGTCTGGCACTCTCACCATGGCTAACTTACTACGCAGCTTAATGCTTCCATTCACCATGCCGCACCCAGCATCGCTCAGCGCGCAGTCCGAGATTTTGGCCGTAAGCTGGTTTCAGAGGCCAAACATGAATTTATTGGCCACTTCACTGCAGAAGACCTCGATGATGTCGCCGACCTCATCATCAGCAAGGCCAGCGACAAATTCCTTGACAAATGCCTGGAGAAACGGCTGCTTACCATTGAAGCTAAACCACTCATCAATGCCTTAGCCAAAGCAGAACGTCTGGGCTATGACTCGTCGGATATCATCCAGGATGACCAACACGAGCGCGTCATCCCTAAGGAGGCCTTTCCCGGAGCCTCTACCAAGCCGGCCCCTTACCCCGCACAACCCAGCCAGGCAATGCCATATCCAGCTGCAGAGCAGCGAATGCAATGCCTGAAGTGCTTCCGCACTTTTATCTACAGCTCTGCTTACGACTACGTGAGTAGTTTCTTGTCGCTGGACACCTGATGGACAATTTCTTACCTATGCTAATCCTCGCCCAGCATATGAGATATAACGTCTGTAGTCAGATTCCACCGACCGCTAATGGCTTTGAGTACTCTTGTCCCCACTGCGGTCAAGGCTTCACCAACGTGGTTGACCTCCAATTTGTAAGATTCCTCATTAGCTTCCTAGTCTTCTTCCATCATCCATTAACACAATTCTAGCACGGTAATAACCGGGCCTGCGGCGTTGATCAGGCTCCAACAAAGGTCCATCGTGGACCAGGCCGTCCCCCCAAGTCGGCTGAGCTCACACCCCAGTCTAGTTCGACTGGTGTCCTCTCTTTCCAGACTCTTGTCACGAATGGTCAGGCAGCAACTCCCTCCCATACTGCCGCTGTCAAGCGTGCTACTGCCACAACACCGAACTCTCCATCCAATCCATATGCCCACTTGACGGAGGAGCAACTGCATGCTATGAATGAAGAACTCCGACGTGCAGAGGAACAGTTTGCCCATAGGTTTGCCGAGGCAGAGAAGATTCCGGACGAAAGGGCTCGCAAGGCGAAGATCGAGGGGCTCCGGAACAGCTTTGGCACAAAACAGTCCATCATCCGAAAGAAGTACGGCGTACGCTTACGCGAGCGCCGTACCAAGGCCGAGATCATGGCAGAGCGTGAACGCATGGGTCTCTTGAAGCAGGAAAAGGAGAGGAATAAGGCCCAGACTGCAAGCCCGACGCCTAGTACCATTGGTGCGAGCAGCCAGTCCGCTGTGAACACCGCGCGAGCAGCGGCAGCCGTCTGGGAAGAACACGAAGCCAAACGCCGCCGCCTTGATGGCGCAGGCGGCTATCGAACTCCTTACAAGCCAGTCCCTCCCGTAGCAAACGACAGTACACCGACCGATAACACGCCAACCGCACGCAAGAGCCTCACCATCGCAGAGATCGGCGGCAGCTTATCAAGAACGGCCGCCACTGCCGCCTCCCACGACCCAATACTGCCCGATCCTGTTTCCCACCCGCCCTCGACACGCGTCTACAAGCAAGCAGATGCACGCATCGAAGTTCCCGAACCTGTCGCTTCAACGCCAAACAAGCAAGCCATCTTTAAGCCCGATCCACCTTTTCCCACATCCGTCACGCTCTCAGGCGACGAGGATGGCAAAGATGTTTCCAAAGTAGACGCCTCCGCCGCAGCCGACAAGCGCAACGACACCCAAAACGGAAATGGCGTGCTACCTCACCACCAGCACAACCGCGCCCTCAACAAGAGCGTGACTGGGGCACAACAACACGACCTCCGGGATCACGACGGTGACATCTCGATGGGCGAAACCGTTCAGGGCACATCAACCGTCGCCGCAGCAGCCGAACCCAGCGATTCAGCGACAGACGGGGGCGATGAGTCGTCGGATGACGACGACGACGACGACGGAGACATCCCAGCCACGTTACCCGCAAAGAAACCAGTAGTTGGAGCTAATGGGGGAATACTGCAGAAGTGAAACTGGATGGAATGAATTTAAGACAGAAAAACAAAAGAGAAGCCCGTTTGTTCGTGGGCCCTTTTTTTTCCCTCACTTCTCGTTCCAATTCCGTTACATCATGACAAAGTGGTCGAGGTTGAGAGGGCGTTTTCTCATCAGGGAAATGGGCTAGCCGGGTGGTTTAGTGCATATACAAATGTAGACTACTCAAGTTATACCCTTTCCGTTTTACCATCCGCTATAGTTTTTCGTGGTCTTCCTACTTACTGGTGGCATCCTATCAGGTTTTTATAACCACAACAGGATAACAATGGCGTGGAATGGCGGTCAAACAAATGCGTCTCTTCAGCTCTTATGAGAACCATAATCAAGAGAGGGCAAAAGCAGGTCTAGACAAGATGGCAGTCTAATAGGCACAAATGAAAACAAATTACAGCAACGGTGAATGGAATATTCCTCGTAAATTTGTACATACATCTTCCGCAAAAGGCAAGGGGCAACTGCCAAAGTCCATACATACATCTATACAATCACTCATACAATCACCCTTTTTCGCCTGTATTCCCACTAAACTCACAAACGTGCTAACCGTATCGCCAATACCCTGACAAAAATGATCAAACAACAACATGAAGAGCCAAAACAGAAAGATAAACAGGTCAGTATGATCAAAATTCTTTGGTAGTCAGACAGGAATAAAATACTTGTCACAGCTTCACACACCACACCCTAGCTCGTAACTCGCCGAATCCAAAGCGTGGGGGTCTCCAGACCCTCCCGCTCCAGTCTTCTGACGGCCCGATGCAGCTTCATTCCCAGCTCGTGCTCCTCTCTCTTGACCTCGTCCAGTTCATCCTTTAGTGCCTCAACCTTTTTCTTCTCCTCTTCACGTCGCCGAATTGTCTCAGCTGAGCTAAGCAGCGTGTCGACAGGCATCAGCTCGGTCATTTGCTTGATAGAGCGTTCGATGTTGATGCGACGATTGGCCAGGGCGCTGAGCTGGGCGTGAAGGAGGGCAATGCGGTCTTCGGCAGTCTGTTCAGGAGGAGCGGGCGGCAGGGATTTGTTGACGTCCCCCGAGGCGCGAGATGATGGACGCTCAACAGCTTGGGCACGGACAAGAGCAGGGTTGGTGACCTTTGTGGTTTTAGTCATAGGCTGGAGAGGAGGAGAGGTTGAAGTGACACGCTCGGCCAAAACGGGGGATGTGAATTGATCATGAATTGGAGTAGTGGTAGGACTATGGTTGTCCGTGGACGGCCGGTCGTTCCGAGCCATTTGTTGAGGTTGGGCAATTCCGGCAGGAAGTGATGGGACAGGAGATTGATCTCTGTTGCTGAAGCCTTCTGCGCCGTTGAATGTTGTGCCGGCGGTGCTGACCGCGTCGTAACTTGTCGCGTAAGTGCTGATGCTAAAACGAGAAAGTGGTTGCACCCACGGTTCTTGGCTCGGAATCTCCGTGATGACTGCTTGTTGGGGCTGGATAATGTCGTCCTGAGAATAGACTGACGAGACCGACACTTGGTGATGATGCTGGTTGGAGGTTGTCTTAACTGGAGGTGGTTTTCTGCGATGTTTGCTTAGCGTCTCGGACGGTCCAGGCTTCCAATACGCTGGACTTGGGACTGCATGGGCACTGGGAAGGCCACCATCGCGTACGAGTTCTTTGGCGGCCACTGCAGGTGCGTCGTTGGTCACAGGATTGTTGAATAAAGGTGGGCTTGGGTAGCGAGCGCTCGGAGGTTGAGTGGCGGTAGTGGCAGAGGATCCCTTGTCCTTATGGGAGGAGGGCAGGATTCGCCGGAGGGCATCCCGCGGGGTAGCCCTTGTCGCCGTTTCAGATCCATGAGGGCTGATGGGTGGGGTTTGACCTCTCAAAAGTCCCATAGTCCTCTTGCTGCTCTTCTCGGGAATCTTGAGGGGCCCAACATCAACATCAGGATTGTCGTACACCGGGTCAACGATCGCGGTGCGGCCGCTTGGGCCACGCCAGGCCGGACGGGATGACGTTAAGGCGGCGGCGGCAGGGTCTGCGCTGCCCTCCTTCACATGAGCGGCCTTTTTGGCGAATTTTCGCACGCGGTCGCCAAACGATTGCGTGGTCTTCGCACCGTCTTGCTGAGACAAGGACTGTGTGGTGATGCCGAGACCATGGAAATATTCAGATTCGGCCGCAGTCGCCTGCGACGAACGGCCACGGGCGCTCGAGGTGAGCTCGCCGGTGAGTGGGTCCCAACGGGGGGCGTCTCCGGCTGGGGCCGGGGGTTGCTGCGGGGCCGGGTTTCGCTGCAGGTGACCGGGGCCGGCTGGATCGCAGCCATAACGCTTTGGGGTCTCTGCCTCTCTTCGGCGTTCTCGTCGTAGCACAGGAATGCTTGTCGGCACGCGGTTCGGTGGCGGAGTCGGAGTGTAATAGCGGGGTTCTGAGAGCGCTGGCTGGTTGAATCTATCATCATTCGCATTTTCGCTGTAGTTGTCAGTGGCAGGCGCTGTGGTGGCAGTCGTCGCCACATACTGGGGCGCATCTTGCCCATCGTCCTCATCTATCGGGGAGACATCGCCAGCCAAGTAGCGACGGGCGGCCCCGCTTTCGGGCTCTGGAGAGCTCGGTGGGGAGATTTCTTCGGGGCCGCCGCCGTAACGGTAGCTGTATTTGGTCGCCAGCTTGGTCGACTCGTCTGGATCGGGAGAAGGAGTAGTCTGCGAGCGGCCAGCAGGCGATGGGCGGAGGTTTAGGTTTGTGGTGCGAAGCTTGAGACGACTCGGGTTGCGTGGAGGAGGTTGCTGCAGCGCTGGTGAGGTGGAGGCCGCCCCAGAGCCTACACTTAAGCCAGAGCTAAAACTGGTTGCACAGCTCTCTGTTAGCTAACTGTATGACGGTTACGAATTACAAGGATGCAGCAAAGACGGTCGGGCAGTCGGCTTGGGCTGGTTTGTGGTCCGTAAGCAAAGGAATCAAAAACCACAAAACCAAAAAGAAGCTGAGGGGCAACTTAGAAGTGGGCGGGGGATGGGTCCACGGTGCGAAAAGTCAAAGTGCAAGTGCTGCGGTGTCCCGTGGTCATAAAGTGAGACGAATGAGATGAATGAAGGGAGTGGAGGGAGCGGAGGGACAGCCTGCAATAAGCCCCAGGCTAGGCCTACCCGTCTGTGAAGGCAATCACTGATACGGATTGACTCCTTCCAGGGCTGTTGCGTGGACTCCCAAGCAACTGGCAGGAACGCCAGACACAGCGTGCAGTAAGTGGTTGCCCAGAGAGGAATCCTGCATCTGACCTAGCAACTCTCTGGAACCTTGGAAGGCTCAACCAGCCACGGACACACCTGGGCGCCTGCCACTTGGGCTCAGCAGGTGTGACGCCCACAGGAGGGGAACAGCCCGTACCGGAAGGAGCTTCAGGCCTGTCAGTACGGGGGCTACGGGCCGGCCCCGCAATGTGCCACCGACCTGGAGCAACCGCCCCTCTCAACAACTCTGCTCGATCTTCACTCCAACTTGAGAAGTTGCTAAACACAGCCGGAGTTTCAACGCCGCCCAAAGCTCCATGATCACAAACCAGCCATGGAATGTTTCGTGGTTTGGTTACTTACTATTGCCCAAAAAATTCTGGAGGCGGTCGCGTCGTCGGCTCGGCTTTGATGGAGACACTGTAGCCAAATGCTGCATTGCGGCTGCCATACCCCAGTGCCATGTTCATCTTCTCGTCGTTGTCGTCCAAGAAGGCTGCCATCGTGGATCGTTGAGTTTGAGTTGTGCCCCTCAGTTTGTCCCACATGGCGACGGTCTTAACCGAACGGCCCTTCTATACAACGTCTTATTTATTTCTAGAGTCAAGATATGCTGCCTTGGATCGTGGAATCGTGGAATTGAGGGATGGGAAGCTGAGGAGGTCCGTGTTATATTTGCTGCAGCCGCTTCTCAGGGGTGCATGAAGCCATAAACGAACCTGCGTGCTGTTCCGGGTTAAGCAATCTGTAGCTGTGCTTCCGAAACGAAAGCGACCTTGTCGATGTCATCAAGGACAGCCGATGATGCTGAGATTAGAGGCTCCGCGATCCTTTTCAATCTTACGGCCAATTGGCACTTGTCTCCTTTTCTGTTATCCTGTCTTACTTTGTAACAGATCGATCTTCCTCGCCAAAGACACAGAGCGCATTCAACAATTCATTGATCGTGACCGTTCTTACAAGGCCCAACCCGCGTGGAAACTGCTACCGCCACAGCCCCAAACCACAAGAGGCTTCTCAGTTGGCTTGTCTCTTATTGGCCCCCTCAGTTGCATAGGGACAGCCAGTGGCCGTGCTAGTCGTTCTTCCTCTGCGCGGCTGGCAAAAATGGCGAACTGCCGCAAACACTTTTGTACACTGCCCGCCAAGGTGGGTGGGCTGGTTCTCTCTACACTTTTGGCCGAGCGTGTCTCACCGCGGTGCCAAGCACAACAATCAATGGCTGGTGTTATCGGTGATGGGAAACTCGAAGAGAGAAAGGGGAACTCCTTCTCCAAGTTCCAGGCCACCTTCGCTGCGACTAAATATGATACTAGGGTTAATCAATCCGCTCTGCACCTGCCATCCAGCCAGACACGAGTATCAACCGCGTCAATTGCTGCAGAAAAAGCCGGTTGATTGCTACCCAGCCATTCCGTGTCCCTTTTCTCAGCCGCCTATACACAGTGCATACCATCCATCCCGAGCCATCCCATGGCCGTTGCCGTCAACGATACCGCTCTGGCCTGAATCGACACCTGCGGCCTGGAGTGTAGCAGCAGAGAATCTCCTTCCACTTCAAGCAATGCCTCGTAGGAAGCACAATATGCTGCAGGAAATTAAGAGCTCTCCCCGCATCAGATGGTGCTGGTGATGAGATGCAGTGTTGCGGTGTCACAGCTTGGCCGTCGATGAGTTTGGTTTACGCCGCTTGCTGGCGCGCAAGGATGTGGAATTTGGGGATGTATCACGTTCGGTCAAACTGCTTCAATCAGTAGAATCAATTTTGCTTGCCGTTGTCAAGTATCATCATTCTTTCATCCATCGTCATCCCATGGTTCTTTTGCCCCGTCCTACCAATGTAACTTGGCTTGTCAATCGCTGCTTCATCTATTGAGCTCCCCAGATGCCTAGCTTATTTTTGGAAAATTGGAGGAGTTTGAACCAGACGTTTCATGTTGACTGGCCAATCATCGCTGAGAAATGCCCTGTCCCTGCATCTCGTGCAAAGCTTGCCGAGATCCACTCGATCTGGTTCTTGGCCTGCTCTTTCAGAAGTTGCCGAACGATTCTTTTGTCAGATCGCCAGAGCAGAGTTCAAATATCGCCTTTTCGTATATACATACACTGCCAGCTGACTCTTACTCTACTGTCATTTTGCCGGTTGTTCTCCGTCTCGACTGCTAGACGGAGCTTGACACCCGGATCGACCGTCCATTGTTTATGCATCTAACGCATCGAATGCTCTGAAGAACCCTAACTCCAAACATCACCACCAGCCGGAGGGCAACGCATCTGCAGTTCTGTAATGTGTCTCAAGAGTGCAGTGAAAAAGCAGTCACACGGCACGGATCGGGACTTCGAGCATATGTACTTACACTGTTGTACTAAAGTGGCTGTGCTTGCGTTATTACTTTCTCTGTGAGCTCCTTAAGGTCATCACTGGGTTTAGTGGGGGCCAACCCAGCGCAGTTGTCAGTCAAACTGTGGAAATCACATTCTCAATTAAGCAACTTGCCCAAGATGTTTGCTCCTCCAAGTTTCTATCTCGCCCTTAGCTGTGTCTCAAAAATTGCATCTATGTGATTTAGATTTTCTTGCTGCATCAGCTAGGCTTGTTCTGATGCTGTTCAGAGCCAACTGGGTTTGTGAAGCATGGTCTCAGGTTTCTTGGCGGAAAGCATGGCAGCACAGCTCTGTCCACGAGATGGGTACTTCTCTTGAGGACAAAGGCCCCACACTTCGGAAATCAAGAGTGGAAAAAGTCAATTCAGACTCCAACAAAAGAACCAAATGCACAGCACAAGAGACATAGACCCAAAAACTAGCCTGGGTGTTCACCTCAAACCCAAATTCTCTATAGATTATGTGATTACATTGGTGTACAGGTCTTCTACTGATCTAAAACAAACGACATAACAAGCCTGCTATCGAAACGCAGCCGAGCCCAATCATAACAACCTGTAGAGTCATACATCCCAGAAGTTAAAGTCATTCCATAACTAGGAATACAGGTAAGATATCCTTCCCTTCTTCGTTTACTCCGGCTCTTTGACACTTCCCCCTTGAGCATGTCGCCCATCAGAGTCATCATAGACTCGTGAGCTTCTTGCCCCAGCAATGTGCGACATTAGCTCGCTCTTCCTCTTTTCCCAACTCCTCATCCCTCGTTTTGGCAACGACAACTCATTCCTCTCAACAACAACACTCGTCACAATGTCCATATGGATCCCCATCGCACAGGTCCTAGATCCATCTCTTGGCTCAGTTTTACGCTCCCTTGACTGCCCATTGGTGATGGATCCCAGCCGTAATGCTCTGCCCCCACCATCCCCCCTCTGGGCTCTTCTTACCCACCTCTTCATCCTCCCAAGCCACGTGGCGTTTCCTTCATCACCATCAACTGACTGCCAACCTGCTGTACTCCCGCTCCTTCTCCCCCTTGCGTTTCCCCCGCCGCCCTCGACCCAAATCATATTCCCATATTTCCTTCCAACCGGAGTCCTCATAAATGTGAAGCTCTCAAGACCGGTTTCTGGATCGTCCACCTCGGCTCCAAATACGATCCGGTGCCTGGTTAGGCCCCACAACAGAACGTCTAACCAGCCATTGCTGGTGATCAGTGCGCCAGCCGTGCAGAAGTAAGATATGGGCACTTTGATGCCTGCCATGGTAGCGATACGCCCGAGGGCGAGTGGAGCCGTGCACACAACATAAATAATGGGATATAGCAGGAAAGCTTTGTGATGGCTATGCTGGGCTTGTGACTCGTTTTGGGCCTGAGAGGTTGAGGCACGAGACAAGCTTGACTGGACGTGGAAATTGGGAATTGCTCGAGGGAGAACTCGTGTAGTTGTGAGGCTGATTTTATCCAACGATGATTCGTTTGGAGGGAGAGGTTGATGCGGGGATTCTGGCTCGTTTTCGTAGATACTGCGGATGTTGGTGCGCGAGTCTGCAGTAGAAGGAGGAGATGGGACATCGGTCTGAGTGGATTGGCCTACCTTAGACTTGCGGAGGGAGAGGGCAACCAAAGTGTAGAGAACACTGGTAATAAAAAAGGAGATGAACATCCATAGGTAATGCAGGACAAGACGATAGGTCTCGTACTTGATGTTCATCCAGCACTAACGAGTAAATGTGTTAGTCCAAGGGTTCAATATGCAGTATGTTTGACAATTTACATACCCATGCAGCTGCTCTGACATAAAACCCCCCAGCATCATGACCGTTTCGAGTGATAGCGACTCCAAGAAGAGCAAGGAAATAATTAAGGGCCCATAGAAAGATAACAGTTGCATACAGGGCCCACTGAGGAGGTGTCCATTTCCAGACCACAGCCAGATAGGTGTGAACTGCGATTGCAGTGATGAACAAGCTCGACGACAGGTCACCAGTTGAGACGAACCAGCCTTGAGCCCAACAAGTGGTGGTCCGGACTCTGATGCCGTTATGCTGAACCCAAACGGCATTCAGCAGAAAGGCACTTGCCTGATGGATGTCGGCCAGCAGAAGGTTGTATAGCAGAACGAGGAACTGATTGGGATGTGGTTTCTTTTGTGAGATATTTCCTCCTACTCGTCCTCCTCCTATTGCGTCGAACTTCGTCTCCCCAGTGAAATGATGCTGGGCAAGGCCTAATGAGAGATCAACGGTGTCCTCCTGGCGTTTCCTCGATTGTTTCCAGGTCCGGATGTGCCATCGAGCAAGCTTGAATGTCAGATACAGCAAGACCACTGTCGAGGAAGCAAATGACAAGCAGGCAAGTATAGCGACAGCAATGAGGCCCCGGCGATGGCTTTGAGGGAGAGGAATGAGGTCGTCGGTTTCTTCCAAAAGATTGACTCTGGTCATGATGGTTTGCAGCACGGGAGAGAAGCTGCTCAGCAGCCTCCCATGGCGTGGTGGGTGAAAACAGTAACTGCCATCCAGGATCAGGAGGAAGGAGATAGTGGTTGAGGTGATCGACAGGTTCAGGCTTGCAGACCCCTAACGGTTTTAACAATCCAGCGATCGATCTCCAGGACAGCTTGCCAGGGGCTGGTCGATAAAGTTTGCAAGACTGAGAGCTTTGCGAAGGAACTCTGATAGGAGGACCGAAGCCGAAACTACCAAACGGCACTCTGGCGACGATAAAGAGTGAAGTATCGCTCCGTCGGTCTTTTCGGTCCAGCTCCCTTCCGGATGGGGCGTTGCGGCGTTGAGTTCATGGCACCAACAAGACGCCGGCAGGAGCATATCGGCTGATGGCAGAGATGCCGACATGATGATTTTCAGTCGTGCAAACAAGCTTTTCTGGATGTGGAAGGGCACTGTCGAGGCCGTCAACAAACCAGAAAATGGGCGGAATGAGCCGGGTAACCAGCCCACTTAGTGCCGAATTAGCTTACTGACCAACACTCACTAAAACGCCATCCGGCTGACCGAAGGGGAAAAATCGCTGTCTAGCCAGGCCCAGCTATTTTGAGGGGTTACATAGGGCAATTAGTGCGCTTTTAGACAGATCTTGGCTTGATCCAGCCCTATGCAGGTGGCAAAAAGAGGATACTTCTGAGGTCCGCAGCCTTTTTGCTGACGCCCAGCTGTTCGGCAGTGTTTGCTCTTGGCTTGGAGAAGATGAACCAACCACGCTTGCATCCTCCTGGTGCGTAGGCAAGGTAGGTAAATGTATGTGTTGTATGATTCGTGCCTACACTAGATAGGTAGCGTAAATGGATCAGCCTGGAGCCTGAACATCGAGCAAACCTGCAGCTTGTTTGTCGGGTCAGGGAATCGGCTTGTTTGTTAGCTTCATCGTTTGCAACGCGTAAAGGGTCCAGCATCCTAGCTGCCAAGCAGTGGAAAAAGTTGGAGCAACACCCAAACTCACTAAAGTTCATCCCAAGTTGTCGGCTCGCCATCGCGATTCTTTAGGAAAGTACTAGTGTAGTGGACGCACACGTGGTTGAGACTTCTCACCAGAAAGGGTCATCACACTAGCTTAGCGTAAAGACATGCCTGCTCGCCACACGGAATGGCACGTTGGCACGTTCCAAAGACACATGGGTTGGCGGCATATCAAGATTAGCAAACACAGCAGCTCAGAGAACCAATCCCTCGGTGCGCTCCCCCGACTACACACCCCATTCCCGAATCCGGGGTGCGACTAACTAACCCTAACCCTTTAAATGAGGAATCCTCTTGAAGAATCACGTGATATGCTAATCCGTGCTCTAATCTGCCCAATCAGAAGCGCCACCGGTTGCGTGATTGCCGCTAGACCTAAAATGGACGGGAAGGTCCGCCAGCAGCTAAATGTCGGCAACATCAGCCCTTTCTGCGTTTCTTTTCATTGCTTTTTTATCACTGAGGCTTCTCTGTCTCTCTAGGCCTTCTGTTTCGTCTTCCGGTTCGATCGATGCGATTTATGCGTGATTTTCGCTGTCAGAATCGACAGCACTCTGTGGACTCCACCAAACTGACCCACAAATTTCCCGTTCGGGCACATCCACAGGCCTCACATCGCAATCTCGAAGCGCAGTGAAGAAGTCGGCAACTCCCACGCGAGCACGAGCCCAAGGGCTTACGAAAAGAACTATGTTTCATCATGTCGTTACAGGGAATGCTCAATGAATCATTACAGGCCATATCGAACCTCTGCGACGTCATCCAACATCATACTCAAAAACTCCAAACCATAAAGCCACTTGGAATTCACAACACCTCAAGTTCGTTCTTCACTCTGGCTTCTCAACCTTGCCCAACTCACCCATCTCTGACAATTTCACGCCATATGCGGAGTAGTACCCGCAGTTCTTAACATGGAACCGTTTGCCCGTGTCAGGATTGAAAATATGGCAACCCCCCTTCGCTACATTTGGTGGCGTGTACAAGTGCAGCGAGACGGCGAAGTCAGGGCCTGCGTTCCATACCCGGTGCACCCCCAATTCGTCTGCCATGTACGCCACCTCGTTTTCCTTATGCACCCTTTCTGAGATGACCCGCATGGGCTTCTCAGTCTCAACGTCGGGGAACTCATATCTCGTTTCAGTCAGATTGCCCTTCAGGATCTTCATCAAGCAATGGGCATTGCCGTGGTCATGGATGGGGCTGCCCTTTCCGGGCGTCCAGACAAGCACAAGCTGTGTTTGGTCAATATTTAAAGGGGCAAAGTAAACAACAAGTGTTGTTGGCATGGTTACCACATACCAGATTGCTCTTGCCGTTTCCTTCGTCGACTAGATTTCTGGTATACCCCCTGCTTGCGTCCCCGAAGGCATACTTCTGCCATTCCACAGGGTCCGATACATAGTCGCGCATCAGCTGTTTGAGGTGTTCGACGTCCACGTCCTCTGACGTGAGACCTGAGCAAGGACCCAGAGCGTCCTTCAGTGCTTGGACGAGGGCTTCGAACCGGTTGTTGTCAGCAGCGACGCGGCACTTGCATGTTGGCCTACCGCACGGCACCTGAGCTGAGGTGTTGATGATCTCAACCGCCATTTTTGCTTTACGAGGGAACTGTAGTGATCAAGGTGTTTTAAGGCACAATTGCTTAGGGGTCGTTATGACACCGACACGATATTGGTCAGAACCCGTCGCTGAGGTTGCCGAAGCTTCCGGTCAAAAGATACGACGATAATGCTATTGCTTGGCTGGGTGTCTGGGACAGGAGTTGATGAAGGTCAAGCCTTATGGTGATAAGCTTGAGGTTAATGGGATGGTGATAATTAGGATGGTTGTGGAAGGATAGCTATTGCGAGGACGATGTTGAGGATGTTAACGGGACAGAATGGCGGTGTCTGAAAGGAGGTGAGGCCCTTCCATAGGCGTCCATGTCGAGGCTCGCCGGGGATACTGAGGGATTCGCGCCGGTTGGCACCGATGCCGGTGGGGTCATCTGGGCACGGCAGCCACATGACCCTGCATCTTCACGTTGTCGAGTCTGACATAGTCTGTAACGCGCATTGGGATAAGACAGACGCCGACCGATTCCGTGCCAATTGAGGGAAGTTGCACATGCGCAACCGTCTCTTGCTGTTTTATCACCTTTGCCGCGGTCAGGGGCAGTCGAAGAGGCGGGATGCTGAAATCCCCAATTCCATGATATACTCGTGTCACAGCAGCATTCAATTCAGTAAGGAGGTAGAGGACGGGGGTTTGCTTTGAGTGGAGTTGCGCTGTTATTCGTGCCAAGAACCACGTTTTTTTACTCTGCAGCGGACGGCAAGAGAGCGAGACCTGTGGCTTCGTCTTCACGTCAATGTCTCCACCGGCAATCGATAACGGAGTTCTGGGTCCACTCTTCTCAGTAAGGCTGGCAGGATGGCTTTCATCTCAAGACATCACTACGTAACTCTTACTACATCAGTAATAACGACTCCCAGTCTTATGTCCATTCCCATTGATTGTTATGGTCTATTGTTTTCAGTTCATTGATACTTGTCTTGCTGGGCCTTGGAAATACATTGCTCTGTGAAAAAGTCGAGTCAAAGATGAAACTTGCCTAGCTCGACTCGAGCTGCAAATTCCTGCCGGTCTTTGCTGACAAAGGTCAAAGCATAGCTGGGGGACTTTAGTCCATGAGGGCTGTTCAATTGGGGGAAAGCAGATTAACATTGCCATGAGAATTATCAGATAGCTTCCAGTTATCGACTAACCAGCTCTAACGCCCCCTCGTCTCCTACATCCTCTGTCCCATCCAATATCTCACCACTCCCACCACCACGGTGCCTACTCCTATCTGCCCACACTCTTCTGTCGCCCTCCCAGGATTCCCCTAGCCGGATCCTGCCTCCAGTTAAGCTGCCCACCCGATCCGACAGCCATCCCGCTGCTGCCATGATCATCTCCCACACGCGTTCCTGAGCTGCGCTATCTTCATCTCCTGGGTGCCCATGATGATGGTGGTGGTTGTGCTCAGCCGAAGCCGCCTCCTCAAATCGGATCTGGAACTTGAGACAGTCCTTGACGGTGACCAGCCCACACAAACGGCCACAGAGCTCGATGAGGATAACACGGGGGCCAATCTTGCGGAAGAGCTCCATGACCGTTTCGAGAGGCAGGCGCGGGTGAACGGTGAGCGGAGTTGCGTCAACATAAGGTGTGAAGTTGATCGTCGCAGTGGCAGAGGAAGCATAATCGAGCGGGGCTGACGATGTTGATGTCGAGGGGTGAGGTGTCATGGGCGTTGTGGGAGTTACAAGGGTGATTGCAGTGTTGGTTTTGCGAGAAGGGGCGAAGATGCACTGTGCCAGTGGACTGAGATTATGATCGCGCCGAGCACGGTCAATGGCATAACGCAATTCGGTACGGCCGATGTAGCCTAAGAGAATCTTTGAATTCTCATCTTCGATGATAGGGAAGCCCTGGTAGCTGTCGTTAGCAAGCAGCTGCTCGATCCCCTTCAATGTCATGCCAGTTGAAGGGATCGAGACAACGTCGGCGATCATAGCCTGAGACACAGGCACGCCAAAGTTGTGTTCTTCTTTATGATCCAAGTATGGGAACCCACTGAACCAAATCATGCGGTCAGCGATGCCTCCTTTCCCAAAGAGCTCACTGACAGCCTTGGTTACACCAACGACAATCATCGTAGGTAAGATGTAAGTCAAGGCACCTGTCAGCTCGAACATTATGACAACCACAGAAACAGTGATGTGCATGATGCCACTGAGAGCTGCTGCAGCGCCCAAGAAAGCATATGTGCCAGGGGTGATACATGGGACATCGGGCTGGCAGGAAGAGAAGAAAATACTCTGGGGGTTTGCTTCTTGAATCGCCTGGACAATGATGCCAACCGTTCGACCGAAGGAGGCACCAATGGCCATGGATGGAACGAAAATGCCAGCCGGAACCTTGCATCCATATGAGATGATGACGAAGAAGATGCGAATAACAGTGGCAAGGATGAGGGAAACAACATTCCAAAATCGTTTATCGGGCTCGCAAAGGCCATGATAGTCCTCAGCCCCTTCGCATTCGAGGAACAGGATCTTCATGCTCTCGGTCATGTCGATCCTAAGGAAAGCGTTGGGATAGCACACGATCGCGGTAGCGGCTGCAAGCAGGGTCGCCTCGAGAATGGCGTAATTCGCTAGGTACCTCTTCCGGAAGGCCTGTGCCCTCAGGTTCCATTTCATGACGAAAGCTCCGTAAAGACCGCCAAAGACACCCAGTATGATGTAGAAGAAGACTTCGAAAAAGTGCCACGACCGGTCGTACTTAACTTGGAACATGACCAGCTGTCCTGTGCGGAACGGATTCATGGCAGCGAGGACCGCCGTGGCGACCAGAGCGCAAAAATAGCTGCGCCACATAGTTTTGAGGGGAAAGTAGCTGGACATCTCCTCAAGAGAGAAGAGCACACCGCCAATGGGACTGCCAAAGGCCACAGCTACACCGGCAGCAGCGCTAGCGCTGAGGACCTCACGGGTCTTGGAAGCATTACCGCGGTATTTCTTAAACATCTTCGAGATGACGTTTCCCGTGCAAACAGCGTAGTGGACACTAGGTCCTTCTTTGCCAACAGACAGCCCAGAACCGATGGCAAGGGGCAGAGTGATAGACTTGATGATCAGAGTCCAAAAGCCGAGAAACCCCTTCATGACGAAGCCCGCAATGATGCACTTGATTTCCGATATGCCGGAGCCCGCGGCATAAGGGGCATATGATTTGACTAGAGTGGCAGCAGTCCAAGCAAATAAAATCTGGCTTGGAGTCAGTACAGAGAAAGTGATGATATAGAATAGGAATCTAGGGGGCACAAACTGACAGCGAATAAGATGTACATGATGTAGTTGAATGGCTCAAACCCCGTCCATCGATGCCAGTCAGCACATCCTAGAACAGCGCGTCTGTCAGTGTTTGGCCGTGTCAGATGATTGATCACCGGGGAGTGAGCAATGCGCACCATTCTCCTCGCCCCAGCAACAGAAGTCCTCATTGAGGTAAAAAGCAGTCGTGCAGTATCCGAGCTTGATGTCTGCAAGCCACTCCGTGATGATGCTCAGCAGGGCAGCATTCAAGCCGATGGCGGCACCAATTATAGTCACGACAATCCATCCTTGTGCGGCATCATAGGCCTCTAAGATCCTTTGTCTCCAGTCGAAGGACAGGGCACCATAAGGCCCAGCCTGCCGTCTCCTGCGTGCCTTTCTACGGAGCTGCTCTCGCACAGCATCCTGGACCCAATCTTCGCCATGAGTTAACACCGTATGGAGAGCGCCTGGAAAACGCAAAACATGCTGAAAACACTAAGCTTACCGATGGTTGTAAAATCCTAGGACAGAGCCATGCCCATCAGTCGCCGCAATTCAAGATATAGAGAGGAGAGGAGAATGCGAAGGGAACGGGGCCAACCTCATAGCGCTTGATCTTTGCAATCTCCTCTTCTATTTGGTGCTGAGCTGCGATGCGGGCTCCATGCTGTGTCTCGCCACGCTCCGCGGTGGACGCAGCAGAGAGAGCGGACGATAAGCGGGAGCTGACAGACGAGGTGCGTCGAGCAGGCAACGCAAGAGTGGAAATCGACGTAGTCTGCGATCGTGAGTTCATGGCGCACTGGGTCGCCGGTTCATGCGTTACCAATGATCGCTAGCAGCATTTGAAAGTAATGCGCGGATTGGAAAGTCAGGTCGGATCGCAGTCAGTGTTGTCGGTCACTGCGACAGCAAGCAAGCTCCCAATCGTCGTCACGGGGAATGGCATCGGCAACGATGGAGGGATGGTCGGAACACAAGGCTGAACTTGAGCAGGAGTGTCCCGTTAGTTAATCCCACAGGCCCTGGACTGTGCTCTCAGCGGGGGTCGCGCTGAAGAAGGCTGGCCATTTAGTGGGCTTCAGCCTTGTTCTCCCACTAAAACTTGGCGATGACGGGGAATCTTTAACTATTTAGCTCCGCGTATGCGTGTGGGGGCCAAGACTGGCACTTAAACTTACCGTGTCACACGCGTCTCAGTCCTGCTTCTCAATCCGAACTCTTTACGGGGCTGCCTTCATTTTATCACCTGTACCATCTTCGGCCATATCTTCCCAGGACAAAAGCCGATTTCATCACTTCCACTATCTAGCCTTGTGCCGTATTATTTTTTATTCATTTGATCACTTTTAAACCCTCCATAAGATGCCATATAATACCACAGCAATCCCTCCCAGAAAGGAGGTGACGGGACAAACATTGCTGCCTTGTAGTTCTCACCAGCATGAGACATCTCCTCTCAGTGATCCAAATCACACTGACCTTTTTTTTCAGTGACACGAGTCAAGAAGATCATTGCCGTCGATCCAGATATCAATGTCTGCTCCAACAATGCTGCCTTTGTGATCACCCTTGCAGCTGTAAGACACCACGGCCAACTTCGTACCTCTCATGAGTTTCAATTCATCATGCTGACAGCTCTACACTCACTCTAGGAGATGTTTGTTCAATATCTTGCCGCTGAGGCTCAAAATATGACGAAACTGGATCGCAAACCACGCAGAAATATCCAGTACAAGGACCTCGGTAAGTTCTGTTCTTGTCTCTCAGTCTTGCTCTTTGTAAAAGGCTTTTCCGACGTGTTGTTCTGATCCCTTGGAACCAGCCAATGCGGTGGCCGCTCATGACAATCTCGAATTTCTCGAGGATATCATCCCCAAGACGGTCCCGTACAAGGATATCAAGATCAAAGCGGCCGCAACTCGTGCAAAGCTCGCCACAGAAAAAATGGATGGCATGGCCGCGGCTGTGGATGATCGGTCGACAGACGGCATGTCCAACGGCAAGAAGCACAAGTCAATTATTAACGGCACCACCAATGGCTACTCAAGGAGTCACGTGTTCTCGCCCGACGCGAGTGACCCTAGCGCTCAACTACAACGGGAGATGAGACAAGCGCAGCATTCGCATGACGGAGACGTAGACATGACGGGCTAGTTTCCTGGTTTGAGGCCATCCTGATTGCTTATGTTATCACTTTTCTCTCTCCTCGATCTCCTTTAATCCCTATCCCAAATGTCAACAGATTGACTAGTCATCGAGATGTGCCTGTTTTGTTAAATGCATACTGTTAAATACAAAACGAAAACACGCGAAACCGTGACGCCTCACCCAAATTACCCGATTAGCTGTCCCGACAGTCACTACGCAACCTACTCCTCCATGGCATCTTCCACTACCATGATTCCTGGAGGAAGACGCCCCTCGTTGAGGTACTTCTCCAACCGAATGATCTCCTCCAGACTGGTGGCCTTCTTAATCATCTCCTGCAATTTCTTGCGCTCCTTCTCCGTGAGCTTGAGCCGAGAAAGCTTGGACTTTTGTGTTTCACCGTTCGGCACTGCAGTGACGTCGAAAGTCTTGCTCTTGATACCCATGATCTGGGGAGACACAGTATCAGCCAAGGCTCTGTATTTCGCAAAGGGGGGAGCTGAGATAATTCCAAGCATACCTTTGCAGCCAGCTCCGTGGGTGCCTCAGCTGTACCGAACAACTCCTTCGCCTTGTTGCGCTCGGCATCCTTGACCTTTTGATAGTCGAGAAACCGTACTTGAGGACATCTCCAAAGGACCCAATAGCGATAGTGCTGTAAGGCCCCTTATGTCAGTAATCCCTTCACGCCCTCCTCAACCAACAACCATATGTGCACACACCTCCTTCTTCGTAACCGGGTTATCCATCAAAACCAAGTGTGTCAGCCGCGGGAACTTGCCCAAAACATCCAAGTCGGACAGCTCGGTCAAGTTGTTGCTCGCCAGCACAAGGTTGCGCAGGTTCGGAATGGCATTGGGTAGAGTCGGATGGATCATGGCGACACGATTACGTGCCACAAGCAACGTGCGCAGCCGCGGCGACAGTGGGAAGTTTCCCAATACTTGGATGTCGTTGTCGGTAAGATCGATAGCATCGTGCGGCTAACCCATCATCCTCGATTAGGTTAAGGGTTCCGTTGAGGTCAGAGGACAGGCAGACTTACGCCGGCAACACCCAGATTCTCAATCGCGGGAATTCTGTGTCCTGTATAGCGGCGCAAAACGCAAGATCAAGCAGCCCGTTGAGATAATCCGTCTTATAACACGAGGTGGTGGGTGCTCGATGGTTTGGTGTTGGAAAGCTCTTTTAAATTTTGGCAGCACAGGGGAAGAAGAGAGAAGACGATCAAGGTGTAGTATCTGTTCTTTTCAAAATAAACGCACCTCGTAGATCCAGCTCTCGCTCTTTGAGCGGGTTGAGGTAGGACAGAGAGTTTTGGATAAGCTCGGCGGTGAGCCTCATTTTCGCTTCTCTTTTGCCCTTTTTCTTTTCTATCGATGTTGTGAATCGACTCTTGCTTGCTCAACAAGCTAGTTATTGATTGCAAGCGTCGAAAGTGTCGGCGGTTTGGGAGATAGGTGCTATTGGACGCGGTCGCAAAGTTGAAGTATCGTGGTCGCGGTCCCAGTAGAAATGTCAAGTTCGAGTTGCGCCTTTCGCTAGCTGTGCGTTGCGATTGGCAAGGCTTAAGATCTGATGGGGCATAAAAAGCGGGCCGCACGCATTTGCCAGCAATGTCGCCATTTCAACCCTAACCCTAAAGCCCAGCAACCTGGAAGCACAGGAGCCGACCCTTCGTCAATCTTCCCACAACAGCAAACTAGACTTATCATATGCTGCTAGCACCTAGATAGGTAGGCACTATATATAGGTTCCCAATATGGTATGTAGCAGAAATTTAATTCTCGTAAGAGATCTCTAGTCAATATTGTGGACTTCTTTACTACAGCAAAGACAAGACGTAAACGCAAACCAACAAACCAAACCCCAATCACGCCGTCTACGTTCTTGCCTGCCCATGCCCAACTCCCATTCTCCTTGTTTATGATAACGGATGCTCTGACCAACGCTCTTAACTTCAACCGGAAGGTGACCTAAGTCACTGGAAAACAAACACAACTCCGCTTCTATCCACCGAAACGCTCATCATATAAGGCGACTCCAGAACGGCCACATCTGTGACCGCATCCAGATGACTCTTCAATAGCTGTTGCTGCTGCAACGAGATGACCGTCGACCGCGGCGGCCTACCGCCCACGGTGCCGCTTGACCGGCTTCCTCCCGTTGTGGAAGTGTTGGTGCTCCCTCTTCTTGAAGATGGTGATAGGGAACCCCCGTTCGCCCCTGCACCAGCTGCCACTGCCGAAGACGATGCTGAGTGATCCTGCTGCCTCGGCCAACGTTCGGTATTCAGCGTCATGCTCGGGGTAGGATGGCTTGCGGTGAATGTAGGGCGACCCTCATCAGGCTGCAGACCGCTGTAGACAACGCTATTTTCAATACGACCGAGGTCCCAGAAGCGGAGCTTCTTGTCAGATCCAGCAGTAATGATGAATGCATGGCGAATGTCGCGATCTTCCCCCGGTGAGGATATGGAGTCCGCAATTCCAACATACATGGCGCGAACGCCGCGGTCAGCATTCCCACCCATAGTAATGGCTGATGAAGCAGGGTCGATGTCTGTCGCGAAACGGCCCAGCATGCCCTCAGGCTTGTCTTCGTCCACCTCCCACGCCTCGTAGCCCTTAGGCCCTTCTTTATTGCCACTAACGCGGTAAACCTCCCGGCATAGTGTCCGCTCAAGGTCCCATACCGTCACTTCACCTTGGCCTGTGCCGCCGGCAACACAGACCCACTTTCCACGGCCTTTGGTCGGATGGATAGCCAGGCGATAAATAGCACCCTTGCCAGGCACGCCCCAAGCTTTAAGACGCATCTTGAAGCGAAGGTCCCAAAGATCGAGGACGCCATGAGAGGTGGCAAGGCACAGCCAGTTTCGCTTACGATCGACGCAGAAGCAGGTCGGTGTCCCGTGATGTACGGGATTTTCCAGACGATACAGCAGCGACATGGTTCTCAAGTCGATCCCGAGGATGACAGACTTGTTGGTGGCAAGAATCAGGACGGAGCTGGCCTCTTGTTTGAAGTGCTCACACCACACGGCATATTCGCCGTCAGCCAGCTGGTACTCTCGCAAAAGTCGGAGTCGTGGGTAGCGGAAGGTGTTTCCGCTGAACACCGTGTCGACTTTAACAACGTGGACACTGCCATCAGTAGCACAGCTGATGAAGCTGTGTGTGCTTTCAATGAAGCAAAGTGCAACTACTTTGGCACCAGGGGCATGTTTATGCGTCAGTCTTGACCGATGAGTGATGTTGCGTTCCAAGCGTGCTGTGTCCCAGACTTTGACACATCCGTCATCACCGCCAGTCAGGAAGAACTGATGGTCAGGAGAAACGACCACGCGGTTGATGGCTCCTGTATGTTCAGAAAAGGTCGCTACAAGCTTGCCTGAAGGCTTCCAGCCATCGTCCTTAGGCCGAGATGCTGTCGTCCTATTTGATGCTCGCTTCTGACTGATTGGAGTAACAAGCGGTCCGTACTCAATAATGTCATGAGGATAGTTGTCGATATACATAGCGTTGAGCATCTTCAAAATGTTTGGATCGTTGCCGCTGTATGAGTGATTGGGGCGCAGCCGTTCCTTGTTCTTGCCCAGCACGGACTCTGTATCAGGGAAGGACGGGAGTCGTACAGGGGTTTGACTCAGCGGGGCTTCGACCTCGCCAAAAGCGTTTGCTTCAGTTGTTCCAGTTTCCGGGCTGGCTTTTGTGTTGTCATTACGATTCATGAGACTGATGGCACATGGCTGGAACCGCAAGGTTTTCTTTGACGACACAGAAGCGGCATCATCGGTGGGGCCAACAGCTGCCTTGCCGTGTGCCGTTGACGGTCGATGAGTTGCATCATCCCTAGACCTTTCCCCAGGTTTGGCAGTTGATGTCGAACCGTCCTCCTCTTGGATGATCTTGCCATCTGCGGCCTGTGGAGACATTTTATCCGTGCTGCTCAAGTTAGAGCGGTAGGTGTTCACTGCAAAACGCTTTTTCTTGTTGATGGGGCCATCAACTGACATGGAGGCATCAAGAAGAGCATCTTTGATCGTCTTCGGCGCGCCTGCATCCTGATCAGGGAGGGTCTTCGTAGGCCGTGTCTCATCGAACAAAACGGTTTGCGGAGTGATACCCAAGCTGCGGAGAGGAATAATGCTGTTCAGTTGTGATGTGTTCACAGTCTCCTGCGTCGCCGAGTCTCTGGCCTTAATTTGACTTAGCCGCCAGATAAACTCCCTGAGTGCGAACAACTTGGGTTCATCGTCCTTCGAAAGCCCCAAATTGCGTAACTTGTTAAGCCACTGCTCGTCTTCTTCATTCTTAGCCGACTTAGCTGATAACACCTGAGAACCAGAAATACTCATGACCCCTGACGAGTTCATGGGCGTTGGACCAGCCTCGCGGCTTCTGCGGAAAGGTTTCCAGAAGTCGCTCTTCTCCGACTTCGAGGCCCATACCAAGGACTGGTCGAATACCGTCCGCGACAGCGGCTTTTGGAGCGTATCGAGTAAACCAAGCTTAGAGAAATCGACCAACCTTTCCGGCTTGAGATAGGGGATCAAATGAGGTTGCACCATGACCCGGAGATAGGCCTGACTCAGGGAATGTCTTCCGGCTGCGATAAAGTCGACAGCTGACACCCGAATCCACGGATTTGGATGCATGGTGAATCGCGCGATACCTCCGACAAGCTCCAGGTACGTCTGCTTCGTGAGCAGCCCCAGGCTCGCTAACTCTGCAAGGGAGTGCAGAGCACTATGCACTACATGCTCCTCTGGGTCGGTAACTGCTTGGGCCATTAGAGGGAGAATAAACTTCTCGAGAGTGTTGCTGCCCAAGAACGCAGAGATACCCACTATGGTATCGAAGAATGCGCACTTGAGCGTCCAGTCTCGGTCGTTTAGGTAAGTGTTAAGGTGCGTGAGAATAATGTCGTTTGCCTGCGCAGCCCCAAAAAAGATACACAAGTCCGGTACTGAAGTGAGGAAGGCCCTTCGGACAAAGGGATCCGAATCCTCGATGAGTGCCTTGGTATGAGTCTCGAAAATCTCAGCCAGCTCTCTACGGGTATCATCATAGAGGCCATCAAAAGTGGCCTTGGGCTCGTTCCCAGGTTCGACCTCGGGATCGGAGAATGCGCCTGAGCCATCAGCTCTGAGGGCGGCAGCCAAGGCAAGAAAGCGAGTGGCCGTCGTTGCAAGCTTTCCTAAACATGACGCATAGGTTGCTCGAACAATGGGACTAGAAGGACGTTGCGGGTTCAACAGCGCAGGCTGAAGTCGTGGCATGATGTAGTCCAAGAAAACCTGAGAGTTCACGGGGTTAATGATCTTCACAAGATCAAGCAACTGTGTAATGGTTCGAATTGCGGCGACAACGACCATATCGCACTTGTCGGTAAGCAACGCCATGAGATACGGAAGCACCCGATCGAGTTTTGCTTCATCAGAGAGCCTCTCCGCAAAGGCCAAGAGGATATCGCACGCCTTGATCTTCGCAGAAGCATGTTGAGTGTTCCGGAGGGAAGAGACAATTAGGTTCAAAAAGATCAGCGTCCCATCGTCTGCAGAGGGTTGCTTCTCAGCAGATACGTAATGTTCATTATTCGGTATGTTGAGCCGCACAGGGAAGTGACCGAGACCCAGCCATGAAGAGAGCTGGGGCTCCTCATCGTGATGCAGACCCGTCTGATACCCGAGAAAGTATGATATCTTGTCGAAATCCAGCCATACTCGCTCGATTCTCTGATCCGGCTGGCTTAAGTGCCGTGCAGAACTCGGAAGTAAACTTTGGTTGGATGAGATATGAGTGATAAGCTCCATGTACTGGTGCAAAAAGTTGTAAAAGTATTCTGGGAACACCTTTCCCTTCCAAAACTCCAGATACTGCTCGGCCGAGTAGCGCTTTTCTGGGTCCAACTGAATCATGTGGGCGATCATTTCCCGCAGATCCTTGTCAGGAATTCTGCTCAAATGAGAGATGGACGGATCATATTCACCTTTCCGGTACATGAACAGCTGAGCGAGGTTGAAGATGGGGGTTTCGAGAAAGAGTTCAGCGATGACGCAGCCCGCGCTAAAGATGTCCATGGCCCATGTCACTTTGGCGTTGGGATCAGCATCCTGGCCAGGTGGTAAAAATCTCTCTGGTGCAAGATAGCATGTCCGCTTGCCAGAGGTGTCGAAGAAGTAGGAGAAGTCGGCAGGATTGTCCTCAGGCAGCATGACACGTTTGAAGGAGGACGAGAAGTCCGATAGATAGAGCCAATTCCAAGAGGTGACCAGCACGTTTTCAGTTTTAATGTCTCCATGGTAGACGTCCTTAGCATGACAGTCCCGAAGAGCGCAAAGAAGCTGGAAGGCCAACCACTTTTTCTCGATGTCCTCCAAGAAGGGGCGGGTGCTCAAACGGTCGTAGAGTGAGTTGTAGAGAAACTGCCGAACGAGGTACCCGTTTGTCTCTGTTTCGATTGCACGGTGATATGGAAGGGCGTTCGGAACGTTGGCAAGAGCTCGTCGTTCCCCTGGAAAGCAACGGTGTCAGACCTCATCGTGCTGTTCATCTGGAGGAGGGGCTGCTCACGAAGTATCGCTTTTTTGTACGGCTCGAGGGACATGGGATATGGCTTGATCAACACTTTGGCAAGTACAACGCCATCTCGGTGGCGCGCGCGGACGCTTTTCATGAACCGTCCATTGCCAATAGACTTCTCATAGACCAGGTCGGCGAGCTCGGGAACATCAATGCCGGCAGCTCCCGCGGGAGGGGCCGCAAGAGAAAATCCCTGTCCCATGGTTCACCTGTCCTCACTCTTCTTGCAACCACTAATCGAGCTCTCGCACTAGCTCGGACAGGAAACCATGGGAGCACAGCACATCTTGCTTGGCTATACCCTTGCTCGATACGGGAATATCACCACCGATGGTTGTGATCTAAGTACAGATACTCGCGGTGTTGCGCGCGACTAATCGAGGGACTCGGGGTATAGTAAAGGGATGTACCGTAAAAATTAGTCTAATAGACCAAGATCCGTGGATGGAAAGAATGACACTAATGGGAAGATGATTCCTCGGTGGACAAGCTGATATCCGCAGAAGGACGTCGTGGGTGCGAGGCACGAAGTGCGGGTACGGTGGTCCACGTCACTGGGAAGGCAGAGCTATTGGCTCGGCAAGCTTGCGGGAGCGGTGGAGCCTGATCGTCTATGACGAAGTCAGCCAATCGATGCACGAAGATAAGATAATCTCTTTCTGAGGAGGACCCACTTTATGAGGCTCCTGGCGCCTTGCACTTGATACAGCTTTCTGTTTGAACGGCCTGACCATACTCCGCAACGGGGATGCCTTGGGGTCTCGCAAGCTCCGGTGCATTGTAATATATCGCCACGTTTTCTGTTCACACGCTCTTTTGTAAATGTGCTGGCGCTGTGCTTACATGCCGACAAGTCATGAAAGGGAGTCAGCATCCGTTTCCAGGCATACCTAGGGTAAACAATCGATTCATAGAATAATCCAACTCATCAACCCCAACCCCCCGAACTAGGTAGCTCTCATATCGTGCGGATCATCTTCTACGGAGCAAATCATCTGATAGCAAATCAGCGGGCATTTAAACGCGCATTGCGCCATGTGCTTGCTGCACATAACTATGGACGGAGATTGGCCCAAACTTATAATGTCATTTTAGGGGGTCTAGATAGGTATCAAAGGAAACCAAAAGCTGTACCTGCAGACCTGCAGATGGTAAAAGTTTCGTAGACTGTTTGCTGCATCAGAAATTGTCCCTGGTCGTCCCGAAGCGGTAACCACAGCTGACCCCTTAATAACTGGGCATAACTCGACACCTTCGAGTCAGCCTGCATTCATGATGGTTCTCTCCTCCCTCGCTCAATGCCTGACTCTGCCCGAAAACCCATTAGACAACCGACTCCATGAAAGAACACCGTCCTTGACAAAAAGGGTATATGAATAACAAGATAACGGGATATCAGCAAGCAACGCCGTCGTAATCGCAGAAGAGGATCCGACCCGAGAAATAAGCATCGCCAAATGACAACAGGAATCTATGGACTGGCCCATTGGTCGAGGCACGGTGTCTTATCGTAACTTTGACAAGTTGGGGGACAAGAAACCGTGTAGAGCAGCTGCCTTCATATCGACCGAGAGCTGTCTATATATACAGGAGATAGAAAGGATAATCGATGTGCGATTTCTCGTTTCTATAAGAGAAGCGGAGGATTGTCGACAAGTCAGAGAGCAAAACTGGGCTCGTGTTGCAACTGTGGATGGTGTCGTTCCGAAGCTGAAATACGTGGTAAAGTGTCGTCGGATCACCTAGGTGAGCTCGACTCAGATAGACTGCGACATCAGATATTGATCTTAACTGTGCGTGGTTGTGTACGGTGGGCCGCTTGATCCGGTTTCAACTGAGCCATCGCCCTCGATAGTCCTCCTCCAGTGCTGCGGCAAACAAACGCAAACCAGCGGGAATGCCTTTATTTCCCCGGTGATAGGTCTTGGACTGTCGTTCAATCTGCCAGATGTGTTGGAAACTCCACTATCGCGCTGCGCCTGCCGTCGCGCCTCCCACTGTTCGGCCCTCTCGTCCAGCATGACGCCTGTGGCCCAGCCATCGTCCCAGATACCTATCACTTTGAGCATATCACCCCGCTCGAGCAAAAACTCATCAGGGGCACGCGGCTGGTATGCCCACAAAACCGCAACGCGGTCGCCGGGGTGGATATCGTCTTGTGAGTAATAGTCTTTGAAGAACGGGAGTTGCTCTGATTGTTGGCTCGCGATTCCCTGCGGGGAGGACATGCCAGCACTGCTAGGAGAATGCCCGTCATCGCCAACTAGCACTGAACTGCTGGAAAGGGAGCCATTCCTCCTCAACGCAGTTGGAGGGGGTCGAAGGATACCGGCCGAAATACCGCGTTCTGATGCGGGACTCGAGCCAAATCCATCGGAAGAAGAGCGGTCGTCACCACGTCTTCTGCTGCCTCTATATGTTCCAGCAGTCCCGGGTAGAGAACTCGGAATGTCGCGTACTGTGTGACGAGACGGGCCATCACTGGAATGACCCTCCAAGGCTGACATTCGTGCTACCCTGCCTCCAGGCAAGATCTCAAAGCTCACTGGACCGCTGCTAGTTTGCTTCACCGGTGGCGGAGGCGGGCCATGTCGAGCAGGGGATGGTTGGTTAAAAACGCTGCCTTGTTGACTTCCGCTCCGCTTTCGCCGGTAAAAGATGAAGAATGCCAAACCAGCAAGGAGGGCTGCGGCCACGATCGAGCCGATGACGATACCAGCAATCACACCGCCACTCAATCCTCCTTCGCTGCCCTCCGGGATTGCGGTCGTAGTTGCTGTAACTGTGGGAAGAGTGATGGGCGTAATGCTAGGGAGAACGACATCCTTGCAACGAGCCTCTGCATTGGACTGATAGCAGCAAGTATCGGTTGAGTTGATGCCGCCTTTCGCGCAATAGGAACAAAGGCCAATGGTGCTGTTGCCATATCCGCAGTTTTCAGGCTCATTTGCGATTCCGGGAATGCAGTTTCGGCTTGATAAAGAATTATCTGGCAAGGAGCAAGTAACAAAGTCTGCGCGGATTTGTGATTGGGCATTGCCTCCGGGGTTTGGGCAAAGACCAGGGTCTGCCAGAACATATGCCTCCGCTTGCGCAAACTGAGCCTAAAAACTTGAGATTAGCTAAGAGTTCCGAAGCCACATCTCAATTTACATACACATGTTTCAGCACAAACTGGGCGAGACTGTTCCGGTGAAAGGCCGCAAGTCTCGATTGAATTTTGAATAATAGCATTACAAATTACGGTAGTAGTAAACCGTGCGTAGAAGTCGCTGGTATTGGTCAAGTCAAGACCTTTGCAACCCAGCAGAGTCCCATATCTAAAAAGCAATTAGCTGGCGGTCCAACATGGAGCATGCTCGCAGTAACCCTACTTTTCTTTAACGTATTCGGTTTGAACATAGGTGGTGAGGAGTTCATCAAACCGCTGGACGTTTGAAGCATAACTGAGAAAAGGACTATGAGAAATGTCAGCGGCTTGCTCAAGCAACCTTGAACTAACTGCCAACAGGTATTGTCTGGCCATCTTAGATGGCAGTACTCAGGGGAACTTACAAAAGGCCCACCAGATGGCTGTCGTTCGTGGACACGCTCGAAGATTGAAAGGCAGCGCAAGCTTTAGACCCTTGAAGTGACAGACAGGCGGCCATGGCGGTCGGAGGGGCAGAGAGAAGAGCTAATAGTGCCCCTTTTGCGCCCAAGCGACTTGACCTCCGGCGGGGTTTCGCAGTCGACGTCATCTTGGCTTTTGGCGTTGCTTCCTCCCCCAGAGTCGAGCCAGCTGCAACAAATGGGGTGCGGCCAGCTCTACTACAAACCGCAGAACCGTGGCTCACTGCAATAGTGTAGACATCGCTGTTGTCAAGTTCTTCCATACTTCCACCGCACATGACTTCCCCGCAAGCCTTGTCGATATGTCAGAGCTTGCCACGGACCAATTGAGCCACACTAGAGTCGTAAGTGCGGTGCAATACGTGATTGGGACAAGTAGAGCAGCATAAGAACCGAATGGCCGCGATGGCGCGAACCAGCGCTCAAGAACAGGGCGCTCGTAAGCGAGTCGACTATGAAGAAAAGAGGACGCGACGCGAGTACAAATGAGGGTCGTCGGCGAAGTGGGATCCTGATTGCGCGTGGCTGATGGTTTGCCGCGAGGAACTGGCAGCAGACAAAGACACGACTAGTAGCTGACTGTTGCAAGAAAAAAAAGAACGGCAGAATTGATCAAAGGTAACGGCGAAGGCTGACTCAATGTGGGGAACTGTCACGGGGCGAGCGGAAGGGCCCCGAGATGTGGAAGCCGAAAAAGTGCAGAAGCGAAAAGGTACGATGAAATCAACGACACACAAACGAGAGGAAGAATGGAAAACAATCCGCCTGGGGAGTGTGCAGTTCGGACCGTTGAGGGGAGGCCCGGCAGTTAGTCACGCCTCTCAGGTCGTCGGGACACGCGCGAGCAGTTCGCGGCAACAAGGTGAACGGAATGGGCGAAAGAGAGGACGAAGATGAGTTGACGAGACGAGAAACGAAGACGAGCAAGTGTGGGCTATGGGGGTCTGGGGTGACCTTAGCAAAATCGAAAACAACGGGCCCTGGAGACCTGCCTAGAGCCAGGGGTCGGCAGGCCAATTTCGCTTGAGCTTGAGCTACAGCAGGAGTCCGCCTTCCCGTTGAGGCTAGGGCTAGCGCAACTAACCAAGGACGTCAAGTTTTATTGCAGGGGGCAGGCATGCTACCCCGGTTGCGACCTCCAGTCCTGCAAGCGTGGCGGCAGCAACTTGGACCTAGAGCAGTCTTGGGAATGGTTGTGCCTTCTCCGGATCCCATTGATTGCTTCTTCAAGATTATCTTGATGATAAAATCGGTGCCAATCGTCATCCAGAATTCGATGTAAAGATTTCCGGAAAGATAGTGCGATGCGCCACGTTTCGGGTGGCAGGGAAAGGGGGAGTGGGAGAAGAGCACAGGCACCGGAGAATTGCAGCCAGAATGCAACCTTGAGGAGAACCTTAAAACGCCTGTTTAATGGACCACTGGGGTCAGGGACTCCGGCTGGCCAGCGTTTCTCCCAGCATCCACCAGAATCGGATAGCTACGTACTTAAGGTGTATGTATTATTGTAGCGTCCACGTCGGATGCTGTCTCTGGACTTGCTGGAGAGATGCGTACCTGTCGTCTTGCCCGTGCGTGTGTGCCAGTCCCGAAGCCCAAGTACACGGTCTACAGCTGTCCGGTTCACTCCCGCGGACCGCAAATATTGTTTCACTGGTAAGGACCAACATGATCTTCTGGTCGACATGATGTTGTGTCCTACAGTGTGGTTTGGTGCAAGTCGAAGCATATCACCAAAGTTGCTCAGAAAATGGTTTCTAACCCTAGGTGTTTAACGCAAGTAGAGTATGTAGCGTGCCAACTGTTCTGGGAGCAGAAAACAGCCTAAGAAAGTAAATAGCCTGAAGCACGAAGCTACCTAGCATAGCTAGGTAGGTTGAAATCGTGAGATTTGGAAAGCTAAATGCTCATCCTCAAGCTGGCTGGTACGTGTCGTCAATCAAGCTCTGGGTTGTACCATAAGGTAGTGGGGTTTGTCTCAATGCCGAGTCTTTGGCGGGGCTGATTGGTCGTGAAGCTGCGGTTGGGAGCCGCCGAGACACCTTCGGAGATCCGCTGAAACAAGCTCCCTTGTCATGAACCTGATTTTGCCTACTTGAGGATCTCACCTCCAAAACGTCACTGCCCATAGCTGCTACCTATAACAACAGATCAGCCACTCATTTGCGCAGCAGGCCTCCTGACTAGATAATCCAGTAGAGGTGAATTCAATCAGGGCGGTATGGAAAACGCGGGGCGGTCTTGTCCCACTGTCGAGTCAAGCAATTGTAAGTAATTGAATGTCAAGTACCTATGATGGTACCTCCTGTGGGAAACACAACTCATTTCGCGAGCTAGCATCTGGAGGGCAGCTCGAAAGCTCGATCAGTTCCCTTGAGAACATGTTCCATCCATGTTGATCCTGTGCCACATCTGTCGGGAACTTTGTGTGTTTCAATATTTTGCTCCCCTTTTTTTTTTTGCCCAGTGAAGAATGCTGCTGATTGAAGTCTCATATCTCCCATGCCTAGATCCTCCATATAACTCTGTGAACCACGCAGTAGAAGCTTCTGTCTAGGATCACTCCATGGCCCAGCCGTTTCACCGTTTGACTCGAAAACATCGCCGTGTACCACGGTTTATCACTTCTGATTTTTTGCTTTGTCGGTGCGGGCATAGATTGTCTACCCAGTACCTCAAACATAGGTAGCCTTCTATCTGAGAAACGTGACAATTCGAAGCTGTGAATTTGATTGGCATCACCAAGGAGACCTAACAAAGCCCATAAGAATACTTTCACTGTCTTTACAACAGTGATTCGTAAGAACACTGAAATATACATTCCATTGTGTTGTTCCATTAAGCAACAGCTCTGATCCAGCTATCCCGATATGCAAGGCTAAAGGGTATAAGTCACCGATGAATCAGGACAGCCATCCCTCTTTTGAGTGGGCTAACCAAAGAACTCAGTCTGGGCGAATGGACACATCCTTTTGTCAGATCGCGAGAAGTGGTGTCGGTCATGAGGCCTGCTTGTCTAGTTCTTCGCCGTATAATATGTTCTGTTGACTACAGTCAACAGCAGTCCTTGAGATTGGGGGGAGAAACGGGCGGAATTTTTCATATTCAAAACATACCAGAGCACACGCCAACCAAGCAAGGTCAGCATCCCGTTCCTGGTTGCTCATCTCAACAGGCCGAGCCACGTACGAATCGTTCGCACTCTTTGGCCTGCTTCCAATCCGCCATCTACTATCCGACTTCCTGTCTCCCTCATTATCCTCAATCCTTTCATTCGCAGCACTCATGGCTTCTGCAAGTGCAGTCATGTCTCCCTGCTTGAGGTCAACACAGGAGTAGTGCCCCGGAGCTGAGCTGCCATCCCGGACGTGAAACCTCTTGTCAAACCTCGCCAGAGTGTACAAATATACCACCAACAGCTCGATGGTAAAGTTGAAGATATAGAAGCACGCCCTGCTATGGAACCATCCCGGATCTCTAATCGGTCTCTGGAGAAATGTGACTACTGCCCTGAAGGTTGCCCCTGCAGTGAGCAGTAATGCCCCGGTCGTCAGCAATCCGAGGTTCGTCCCCAACTGTCCCTGTCCAAATGGATCAATCCTTGTCCTCTTTGGCCATAACGCTGCGCCGACAGCGATAGGCACAGGCAAGAACGCATATGCCGCCAAATACGTCCCACAAACCAACTGGATCTTTCGATCAATCTCCTTCACTGAGCTGCCCTCCTTCACAAAGAACCCCTGAACCGTCACAGTGATCACCATGGCTAACACCGTGACGGCACTCGCAAATAAAACCCCAAACACACACTTCACCCATTGCTTCCACCCCAAAGACGGATGATACGCCCTTACGAAGCGTAGCGCAAACGCCAGGTTGGAAACAAACAGCACCAATACTCCGGCGGCCGTGAAGATCTGTGCCGCGATCCCGAGCCGCACATTTCGCTTGTGGCAGGCCCATGCTATACGCAGGGCCAGGGCAGCGATGCGAATGACACAGAAGACGAAGAAAACCATGGAGAAAACGAAGCGAAAGCCACGCTTGCGATTGGCGCGGAAGATGACCAGGTTGGTGGCAGCCCCTCCGAGGAAGAGGGCTAGTAGGGCGGAAGAAATGGGGACATCGGGGATGATAGAGGGGACTAGACCTAACTGCGCAGTTGTTGGGGGATAAGGGGGTCCAGGGAGCACTGGCAGCTGAGGCTGCTTTAGTGGAGAGAATGGTTAGTTATACTTCATCTTGTTGTCTTAAAAACAATGTTCGAGTTGATCGACGGCAATGAGCTCAGGTTAGAAGAAGAACAAGGCAAGATGCTTCTTGTCAAATGGCGGATGAACAAGGGCCATACTCACCTGTGAACTGGCCATTCGGGATCCTTCTGCCTGAGTTGCTCGGTGAAAGAGCTCATCATTTGTTAGCCACAGCGACGCCAATCACCTGCAGTCTAAACATGAAAAGAAAAATTGAATATTGTTATGTACCTGTCTCTCCCACGAAATGAGAGTCAGCGAATCAAGACTCCGAGAAACAAATGATTCCTTCCGGCAATTCAGGTCCCTTAACTGCGACTATGATGCCTGTCCGAGGCCACAGTAAGCAGTGCTGTCACTGGAACTTGATAGACCGATAGTGTCACAGGAACTTGATATGGCGATGGCGAGATGATGAGATACTAGGAAGTGAGTATCTTGGAGGAATAGTTATGTATAAGAAAATCACAAATCATGCCAGTAGAATTACATAGCACAGTGTCGGTGGGCCACACGTGAGGATATCAACTTGGGAGCTTTGACTTCATGGAGATGGTCAAGCTGCTTGGATAGTCTGTTGCTAGCCCAGGCTTCTCCTAAATTCACCCTCCTAGAAGATAACCATACACAATTCATTCACTGTGGCACGTAGCAGGGCAATGAGCGCCTTGATGCACATGGATACTGGAACAGAAGCTCACAGACACTTTGATGGATTTGACGTAGTTTCGCCACCTATTTATGTGAGAATATGGCCTGTGTATGCTGTTCTAATCACAAACACGTGCTTATCTCTGTTGAAGCAGTGCTTACACTGCTCAGAGCGGTATGTCTTCCGCAGAATCATCATGCATCAAGGGAATTTGGACTGACCATCATCAAGTCACAATCATTCATAATGGCTCGAGCTTGCTAGTTTCAGGAACAACTTCGTCAGGTCCAAGAAGTCGCCTAAACCCCCCTGAAGCATGACATCTGACAGGAAGTTCTTGCTACCACGAAGACAACGATTATGGTAAGTGGGCATACAAAGCACCATGCTGCAATCAAATGTATTATTGCGTCAGCGGCGAGAGCAAAGACAAGAATTTGCATGGCATATCTAGCTCTGCTACCTAAGCTAACTTAGTCTCATCCTCTATGGGAAAAAATGTAAGGGTGAACTCTGGGGAGCAAAAAAACGAGACACATGGGGTGTAGGTAAGCACCAAACGGCAAGGTGATGAAGAGCGTCCAGGATCTTGTCATTCCCCCTTCACTTCTCCAAACCTCGGCACTTTCAATCAATAACACCATTTTCCCCATTGATTATTGGACCAAGCCTGGACGCTCATCCCGTAAGGGAAAGGAGAGAGGAAGGTGTGTGTACACGGCGATGTGCCGAAGAATAAACAGGACATCCATCAAACCTTTTATGAAGCAGGCACGTTCAGGGAAGTCTGAGCAGTCTCTTCTCAAATGCCGTCCCCCAGGGGCAGCAACCCGACGTACGTTGATATCTGTAGTAGGTATGTATGTATCACACGACGCCATTCCTCTTCTCCTTTCCACTCCCTTTCTCTGCTAGATCCTGCTCTATGCGTCATCTCAAACCCACCAACCCCCAAGCTGGCTGAATCAGAGGTAAATTAGAGGAAGTAATCAGGAGTCCCTGCGACAAGCGTTAGTCGAAATCAGTAATGCAGATAGGACATCGTTGACGTTGGGTGCCATACTCCTTGAAACCATAGGCTCTCCTGCTCTCGGGCAAGGATCGAATTGCAAGCTAAAAGTCTGGTCAGGCCGAAAATTCCTTAAAACAAAAGGAGGACAGAATCGGAAATCTTACAATGTGTATTTCAAGTGTTCGTCGATTTCCATGATGGCTGCCTGGTTACCGCACCTGTAGCAGTAATTTGGAGCTTCAGAGTCGTTAGTCTCTGGTTACGGCCATGCCTCATAAGGGCAAGCAACAGAACATACCCGAAAAGATGGTGACCACGTTCCGATCCTGCGACCAATTGTACCCTTCCATTACGAGCTGATGTGCCCGGGCAATCAAGGTTAGGCCGTTGTTGTGATTAAATGCCTCTGATATATCCTGGCCAAAGGTGTACCCCGCGCCGCGCGGCGAGATGCCCCAGCCGCAGCGGTCGTCGGGGTCAGACCACAGCAGGTCGCACATGGGGCCCTCATGGGGCACCTCCTGGACACGGTCCAGGGCTCTGATGTTGTCAAGGGTATCAATGCTGGGCGATAGGCCGCCGTGCAAGCAGAAAATTTGATTATCGATGAGTGCGGTCAGAGGGAGGTAGTCGAAGAGGTCGGTGAAATACTTCCACACGTTCGCGTTGCCGTATTTGCGTAGGCACTCGTCATAGAAGCCATAGACCTGTGTAATCTGCCGGGACTCGTGGTTGCCGCGCAGAATCGTGATGCGCTGCGGGTAGCGAATCTTAAGACAGACAAGAAGGGTGACGGTCTCAACCGAGTAGTACCCCCGGTCAACATAATCCCCTATGCGAATATCGCAATCGTCAGAAAGGTCTGCCACTCTCCCCTCCTTCAGTTCAGCCAAAAGAAAGTGCTATCGCGTACCCATGAAGAGGTAATTCGTGTCCGGGTTGGGCCCACCAATCTTAAAGAGCTCCATCAAATCATGGAACTGGCCATGGATGTCGCCACAGACCGTTACGGGGCATTTCTTTTGTTTGGAAACAATGATTAGTCTCTGTGAGGAGCCGCGATCACGTCGATTGGGCCTTGGCCAGCAAGGTAAGACATACGACAGGTTGTACATTGGATTCTTCTTGCAAGACTTCGCGCGCCTGGAACGGGGAGTCAGGTTAGCATGGGCTCGGCTTCGACAAGCTGCGGGGGTTTAGCCATAGCGCGTCAATCGGGACGACAGGAGCACCGTCGGGTACATGGGCCAGGGAAGAAAGAAGATCGGCGACACGGTGCAGAAGGCGATGCAGCGGCTCTCGAGGGAGATGAGGATGGACGCGCGCGCCGGAGAGGGCGAAGATCTCGGAGATGAAGGAAGCGGGGAAGCATGCAGTAGGTGGTGAGGCGGATACAGACCTTCTCGCACAGCCTCTGGACATCGGACTCGCTCAGCTGCTTGCATTGCATCAAGCTCTCAATCCAGCCATCGAGAGTCGGAATGCTGGTCGGCTCAACATTAATCGGGCCAAGGTCTGGCGGGATGCGCCCGACATGAACATCCTCCATGTTGGTATCCATTTTGGGCCCGGGCAGATGGGAGGTGGTGCTGGTGTCGCGGGACTCGAAGCAAAGCTATACAAGGGCGGGCCTGGCGGTCGCAGGCGCAGAGGCAGGAGGACTGGAATGTAGTAAATCAGTGCTTCGGAATGGCAAGGCAGGGCGATGCTGTCGAACCGTCGTCGTGAGATGAGCAGGGGAAGCAATGACGTTTGTGTCCACAGGCACGGTTTGGGTGTAATCCCCGGAGCGCGGCGCGGGTCCAGTTCAAGCTTGTAGGTACGGGTAGTGAGTGTACGGTTGTAGGTTGTAGGTTCTGGGTCAAAATTGGGCAGGTGGGCAGCGGGTGGGCAGGCCAGGTCGCCAGTCGCCGTTCGCCAAGCAGAACACAGAACGCAATCCTAGCTCGCTCTCGCTCTCACGCTTCCACTCAGCTCTGCAGTCGGATCACCGAGTGAAAAGACGGCGAGGAAAAAGGTGAAAAAAAAAGACCAAAAGGGATCAAAGAAGCCCCGTAGCTTCTAGCGAGACCAGAGAAACCAAATCGCGTCGCTGTCGCAGCAAGCTGGATGGAAGTCGAAGGCTCGGAGTGAGGAGTACGGAGTGCAGAATGTATACGCAGCGCGGATATGTCAAGACGAAATGAGGTGAGGGTTGGATGAATGAGTGGATGGAGGATTGTTGTGGACTGCACACTGCACTGCACGCCAGTGGGCTTGCCCGTGGGTGAGGGTGCCCAGGACCCAAGTGGTGTGCTTCAGCTTCCTTGCTTACATTCTCGTCTCACCCTTGCTCGCCGCCGTGTGGCTGCTGTCCCCCGGTGGTCCGTGCCGCACCTTCCCCACCGAATCTCACTGGACAGCTGAAAGCTCGGCGCTCCATCGAAGGCTGGAGGGCGGTCAAGCTGCCCCGCCCACCAGCTTGGAGGCCCAGCGCTCGCTGGTCGGGAGGGCACCTACCATTATGAAGGTGGGGTAGAAGGCGGGAAATAGGGGTAGGTGCCTGACATAAGGTAAGTAAGTACCTATTTCTCAAGGCCTCGGGGGTGATTTACTGGCAGTCGTCAAGGGAATCAGAGAAACACGAACGGCACCAAATGCATGCAAGTAGGTACCAATTTGATGATACAATCCAAAGCAGACACTCTACTCTTTGTATATACCTATCCCAGAAGCTCACTCCGCCATGGCCCAAACACATGGGACGTTTGTATCCGTACGGAGAACCTTGTCTTCTCCCCCGCCAGCAGGCCATCCTACCTAACCCCAAGTTAAAACACGTCGCGTCGCGCCAGATTACTTAGCGTTCAAGACAGTCCCAAGCCTACGGGGGCATTAGTCTGCCCGTCAGACGCTGCAACTATACCCGTGCCGGTACGGAGGTTCTGTCCGACGAGACTCGTGAAATCCAAACCAACGTCGAACAACGTGCCGGCATGCTCTAACGCAGCGTCCAAGCATCGAGTCCATATCTCACTGCCCTCCTCCTCGCCGCTGAGCTGCCGGGAGAGGATCGAGTTGAAGGCATCTACTTCTTCCTTAGCCCACTTGACGCAGGCGCTCATCATAGGCGCTGGAAAGCACGCCTGGAAGCAGCTGACCGTGTTGCGGATAAGGGTGAAGTAAACAAACGCGATCTCCCAGATGTACTGTTCCAGGCTTCCCTGGAAGATGCATTGTCTGTCTACTGTTAGCTCTTGTGGTACTCTAGACTTTTACGATACCATCTGATTATGTGCTTACCTGGACCGCTTCTGAATGATTTCGCTGCGGGCCTCCAGATAGGCCTCACGAGCCCGGTCCTCAAAGCCCAGTCGGGTCAACCATGAAACGTTGGCCTTTGTCTTGACCTTCTGATTGTGGGTAGTAACAAGCTCACGGATCAGCAATGCCGCCAGCTTCATCCGTCTCTCGTCAACCTTGAACGAGATGAAGTCTTGCGCAATTACGTTGTGCTTCAGCCCCTGTGCAAGGTTCCTGAGTTTCTCGATCCGGGCAACTGCCGGTTCAATCTGTTGGAGCGCAATGTTGATATCAAGCTCATCCATCTGGCTCTCTACCCAGCGCAAGTTTTGTTGTTTGCCGTCCACCTCGATAAGCATGTCCTTGATATCAGATAAGGTCTCAAGAAGCTCCGTTTTTTGCAGCAGGCCGGGGTCGCGCGAGGCAAAGTAATTGATAGTTTCCTTTGCCTTGTTAGTCGCCTCCCGTTCTGACTGGAGAGTTCTCCGCAGCTCCTCGACCTGCTTGCGAATGTTGAGCAGCAGTGACGCCTTTTCAGGGTCCCCTGGCTTTTCAGTTCGGTATATGAACGATTCGTTGCCGCCGCCGCGGATCATGATGGCATCAGCAAGCTTGTTCCTACCACTAGAGGAATCGCTCGGCCCAGCCATATCAACAATTTCCACGTCCAGAAGATGCCAGCAACGATCAGCAACCAGCTTTGTCATCGGCGCACGTGAATCGTTCGGGGCGTCCACTTTCCTCTTCTTCCGTGAAGCGATCAAGATATGGTCATTGAGCAAGAAGATCTGCATTGCTCGCCTCGACCGATAGGTAGCATTGTCCAGCTCTACCCACAGACCAGCATTTTGGACGACATGCCGGCCCGGAGAGTTAGGAAGAAATTTTTGTGAGCCCTCAACGGTCTTGTACAGCGCCTGCATTTGGGCGCTCCAGAGAGCAGTTCGATCAGCAACCGAGCTTCGCTTCTCCCTTTTGCTCAATCCCATGGGAATGTCACCATCGAAGCCATGTCCTCCAACACTGTTGGAAGCCGACCGGAGAGCGGTAGTGTTGGCCTTGAGCTCGGCCATCAGGTTCCGAAGCGTCCGCATTTCATTCTTCAACTTCTCTGCTTCCTTGCTGATCTTGATAAACTGTGTACGGTTCTGGTACACGCTCTGCTGGAGGTCGGCAGATGCTCGGCTCTTGAGGTTCCGCAGAGCAGCCTCATAGTCGCGGATTTCGTCCTCGGTAGCATCGCTGAGTATGTTGGCAACGTACTGGTCGGCAGCGAGCGACGGGTCTCGGAGAGCTTTGATGTCCACCGGAATGCCTGGTCCGCTTCCGCCTGCACCTGCAGCCCCGGCTTCTCCCCCATCTCTCGATGGGGGCGCGCGACGGTCCTGGTTCTGGGCTTGCGCATATCTCTCAATGCTCGGAAGTGATGGCACGGGGGGAGGCGCAGTGGCAGAGGGATCAAAATCAGCATTGAAACGAGTCGAGTACCGGCGTTTCACTAGATCTGACGTCTGCGACACACATGGCGGTTACATCACTGCCAGTCTATATATTAGATACAGGATGGTTAAGCACACCTTTGCGCTAGCCTGAGGAGGAGGACGAGGCCGAGGAATTGGGGCCTGATCAGCAATAGACGGACCTGGGGGGCCGCGTCCGCTTCCGTCATCCTGGAGGATGGGACCGGAGATTTTAAGCGGACGGTTCTTCCTTTTCCCCCCGCTTCTTAGCGAAATCTTCGAGCGTTCTTCCGACATGGCGGCGGGCTTGGATCGCGTGATCTACCACGTGTAATTGGGGATGGGGAGATGGAACTCGACGCCTGGAGAGTTAGCTTTGTGAGTGCGCCCGAAGTTCGATTGGCCAGCTAGAGGATGCGTCTTGCTGTGGCCAACTTGAAGGTGCTGTAGCCACAGCTGTGGTTTGCACAGCTTTGCAGGTGAGGTTGGTTGCGGACTTGGAGTGGTGGAACTGAATAGCTTCGGGTCGCGAAGCTCGGTGGTGATGGGTCAGTCCGCGGGTGCAACAGCAGCAGCAGACGTGCAAAAGTGTCCTGGTCCCCAAAGGCATGCAACTGGCGCTGGAATCACAGTGGAACAATAGAGGCAGTGGGCCCCTGGACCCGTCGGGTGTCTGGAACGTGGAAGCTGTCGGCTTCAAGGTTGTCCACTTGCGGGGCCAGAGGGCCAGCCAGAGACGCAATCCCTTTGTGTGGGGCACACACACAAAAGCGTGGACCGCTTCAGCCGCGTGCCCTGTGCGCCACGACAACGCGGCGCTGGGCGTGCTGGCGGGCCACGGCTGCGTTTTGAGGGCTTGGCACGGACGTGTGGGGCTCGGCCGGCAACGGGATCCAAGCCTTGGACAGGGAAAAAATTACAACTGCTCTCCGAACGACCGTTGAGCCTTTCCAACACTAGACCGTCGTCCAGCACTTGCTGCCCTATACCTTCATATAACGCCCCGATCTCCCTCGTCCTGCGACCTGCGTCTGCGATCCTTGCCTACGTTTTCCTTTCTGCTTCGAAGCCGGTCCCGCCATCAACACCCCCACTTTTTCTTTCTATCCTCGATTCATCGTCTGCACATTGCACATCGCCAACCATGTCGTCATCACCAAGTCCTGCCATTGTTGCAACTGCCGCTGTCGCTACGCTCGCGGCTGGTGTTCTTGGTATGCGTACTCTCTGGCTCACCCGTGGCCAAGCCTTTCTGCTATCGAATTTGACCTCAGGGACCTGAACTCGTTCTGACCTGTATCTCCCCCACCTGCAGCCTATGCCGCCTACTTCGACTACCAGCGGCGCCACAACGCTGAGTTCAGGAGACAGCTGCGTCGCAACGAGCGCCGGCAAGCGCGCGCTGAGAAAGATCTGGCCGAGGCCAGCGCAAAGGCCCAGCGCCAGCGTATTAAGCAAGCTGTCGACGAGGCCAAGGAGGAGGGCTTCCCCACCAGCGCTGAAGACAAGGAGGCCTTCTTCCTTGAGCAAGTCCAAGCCGGAGAGATGATGAGCGCTGATCGTACGTCTGCCCTCGGCCGTGTGCCATAATCTCATTTTCGGGAGTCTAGGCTGACATGGTGGTTCTCTTTACAGCCTCCAAGCATCTTGAGGCTGCTCTCTGCTTCTACAAGGCCCTCAAGGTCTACCCGACTCCCGGCGATCTGATCAACATCTACGACAAGACTGTCTCCAAGGTACGAGAAGCATTCATGCGGCTGCCACGGGTCAGTTTGTCCTTATGCTTACACCTGACTTGTAGCCTATCCTGGACATTCTCGCCGAGATGATCGCTTATGACTCCAGCTTGCGGATTGGTACCGCCTACACGGGCCCCGCCGGCGTCGACGTGGCCGATCTGATGCGCGAGATGGGCGCTGTCCCCGGTGTTGGGCTGGACTAAATCTAGTGTAGCCAGCCTAGCTCAGAGCCACTTACACACACCACTTCATCTCAACCCCCCCTCTCTCCTCCCTCGTCCAATACCCAACCTCAAACTTGCCTCTTTCCCTGGGGTGTATGTGCGTCACGGTCCGAGCACTCCCCAGTGGAACTACAGGCAAGATCCGACTTCGTCTTTCTGTCGCTGGCACGGGACAAGTCAGTCAGTTAGTCGGACAGTCTTCATGGATATGGGGACGTCATAGCTCTGACTCTCTCCCACTGATCGACATGAACGAACCTCACATGGTAGTGGTTGTACGATATGTGACACGACCCCCTCATGTCCTACTGCTGAAGGAATATGGGAATCATTTCTCGTTTTGTCATTCTATTAAGGCATGTAAAAGATGTATGATGTATATAAATCGGACCAGGAGGGTGGCGGCATTGTTCGAGGTTGCTTTTGACTTAGGTAATGAGATGCGCACTCACATCATGCTCCTCTCAGCTGGAGACAGAACACCTATGACACAGGAAATGACCTTGTACGGCCGACTTGGGTCAAGTGTAGTATTTTGTGCCATCATCACAATCCTAACAGACCTTTCGTCTAATGAGACACGCAAGTAAACCAGATCCGATATGGCCCAGTTTCTTACTGCCTTACGCCGCAGCCTCGATCGGCCGCCCCTTCTTGTCCACTCTCTGATCACGCGGATCGAACCCTCCATTCCCCCACAATGCCCATTCAGGAGTCGGAGGACCCATGTAATCTTCAGGGCTAAAGTCTCCATCCGGGCCCTTCTCCTCCAGCAGTTGGAAGAACTTATCATAATCAATCAGCGTGTGCCACTTGCCATTAACCTTGAACCGCTCACTGGCCAAGAGAATGCAGCAACTGTGCGCATGCTCGGCTGCAATACCATACGCCAAGCCGCGCTTACGCAAGGCTTTCTCCAGGGTGACAACGAAGTCGCACACCTCTTGATAGAAAGGTACGTTGGCCATCGTCAGCCCCGCGCTGCTGGACGTGGACGTGCCGCAGTACGTGACACCCTTGACCTCGACAAAGCAAGGCAGACCCCGCTCTACCAGATCGGCGTAGCCCTCGACCTCGTCCTCGATGTTGAAGCCCTTGACCAGGGTCAACCGGAAGACCGTCCGCTGCTGAAAGCGGCGCTCGCGAAGGATGTCAAGGCAGCGCTGGAAGCGCTCCCAAAAATCGCGGTGCAGGGGGCGATCGATACGGCGGAGAGACTCACGGTTGGATGCATCGATGCTGACGTAGAGCTGTGTGACGTGCTGCAGAGCGGCAAGCTGGTCCGGATGCTGAGCGTTGCAGACAAGGAATGATGATATACGCTCAGCATGAAGCAGGCGCAAGAACTCATTGATGTGGGGGTAGAAGATGGGCTCGCCGACCAGCGAGAGGGCGCAGTGCCGGATGCGCATTGCTTCCGCAAAACGCTCTGCTCGCACGCCGGGCACACCACGCATCATTTTGATCTTTTTGTAGTGCTGTTCCTTGACACCGTTGAAGATGAGATCGGGAGGGTCAACGACCCATCGCCAAGAAGTGCCGACAGGGTTGGTGCCATGCCGCCAGCAAAAGATGCACTTGTTGGAGCAGGAAAGGGATGGTGTTGTTTCCATGCATTGGTGCGAATTAATACCATAAAAGGAGAACTTGTAGCAGGAGCCACGGCCGCGGAGGGCAGACTTTGTCCAACGGCAAATCTTCACGCCGGAATGTGACCCAACGATGGAGTATCCCTGCTTCGTCAGGGCCGTATAAGTGGGCGAATTCTTGGGCACCATCTCCTTGACAGTAGTCGCAAGTTTCTTCGTCCCCGATGACTTCCCTTCCGTAGTGAAATCGATCGCAAGGGGCACCTTGCTCCCTTGCTTTTTTCCGGAGGAGCCGTCAACCTGCGATAGCTCCAGGATGCGACCTATATCCTCGACATCCTCAAGGCTGTCAGATCCACGCGACTTAGAAGACGAATTGAGTTCAGGTCCATCCTCTATGAACACCTCGTCATCATCACCAACTTCACGCTCATCATCACTCTCTATCGGGTCTCCTGAACCAGGGACACCCTCGCCTAAACTACCGGTCTGCTCGAGTTGCCTCAGGACGTCGACCACTCCCGACTGCCATTCGGCCAGTCTATCTTTAGCGTCACGCTTCCAATCTCCCATCCCCAGGGGGAATGCGCGCTTCCGACCACTCAGCTTTGCCATCCACTTATCGACCTCTCTGGCTTGAAAACAGAAACCTTCCTCTTCAGTAGGCCATCCCTCGCTATCGCCAAAGCCAAAAACAGAGTAGCCGAGAATCGGAGAGAGAGGCGATGTGTCGATACGGAAGTCGTGGTGTGTCTCCTTAAGATGTTCAAGGAAGTTGTCATTAATGCTGTCGATGTTGTAGCTTGGAATCAGGAGAAGATAGAAGAAGTCCACATCCGCGCCGTCAGACTTAGGGGGAGTGATGAAGTACTCGTCATAGTCGATCTCGGCCAGGTCTAGAACCTTCGGCTCTAGAAACCAGCTATCTGATTTGTCGCTCGCCTGACACAATAAAAGCTTGCCTAGCTGCTGGGTAAATAACCTTGCTGCCTTATCGGTACTGGCTGTTAAGGAGGAGAAGAACACGAGGACCTGGATCTTCCGGCGTGTTTTAACCTCGGGGTCTGGGCTGCCATGGCCTTTCTTCGTGGGGACGCCCCTAATCCTTTTCGGTCCTTGCTTCTGCTGTTCATGTTTCTCAGTTTGCTTTTGTGTCTGGGGTCCTGATTGTTCAAAAGCATTCACTTGTTGATCGACTGTAACGGCGGCTGTGATCTCCCGTTTGGCTCCAGAGTTTGGCTGTTCGTTTCTAGCATTGTATGTAATAGAGGATGTAGAATGTCCTGCCTGCACTTGGCTGGACTGAATGTATATCCTCAGAACAGCCACGACAAATAACGTTGTTATGATGATTGGAATCCGGTGTTTATGCCAGAGATCAAGTGCATCTGCGGTTCACAGTTTCCGGTTAGCTGCTACTTATTCCATAATTGCCTTCAACTTCCAAGAATACCTACAGTTCACAATCTCTGACATCACGGGGGGGCCACTGCCCCTTGGATCTGGGGACATGACTACTTGGAGCTCCCCTGACAGCCGCCGAATGTTGGAATAGCTGTTTGACTGCCACCGGAGTTGAGGTTGTCGTTGCCGCCAAAGGTTTTTTTGGGGGGCCATCATGAAATCCCCACTCTGCCCCGCACTAAAAGTTGCGCCAAGCATGCCAAGGATATGCGGATCTGTACTCTTTCCCCAGATGGGACCTGACCCTGGTAAGCGGGGCAGGAGAGTTGCGACAAGGCCGAGCGTCTCACATATTGAAAAGCGATGCGCTAACAGTCACAACGCAATTGACGGCAAAAATTGCAGAATATATAATCTGTATATATCGGATGATATCAAATAAAGTATGGTCACCGCTACAGCCAATATGTGATGTATCATCCGTATTTATTTATCTCCACGATGGTTTTGGTATTGGGGAACGTTTGGCTAGGTAGACAAGACTGGTCGAGAAAACGGGACCATCAAACATGATGGTCAAACAAAAAACACTTATAGATGTCCAAACTTCGGGGAGTATTCATTTCCCCGTCACGAACTCCCATCGAGTGATCTGAGATCAATGATATCTTCATCCTCGTCCATTTCCACCTGCGGTGTCAGCTTGTTCCTCGCGCCGCCGCTTGAAGGGCCCATCTCACCGTCCCCCGCAGACGTCAGCACGGAAGCAGTCAAAGATTGATCTCTGTCTAGGTTCTTTGGCCCCCCTTCATCCTTGCGCCCAACAATGACATTGCCAGCGACCAGCAAGGCGGCGCCTACCCACCACAAAGGGGGCAGGGCCTCGGAGAAGATAACGGAGCCAAGGATGGCAGTGATGACGAAGTTGGACGATGTGTTCATAATGGAGACCTGTGTTGTCGAGTTACCCTTGGCGAGTGCAGCTGTGAAGAGTGTCCACATCTAGATTCGTGTTAGGATGTGTCTGAAGTAAGATGTGTCTTATGGATGAGGGAGGTGTAGCATTTTAATCACAATGTACATGTTCCACAAAGCTGCAGAAAGCAACATGATCCGAATGGATCAAATATGCAGGTTATAGCGGGTATGTGATGAACTTACCACACCGTTAAAGGCTAGGTTGAGAGCAAAGAAAATCTTCATCTCACAGTCAGCCATCTGCAGTGGAACGATTCGCTAAAACGATCAATCTCTAGGCCACTCACAGCTCTCACAATCAACTCAATCCATCCCTCGATGCTCTCAAAACCCAACCCACGAGCAACGCTCTTTGAAAGGGTGGCCGTGAGTTCCGTAGTGGTTCTTAACAATTTCCACATCGCCGTCAGTCTTCTGTTGGCTGCTCTTGTTGACACATCCCTGATGATAAGCAAGCAAACAACCCAGCTAAGACTCACAGCTTAGCAAAGACGCCGTTAAACGCAGCGCATGCCCCGCTTGAAATGGCAAGCAGGATCCATTGATTGCGATATGTCCAACTCACTCGGCCGGATGAGGAGAGGAAAGTTTCTGACTGGCGTTGCCTGAATTCATCGTGATGGGTGCCATATTGGTTACCAATGAACGGCCTGCTTTCCTCACTGTCGCGCCCCGCTAAGGGTGGCGAAGAGTTCATTTGGTACTGTAATCTAGACTGTGCAGTCCGCTTCTTCAGGGCTTGATTGTGCGGCTGACTGGGGGGGGGAGATGAAGATATGACAGCGGTTGGTGCTCTGCCTCTGTCTGAAAGCGGGTGGTCGGTAGACATGTTGACTGGCAAAGACACGCGCAACTTGCGCGCTTAGATTACATTATATGACCATTGACTGGGCTACCTACTGATCGGGCATTCGGCCTAAGGTGGAGCACCGAAAGAGACCCGCTGGTTTGGTGTTGCCGAGCAGGGGATACAGACCGTTGCAGCCGTGTGGATGCCAAGAGATGGGGGTCACAGTGGGTCGGCAGCTCAATAGAAACTATCAGCGATGCTAGAGCACAATTTTGTACACCAAGCAATATTTATTATGAGCGACAAAGAACAGATCAGAGCAAAGATTTGCGGATGAGAAGGCAATATAACGTGAATTCCATAAAATGTGCCCATATATTAGCCGGATGGCCTATTGTGCTTGTTCATCACACAGGGGTACCATTTTTTGGTCCCGGTATCTGGAAGTGTCTCTCAACCTTGAAAGTTTCTTTCTTGCCAGAACGCCATGACCGTAAACGCCATTCCGATCCCGCAGACTTGTTCTAGTAAGTTATGTGATATCAAAACTGAAACCAAGTCCCTTGATGAAAGAAAAACCAACGCGAGCACCACCCAACGTAAAGAGACTCAGTGCTGTATAATCACTTCCGCTCACTGCCAGCCAAACAATGTGGAAGAATTACTGCTTCTCCTCGGCACGCTTGGCGCTGCAGCTAACGATCTTGATCTTGTCGGCCTGGATGGTCTGGCCAGCATCGTTCAGCTTAAAGTGGACATTGCGAATGAGGAAGGTCCAGACTTCATCGCAGAAGCGATATGTATCGAGCGATCCCTACAATTCGGGAGAAAAACACCGACATCACGTTAGCCTTACTCGCTTTAAAACGGGTAGAGAGGTTGTCTAATAGCGTGGGCTGGAGAGCATCCCTTGAGCTAGCAGACATAACCCTCCCCCACAACAGCAGCAACACCGCAACACGAGTAGTAATCACCTTGAATGTCAGGCGCGCCTTGACCTTCTCCGAGAGAGTTTCGGCAATAACACGATCAAACTGGGAGAGAACTTTCATGGCCAACTGAGGGTCGATCTGCTCGTTTCCGATCAACTCGTCCAGCGCATCCGTAAGGGTAGCGCCAAGGCTGCGGGCCCAATGCGATGTCAGCCATCCATTCCTTTCGCAGACGTTTCACAGGTGAGGAAGAGCAAATCGGTGCATGACAAGACGAGTCCGAAGTGATGCGAAGTAATAACAATCGCGGAAAGGCAGATCGGCGCAGATGCGCCGAGTGGCAAACGACAAGCGGGCTCATAGAGGCGGGCAAACTATACCTCCCGTGACGGTAGAGATCGTAGAAATTGGTGCCGCTGGCCATTTCGAAGTTTGGAAGCTTCGCCGTAAATTACGTGCGGACGAGGGCGACGTGGGGTGGAATAAGTTACGAAATAGAGAGGCGGCAACAGAAACCAAAGTGCCGTGAGTTGCGCCAGGAGCTCGTTATGGATTGGACAAGATGCAGGTTGACGTTTGCGCGGGATTGGGGCCCGCTTATCCATATCACGTGATTAGTTTGACATATGTCTTGGCAGTTGGTGGTTGACATGCTATCGTACTGCTGGGGGCAAGCAGCAAGGCGACCAGTACATCGCTGCAGGGAGCTTTGTTGTTGGAAAACGACACCTCGTCTCGTGCGCTGCAATCCCACTCCCCGACCAATTCTACGCCGACCACGCACGATCTGTCCGAGTGCCGCGTGGAATCTAAGTCAAAGATGAGCTTAAAGTACGGAGCTGGTGGAATAGCGTCGACCCTGGCGGTCGTCGGAGCTTGTGAGCAGCGACTCCTCCCCTCTCGACGATGACGCCAAAGGTATGATGTTGCTAACGTGATTACACAGATATGCTCTTTACCGGCAGTGGAGAAACCTTCAACGTATGAACTTCCTTTACTTATTGTTAAAGCGATTCCATCAACCCCGAGTTCGCGATTTGATACTCACCACCGATCTCTAGGTCGGTGACTTTCTCGAGTCCGTCTCTCCCTATGCCTGGGCCGACTTGGGCATTGCGCTCTGTATCGGTCTATCCGTTGTAGGCGCAGCATGGTACGAATCAAACATCCTGTCATGTTACGGAGGAAGCAGTTGCAAATTCTAATACATCAACTCAATGCAGGGGCATCTTCATCACCGGCTCGTCAATCCTGGGCGGCGGCGTCAAGGCCCCACGTATCCGTACCAAGAACCTTATCTCTATCATCTTCTGTGAGGTCGTGGCCATTTACGGCGTCATCATGGCCATCGTATTCTCTGCCAAGCTGAACCCCCTGCAGGGAGAGGCTGCGTACTCGGGTGACAGCTACTACACTGGCTATGCCCTGTTCTGGGCCGGCTTGACCGTCGGCATGTGCAATCTCGTCTGTGGTGTCGCCGTTGGCATCAATGGTAGTGGTGCTGCGCTTGCCGATGCTGCCGATCCCACGCTGTACGTCCCCTTTCCGAAATGTGTAGCGAGACGGACATGGGCGTTGACCAGTATGCAGGTTTGTCAAGATCCTGGTGATCGAGATCTTCAGCTCCGTCCTTGGCCTCTTTGGGCTGATCGTTGGCTTGTTGGTTTCCAACAAGGCCCCTGAGTTTGGCACAACGGTATAATACGTCGTTCTCTAGTCTTGTCTACTTGACAAACGCGCATTTTTCCTCAAACCATCACACCACCCCTCTACCGAGACATCAGACTGCAGTAGCGAGCAGGCCTGTGTAGGTTCATGATCACCGGCGTTTTTGGGAAGACGGGCTTGGGACGGTCAGTGGGTATTGGTCGGCATTACATCTCGGGTGTAGAAGTGTTACATAGCTGTACAGAAACGAGGTTCGTCGCAACGGTCATATATTACAATATTTGGTTTCGGCTCATTTACTTGCACTCCGGTCCACGTCTGTCCACTACTGGGCGTTACTTTGGATGTTTCCCATCAGTAGTGCCTCAACTCTTGTACCCTTCTGTAGTGGCTCGGATCCAGAGGGCATGCAAAGCAGGGCGTTGGCCTGCTTCATGCTACCGACCCGTGAGCTCCTCTGGCTTCCTGTGCTGCTGGCAGTCAGCCTCCCATCGGAGCCAATAGAGACAACTGCCCGGTGATACTCCGGCCGGGCTTTGTCCAACACAAAATCATGAGCGAGCGTGACGGGGACCTTGGGCAAGCCGGGAGGTGAGACTCCTGACATATGGTGCAGCGCCGGCAAAACAAAGAGATAAAATGTCACCAACGCAGAGGCTGGGTTTCCCGGTAGTGCGAAGATGACTTTTGACACCCGCTCCCCAGCGTTGTTCTTGACCGGTACTGTCGCAAATGTCGTCGGCTTGCCGGGCTTCATATTGACTCTCCCAAAGTGGATCGTGCCGCCCAATGACCGCTCAATCGTCGGCTTAAGGAGATCCAGCTCTCCCATGGATACGCCCCCCGTGGTGATCACCACATCGACTTCCCTTAGCGCAACTCTTAACTTCTCTTCCAATGTCCTGGCCTTATCCTTCACGATGCCTAGGTCGATCACGTCATAGCCACATTGCCTGACTGCTGCCATCAACGAGGGCCGATTTATATCTCTCACCTCACCCAGCCTTAGGTCGCCCTCCTTATCATGCTCGACAATCTCGTCCCCCGTCGACAACACGCCCACCACAGGCTTCGCATACACCATGAGCTCCTTTATTCCGACACTGGCCAATAATCCGATCTCTCCTCCTCCTGAAGAAACCCTCTCTCCCTTCCTCAGTACTATCTCCCCCTTCCTCACATCACTTCCTACCTCCCTGACATTATCCCCAGCCTTAACCCCTTCCGCCAAAATGCCAACCTCCTTCTCTTCCGTCCCATCCTCAGTCTGCGCCGCAAGCACCGTATCCTCAACCATTACCACAGCATTCGCGCCGCGTGGCAGTGCCGCTCCCGTCGTGATTCGCACAACCTGACCCTCTTTCAACTCAAACTCTTCGGTCGGACTAGCATGTGACACGCCTACCACTGGCCAGACTCCCTTGAGATCAACCCCAGCCCCGGCCTCGGACTGCTCCTCGCCTGACGCTGCGTCCGGCACGACGACGGCATATCCGTCGACGATGCTCGCTCGGAAAGCGGGGACGTCCTCGGCTGCGTGCACATCCTCGGCGGCGACGTAGCCGACGAGCGAAGGGTCGACTTTGTGGAGGATGGGAGTTGGCTTGGGGACGTGCTGGGCAATGAGGCTGAGTGCGTCCGAGACGGAGAGCATGGGGTAAGGGGATGAGCGATGTCGACGGGTCGGGCCGAGGGATGGGTCGTTGGACTTGGGTTCGGTGCTGGTGCTGGTGCTGGATGCTGCGGGCGTGGGCGTGTGCCGGATGGGGGCTTGATGGCCATGAGGGCAGTGATGATGATGGTGGTGAGGGCGGGAGTGAGAGGAGTGAGTCTTAGCTTGTGGCGAAGCCATGCCGGCTTCCTGCTCCAGCTTCTTCACGCCTCCAGAATGCAAGGCCCGGGAACTAGCTCCTGCAGCCTGCAAGCAGGCATGTGGCAGGGTCTTGATAACAGCCTGGAGATTTTCTTTGGCCGCCTTAGGGGAGCCAGGCAGGGTGATGATGACCGTCTTGTTACGGACGCCGGCAACAGGCCGCGACATGACGGCAAAAGGAGTGACAGCCAACGAAGCAGCCAACATGCCGTAAACTAGGCCGGGGGCCTGCTTGTGCAGGAGTGGTATAACAGCTTCAGGAGTGTGATCCTCAACGGCAAAGCCGGTACCACCACTGGTGACTATGAGGTTCACAGGGTCGGCGTCGTCGGCCCAAAGCATGATCTGCTGTTGAATGTGGGTGACGACATCACTGACAATCTTGGCTTCGCTGACAGTCCAGCGTCCGCCACCGTCCTGGTCGAACACTTCTCGAAGAGCAGCTTCCGCGGCATCTGTCGAAGGATCCTGGGCTGCTGTCGTCGAGACAACCAATATGGCCGCTCGGAGAGATGCTGGTTTTGACAACGACATGTCGTGAAGGGCGTCTGCCTGGCAGATGTCGGTCTTCAGATATCGAGCTCGGTTCAGGCGTTTTTGACTCTAGGGCCCTAGTTCCTTGGATTCTTTGTATGTACTTTGTTAGATCTGACTTGTGGGTTTTGCTTGTTGATCCGGCTTCAACAGAGCACTACTTGAAGACGACTCTCCTTCAACGAGTAGTCTACTGCCCTGCCGTACGGTTAAAGGATGAGCTCTAGTGTCGTAGTACGGGCAGGTATGATCCTGATGATAGCGGGGCCTATCATGACAGCCCGCGAGTATCTTCCCCATTCAGCACCATTTGACCAATTGTGTCTCCTCGGAAATAGTGAGCTTGTTATGCACAGACCACCGGTGGTCCGAAATACGCGGCCGGAGCCGACCACGGCGATGCGCAAGTGTCACGGAGAACGGAAATACTCGAGTTCCTTAGCACCAGCTGACGTCGAAGGCATGTTACCAGTCTCTTGCTGATGCAGAGGTCGTAAAAGAAACATGAGATAAACGAAAACCCTCAGCTCTTGGGCACTGATCGAGATAAACAATTACACTGCAGCTGTCATATTTACCTCACTAACAGGTCGATCAAGCAAGCACCAGAATGAACGCTTGGATGTATTATAAACGAGTAGATTGGACTAACTTTTGGTTTCTGATGCTTGAGAAAAAAGACTAACAACAGAATAGAATGATTCATTTAGCGAAATGCTACATTAGCGTTTAACCCTCAAGAGGGCTTGTACGCTGTAACTGTCATTGCTTGTCAAAGTTCTATTACTGTAAGGGCTTCCATTTGTCACCGCGACGGTCCCGCCAAGCATGTGGGTTCAAATTAAGGTTATCGATAAGCCGCCAGAACATGCCCCAGACCTTTCGCTGGACAGGAGCCAAACCCGGACCGTAGAATCTCGAATGGACACACTCTCTCTCGCATTACCCATCTAACCCATGAACAAACACTATGGTGCGCCTCAAGGACCGTTACCTTTTGGTTAATATCATCTATACCGATGTGCTCCCCGGGCAGTCTAGGGCATCGGTGCCGGATGTCCTGTTATACAACCAGCCGACAACGGGCGAGCTAAGGCCACAGATGCTGGTCAAAGCTATTCGCGGCGAAGTGGCAGCGCTGTTTGGTGACTGTGGTTCTGGTGCCGTGGACCGCAGTTTACAGGGTATGAAACGAAAGCTTTTCTGCATCTATCATCGCTATATTGCTAACATTTTATGCTGACCTGCTCACAGTAAAATACCTCTCTCCCGCGACGTCGACCTTCATCCTCCGCGTCTCGCGCGCACACTACCGGCTCGTCTGGGCCGCACTGTCATTCATGAACCAAGTGCCCGTAAAGAACGGGAGGCCATGCATCTTCCGCGTCGTCCGCGTCAGTGGCACCATGCGCAAGATCGAAGAGGAGGCCGTCCGTCGCGCCAAGCTGCTCATACTCGCCGCCAAGGACGAGATGGCCAGCAAGAATGGCTCATCTTCATCGTCAGCTGACGCGCTTGGCGCGCTTCTGCGGAGCGACTCGCTGGCTTCACGCACTCTCGCTGTGCGCAGCGGTCAAGACGATTCGGGGCTGGTGTGTGGGTATGAGGATAAAGACACGTCTGGCGATGGGTGATGAGGCCAAAATGGACTCGCTGCAGTTCCAAAGGTCACTTCTTCTTTCGTACTACCTTGATGCCACTATCTGGAACAGACCGCGTCGGCGCCGACCCTGATGCTAAGGCATCGAGAATGTCGTTCCCGCCCATGGCTTCCGCCTGTGCCCGGGCTTGTTCCTCACGTAGTTTGGCCTGTTCCTCCTCTTCCTTCCTCTCCAGTTCGTCATAGAACTCCTTGTTATCGATCCACCGGTCCTGGAGATCCTGAACATCCAGCAACGACGACTCATTTCGCATAGCAACCTGCCACACAGAGTCGTTCGCTCCCTCGGCTCCAAAAACATATCCGCCGGCACGATCGATGACGCGCAAGAGATGCATCATGCTCTTTTTGTTTTCCACAGCAAGTACCTCGAAACTAACCAAACCAAATCGCTGGACCAGGTCTGCAATCGCCTGATTTAGACGGCCGAATTTTTCGCTGCGCAGCGCAGGCGACTCCTGCTCAAGCACGGGGATGAGGTAGTTCAGATCTTGTACCTCTGTGTAGAAATCGAGGTTGAATGGTAGCGGATCGTATTGGTGCAGCTTGTCGATCTTGCTAAGCACGTTGATATGTGGAAGGTCCATCTGGAGCATGGCGCGTAGGGCAAGCAGCAAGTTGGAGATGTAGAGCGACGGCTGCGTGAGACAGAAGCAGTCGGAAAGGTGAACGGAAACAAGCTTGGTTGGCAGAAGTCAGCGAAGGCACCATGAAACTGAAAACGACTGTGGTATACACACTCTGTAGCCCATCTTCTGCAACTTGTGTATGATGTTGCGCAGTGATGTGTGGTGTGTGTACAGTTCGACTTGGCCGGGGCAGTCGAACAAGATGTAGTCCTCTCCCAGCTCCTTCAGCCCGGTTTCGAGCCACTCAAAGTTGTGCTCCAATTCTTCCAGCGCATACAGAATACCTCCATTGGGGCCCAGCCTGTCGTCCGACATGATCTCCTCCAGCGTCACTAGGTCGCGGATATCGAGGGCGCAGGGGTAGCTGGTACGGTCGTTGGCAGGGTCGAGGTTGACAACAGAACATTGGCGCCCGATCGCGCCCATGAACTGATGCACTAGAATGTGATGGGTTAGAGTACCAGGACCTTGCGACAAAACAATTGTGGTGTCAAGCAGTAGGCTTACTGCCATCGCAATAGGTGCTCTTCCCCGCGCCCGGGCTACCTAGGACGAGTTGTCCGAAGGGCATGGTGTGAACGGAACCCGATCAGGTCGCTCTTGTTGTCTGTGTTTGTGTCGCGGCTTGCTTGCGAGGTATGCTGTCAAACCTTGAGGCTATCTGATACCTCTAAGTTGGATCATGGTCTAAGTGTTCGTCTTGGATTGGTGTTCTGAGAGGTTCAAGTCCATGCCCCAATACCCCGCCAAAGGTTCCATATGCGACTGTCGATGGCATGGAAAGCTGGCCCCACAGTGATCGTGGGACCTGATGTTGCCAGAGTGGGCCCACTACATTTTTGGGGGCTTAGGGCGGTGACATGCGGCAGAACCCCACCGTTGTTTACTACGTACCGCCTGCTGTGCCTGGAGACGAGAGCTTGGCTGTGGCAACGGTGCATTTGCTTGTCGTGCTGATTGCAGATTGACGTTTCCCGCTGAGCAGAGGGGAGTCGCGACAGGTCCCAGATCACGAAGCCGCCGCGCTCCGTCTTCTTCACACACCCTCTTCGATACTATGGCTCCAGGTGCGCATTCCTTATGAAAAACCAAGAGTGCCATTGAACGCAAATAGCTGACTAGACACCCTTTAGCAACGCAATTTGAGGTGGCACAGCCCCCGAACGATGCCATCTCGGCCATCGACTTCGCCCCGGAAGCACCCCGGTTTCTCGTCTCGTCCTGGGACAAGAATGTCTATCTCTACGAGATTGCCAGCGGCTCTGAGCAGGCGACTTTGATCAATGCCTTCGAGCATCGCGCGCCAGTTTTATCCGTCTGCTTCGGCGCCAACCAAGATGAAGCCTTCACCGCGGGCATGGACCGCCAGGTTAAGAAGCTCAACCTAGTGACGGGCGAGCAGACGGTTCTGAGCAAGCACTCGGAGCCTGTTCGCTGTGTGGTATACAGCTCAGAACACTGTGAGTCTTGGTTTTCCTCTCTCTTCATTACATACCATCAGTACCAAACTTAGTTTTTAACCCAACCTCCAGCCCTCCTCATCTCCGCCTCCTGGGACAGCACCCTTCATGTCCACAATGCCGCCAACCTTTCCCAGCCGCACATCACCATCCCTCTGCCAGGCAAGCCACATGCCCTAGCCGCCAGCCGCACCAAGCTCGTTGTCGCCATGACCGCTCGCCTGGTGCATATCTACGACCTGCCGACGCTATTGAGCGCGGTGCGCAGCAACACCCAGACCCCTCCTCAACCCTGGCAACAGCGCGAGTCTTCTCTCAAGTTCCTCACCCGCGCAGTGGCATGCATGCCCAACGACGCCGGGTACGCGACCTCGAGCATCGAGGGCCGTGTCGCCGTGGAATGGTTCGACGACAGTGCCGAATCACAGGCACGCAAGTACGCCTTCAAGTGCCACCGGCAAGCGGCTCCAGAGGCGGAAGGCGGCGGGGATATAGTGTATCCTGTGAATGCGCTAGCGTTCCATCCCATTTACGGGACATTCGCCTCTGGAGGTGGCGACGGCACTGTTGCACTGTGGGATGCTGAGGCCAAGCGCCGCATGCGTCAGTACCAGCGCTTCCCGGACAGCGTGGCTGCTCTGGCGTTTTCACGCGACGGGCGGTATCTGGCCATCGGCGTTTGTCCTGGCTTTGAGACCGGAATGGAAGACTACAGCGGCGAGGGGAGAACGAAGGTATTTGTACGTGAGCTTGGTGAAACTGAGGCCAAAGGTAAGGGCGCGAAATAAGTAGAGTGGGAGTGTAACGTTATGCTCTAGATCATTTATCGTTTTATCTCGGTTCTTCGTGTATGGGATATAAAAAGAGCTGGTTGGGAATGCCCGCACTTGGTGTTCTAATGGCGTTACTGGATGGAAACTCTATACTTCGGGCCTGCTCTCTGCAGTCGTATGAATGTCAAACGAGGGTATGGTGGTTGGGGAGAGTATATGACCAGCTGTAAACAGTTGTGTCTCGTTTCTAGCTACCTAATAATAAATGGGAAGCGACATGATGATCAAGCTCAGCTGATCCCCGACAAAGCAAAACGATGCCTTTTGACTCGGCAGATTCCCCCCCCCCCTTCCCTTGTGACACTGCTTATTCACCAGTACTGTTTTCCATATGTGGACCTCAAATACCAAACTCAAAGTAAAGCAAGCCGAAATCCGTAAAGTCGAAGATGAACGGCAGGCCTCAACGACTATGAACCCGTCGAAACGGCCTTTTCCTGTCCTGCGATATCACAAACCCACAATCGTTCTGTTTCTTGAGCTTTGCTTCGCAATCAGGGGCAGACGACGCGGCTCTCCCCTCGTGGTGATACCTCCATGGCGGCGATTCTGAGATACGCGTCTCGCAGCTGCCTGGCTCCTTTGCGCCAGCAATGAACGTCTCGTGCTGCGCACCATTGCAGCTCCTGAGTTTTTGTTGCTCTTCAGAGGCGTTCTTAACTTGTTGATCAAGCTGTCCTTCAGCAAGACCATTATCTGATATTGGTGCAGGCGAGCACCTCTCTTGTTTTACCTCCTGCTCTGTCGTTCCTTGTTTATTCGACAAGCGCCGTCGAGGTTTCTTGTTGGGCAAGGGAAGAAAAGAGTTATCAAAAACTACCCTTCGTGCTTTGCGTTTGGGCTTGCTGGGAGGTTCTGACTGAGCAAGGTCAAGTTCACCCAGGTAAAAGCTGAAACTAGACAGCTTGCCATTCCTGGTTAAGCGGTTCATCCCGCTTGGCTTGGCCTCACGTTCAGAAAACCCGTCTCCGGCGTGGTAGGGAGAAGCATTTGCGTTTGTGGAGTAGGAGTTATACTTAAGCTTTTTGTAGCTATTTGGGTGTCCTTTGTCGAAAATTAAGAACGGACGACGTCGAATACTCCTTGTTAGATCCGGTGCCGGCCTTACATTCCGAGAAATCTGCTTGAGAGCTTGTCTGATGGGTACCCTAGGAGACTCGTCTTCTTCATCTTCCTCAATCTCGATAACCTCGTACTCTTGGACGCTGTCAGAATCATCGGGAGGTCTAGGTGGTGTTAAACGGGATGTGACTATGGTTCACGATTAGCATTCTGCTGGCCCTAGAGGTGACCAAGCTAAGTCATACTCTCGTCCTTCTCATCCATATAGTTTTCGATGGAACGGAGAGGGCGGTCTTCAAGTAAGTTATTGCTGATGCTGCCTCGGCTAGCACAAGCGTCGACGGACAGTGACTGTTCACGCCGTTCTATCGTGAGATCAGGATGCTCAATTTGGAACACTCTGAGTCTGGGCCCTTGGTCTTTTTGAAGGAAAGTTGGACGGCTTCAATGCTGGGAGGAGTTGTCTATTGTCCTTCTTTTTGTGAGAATAGGTCCGCAGCGGTTTGTTTTGGGAAGCAAAGGAAAAACTGGTTTTGTCCTTCGACATCATCGTTTGGTGACATGGTTATAATGCCTCCCTAAGCCGCTTCAATTCGTACCCGAGATATGAATCACAGGCAGCGTCTCTAAATCCTTTCCCCAAGGCCGTTGCTAACCACAGTAGAACTCCAGTATGGTACGAAAGTGACCACCGCAGCCTTGTCCAGTTCGTGCAAAACTCTAAGGTCGCTCGTTGGGAAGTTCGGTCTAGATCCAGTTCACTTGGGGTTTCAGGTTGCTTGCAGTGGTCACATGGTCATTTCCCATCCCGAAAGGTACGGAAAGTGGAAAGAGTGTTGTAAATGTTCAGGGAAGGCACGCCGCGGAGACTTCATTTCTGCCTTGTACCTTAGGTTTTCGAAAATATGAGAGATCTTAAGCAGCTGTCTGCAATTAAGCCAAGTTCTTTTAGCCGGTTCCTTGACTGGAATGCTGTTTCAAACCTTGGATAACATCACAGGCTGGAGGTTTGAACTTGTTGCTTATGATTGTCCACCAAGTGACCACATCTTGACACTATACTTGTTGAGGGCAATTCATAACTGTTGTGTGAGGACAACCCCTAGTTGGTAGTATTCTGTGTCGTTTATCAACCCTGAGTATCTGTCAACACCAGCACCAGCGGGCCAATTCGAGTTGCCCCTTTCGGGTATCTGTCGAGCTCCCATTGGCCTGATCTGTAGTCGGGCCGTTTTTCCTTACGGCCCCATAGCGGCTCGGCACCGACCAAGTATGGCGCCTTGTGTTGCAAGGGAGTGTTGGACCAGGGACAGAGAATAGGGGCACTGACGAAAAGACTCTGTGAAGGGGGCAGAAAGGGGCTTTCATGGGACACTATCACGTCACAACATCACAGGATATGAGGATGACCGGTCAATCGGTCAGTCAGCAAAATGAGGAAGAGGTACTTTCTTTCCACAGATTCTAACTGGAAGATTCCAAACCAAAAAGACCAGTAAAACATTCACACATGCCTTCCCAGTCATACCTCTCAGCTCATACACTTCGTACAGCCCTTAGGCAACGAAATTATACATAACCAGACATGACCTGCAACCCCCCTCCAGGGGGGTCTCGGGCTCTGCCCTATTTCCCCTGCTATGTTATAGTATTTCCGGCTCTTCGGCATACTTAACAAGTCCAGACGCCAACCATGCCGTCCCGTCTGCCTTCAATCATGTACCCATCGCGGATACGCACACGCTCCACGATTGCCGGGGTCCTACCGTCCTCCGTGTCGGTGACTCCCGCGCCGCAGTCCCAGTGACGGCCTTCGACCTTGTCGTAGACCTTGACCACGTCCTCGCCAGCGGCGCAGACGATGCGCCGGGCGTCAAACATCATGCTGGTGATGGGATGGTCGTACGCATAAGCGTCGAAAATTGACCCTGTGCGGAGATCCCAGATCTGCTCGCCCTGTTAGCACTGTATCGCTCCAACCAGAGGGAACTTTAAAAAAAAGGAAAAGGGGAAAAGGGGGGAGGGGGAACAGATGAGAGGTGAACGAAGTAAGATGCTTACCCGGATGCTCCTATCCAAGCTACCCGTCACCAGATGCACATCGTCGAACTGCAGACACGTCACTGGGCCAGTGTGCCCAACCAGGCTGCGATGCACCTGTCCACTGCGAAGATCCCACAGCCGGACCATGCCATCGGCAGTACCACACGCGAGCGCCGATTCAAACACCTGAAGGGCGCCGACAAAGTCTGCCGACGCATCGTGCGGGCGGCTTGTGTGCCGCCACGTGTCGACCGTGGCCGACAACGCTGACGCCTGGGCGGCGGCCCACATAACGTCCAGCGTCTGCACACACCGGCCCCGCTCCAGATCCCACTGGCGCAGCGTCTTATCGGCTGATCCGGAAACGAGCACGTCGCCACGGAAGTGCAGCGCCGTGATCTCATCCAGGTGCGCCTGCAGCGTGTAGAGCGGGCAGTCAGCCATGCTACCCGGCGGCGGCTCGACCGGCTGGTCATCCGGGTTCTCGAACGCGATCGCCGCATCATCGTCATCCTCATCGGCCTTGCCAAACTCGCTGCCCTGCGGGTCGTAGTGTGCCTTGCTAAGGTCCCAGAGCCGGATTGTGGCATCCATAGAACCTGTCGCAAGGATGTTATCCTCGACCTGCAGAGCCCGCACCGAGGCAGTGTGGCCTTCCAGCACGCCGATACAGCGGCCCGCGTTCAAATCCCAGACACGAACCGAATCGTCCATCGCCGCAGAAACCATCAAGCCAAAGGGCGCGTCGAAGTCAAGAGCCGTGATGATGTCATGGTGTGCCCGCATCGTGCGAATCGAGGTTCCTGGCTTGAAATGCTCGTGGAGGATTGCCGTGGCCTTGCGGCGGATACTCCGTGGCTTCCGCTTGTTCTGAACCGCCGGCAGCTTCTCATAGATGGATTGCGACATAAACCCAGGAGCAGAGTCCGTCTGTGATGATCCATCTTCATCCGACTTGGTCGGTGTGCGCATCGCAACAGACTCAGCCTCGGCTGCCATCTCCTGCGCCTCCTCAATCTTGTTTTCGAGCTCAACGACTGTTCGTTCACGTTAGACATCATCTCACATCCTCAGGGGGTAAAAATAAAGAGGGCTCGCAGTCACAAAGAAGGCCCGAAGATACTTACTCTCATGCTCAAGTAATGCCTCGTCCTTTTCCAAGTTCGCGAGCCGGTCAAGGACAATTTGACGCATGCCCTTCAGATTCTCTATCTTGGCATCAATCTCGCGGATCTCGCAGCTTGCCATGTTCTTCCGGATGCTAAGCAGCTCTAGCTGGTGCGCCAGGGCCGCCTTATCTTTCCGCAGCTTTTGGAGGGCCTCAGGGGTGCCTTCAGGAGGGGAGGGCCCGTCATCAAGCAGCTTTCTCCCGCGGGAAACTCGCCGCATGTGTTTCTTGCCCTCCTCAGTGAACTCTGGAAAGCTGGCCTGGAAGCCCTGGAACAACGAGTACTGATGGTTGCTCTCAGGGATGTTCTTGAGCAGCTCATCCGGAAGGTAGGACAGCGCACGGGACTGGATCTCCTTCGTCGATAGCCGCGAGCGCACAAGGTCGGTGGGTGTCGTGCGGGCAGCGGCAAATATGCTGCGCTGCACATCAGGCTTGCGCAGATGCTTGGTGACCTCACTCATGGCGCTCTTATACTGGCGATTCGAGGTCGGGTCTCGGGTAGTAGAGATCAGCTGGCTGGCCGTGGAGGTTACTTTGCGGCCAAAGGCCTCGAGTCCCCTTGTCTGCATGGTGTGCTCCTGTGGTTAGCGCCACTGGTCTCGTTGGTGGAAGAATTTCGGACTCTGGTGGTGTTCAATGGCAATTGAAGAGGTTTGGTCACCGGCTCGAGCAGGCTCAGCCGGGGAGCAGGCGGGGGAGCCGAGGGAGGGAGTGCCGCTCACAGATATAATGGAGGAATCGTCGTCGAACGACGACGGGTCGGGGAACTCATTCTCGTGCCCCGAATCGGCCATGCGTCGGGTTGCCCAAAGGAGAGACAACAGCAGACAAACGACTTTGCCTCTTCCTTTGGCGCAAGCTCAACGACGGGGACGCGTCCGTTGGGCTGCACTCAAGCGCCTCGGTACGGGAGCTAGCAAGTACGTCGGGCAGAGAAAGATACACTCAAGCCTGCGCCGCTGAAGTTTCAAGAGTCTGGCGGGACCTTGATTCGTTGACGTGTGCTGCTTTCATGCGGGATTGGATGCGGCCAGCTTTGCCAACGTTGAGAGCAGCCCCTCGGAAGATGGACAACACAGTGGGTGTTGATGCGGCACAAAATTGTTTTGGCCGGCAATTCATGCGACAACGCACAGCGCTCGCCGCCAACCACAGCTGACCGCCGGGGGGGGGGGCTGCTGGGGCCCTGGCCCGGCCCTCCAGAAGTCCAGCGTGTGTGTGCGCCGCTCTGGGCACCGGGCTGGTGTGGGCTGGGTCGGTTGGGGGCGTGTGTGCTCCACCCTTGAGGGGTCCCAGGCTTGTGGGCTCTGGAACAGAGGGAATTGCTGGCTGGTGTGCAGGACGACCCGGCTTCCCATTGGCTGTGATCGACCGTAGCCGATGTGCCAAGCACCGAGACTCGGGATTGTGGGCGTCTGCCACTGCGTCACTGGGGCTCGCTGCCAGTGATTTCCGCGACTTGTTCTCGCATCTTTGCAGGTGCGATCTCCGGTTCGGACCCGGATCCCAACCGCCCGCTTCCAACGACGCGGGGAGTGTGAGGTCTTGGTCTTGCATGACGGATTGATGAGCACGGATACAAGGCCCTGGGGCCTAGAAATTTCCATACCCATACCCTGCTGCGAGCTCCGATGATGCTGGTCGTCTGAAAGCAAAGTCCTAAAATTGAATTTCTATCTGCAAACCACACCTGTGCACGGAGCGCGCTGCGCAGCACGGATTACGGCTGTACACTGGGGATACGGATATCGTCATACCTAAGTACCTCTTAGCAGCTTGACCACCATCTATCGCAGCCATGGATTCGCTCATAGACCTCTCCGACCCGTCCAAAGCGTTGGATCTGGCGCGCATCCGCTACCAGTTAATGTGAGTACTTTACTTGTTCAATCGCAAGAGATCATGGCCGCCCAAGTAAGTCGAACACGCAAAGACTCACTCACATCCTTCGTGGAAAATAGCCGGCTGGAGGACACCATCACCTTCCATCTCATTGAGCGTGTGCAGTTCCCGCTCAACCAGAATATCTACATCCCTGGCGCCGTGCCAATTCCGGATAGCAACCTGAGCTTCATGGACTGGTATCTGAGGGAACAGGAGAAGCTGCAGTCGCTGATCCGTCGTTACGAGTCGCCCGACGAGTTCCCTTTCTTCCCGGACGCCGTGCAGAAGCCCATCCTGCCGTCGCTCCACTACCCGCGTATCCTGCACCCTAACAGCATCAACGTCAACGACAAGATCAAAAAATTCTACATCGAGCAGTTCCTGCCCAGCGTGTGCCCCGATTATGGGCACGGAGACCGCGGTGTCTCGCAGGAGAACTACGGCTCATCGGCCACGTGCGATATCGCCTGCCTGCAGGCCCTGTCGCGCCGCATCCACTTCGGCAAGTTTGTCGCCGAGTCCAAGTTCCAGTCGGATCCGGAGAAGTTTACCCGCCTGATCCGCGCCGGCGACCGCGAGGGCATCGCCGATGCCATCACCAACAAGGAGGTCGAGAAGAAAGTACTGGAAAGACTACGACTCAAGGTGCAGACGTATGGCACAGATCCGTCGCTGGGACCGAACGCCTGGAACCAGGGCAAGATCAACGTGGATGCCGTCGTGTCTATGTATGAGAACTTTGTCATTCCCCTGACAAAAGAGGTCGAGGTCGAGTACCTTATGCAGAGGCTGGACCCCGTGCCGAACCAATGATAAGACGCATGATTTTGTCTTGTTTGTTGTGTGATTCTTTCTCACCTCTCTTCCTATGTGGCTGTCCCGACAAACTCGGTGATAGCCTGTACGGCACGCTGAATTTTGTTCGCCTCAATCAGCATCATGAACCCACACGGCTTGATGCCCGCCTCCTGGAAGGCCCGCTTGCTGTCTGATACGAACTCGTTCTCCTTGATGTAGGAGTACGTGCCCGACGCGAGGGCATGTTTTCGCATCTCTTCGTCCTCAGGATGGAAGTACTGTAGCTCCGCCTCAGCACGCCCCTTTTTCTTCTTACGCACCGTCTGATCCAGCGTTGACTCGACCTCATGGTATGTCCGTGACACCACCAGATAATGTGTGAACTCGTACGGCTCCTTGTCCTCCACCGCTGCTTCAATCTCCTCAATCATGAACCTCCACATGGGCGGAATCACCTCGGCCGGCATGTTGATCAACCTCTCCGACAACACCAACCCGACGTGCTTGCCCGATGCCAGCAGCTCCGGGACTGTACCTGCTAGATCTTGGTTTGTTTTGGCCCTCTCGCTCAGATATTCGATCAATTGAGCGATCGGCTTCTTGGAACGGTGTTCCTGCATATTGAGCACGGTAATAAAGGCGTAGGCATCGTTTTCCTTGCCATCTACTTTGCAAGTTGACCCAATCGTATTTTGTGTGATGATCATGTCGCTCAGCCCAGAGAGATCGAACAGTTGGGCGTCGGCATCAAATAGTTGCCTGAGAAGAGTCTTGACGCCATGGAAGTCGATCTCGGGGTCATAGTTGAAGAGCTCGAAGTCAACATTGACAATGTTCATATCCTGGACAGCAATGGTGAGTCAGGCTGCTATAGAATGCGCGTAAGATGTGCCTGGTGTCCTTGCTTACCTCGTCAGAACTCTCATCATCATCCGAGTCGGAGCTTGCATCCCTCTTCTCGACGATTGGTTCCTCCATGGGGGTATCCCCCTGGGCGTCAACTTCTCTTGAACGTTTCTTGCCCATTTCAAAAACAAGCTCGTGTCACAAACAGATTAAAGTCAAGTGGTATCGATGCAAATGTTGATTCTAAACCAATGTTTCCGCCGAGGACTTGAACGTGAGCCAACGTCAGTCACTGTGGGGACCTTGACGACTGGCATCGAAAATTTTGCCCCTCCACAAAGCTCTCTTGCATCCGAATGTTCGGTGCCCCACCATCTGGCCTAAGAAGGTCTTGCACAAACACACAGGAGATCCTTGATACCGATAAACCATATGAATTCTCTTTAATATTGAATTTTTTCAGTAAAAAGTTTAGGGTATATTTATTTTCCAAACTCTGAGGTATATCATTAATCTTTCATTTTGTATATCTAACAGAAGGTAGTTTGATTGCAATTTCGGTTTCTGTAAGTACTTTGATACCGTTAAGGCATCGTGTGGGAGACCTGCGTCGATAAGATACGCAGATAAGATAATCCTACCGAGATGAGGCGTTTGGGCAGCCACTTGCAATGTTCGGTCTTCGCCCATCAGCATCTTACGCCGAAACAACGATCTCTCTAATCCAGAACATACATCGCCCTTAAAATCTTATCCTGGAGAGCCTTAGGTCTCAGTCTTCTAGTGCCTTAGCTCCTGCCCTAACTGAACGTTCATGCCTAATGTTCGGCCACCGAGTCTTGACGGATGGAGTCTTTGCAACCAACCCAGACGCTCAAGCAGAGCATGCCAACAATGTGCTCTCAAGAATCTCAAGGAATGTTATGGTTATTATCCATGACATCGAAAAAAGATTGAAAACAGTTTTTTCACAGCTTATCACTGATGCTTATATTTTTAATTCAAGATTCGGTGTTACTCTTTTTCACTCGCTGTTAATAGGCAACAAAGTGTGTGCGTGCAAGAGTTTTTCAGTAGTCAAGAAAGCATGCCTGTCAACATTTAAATGCAGAGATATCCAAATATCTGGAAGGCTGCCTGCCCATTAATCCTTTCAGCAAGCAGCACCATGCTGCCAACAATTCTATGATTGATCAAGCCGTTCTCATAAATGCTGCTGTGATCCTCTTTCATCCTCTCTACTGAATTCTTTACGATAGCTATCCTACAATCTACATAAGTACCTTTTACCGATTCTACCCCACCTGGCCGCAGGTAAAGATGCCATACTCGTAGCGTAAGGCACTTTTCGCTTTTGCGATGTGGAATTTATGGAGCTCCTCAAACAATCATCAGCCTTATTCTTCCCCAAGAAGGACTAATAAAACCGTCGCTGAAACTCGAATGTTCGCTGCGCCAGATGCGGGAAGCAGCTCGCATTTCGACAACCCCTCTTGATCCAGGCCTTACAAACGCAGCAACAGCACAACACTGCGGTGATGTTGATGTTGATGAGCTCTTTCGGTGTCAGAGTTACACTGCAGAGAGGGGAAGAGTGATGTCACGGAAAACGTACAGACCAAGACGCAAGCATCTTTCACAGCACAACGGACGCCCAGTGACAAGATGGGCTTGATATGAGCTCGTCAGCTAAATTACAATCTCTCCACGATGGTGGAGGAACTTGTTGTTTTATCTGACATCTTGTGTTTACTACCATTATGGCTGGATGCTCACTGAGACTCCATGGATACTGGGTCTAGAAGAGTCTTTATGTTATCTGCCTATTCTGGCTCTACAGTTTTTACTATCTGCTGTCCAAGTAGTCAATATTAGCTCTGTCCTTGTGGTTCTTATTGCCACGATAAGTTCCCGGCTTCTAATCCCTGCATCAATTGAACCATATGTTTGGCTAACTGTCACGACTAACAAAGACTCTATCTGGGAGAGTAGTTTCCGTGAAACTCACTGATCGGAGTAAAAGGTAGCTGTGGCTGGGCTCAAACCATCTGTCTTACACGGATGTACGAGCCTGGAAAGATATCCATGGGATCTTCTATCCTACGTCTTCCTCATCGTCCTCATCAACTGGTGCAACCTCGGCTGATCCTACCAGCACTGGTGATGACTCCGCCAGTTTGGCTTCTGCTTCTGCTACTTCACAACCTGACGAGGGGCGTGATGCTCCAAAGAGTGATATCTTTACCAAGAAGTGGACGCCCTACTGTTTGGAGAACCCCAAGAGTCCTGCTTGTTATAGCCATTTTCCCGGTAAAGAAGATATTTCGAGCATTCTCACTGCTCCACGGGGTGAGCACATCAAGTTAAGAAAGACCCTAGTTGTGGACTTCAGTGACTGTGCTATGAGAGAACACGAGAAGGTGATCAAGGGGTACGTGGACGTTCTTATCCGAAGCTGAACCAGAGAGCAAGAGAAAGTGCTGAGGGGAAAGCTGAGTTGGGAGATTGGTTTGCTTGGACCACATTTGGTATCTCCAGAGATCTGGTTTTTGCTAAGTCCTTATATACTCTGAAAGATGGCGGCAGACACCCATTTGTGAAGATGACTCATAAAATTGTCGAGCAAGGTGGGCTGCTGGTTGGTTTGCGTTACTTGGGCGTTACCGCGTCAAAGATGCCTGGAACCTGCTCCACGCGGTGATATCCTGGTGAGCCAAATCCGCTGTGAGTAAGCTGGATAATGCCATGAAGCGAAAGCTTGCACATCGTCTTACTACCAAGGAGGAAAGGCAGGATCTCTTCCAAGGTCTCATCGACAAATCTAATCATTGGTTGAGGAAACATGATGCCCCTTGGATCTTTGTGTTCATTGCTCACGAAACTGGACATGGATAGAATCTCAGCATGGATGCGTTGAAAGCAACAGCAGGCTTATTGATTGTGGCGGGATCCGAAACTGCCGGGATGGTCGTGACTGGGCTTACCTCCTTGTTGCTTGAGCACTCGGAACACATGGAAAAGGTAAAGCAGGAGGTTCGAAGCGCATTCAAAGGCCATGACGACGTTACCGTTGCTTCCGTCGGCCGACTGCAGTATCTTACTGCTTGCATCAGAGAAGCCCTCCCTCGGTGCCCACCAATCCCCAGAAACATTGGGCATCAGGTCCGCAGAGGTGGCCAAGTCATTGCTGGGAAGCTTGTTCCCGAAGATGTAAGGAACACGATATACTTATGATCCTCTGAAAAGAGTATCTGAGTGCTGGTTTCAGGCTGATATCTTGATCATAGACCCTTGTTGAGGTCCAACAGTTTGCCATGCACAATTGGTCAGGGCACTGGAACGACCCATTCGCTTTTTTGCCAGAGAGATTCTTGAATAAGTAAGAAGATATAGAGCAGATTCAAGAGCAAAGTTCTGAAGGAAGACAAGATTGTCTGGAAGCTTGTCAAGCGTTCAGCGCCGAACGTAGGGATTGCATTGAAAGAGGGTAGGTAGTTTTGGCTTATCGGTTTGAGCACTCCGCGAGCTGACCTCGGCTATCCAACAGTCTCGCAATGGCCATGATGCGTTTGATCATGGCCAGGCTGATCCTCGAGTTTGATATGACGTTAGCAGAGAAAAGCAAAGGCTGGATCAACAAGTTGTGAAAAGGCTACTCTATGTTCATCTTAAGCCTGTTCAAGGATAGCGCGATGGAGCTGCCCTCGTTGTCATGCTGAGAGTACAGTTAACAACATAAAGGAAACACTGACTGTCTGACTTTGACGAGGCTTAGTGGGTCCTTATCTTCACTTTTCTAATGCCCTGACGTACCTCCACGAGATTCTAGAGAAATTTTTCGTTCATCTCTCTCTCGTATTGAGAGTAGACGCTTATTTCATGCCACCACGGAATACCTAGTTCGCAGGAGCTGCTCAGTGATAGCACTATCGACGGAAACCCAAACCTTGACTGATCTGACTCATGCAATACGTCAAGTTGCCCTCCCAGGACCTACCTGAGCGACGGCAGACCGTAGGGAGCAGTTGTGCTACATTATTATCTTCCACAAGGTATTGATCAGGGACCTCAAGCCTATCTTAGATGAACTAAGTGAGCATATTGTGTAAATATCAAAGGACTCGATTCCTTGGCATTGAGTACGACCGTTAAGCTAGAAATTGACACCTTGAAGGCCGACTTTCTCGATCCCGATTGGACAATTGACTGATCTGACTGAATACAACCCTCGACAGTGAAGTCCGGCGCAGGGGCGAATAATATACGCTCAAACAGTTCGAAGCCAACCGCGCAGCCATCACTGCGAGCCATGGCAGGACGCTGATCGCCGCGGAAGAGTACAACACGAAAGGTTCGCTCGAATCAGAGCTACGCTTCAATCAGGTATGGCTTCCCAGAGACGACAGTATATTCCTATAGCCAATTCGGTGCCTCATATACCATCCGTAGCATTCACTTAGTCCAGATCATTTTCATCCCCGCGCAATGTCTGATGATCCTATGTCAAAGCAATAGTTCTTGCGCCAATACTGCCTGCTTAGATGAGAAGCGCCTGGCAAATTGATCTGAGAACAATCAGACCTCCTCAGCACCCCAGCCAGCGTCAGCCTCCCTCATGTTCGCCGGAGGCTCAATGGAGGGGATGAATTCGAGGGCGACGTAGCCAAGGCCGATCAGGCCGATGATGGAGCCAGCAATGATCCTCAGTGTGTGATCATGGAGCAAAATAGTGCCAACAAAAATGTAAACTGTTGACGGACACACAAGGTTATTTTGGTTAGGAAAATATTGGCGGCTTAATAAAAAAAACCAGAACACTTACAGAAGCCGCGACCAATGAAGGAGAAGAGGAAGGAAGCATAGCGAGACACCTGTGGCGGGACTTGATACTCTAAAGATCAGTGTTAGTGAGTGACTCCGATTAGATCTCCTTAAGCGGGGGGCCGAGCTGGCTTTTGAAATAGGAGGTTCATACCAAGCAGGGCAGTTGCTACAGAGTATGTTAGCCAACATCGTTCTCTTGTTCATAGCAACCAAGCATTGTGAACTCACCCAAGCCGAAAACAATCACGTAAATGCCAATGATGGTGGATTGACTAAATGGCAACGTCAGCACCTAGTCCAACATGTCCAAACTTCCAACGGATAGGATAAGAAATGGAAGAGGCGAAAAGGAATAAGGTGACGACACATACAAGGTAAGGGGGAAGAACTGCGAAATACCACCAAGGACCATCAAAGTGGCCACGGCGAGGTTGACAAGACGACTGTAATTGAAATGTCAGTTCCGAGGACTCTTCAAAACAAAAAATCTGCGGCACGGAGAGTTAAAGACGCCTGAGGTTGCGCTTGCACGAACGACGCAATGGAACCGAGGCGAAACCATGGTTAACCATACAAACTATCTGAGAAATCCATGGTGAACAGCTTGAGAGTTCTGGGAGTTGGCTGGCAAGACTTGACGCAATGGGGATGCAGGTTGGTAAAGCGCTGGCACTCGGCAGACCCAACCACCAGGATACCGAGGAACGTTGACAAAAAAACAAAAGAAGTCCTCGGCAGAGAGAGACAAATTCGATCGACACCTAATAGGAGGGTCGAACTTCGCTCGTTAATATCAAAACCTGCCCTGTATGTCGGGATGATAGTTGTCGTGGGAGATGAGAGGCAGGCAGGCTTGTGTTCCAAGGGTGATGAGAGCACCTAGTACGAAGCAGCGTGCGCGTCAAACCCCCAAAAACGTCAGAAGCTCGGGCCTCTCGGGTCCAGTCAAGCCAGTGCAGCTCTGCCTGTCGCTTCTGCTCTTCCCAAAGCTTCTGCTCTTCCCAAACCGGGGGCCGGGATCCACCTCGCCAAGCATCAGAGGAGCCCTTGGATCAGGACAACAGTCTTGGCGGGCTGAGAACGCTCGTCCCGGTCTTCGCGGATTTTGAAAGGCACACGTAACCCCGAAGGGATGTTACACAACTCAGAGCGAGTTAAAGCCACCATTGCACGAGTATGTAGACACTTAGGTAGATAGATAGGTAGGTACTTAGGTAGTTACTCCATGTAGGATTTGAATCTACGGATAGCCTCCCAACGTCCTGTTAAGCATATTAAATCCTCCCAAAACAACACCGCAGCAATAGACAGGATCCCGTACCTATCACGTACACTGATGATTGAAGGCCCATGTATCGACGTCCGTTTACACGCCCGCTATTTCCCATTCCCAGATGCTCCCGGCACAAGGATCAGTTTCCCAGACTCTGGTATATATATAGTCTCCAAACACTGGCTCCGGACTCCAAAACGTTAAAAACGCAGAAAAAAAACCCAACTATCAAACGCCAATTCTAGCACTTAATCCATTAACGCCGCAAGTTCTCTTTCCTTCTCAGCTAGCAATTCTCTCATTTGCCTGGTTTCCATTTCAAGCCTTGCCCGTCTCTCGGCCTTTAGCCTTTCCGCTTCACTAACATAGTCCCGGGGCGGAGGAAGCACGGGAGGAACAGGAGCCGAGGTCACTGAAATCCCCGGCGATGGGAGACGCTGGATAGGGGGCAGTGTCGGAGGCGGTGATCCTGAACTGTCTTCGGCTCTCGGTGTTGGTGCTGCGGGGTTCAAGATTGAGTTAATAGATGACAGACGCTTGGTGTGTTCGGCGGTGTCGTTTTGGCTGGGTTCCATCTCAGCAGCAGAAAAGGAACGTTTTCGAGACGGCGAGAGAAACGTTGAAGGCGACAGTGACGACTGCCGGCCAGCATCTGTCATTGCGATCGAGGTCAGCGGCGCAAGCCGATTCTCGTCGGTCAGTGACTCGGGCATGTGGCTAGGTTGGCTGGAGCACAAAGAGTGATACTGGCCCGGATCGCTGACTGACACAGGAGACGTCTGGCGATTCTGTCTCAAAACAGATTCGGGAACTAATGACAACGAAGGTTGCATTTGTCTAGGTCGGACCCCAAGGTTTACCGAGCCATCAGGGTTTACGCTTCCCCTTTCTTTAGGAGCTTCTGGCTCAGACAATGGCGACTCTGCACGTTCACTTCCTGCAGTTTCGCTGTCATGGGCACCAGGTGCAGGTATTACCCGTTTTCTCCGCTTGATGATGGATTTCTTCATGGTAACTGGTCTGTGGACACCATGAAGTTTATAATACAGACCTATTGCAAGAGTTAGCAGCCAGCTCCTATTCTCCGCGACCAGCAGAGGACTTACCACAAGCGTTGCAGATGGTATGGCCAGCCTCATCTCTCCGCCAGAGGGGAGTTACTGTCGTGCCGCAATTTTGGCAAGCTATAACAACAGTGGCATTTGCACCCTGAAGCTGCAATGCAGCAACATCAATTGGCGTGGGTCCATCTGAGACATTGGACTTCGAGGTGCATTTCAGCATGCCTAAGCTCGCGGCCTTCGAAATTCGGTTATTGTATGCCGGGCAGCCACTGCAGCCTTCTGCGCCGCCGGTTCCATTGCATTTCCCTCCGCCGGGGCAAGTTCCCGAAGCTGCTTGATCCGCCGCAACATAGGTTGCTGCTGGGCCGTTAGGCAACAAAGGAACATGTCCCTTTGGCGAGAGCCTAACCGGTGACTGCCGGGCACCACTGGCGGTAACACTTGGGGGGCGCTTCAGGTTGATGGGGCGTGCCGCATTTCTCGCTTTCAGATACAGTCCGCAAGCATTGCAAATAGTTGCGCCCTGTGGGGATCTCCGCCACAACGGAGTGCGAGTTGTGCCACAGTTACTAAGTGCAAGTCAGAATCAAGGTCACTGTCATCATGCTGGATATTGAACATCAACATCGCAGTTACACACCTGCAGACTTGGCCGGTATATTCCTGAGATGAACTAGACTCCTTCTTTGCTTGAGCCGATGGACTTCCCGCCTTGGACTGCACGGGGCTTGGAGGGCCAGACGAAACGACAGAGGCGCGTGTTAACGTTGGCGAAGGCCCGACTTCTGACCTCGCTTGCTCGTAATCTTCTATCAGACTCGGTTCTGACTTGGATTGCGGCATGTTGCTGGTTTCCCTCGACAATGGCCTGGACGGAAGGGGCTGTTCGGCCAGGCGCTGGTGCCGACATCTGAGTCTCCACGCTCGGCGGCGGGTCGGATAACGCCATCATTGAGGCAGTGGCAAACGACTTAGAAAATGGTAATTGCAAAAAAACTTCAAGTGACTAAGGTAAAGCAGTACTCGGATCCTCTTTTTACCGAAAGGGCTGCCGGTCGCGAAGCCGAAGTTGTCAAAGTTGCAAGCCGAACTGGACAGGAAGACAGGATTGGCAAATAGAAAAAGGGGCTTTCAAAATAAAAGAAAGAGAAAGTACAACGGGTGCTCGTTGGTACGTCTACAGCGTTGTGTCCAGAAACACGGCTCGACAGAGGCTTTGTCGGATAGGAAAATTTAAACAGAGGTGATGATGTCGTACGAATCGGCGAAGATGATGACACTACTTAAGCCCAGTTGTGGCTTAGGAAGGGGGGTCTCGTGACGCGGGTGTAAGACGGCGACGAAGAACAGATCGGATTGCGGGCGAGAGGCTCGGACCGGGTCCTTTTCTGATCTCGGGGGGGGGAGGCCCGGGCGGATAACCTTGACGATTTGCTGGTGGATGCGGCCGTACGGAGCGAAAGTAGGTTATCTGATCGACACTAGACGGGGCCGGATTGATGGATTTGCGTCTCTGTGTTGAGAAGACGTAAAAATTGCAATAAGACTCCCCTTGGCACGGCACCCTGTATTTGGTGATCCAGGCGATTAGGAAGACAGAGGCCACCTTTGCTTCCGGGGACAAACACTCGAAAACACAGCCACGGGAAGTCGCAAGAAAGAGGTTTTCGAGGAGAGGAAAGGAAGCCTGGGCTAGCAACCAAATGGAATTGGCGCAAAGAGTTGGCAACAAAGGCGGGATTCCTCCCGGAGAGATGTGCGAGCAGCTGTCTCAACGAAAGAGAGCCCATCAGGGTATGAGTGGTCCGCTTTTAACCTTCTCCAGCCAACCAGCGGCGCCCGAATGTCAGCAGACGAGCTTTGACTGGGACCCCTAGCCAGTTGCCCAAGCACAGCCAGGGCCAAAATAAAACGTCTATCGAAGGTTTCCAGAATGCGGTTTTGGATCCCTTGTGCATCGGATTGGGCTGTCGGCTTCAGCAGCAAGCACGGCGCAACAGACTGCTCCTCTCTGTTCTTTTCTGCCGGCGCCGGGATGTCTTGAGAAACTGTTTCTATGGATAGAGGACACGGTTTCGATGCCCATTCGGTAAAGCTGGCGTTCTGGCCAAGCAGCCTCATCGTTCCTAATGAATGGGTGGCCTTGGCGTCTGCCACGATCGGCGATTGCGAGCCTGCAAGCACACCCACGCTGCTGTCTTCACATCGGCTCGCTGAGCATTTGGTCCGTTCCGACACTCCAACCCTCGACGACCCGAAGTCAACCATTCTTTTGGCAGGACTCTAGCTGAAGTCAAACTTGCCTTCCTAACAAAATAACAGCTTCTGTATCTGCTCCCAGGCCAAGATTTCTGCGCTGCACTAGCCCCCTGCACAGCACAAAGCACCCTCGCAAGCCCTCATCCTTATCTGATTAGATTTGTCACGATCATATTCCCAGCCCGCCCCCGCCCCTGCGTTCCTCAGACGCGGCGGTGCTGTCACGCCGCGCGGCGCCGCTTTTTTCGGACAGCCGATTCATGCGCCTATTGAGCACTAGGGGAGCCCGGTCTGTTGGTGACTTCGGTTGAGCATCCCATTCGCCGAGCGTATCCTGGTCGGACCCATCCAAAGTTCCGCCAAGCTTTTTTATCATTTTGATCAGTGATCAGCGGCTACCAGTGCTGTTCCAACCAGCAAAGAGATCAGGTGTTTATTACAACAGGTCATCAGGATTTAGCAGAACAGAAAAGCAGAAGCGGCAATCCGCTTCCCGAGAATTTTTAGACAATTTCCAGGTTTAAGGACAGGACATTGTGAGCGATCAATCGAACCCAGGAAGTAGGTACCTCGGTAAGCAGGGGTTTCCCTCTCGAAGCACAAGCCGTCAATCTCACAAGTCTTCACCAAAAAGACTGAATTGTGCTTCTTGTGAGATAAGATTGGCTGAATACATACGAGGGGTAGTGCATTATCTTGTCAAGATAGTTCCCATGACCCAAATCCCGGGTGATCCTGTGTATCTGTACCAAACTTCCTCCCCTGGCCAAATGATTAAAAACGAATTAGTCCCATTCGTGCGCCATTATGCCTATATTTACACTCAAAAGGGGTATTGTGACTGTGAGATCCTCAGCAAATGGACCTAATAGCAAGCCTCGAGCAAAGTTCCATCCCAAATACTGCACGTCGCAAACGGGAGTCAACGTTACTCGCCGTGTTTTTTTTTTTTGGCATGTGGACTCACAATTAGTGAAGTCCACGATACATAGCCAGCAGTTGGTGTTCATCCCATGTGTCCAAGCACCACACTTCTCAGATATCAGGATCTAACTGGTTTGGAGATTTAGTAAGAGGAGCAACGAGTCCAGCATTCATCAACTTCAGCAACCCCTCGCGCGCTAGGTTGACAACAACTGCAATCCAGAGGGCATTCCACGCCCACTGGCGGCGAGTATTGAGCGCCACGTGGGAGATTGTGATGACTGGATTGGATTCCGAGTTGGGATCATAGCTGTTCAGCATGACCAAATGCTCGGTCACGACAAACATGTATAATGTAGGAAGTTGTATAGCTTGTCCTGACCTCCCTTTATCTTGTTTTGAAGTTCCGTTCTGTCCATTGCTGGGAGCATTGTGGGAATCTAGGAGCTCCCTCCACCGGCGGCCGAGGTCCTGTAAGCGGCGGCTCGTGTCTGTTGTCAAATGATGAACAAACTGTTGCATAGAGCCATCTTGGTCCTCGTGCTCAATTTCGTCTTCATAAACCCAGCCTCGTCGACGGTGGCGTTGTGTCTGCTTCAGTGCTTTGGCTTTCTTTTGAGCTGACGATTCAACTGGAGGATTAGATAGTCCATTCCCATTGCTTTTGGAATTACTCGAATCGGGAGGGAAGTCACTGGGGGAATATGCTCGGATAAGGACATTTGGCAAAGACCGGCGATAGTCAATCCCAGCGTCTCGCATTGCCCACTTCAAGTACCGACGGATGGTCCTGACAATGACTCGAGGAATCAACTCCGTAGTACCGATCTCCTCGTAGTCTGTCACCGTCTGCGATAGAATAAACAATCGTTCAAGGGCCTTTGTCGCTACTTCGAGTGTCAGCCATCTTCTTAGCAGAGCACGACGCAAAAACAAAAAGTAGTAAAAAAAAAAATCGAACCAAGAGAAGTTGCTCACCACTTAGCTCATTGTCATAAGCACGAACTGCAACCCGCTTTTTGCTTCGCTTGGGTGCAAACACGACGAAATCTTCATCGTTTTGTAGCGCCTCATCACCTTGCGAGACGCCATACATCCTGAAAGAAATTCGCCAGGAGGACGGAAGCACGGGGTGCCGACCAAGCATGTAGATCAGCTTATGCAACTTCTGTTGCTCGGCGTTCCAGAGCGAACTGTTATCGACTTGATCAAGCTGAGCATGCCAGTCGGGCAGGCATAGAGGGACAGTGCCGAATCGGTCCCAGTCGCTGCTTGTGCTGTTGGCGTCGTCGTCATTTTGGAGTGCGAGATCATCATAGTAGTCAGAGTCGCCCACCCGAGCTCTCTTGCTTGCCCGAGGGTTGGTCTGATTGACTGTTCCTGCGCGTCGCTTCCGCTGCAGCCTTCCTCGCAGATATGGGTCACCAAACGGGTGGAAATAATCGCAGAGATCGAAGTCATCGTCATCTTCATCATCGTCATGGTGCAAATCGTTGTAGCTACCGCTGCTCTCTGATACTGACACATGCCGTCCGTTATAGGAGGTTGGATCCAGGTCATCGTCCTCGATTGATTGCATGACGCAAATAGTTCCACCGTTCAAACCCATTTCTTCGTTCTGTCGACTGAGTTCGGAGACCGAATGGTAGTCGGACGAAGAGTCTTCCTCCAGTGTGGGAGCTGGCTCCTTGGGAAACGCCATTGGCGACATGATCGGTCAATTAGGTAAGTTTAACGTTGCTGGATGAGAGATGGCAGAGGCGACACTCCAGACCAGTGAACCCGATAGTGAGTTGAGTGGAAGCCTGGGTAAGTGTTGAGAATTGAGGGTTGGAGAAATTGGCGAAAATGAGTTAGCTAGGCGGGGTGTTCTGGCCGAAGGTGTACGTGTAGGAGAGACCGGGTAACTAAAGATTCAACAAGGCCTTGATTACAATGGCGCCGTCGAAAACGTGTCAAACAGAAAGTGGTGGATGCATTGGATAGTTTCCAATTCCGTCTATTCATCTTCGGGGCTAGAGAGCAAGGGCCATTCAAGGTCCATTCGAGGCCCATCAAGTGCCATTGGCACACGCACGTCGACAGAGCGAACAATGGAGCCATCGATGCCGGAAGCAGGTGCAGATCGCAGTATGGCACCTTCCATGTCAACCACAAAGAAAGCAGAGGTATCTTGCATCCTGCCATTCTGCTGCGCCCGACCTTCATTGCTGCTTCCGGCTGCCACAGCCACTCTATTTTCATTGGACATCGGAGCCATGAAGCGATGGGTAAAGCGTCTGTGAGAAAACCAAATCCTTAACCAATGTGTGTGCAGGCGGGCAGTCCGCAAGTCCGCAGTCGTGGATTGCTGCGCAGCACTGAGGGGCAGACATGTTGACTGGGTAGACGTTGGGCAGACATGGCTGGTGAGTTGGCCAATATGCTGCCGTAATCTGTGTGTGCGTAGAGGTACGTATAATGTTAGATACATTAGATAGTGTACGTGGGAACCAGAACCTGGTAATGGAATGGAAGCCTGGACTCTACTGCCACCTCAACCCCAGCCTTGGGCCGTCGGTTGACGTCACTTGCGGCGTCCCTCTCCCCCCTCCCCCTTTTTTTTCCAAAAAAAAAATGGCACAACCAAAGTCAACGGGAGAGAAAGCAGAAACAGAGCGAAATTACCAGAATTCCCTCGTTATTTGATATTACTGGCCGGGCTGTGATGATGAATACATTAAAATATCCCCATTACTGTATTGTGCATAACTCGTTGCATTTATAGTTAAAGACGACTGTGCAAAGACCCAGACCCAAGTCAATTTAGTTCTGGGCTCTGGAACTGGTCAACGACGTCTTTGAGTTGAGAGCCCCTGGAATGCTGCGCCAACCAAGGACAAGCAGAATGCGCTACCCCACACATTGTAAGTGCCACTGCAAGCTTACAGGAGGTAGAGAACCTGCCTGATAGCATGGGAAGCCGTACATACGGATTACAAAGGCTGGATGATGTTGAGATCTGGATTCTGGACGTTTGTCAGTCGTCCGACGTGGATGCGTGGAATCTACAATGGATGCGGGGGATCAGTGCGGGTCCACCCGACGTGCAAGCGGATCCGTCGGTTGTGGCAGGTTGGCACAGGCCCGCGTAGGGCTGTGGGTGGTCTTGCTGGTTTGGCGGGATGAATTGGCTCGTGCTCTGGGGCAACGTGTTCCCCACAAGAGCATCCCTGCTGCCAATGCTTGTGTCTTGGCATTCCACTGCGGCAGGCGCACCAGCAGGCGGTCGGCGGGCCACCAGACCCAACAGCCCCCCAGCAGGCGGCTTTTTCCAGAGCTTGCATTTCTGTTTTTTGCACTCCATTGCCATTTCCGCTTTTCGTGTCGTCGCGACGCGTTTGCTCGAAGGCCCAGCAATTTCCATTTTCAATCTTTTCTTTTCCCCCCCCCCTTTCTCTTTTTTCCTTCCTACAATTGTACCTACTGCTCTGTGCCGCACGTGCATCGCCCACCGCGCATCGCAAGCAAAATGGCTTCCCACTGGAATCGGATGACGGTGGTCGAGCTGCGCGCCGAGCTCAAGCAGCGGGGACTGTCGCAAGCGGGCAACAAAGCCACGCTCATTGAGCGCCTGGTCGAGTATGAAAAGGAGAAAGATATGGAAATGGAGAAAGACAAAGAGCCCGAGAATCAACAGCCCGCCGCTGCGCCCGAGCAGCCCGACGACGATACGACCAGCAATAATGGCAATAACCATGTCGCGCAGGGGCCGGACCAAAGCCTCGATGCCCACCACAACGCTAACACAGAGTCACCCTCCGCCGATGCTGCCGCTGCTGCTGCGGCGACTGCAGATAGCCAGCCTCTGAAAACGGCCTCCGAGCAGCTTGATCGCTCCAATTCGGCCGACAACAATAAGCCTGTCGACGCCGAACTCGTTCCTGCGACCGAAATCATCTCTGATGCTGCCAACCGCAAGCGTCGCTCGCGCAGCCCGCCCCCACCAGAGAACGAATCTTCGAGAAAGAGAGCCCGCGCTGCCGAACACAACGTCAAGAGGTCTCCTGAGAGAGTTGAGGAGCCACATAACCTCGACGATGGTGAGAACTACAAGTACCCCCAAGATCGCGATCGCTCTCAGGAGCAAGATCGGCCTCCCAACTCCCACAACGAGCCGCAGGTCGATTATGATAGGGCTGTTGCGCCGGCCCAACATCCCGCAACCTCGGCGCTCTACATCAAGAATTTTATGCGTCCATTGAGGGAGCCCGTTCTCAAGGATTACCTCGTCGAGCTCGCCGCATTGCCGGGTACCTCCCCCGACCCGAGCTGCATTGTCAGCTTCTACCTCGATCCAATCAGGACCCATTCCTTTGTCCAATTCTCGACTGTCGCTGCCGCTTCACGTGTCCGATCGGCTCTCCATGGGACGGTCTGGCCAAACGAGAGCAATCGAAAGGAGCTTTGGGTTGATTTCATCCCAGAGGGCAAAGTCGACGAGTGGGCTGCCCATGAGAAAGAAGAGGGTGGTAGGGATCCCTCTTGCCGCTGGGAAGTTCATTACGAACCGGACCACAACGGTGAGGTGACTGCCAGGCTTGTCAACGCAGCTATGGAGCATCCTCGTCGCAATACCAGGCAGCCGCTCGGCCCCCCCGCAGTACCGACAGGTCCTGCCAACAACTCAAGCAACCCTTATGTCGAGGGTGCGCCTTCGGGTCCCCGTGGCCGAGGTCGTGACCGCTTCCGTCAGGGAGCTCCCCCTTCTCAGTTAGGCGCTTCCAATGCTGCCGGCGATCGTGGCGGCTGGAGAACCACCCGAGCCGACCCGCCTATCCAGTATCGTCCCGTCTCCGAAGACGTGGCGCAGCGTCGTCTTGCGAATCTGCGTTCTCACATCACCAAGGACCGCCATAGAGATTTGGGTCGCCCGGACGAGATCAACCGCTACACCTTCGAGAATAGCGAGACTTTTGTCGATCGCGGCAAGGAGGCATTTATCGGTATCCGCCCCCCGCATCGAGAGCGCGAGCGCCGTCGCCTAGGCCTCGACCGCCGCAACCGCAACCGCAACCGCCGCGCGCCCTCGCCCCGCCGTTCCCGCGACGAGACTTACCGAGGAGGCGAGAACAGCCGCAATGACTACGAGCGTGACTACGACCGTCGCGATGACTTCGACCGCGACCGCGACAGTTCCCGGCGTGACCGTCGCGATGTTGATGACGTGCCCCGCTCCCGTTTTGACGGCCAGCCTTTGCCGACTTACACCGGCCCCACCAGTCGTGCCAGGCGCGGTGGGAGACGTGATCGCTATTAGAGGACGATCTCTCTGATACGATTGAGGGCACGAGTCATATTGCCTGTTTGTAGGGCGATAAATATCGAAGTATTTGGCTGGGTTTCGACCTAGAACATCCTCACGATATGTTCAGTGCTCCCATCTCGGAAAGTTGGCGTTTCTTATTGCCATGGCTGCCAAAGTTCACAATGAAAACAACAAAAACGGCCGATGGTTTGGGTTGCATTTGGATTTCTCGCACAACTTCCTCACACAACCTTACTTCTGCATTGTCTCAAAACAAGTAACCTTCTATGACCCTTTGCCTTCCCTCTTCCCCCCTTCCCACTTCGTTTCTGTCTCCTCTACAAAGGCCGTCGGAGACTAACCGAGTACTGATTCCATGCATTGCCAACTGGCTTTTGAGATTCGCAATCACCTCTTAGACAGGTGGCTGCGAACGCGCGACGAGGGTTTAGACAACACGAGAGAAGAAAAACGCGGAACATGAGGCACGAGGGTAAAGAACGAGAGGGAGGGAACTAATGAATGGTCGATAATAACAAGGAAGGCAACTTATCGGATAATAGTCTCAACGTTACACACATGACGTGTGGGGCGTTGTGACAGAATTATGATTTGAGAAACGTCGGCTCTGTGGTTCGTAAGCCTTACGGTATCGCGTACCAGCATGGCCATGAGTTAACTCTTTTCCTCTATTGTCGTTTTCTTTCCTGCTTGCGCGTGCTTCGGCAACTAGTAGCAGGTCTCTGCATGGAATAAGGATGAAAATGGCGGGAAATGACACGAAACAAAAAGGGATACGGATATTGTCGCAGTTCACTTAGTTTTTTTTTCTCCCTTTTTCTCTTCACCTTCTCATCCAGTTCCTGGCCTGATCTGATCTTGGATTCGGGCTTCTGGGGACGAAAACAAAGGAGGCGGGTGAGGAAAAGGGAGTGGGATCGGCTAGCTTGAGAAATCCTGGTCAGAGTGGGTTAAATGCCACAGAAAACGCGAAATATCCCTACATGAGTCCATCCGTTTACGGATTTGGGGGCTTGCAGGGGACACAAAAGTTTTCACTGTTTTGTGTGTAGAACAGAACACCTACATAGCTGGTAACAGATACCCAAAATCAATTGCTCACGAAGCATGTCGAAGTGATCCAAACACAAAACTTGCATATCGGCAGTTCATTCAGATAATACACAGAAGAGGGAGCAAGGTAGGTTACTCGATCACCTTTTTAATGGAACTGTGGAGTACAAATTGTTCAAGTTCAGTATTATATCTTTTGCTTCCCTAAAGACCCAAAAACCACAAAACCATTCAAAAAAGAGGTCCCTCCTAAACAAGCCACCCGGATGCCTTGAAGGTTAACTTAATTTTTTTTCGGCCGGCATCCCCAAACGCTCGAACTCCAACAAGGTACCAAAGAGACACAAAATGCACCAGGAGATACTTAGCAAGATTGACCAGAGACAGGCTTCCATATACCGGCTAATCGAACGACACCGATCATGCGCTACCTAGCCATCTCAATTAGGCGTAGTTCGCCAGGGGAGTTGGTTCAACACCAACACGCTCCTTGCTGAGGATGTCGATCATCAGCTGCGACGGCCGGTTGTCACGGTAAACCTTGGCGCTGGCCTTGTACATCTCGACATTTTCTAAGTACTTGTCAAAGAGGTAGGCACTGTCCATGGGGCCACCCTTGGCCTCAGGGTGAAATTGAGTCGAGAAGATCGGACGGGTCTTGTGGATCATGCCTAGGAGGATGGGTTAGCATTTAAGGGGATGAGCCAGGCACAATAATCAGAGGTTATATGCTTACCCTCGTTGCTGCCATCGTTCAGGTTGACGAAATACTCCTTGAACTCGCTAGGCAAAGTGCTGGCATCAACAGCATAACCGTGGTTCTGGCTCGTGATGTGGCACTGGCCAGTGGTGAGGTCAAGAGCAGGGATGTTGTGGGCGCGGTTGCCATATTTCAACTTGATCGTGCGCGCACCGACGGCCAGAGCCAGCAGCTGGTGGCCGAGGCAGATGCCCATGATGGGGGCAGAGGAGGTCTCCATCAGGCGGGCAAGGTTATACACAGTCTCCTGGCAGTGAGTCGGGTCACCCGGACCGTTGGAAATGAAAACGCCGTCGAAGTGGTCAGCGACCTTGTGGATGGGATAGTCGTAAGGGAAGACGGTGATGGAAGCGCCGCGGGTAACTAGGCTACGCAGAATGTTCTCCTTGACACCGCAGTCAATCAAAGCGATGTGGTAGCGGGCATTGGGGTTGTTGACGACGAAAGGCGCCTTGGTGCTCACACGCTTCACCAGGTTGATCTGACCGGGGTCGACGTAGCCCTCGTCTTCGTCGGCATCGTACTCATCGCCAATGGTGATTCTGGCCAGCGAGGAACCCTGCTCGCGCAGGTAGGTGACGATGGCACGAGTGTCAACGCCGGTGATAGCAGGGATGCCCTCACGAGCGCACCACTCGGCAAGGCTCTCGACAGCGGTCCAGTGGCTGTATTTCTCAGCCACATCAGCAACGACAATGCCGGCGCACTGGATGTGGGGCGACTCGAAGTACTTGAGGAGGTTGTACTCGTCGCGCTCATTCGACGGCACGCCGTAGTTGCCAATGAGGGGCTGGGTGAAAACCAGGATCTGGCCGCGGTAAGAGGGATCCGTCATGGACTCGGGGTAACCCACGAGCGAGGTGGTGAAGACAGCCTCGCCGGAGATGTTGATGTTGGCGCCAAAGGCCTTGCCGTGGAACACGGGACCATCCTGTGGACGACGGGTCAGCAACAAACTCCAGGGGGAATGGCATTAGGGCAGGAGCAGAAACAGGAACATACCCTGATGGTGAACGTAGCGTTTACGCCAGACGCAGGCGCCGTGGTCCGCGTGTTGGTGGCGGGCATAGTCCTTCCCTTGCTGCCACTGACAGTAAGCTTGCTCGCAAAGCGAGTTTGGCTGGGCAGGCGGGCAGCATGGCCCATGGCCTTAAAGGGAAGACGAGCAGCTAGGCGAGAGAACATGGTGACTGAAGTGATTAGAAGGCGTGAAAGAGGGAGGAGAGGCTCTCGTGTAGCGCAGAATGCTTCTTAAAATGACAGGGCCCTCCACAGATGGTCTAAAACTTTGGTCAGTGCCAAGCGGGACGGTGAGTCAAGCACATCACAGGAGCCAAACGCACCTGAGAGATAGTCCTACACACCACCGCGTCAGTCGCCGATTATACCACACAAACCAGGAGTGAGGGAAAATAGAGGAACGAGGGACCGGGAAGGGAGAAAGAATGAGATGGGAGATGAGAGGGAGAGAGGGCGAGAGGGGGAGAGATAAGTCTGGGGACACGCCCAGTCAGGCTGTTTCCCAGAACTCGTGGATCCTCTTGATAAGTGAAACGGAGGAGGGACAGGAGCCATGTCATGTCCAGCTCCAACTGACTGGCCCGCACCAAAGCAGAGAGGGTGGGGTTTGATTTATAACTTCGATGTGTTGTGATGTGCATACCTGAGAAGTAAAGGCAGAGAAGCGACCTTTCATCAGCACGGTTTGGACGAAGGCCAGTTCGCAGGCAGAAGAAGGGAAACCGTTTCCGGATCCAGGCGCAGAAGCGCAGTCGATGTAGGAGCGGGCCGTTCAAGGCTGTCGTGGACTCAGGGCGTGCCTGACAGCGGTTATGTGGGTAGAGACAGTGCTCTGGGGCAGCGTTGGAGGAAAAAAAAGATATTTAGAGACAAGACCAGACGAGATGAAAGGCAAACAAAAATGGCTGCTTCCGAATTCGCTTTGTGCAAGGCTCGGCGGCCAGCGGCAAAAAAAAGGGCAGCGAAAAATAAAAATTGACTGCTGCGGCGCTGTTTCGCCCACTGAGCGGATCCCACCAAAATTGGGGCACTCGCCAATTGGCGCTGCTGCCATTGGCTCGGGACAGGGCCGATTTCCGGGGCGATGGTGGGTAGCGTCCTCGGTGCTTGGCTCTCGATTTTTCGCGGTGTTGGATGGCATCTTGCTCGGCGATATATCATCCACTGGTCCAACCCCCCCATAACGGTAGGGAGCCACGTACCTAACTACTACCTTGTTTAGTGTGTAAGCACAGAGCACACAGGCAATCTGTATGTGGAGGTGGGTTAGGTAGGTGGGCAGGTTGGGCGTTGGGTGAGGTGGTGCGGCTTCGGACGGCTCGGCCCAGCTGCGCCGCAGCCTAGACATTCACGGTCACATAGAAAGTGTGGAACGCCGTCACGGCCGTAAGTGCCGCTGTAACAAAGTGTAAGCCGCTGCATATCTATCTGCCCCTCGTTGCTGTTGTGGCCTGCGGCACGCTCACGGTGCTCACAGCGTCGGCTTGGGAGAGATGGTGTGTGTACTTGCCAAGTGACAGATATGATAACAATCTGGCGGATGACACCGTGGGAGGACATGCATACAATGGAGTTTGCCATGCTTCTTAACCTTAATTGTTCAGTTGGTAGTCATGGTCTGTCTGACTCCTGGCTACTGATCACCGGGCCCTAGATAGCAAACATTCAGTTGATCTGGTTGCAACGGGAACGTCCACCGCAAGCATGAACACAGACACAAGGCACTAACGTATGCTACTGTGACACGGACTCGCCGCACTCAGGAGTCAGGGTCCCGTTCGACCACACCTCAGACCGTTAGGGCTTACCGTGATGATGTTGACGGGCTGACACCAATGGGCACGCTGTTTCTTTAGCTCGAGGAGAGCTTGTTTGTTATTTTAAAATCCGACAAAAAACGAGGACAGAAATCATAATTGGTACACAGTCGTAATCGTAACCGTCTAAATGGCGCCGAGCTCTTTAAGCTTGGAAATAAGACCATCAACATCCTCGACCTTGCCGCCGCCCTGCCTCGGAGGGGGCTCTGCGAGTTATAGGTCAGAGATAGCTGGTCATGAAGGTGAAGAAGAGAGGCGGATTTGACTCACCAGTCACCTTGAGCACCTTGAGGCGCTTCTCGTTTGTGATGCCAAAGTCAGCCAGCGTCTTCTTCTCGAGCGGCTTCTTCTTGGCCTTCATGATATTGGGCAGGCTGGCGTAGCGCGGGGTGTTCAAACGCAGGTCCGTGGTGATAACCATGGGCAACTTCGCCCGGACATTCTCCACGCCACCGTCAACCTCACGCCAGACGTTAACGGTGTCGTCGGGCCCAAACTCAACCTTGCACGCCTGTGTGGCCTGCGGCCAGCCCAGCAGCCCAGCCAGCATCTGGCCCGTCTGATTGGCGTCGTCGTCAATGCTCTGCTTGCCCATGATGACCAGGTTGCTGCGCTCCTTCTCAACTGCCGCCTTGAGCAGCTTGGCCACGGTCAGCGGCTCCAGCTCCTCGCCCTCTCCGACCTCCACATGGATGCCGCGGTCGGCGCCCATGGCCAGAGCAGTGCGCAGCACCTCCTGCGCTTTGGTCGGCCCGGCGCTCACCACGCAGATGTCCTCCACACCACCGGGAGCCTTCTTCTTCTCACGGATCTGCGCGCTCTCCTCGACAGCCAGCTCATCGAACGGGTTCATGCTGTGCTTGACGCCAGCCGTCTCGACGCCCGTCATCGTTTTGTTGACCCGCGGCTTGACCTGCAGCGTCGCATCGGCGTCAGCAAGGACGTGTTCTTGACATATTTCGAGTCTCTCTCCCCCACTGAGCCCCGTTCAAACCTTTCCCTTTCCTCCTCTTCTCAGTCTTACTATTCCTCTCCCTCCTCACGCGCTAGAAGCTGCTCAACCTCCCCCCTCCCTCCCAAAAAAGAACAAAAACTCCACGTGCTCGCAAACTCACCGCGAAGTCAATGACCCGCTTGACGGGCACCAATATCCGAAGCGCTGACATGGCGGCGTGTTGTGGCTCAATGGCTAGCCGGTCGAGTGTGTTAGGCGTGCCGAGAGGGAGAGGACCAAGGAACCTTGAAGCATTTCGCCGCTGCGACCTGCTCCCATGGCGATTTCCACCACTGCTAACCCTGGCCATCCCGGCTAGTGCCGGTGCCAACCTCGGCCAAGCGGCGCCCGGAATCCCGCATCTGCGGGTGCATGCAGTTTAGTCGACCCTAACCCTATAATCATCAAGGAGCCTAGGGTTAAGTACGTAAAATCACAGCCCGTGAAACAACATAGGTAAGGTAGGTGACTCGATAACAGCTCACAGAGCTGGGATTGTTACAGGATTTAAAAAAAGAAACACTCATGGTAGTGAAGTATAAAAATGTGTCTACAGCTGTACCACCGCTGCATATCCACATCCATCACGCATGTTGATCCCTCCCCTCCCCTCCAGTATAAATGTAAAACTCTAAATCTCCCCTAGGCCGCCTCACCAATCATCCCACTCCTCCTTATCCTTTCCCTGCGCTGGTGTCGGAGCCGCCGGCTGTCTACTCGACCCCTTGCCCATAGCAGATGTGCCGATAGAGCTTCCCCCTGTACGGCGCTGGTCGGCTGCCGCGGCAAACTCATCCCAGAACGAACGCCTACTCTCGTCAAACGTGTTGGGATTGCGCACTTGCCGATACCCACCAAGCGCCGGGCCGCCTTCGACGAAACGGTGGAAGCTGTCGGACGCCTGGCGGGCACCAGCTTGGGCTGTTCGAGCCGCTTGTGCAGCTGCGTTGCGGGCTTGAGCAGCAAGCTCGGATTCAGCGATCTGGTTGGGAAGTGTTAGCATAGGTGTTTGCCGTGCTTGCTTGAACACGAGAGCGAAACGGAGAGGAGGGCAAGTTAACGGCAACATGAGTTAACATACCTGCTTTGCTGTTGGCTGAATAAACCCTTCATTGACTGTCTTGGCCGTCTTTGTGACCGTCGATGCGAACCATCCCAGGCCTTTGGTGATGGCGCCGACCGGATCCCGCTGCAAGTCGTCCAACCCCGGCAGCGCCGGTTCCTGGTCTCGAGGCTGCACTGGCCCCGTGTTACCGAAGCCGATGTACTTGCCGCCCTGACTCGGTGGGACACCCTCGGGCCGTTGTGCGTTGCGCTCGCCCAGCTTTGCAAAATAGTCCACATCCACCTTGATCTTGCCTGGCGTGGGACTAGCCGTCCTGCTCCCGCTCAAAGGAGTATTCGCCAAGCTGCTAGATTGTTGTTGTTGCTGGGCTGATGCTGTCGCTGTGGCCGTTGTCGTCTTTTTCCTCTCCCCAGGGACATACTCGCGTCCTTCTACCTTGCATGTCAAGCGCTCTTTCCATTCCTCGCCAACTTCACCGCCATAGCGTTCGGCGATGGTCGCATCTTCCCAGCTGATCCCCTTCGCCTTGGTGTCCGGATGCTCCTCAAAGAAGCGGCGCCAATTCTCGTTGCCGCCAAGGCGCATGCGCTCAATCTCCGACGGCTTGAACGCATCCATTGAGATGGAGCGCACGAACGAGATGTGCACACCCAGTCCGCGATGCACGCCGGCACACGACAGGCAGATGAAGATGCCAAACTTGGGCGACGCCCATTGTGGTGATGGTGCGTTGCAGTCGCAGCAAAGGTTATTCTTGTTCTCTTGTTGGATTGCAGCCAGCTGGAGGATGGGCGGTCAAGGGGTGGTTAGCGCAATGCTGATCCATCACCGAGCAATCCAGTTGCAAGTCCTGTCTGTACACAGCGTACCTTGGCTCGCGTCTCGGGATCGACCTCCCACATGGCCTTGGAAGCCATTGTGGGTTATCAGTTGTAGGGACTGGACACGCGCTTGCTTGGTTTCTCTCCTTGTTTGCGCAGCTTGTCAAGTTGACTCGATGTACGGATTACTGACCCGCCAGGATGAAAATGCGCTTGGCGCCTGGCAGCAGAAGGCGATGCGCGCAGCGGGAGTCGACTTGCTTCTGAAATTCTGATGCGAAGGTTTGGATGCAGGTTGCTGAACAATTCAATCGCAGCAGAAATCGACAAGAATGCCACCAGACTACGATTTGGCCTCGGCGGACGATCTCAGGGGAATTTTTTGGACTTTGGGCGGTTGTTTGTCGAGAAGTAGTAACGGTAAGGCCAAGTCTTTTCGCAACGTCTTGTTTGGTCTGGGTCCTTAGGCGGGGCACTGCCACAGGGTGTCGAACACTCTAAACGCCGCGTTGCGCAGCAGAACAACCCAGCTGGGAAGCAGCCTCAACCCCTGCATTAACCCCTACTTACCTTATTACACGTGTACGAATTACTCGCCAGGCTTCGTCAGCAGCTCTTCTTTATGTCTGCTGCTGCCACGCACAAAGACAGCGAGGTGTCTTTGATGCGAATTCATGATCTTCTCTAGGCACTCACATGGTACAGCCAGCGATCCAGACAAAGTGTATTTAATCGGCATTCTCACCAGTTAACCTGCGTGCCTACACAGTAGGTACACAGCATCACCGATCTTGTTGCTTGTCACATCTCATCTAGTGTCATCTTCCGTCCTCCACACACATTCAAGCAATCAGAGGGCTTTCACCTCAGGTCCATTCATCATTGGTCATTGTATGCAAAGATCAGCAATTTTTCCTATTTCCCCCAAACCCGACTCCGGCGCCAACCTAGTTTACACGCCTGAAAACGAGGAGACAGAGGATAATAGGGCGTCTGATCACGTCTCTGAATGACAAAAAGCAAATAGGGCTTATAAGTCATGAGGATATTAGGGGATATAGTTTCTGCAAAAGAAAGCCGCAAGATAATAACGTCCACGAACTCTACCCACGGCAAAACCTTTCTACCGTGCCAAGGATTCCAGGACGCCATGAAAACTATCCCGCCGCTCAATATCGCTTTCCTCCATATCCCGGGGTCTAGGCCGTCAAAAAAATAGAAAATGGTCATCCATGCATCATCAATTCCATCGTTAAAATAATAGAAGACTGCACGCGCCCAAAAAGTAATACATACGAACGGTGAGGTGCTGAATGGAAAGAGATAGCGCGTGCATATTCCTCATCCCCGTTGACGTATGCTTCGTACGGTTGCTCATCAAGAGCATCTCCGTTCTCATTTTAAGCCGAGGCAGTGGTGGTCGTAGCCTCAGCAGCGGCAGGAGCAACGTTCTCCGTCCCGTTGGTGGCCGCGGCCTCAGGAGCCTTGGTGTTGTCTTCAGCCTTGTCAGGGCTGTCAATAGCAACCTTGACGGCGATCTCACGACCCTCAATGACTTTGCCGTTCATCTCGGCAACAGCCTTCTGCTGCATCTCCTCCGAAGCCAGTGTGACAAATCCGAAGCCACGACCCTTGCGAGGCTCACCGCGAGCCTGGAGCTTCTTGATCATGAAGCGGGGGATCGGGCGCAAGGCGATCTTGGCAGAGACAGGCTGGTAATCCTTGAACAATTCCTTCAGCTGTTCGGCAGAGCGTTCGGTTAGTAATCCATTTACTTTGAAGCACAAGAGACAGGACTGATGCCACACACCTTGTCCTCAGTCAGGTCATAGGGAAGGTTAGCAACCATGACCTTGGTTTTGGAAGGGATGCCGTCAGCCGGGGGACCACGCTCCCGGCGCTCGCGGGGGCGGGGCTGTGACTTTGCGGGCTTTGTGCTCTCCTTGCCAGTGGAGGCCTCATTAGTGACATCCTTCAGAGGCTCAGACTGAGGCTGGGCCGCGGCATTCCCAGCAGCGGCGGCACCAGAATCCTCCTTCTTGGCGGGCTTCTACGCAATTAGTCTCACATTCTCTATGCATGGTACAGAGCGATAAGGAGATTACTTACGCCACCCGCGGCACGACCACCGCGAGCACGGCCACCACGACCACGGCCAGGGCGGCCGCGGCCGCGAGCGTTCTGGCGCCGACGCGTGTTGTCAGCAGTGCCCTCAGCATTGGCACCCTCGGCCTTCTCGTTCGTCTCGGGCTTCCGGGCAAGCTGAACAGAGACCTTGCGGTTCAGGATCTCCTTGCCCGACAGCTCAGCGATGGCACGCTCAGCCTCGCTGGGAGTCGAGAGGTCGACGAAGGCATAACCGACAGGGCGGTCGGTACGAGGGTTCTTCGGGATAGAAACGGACTCGCTGCAAAGCCGGGATTGTGGTTAGCATTAGACCACCAGCATCAGGTCTATGTTTGTATAGTGTGCAGAGGTATCATGAAGCCTCAAGGTTTCCCAAAACAGCATTACCCATGATGGATTGCGCTAGACTAAGAACACAGCATTCCGAGAAACAGGACAGCACGTGCATGAAGGCTTGCCATCTCGATGGTATCGGGTGCTGCTTCGTGCAACGAAACTGCCAAAGTCTGGAAAGGGGGAGAGGGGGGTAAGGCAGACTGCAGCGCCGAAAAACACCAGCAAGGCAGGAAGGGGCGGTCAACCAAGCTGGCAAGCCCAACACCAACCCAAATGGCAGAAGAGCGGTGAAGAAGGGAAGACAAGGAGAAGAACAGGATGAAAGAGGATGAAAACTTACACAAGGTAGCCCTTGAAGAAGTCCTTCAACTCCCCCTCCGTTGTCGCATAGGCCAGGTTGCCGATGTACAGGCGGCGACCCTCGGAGGCACTGGCATGGTCGGCGGGCTCGTTGTTAGCAGCCGGCTTGTTCTCGTCGGCCTTGCCAGAGATCGAAGTGTTGGCCAGAGTATTGGTAACGTCGTTGACGGCGGCGGTGGCGGCGTCGGCGACCTTCTCCACGTTGGCGGACATTGTGTCGGATATTGATGTCGGTTGGCAGTCGATGGAATGCAGTCGGTGTTGGCTGTCGATTGACGTTGACGTTGAGACGTGCTGACTCGTTCGTGCAGCGTTGTGAGCGCCAAGGAAAACGCGCGGTGCCGAGACGAGTGTGGATTTGAACTCTGGAGATGAGGGGGAGTTTAGTAAGGGTAGCTTGTGCCCTAGAAGCTTGAGAGGAGGGGTTCGTTGACGATTGGAGAACGCTTGGATCGATCCTGGGTGATTGACGTGGAGAGGGAAGAAGGGGGAGAGGAGATTCAAATATTTTTTGCCCAGCATTCGGGGAAATAAGCGAAGGGGGAAGGCAGTGGCGGCGCCAAGGGTACGTACCGCCCAGTCCCTGCTCACTCCCTGCTCAGTGCTGGCTGCAGTGGCCTAGTCAGTGGGCTCACTGGAGTCGCTGGGGCAGCTGGGCTGCAGGCGCGCCGCACGCGCCTGCCCGACCATCACCGACCACTGCCAACCCAGCTTTGGGCATGCTGCCACCATGCTCGCCCGGAACCTGGGGGTGGGGCACGAGGAAGATGAAGGGGAAAGCGCGTAAGCTGCTTAGACATCGAGACGTCGAGGACGATGGCTAAATGGATGGTGAGGAAGGCTCGACCCTCTCATATCCAACAAGTCTAACCGCACCCACGGATGTCCTCAAGTGCTGAAAGACGATAAAAAGGTGGACTTGCCTTAGGAAGAATCGATCAACAACCAGGAAAGTTTTCGTTAGTTGGATCCGGGGCGTTTAATGAGCAGATCCAAGCCGAGTTAGCCCAACGGGAAATATGTCAATAAAGTCAAGTCCCGAGGTCTGGTCTCGGAGTGCCCAAGAAGGACGGTTGAATTGCTCCCTGTGTTGTGATATAGAAGAAAATAGAGGGGAGCAAAAAAATTGGAGGAGGTAGAAAGGCAAGTAGACTCCATGACTAGGATCAACGATTCAACTGTGAAATGATTTTAACCTTACCACATTGTTGAAGTATGGGCGTTGGCAGAGCTCGGATAAAAGTTAAGCTTTTCGAGCTGTTGAGTAGCTTGATCACTCCAAAAGGCCACCATCACATGCGCATAGTAAAAATTCGGAACTGTTAGACAGTCCAGCATCTTCAGAGGTATGCCAGTAGGACCGCTTGATTCCACCCTATGTAAGCAGTAATCCTTACGCCAGATTGCTCAGCTATTGGTGACAACCCAAGCATTGCCATAACCATTCCCGGCTCATTACCTCGTTTTTCATGTTCCATTGAGCAAAGGGTGCACCACTATTTTGCCCCATTGCCTCACCAGTTGCTCATGTTGATAGCCTGCACCCCATTTTGAGCCAGCAGATTCCTTGTTGGTGTTTGACAAATGTGTCCTGGGTGGCAGGGGCCCACATCGATCATATTGAAATGCCCTGGGCCGCATTGTGACAGATATTAGAAGACGAAGGAGGTGACGAATAGACAGACATTTGATGATGTAGCGCATAGATCAATTCAGGCAGCTGGAGACATACACGTACGCACCGTGTTTATGAAACACAACGTGAGTATGGATCGGAAACAGAAAATGGTGTCGGGCAGCGTGTGCCCATCCAAAGGCAGCCTAGGAACTTGCTTAACTGCCAAGATGCCCGAGAATCACAGTGTGTATACCTAGGTACATAGGTAGATCGGGATTTGGTGGAAGATTACCCTCTTAAGGTTATATGAACGTCGATTTGGTAGCTCTTTTGAGCAAACTGTGCAACGACGTCCAAAGTCTGACTGAACAAGATCAAAATTCGGGGTACGGTGTCTGGGCAGGCGGACCTGTGGCCATGATTGAACCTGGGGTCTGCGGCAACCAGAGATTCGTCGGCGGCAGGCCCTTGTACCGCAACCAGACAGCCGGGGGATCCACGCAGAATCTGGCCGGGGACATCGGAGGAGAGCTTGTTGGACGGAAGCCGGAAACCGAACAAGACGCTGACAAAGTATCCCATTGCATGCAGTGGAGCAGAAGCGCAGTCGACCACACAGCCCACGTGTCCTCCCATTGGGGAGCGGTATGCAAGGCGGTCAGAGATCAGAGTTGTGTGATCGCAAAAAGGCGTGGCAGATGGGCATCCAACCATACATTACGGATTACTGTGGTACGTAGGACCCAATTCAATGAGCTTCGCGGTTTGAGCAATTTAGACGCGGGCAATAAACTGCCCAATCCGCGCTGCAAGCGCTGCTTCCAGAGGTTTCCATACGCTTCACTAGGCCCATGTGGTCGCATTAATGGCTCCAGACACCAACAGGGAGCACGCGGCACAATCGCCCAACACCCCCCCCCCTCCTCAATGGCTCGACACGAGGAAGACTGCAAAACCCAGAGAGGCTTGTTTTATGTCGATCTGAAAATTGGGGATCTCCATAGGAAGGCATGGTGAGCACGCCGAAAGCCAACGCTTGCATACCGAATCCCAATGCGCCTGCATATCTCCGCTGCGCGTTTCATCCAACGACAAAGATCACTTTTTGAGCCTTTGGAATCTTTGCCCCGCCTTCTTTTTCAGGCATGTGAAAGGCGGGGCCTGGTCACTGATAAGATCTTGGCTGGACCTGGGCATCCCAAATGCATCACGGATGTCGCAAAGAACGGAGGCAGACCGAGTCTTTTGTAAGAAAAAGAAACTTTAAGCCAGTCTGTTGAATATGTACCTTAGCCAGACTATAACACGATCCTTTGAGGTATTCGACATATGGCTTCTGACGATCTCCATTTTTGGCAATGCCGGATCTCTGCTCGGCGCTGCTCTGTTTTGCCAGCGGGGTGACTAATCCGACCCCGAGCCTGGCCGGTTTCGGGCCCGAGAGCGGCGGCGACTCCTCCCCGACACACACCGTATCCCCGTCACGATGCAATTCGAACTCTCATCTCAGCATCAGCCCCAATTGAGGGTTTGTTTAGAGCCGGATTTCCAGACGACGAAGCCGTTCTGCATACCGACTGCGTTGTGAGCTCAGGTCAGCAAAGCAGAATATTCTGAACTTGCCACATCACATCCAGTCTACGATCCGTAGGACCATCCCAACCTTCCTCCCCTTCCCCGGGACAGATCAAAACCGTCACCGCGCATCACCTTTTTTCGCACTGGTTGTCTTCCTGGATAGGGTGTAGTTTTTGATCCGTCCTCATATCGATCAAGGCGATTTCACATGATGGGCGATCTAGACATGCCTAGCCAAGCCTTAGCCCCTGTGGCGATCGAGGGGAGGAGCATGGCAATTTTATATGGCAGCGAGACTGGCAATGCCGAAGAAATTGCAGTAGAGCTGGGCAAGATGGCCCAGAGACTGCATTTCCAAACTACAGTTGATGAGATGGACGGGTTCAAATTGGTTTGTCACATACCCTTTTGTGCTCTGGTGGTTTTCAAGTTTAGGAGCCGCATTAGTAACAGGGCGACCACCAAAACAGGCTGATGTGCTGCGCTATTCACTTGTTGTCTTTGTCACATCGACGACGGGGCAGGGAGATATGCCCAAGAACACGCGGAAGTTCTGGAAGAACCTCCGACGTGAAAAGCTCAATAATACTAACTGCCTGCGCTCTCTGAGTTTCACCATCTTTGGACTTGGCGACAGTGCTTATTCCAAGTATGCCTGTCATATCCTCATGCCAGCAGCCGTTTGTGCGGTCATTCCAAGTCTCATTTGCTGACGATGATGCTCGCAGGTTTAACTGGGCAGCAAGGAAACTGAGAGCAAGGCTGCTGCAACTGGGGGCTTCTGAGTTCTTCCGCGCCGGGGAAGGAGATGAGCGCCATGACAACGGGTGAGTGAGACGCAATAGCACTTGCCATAACTGCCGCGTTCATATTTTCAGTTCTGTGGTCATTAACCCTACCTTCCTCCACATGTGCCTGTCTAACCTAATGACCTAATGACCTACGACCTATGAAATGGTAATGGGATGGGAATGGTTCGTAGCCACCAGGCTGGGCGTTCTGAAACTGCTTCATTTTTGATTTGCGTTGCTTTGAGTTTGCATCATATTCTCTCTACTGGTCGAATCTTGCTAACACTTACGTGTGCTCTGCGTCAGAATTGACAGCATCTACCTGCCCTGGTCCAAGGAGTTCAAGGAATATATAATGATCAATTACCCACTTCCAGAGTCGGTTGCCCCGATACCTGACGACACCCAACTCCCTTCCAAATACCCCATCCGACTGCTTGCAGACATGGACATCAACACCCCCAACAACATCGCCGCGAGCGATGGACCACTGACAGACGATGACCAGCGCTGGCTGGCTACGCGAACCAAAAGCGCCGCTCGCTCTCATGTCGACACGCCTACGCCGCCTGAGGAGCAAGTCATGCGAGGATTGGGAGCGCAAGTCCGCCACGTTCCCCGCGCATATCGCTCGCCAGGACGACATATGGGAGAGGACCCAGAAACAGAGCGTCGATGTGTTGGACCACGATAACGTTCTCAAGGACCACCCGGAGAAGTACTTGCTGAAGCAGCAGTCTGCCAAAAAGCCCAGGTTACCGCCATCGGACATGCTCCCCATTCCCGATTCATACGAAGGCTTTTTGATCCGTAATGAGCGAGTGACACCAACAGATCACTGGCAGGATGTCAGGCACCTGGTCCTGGACGTCGATCTTCCTCACAAACTCTGGGACCAAGCGAGTCGTGCTGTCGGCAATTTAACCGTCACCATTTTCCCCAAGAACTATCCTGACGATGTCGATGAATTAATACGTCTGATGGACTGGCAAGACGTTGCCGACAGGCCACTGAGAATACCATATCGGCCGAGAAATCTCGTCACTAAGGAATGTCCCACGCTGCGAGACCTTCTGCTACATAACCTAGACATCACAGCCATTCCAAAGCGGAATTTCATCAGGGAATTAAGTTTTTATGCCAGTGACGAGAGAGAAAAAGAACGGCTTCGGGAACTGACGCTTCCTGGGAACGAGCAAGAGTTCTACGATTACACGTGTCGGCCCCGCCGTACCATTTTGGAACTCCTGGGCGATTTCAGGAGCGTCAAGATACCCTGGGGTGCAGTCCTTGATCTCTTCCCACTCATTCGAGGCCGTGAGTTCAGCGTTTGCAATGGCGGCACCTCGTTTGAGACGGCCAGCGAGCCCAACAGGATCCGACTGGAACTTCTTGTAGCCTTGGTCGAGTACAAGACAATCATCCGCAAACCTCGCCAAGGCCTTTGTTCACGCTATCTCAAACATCTCCCCACAGGGACCAGGCTGCGTGTATTGCTCAAGGCAGGGAGCGCCATTTCTCTAGTCCCTAACAAGGAATCGGCCAAAAGACCGGTGATTGCCATCGCCACTGGCACCGGTATCGCACCAATTCGTGCCATCATCCAGGAGAGGGACTCGTATCCATCTCCTGGAGATACCCTTCTTTTCTTTGGCTGCCGGAACCGCATGGCTGATTTTCATTTCGAAAAGGAATGGGAAGTAAAGCCGAACTTGCGTGTTTTTCCGGCTTTTTCGCGCGATAACATTGAGCCGGACCCGGCTAGCACTCAGTCTATCGCTGCTAGCAGCAAGACGACGATAATCACCAATGGGACCCTTCCTACCCTTCAGCTCGATGCCCACAAGAACTACGTGCAGCACTTGATCCGGAAACACGCCGATCTTGTTGGTCACTTCATGCGCCAGCGGCCCATCATCTGCGTATGCGGCTCTGCGGGAAACATGCCCAAGGCTGTGCGAGCTGCTTTGATTGATGCAATGATCATCAGTGGCGTCGTCTCCAACTGTGATGAGGGTGACAAGATGTTGAGAAACCACGAAATGGTTACGTACTGGGAGGAGACTTGGTAATGTGCTGGGAGGGAAGAGTATGGAGCAGGGTCTGATCCTTGACAGCCTCTTCTAGTCTAAGTCGGGATACAGGCTACTAGATGTTTGATGCTACGAAACGGAGAGAACTTTGCTGGGGAGGATACCCGCGACAAGAGCACCGTTCATGTCAGGTTTCTGTACAGGATATGATGCAGGACTGGGAGGTTTACTTCTAGGATCAACAGATAGCTAATGCAATGGAAGGATTTCAGTCACCCGCCCTGAGGGTGTGAATTACCCTGTAGATTACCATGGCAGGAAAGCAACTTTTCACGAGTTAAACCTAAAGTGCCTGGTTTATTCAAGTATTTTGATCTGTCCTTACTAAACACTATCAACCCCTTCAACCCCTTATTTGCGCACTGATGACAGACACCAGACTTTATCCACATATACATCACCACTCCCTATTGGAGATCAAATCCCAAGGCTCATCTCATGCGAGGCCTGGTTCTCAAAATGGGCACTCTTAAAATCCAAGTCCGCGAATTCCCCCGTCCATCAGCGGCCACCTTAATAAATTTACAACTTTCAACTGAAACCCTTCAGCACACTATCTGCTCAAAGGGCTCTTACAATGGACATATCTGTCTTTCCTTGGCTTTCAAACTTCTCTGACGAGTGCCTTGAACTAGTCCAAAACGCCAATTCCCTAATGTTTATCCCGACATTTCCGCGGAGAACAAAACGCCCAATTCCCAAACACATGATCAGATCGTGGAATATTCGCTGCCTACCACCGAGTTTCCAGGAACGGAAGTTACCTATGTACGGTGTAATGTATCAATTAATGAATCGAGACGACAAGATGTAGTCTTTTAATATGCAAAAAGTTGACTATTAGCTGTCGTCTCCCACCTCAAAACTATACCTCTTCTCGGCCATCTGAGGGACATGAATGATCTCGAAACCAGTCTCGATTCGTTCTTCGCTATTCGGACTGCGCGATTCACGAGTGTCACTCGACGCCGACCTGTGTTCTATTTGGCCTTCGCTCATTTTCTGCTCGCCGGTTTCTCTTTGTCGCGAACTGTTCTCGCCCTGTTCTTGCACTTGGCTTGACCGGGCCATTATCAAACCATGCTGTCTCTCTAATTCTTTCAGCCGTTCAGCTTCCTCCATGGTATAATTGCTTCCAAGAGTGTCTGTCGAGCCTTGCGTATCAGAGCGATAATGCCCTAGCGACTGAGAAGGCCCCACGCCTGGGGAGGACAAATCAGCCAGCGGGCTCTGTGGTATCCGGAGTCGTGGTACTGGCTGTTGCGGCAGCTGAAGCTGGATATTTTCTGGCAAAGGTCCCAGACAAACAACACGAGAAGGATCAATTGGTGTGCGTTGGACTGGAGGACCAAGTCGCGGCATGGTACCGCTTGTCGGCGTTGTGGGAGCAGGGTTGGAACCCGAGCAAGTTATGGGCGTCGGGGCCATGGAAGGCGGGAAGTGCACAGAGCGAGGTGTGACTGGTGAAGGACCAGGGGAAAGGCTGATGCCGGCCTCTTGTTCGCTCGAAGGCCCAGGAAACCGTGTTGGCGGAGCTATTGTCATGGGCGATGGGAGATCGGTCATACGGCTCGTCCACTCGCCATGTGGCGTCAATGGGGAGGGAAGGGAGTAAGGAAGTGTGCTGCTGTTTGCGTATGTAGGTGAGGAGGCTGGAGATGGTTCATCAGCTGGTCGATAGTGAGGAATAGGACTAATATCCTGAGCCGACTTCTCTTGGATATTGATGGCCATGCCATTTTCTGGCGGAGTGTAGGCCGGGACCGGCCCTCGCATTTGTCTTTCTAACTTTCTTCTCGTTATTTCATACTGACTAAGCCCCTGAGTAGTGTCAAGACCTAGCTCGGTGATGTCATCACCAACATCGTTGCTGTCCAGCTCCACTGGCTCAGGTGGCACGGGCATTTCATAGACTTGGTGCTGTGCATCCGCTCCAACTTCAACAGGTTGGCCACTGCTCCCATCGGATCCAGCTGTCACGGTTTTTCGCGACCTCTTCTTATTGACAACCTTGGTGAACATTCGCTTCACCGGACTCGTTGGGACCTCCTCCTGCAAAGCAGCAGGCACCTCAGTACGCTCGCTTTCTGCTCCTGCTGTATCCTTATTTTCCTTGGACGGTCGCTTGTGCTGGTGCCTGAAATATAGGAACAAGGAGAGAAGACCGAGCGTAATGAGTATTCCGAGAGCGATCCCAGCTTTCTGAGCGGTGTTTAGGCCCCCTTTCAGAGATGGCGACGTGGGTTCATTTCGATAAGGGGGGTATGGACTGTCGGGGGGCCTGGGAATCGCTTCTAACGAGTAGTTGCTAGAGGCATTTTGTGGGAACAAGGCCTGATGGAGTGAGAAGGAGGATCTATCGTAGCTCGTAATCAGATATGCCTCTTGCATAAACACGCGGCCGATGATATACTGCTCGTTGTTCACTTCTTTGGTCGAACGCTTGAGGGGAAAGTACGGGATGCTAGAGTCACCCCATTTAATGACGTTTCTGAAGGGGTAGCGCAAAAGCTGTGCAAATGCAGCCGATGGTAAAGTGATGTTGACCACACCAGGAGTGCTGAGAGGTTGGCCAAAGTCATCGGCATTCTGATAACTGGACAATGTAAAAGTAAACTTCAGAGACTCATCATTTTGATAGTGAGTATACTGAGCGCCGTTCGCAAACACATAGACACCCAAATCTTCCCTCCAAGTCAGGTTCAGTGCTGCGGCGAAGCGTTCGCACACTGGTGTGGGGAGCCAGAGATATGGGGTTGAGGAGTCAATGATGGCGATGATAGAGTCGTCCATAGTGACCAAAGGATGCGAAGTGGAAGTCCAGTTTTTGGTAGGGGCATGTTCAATGGAGTCCACGTGTGCCGTGATACCGCGGAGACGAACAGTAGGCAATCGTGTGACAGGGTCAAGCGCGAACTTATGGTCATGAGGGACAAATCTCAGCTTGTCGTAGCCTCCTAGAGTCAGGGATGCCACTGTGCCGCGGTTTTTGCCATCTCGACAGCATGTTAGTACCAATTGAATCCATTCAGATAGGAAAGGCTTTGGGCGCCCGCGGAGTGTAGGAATGAGAGAGCTTACTTGGTCGATAATAGGCGCCAGCCGTATAGCCGTAGCTATGGCTCGGTATGGAACCATATGACTGAGCCAGTTGAGAGATAAAGGGCATGGTGAGATTGTTGCCAAACCTACCCTGGGTTACACCAAGCCCGACATAGCCTTGGTAGTAGTTCGTATCGTTGTAAACCGCCACAAGAGCATCGTCAATGGCCGTCGTAAAGCTCGCGACTGTGTTAACAAAGGCCAGGGTTTCCAAGCCATAGTCCCCGTTCCCTCCCATGCCAGTATAGTTCATGCCCAGAAGCCAGGTCCCGAGTGAGCGCCATGTGTCTGATTGGGATATGTCAAAGACGCCGCCACGTGCGTCAATGCATAATTGAACTGGGTGTCATGTTAGTAAGGCTTCATGTATATTATCGATCTGCCGGAGGCGGCATCGACTCACCGGGAACACAGCCGCCAGTAGACACAACCCATATCTCCGAGAGGGCAGTTGCAGGAGTGAGATAGACTGCCTGAGCGGGGGAACCGATGAAGAAGGCGAAGTTAGACCAGTCTCCGTCGATGCCATACCTGGAAGGGGAGGGGGTCAGCAACAGGGCCATAGAGTGGATTCGAGTCCATGAATAAGCGATCGAAGGGACTCAGGACGCACCACTCTCCCGATGGCTGGATCCAGAGGGGCTCTGGCGACTTTGAAGGGGGCTTGTCGGCGCCACCGTCGGCTCCAGTGCCAGCATCAGCACTGGCCGTGACGGGTTGCAGGGCCGAGAGCAGCTGGAGAGCAAAGCAAGAAATGGCGAGCCCGCGGGCGGGCAATGGCATGGTGGCAACAGCCTAGACAGAGGCGGCTGCGCCGCGCAGCGAGTTGATGGAGTCGAGTGCAGTTGATAGGCTCTCGTGTCCTAAGCACGCACGAAGTCGAAGTGAGACGTCATGAGCTAGGTGAAGAGCATGTCAGTGTCGATTCAATCGAAGCTGAATCAATTGGATTGCTGGAGCCATGAGTGATGGGGATTATGGCCGGTGGCGCAGTATCGGATTGTGAAGCGGCTGCTGAAGCTGGAACTGGCGATGATGTTGATGTTTGGAGCGTTTGCACGCGACCTCCAATCATGCCATCAGCTCGACGGCCAGTACGCTACTCAGATCACCGCTGCTCAAGAACCAACTCGATTTCGAAGCCGACGAGTAAGAGACAGGTTACGCTGCGCGTAGCCCCTGTGCTGGCGGCCGCATGAGAGCGTGTAAGGAGAAGAGTGACAGAGAGATAGAGAGATGCGGATGGTAGACGGCAACACCAGTACGACAAGCAGCGGTCGCCGAGAATTCCGCAAACGTGAAAATCGGCCAGGACCCGAAGGCACAAGTATGAAGCCCAAGGTAGGCAGGTGGTCCAGCATATACCCAACGCCCGTTTAGAGCGTTCCTAAGATGCCTAGTACCAGTACCAGTAAAGAATTGACGGTAGGGAAGGTGATGGAGATGGGAATCATGTGGATGGGATGAATGGAGCTCAGACTCGATGTATGGAAGGCAGTCCGTAATCCGTACGGACGGTTTACGGGGAACAGAGAAGCAATGGAGCAGCAGCCAAAACGGAACTCCCGTCTTGGTCAAAACCAACCACGTCCACCCGGTCCAATCTTCCATATGTTGCGGCGCCCGGGTTCCATGGAATGCACGGTTGCAGGCAAAAAAAAAAAAACGGCAGAACCTTAAGTTGTGAGCCCAGCCCAAAGCTCTGACTTTTGGGACGTGAAACCTGAAACATAAAGGATGGGCACTGACGGAACCTGGAAGTATGAAAGACAGGTAGGCAGGTGTCATCCTAAAGCTGGAGATAAAGTCCTTCCATGACCAGGCAGGATCGGCGAATGCACTGCAGGCACCAGACGAGTACTGACCTGGGCTGAGCACCTTCCAGACTCCAGCTCCAGCTGTCCTGGGCCATCCACTTTATCATGGATGGCTTACAACTACCAAGTATCACCTACACCTAGGTAGCACACCTAGCCGTGATGCGCAACCGAGTAAGGTAGGTTGGTTGGTAGGTTACCCGGCCAGCTCGGCAGGTATGTGGTGGAGAGGTAGGTAGTGTATAGCCTGATGAGCAGCCTCTTCTCGACAAGTGACGAACAGCAGTGACATGGAGGCTCAAGCCACCTCAGGTACGGGGACGGATTGTGCGCATGCGAACTCAGCTACAGCCAAGCCAAGTCATGGAACAGATGCTCATCGCGATCTGTTTGCCCTTACGCCGCGAGCCCCCCGCATTGTCCATCCAATCCGCCAGGGGCACGATCAAGAGTGCAAGCACCGGACAACGCATGCCATTGGAAACTTGAGAGGACAATAAAATAGACACAACCAAAAAAAAATCGCACACATACCTGACAAGATTTTGGCATTCACGGACAGCATGACAGCATGAAGAAGGAGACTGAGGCATTGCACACTGCATTGCCAGAGGAATTGAGATGGGAATGGGAATACAATCGGGAAATTTGGGCCTTCCTGGAGAAGGGGACACCCAAGATTCGTCCCGTTTGCCGTTCCTGGTTGGATGTTCCTTCCAAGTTCATTGGCCTCGTACTTATCGCGTACGGAGGGAATCATAGAGAACAGCTCGCCTGCCCGTAACGGCCACTAGGGCGAAGCCAAGACACAAGACCCGTGGGTCGCCAACCCCGCAAGGCTCCATCCACTTGCAGTGTTGCCCACACAAGCAGACTGGCTGTCCAGAGATGAATCTTACCGTATGACCCAGCGAAATGGGAGCAAACAATACGTGATATTACCACCACACTCTCGGGTTGTTCGCAGGATGCCCCAGGCCTCCAGCAATCGGCATCACTTCAACAGTACCTTCGTCGTGCGAGCTGCCCACAAAAACAGCCGAAAGTCTGCATATGACAGCGCCGGGACCTGGGAGGGACGTATGGGGGGAGATTAACGATGACGGCCACGGGACGCGACACGGCTCGCAAAAATTCCAAGCATCCACAATAGGTAGGCTTAGATCACAAACCAAACGCTCCACCAACCAGCAAGTTTTCTTCGCGATGTGCATGAGACACACGTTGCCCACTGCTCAGAGACTCGGGAACACCATTCTCATCATCCCCAGTCCAGTCCCATGCCTACATACTGGTATCACATTACACATGGGCGCCAGCGCTTTGGGGCCTGGCACCGCGTCCGTGGATGCTGCTCTCAGGCCACACGTGGTTTTTGTCGAACTTGGGAGCGGCTGCGGATTGCAGCGAAAAGCGCAGAGGTACCGTCTGGTGTCTACGGATCACTTAGCATGCGATTTGTACGGGGCGCGGTTGTCCACACGATCGGGTCAGGAGGAGCCCGTGGAGGCTTACGGCACACTGGTTTGGTTCTTGGAACATGAACTGGGATGATCCTCTAAGCCCACCGGTCCAGACTACTTGTTATCTCTCTACGTACACGACCTCTTTGGCTACGGGCTGTGTGTGAGAGAGATGCTGTCAGATTAGGGTCGGGCGTTCGATCAGGACGACATGGTTCGTACGATCTGGCCCGATCATCGAGCTGTGCACTCTTTTCTCGGCGATACGGTCAGCCTGCCTTCTGCCCACCTGTCAAGGGAAATGCTGCTGCTACGCATGCTGCTTGGGAAGACATGCCCCTCCCAAAGCCTTTCTCTCCGGGACTCCCTCCCCCTTCCCCCCCCCCCACCTTTTCCCCAACATTTGCTAAGGTGAGGGCCCCTTGGCATCATGGTCTGTGGAGCATGGGCGTTAGCCCCGGATTGCACCGAACACCTCAGGGCAGGGGACAGCATTCATCGCCGGTTGGTACTTTCACAAGTCTTTCACTGTGTTATTTTCTCCCCGATACGCCCGCCTATGGATTATTCTTGCAGGAGTTGCCCGTGTCTCCGTTAACCAGGATCTCTCGCTCTCGCTGACCGGTCGGCTGGATCTTTGCGGGAAGATCTCACTCGAGATTTCTCTGCCATGGCCCATCTCCCTGGGTCCCCAAATGCCGGAAATGCGGGCTTTCACGGTGGTGAAACCGCGAGGGAGCGCACTCGGCTGAGAAATATTGGTGTTACTGATGTTTTCAGGGCTCTGCCACCGCGGCATCCGGCGATCCTGCCCATCTGCTTCTCCTTGATATACAATATACATGCACACTGTCCAACAAGGCAGGCTGCCGAAGCGATGCGGCCATTTATAAAGCGCTCCAATGACTTTTGGCATAGATGCTTGTACAAGAAGCTCAGCTGGAGCAAATCCACTGCTTTTTCGTTACGGGCGTGGATGCGGACCTCATACACGAGATTGTGTCAGTTGCTGACGGCATCGAAGCGTCAGCAAACCCCAGATGCCCGCGTCCCGACGGAAGCTCTGGGAAAAGACATGGCCGGAAGAGGCATGAGGATGCATCGGACACGGCAGAGACAATATATTTCGCTATTCAAAGGGCGGGGTCACTCTGGCTAAATTCCATATTCCCCATTTTGCCGGCGCTCCCAACCAAACTTTGCGGCGCTCTGTTACGCAACGCGTGCAATTCTGCTAGCGCCGGTCCGTTCATAGGCAGCTACTTAACGGTTTTATTAATTGCCTTACGAACACTATGATCTCTTTGCAAGATTGGGGCTTCTCTCCAAACGGTCGTGGTACGGTACCTCGGTTGTTCTAGCCGATGAAGCTGCTGCTGTGTCGATGTTCTCCGAGCTCTCAGACTTTCAAGGAACTCTGTGCTGGTTTCTCGTTATCTATCTGTCGTGGGTACAAGCGATTCGGCGCATAGCGCATCTTCGCCTGCTTGTCGTCTTAAATAGGAAGGCCGTTTTTGCTTGTTTACCCTAAATGACGCGCATGACACTCTCCTTTTCTGGTCGAGACTAAAGAACAGGCAGGTGGCAGGACGCGAGGGTCGTCTGGTCTTTCTGCACACCTCTGGCGCTCGAGCGACCGACAGTACCAGTAGCCTGAACTCCTCTGGCACTGCTGGCTTGGCCGATGAGATTTTGATCGACCCGAAGGCCCAAATCGAGGTCCTTTGCAACATTTTCTCGCTTGCCATGATGCCTCATTGGCTGCCGGAGGGCTGTTGTGTGGACAATGACTTTGAATGTTACCGCAGACCCTGCCTCATCAGCAGACTTCCGAGACAAAGTGAGCTCGCATTGGCACGTTGCAGGTTGCAAGAACCCGCGAGTTGAGTCGACTAATCCGTAGGACCAGGACAAGCGCGCGCCAGAAGTCTTTCCCACGACAAGCAAGACAGACTGCGTATTTTACCCATGTTGCAATTGCCACCTAGGTAGGCAATAATCCGTAATTCATGATTGGCTTTTGTGTGTACGGAAGGGTTGGCAACGGGGATCGTTGAGCCACTCAGCCTTCGCCTGTCAAGCATGCGCATCAAGGCTTGTTGGCCGCAGCGAAACAAGGCTTTCTGTGAGTGATGCTGACGCCACTGATCGAGCACGGCCATCGCGGCATTACGGCTCAAACCGTACAGTGCCGCGTTGTGACAGTTTGGCTGATGGATATATGTTGACTTCCTAGTCTACCAATTGCCGACCAAGCGATATGCGACCCTGGCGTATGGTTCCACCAATCCTGTCATGATACTGCATAGGTTCACTAGGTAGCTACCTATACCACGCACTTAATAGCGGGTCGTCTTGCCGGAATCCACGTGTGTTGGTTCCCGCAGTGTGAAATGATTTTGACATTTTCTCGCTGGCAAGGAATGATATGTGTCAGCCAGAAGGTCTGGTTTGTGTCATCACAGATCCGCATGCTTAGTGTGTTGGCTAGGATTCTAGTGAGACAATCGAATTTCTACTTTGGAAAAACCAGGGCCCCCCCCCCGAGTCGGTCGTCAACCAAGAGACGATGGCGGAGGACTTCGCTCCATGGTGAAGCTCGGCAATCTGGGGGCGAGAGTTCGAAGAATCGTTCGGTTGCAGCTTATGGATCTCTGGGTGTAGCGGTCCCTCTCTCGGATTTTTACACCGGGCGTGCATCATCAGCCGGAAAAAGAGAAGAAGCCTGCGCCCATACCCTGGTCAGCCCCAAAGCCCCTGGCTCTGTCTAACCAAGCTGGGATAAAGCTCATCTCGAAGCTTGTCTCAAACAAAACGGCCAGCAAGAAACTGCATGTGACGACTGACCAGAGAAAGAAAGGTGAAGAGCAAACCATGCTCGAGCTCGAGAGGAACAAAGAGACCTGCCACGTTATCGCTCTGCACGGCAACAGGCATGTGTGGCGTCAGACTGGCAGGCAAACAGAATGAAAAAGCCTGGCCAACAACAGGCGCGCTCGCCCAATTGTGAGCACTGGAATCTGAGCATCTGAGAGCATCTCCGGCCCCAGATGCATCTCTAGACTCTAAAGCCGTTCTCGTTTCTCGCACCATCCACGTCCCCTCCATCCCCTCGGGGAAGGGTGTCCTCGGCCAGGGACGAAATCCTTGTCAAAGTCACAGATCCTCATGCTCTCATGCTCATCTGGGGCCACTGGGCCAGGCTTGGGAATGCTTGGAATCATGGGCTGCTTGGCAAAATGTTTGTGCAACCCCCAGGCCCCATATCTCCTCCGAAGGGCAAGGGCAGGGATGCCGTTGCGCCAGCCTGTTCCCACGACTTCCCTCAAGGCCGGCCGCCGACATGAACTGTGACACGCGGTAATATGAAATCGTCCCACAGGACGCTCGTTGATTAGGCTCAACATAGCGTCCAAATTGTACTGTAGTCTAGAGGGAAGCATTCTCCCGCTGGCACAGTGTTCAGACTCCATGCTCCGTACATGGCTTTTGAACTCCGGCAGTCGTGCACGGTAATTATTCTGGCGCGCTCATCTTCATTTCATTCCTAGTTCCAAGCCGCCTTGCCGCAACGCCAAAACAGCCGTTCCAGACATCCGAGCACTTCCAAGATCCAACCCGTCGCTGATTTGCCCTCTCACTGTTCAGCTGCTGTCCTGTCTCGGACCTCTGCCGGGTCGCTCGTTCAATTCCCAATACCCTTGTTCGCTTGCGTTTGTTGATGTTGTGAAATCCATAGGGGGGTGACCGGCCCATCTCCTTGTTTCTTTTTCATATTCAGTTCCTCAGGACAGCTCTCAGCTTACCCTTCGTTATTGTTCGACCAGTACCAATATCGTCCTCCAGCATCCAGAACGCAATGCTACCATTGGTTGTGATGGCGAAGAGGTTCTTGTGGTGAAGACAGAAGCAGCCGATAGTCGAGGGGCTCTCGTAGAAAAAAAAACAGGGCAAGCACGCACAACTTGGGCGTATTCTGTCTCCGATGATTGAGCGGGGAGATACAATTCAGCATCAAAACCTTTCAGCTCTCAGACGGGCGCAGTATAAGCAACAAAGAAGACTTGCCCCAGCCAGAACAGCATGGTCAGGGGCCAGTGTGCGCTGTTCTCCATCGCTGTGCTCGCTGGTCTTTGCGTCGACAAGACCCTCGGAGGTCAGCATCTATCCGGATGCCTGGATTGCTTTCCCCGACCATGGACACTAACAACGCAAATAGGACTACTCAGACGCCAGCACATCGCCGCTGGCTCGATTCAGAATGCTCAGGTTATCAGTGACTCCGTCCTGCCAACTCTGGAGGGGCCTGTCAGAGGACCAGCAGCAACGGTAGCAACCGTCAAAGGCTTTTCCGAGAGCAGCTCAGAGGATGCCTTCCCTGAAGTGGGCGCTCCCATCGTCAGTCCAGTCCTTCCTTCAACAACTACTGCTAGTGTATTGAGCCAAAATGCATCTTCGACGCAGACGGCAGGATCAGCCAGCTCATCGACAACAGCACGAGTACCACCGACCAGGCCGCCAAGTGCACCCTTAACTGTCGCCGTGACTATTGTCATTGACGACTTCCTCGGAGGTTCGGGAGGGAGCACATTGTTAGAGTCCTCCTCGGAACTCTCTACCTCAACGAGTTCGGAGGACTCAGCGAGCTCGACAACATCCTCGAGGAAAACAGCCCCGACCCCCCCACGTCCTCCACCAGCAGGAGGATCGCTTCCCTCTGGCACACCTCAGGTCTCTTCCGCCAAGGTAGAGAGCTTTGATCTGGGTTATGGAAAGACGTCGGCCCAGCCAATGACATTCGTGACGTCTACGCTGTCTGCAGATGCCACCCGGGTGTCCAACTCTGTCGAGGAGCCATCTCTTGTTTGCGACGTTGGTGAAGTTGTGGTGACACCCACGGTGTGGTCAGTTGTTTACACCAGCACCATCACCTGGTTTGGAAATCCAGAAGACTATACTCCTCCATACCCGCCTTTATCTCTCCCTTCTCCGACGCCGACTTGTATTCCAAATCCATCCCCGGCTGAGCTCACCGTTTCGTGGTGCTCCACGGTCAACTCTGATATCAAGTGCAGAACGAGTACAGCCACCCCGACTTACCTGTTTGGAGTGCAGACCAGCTTTATCAATCCAATCACCTTCCTGACTACTGATAAGAATCCGGCCGTGATTTACACGAGCTTTTCGGCGCCGAACTACGGCATCAGCCAGCCACCCAAGACCCGAGATAATCATGTCAGCGCAACCGAGACACCCGTGGTTTCTACTCCAGCCTATAACTCCAATGACGCTCCACACGCGATAACCGACGCGGCTGTGCACCATCCAACCCCCAGTCCAGCAGTCCCTATCACTGTAGCAGTGCAGCCATCAGCCGTGGTCATCAATGGCAACACAATTCGCGATAATCCCGCCACCCCGACCCAGGTCGTGGTTGTTGCTGGTCAGACCTTCACCATCGACCCCACCAAAGTTGTTGGAGCCGGCCACACCGTGGACAGGCCGGCGCCCACTGGCGGGGCCTACGTCCCCATCCCGACTACTACTAGCATTTCCGGCATCCGCGTTGTGGTCATCTCTTCGAAAGCCATCATCGGAAGCTCTACCTTCGCTCTCCCTCCTGCCGGAGCAGCCCCCACAACCGCTATTGTCTCGGGGAAGACATTTACCATTCACCCGACCGCCATCGTCGGCGGCAATGGCCACAGTGATGGGACTGGCTTTCCTTCAGCAGGCAACTCTGGCTCACAATATCAAACCCTCACTCTCCCAGCCTCCCCAGCTCCAACTGAAGTTGTCGTTGCGGGCGGCGACCTCATCACCGCAATCGGCGGTTCCATCGTCATCGTTCACGGCACAACCATCACCTACGCCACGCTAACTTCTGCGCTGACGACGACCCTCAACCCCGGCGACCCCTCGGCCGTCATCACCATCGGGCCCTCGGGGATCACTCTGACCGAGCACGCATCTCGCATCATCCTCGGCGGGCCCGACGCTCCCTCCGGCGCCACACAGTACGCCCTGGTCGGCGGGGCAACGCTGACAAAGATTGGCCCATCGGTGGTCGTGCTGGACGAGACGACATACACTGTCGGCCCAGGCGCGGGCACTACAATTACGCAGTTGCCCGGCGGCGAGACGGTAACCATCGGCCCCGAGGGCGTGGTTGTCGACTCAACCATGACAATTCCATTCCCATTTGGACCAACGTCTACGACGGTGATCATACCGGGAGCAACACCTACGTGGGGAGGTGCCGTTGCTACAGGAGTTGGAGAATATGGATATGGTTGGACTGGGAGCTATGACAATGGCGAAGGTAAGGAAGAGGAGGATGTGGCAGCAGGGTTGAGACCGTGGCTAAACGGCGTTATGTTGGCATGGATGATCTCTCTTTTGCTTTGCTGGTCTGGTTAATGGCATCGGGGCGGCAATTGTGCTTATATGATTTCGGGTTTTGGCTTGGGCTTTTTGTTTGTCGGGATTGGGGAGTTGTTCAGGCGTTTTGGTCCATCGGGGTTGAAAACAGCAACAACATGCGATTATTGTTTTTTTTTTCTTCAATCACTGGGCAAAGAAGCGCACATTCATTGTGCCCGCCATCTTCGATGTTTATGGACCAGGACTTGAAGGATGTGGTTACTCAATGTGCCCATACTTCCATGACTGATACCCAGGAATTCATCTACCGGATACGAAGGCTCAAAGTTTGGACGTGAGGAACTCTCACGGGAGGTACTTGAAGGGGTAGTCGTGGGCTGGAAGCATTTTGGCTCTATGTACTTAACAAGCGAGAGTGAGGGAATACAGTACATATTGGATAAATAGCTACCCTACTGTGACAGGATGTAGCAAGTCGGTGACGGCGCAATAATACAGCAGCAGCTGTGCTGTATTGATATTTTCGATGCTGCTTCATCGAACGGAGTCAGAAACTTCTCCTACGGACCGCCACCATAAATGCTAAAGACAAAAAACCAGCACATTGCTCGAACCTTGGTCACATGCTCTTTTCCTTCCCTTTTCCCCTTTCGCCCCTCTCACTCAACGGCACGTATTCGTCCACGTTCGAAAAGACACCAACAACACCGTTGTTGGCTCGTCTAAGCCGCCGTTCCTCTTCCTCCAGGCTCAATCTGAGTGCAAGAGCCAGGTCATCGTCGATTCCGGTGTCGAAATCTGCGCGAAATCCGACTTCGTCAGGCATAATGTTCGGCCCTTCATCAAACCTTACTCCAGAGCCGCCACTGTAGTGGTAAGACCCAGACTCCATTGTCTTGGCTCCTGGTGCCAGTAACGGGGCCTTGCCTTTTTCCTTCCTGGATGTGCTCTTTGTCTTAGTCTTCTTAACTTTGAACTCGTGGCCATAGTGGGTGGCAAGGCTACTCTGAGACACATTCTCATCGACGCTCACGACAGTGTCAGCGTCACATCCAGCTTCCATCAACGAGAGGCGGATGGCGTGTTGGAGCTGAGCTTCGTAGTCTGAATCGTACTGGTCATCATGTTCATTACGTAGTTGTCTTCCTTCGAGGTTGGATGAGGACGATGTGGCGCTCGGTTCCAACACAGTAGGAGCAGCAGCAGCTCCAGAAAGACTTGGTTCTGGTGTGATGGTTTCTACGCTGCCGACAGACGACGCAGTGTCCCTCCCAGAGACAGCTTCTGCTGTTGATGCTTTGTCGCTGGTGCTGGCCACACTCAGACGTCGTTGTTCTTCCAACAGATATGCCTCCTCCGAAATGATTCTGGCATATTGCAACGCCTCTTCCTCGGTCAGTTCACCCATCCACCCATCGCCAACGTACTTTCTGCGAAGACGCTCGAGTTCTTTCTCTCGACGCTCCCTTTCGCGTCGCAATTCAGCCTGCTCAGCAGCGATGTGACTTTCGACGGTATTGGAGTTCCGACGTGCACCACCTGCACCATGGACGATGTCGTGATGATGACGGTGCCGGCGCTTTCGACCCGAATGCTGAGTTGTTGAAGAAGAACTGTAATTCCAGAAACGAACATAAGTGCCACAGGCGAGGATGCCACGCAGAGCAGTTGGGTCTGGATCGAGAAAGATGGCTCGGACACTAAAATAATTTGCCTGAGCTAATGCAGGGTTGGCGTTGAGCAAGTGGCGCGGAATCCGGCCGTTAGATTTGGCATTAATTGTGCGGATAGGATCAGGAGATGAGGCCAGCGGGTCCCAGACTTGGACCAGACTGTCACTTCCACCATGTACGAGATAAAGCGAAGACAATGCAAGGCTGGTAACCTCAGGAGATTCGGTCTGAATAATCCGCAACGGATGGATGACGGATTCTGCGCCATCGCGCGTGTTCCAGACAAAAATAGAACCGGCATTGGTGCCGACAGCCAGCAGTCGAGCACGCCGACCAGGGATTTCGCCCAGGGGCTGCTTTGCAATGGGGGTAGCGGCCGGATTGGGAGTAACTGTCTGAGAGCTAGAAAGCAGCGGGTCCTCGAAAGCTGCAACAACGGCGTACATGGATTGGTCGACAGCGCTGGCAGTGATCTCGAGGCCATGGCGCTGCGTGAACGCAAGCTCAGCGACCTGCCACTCATGACTATTAGCCGCCCGTGCTGGAGAGGACCCGGAATTGGACCTGCCGAGTCCGAGAGTCGAGAGAGCTACTCTGAAATCCTCAGGAGTCGCTTTCTGCCCGGTTTCAGTCACATTGCCCCCTAAGAGTGAGCCACGGTGGCTATAAGATTGGGGGGGGTTCCTGCTCGCGAAGGACGGGAGAGTTCTGTTAGAACGTTGCCCCTGACGTACCGGCGGATAGAGGGGCGCCCTCCATGTTGATCGCCGCATGTAATGACAAAGATGGCTTCCCCGTCACCCCCTTCGCTCCCAGCAGCGAAGTCAACCTCAAGGCGACGCAACATATCCCAACCCTCGAAGGCTCTTCGGAAGTAAGTTGGGGGTTGCCGCATAAGCTGCTCAATTTGGCGAGCATCCGCAGCTATCTGCTCTTTACTCAGCCCCATCGAATTCGCGGGGGACCTGGGAAAGCTGGTGTCGCTGACGGAAGTCTTGTTGAACTCGTCAAGTCGTGGCCTGCGGCGTGTTGATTCGATCAGCTCCCAATAAGCAGTCCGCCCTGCGCGCCAGGCGGCGTTAATTTTATTTTCCACCTTCTCTCGGGCTGGCACAGGTTCTGGCACTTCGGTCAGGTAGAATACCTCTCCAAGAGCATTTAAAGCCACGGCCCAAACACGTCCTAGAGCCTTTCGCCGGTAGCAGTAATGGTCATCAACTTTGATGTCAACGATGGGGACGCCGGGGCTCAGCACCCAGCGAGCGGTGATGTCCCCATCAGCGTACCGAGGGCCGGTAGACTCCCGGCCGAGCGCGTAACTGGTTACTACACCCAGCGTAGAGCCAACCATGATGCCTACCATGGACTGCGTGATAGTAGGCACATTAGAAGACTTGGCGATCCAAACACAACTTATGGCTTCGGACAACTCTGGAATCTTGGGAATATCCGGGGGCAGCGGATCAAGGGCACTTCGTTCACGGCCCAGATAACGACCGCGCAGCTGACCTGGCGCTTTATAGTAGACGTGGCCGCCAGGAAAACCCTCACCTCCGGCCAAACCATAGTGCTGGCTCACGTCAATGACATTCGGGACAGCGGCGGGTCCGTCACCAAGGCCCCAATACTCGAGATCTGGAAAGACCTCGTCAAGCTGTTGGAACGAAAATGGGTCATCAAGACCCAACTTCTCAATCCTGCCGGTAGTGGGATCACTAAAAGTGGCCATGCCGAGATCGGCACTGCCATGTATAGCCCTCGGGCCTTTTCTCCCCCCAGTAAAGTCGGCATGCAGGCTGGTGACCAGCCATGGAAGCTTCGGGTTGTACGTCAGGACGGCGGTTGCTTTCTTGCCAGACTGACAAGACGAACGAACGGCTGCGCCAGCAACGCCTGGTTTCCCTCGCACAACGCTCCGAAGCAGGCGGGTGCGAAGGAGATATTCGCTTCGCCATGAGGACAAAGGCGTCAGACGAGTGAAGTAGCGAACCTCAGAGCGGATATAATCGGACGAATCGGTAGGCTTTGATCCTACACGGTACTTTACGTGGTCTGCCAAGGCATCCTGACCTGGGAAGTAGCGCAGGAAGGCAGCACGCCAAGCATACGGAGTTGTTACGAGGGCGTAGAAGCGCTTCGAAACCAGAGCGACGGCGGCATGAGAGTCAGGATGCAGATGAGACAGGATTTGGGTCAAGATCTCTGTAAGAGCACTGGTCAGCGGCCACGGCAGCAAGAACAAGGAGAGTACAAAGGCGCCGTGGGCGACCACAATACGAACCGTTCGGAAAGTCGGTCAACTTCACGCCGGTCGACGGCGGGCCGTGAGTGACCCTGAAGGCCAGCGACGGGCGCGATGTGCGACAAGGGGCCGGTGCAATAGACGCATTCTCGTACTCGGTGATGCGCTGGCCGGCAACGGTAACGGTAACAGTAACGGCCATAGGCAGCTTGTTCCCCTCGGCGGCAATCAACCGGCCAGGGTCTTGGGGTGCATATTGCTGCCGCTGATGGCCGAACAGGGTGACATCCGGGGCGCTGCCGTCGTCAGGGCGTCCGTCGGCGCCGTCGTAACCGGAAGGCTGGACGGAAAACGGGCCAGCATCGGGGCTGGCGGCTGAGGCTGGGAGGCGCTCGCGGTCGCGGTCGCAACAAGAACCAGGGCCATGGCGGGCGGAGATGGCAGGCTGTGCAGGGTGGGGGCTGTCTGGCTCAACTAGATGGTTCAACGGGGTTTTGACCAGCCCTGGCTGCATAAAGTTCCGTGTAAAAAGCCCGCTGCTGGACTGTGTGGTCGGCTGTGCAGCTGCAGGTGCACAGTCGAGTCTCAGTCGAGTAAGTCGAGTCGAGGTTCGTTGTCGTGGTCGGGGGGTCGGATTGGTGTTGCCTTCGCTCTCCCTCTCGCTCTGTCAAAAAGTGTATTACTGTCGACTAACTGCGTCAGATGCAGTCTTCCTTTTTTTTCTTTAAGCGGGCGAGCAGCACTGAGCGAGTATTCAGGGTAATAGAAGTACGCTGTAGCAGGTGGTTGATGTTTAATTGAATCGAATGTCGATAGAGTCCCGTACTACAACTCTACCGTGTATGGATGACGCGATGTGGTCGTCGATCGTCAAAGATTGTCGACTTATGGGTGGGTGAAGTGACGTGTTTGAGCACTCCCATTTTTCGCCTACTTGTACGACACCCCAGCGAGTAGCGAGCATGTGGCCCGTGAGCAGGTGGGTCCCAGGCGAAGGGCTGGAGGTGCCCGAGGGCTTTCGAGCGCGTCTTGGCCAGGTTTCGTGGCTTGTGTGGCTCGTGTATCTGGGGTCCGGCATTTCGGCATCTAGGTTTCTCGCTGCTGTGACCAGCCAGATCTTCCGACATTGGGCAAACTCCCCTAAAACGGCGACCCGTCAGCCGTCAACCATCGACTATCGACACCATTGCGCAGCATCCCTGAAACCACACTAGTGCAAGCAATCCGTCTGTACGGATTACTGATGTTCTTCTAGTTCAGTGTTTGGATGGAAATGGGCAATGTACTGCAAACAGCGGCCAAGGTTGTATGTGATGTTAATGTTGATTTGAGTTTGAGCCATCTGGCTTTCGCATGCCGACGTCAACGAGACGCTATTCATGTCTGTGCTGGTGGTGTAGTAAGGAGTCCAAAAGCACTCGTACGGATCCGCGTGGCTTTCAAACTTAGCTAACAATGGCCTGGGCAGCCTCGCGCTCTGAACTCATTGTTCCGTGTTGTAAAAGGTTGCTCCTCTTGTGTTTCGCATGCTTGCTTCGTAGTTTTGGCTCGAAGCGGAAAACGAAAAAGTGGACCACGTCCCACGTCTCAGGGCTAGGTCCATGGCCGCAACGGCATCGTAATGACTATCATGTTGGTGTTGATTACTCTCCCTTGCGTATCACCATGTGTAGTTGACTCTTCCCCTTTCTGTAACGATAACTTCAGAAAGATTGTCGGATGTCAACACCCAAAAAGCCAGGTTAAGTAGCTTAGCGATTTAATTGAGTGTGGATTCGTGAGCGTTTGCTCGAGTTTCTGCCGTAGCTGTATTCGAACCAACTCTCCTTTACCCAGTAGACACTCCTGTGCACAGGCTACGGACATGAGCACGCAGAGTGGTTACAACTCTGCTTTTATGTACACTCGCTTCGAAGAGCACTTCTTCGCAGCATGCAGTCACCTCCGCATCCAAATCGGAAGATTCAACGGCATTTACGGAGCAGTGGTACAATACCAAGGGCAAGCCGTACGTGCCATGTACTCGATAGACTACCAGTTGTTAGATGGTCGCGCAAAACAAGTCACCCGCGAGCCGTGAAAGCCAAGGCCAGAAGGTGTGAAACAGTTAGTTTCACGGCATACTACTTGCTGTATGTACGAAGTTTCAGTTCACTTGCCCGGCCGGCAAGGTGACTTTGGAAATTAGAAACAGTAGTAGGTACGTGCTCAGTCTGTGATATATGATCAAGGTTGTGCTACCCACCTTCAACGGTTTCTTAACCAACTAACCCCCCACTCTTTTTTGCGTTTTGGCCCCACCTTTATTTCCAGACCGCTGCCCTGTGCTCCCAGAGAAGCTCGGAAGAAGCTTCGATCAGGCCAACATCCTGAATTATTGAACTTCAAGTTCCAGCTATTTACGACATGCTTCATTCTTGTACAGCAAATGACTAGTTTGTTCTGCACAAAACGACTTATCGCACCGTATGCGTGGCCGTGTAAGCCACAAGCAACTTCTCCCTTACCCCCACGGTTTTGTAACAAGATCAGAGAAGTTCAGGAAAGTCTCTTAGCCAACTGGCGTCATTAATTTGCAGATTACCCTTGCTCCGAAGACCCAGACATGCCTTCTGGCCCAACGGATATTCCGGTATCATTCCGATCGAACGTGAGACCATCGACGGGCCCCCTAGATCATGAGATGCTACTACACTACAACCCACAAACGATGCCACATTGACCATGTCCGTGTTCTGGCGTTTACACAGCTACTTTGCAACTTGGCAGGAGCCAATCGACCGCATACAGTGTGGAGAGGATATCCGTAGCTTGGCTTCATTTGCTCATCCATATGTATCCATATGGTTTTTCACACAAGATGCTCAGAGGGAGGTTTTATCTTGGTATCAAGGAACCATATAGGTGCGCCAACGAATTAACTAACCCAATCCAGCGTGCTTTACGTAATTCCAGCGAAGGAATTATGGTATATACGATAACTACACTACACTACAGCGCACACGGACCTTAACAGCAACTGGGAGGCTGAGTTGGATTGCTAGGTTGGTTGTTGCCCGTGAGCTTCGGCTCTCTTTTTTTCCGTGGGCGTGGGTCAACCAACCGCACGTTAGTGTACGTGCACACTCTCCACATGGGCAACGCGGGCAACTTATCCGCATTCGATCTTTCGCATCTTTACCAAGGAAGTCGAACAGGGGTCGGGGAAGCACGAAGCGGCAGAGTGCAGCAAAAGCAGCATCCGACCTGCTGTTGCTTGGTGTGCGGGGCGACTTGCCTGCCGCATGGAACGACTCTTCTCTCTCCTCCAACACTAGATGAAACAACAAAGTCATGGCGAAGTGCGTATCTCAACCAGTGGCATTCACACGGTGTACGCATCCTCGAGCTTGACATCTCTGCGGGACATAGCGTTTGCTTTTCCAGATCTGTACACGTATAGGACGCACCCGAATATCGGTACATATCACACATAGTATACAGGTACTCCGTTACCATATAGTCCCTACACTCTCCCTTCGTTATGTGTATTTGAAACTATGTTGATGAAGAAAACAATACCGTTGGAAGTGCGGTGGTCACAAAGGGAAGTTGTATTGGCTTTTCTGTACGCACGCGTCATATATGGGTGATATAGGTGGAGACCGAACATACGCAACACCACCCTCAAAAAACTCTCAATGCCTTTACCTACTGTGTAACGCAACAGGGACAAAACGGTCTTGATTTCGTCTTCAGCGCCGTTTATCCTCGAAAAAGTTAAGCACCTCCCTGTTTACTAACCGAAGCGCCATTGGTCCCGAGCTGTCCCGCGCCATGCCTCGGCAGGTGGGTCCTCCGGGTAAGGGATCCCGTTGTCCACGGGCTTCGCTAGTCCTCCGAACCCGCGAGCTAGTGAGAGGATCTGCCCGCAAGCCGCTCGTCCCTTCCCGCTCAAGGACCCACGATAATTGTGGATATGGTTTGACTTTGATCGAGCGCGTCAGAGGACAGATACATCTACCCAGAAAACAAAATACGATCACGTGGAATGCCTACAAAATATGTATGTGGGAGGTAGCAAGACACCTCTCAAGTATTTGGACGTTGGCGTTGCCCGTTCGGCTGGAGGACGATGTCTCCAAAAACATGCTATGTACCTCTCTCACTGTACTTCATGCGTCCACATTCTTTCACTAATTTAGGCTAGCCAGTGCTGGCAGAGCGAAATGATGTTACGGATTCGTGTCAGGCAGCTAAGGTTTGCAAGCTGCGGAAATCTTGTCGCAGGATGCCTCTGTGAGTGATTGAATGTATGTTAAAAATGCATTACACGCAAGCGGGGTGTTGACGGCGATGGCAATGGTGACATATACCATACCCTGGAAGCCTGCCCACGGTGGCCCCGAAACCAAGCAACTAATACTCTTCACAGCCTCTGGCTTTGCAGCAAAATAAATAAATAAATAAAATAGAATTAAAAAAGAGGCCCTAAGCATCATACTTTTTATGCACCGATAATTCCCAATTAAACCGGCAACTAGTTGTAGAAACAGCTTTGTTGACAAGAGCCGAAACAATCGGGTAGATGCCGGAAATGCTGGCGTCCAGTTCGCCCGAGGGGTGGTCTACAAGGCTGCTCCATGGCGGAGGCTGTTGCCAAACACTCCCGAAATGTTGCCATACATTGGTCGAGGCAGGTATGTAGGCACATGACAGACGAGGAGTCGGCTGACAGCAAGCGTCTACCAACGTGCTGGCCGACGTTTCCACGTTGGTGACGTGGTAACAAAATGAGTGTTAGAGAAATCAGCTGATTGATACGGAGACGGGAAGCCACGCATGTTGATACACACTTATCTAGGTATGGAAGTTTTTTTGCGTGGATTTACCTCTGGAGAGATAATGTTGGTTGTAATATGGGCGAGGGTTTGCTTACCGAGCAATACGTTTTGAAGGAGGCGGTGAGCGAGAAGGAGGGTCGAGGCCCCTGCTTCGGACCCGACAGCTTGGGACCGAACAAAGACGCCATCGACAACATCAGGTGCGTGCCCCGTGTGTCGTCTGCTAGTAGGGCCCCGCTGGTTTTGGTGGCAGGAGGAACATACGCTTATCACGGATATGAAGAGCTTTTCAGAGCTGTAAAACGCCAAAAGCCGAGATAACAGAGTTTGGAATGTTCCTGTGTAAACGGGCCAGCGTTAAAACCGAGAGCCATAAAAGCTGCAGTCTAGTAGAACTTTGACTAAACCATGTCCACACAGCAAACTGTTCTTGTCTTTCGGCACGGTTGTTTACTGTTGGCAGTTAAGTGAGGGCTCGGCTTGTGTGGGAAGGTCGGATGGTAAGTTGGCGACAGAGACTTGAGCGTCCTGGGGTGGGACCGAAACATGGCGAGCACTCGGGTTGTCACCGGGCACGGAGCAGCTGTCTTGCTTTGGCCATTTGCAGCATCCTCACTTGAACTATCAGTTTGAGTGAGACTGGAATCTCGAATGGATCCATGCACGCAGCCTTCAGTTCATCTTGAATGAGGGAAAATCGATGCAAGTGTTGCAGGAAGCATCTGGCACGGCAGGCGCAAAATTTCCATCCCACCCGTTAAAGGAAATTAATGAACGGAATACTGCTGAGATGGCTTGTTTCTCTCGAGATTGTTTCTTAAACTGCCACACATACACATATGTACGGATGTAATCTGTATGTATGTGTAGGTAGACGCATAACAACGTCCCAACTGGGGGACAATATCCTCGGAGAAGCGGCACAGCAGTGGAAGAAGGGAGGATCAGATTGTCTCCGTCAAGTGTAGGTGTAGGTATGCAGTTTATGCGCCAGTTCAAGATGCTGAGGTTCGAAACCAATTGCGTGATGTTTCCTACACAGTAGAGACGTCGCGCTGAAAATGGCGAGGTAATTCGTCGGCTATGAAGCTTAAGACTTGAGCGGCAGTAGGGTCGGTGATATTTGATACAACCAAATTAGACCCTGTTGCCAGCAGATAGACGCTCAAGTGAAGTCAGACGAGTTCAATAACCAAGGCTCCGTTCCTCTGCATCCAGCGTCCCGTCGTCCATGAAAGCTCACTGCAGTGTGGCATTGGTTGCCAGAGATTGCTCTGCAGGAACTGGAGCATGCATGTAAGCGGGCTGCAGGACCTTCAACGTGGGTTGATGGACTTGTTTCGTTGATGGGCTAGTGACAGGTACCTAGTCTTCAACTAGGCAGTTCTAAGTCTTCACCTGCAGAATAGATCAGCACTCTGCAGGTTGAGCTGGCATCCCAGCAACGGTTATGGCAATAGCGAAGCCGACGACGACAGCGACGACGACAACGACGGAGACGGGAGGCAATGTCCGGAGGGTATGGGTCGGTACGACGCCTGGGTCCGTATCCGTCAAACCAGGGGGCGGTCGAAAAGTTTCGGATTGAAGGAATCGTCCAAAGATCGCAGCCAACGAACAGACATGGTGGCGGCCTTGCCTGCCGGCCTACCTATGTACATCCAGTTGAGGTCAGTGGATCTATGTACATAAGGATGTGAGTACTTGTTGAGAGCACAAAGCCTATGCGTAGTGGTGCAGTAGCGCGACTTAGAGGCAAGTGTGTGGAAACTGAAAGGCTTTTTTGAGATGCAAGATGGAGTTCCAACAAACATCATCAAGACTTACACATGTTGCACGCGCTTGGTGGTCGTGACATCAGAATGCCGCAGAGAAGGCAGATTGGGCTAACTCCATACCTCAGGTTGTCCAGCCTGCCAACCGTTTCCTCAACCCCTGCTAGCTTCCAAGGGTTGCAGTTGAGGGCCAGTGGTGTGTGAGGGGGGAGTGTGCGGGCGAAGCGTGGGGACTCGAAATTTTTTTTGGGAAAGCTGCCCATTTCTCCCCATCTGACATTCGATGGACCGCGGGTTCCAGTCTGTCGTCCCGCACCTCTTGCCACTTCCAAGGGTCCAAGGAAAAGGCAAGCGATGTGACTGGCTGCGCGGGTTTTGGGGAGCAAGGGGGGTGAGGTTTGTCTCCTCACACACCTGCCCGAACCCTGGGATTGTGAGAGAACCCTCCACCGTAGTTCGTCGCTCCCTTTTTGGATGATTGGAAACGGCGGAGAAAACGTTACGGATTACACTGAGATAACGTGTCTGACGGAGAGGGCCCCCGTGTTGGCAGCACGCGCTGCGGATTTTACGGGGTTCTCCATGTCGGATGACAGCTCCAGGCTCACGTATCGCCAGCCGATGTGCCCACAACGTAACATGTAAAATAGAGCAATTGACTCCTTTTCTGCCTAGCATCTAGCAAGCAGGCCTAGCAAACCGTGACACACATGTGGGATAACAAAGACACAATGATGACGAGACGGATAATTCCAGTAGGACACACCTGAATGGACAGCACCCAGAACAAGAATGGTGGTGTCAGCGATCAGCGTCTTTCGATGGTGCTCGCTGGGTGGAGCCGTCGCTTCTTCACGTCGCACGGGCGCACCACACACACACCACGGTGACTTTTCCACTTCCAGACAAGGGCTCATGTTCCGTTCTTCTGCTTCCCCACCCACCGTTCCCGCATTCCCACAGTCCCACAGCACCGGGACCAGAGGCACCAGCCAGTGGCAAAGGACGGGGAGCAGTGCTGCCGTGCCGTGTTGTGTTGTGTGTGTACATACGTAAGGTAGTGCCCATCCACCCAACCATCCGGGCCACTCACTCATCCATCCATTGTCGTGGATCGCGCGGTAGGACAGTGTGCAGTGTGCGCCGCGTGTTGCCGTGTTACCCGAGCATGTGCACAACACAGTCGTACTTATTCCACTTGCACTTGCACGAAGGGATCCCTAAAGAGACACTACCTACCTACCTACTAGGTAAACTATCTACAGCCCAAGTATAAGAGTGCACTCCACAGTTGTACGTACGATATCGCAGTCCTCTGGTGTCACAGCGAGGCCAAGCCGTCAGAATCTCAGTGGCCTAGGTTGTCCTCCGGAGCGTCCAGCGTCCCATCCAGCGCCCAGCAACTCCTCCATGCTGCTGCTCGCGCTTTGCAGGCCCAGGCCCTGGCCAGCGTGTTGCGCACCGTCGCTTTTTAGGGTTAATCAAGCGGCGGGTGGACGGTTTGGGGATCTTGCCGCAGGTCCTCGCAGACGCTATTGAGCCAGCGTCCAGCCGTGGCCGGACGACACGACGGTTTTTCCACATTCGTTGCTTGGCTGGCCTGTTGCGTCTGCTGGGTCTGGTGTCCACGGCTCCACATTTTGCCATGGGCCTTTGCCCATCTGGGCGATCTTATCCACCACGACCACTAGCGCTGCAGCTTCGTCTCTCGTTTCCATCGCATCCTCCCTGGCGCCAAATGATCCCTGTCTGACCCGTACTTGTAGCCTGTTCCCGGCCTCCTGCCCCCGACACCCAGGTTACCCAGAGCTCTTTTGCTACCGCTTCCCACCCAACGGTTTCCGCTTCTCCTTCTCCCCTTTCTCCCGCTTTTGCGGAGCAGTTTGGCTGCCATCGTGCTCATCGTGTTGTCGTCTCCATCAACAAAACCACCGACATCCTGGCCACGACTTTAGCCTCTCTGGCTTTTGCCTCTCATCTCGATTATCGGCATCTGTTCCTGATAACTCAAAATTGCCGGTCGCCCTGCGCTCGCTGTCGCCGCTGCCGCAGGCCTTGCTATCCTCGTGATCTCGAGACGACCTCTCCCTCACCTAGCCATTATACATCAACGTCGCGCGAGATCCTGTGCCGATCGGACACCAATTACCCAGCCAGCCTGCGCGGATATAGGTCGTCTGTCGACCTGACACAACATCAGCACATCTCCGATACCTGACCCATTCTCGCCGACCAAGACCGAACAGCGGACCATAGCCAACGCCGACATGAGTTCTCCGGCGCAGTCGGGCCCGTCCTCGGTCCAAAAGAAGGAGAAGGGCATCAAGTTCCTGGCGCGTGTGAAGACGGTCTTGAGGAGGGCGGATCGTCGTCTTTCCCAGTTGAGTTCCAAGCCGGCTCCTGCTGACAGCGCCAAAGATGCTGCGTAAGTGCTGGCTTATGGTTCAATAAACCACTAGCATGCATCTCTAACTTGTTATGACAGCGACGCCTCGCAGGCCGCCGCCCAGGCCTATCCTGACGCTGTGAAGGTCCCGCGCGCTCAGATCTACGCCGAGCGTGCTAAGAAGTTGGCCGAGATTCATGGGCTCGATGTGAAGCCCAGCCAGTGGTACTCTTCGGATGGCCACGTCTTGCGCGTTGAGAAGCCCATCAAGATGCGTGTCCATAGGAAGTGCCACAAGTGCGATACTACTTTCGGCGCCAACAAGCAGTGCAGCAAGTGCAAGCACAACCGCTGCAAGCAATGTCCCCGGATTCCACCGAAGCGGACCGAGGCCGAGAAGGAGGCAAGCCGCGCCAAACGCGCTGCTCTCCAAAAGGAGCACAAGCCCCTCGTTGTCGAGTGGGATCCGCAACAACACAAAAAGCCGGTCCTCAAGCGCCCGTCGAAGACGGGCGGTCAGGACCTCATCTACCGGAAGCCGCGTCAGCGTGTCAGGAGGACCTGCTGCCAGTGCAACACCCTGTTCCGCTCTGGCGTCAAGATTTGCCAGAGCTGCAACCACGGCCGCTGTACCGACTGCCCGCGCGATCCGTAAGTTTCTTGTCACTCCCGCTACTTCCACAGCAGATTGGAGAATATACTAATTCTCGGTGATGCAGGGCCAAGAAGGAGAAGTACCCATACGGCTACCCGAACGACGGGCCTGGCATGAAGACCGCACACTACGAGTGCCCCAAGTGCAAGGAGAAGTACTCGGTGCCTTCGCAGGCGCCTGCCGTCTGCCCCAAGTGCAAGCACCAGCCCGGCACGCGCATAAAGCCTCACAAGGTCGAGCCAGAGCCCGACCCGGAGGTCCTCAAAAGTCTCAACGCCAGACTCGAGGCCCTGAAGCTGAGCGCCAAGTAATAAGCTCTTTGTTGGTTTGTCTATGGCGACTCTGGTGTGCCGGCAATGGCGTTCTGATACCCGGTTCTGGGGGACGAGGAGCTAGTTTGCCAATTTTTGTTTTTTCTTTCCTCAACAGATGTGTCACACCTCCACCCATCTCATCAGCATGAAATCTCGATAGTCCATAACTTGCATTTTTCGGTCGTTTAAGGTTCCCAAGGGGTTGTCTTCTAAGTCTCGTTTGCCTCTCGGTTCCACAGACCTCTCTGTACGGTTGCTTCCCGACACCATCGCGCATCGGTTTCTGGAGGTGTTGTGACTGCAGGATCACTTCGGCCCCCCCGTCTTTCAGCCATGAAGCGAAAACAAAATCTTCGTATACGCACGCCACTTGAAAACATACGACCACGACCGGAGTGCATCTAGACACAACTTTCGTTCTTTGTCCTTTTCCGACCGCACCATTAAACGATCCAACAAATATGTTATATGCCACCGCCAAGTGGGAAAGGCAAGAGAACACAGGTTGAAGAAGTGCATGGGTTAGGGCCACACGGGCTGGAACCCGGACATGATGCAAATATTTGAGGAGAAAGAGGACTTGGGGCATTGCATCGGTCAATATTGCTGGCAATGACTATCGCCCGTTGGCCGGTTATGGCTCTGTTACAAACGACAACCAGGCGATTATCAAGTTCTCGAGGTGTCTTGTTCCCACGGGTGTCTCAAGCAGCGGGTTTTGCCTCCACAGGAGGAGCATAGGCTGAGTGATGATGGTATTGGAGTCGCTTTTTGCATTTCCTGTTTTTTTTCCCGTCTTTTCTATCGCTGTCTGTTTTGATGATTATCATGACACTATCTAGATGTGCTGATGCCCAAGATTCCTAAAATGTGTGTTGATTGCTAGCTTGCAGTTTATGAATTGATATCCCCCAGCACATTATTGCTACTAATCCAGCATATCTACCTATCTGCCTCTGGCTTCTGGGCGAATGCTTGCTATCGTATCGATTGACTCAAGTGCTCTGTGTCACAGCGCTGTGACCTCACCTAGCATCAACCCACTCAGTAACAACAAAAACCTACCGTCTCAGCACATCGCCGGCAAATGGCAAAAGGAGGAGACAGTCCCCGACCACATGAGATCCTTGTGTGTACACATACACAACATTTACCGGTGCCGTATCACAAATATCCCGATCCTACCCTCCTCGGCCTCGACTGACGACGCATACCCTAAGACCTATGGAGGTGTCGTACCACTGTGGCTGCCCATTGACAGGCTAAAGTGTGGAAGCACAAGTTTTAACCAAACAAGCCACCACATCCGCCAGGCTCTGATTTGCTGCTTTGTCTAACTGATTCAAGAGCGCGCCTGCTCCGCATCCGGCTTACACAAAGCAGGCGAAACAAGATCCTAGAAGCAGTGTGTAGTTTCACAGAGGAGGGGAAAGCAATAAACTGCTGTCCCGTTGGTGCGGAGTTCGTTTGTCCCAGTGTTATGGTACCTAGGTACCTAAGTAGGTATTGTTTGCTTCGGCTCGGCCCCGTTCCGTTCAGGCGGAAATGAGGGGCATCAGACACCGACAGAATGGTTGATGAGGGGCTGGGATTTAAAGAGCAGGGAAGGACAAACTGGATGCCTGCATATAACAAAGGGTAATGTTGACTGGTTGGTCGGATAAGGTGTCGCGACGTACTTTCTTGTGTTTTCTAGACTACTCCCCAATCAATTGTTTTTGTTTCCACTTGCGCAGACCGAGGGTCTTGGGTGGCGGGGGTGTGTCCATGGATCGATGGTTGTTGGGTTTCATTCGGCGATCGCCTGGTTTTTTCCCCAAGCGTTTTATCCGTTGGGTACGATAGGTACAGGTTACCCTACAGAATCATCACGCTTGCCGATGGACCACTGCAGCGCATGCAGAGTCTAGAGGTACTACTCACAACCAGCCCGTACGAGTTAACAAGTGGCAGAGGGCCAAAGTGGTCGCATATCATGGGTGATATGATTGAGTACAACTGCTACCAGTGTGTGCTTAAAGCATCTTGCAGCGTTGTTTTCGGGCTGCCCCCCTCCGTATCCTGTGGTACCGACAGATTGGTCCAAACGGAGGAGAAAACGCCTTCCAAGAGTACAAACAATATGGCAATGACTCAACACAAAGCCTAGCCACGGCGCAAACTTCCTTTTTTTTTCTATCGGCACATGTTGCTGGGACTAGAGATCCCTCTTTGTGAATTGTGTACTCAGGGGACAAAAATCCGGGGTCCGAGAAAACTGGGAATGGGTTCCGAAAGCGCGGTTCGCAACTGAGAGTTCCAAACCGTAAGGTGTCTGCTGTCAATTGTACACGCACGGAGGACTTACCGGCCCAACACTCCGTATTTTTGTCTTTCTTCAACGGCTTTGGTTCTCACTCTCAAGCGTCAGATGGGGCGTATCACCTGTTCTGCCACATGTAACCAGCACTAGAAGTCGGCAAGGAGGGAGCTTTGAAAGGTTTCTATGCGTGTATGCATGGCGTAAACCGCAAAACCCTATATACGTATATGGTAATGTCCATTCCGTCATCTTCTGACAGTGATCGCGCGGACTAAGTTGGTATGCAACAGGCCAAAACTGCAAACAAGTCCCAGGTAAGCCACTTTTAGCTCGAATGTATGCATTCATCTTTTGACGTCAAGGGCACGAATCCTTCCGTAATTTAGCTTTGCTTTTCTCTTCTTGGCGGTTGGCACCAACATCGGAGCGCCATCTCCGTTCTTTACTTTCTTTCCCGACAGAATGGTTCTTGTTGGACTTCTGCGTCCGTTTAGAATCCACAGTATGCGCCCGACGAGAAACTGGGTCACTCAGCAAGTGGCAAAATTAGGGAGAATCACGGGTCAATGCAACAACCAGCAATCCTTGCCTTACCTTCACCGCTTCTCTTCCCACATCTTGCTGACCTGCCGTTGTTGACTTGGACCCGAACAGCTGGGTCAAGCAACGGAGTGCCCCCTTTTGGCTCTCCACTGCGGCCGCTAACAAAAAGCTTCATTGCGCTCGCTTCATCTCTTGGGATGGTCGGTGCAGACCAATTCCATGCTGGGATCCCTTGTTCAAGAACTACGAGTAAGGCCCCAGCATGACAGAAGGAAACGGAATGCTAACTTACGGATGCCTTAACGTTCAAATGATGATAAACGGAAGGAAATACTTTGGTCGTAAATGAGGTTGGCCGAGCAAGCAGGGCAGAAGGATCAGCAAAAGACATACGGATAAGGTACAGATTGGCATAAGCAAGAAGCGTGTTATGTGTCTGAAGATCCGCCCTTCGCATCATCACAGCCGTTCGCAGTTAGCAATAATCCGAAGACCACAAACACGAGCATAGTATAAGTAGCAAAGCGTTGCCGATGACTACACTACTTGATGTGTTTGATATTATTAGTGCAAAACCAGCACTCTTGCTAGAAAGGAAGCAAAACTGGAGGTACGGATTATCTATTATCTTAAGAAATTTCAACCAGCGCAGACAATCCCCATTAGTGCCGATATCAATTCTCAATTATGCCCGAAGGTGCCACGAATGTTGTCGAGACGCTTTCTCCCAATGTTGCCGTCCGACTCGGCTTCCTGCCCGTCAGCTGTCCTCCACCACTATGACCACGATTGTTCAAATACGCAGGTGCTTCTTCCACAGCACCTCTCGCAACCCAGTCCTTGAGCTTATTTGGGTCGATAACCTCCATCAAGCGAGTGGTCACGTAGAAACGTCCAAGCACGTCTTGCTCCGCCCGAACAACAGCCTGGGCTGGCCCTGGTCCATCCGTTCCAAGGCGAAGCCAGACCCACTCCATGCCCGTGCGAGCCCTGGGTTCAATCTGATTGCGCATCGCCATCTCCTCGGAGAAAACTTGGCCGAGACTTGCCGGCTGAAGAACAGCATTCGACGGAACCGGCTCAGACATGCTGCGACGATAGGGGCGGTACAGACTTCCGCGAAACTGAAGATACCAGCGATGAGGAGGAGCTGCCGGGAATAACACCTCGATAGAATCGATAAGCATAACGACTGTGGCATCAGGTGGAACGGTGGCTGCAATGATGGCCTCAGTAGCTGCAACAGATGAGTCCGCAATGACAGAAGAGCGGACGGTTACTCGGATGGGATCTCCAATCCGGATCATCTCAGCGCCAAGGTAGACTCCCTCGTAATGATAGAGCCGGAAAGCCCCGTTGGCCGTGGTTGTTTCACCCAGAAAATTGAAAGTGGAATAAGCGTCGTTGATAGCTCGAGCGCCGAGTTTAGATGCCTCGAGGCAGATGACCTGCTGGTTGTAAACCCGCTTCTGAGGATCTGTTTCTTTTGTGCAACGCATCGTTATCTGCCCCTGCCAGTCGACAGCATCAAAGGACTTATCCTTGAGGTCCTCCAAACCAGGATTTGGCACACTAAACGTCAGGAATGGCCGCATGTCGTGGCATTCCTTGACGACGGTGGCCTGGGGTAGCAACAGATGGCCCAAAGGGGCTAGGGTAAATTGGTAGTCCTCATCGGTCGGCGGTCGGCTGACGGCATCGATTCCAGGCTTTGGTGATATAAAGAGAATCACACCGAGCCGCCAGGCGGCCTGCTTATACCACACCAGTTCACCAACCCTAAAAACGTTGGCCCAGCTAGTTGTACCAGGAGGACTAGGTTGCTGGGGAGGTGGTTGTGGTGGGGGTTGTGGATGTTGATATTGCTGCTGTTGCTGCAGATGCTGTTGAGATTGCTGGGGCTGCTGCAGTTGTTGCTGCAGTTGTTGAGGCTGCTGTTGCTGGAATGGCGGTTGCTGGTGGTATGGTTGCTGCTGCTGGTTTTGATGTAGTGGCTGCAGTTGCTGGGTTGGCAACTGTTGGGTCTGCTTATGAGCCTGAGGCTGCTGTTGTGGATAAAGTTGCTGTTGGGGCTGAGTGCATGCCTGTTGCAAAGGCTGGTTCCGACGGGCAGCGCTGGCCGCTGCGAGTTCCTTTTCCTTCACATATTTATGACAGAGGTCGCAGGGACACTGGCTGTTGTCTGTTGAGCCGCTAGCCAGCCACATAACATGGAGGGCAAAATCTCCTGGGGTCCGGTAGACGGCCTTAGGCCCAGCTGGATGGCCGTAGAGGTAGTAGTCCCTGCTAACTCCATCCTTTCGAACTGAATAACGCAACTCATAACCGTTGGGGAACCCATCGAGTTTGTACTGCCGCGCTGCACCATGTCCATGTCAGTACCAGTATTTCTAGAAAACGACAGCATATAGCAACCTGGAAGGGTCTGCCATGAAACTTACTGTCGTCCTTAGGGCCCAGCTGGGTCTGGAGGTGCCCTGCAATGATGACCTCCCAGCGCTCGCGCTGTGTCACGTCCTGGTCATCATTGTCGCTAAGCGCGTTATTGTCCAGGTTCTGATATCCCTGCCCATCGCTTCGAGCAATCTTGATCGGCCAGTACTCTGGCTTCGCGGTTGCCTGCGAAGCAGATGACATGGTCAAAGATGACGTCGTAGGGTCAAGAATAAAGATATGGTCCGTGCTAATCAAGACGGATGCTTAATCACGTGACTTTCAAGTATTTGAGCCGCCTATAGTCACGTGGGAAGGGCACGAATTCAGGCAAGAGCAATCCGTCAGCAACTTGTGGCTGTCAGTTGTGCATAGGCAGAGCAGGTATGGCGGTGTGTACAGTTTGCGTAGGCACTGTCTTGGGGGAAAGGCGGATGGCGGGAAGAGTACCCAACGCTCATCATCAACGAGGCCCTTCACCTGCGAAGCTTCGAACCCACAGGCCAAACAAGCTTCTAGTTCCCGATGGCGGCCTCGGGCCCCGTAGCCGACCCGCTGCCAGCAACCTTTTGGAATATGAACCCCTGGCCTGCTCATTGTTGTCCCTCCCAGCCAAAGAAGGGGGTATACATACAAATCCTGCTTCTTACTTTCTATATATGATTTCTGAACACCATGGGGTACTCAAGCTGTGAGTAACCCGAATGGCAATCCAATCGCCTCACTCACAATAGTAAAGTCCTTAGCGTTAACAGATGGTCAGTTGGTCTCCCATTTCTCCATTCGTAATTGAAATGACAAGAATTCAAGAGTCAGAGCCCAGCTTGGGCACATCAAATCTTTACCATATGACAAATATAGATTAGGTCTGTCTTTTGTTGATCAGGGAGATTCGTAGTCGGCAGTTGAGCATCACAGTTTCACCAAACTGGAAGTAGTCTGCAGCCTTCACATCTGCCTTTATTGTTGACTCTAAACACCATGCACACTATGTTAAGTAAACCATCTCAGTGTATCTTTCCCTGATAGGTGTGAGCATGTGTGTACCCAGTCCTGTGGTTACACTCCTTTAGTACCTTGCCGGTCTTGTGTCTGGACTAGCTGCGAAGGCTGCCCGGCTTGAGCTGGTAGGCCATCATCGTGTCTCTTTTTCTGAGTTTCATTGTCCTTAGCATGTACTGGTCTTAGGGATGGGGACATCATTGCCCTTACCGTTGAGAGTATAGTATGCGCCCTACCTGGCTACAAGGCTTGCTTGCAGTATGACTTGCAGTAGCGTACTTATTCTTGATTGTCCGATTGCATAGGTAATTTTTTTCCGGGCATCGGCCCCCTGAAGTCTCATACACAAAGCTAGATATCTATTTACAGTAACTGTTCTTGAAACTCTCAATCCTTCCACTATCCCAAGAAGTGTTTATCTATACTTTCACTAGTTATTTCCCTTTGAGAGCATTCAGGAGAGAACTGACATTTCTAGCGCGATCCGATTGTTCAAGGCCTCTTAATGTTCTCCAACAAGTTCATTTCTTGCTTCATGGTGAAAGGCTCTATCTCAACCAATCATATGGAACGCATATGCATGATACAAGCAAATTCGAGTTCCATCGCTGATTGAGCAACAACTAGCGTAATTTATCGTGATTAGATTTCCTGTTGGACTAGTGATTAAAAGGCACTTTGTTGATGCTGTTTAGACCTACGCTGTTAGCCGCGCACGGGGCTAAACAACCATTTTGACCTAAAAAGCCTTTCTTACTCAGCCATTGTGTCTTCCAGTTTAAAATTCGTTATCATTGGGAATAGTGTACTAGTGTTCTTTACACAGATAACGAGATCACTTGGAGAATCCTTCCCAACCGATACTTGATGACTCGGGTGTGTTTTTAATGTCTTAGAGTGAACATGCGTACACATGACATGTTTTTTTTTAACAGTTATCGATATCAACCATGGTTAGACGTTACGTTAATTGGACATTACCTGCTTAAATGCCTTATTTCTTGGTCAGATCGTTTTTTTTACATAGAAGTCAGCTACCCTCAACGATGTGCCCTGGATGAACCAACCTACATGCCAGGTATTTGCTGGCCTTGACTAACAACAATTCTTGACAACTTCTGATAATCTGTTAAATGGAGAGACCAAGCCAATTATTCCAATCATAGTCAAAACCCAAGAATATAAGACAATATTACTCGATGGTTAGAAGACGGTTTGAGAAACCTCTGTTAGACTCAGGATGCAAGAGGCATGAGCCAAGATGCCCAGCTGATACAATGACTTTCCAATTGCCCACTTTTGTGGTTATTCGGGATTGGTTTTTGTGGGAAGAAACAAAGTGAGTGAGCAAGTGCTGGCTGAACTCGGGCCTGGCCACTAAGGCCAAACCAGAGACTTTCATAGGTCTCTGACCCAATGAATATTGCAGCCAGCTCTGACCATACATGATTGGGACAAAAAGTGTCTGAATGGCTGAAAGGCCATAAAACAAGCAAAGAATCCAAAGATGCATAGATGCAGGAAACTAAGCCTGATGCATAGCTGTAGGAAGAACGGGGCCTTGAGTCTAGGATCAGAGGTCCACCAACAGACTTTAAAGTGATGATACTATGATGAGCCTTTCATTTTTCCAGGAATAGACAACTAGGTAAACGGCATGCTAAGAACCAGATCACCTGGGCGTGTGAACGATGGTCAGCATGAAGAGTCCACCCAATCTTGAGTGGGAAACTTGGTTCACCCAACATGCATGATCTAATGAAGATCAATACTCAAGTGAGTTCCTTCATATGTAAACATCACGCATATTGCACTCATACAGTATTTATAGCAGCAATGTTCAAGAGTTACCCTATGGTTATAATAGCTACAAGTACAGATGATGACATGCCAACCCGGTTCTCGTCCTTCAAAATGCCAACCATCGCCAAAGCTCCCATCATGACAGGCAAATAATTGATTAGTGAGAAGAAAGGTGCCTGACTGGACGCTCTCGTCAATCACCACTTGTCAAGGCCAATGGAATGGGGAAGGCCTTGCCAGGAAAAGCAGGACGGGAGAGGCCGAAAGGACAGACCAATAAAACATCATCACTGTCAAGACCAAATCAACACGGCATGATACTCCAGCATCACTGGTGGTACTCGTGATGGTAGGAGTGATGCTGAAAGAGACGCTCATATATATAGGACCTAGCTAGCTGCTCGTTAGGAGAAGTTCCTCAGTCAGCAATAGGAACAGTTGTCAACCAACAACTGGTGACCGCAGTGATCCCATACTTTACTGTGTAAGGACCCCAGGCCCTCAGGTTCTACAACCTGGTCACTGCCTTCGAACCCACCTCAGGAGGCTGTGGAATCGTCACACCACTTTCGGCATCCAATCAACTTCTCGGGTACCTAATACTACTGTCTTCTTCGCAGTTACATACATGACAGCATCAACTTCAGCGTTTTTGGCCATTCCCTCAAGCTGGTACTGGTATAGGCTCAAGAACAAGCGGAGGATGCAGCTGTGGCAGCTTGAATCCAGCCAGCCTTTTGTGGATACTAATTCAAAGCCACTTACATGCTGCAGAAACTTATATGTATATAGTTACTCCAGATTCATGAGACTAATGGCTTTACCAAAACATTAACATAAGCATAAGACTCAGCTGTAAAGTCACAAACAGTGGCATAGGTCGGAGCTCGCTGCGGACAGTGGATTACTGCAGTTGTTGTTAAACGGACAGGATCTGTGTTTTCAGCCTTAGCAGGTGCATCCAAGGCAAGGTGGCCGAGTGGTCCAAGGCGCCACGTTAAGGTGTTTAAACCCTTAATCAAAATCCGTGGTCTCGTTCAGGGGCGTGAGTTCGAATCTCACCCTTGTCATGATGCTTTTGTATTTTTGCTCTCATGGCCAGAGCACCGGCTGCATACTCTTTTCACTCACATTATTGTATTTGGACAAGTGATTAACATAAAACGGCCGACGTGTTCGACAGGATATCCATTCGGTAATGTTGTTGCCAGCTTTGTAAGGCCGAGAGGACAGGAACTGCTTAGCTCAAAACAAGCAGCATTTGAACAATAAAGAAACAAGCCGGAAGGGCCATTGGGAGTTGTACGACCGCGGATATCCCAGTTGCAAAGGTTCAACAATCAGTATAGCGGAAGATTTTAAAGCTCAAGCAGATGTGGTCTCAGCGGCATGTTGTTCCTTGAGCTAATTTCTTAGTTCACACTTAGCTGACATCACCAGGCTGTATATGATCTGTGAAATGAAACTTAAGTCTACTGCGTAATGAGTTGACTTCTTTGGGAAATGAGGTGTTTGCGAAGGACAAGTCATAACTAAATGATACAGTAACATCTTCTAAGTGATAGAGATGGAATGGCAACTAGTTGGTACACACGTTAGTAGACAGATTTTACTGATGTGATTGGCAAGATGGAGAGCAAAGAAAAACCATGACTATACAGATCTGACCGCAATCACTCCTGCTCTATCCAGCAGGGTATAGCTCATCGAAAAGATGTAAAACAAGTCACTGTCTCAGAGGCAATAAAAAGTTCTTGCAACGCATGTGGCAATGATCACTCACAGCATCTTAGAACTGGCGTATTTGTGGCTGGAAATAGGGTTCAATACTTAACAGGCAATCAGCCCTTTGCATGGAGAGTATTCCATGTAGCAAGTTGATAATGTTATATTGAAACCCTTCAAATGTTGCGGGGTCTTTATTCCATGCTAAAAACATGGGTAGATTCCGTAGCTCTCACAAATGTGGCGGAATACAGGCACATGCAAAAGGAATGTTAGGCAGGTGCTTTACCATTTGTCTTCAGAGATAGGATTGTCGAAGAGCTCAGCTGTAAGTATGGGTATGGATGATGGCTACGAAGCTCCAGATAGATCTGGATTTGACTTTGTACAGTGCCTCCTAGTCGTGTAAGCAGCGGTTTACAAGTGCCCAACACACTCAACCGGAGATTCTGGATGGCATTGCAAGCGAGGCCGTGCGCCGTGAACATGGACGGAAAATGCCCTCGCAGGATAAATACTTAATCTCGTTGGGAGGTGGCGTATCGACTCTGTTCTGGCTGTGGTGGTGATATTGCGGTCAGCAGTGGCTAGCCAAGCCACATATATCCCTCCGCTTCATTCATGAGAAGGAAGAACAACGCGAGGATACGGGAAATCTCACCGATCTCATCCTGGACGACGGCCTGACATAAAAAAAACCAGCCCGTAGAGGAAAAAGGACCACAAAGCCAGTGCACTGAAACTTGCAACCACCAGCAAGCACACTTCCGCTGTTTGCTGTCTGTTGAGACTTTTTGTACACAATAATGTAAGGAAAAAAAAACACTCACCCCCTGCCCGGTACATGGAAGCAATCTTGATATTTGCTAATGGCACCAGTTGGGCGGCATAGTGGTCTTTCTGGGGCTCTCATTTCGCCTGAGGTTAGCCCTGAGGGTCACAGATTCCCCAGCCAGGGCCCGCCTAACACCATTGGGCCTCGCCGATCTGGCCGGTTTGTACCTGACAGCTTCCCCTGTCGATGGCCCACCCGCTGCCGAGATGAAGCCCGCCAGGAACAGGAAGCTAGGCGGTGTATGATTGGTCAGATTTCTAAGGCTATCCAGATTGGGAGGTTCAACATGCTCCAACAGGCTCCAACCGGGGCCAGGAACCAGCATGGGGCAGCCAGAACCACACCGGGAAGGGGGAGATTTTGTCGAAGACTGTCGGGGGTTGGCGACGTTAGCTCCAGAAGGGCTCCACTATTGTGGTCCTTCCGGGCGGTCCTCAGGTGTTCCTCGATGTTCTGGGCCTCTTGAGATTCCCCAGAAAAGCATGGGGTTGAAAGCTTTTTTGACTAGACCCCCTGTCCGGAGCCCTGGAGTCCGTCCAAGACCGTCGCGGCTTTTCACCTCTTATCCTCTCACCCTTGCTCCCGTCTTCACAACTTGTGAAAGACATCCTCTCGTTTTCCACGTCGCTGTCGCCGGTCGCCTGTCGCCTGTCACTCGTTTCTCTCACCACCGCCAGACTCAGCGCCCACGGTCACCGTTGCGGCTCTTCCAGACACTTGTGTATGCGTTTGCTCCCATTCAGCCCGCCTGGCCGACGAGACCGAAACCACGCAAGCAGTCGGATGATCTCAACGTACTCGAAAGCCTGAGAAGGAAGTGGTCCGATTGCGGGTTGCCGCCGATTGACAGTTCGACACCCAGAACGCCCGGTGCCGTAACCATCAACACTGTGACAAACGTCAGTCTTTCTCTCTTTAGGCCTACAAAACAATGCGATTTACTACGCTTCAGGCCGTCCTCGGCTCGGCCTCTCTCCTGCTGATCTCCCCACTTGTCGATGCGGCGGCAGGCCACGGCCACCGACGCGCCCATGACCAGGTTCATGCTGCAAAGAGGCACCACAGCCACCGCTCGTCTGAAATTGCCCCGCGAAAGCCGAGATGTACCCTCCCCGACGACCCTGACTTGGTCTTTGTGCCTGGTGCCGATAACAACGGCTTTGCCATGAGTCCCGACGAGCCGTGCGAGGACGGCAAGTGGTGCCCCATTGCCTGCAGGCCGGGCAAGGTGATGGCGCAATGGAAGCCTAACACGACCTATACCTATCCCGAGTCGATGGTGAGTTGAGGGCAAGACGTGGTCGCGGCGTGATTCTGCACGTCGCTGCGGTGAATGGAGATATTAACCCTTCTGCAGTATGGCGGGCTCTATTGCAACGGTGGTAAGGCCGAGAAGCCCTTCAAGGATATGCCGTACTGCGTCGACGGCACAGGAACAGTCAAGGCAGTCAACAAGGCCGGCAGGATCGTCTCTTTCTGCCAGACAGTACTGCCCGGCAACGAGGCTATGATCATTCCTACCGACGTGACCGACGTGGCGACACTCGCCGTTCCTGGGCCTTCCTACTGGTGCGGGACGGCCGCACACTATTACATCAATGCACCTGGAGTTCCAGCTTCGCGGGGCTGCGTCTGGGGCAAGATTACTGAGCCGATCGGCAACTGGAGTCCGTACGTCGCTGGTGCCAACACAGTTGAAAATGGTGACACCTATGTCAAGATCGCTTGGAACCCAGAATTTCTCAACGCTCCGCTCGCTAAGACGACGCCGACCTACGGCCTGCGCATTGAGTGCCCTGATGGTGGATGCAACGGCCTGCCCTGCTCGATTGATCCCTCCAAAGATGGCGTGGGCGGAGTCAACAGTCCCGTGAGCACGACGGGTGTTGGTGGCGCTGATTTTTGTGTCGTTACGGTTCCGAAGGGCAAGACTGCAAGTATTGTCGTTTTCAACACCGATAGCGTCGAACGTGGCCCCGCCGGTGCCTCCGAGAAGACGAAAGAGGGGAGTAAGCCCACAAAGAAGGAAGAGTCTGCCCCGTCACCCTCGACTGTCGTGAAGCCATCGCCGAAGTCGACGTCTACAACCGCTCCTGAGCCCGAAGCAACAACCTCCTCGGCCAGGTCTAGCACCGTGTCCCAAGAGACAACAGCGTCGCCGTCAGCGACCTCGAAGGCTTTTGTCGGCGGTCTCTTCCAAGAACAAGGAGCATCTGTTCAACCGGGCAACAGCACTACTGCCTCTAACTCGCGCGGATCCAAGTCATCAACGGGCTCCACGCAGGCAGGATCCGAGGCACATGACCGTGACTCAACAACGATTGCGCAGCCGACTCCCAGCAACGAGGGTTCAGCTCCTGAGGGAGGGTCTGCCATTGCCGGATTGGTGGTCGCCTTGGTCGCAGCTGCAGCACTCCTGTGAAAAGGTTACCATGACGATTTCCTGGACACGCCATATTCGATTTTAATATTGGCATTTTTTGACTTTCGGTTTCCTTTGGCTTTAGAGAAGGGTTGCAACATTTCAGCCTAACCCCGACTTCGATTCGATAAATTTCCTTGTTTTTCCTCTTGATTCATCAAGCGGCTCTCGCCCGATTGGATCGCCAACTCTTCGATTCCAAAACAATCAGTCCGGTTTTTCGATAAATTTGGTCTCGACCGGCTTCTTTATCGAAAACAAACGGCGAGCAAAACTCTAGATCTTCAGCCATCACGACATCGTCTTGGATTAGTACGTATTTTGTATGGGGGGCGCATTCGGGATTGTCGGAGTTCCGTCGACTCGAGTTACCTCTTTGAGGTTCCGCCTTTTTCTTCAATCTTTTCGATACTTTCGTCATTTGGTATATCTTTGCCTTTCTTCTTTTTTTTGTCATTGATCGATATACCCCTTTTGCTTCTTCAACTCGGGCCCAGGCCTGATATTTTTGGGATATGGTTTTGAGATTATTGTTTTTCTTTCTGGATGTGGACAACATGTGTTTTATGGATTTTGGAGAGTTTTTGATAATGCCTATATAATTCCTGGCCCAGGGGGTTGTATGTCTCGGAAATCATTACAGTCATGATGGGTAATGCCAGGAAACCGGCTGGTTGGGCGGATTGGATGATGGTTGAATGGAGGTAGTGGGAAACAGTGTTAATGCTGGTGGTGTCCATGGGCTCTTTTATCAGGTATGACTTGATATGAAGATCCCAGAGCTCCTCCATCTGGAGATGGGACACGACAGTCTCTCAAAAAGTAGTAAACGGAAACGAAAGAACAAAATAAAAATGACAATTGCAATGCTTCCCATGTTGAGCCTGCAAGGTGGTTTCACCGGCGTATTTGTGAGTGTGCGACATATTAGTTCGGAATGTTGAGTTATGATTGGCCTTGATGCCTATACCAGGCTGTCGAAGCAGAAAGATGCGAGTCAGAGGCGATGGCATCGGGAGAGCAGCGAGTGGGAAGAAGCCCGAGTCACCACTTGATGGGTTGCTTTTATACCGCATAGTCGGGACGAATGTCGGATCCTGACACTGTTTGACATGGCGAATCTTGTCCAACAGAAATGATTACGATGTTACGCATTATCGAGGTTGGCATTCATTCCAAGCTCACAGCGCCATATGGCGTGTCCTGCAGGTCTAAAACAACCAAACTTGAGCAAGCATGTACTTGCCTAGCATTTAAGGCTTTTGATGCCGACATGGTCAAATCCTACCAAATCTCGGAGACAGCAACACTTAAGTCGGACTACGCACCCATCCAGGAACATCATCCAATTCACCCGGGGGTTCGCCACTTCCCTCATCGCACGCATCCAGTGCCTCTTGGTGCGCTTCCCGAAACCGCTCGAGAATGCTCTCATATGGGTTTGGCCAGCCAGCGGCAACAGCATTTCCACCTTTCTTCTTGGTGCCCTCTACGGCGAAACGCTTCTGATGTCTCGCGATAAAACCGTTGAGAAGCCCAGCATAAACGAGCCCTGAAACAACAGCTTCGATGCTCTCAAGATCGGGTTTTTTGTTGCCAAAGATGAGACCTTCGGATGGCATCAGCTGCCGCGGGCCACCAGGAGGTGGGACAAGCGTTGGTTCTCTACTGCCGTCTAACGCGAAGGTACTAGTAGGGTTACCTCCGGTCTGCATGAACGCAGGGCTGACAGATGCTGCAAGCTTGGGCTTCCGCACGGGAACGTAGCCCTCTAGCAGCTTTTGGACGTAACAGGCAACGGTGACGACGTCTTCAAGGGCGAGAGATGCTGCTTTGTTGCCTGTCGTGGTCGTGGTCGTATTGGGGTCGCCAGCTGCGGACCCCTGCCAGGTAAGCATGAAAGTCTTGCGGGTCAGCGACCGCCAAATGAGAGGCTTTAGGCGGTACAACAGGGTCAGATAAAAGCCTCTGTCCCAGAGCCAGTCGCGATTTTGAGCCAAGGTCTGATGGAAGGCGACGAAGTTGCCGGTGCGGACGGCATGGCAGATGGGGAGGAAGATCTGGGCAAACCCGGCGGCCTCGGGTCGTTGCAGCAAGGCTTGGGACGGGAACCGGCCAAGCAGTAGGTTGGTGGGGATCCACCATAGGAGGATTTGCCTGCGGTGTTTTTGGAAGCGTGGAGGGCATTGAAGGTAGGCTTCCTCGAAGCACATGTGTGCTCGGAGATAGTGGCCGTGGTCGAAGTTGAAGCGGCCGAGATAGTAGAGGAAGGTGACGCGTTGTGACGCTGGATATAGAGAGAGCGCTGGTCCACTTGTTGAGAGGTTGGTAAACATCTGGACGGCGAGCCGCGACTTGTCGCACTGGAGCATGAAGGGGATGGTTGTTCAGCATCTTGATCCATGAAAAATGAAGCCGGCGAAGGCGACTGGGGGAGACTTGGCACATACGGCAAACAGCAACTTGAGGGTGAGGTTGGCGAAAATATAAACAGCCACCTTCTTCCCCTTTGGCTGGGACCAGCGACTGCTGGAACGGTCGGTCAGACAGGAGGTGAATATCTTTTGAATGATATCGGCTGCTGCCTCTACGATGGACTTTCTCTCGCCGGTTTCGTCGCCGGACGTGTCACCCTGGATCTGGGCCAGCAGATGCGGCTGGCGGTTGAGATTCATAACCAGCTTGCAGAGGGACTCAGAGAGTGACATGGCAGTCGGCAGCAGGATGTTGCCGTAGGTGGGATTGGCGAGGGCATTGGCGCACGACCTGGATGGGAGGGTCTAAGATGTCAGAAACTGAGAAACAAGCTGAAAAGAGCAAGCAAGCTCGTCAACACGAGCACCACAAGTTCAAGGGTGTCCGACGGGCATGCCTACACTAAGAGCTCGCTGAGCCGAGAATGCAGCCCGAGAATGTCGTCGGGGTTCATGTCACGCCAGTACTCAAGATAGTCCTTGATGAAGGAATTGAAGCCGGGCCAGGGTGAGCCGCGGCCTTCCTGTACGTCGTCCTCCATCGGCAGGCACTTTTCGACGAGATCTTCGAGTATTGGGCGGCCAGGGGGACAGCCAGACCGGATCTGCTTGCCCATCTCATAGTAGATGTCAGCAGCATCGGTCTCGACGAGCAACCAGTTGCGTAACTCGTCGCTGTTTTGAGCGATGACAAACTGCCGGATGCTGGAGAGGAACTGGATGACGAGGTTCATGATGGCGATGAAGACGAGACGAACTATGAGTATGCCGTTGCTGTGGATTATGCACCGATGGCAGTAGTCGTACTAAATTAAGGATAAGGTGGGTATAATCCATAGGGGGTGGGTTCAGGGAGGTAAGAGGCGAGGTTCAGCGATGAGAATCTGGGAGGACGAGTAAAAGAATAATAAAAGAGGGAACGCTAAGGGGTGTTGCGCAAGAGGGAAACGCGACTCGAGTCCTGGTGTGTGTCTTCTTATTGTGTCATGTCTTTGCCAGATAGGAAGAAGATAGGAAAGTTATGGATTAGGCACATGGGGGGAGTTTGAATTGAGGTGTCTGAGGACAATAGGGAGGAGCTCCTTGTATAGGAAAGGTATAAAGCTTAGGACAACGTTCATCAACTCAATTGGTTGAATGGATGATGCGGGTTCGTAACCGGGGTTCGTGACCGAGGTTCAACCCTAACCCTTTTATCGTTCATTTTTGTTCACCGTGACCATAGTGCGTAACGGATACGGTATGTACAGGCAAGACCAATTGAAGGAGCAAAAAACAGCCTACACTACGATAATGTATGAGAGAAAGCCCCCAGAGCTCTTTAAACTCATCAAAGCTACCCTGAAAAACACCGAAACCCACTAGCCGTACCAGCCGAATTATTTACCAGTCCTTTAAAAACACGATACAAGGGACCGTTCCCGCCTTCATGCCCCATACCCGATTTCTCTTGCTCACGTGAACCAGCACCTACACTTATGGATTAGACAGACTCGATACGCTGGACCACCATGGCCGTCGCAGCGCCGCCACCGTTGCAGATGGCGGCCACGCCGTACTCGCCAGGCTTGAGTTGATGCAGCAGCGTCACCAGGATACGCGAGCCCGAGCTGCCAAGTGCATGGCCCAGCGAGATGGCTCCACCGAGCGGGTTGACCCGTGCACCCTCCAGCCCCAGGATCTGAACGAAGCGTCGTCGCCGAGGTTAGCGAGTGTGTTACATGCCACGTGAAAGAGGGGAAGAGGGCCCAGACTCACCTTCTCGTTGGCCTTAATGACAGCAGCAAAGGCCTCGTTGAACTCCCATACAGCGACCTGGTCCTTCGTGATGCCGGCCCGCTCCAGAGCGATGGGTACGGCCTTGGAGGGCGCAATGGGGAAGTCGATGGGATCAACAGCAGCGTCGGCCGAGCTGCAGATGCGCGCCAGCACGCGAGAGCCGGCGCCGTACTGCTGCGCAATCTCCTTGCTGCCCAGCACCAGCGCGCTGGCACCGTCATTCAGCGTCGATGAATTGGCCGCCGTGACCGTACCGGTGCCATCGCGCACAAAGGCTGGCTTCAGCGTCGGCACTTTCTCCGGCTTGACGTCGAGATAACCCTCGTCCTCGCTGACGACAACGTCGCCCTTCCTGCCCTTAACAGTGACCGGGGCGATCTCGTCACTGAAAGCGCCGGCCTTCCAGGCGGCCTGGGCACGCTCGTACGACTGGATGGCGTACTGGTCCTGCTCCTCACGCGTGATGCCGAACTTCTTGACCGTATTCTCGGCGCAGTTGCCCATATGGATCTGGTCGTACACGTCGGTAAGGCCGTCCTTGATCAGACCGTCCTCCATCTTGACATGGCCAAAGGGAGGGAGGCCGCTGGCGCGCGGGACATAGTAGGGCACCCGGGACATGTTCTCGAAGCCGCCGGCGATCTGGGCGTCAGAAAGGCCGAGCTGAATGTTCTGTGCGGCGAGCGCCACAGCCTTGAGGCCGGAGGCGCACACCTTGTTGATGGTGACGGCCTCGACGGTGCGGGGCAGACCGGCGAAGATAACAGCCTGGCGAGCAGGGGACTGCCCGATCGAGGCCTGGAGGACGTTACCCATGTAGACATCTGTGATCTTTTCGACTGGTACCTTAGACTTCTCGAGGGCAGCCTTGATAGCAACAGCGCCCAGTTCAGGCCCCGAAACGCTGACAAACGAGCCATTGAACTATGCCAGGGCGTCAGCATATTGGTCTCCTCAGCGTTTCCCACCTAGGTAGGTACCTGAGGTAGGTAAGGATGCATCCGCGACCTACCTTCGCTGTTGGCGTCCGGGCAGCGCCCAGGATGTAAGCATCGCGGATCTCCTGGCGCAGACAGGTCTGGGAAGAGAAGAGGCGAGCCGAGCCGGCCCTCAGCTGCGGCGACACGCGCAGGGCAGTCCTCAAGTGTGCGACCATTGTGAGTTCCGCGGCGCCAGTGATACGGGTTACGAAGGGAAGCTTAGAGGAAGAAAACAAAGCACACAGCAAAATAAAGGTAGGGCCAGCCAAATTATAGCTAAAGTACTAAGACATGGGGACGGGCAGGTGGCCCCTTCGGCTTCCCGAAGACGGGCACCATTTTTCTCTTAAGAGCAGAAGCTGCGTACAACCGAGCAAGGCGGAACCGTTCGGCTTGTGACGGGCGACGGGGGCAAGCGGAGGTGGAGCACTGGACGTCGCACATGGGCAGCAAAGCCGGGGAGACTGGGGACCTAGACTGGGGGAGAGAGGGGGGGATGGAGGGGCAAATCCCCCCGCAAGGGGCCCAGAGCCGCCACTGGGAATCGCCGGAAAGCTTTGATGGATCGCGGATGGATCGATGGGTGTGGACTGCAGGGCGCGTCCGGAATCCAGAGCCCCAAATTCACACACCACAGAAGCCAGAAAACACTGGGGACTCAAGTCGAGAATCCTCAGGCAAGCATTTAAGCACAGCCCAAGTATATTCATACCTGTCCAGCACTTGAAGTTGAGGGGTGGCACTAGGATTGGAACCTATAGTTTTGTGATGAGGACGTTCCTAGGGGTGTTATAACACATGGAATCCATAGAGATGTGCTGCGTGTCGAGGCCGAGGCCGAGTTTCAACACTAGAGATTCAAGACAAAAACCCAGATCCCCATCTGGTTCAGATCTTGCAATAACAGAGGGGGATACCTCCATTGTGGACATACACCCGACATCAGGGACGGAACATGTATAAACTGTCCATGCGCTTCTGCAGATACAGGTTGCAAATCCAGCTTATCGTCAGTAGCCACCCGTAGACAAATTAGAGTCGCAGGTTCTTTTTTTTTTTTGTGTGTGTGTGCGTGTGTCTGAGCATGTGCCATGTGCATCAGCGCGTGGGTGAATGTTAGTTTTTGGAAACATGAGACTTGGAAGCATTAACTTGGTGGCTCACAGCTGTGAAGCACTGGCATTGGTAATAGGCACAAGACCACCCACCGCATATCACAGTTTTTGGCTGCTGCGCTGCTTGCTTGCTGGTTGGCTTGTCTCGTCTCAGTCCGTTGACCCATACCGTTTGGATCATGGCGTCCAAGATCCCTGATTGGACCATTCTATCTTTACAGGTTAGGTATTCCGGATTACTGCTTACCGCTCAAGACCCGATAATTCGATATTCAGTATTCCTATAAGACTATACCGCATGAGCCATCGCTTCTCAGCAATTCCATCAGCCCACGGCCTGATCGCCGCTTGTTCATCCGTTGAGTGACAGCATCTCCCAGCAACACGTCCAGCAGTCAGCATCTCTTCGCATCAATACCCGACTCAAGCTTGCAGCTGCACAGCTCACGCATCCAAAGCCATTAACTGCACATTACATCATTCACTTAAATCATCATGTCGACCGCTGCTCGTCGCCGTTTGATGCGCGACTTCAAGGTGTGATGATGCCCTGGCATTCCCTCTCCGCCGCCCCCCTCCTCCCTCCCTCTTCCGGGGAAGGACTATTAGCTTCGACTTCGTTGACACGCGTGGGTGCTGACCATGCTGCTGCAGCGCATGCAAACCGATCCTCCAGCCGGCGTTTCTGCATCCCCTCTCCCCGACAACGTCATGACCTGGTATGCCAAAGATGCCGTGCCATGGCTATCTCCAATATTACCCAGGCTGACCTGATTGCCACCAGGAACGCTGTCATCATCGGCCCGGCCGACACCCCGTTCGAGGACGGCACGTTCCGACTTGTGATGCACTTTGAGGAGCAGTATCCGAATAAGCCACCATCGGTCAAGTTCCTCAGTCAGATGTTTCACCCTAATGTCTACGCCACCGGCGAGTTGTGCCTGGATATTCTCCAGAATCGCTGGAGCCCTACGTACGATGTTGCGGCCGTTCTCACTAGCATTCAGAGGTGCGTGGAGTTGGAGGCTTCTGTTTGTCATCTGGGAAGAAGTAGTGCTGGGCAGTTGACGCTGATGTGTGAGCAGCTTGCTGAACGACCCGAACACGAGCTCACCGGCAAACGTCGAGGCGTCTAATTTGTACAAGGACAACCGCAAGGAGTACTTCAAGCGGGTGCGTGAGACCGTGGAGAAGAGCTGGGAAGACTAGGCGATGATGGATTAGACGGCCAGGGTTGCGCTACGACAAGAGTGTTTAGTTTCGATGACCGGTTGCCCTCCCCTTTCTGCCCTTTGCCTTCTTTCCTTCTGGCCGAAACACCAAAGAAACAGGCCACACAGCATGAGGGCCTAGCACGACCCGCGCACTCGTTCTGGAGTTTCTGGCGTTTTATCGGGAGATTTTCTACGCATAGCATTTGGGAGGCATTTATTTTCTTTTCTGGCGTCTGGTTCTTCCGCCGCTGCGGTACCGGGGATGCTGACATGGCGATATCCAGGAGGAGAGGGAGGTATGGGAAAGACACGAGCATAATTGGAGTTCAGGATCATCATGTCATTATTGAGTTTACGTGAGACTTGGTGCCTACACTAGGATTGCATTTACCCTACATTATTAGCAGAGCCGGACACAGTTTCTGTTACTGTTGGTCGCTTCTGGTCCCGATATGTATCGATGCCTACTTACCTTACCTAATCAGTTATGCTGTGTCCAAGTGTGTCTTTTTCGGGTATGTACCATGCGCGATGGGTGCGAGCTGAGCTGGGCAGTGACTTAGTAAAAGCTGTGTTATATCGGACTCGAGTGAGCAAAGAGAGCAAGAGTGGAGTGAATAGGACTCGTCGTCGGCGCAACGCCAATTTGCTGTTCGGACATGTCACATAAAAACCTCGACTCTGTCTATCTTACACTGCCCGTAATTCTCGAGTCTTATCTTCGACAAACCCAGGCTTATATTCTTCATCTTTAGGTAGGTAACTTTCGTCATCCCAACGCTACGGCCCAGTTATGAACTATAGATTGGAATCCTCAGCTGCTCAACCTAGCAACGACCACTGAAGTGACAGTTGTCACAAAAGTCTTGGAAAGTTTAGTGTAGGTATCCATATGCCACAGCTCCACCCGCGTAAAGCCCTTAGAGAACCTAATTATTGGGCGTTACCAGCATGCCTGAACTGTCGTTCATTGTTAATTGTTAAATATGTAATGACCACCCTTATGATTCCATGGAATTCCTGTTGGGTTGCTGCTATAACAGAGATGGAATGCTTATACACACAACACTTCAACCCATGTTTTGCCAGTTAAAACTTTAGACAGGATTAGGGGTCCACCGTTCGGAAACCGAACACCCAAACAACACTAATGGCTTGAAAAAATAATAGAGATATACAAGAAAGTTAAGTGAAGCTAAAATGAAGTAAAGATGTCGCTTTTGAAGCATGAAACTTAGTTGTTCTGTCGAGTGGGAAAGTTTGTAGGCTGTCGGACGGCCGAAGCATCCCGCCAACGATCAAACCAGGGGTCACTTGTATCGAGATGCCCAGGGTACTATCGTGCTGTCCGATTTTCCTGCCAGCTGTCTGCTGCCCGCCGTGGCCGGCCCGCAGAGTGTTGCGGGACAGGGGTTTTGGCTGTGCTACAGAGGGCGCTTCAGCGCTGACAGTTAGGCGCGAACCGGGAGTGCTGTCTATTGCACACTCTGGTTCCTCGTCGCATTCCACGCATTTCCCCATCCCGGGCCGTAAGATACGGAAAGTACCTGCAAAAAAGCAGGGACATACCATGATATGCAATGTAATCAACAAACCGTGCTAGTTCCATCGGAAGTCGAGGAACTGCTCAACGACTCTGGAGTACCAATGCAAAGAGAATCTGAGACCTTCGGAGCCATGCCATTGTGTGAATACGAAGAACTAACAACCACCTGAAACGTGTGTCCTGTGAGCACAGCGATAGTTTGGTTGTTTAGAATCCCAACTGCCGACCTTTGACCAGTTGTCTCAAGGCTGAGACTGCGTGCAGGAGGTATTGCTTGGTAAAGACGTAATATTACCAAGCTAGAGTCTGTCATGAATATAATCCATAAGACACCTCGGTAGGTAGGTACGTAACTCGAAAGGTCCAGCAACCTCAGCGGACCCTGACCGCCTTCGACCCTGACCCCACCGTCCAGACCTCATTCCACTGATTCTTCTAATCCCAAGTTCCAGCGCTGATCTGAGAGTGGATTCTGCCTACGGGTTCTGCTTGGGCGCCTGCAAAGTCGGAATCCTTGTGATACTCCGTACCCCATTCCACCATTCGCCCACCTCGAGTCCTCAACAGCCCACAGCCCACTCACTGCCTACCTCCAACCTACCTTTGCCTGTCTGCTGCCCAGCGAGCCCACCGCCCACCTGCATCTGTCCGCACACGCTCACTGACTCGGCGCCTTGAGTCTCTTCTGCGACTGCGATTGCGACTGCGACTGCGACTGCGATCTCCTTGGAATACTTACAGTTACGACTGACGAGATCGAGGTTGGCAGGACATCGACATCGACACCAACAGCACGACCACAGCCACGACTACGCTTAGCAGCAAGCCCTCCCCCCCCTCTCTCCCCCTCTCCACATCAGTGCCGTCACCGCCGCCATCGACATCTCCCTCACGCTCGTGAAGGTCCCAGCGGTTGTCGACCGTTGACCGTTCCGCTCCGTCGGGCCTCGATTTGTTGAGAGCTTGAGTGTCAACCCCTCTCTCCCACGAGCCTGGCTCACAACATCAACAAGCAACCTACGAAAAGACTTGGAGGCCCTGCCAGTCCCTTCGGTGCTTCGGTGCCTCGCTGCTTCGCAGACCCCCAACGTTCCTCGGCCCAAGCTTGCCCCTTCGTGAGTTTGCGCTTCCCTGAAGCGCGGGAAGCAGCAGACTGCCAACATGTCGTCCAACAACGCAAATAACATCAAGGTTGTTGCCCGCTTCCGACCCCAGAACAGGGTCGAGATCGAGGCCGGCGGCCAGCCCGTCGTTCGCTTCGAGGGTCAGGACACCTGCATCATCGATGTGAGTTTGCGTTGAGCCTTCGCTTCCCTTCCTATTTCCCCTCCCTGCCGGCTCCCTCCGTTGACCTCTTTTGTTCTTTTTTTTTTTGCTCTGTACAGTCCGAAAATGCCCAAGGCACTTTTACCTTCGACCGCGTCTTCGACATGGGCGCGAAGCAGGCCGACATCTTCAACTACTCCATCAAGTCCACGGTCGACGATATCCTTAATGGCTACAACGGCACCGTCTTTGCCTACGGCCAGACCGGAGCCGGCAAGTCCTACACCATGATGGGCTCCAGTATAGACGATGAGGAGGGCAAGGGCGTCATCCCCAGGATTGTCGAGCAGATCTTTGCCAGCATCCTGTCCAGTCCTGCCAACATCGAGTACACCGTCCGCGTCAGCTACATGGAAATCTACATGGAGCGCATCCGTGACCTGCTGGCCCCGCACAATGACAATCTGCCCGTTCACGAAGAGAAGAGCCGCGGTGTCTATGTCAAGGGCCTGCTGGAGATCTACGTTTCGAGCGTGCAGGAGGTCTTTGAGGTCATGCGGAGAGGTGGTCAGGCCAGGGCTGTCGCCGCAACCAACATGAACCAGGAGTCGTCGCGCTCGCACTCCATCTTCGTAATCACCATCACCCAGAAGAACGTCGAGACCGGCTCAGCCAAGAGCGGCCAGCTGTTCCTGGTCGACCTGGCCGGCAGCGAAAAGGTCGGCAAGACGGGCGCCAGCGGCCAGACGCTCGAGGAGGCCAAGAAGATCAACAAGAGCTTGTCTGCTCTGGGCATGGTCATCAACGCCCTGACGGACGGGAAGTCGACCCACGTCCCGTATCGAGACTCTAAGCTTACGCGTATCCTCCAAGAGTCGCTGGGTGGCAACAGTCGGACGACGCTCATCATTAACTGCTCGCCCAGCAGTTACAATGACGTCGAAACCCTCAGCACCCTGCGCTTCGGCATGCGTGCCAAGACCATCAAGAACAAGGCCAAGGTCAACGCCGAGCTCAGCCCGGCCGAGCTCAAGTCCATGCTTGCCAAGGCCAAGACCCAGATCACCACCTTCGAGAACTATATTGCCAGTCTGGAGGGCGAGGTGCAGCTCTGGCGCTCCGGCGAGACCGTTCCCAAGGAGAAATGGGTCCCTCCTCTGGCAGAGTTCACGACCGCCGCCAAGGTCGACTCTTCCAGAACGGCCAGGCCCTCGACGCCGTCCCGGTTACTGCCTGATAGGTCTGGTGCCGAGACGCCTACCATCTCCGAGAGAGCCGGCACGCCGGTTCTGCCGCTGGAAAAGGACGAACGCGAGGAGTTCTTACGGCGGGAGAACGAGCTCCAGGACCAGCTGGCCGAGAAGGAGACCCAGGCGGCTACCCTGGAAAAGCAGCTCCGCGAAACCAAGGAAGAGCTTGCTGCCTTGAAGGAGCACGACGCGAAGCTCGGCAAGGACAACGAGCGCTTGATCAGCGAGTGCAATGAAATCCGGATGCAGCTGGAGAGGTTAGCTTTCGAGAACAAGGAAGCCCAGATCACCATGGATGGGCTCAAAGACGCCAATGCCGAGCTTACGGCAGAGTTGGACGAGCTCAAGCAACAGATGCTCGACATGAAGATGAGCGCCAAGGAGACAAGTGCGGCGCTGGATGAGAAGGAGAAGAAGAAGGCCGAGAAGATGGCTAAGATGCTGGCCGGGTTTGACCTCAGCGGCGACGTGTTCAGCGAGAACGAGCGCGCGGTTGCCGACGCCATTGCCAAGGTGGATTCTCTGTACGAAATCAGCAACACGGGCGACCCGATCCCGCCTGACGAGCTTAAGACGCTGCGGGAGAAGCTCGTCCAGACGCAGGGGATCGTGCGGCAGGCCGAGCTGCAGGCTTTCAGCGTCGCGTCCAACGAAGCAGCCGCTCGTACACGCGCCGAGCTCGAGGAGAGACTGGCGACGCTGCAGCAGGAGCACGAGGAGCTGCTCTCACGTAACCTCAGCGAGGCAGACAAGGAAGAGGTTAAGGCTCTGTTGGCCAAGACGCTGTCGGACAAGTCGAGTACGCAGGAGAAGCTGGTCGAGGAGCTGCGTGCAGACCTGGCAGCCCGCACGGCTGAAAACGAGCGGCTCAAGACACAGGTGGAAGAGCTGCAGCGGCGGATCAAGGCCGGCGCTGGCGCGATGCCGCTCATCAACGGAAAGACAGTGCAGCAACAGCTGGCCGAGTTCGATGCCATGAAGAAGTCGTTGATGCGCGACCTGCAGAACCGGTGCGAGCGTGTCGTCGAGCTCGAGATTTCTCTCGATGAGACCCGCGAGCAGTACAATAACGTACTGCGCAGCAGCAACAGCCGCGCGCAGCAGAAGAAGATGGCCTTCCTCGAGCGCAATCTCGAGCAGCTCACGCAGGTCCAGCGTCAGTTGGTCGAGCAGAACTCGGCCCTCAAGAAGGAGGTGGCCATCGCCGAGCGCAAGCTCATTGCCCGCAACGAGCGCATCCAGTCGCTGGAGTCCCTGCTTCAGGAGAGCCAGGAGAAGCTGGCCCAAGCCAATCACAAGTATGTCTACCCCTTGCCTACTACCTCCCGACCCTCCCTCCTCCTCCTCCTCCTCCTCCTCCTCCTTCTGCTCTTCCCTCTTCCACTTGTTTTTCTTCTCCGTCTTCCTATCCCTACCTTGCTCTCCAGCTTTTGGGTAGCGATCCTGACCATGTCTCTTCTCCAGATTCGAAGTCCAACTTGCAGCCGTCAAGGAGCGTCTCGAAGCCGCGAAGGCGGGCTCCACCCGCGGTCTCGGCTCGCCTTTTGCCGCCACCACAACCACCTCTTCATCGGGCGGAGGAGGTTTTGGCTTCAGCATCGGAAGCCGCATCGCCAAGCCGCTCCGCGGTGGTGGCGGAGACCCTACCGTCCACCCGACCGTCGCCACCATCCAGCAACAGACCCCCGTCGAGAATAAGAGATCGAGCTGGTTCTTTCAGAAGTCGTAGGCGCAGAAGTTTGTTGAGCATGGGTATGGGAATGGTCCCTCGGAGGGATGCAGTTGGGTGGATGAAGGCTGGTTTTGAGGTGTGGTTAGGGTAGGGTGATGGTTGGATGCATGGATGGATATCATCATGTTAATGGCTGTGAGGCTGGGCTGTCGGGTTGTGATACCTATCTTATGGATACGGAAGAGTTTGCTTGATTCCTCTCCTTTTTGTCCCGCTTGGTTTATCCTCGAGGGTTACTTGATGGCACAGACGATGACAACGATGACGACGATGTTGATGAAAAAAAGATGATGGTGGTGACAAAGGGGGTGATGGAATGATGTGTATGGTGGTCTCTCTTGAGAAAGTGAAAGAAGGAAAGAAGTAGCAAGACAGGGGATATGCCATGTAGTAGTATGTGGGAGAGGATAACCTGCATCTTGGCTTGGAGCTGGATGAATGAGGGCTTGTTGGTCTGCTCTGTTTTTGAAGGAGACGAAGCTTAAAGCGTCACATGAGACACGTGGGCCGTGGCCTTGACTGAACTCCCTAGTGGTCGGCGTCAGGGGTTGAGGAGAAAGATCGGCTGAAGAATAGACGAAGATATACATAAACAGAATCATTAGCACATTAGACAAAGATGTTTGTGTACGAAAGCAGCATCGGTTTCAATATCGGCAGACGAATATCGAATATTATGAGTGGGAAAATATACCACAGAGGTACAGAGGTACAGACTGCCTATATCCTATGCTAACACGGCTGTAATAAATGCAAAATCCGTCAAAAGAATCGAATCTCCGGCCACCAGAAAAACTTGATACCAGGCCAACGAGTAGTTACCTATACATAGGCCCGGAACCAGCCTGCTCCTTCACCTAGCTTTCGTCTCTTGGTTTTCTTACCAGTATTTTGGTATGCGGCTCACCAGCTCTCTCAAGCCCGCCGCATCAGCATAACCTGGACGCCCAAAATAGCACCCATGGCCAAGTACATTGCTATAGCCAGGGCGAAGAGCTTGACGCGCAGCAACACGATGCGGCGCCAGCTCTGAAACGTGACGCTAGCCAAGGCGGCGCGTAGCAGGGCAAACCCGCACTTGCTGCAGACGGCGACAGATTCGACGCGTCCGCCAAAGGACCGGTCAAAGCGAACGATAGTGTCTTCGTCGGCCGGCAGCAGCGTCGTCTGCACGCGAACGAGGGCCACGTGCGCTGGAATGACGAGCACGAACTTCAAGAGCACGGAGAGAACCACGATGACCAGGAGCTTCAGCGCCGTGTACGGAGACATCTCCGGAGGGCTAGCAGGGGTTGTGGCGCTCGAGGGACGCATGAGGACATTGAGAGTGTCCGGTCCAGCGACGAGCGAAATGAGCATGTCGGGGACAGCCGTGCTTAGACAGGAGAGAACGGAGAAGAGGAGGACGGGCAGCCAAGTAGCGCGGTAGGCTGAACGGAGAGACGGAATGCGGGAGAAGAAGGACCGGTGAGATGGGACGGCAACCATGGAATGGGTCCACGCGGCGTGGAGCGGGGCCGTTGCGATCAGGGCCAAAGGGTAGGCCAACAGGTGGTCGAAGGGCAGCACCAAGGCAAGAAGGCGCCAGAGAGTCAGAAAGGCGAAGCCGGACAGCAGGCCGTAGCCCAGACCGCGGAGGAAGGAAGGCCAACCGGTGAGCGAGCGAAGGAGACGGGCAGTTTGACGGATGGAGGAGGTGACAGCCTGGGGGCTGCTAGAGTGGGCAGAGGGACTTGATTTTGCTTCGGCCACCGGATTGGGCTGTTTCTTATTGCTGCCCACAGCGGCCTTATCATTGACATCGTTGACGGGGAGAAACTCATATGATGCCAGGTCAGGGTCCTCCACGGCGGCGAGGGTAGGATAGACATGTTGAAAGGTGTAGCCGATCTGTCGGTTTGGTTTATGGGTAGCGTGTTAACGATGGATCACACGCTTGACAAAAGTGAAGCGGGAAGCCGGGAGCCCCGGAACGATATGGAATACACAAAACTCACCATCAAGGAAGCCGGGAGGAAGATGAGGAAGTCGGCAAAAAAGACGAAGCCAGCATAGGGCGGAATCCTTCGTTCAGGAGACAGATCCAGCCCCTGAGCGGCGAAGCGCTTCATGAGAGCGCCGGCGGCGGTGACGCTCGGAATCATGATGCAGTTCGCAGTTAGTGGCTACCTCCTTTAGTTATGAGCCGACGATCTGCAACTTGTAGAGGGAACTAATGATAATAATGAAAAGTTGTTCAGAGAAAGCAATGTTGGAAGAGGGAAAACGAGCGTTGGAAGAGGGGAAACGAGAGGAGGAAGAGTAGTGGACGGGAGTACATACATAAGCCGTGAGCGCCACTAAAAGGAAGGGCGGGCGACAGGCGTTGCAGGTTAGCGAGCAGGACCCAGGCTCCCAGGCTACTCACTGTCGCGCTGCCTTGCATGTAGGGCCCTGGGACAAGCCGAGGACTTAGTGGACCCGATCGTGGATACAGATCTCTCGATCCAGGGACTGAGATGGTTGGCCCAGGCCAAATCCTCTCTGCACAGGGAGATCCAACGGAGCAGCAATATGAACTGTCTGTTATGCTGAACACCTCCCCTCATATTGGATATCTCCAGAGCTCCCGTTACCACTCCCAACCCCAACCCCTACTGTACCCAATAGCCATGGCATGTTTTCCAACCACTTGCACAGTAGACATATCCACGTCATGGTCCAGCCCATGTCAAACCCACTACTGCACACAGTTGTCCTTCAGCGTTGCTTAGTAGCAACAATTCGTGCCCGCACAATTTAGAAGGCGAGCCATTTTCACTTTAGAAACTCAAGGAGCCAAAGGCTCAAAAATGGAAAATGATGATAACGAGAATGGGAGAAAAGTCACAAATCCTGCTCATCTTGCAGCATCCAATGGATCTGCGATAGCAACACGTCTTCAAAATGCCCGACGATATCCCAAAGCTGTGGGTAACACGGTACAGCGAAGAGCTTAGAGTCAGTGTGTTATGGCAGTACTGGACATGCCGGAAATCGGCCCCACTGATGGCATGCGATTGACCCAGTGTGACCCAGTAACGTAACCCGGTGACCCAGCGATATGGATGACTGGCGACATGAGATCCTGGGCTCCACTCTCTACACTAAGGCTGGGTGTGCTGCCGCAGCCTACAGCCTGCAAGTTCCGGCATCCGGGAAGGGGCCGCAGGGCAGGCAACCTGAAGCACTGGATCTTTAGCGGGGGGTCAGGCCGCGTTCCCCACACCATGACCATGTCCGATTTCTAACTTTCATATATCTTTTTGGGGGTTCTTTAAAAGGCTGAGAGTTTGGAGAGATTGAATTGTGTTGTCACGTTTAGATCTGGAGCGACCGTTGGACAAACTCTTGTCCTCATCCCCCATCTTATTCAACACTACTTAAGATACCTTAGGTACCTACTTTACCTACCTACTTTACCTACCTACGTGACCTATCCATTACCCCGGAAACTCTTCCACCAGCAGACCAGCCCCGTCTGCATGTCGGCGCCGTCTATCCCCAACTTGCTCTCCCTCCGCGGCGCATCTCGCGGCAGGGGTCGCGGTCGCGGTCGCGGAGGCTTGAGCCGGGGACCTGGCTCGGGCGGCTCCCAAGACTCAACCATCCAGGGTACCGACAACGATGCCGCTGTATCTCGTCTGAGTGCCGTCGAGCTGGGCTATCTGTCCGACCCCTTCGCGCGCCTGTTTGTGCAGGCTGCTCCTGGTCCAGCCACCCGCCGCATGCCCATCATCAACCGTGGCACATATACCCGCACAACTGCCATCGACATGCTGATCGATCGCTTTCTGGCAACCACCGACTCCTCGCGCCCGCGCCAGATCGTCTCTCTCGGTGCCGGCACCGACACGCGCCCCCTGCGTCTGTTCATTTCCCCCAACCCAACCCATCGCAACATCGCCTACCATGAGATCGATTTCCCCTCCATGATCGCCCGCAAGCAGGCCCTGCTACAGTCCACCCCCCAGCTACGCTCTCTCCTATCCTCGCCAACCCAGCTTTCCCCAACGACTTGGCAAACCTCCTCCCTCATTACAAACGCAAACAACACCCTCACCCTGCATGCGCTCGATCTCCGCTCGCTTACCCCAGCCAGCACGCCTCTGCAAACCCTCTCACTGACCGCCCCGACCCTGCTCCTCTCCGAATGCTGCCTCTGCTACCTCACCCCGGCCGAAGCATCCGCCGTGCTCTCTCATTTCACCGCCAATATCTCGTCCTCGACGCCTCTGGCGCTCGTCATTTACGAGCCTATCCTGCCCGACGACCCCTTTGGCCGCACCATGACCGCCAATCTTGCTGCTCGAGGTATCACCATGCCCACCGTGCCTGCATACCCCACTCGGGAAGCCCAAGAAAAGCGCGTCCGGGAAGAAGTAGGCCTGGAAAGGGCCAGGTCCGAGACCGTGGATACTATTTGGGAGTTGTGGGTTCCTGAACAAGAGAAACAGAGGGTCGACAGGCTGGAAGGAGGCTTGGATGAAGTGGAGGAGTGGCGTCTGCTTGCCGGACACTACGTCATCGTCTGGGGATGGAGAGGACATGGACTAGATATGGAGGTCTCAGCCGAGAGCGAAACCGCGCCTAGTAGACGTGGTAGTGAGGATACAATAGGAAGAGTATCAGAATGAGACGCCATGGCAGGAAGTGTGCAATGGTAGTAGGTTAGACATCGTGTGTACATATATGCATATTCGCCAACTAGTATAGTACTTAATCTCTTCAGCTGGCTGAGACAAACCATCGTAGAGACAAGCTTAAGTGATCAGGAGAGTATGCATGAGAAATGTGTCTGTTGAGTTTATTATTGCAGTACTTCAGGTAGGTATGTAAGTCGCCTTGTCCCTATTGCATTCCATAAAACCAAACACCAAAGACTCCAAGGGTATCGATTCTCCTGTGCCATGAACGCCTGTGATTATGTCGAAATCAGTCCATAAACACAGTAAAGCCCGATTGTGAGATGAAGGAAAGAAGATATCGTTGGAGCCAGGAGTCAGGCAACAAGTACAGCAGAAAGAACTAGCAAATGAAATGGACAAGACTATGGTACTTCCTCAAAACAGCTTCAGCTGTGTCCTCTGCTGAAGTTTTGTCCCATTGAGCATTGCCCGCGCCTTCTTGGGCCGCTGCTGCAGTCTCCGAAACGCCTCCTGGATGTGTCGCGGCTCGACTGGCGTACGCCCTTCGTTCGGCGGGTCAAATAAGCCACCACCTCCCGTCAGTTTGCGCTTCTTGCTGAGGCTACTGTTTGCGCTGCCGTTGGGGTTGTTAGCGTTGCTCTGGTTCTCGCCGGTGCGCTCTCGGTGCAAGTCTTCTTGTTCTTTGATCTTCAGCGCTTCTTCTGTCAGTGTCTGCACCATTTCGAAGGTGAGGAAGCCGAGGATGTCGATTATATCGTCTGACGGCTTGCTGTCTGTCACCAAGCCGAACCCGGCCCATTCGCGGAACCGCTTGCCCTTGCGGTATGTGAATGATGCTTGACGGAACTCAGACCAGGTTACGTATTCCTCCTTGGTCATGGCCTTTGTGCGCTCATCAGCCTTGCGCAAACGCTGCAGGGTGATGTAATTCATTTCCTCCTCTTCCTCGTCTTCTTCATCCTCGCGCTCAGGCACTTCTACCGAGTAGAAAGAGGCCGGCTCCCACGGCAGGCCCACTCGTGACTTTTTTGTCTTCCTGGCCGTGTCATCCACCGTGGCACCCGGCACGACCGCGCCAACCGGGTCATCGCCAGGCGCAATATCGGCATCAGCTCCCTTGTCGTCCGAGTCTTTAACGTTCTTGCGCACATCCTTCCAGGCCAGGAAAGTTCGCAACCGCGAGACCTTTGGTGCATCATGCCGAATCTGAAAGATTAGATCGTTGACCGTAATGGTTCTCGATCCGCGACGTGCCGCCAATTCAGTGCAGTTCTTGAGCTGCTACTTGTGAGTGGATCTTGCAGCCACTGTTTCAGGGTCAAACTTACAATCTCAATGACTTGCTGCCGCACGATATCTTCGATGATGCCCGTAGTCTCGAGTGACGGCTCACCCGTTTCGCCGGAGACATACATCATCTGACAAAGTTCAAACCAGTTAGCAATCACATCACGAGGGTCCGGTTCCTCCCCATAACCTGCATCATTATTGTCGTCCTCCTCTTGATCCGAGTCTGCTGAGCACACAGCGGAAGAGAGGCCGTCCGATTGCAACAACTCATTATCATTGGCGAGCAACTCTGATAGAGGTACTTTCCCTGCCAATATGGAAACCAAGAGCTCGTCATCGGCATCATCCTGCAAAGCCACTTGGCTTTCGGAGGACATCGTCTTGTCCCCCGAGGAACTAGCGTCCAGAGAGACAGTCGGCTGGGAATCTTCAGGTGAGGTAACACCAGACTGTAGCATACGCCATATCTCTTCCAACTCCAGATCGCTCCTGAGGTTCGAAAGAAACATGCCATCGACTTCTTCCGGGTTGTTGTCGGATAATGCCATCCTGGAGATGTGGTGTTGGTTGCTGCAAGTTATGGTGTTCCGTACCACAACAAAGACAGAATCGTCGGGGGGTGGTTCGACTGGGATGGTCGGCGGGAAATAGACAACTGACTTATTGCCGGTTGAGCGGTTGCATCGACTGGGAGAATGGTAGCTGTGGTCTTGCCAGAGCTTATCCAGGGAAATCCCTGAGTTGCAATAGTCGCTAGTCAAGCCAGAACAGAAAGAATTGGTAGGAAAAATAGGCCTGGGCGGTTTTGCCTCGAACGAAATCTGACCTGGATGGCTGCGGAGAGGGAGGTGCGGAAATCGCTATCATAACACTGTCCCAGATCCACGGTTGGCTGGCTGGTCGACTTTGCGTTCTAAGAACATTGTGCTCAGACCCACGCTCCCATGCAGGTTGACTTACTCAACCGAACCACCCTGTAATAAACCCAGACAGTGCTGGCGTGTTAAAAGGCCGACGGTTTTGTCCATGGCAGATTCATTGCCAAAATGCCCATTGCCCGCCAGAGGTCTGTGGTGAATAGGATTACCATTACCCACAGAACAAGATGACAGACTCGATGCCGCTAGGCGATATCCAATTCAACAACCTGGCTGACTGGCTATAAGATACCCCCTTTTCTGTTTAAAGTTCCACTTCTAAAACAATGACAGGTGTTTGGTAGGTGAAAGGAGATCACGACAACTGGGTGTCTAGGATGTCGAGGATGGAGCGGGAGGGACATTAAGTTGAGCAATGTCCAGACTGCAACTGCATGCAGAAGTGCTCAAAGCAGTTCGGCTGCCATGCCTATGCCGTCGCAATGTTGTGCTGTGCAAAAGACAGACATGATCAAGTCGGTGGCATCCCTAAAGTGTTGATATTGCCGCTCGACAGTTCACGATGGTGAGGATGGCTTTGACCGATGTATCCTCCTATCGTTTCCAGGCGTGGCTTTACCAAAAAAGCCCCATAAAGAGACCGGCCATACCTAGATATGAGGGAAGGACTGGTCTTGTTATCGCCCCCAAAACCATGATGATCGGTCCCCAAAACCATCTCATCCGCCGACAGAGATGGGGGTGCGCAGAGGGCGTCGAGTGAATCAAACCGTCATAGGAGACTATCGGGATACCGTGTTTAGGAGTGTGCGTCTTTTATCGGCCCGGAAATCGCGATATGGATATTCGCCACCATGAAAGGCTCAACGTTTGGCAAGCTATGAATGACAACAACTCGCTTCCAGAAAACGTGGTTCTCAGGCTGATGAAGTTGACAGATCGATCAAGTAAACTGATTGACCAGACTCCAACCTCCTAGGTAGGGCTTGTCCAGTTATGCGTATAAGTTATGCCCGACCAGCTCAAAGCCCATAGGCTTCTGTACTAACAACCCCATTTCCATGGAATCTTCCAGGTTCCTACGCAGCAGACCCGTATTCGTAGGATGAGTTGAAAAACAACACGAAATCAGACACCTACCTGCTGTATCTCCTGGCGATACTTATACTGCTTATCCTTGTCCGCCATTGCTGTAAAGTCTTCTATCAAAATTGACTTCTCTGAACAGTTGGGGAAAGGTCGATATGGGCGGAATTGTTGGGGCTTATGAGGAATGAATGTGTTGATTTAGTGGCAGTGAGTATTGGATGTGAGGAAGCTCGAAGAGAGGAAGACGCGTCCCTTCACGCTGCCAGATGAGTTGGGGAGCTGGTCTGTGCGCAACTCCGGAGATGTGTTTATCCTTTCCGACAGGTGCTTCGCGCTGATACGCAGTGCCTACTGCTTACAAGCACATGGCTGAGCACCAACCAAGCTAATACACAGTTGAATGCTAACAGAAGAAGAAAAGAAGAAAGAAGTAGCCTGTTATAAGGTAATTGTGACATCTTCACATATATTCCTAGACGGCAGTCACAAGAAAATCTATGTTGTTGCTGGCTGTACGTACGTCTTGTGCCAACAGTCCAGAGCTGATCCATGCTTCGGGCCCTGGCATGCGGCTCTCTGCGGGGCATCGGATGACCAGCACCCGTGTGCCCCGCGCTGTACAAGCTGAACCCCACATGAACAGGAAACCCAGTTTCAGCCTTCAGCTTCAGCCTTGCATGAGTGAACGTCATCTCATCAGTCTCATAGAGCAGAAGGGGCACAACGACTCTTTGATCAGCATCATACTGGACCCCGGATCCTATCCTTCTGCTGATACACCGTCATTAAATGCTACCCTTCTAAAACAAAGTCTCAATCCCTCCGCTTTGATTTCCAAAATGCCACCTCCTTCCTTGACTCTCGTGGTAAGCAATTTCTTACCCGCTTTGCTGTTCTTGAGACCCTCCATGACTTCCAACACTTTTTCCAGTCACGGCTTAAAGTCCAGCTCAAGCTGGCAATTGCGCGGCTGAGAATGGTTCAGAAACGCGATGAAGCCCTTGCCAAAACACAGCGCCGAGCAATGGCTCAGCTGCTCGAGCAAGGGAAAGTCGAGTCGGCGCGCATTCGCGTTGAGAACATTATCCGCACCGACATAATCACAGAACTGCATGAAATCTTGGAGCTGTACTGCGAGCTGCTGCTCGCACGGGCAGGCCTGCTTGAAGCGTCTCCCACATGCGATCCTGGCCTGGAGGAGGCCGTCAAGAGCATCATATATGCAGCACCAAAAACAGAAATCAAGGAGCTGCACCAAGTGCGGCTCCTTCTAGCCGAAAAATTTGGAAAGGAATTTGTCTTAGCTGCCATGGAAAACGCCGACGGAAAAGTCAGTGACAAAGTGATCAAAAAATTGAGTGTCGCTCCACCCAAGGAAGAACTTGTTCAGGGCTATCTGGAGGAAATTGCTAAGGCTTATGGTGTCAACTGGCCGAGGAAAGATTCAACGGACCTTGGAGAGCCCCCGGACTTTGTCGACAGCAATGAAGACGGGAGTAGTGGAGGTGAAAAATTGAAGGGGAATACACTTGGGGATCTAGCGTCTGCAGAAGAGACGAGGAAGAAAGGTGATGGGGTTGAGGAAGGACTGGAGGAGGATTCCGGCACTAAGGCGAGGGAAGCACTCAGTAAAGCGACCCCGCCAAAGTCATTTGGTCCCACAAATCCGGTCCAAGTCAATCCACCGAGCCCATCAACCGACAATATCCACCCAAAAGTTACACTCAATAAGGTTGAGTTAACACCTACAAGGAAGTCAGCCACTGGAAATGGCTTTACTGTTCGCAAACTTTCCGATGCGGATGATGAGTTAGCAAGGCGCTTCGCTGCGCTCAAGAGGTAGTGCGGTACTTTTTAACCTGTTCATTACTCATCACTTCATCACTTCTTCATCTTTCCGGGGGCGCTAGCGAGCTTTTCCATGTTTCTTTTTTTTTTTGGATCGATAGTCAGCTCCGGACACAATAGCAGCTAACAGTGTATCGACCTTTTTTGATAGTTTGCACATGGTTATTAGTGATTTAGTTGCACATCCATTGTGGCTTATCTTTCGCCCAATTTTTGAACCATTTCTTCTAGAGAATATATTTGTATTCTTATATGTGTACTCTCTGGTATCCTCAGTCACGGTTTTTCTTAGAACCGTTCTTTTAAAACCGACTTCCAACATCAACCATTAAATTTGGTATCGCCTCTTAATCCTGAGACTATCAAGGTTCTGCACTCCGAGTATGAACATGAACACTGTCGACATGGTTTGTCAGATGGATGTGATTCTCAGTGTCAACAACCTGGACATGGTTCTCCCCGACGAGCTTCGTGAGCACGTCGACAACACTATTCCCGACGGGGTTACGACCTTGCAACTTCTGCAGGGTTATCTCCAGCGGTTTCACCATATCCCCACGATGATTGCTATCTTGGAGCAAATCGCCATCGCCGAATATGTTTCTGATTTTTACCAAGTTATGAGCGAGCATGCCACTAACGATCTGATCTTTGAGTCTTTTAAGAAATGTGAAGGTGGATCAGACAGTCATTGAGCTTAAGATTTCCCATTATCTCGACCTTGCCATGATTTCCTAACCTAGATCCTTGGAATGGTCTCTAAAATCTCGAATGAAACATCCAATATTTTCCATCGATCATCCTGCATTTGTAGCTTTTCGGCGGGATGTTGACATGCGCGGCGTCCAGGCTGATTGTACCCCCCTAGCCAAGTGACTTCTTTGATACCTATATTAGCAATTCCACGCAACTCTTCCATGCCATTTGCGGTGTGTGAGAGGTGACATACCAGGATTTCTGCAACGCTTGCAGGTATGGTCAGTTAGGATAGGCTTCCTTAGCCTTTGAAATCTCGCAGCAGCTTCAACGGGCGGAGTCCCCAAATGTATTGAAGGGAATCGGCTCCCAGACATGCGCCCGTTAGCTGTGCACTGTCGTTTCATTTATCTTGTTGATTATCGCCTCGAGTTGGCCAAATTTCGATGATTTCAATGTCACTGTCATTATCCACCCTGGCAACAGCTGATGATGGAGTTGTGGTTTGGGCCTCATTTGAGGTTGAAGAGTACTCACACTCGGTGGAGCTGGATGATGAAGAGGGGCCCAGTCGTTTCTGTCAGATACTACTTTATCCCCGGAATAAGGATCCCTCCTCGTTAACCAGTAAAGACGGCGAGGAGCATCCAGGATCTAGAGTCGCAATGAGGAACGGGTCTGCAAGCTGCAGCCCCAACCCAAGCGGCTCGCTGATTTCCCCTTGCCTACTTCAAGGACATCCTCCGGCGAGCGGCAAGTCCGAAATCATGGGTTTCGACGAGGAGTCGCCGGCGGTTTAGGAGACCAGATTCGATCTTCTGGTTAGTTCTGTTATTCCCACCTGGCCCACAATCGCCGCTCCCACCGCCGCCCAGGACTCTCTACTGCCGCAGCCGCAGGGGATGATGTGGCCATCAATCTGTTTGCGTCGGCCAGATTTGAGGCCACCATCGCCGAAACTTTGAATGATTCAAGTGCAGACTGGATCGATTAAGAGAAAGCGGCCCAGGATTCTTATCAGGTTCCTTGTCAGAGCGAGCTTCTGACGGAATCTGTCGTTTCGCTGCTAACGCTTGGTGATCCTGATAAGGTACCCAGCGAGTTGGCTACAGTCGACAGGGTCTCGTGGGAGTGTCCGGAGCCTACGATTTGCAGTTATGAAAACCCTGTTGAGGTGACAACTTCTCGCCGGGATATCTTACTGCCAACTAAGTTCGCTATGGACTTCGTGGACTTCGAGAATGGCATCACATTCTGATTGGTATTTGGGCTGACTGAGGGAGTGTCATCATGGGCTCCAGCTGCTGCAAGAAGCCGAATTTTGCGAGAACTCCCCCACTTCAGCGCTCACACAGACGACATGCCGTAGATTGTTTTTGTGTCATAGGCGGTGGCTAAACGAAAGGTATCTGAAAGCCTTTTTTCAATGATCAAGAAGCTCGATTGTGGTGCTGGTTGCCCGCTTCTGATCTTCATTTGGAAACTGTCGCCACTGATTGAGAAATGGATGATGGGTGATAGGAAGCCGGCAGATGAGCCATTGCTTGAGTTTTTAGAAGGGCGGTGTAGTTAGTAACACAACTCGCTTTTGCTTCCTTGGTAATGACGAGAAGGATGGTAATCGTCAATTGCATTAGAGGAATCTAGTTACTTGATGGAAGTGAATTGCAATCTGGATTCAATTTGTTTCCCTCCCTTAGCGCTTGATGCCACTCAAGCCGCTATCCTTTACAACCTTGGGTAAGCATGAAGTAATTTGCTTACTTCCTTGGGTATCATAAGCCCTTCGGACATCATTAAGAATTTCCTGCTTGGCCCGGTAATTCAGTGGCTTCGCCATTTGGAGCCGGATACTAGCCCTCGACATAGCCTTAGCTCCAGAGAGTTCCTAGAACTGCTGCTGATTGCTTCGCACTCGCTGATATCTGAAAAACACTTGGCCCCTTCCCCCCTCTCTCCCCAAAACACCCAAGCAGAGCAGGAGAGACTTTTGGCCCTTTGATGCCGTGCGTCGCATAACAACGTGTTATCCACCATTCTATGCATCCCATCATCGTCATGTGATGATGACCCCTAAACAAGTGCGAAGTCCTCCCAAAAGGCTTGTTGGAACCTCTCGATTAATATCCCAAGCTCTAATTGGGTTCAATCCTTTACTCCAGTTTATCCAGGTGCTCCAATCTTGTCAACACAACCTGTTTGCTTGTTTCTTCAATCTCACCAGCCAGGAACACCTCGTCGAGAATTGCATAGACCTTGTAAAAGTTAAAGACCAGGTCCAGCTCGCACACGTTGCCAAAGAAAGCGTCCAAGACTTCAACAAAGAAGTGGATCGCCTCGAGATAGGCCAGCTCGTTGTCGTTTGTGTCGACTCCTGCGCAGAAGAATAGGCCGGCGTACCGCCGGTAAACAACCTTGAGGTTACGGTATTCGACGAAGTTGGACTGGTACTTTTGGTCACGCGGCGCGACTAGACGATGGATCTGTGTCGGAGTATACTAGTCAGTTCCGGCGTGCACAACAGGCGCGACACGGGTTCTAGGTTTCAGAATGTGACGCACTTCGCCTTTGAGCTTAATCTTCTCCTCGTCGGTGTACGGGACGTACCACTTGGCCAGGCGAGTCTTGCCTCTGAGATGAACGAGTCAGCATGCGTCACCGGCGATAGAAAGGACGACTGTTAGGGGCAAAAAACATACTGCCGATTTTGAATGAGGATGAATGACAACATGGCTGGCAGCGCGGGCGATGCGCCTTGCTGTTGTCGCGGGTGTCGCGCGGCGCTACAGGGGATGCCAAGGTGTCGGTCGCGACGCTGCCGATAAGGTTAATTATGGGACTTAAGTATTGACCTAGAAAGGCGACAAGGAGGTTCAGGGGTGAGCTTTCAACATCGGCCAACTAACGGTTGGAGCGCGTAGCTAGGGTTAGGGTTGTATGTCGGTGATGATAATGGTGTGAGACAAGGACACCAAGGGACATCTCAATCAAAAGAATGACTCGGTAGGTAGGACACTACCTCCATCGAAAGGAGAACTAAAGACCATATCTATGTATATAGGAACTGGAAAGTACGGTAGTGCCCGAATCTGCATTGTTGAAGCCCGAATCCCTGGTCTCAAAGAAACAGACAATCCCAGGTTCTGATGCACGACTTTGAATAAGCCAGTATTCAAACGCCCAGCTCTTCATCTGTCTTGTGTTTCTACCGGATGCCTGTGCTCCATCCTGTATGTAAAGCCTTGTATATACCTCTCTTTTCCAAAGAACCGCCTGGGCAGGCTAGGCCAGACCATTTCCAACCAACGAAGACTATCCCCCAGAGTACATGTCCTGCAAGTTAATCGCCTTTTGCATCTCGCTCGAAGGGAATACGGAAGCTCGAGGCATCCTAATCCTCAGCTGCCACTTTCCCTTCCTCATTCAATCGTTGTCGATATTGGTTCCGAATAGTCATCAGTGTGACCGCAATCCCAAACCAGGATGCCACTAGCGTAACGTAGTACGCATTTTTGTAGCAGTCCAGGCCGTCAGGACAGGTCCGATCGCCATCTGGCCCGACAATGCTATGACTATCAAAGACAACACCGTAGAACAGGTTAAAGATGTTGCCTGAGATTACGGGGCTCAGCGTCATGAAGCCCCAATTCTGGCTCAATCCATGGATGCCGAACGCCTCGGCGACGATGGAGGGGAAGACGCCAAAGAGGAACCCATAGCCAAGGCCAGACAGGCCAGACACAAAGCCCAAGAAGTGAGGATTCTCGATGTTTACGGCGCAGAGCTGAGCGATACAAAAGAGCCCGCCAGCAATGACAAGGCACCAAGCGCGACTGGCTTGTAAGGACTTCACTAGGTAATCAGAACCGATGCCTGATAGAAAAGAGGTCAGCACCTGGTCTTGGAAGAGCTCGGATAACACATATTGCATACCGCTTAGAAGACGTCCGATGAAACTTCCGACAGAAAGTATGGAGACGTGCATTTGTTGTCGCTTGACAAGAAAGCCTTCAGTGACCTTGGCGTCAAACTTCTTCCAAAGTGCATTGACATCGTGCCCTATGTTACTGTACAATTAACTTGTTAGCCAGCCGTTGCTACTACGTTCAATCCTTGAGCCGGGAACCTACTTGATGGTCATCAGGCCAATACCAGCAAGAACTCCAAGAATAGCGAATAGTTGCCAGAAATCAAGGTTACGCAGCAGGCGCAAGCCACGGATATCTATACGATGAGAGCGATCCAAATCAACACTGTTCTGTACCAACACATCACCGGCCAACGAGGACGATGGGGATGACGATTTGGACATCAGAGACGAGGTTTCATCCACCTCATGGAACGCAGTGTCCGAGGATTGGATCGGAAGGACAACTTCCACATCAGTCTCGTCGAGGGTACGTGGGACGGGGCCTGTGTCTTTGGATGATCCGGCACACACTGACTCCTGCAGTGGTTGGGCACCCTCCACTGCCCCGGCCGATTCATCGGCCAAGGGTGTCGTATAGCTGGTGGGCGACCTACCAGGTTCTGAGCCAAGAGATCGATAATGGCTGTGGCCGGGATGGCGTGCTGCCTTGGCTCTGTCGGATGACGGGGTGCGATGGAGCCGCTGCGAACCTGTCGAGGTGGGATCGCCAGCTGAAAGGGAATGATAGGAGGTGTGCGGGTAAACCTTGAGGAAGAAGTAGCCCGCAAAGGTCATGAAGAAGGTGCCGATGGCCAGGAGGGAGAGAAACGCGCTCGTGTTGCCCGGGAAGAGCAGGCCGCCGAGGAGCGAGAAGAAGAACGCGCTAAGACCGAAGGCAGCCAGAGGGAAGGCGGTAGCAGTTCCTCGATGATGGGGCCAGTTGAGGGCAGACGTCTTGACGGCAGCATTGAAAGCCATACAGCCGCCCAGGCCAGTGAGGAAAGAGAATACACAGAGGACGGGCACAGATCCAGACCCGGTTTCGAAGGCGGCGCTAATGGGAAAGTAACCGAACGCAAGCAACAACGAGCCAGCAATGACGGCGGGGCGGGGGCCACGATGGTCGACAAACAGGCCGATGGGAACGCCCATGGAGTACATGCCGAGATTCCCTGCGAGGCCGATAAGGTTGGACTCAGTGGTGGTGAGGTGCAGCTTGTCAGCGAACTGCGGAGCCCAAGCCGAGTACACATACTGTTGCAGCACGGAAAATGGTTCAGCCAAATAACCACAGAGAAGGAAGATAAAGACAAGAAGAGATAGGGATGGTGGCCATGGCCCCAGGGTGGTGTGTCTAAGACCCAAACACATCGCCGGGATGGTACATCGAGGAGGACAGCGTCAGGCAGAACCTACGTTGGTACCACAAGCTAGAGAGATGATAGTAGCGGCCACGCTCGACACTACACGTGCGCGGTGCAGCTCTCGGTCCCTGTCCTTCATTGTGTCGCCCATGGTACGAAGACTCATTCGTGATTTGCGAACCTGATAGCGAACGGAATGAAGGGCAGGACGTAAGAGACAAAAGGCGAGGCGTGCGATGTAGGTGTGTAAGTGGATAGGAACTCGGGGTGCAGAAGGGTGAGTGGACGTTAGAAAGGCGAAGGCTCAGCCGTACTGATGCATCCCGGCGATGCACGTGAAACTCAGGTACCTATGCGATTGAGCTGGCTGCGTTACTATGTATGCACGGCGTATAATCAGACGTACAGTGATCAGATGGATATGTTATTCTTGTCTGAAGTCGTGATTGCACAATGACAAATCCATTGTTGGCGGATGGATGAGATGAAGTCAACTGGGGACTCGCGCCGGTCTCTCGGAACCGGGGAGCTGATGTGCGATATCCATCCTGGTCCTTGAGGTGGGTTTCAGGAGTCTTGGCATGACCTACACAGTACGTAATCTGCAGCTTTATGATTGATCGGTGGTTGCATGATAGACCCATGCAGCATGTGGCTGGTTCGGCTGCTGCCGGAGCTTGCTTGCTCTTATCCGAGCCCCGGATTGGTTTGCCTGCTGCTTTGGTCCAGATCCAGACACACCGTGTGTGGCTGGAGAGATGAGGTGCACCACAGCAGCCGGCAAGTGGCCCGCACATTGCCAGCAACTCCGGTGCGGAGCTTGGAGGGTGCGGGGTGCCTGGCTGAGCACTTTGTGGCTTGGCAGCCCGCTAGCGAGTAGTCACAGCAATCGTCATACGTTGGGATTCACGCTTTGTCACTCGTCGCTAGTTCGAGGAACAGCAACTCCATCGCCGCTGCATCATAATCATTTGTGTCCCATACGGGTTAACCATACTGATAATCAGTCCATCTAGCTAACCCAACATTGCCCATCACCTCCATTTATCTATCTTCACTCTGTCACCATTCAGTGGCTGCTTCCCGGCATTTTACAATTCCCACTCGCCTCTCAGTTTCAGGTTGCAAGCTCCAGCAGTCCACGCGACCAGGACCGTCTGCCAACATACAACGGAGCAACACTATACCTACCTGACTTACTTGCCTGCATTTTCCTCTCGAGCCTCGACAGCCTGTGGCCATGGGCGCACTCTTGTCCATACCATTCTTCGCAGTGCCGAGCTTAGGCACTGTAAGTGAAATTCCTCCTTCTGTACCTTGTTGGTTTTGTTTCGACTCTTGAGAACGCGACTGTCTGACATGAGCTAGGTCCTCTCTTTTGTGGGCAGTTGCTGTGGTGCCGCAACATGCTCGATGGTGTGTAGTGCATGCGGGAAATGCGGTAACAGGTTAGCCAGCTCTCGTCGCTTGCTGTTTTCCCTTCCATCGCCGCCTTGGTCGATGGGCCTACCGACCTAGGCCCGTCCGTGTGGCATCGTGGACTGATCATTGACATGGAATTGTTGCTAGTATCGCGACGCGCATTGCCTATGCCATGATCCTGCTCGTCAATTCAATACTATCATGGATCATGCTCACCAAATGGGCCATCGAGAAGCTCCAGCACCTGATGTTCGACTACGTCAAGATCAAGTGTGGCGACGGCGACTGCTACGGCTGGCTCGCGGTCCACCGCATCAACTTCGCTCTGGGCATGTTCCACCTCATCCTCGCCGCGCTCCTGGTTGGCGTTCATTCCTCCAAGAACCCGCGTGCTGCCATCCAGAATGGCTACTGGGGCCCGAAAATTATCGCCTGGCTGGGCCTCATCGTCCTGACCTTCTTCATCCCGGACACCTTTTTCCAATTCTGGGGCAACTACATCGCCTTGCTAGCTGCTATGCTATTTCTTATGCTCGGTCTGATCCTGCTGATCGATTTAGCCCACAACTGGGCCGAGTACTGCCTCGTTAAGATCGAGAACACAGACTCCAGGACGTGGCGCGCCATTCTCATCGGCTCTACGCTGGGCATGTACCTGACCTCGTTGGCCATGACTATCGTCCAATACATTTTCTTTGCATCGAAAGGCTGCTCCATGAACCAGGCTGCCATCACCATTAACCTGCTTCTTTGGATTGCCATCTCCATTATCTCCGTTCACCCCACCGTCCAGGAGCACAACCCAAAGGCTGGCCTGGCCCAGGCTGCCATGGTCGCCATTTACTGTACCTACTTGACTATGTCTGCTGTTTCCATGGAGCCTGACGAGACGCCTGATCACCGTTGCAACCCGCTCGGCCTCGGCCAGGGCACTCGAACCACTACCGTCGTCCTCGGAGCCATTGGCACCATGCTGACTGTCGCCTACACTACCACTCGCGCCGCCACCCAGAGCCTTGGTTTAGGTGGCAGTTCGCGCGGCGCCATTCGCCTTCCCGACGACGATGACGACTTCGATGTTTATAACCATGGCCTTGTCACCACGCAGCCGTCCTCCCGCAGGCAGATGCGTGCCGAGGCTTTGCGTCGTGCCGTCGAGGAGGGCAGTCTGCCCGCTGATGCTCTGCTCTCTGAGGAAGAGTCCGACGACAGCGGCAGCGCCACGTCCAACCGCAACGATGACGAGCGATCCAGCACTCAGTATAGCTATGCCATGTTCCACGTCATCTTCTTCTTGGCCACTGCGTGGGTCGCTACCCTGCTGACCATGGACTGGGATAACGACAAACATAGCCAAGACGATTTTGCAACCGTCGGTCGCACGCTTTGGGCAAGCTGGGTCAAGATTGTCAGTTCCTGGGTGTGCTATGCTCTGTATATTTGGTCGCTAATCGCGCCGGTCTTAATGCCGGATCGCTTTGGGTATGACTAAGCATGCAGGGAAGAAAGGGCGCTGGGTTACATGAATGGGGCTTCATGGAACAAGGTACGTCATGATCGGTAGGGGTTCAAGTTCGAAGGAGTTGGTACGGGTAATTGGTTGGGTTTGGCTTGGGTTATCATCATCAGTTGTACATACAGCCGTTGTTTGCTAGTGCCACACCTCATGTTCTCATATGTCATTGTGTTTCACCATAGCCTTCTCCGCACTTTGTCATGTCTTTTCCTGCATGCTGTCCTTCCAGGATCGGGGCGTCTGTTTCTATACTATGCCCATAATGCAGTTTTCTATAGGACGTATAGGAGGTACCTTGCCTGGGGTTATTTTCCCAGCCTTCAAACTCGGTTCTTCTTGGGTCAGCTAGTTCTCAGCATCAACTAAACAATTGGCTGTACGAATGGAAAAGATCGATTGGGCTGCATTGGGTAGGAGGGTTTGTGTGACAGGTAGCACAATGGAAATTCAGAACTGGACTCCTTGCCTGCCTTCCTTGAAGAGTCAACCCAGGGTGCCAAGCGAGAGAACGTGGACATCCTCTGACCGACCAAGTCGCTTTAGTTCTTTTGATAGCAAGCCTGGGGCATCTTTAGGCATTATCGCATCCCATTTCTAGAACAAACAGCCTTGGGTCCAAGAAACAGTATATATCAGTGTCACTTGAGCACGTCATGACTCACATGCCGGCGAAACCTAGCTTGCTTCTGCACACATACGGCCGCAATAGGGATGTAGATCAATTCTTCGATGCTGTGGCTAATATGACTTGCTTTCCTTGTGCATCAATAATATAATTCAAGAAGCGACTATTGCTTTTGAGGAGCGCTCTCAATGGTTTGGTTGGCAGAAAGCTGGTATCCCAACGGGCGACGTGCTTGGCTGACAAGGTTTTCAAAAGCATCAGAGCCTGCCTTTATGCAGGGAACTCCTCGAACTAAACCTTGGGCTACTCAACACCACTATCTAGTCTCATCGGTTAGCACTTATTTTCTCGTTAATCAGGAACAAGTGTCATACGCAGACAACTCCTATCTTAAGATCCCTGTGCTTCAAACTTGCCTAACCCACTAAGCCTCATCTTGACATATGCAACATGATAGGCCCCAAAAAAACGGCAAGGCTAGACTCGAGAGAGGGAAGATCTTATGAGGAATGCGGCATTGTCGGGTCGTAGACATGGGGGGCATCGGAGGTCCTGGGATGCATACCAGCATTCGTTTCCAAGCCATTTGACCATACAAATGCATACAATGCAGAAGTAGCTGGGAGTGTTATAAGAAGGAACCTCAATATACTTACATGCCAAGTATCAGGGGTGGTTGGGTCATTACAGGGAAGGTATAAGTCGAGTCAATGGCTGTCACTGTCACACATGCGACTACCCGAGACTAGCGTATGCGAATCTGTACCAAGCTGTGCCAGTTGGCTGGTCACTACAAGGAGGAATTCTAGCACATGTTGAAAAATCCGGTGTAAGCTATTGTCGTGTACGACTGGCTGTCTGACATAGGTCCTTTGCTGTATTGATTCAAGGGGAATAGGCAAGGATGATGCAAGTAAATGCCACAATGTTGAGCTCTTGGAAACACCTAACCAGTGCGCCTTTTCCGACAAGGGTGTCATTAAGACTACAGCCGAAGGCCTAACCAGTGAGACTTTTGGTCACAGGGTGATGGGAAAGCCTGAGGGAACTAGAGAAAAGGGAGAAAAAAAAAGAAGATTATCTTGAACGAAATAGGGAAGTCAAACTAGTATAGCGGCGTTCTCACGACTGTGTGTCAGAGATCCGGCCTGTTCTTGGTTTCAGCTCTCCGTTCTTCTATCATGTGGATATCGCCCCCAAAGTCTTATTTCAGAGAGTAGCGCGACACCCTCCCCGCAGCCAGAATGACTCGCGTGATCACCCATTGAACATGTCAGAGGCTCTCGCTCAGAACTTCCTGCGGTGCAACAATGCCGGTGAGTTGGCAAGTTAATCCGGACAAGTTCATGGAAGAGGAACGTAGCGCACTGTCTGCAGCATATGAGCGAAATTGAAGAGAATTAGCTTCTTCGGCTGTTGGGCGGTTTGGCTCGCGGCCCGAGACTTTTTTTTTTTTTTCGCATGGGTGAAGCCACGGCAGAGTTCTTGTTAGTGTGGCCAGCCAACAAGGGTTGGTGACACAGCATACTGGTGAACAGCTTCGGACAGCTCCAGCCTAGGAGTGTTCGTCTTACAGAGTTTGAGTGGGGGATTTTGTTCTGCGTGGAAGTACACTACACCCAAGGGATTGAAACTCGATTCCTACAACCTGGTCGGGCCCTATCTCGGAGTGACACACCATAAACTTGTGTGACCTCGAGACCTGTGCTCATTGCTCTGTAGCAGTTTGGCTTGCTCAGACTGGATTGGAAACCCACTAATTATATTCGGAATCTTGTATTAGGGAACCCGACAGCCCCAGGTAATTGGATGGCAAGAAGACTAGGCCAAATTATCTTGTTCACGTCACGTAATGCCTAATTGACAGGCACAGGTGCTTCTGATGGGTCAACATCTCGGGACACCCATCCATCTCGGGCCACTGAGCGGATAGCTGCAGTAAAAATCACAAATGGTGCAGTCAAGACTCAAAAGGGTTACTGCTAAGATCGCTAGCCCAGGCCACAGGAGACAGGTACTACAGACATGTTTAGGCATGCGTTGTCCTGAATAATGTTTCCCCATCTGCTAGTCATATAGGTAGATACGCCAGCCCTGTGCACCCATGAGCCGTCCTCGAGAGTACATCCTGTCAAATATACTTCCCGAGATTCGGGCACCGGTGGCTTTTCTAAGCATTTACCTAGGGCAACAAGACGCCTACACAGTAGGTACAGTAGGTGCGTAGTCTTGTTCTCGGATACGTGCCAGATCTCTTAGCATTCTCGAGAAAATGACAGGTATGATTTCTTCAGAGATCCTCATATGTGATAACGATCTTGCAGATTGCCAATACAACCTGGTATGAGGGAATGGATGCATTCAACATATCATCCTTGTCGGAGATAGTTCCGTAGAGCCTGAGTGGACAATGAAAAACAGAGAGGTCACATCGTTCGAGGTATCGGCACAAGAGGTAAGTGAGGTTGAGCCCAGAGGAAGTACATTCCGAGGTTCCTTGGAATATATGCAGCAGCCAAAAGGCTACGAGCAGAAGGGAAAGATAGCCCAATCAGCAGGCTAGTGTACTAGATGCAGACAAATCGCATGCTTTGGTTTACATTTGCTTCTGCAGGAGCAAACAGACGAAGATTCATGCCACTAGCCCATAGAACGCCCTCTCAGCCACGAATAGGTAGACAGCGTGACCCCTGTTGAGCGAACAGCAAATGCAGGTCTGGGAAATGACAGGAGCAGATATGTATGTATAGTCGCAAGAAGCGCTGACGTCTACTCCAGTCTCTTCTCCATTGGTTTCGCAATGACAGCTGTGGGGGTATTTGGGCCGCCGTGTTGTTGTATTCTTGTGTGCTTCGGCCGGGACTGCGGTTCTTGGCTTACTTCACCCTCGATATCCTCGACTAGAAGCAGCTTGCCGAGGAGCACAAGTGGTTAAGTCGATGGGCCGCAAGCGTCGGATAAGGGAGTTGACCAAGATAATTGCACGCTGTGTTCTTGGCTTCCTGTTTTCACATCAAGCATAAACAATTGCACAGAACATCTAGGGCTCGGAATGCGGGTGAAGACGCAAAGGAATACCATTAACATGTCCACGGCGAACGCTGCATATGCAGAAGGAGTAATTCGATGGGCCATATTGTCTCGAGGGGACATCCTAGGCTGGGCAAAACTGTCAGCATCTGATGCTTTAGAGACATGGAACGTATGCCCTGGCTGGTTCTAGCATGCTAAAAGTAGGGAAGGGGTGAGCTTAACAGCTGTCCATCAACTTCGCGATATCCGGGAACTCGGCATTGCTTCTGCATGACCCATTGACCAGAAAGTAATGGTCGAATACCATACATGCTCATCCTCGACTTCCTTTTGGCGCCTTAAGAACGCGACTAAGCACTGCTGGAGCCAGTGCAGCATCCCGACACGGAAGACTCGGTCGGCACCTTTCTATTCCTCGTTTATAGAGCATGCTCAGTTTAGTTGACATTCCCGAGCACCCACAAACCTGTAAAAACCAGTTCTCTTTCATCCCTTCCCATATGTGTTCCCAAAAATATATATAGCCCGGCGTCCCTTCGACGCCATTCCAAAGAATAGGACAGGCAGGCTCTCCTCACTTCCAAAAAGTCTCATCCACGAGTCTAAATAGCAACATCCTCTTCAATCATTTCATACTCCTCCTCCCGACAGCAGTCATGCCGCACAGCGTGAAGGACCAAAAGCCACTGGCGGCCCGAGCCAATTCTCGACGGTTGGTGGCCATCCATCTTATTTCTTAGCAAAGCTTGTAAGGGTGCATGCTCATGATAGTTGCAGAAACGAGAAAGTAGCCCAACTTGATCCGCCCCAATCTAACTCTAACGGATATGCTGTTAAAAAACAGTCACCAATGTTGGCGATTTGGGAAAATGAACTTGATCCCAGCAATCTTCCCACTTGTGAAAGGCTGTTTCGCAGCAATAAGTGAGTTCCGTCCATGTTCATGTGTTTCAACATTGACCATCTGCATGCGAATGCTAACGTCTCAGCACTCACGCCAACGGAGGACAGAATCCAAATGCTGCGGAGGGGCAGTGGACGCCATGAGAGAAAGTGTTGTCGAGGACATTGGGCGGAATGGCGTTGGGGGCGTTCTTGGTTTCGATCAATGTCGCGGTTTTGCATGATTTGTGTGTTTGGTTAGAGGAATTGATCTCTTTTGATTAGAGGAAGAGACGAAGGTCCATCCATGTGTTTCAGCCCAACGAATAATCACCAGTAATGAGGAAGTTGGCTAATTTGCTTTGAAACGGGCTCCTCGTCTACTATTCTGACGGGGTGATGCTTTCGGAGGTCTGAGAGCTCTGATTATTTGCATGGAAACCATCCAGCGTAAGAGTAACCGCCCCCGCTTGAACAAGCTATATATGAGGAACAAGATAGGTTAGATGGTGGCTTTTGGCAAAAGGCTGGCCGCAGCCTGAAGAGTGAGTGCACTTACAGCACGGGACAAATCGTCTATGAGATCGTTGACGTCTTCAATACCAACACAAAGCCGGATCAGATCCTCAGGCATTTGTCTCTCTGCCCTGGTCTTGGCATCAATGCTGGCATGGCTCATGCGGCAAGGCATGCTAATCAGGCTGTTAACACAACCAAAGCTAACGCTGATGCTCCAAAGACGGGTCGACTCGACGATGCGCTCCGAGAGGGCCACATCACCCGTCTCAAACGAAAGCACGGCGCCCGCGCCACGTGCCATGGACCAGTGGAGGTCGTACTGGGGGTGAGATTTCAAGCCTGGATAACGCACGCGGAAGCCGTGCGACTCAAGGAATTCGGCGATTTGCTGAGCGTTGGCCTGCTGCTTCTCCATACGGATGGCAAGGGTCTTAACTCCCCTCATTAGGAGGAAGGAGTCATTTGGCGATAGGCCGCAGCCAGTGGCATTGATGGTGAAGTACATCTTGTCGGCCAGCATGGGGTCGTTGCAGGCGATGACACCTGCCATGATGTCATGATGGCCTGAGAGATACTTGGTTCCGGACTCGTAGACAATGTCGGCGCCAAAATCTAGAGGGTTTGCGAGCAAGGGAGAGAGCATGGTGTTGTCCACGACAACAAGGGCCTTGCTGCTGGCCTCGTGGGTCGCCCGCGCGATGGTCGGGATGTCGACAATCTTGATGAGCGGGTTTGTGGGCGTTTCCAGAAGCACCATGGCTGTCTTGTCCGAGAGCACCTCCCGCACACGATCGGGATTGGTGGTGTCGACATGATATACGACAATGCCCTGGTTGTTCTTGAGATATGTAAGAAGCCGATGTGTGCCACCATACAGGTCGTCGCCAGCGATGACCTCGTCTCCGGGCTTGAGCAGGCGCGTAATGACGTCGAGAGCGCCCATGCCTGATCCAACGGCCAGACAGCGGGTGGCATTCATGATCTTGGCCAGATGGCGCTCGAGGTGCGTCCGGGTCGGGTTCCCGGACCGGGTGTAGTCATACTCGTTGCCGCCGTTGGCCGACGTCTGCTTGAAGGTCGCAGACTGGTAGATGGGTATGCTGGAGGCGCCGTACTGGTCCTTGGTCTCGGTATGGACCAGTTCAGTCGCCAGGGCATACCGCCGCCGGCCCGAGAGCGGGCTCGACGGGGCTGGGGAAGGAGGTAGGGCATGGCCATCAAGGTCTACTCTTGTGAAGACCTTGTTGGTAGCCTGTGTCGCCGGGCTGGGGCTGGGTGCTGACATGGTGACTGATGGGCGAAGACAAGGCGACAAGGGCTGTGGGAGACTCAATGCTAACCAACGTGGAGCTAGGAGAAGAATGGATGTAGAACCTGAGAGACCGAGGGTCTCAGCGGACTCGGAGAGCAGGTTGGGGGGAGGTGTACTCGAGGGAGACGCAGGGGCAAAAGAAGCAGGTTAATGTGTCAAGTCAGCACACTGAATGCTGAGCGTTGAACAAGAAGGAATTGGCACCACTGGAAACTAAGGAAAGAAAGGTATTTACTGTAATGGCCGGCTGAAGCGTAAAGAAAACAATACTAACACCCGCACGGCTGCCTTGAATCAAAAATTTGGGGAAGGAAAATGAAAGAAGAAGAGCTTGGGACCGCTTCCGCTTGGACTGTTCCCCCGACGACTGTCATCTCTGAATGCTGAGCGCTGATCACGCAGCCTGCCGTATGGGCCCTATGGGGTTGGATCCCTTCCGCTACCGACCGCTTTTTTTTACATCCGAGCCCGGAGCTGAAGGGGCCGCTGATAGCGGTTACATTGTTCAAACTGCTAGAATTGCTGCCCCAGGGTGTATAGTTCATCTGGCTGATAGCCGCTTGAGACGCCCCACTTGTGGGGCAAAAGAATGACGTGCTTGCCTTGAGACAAATCGACAGGGAAAAACACGTCAAACGGCCGGTAGCATCCACAGCCATTCAGCGTTCCATCTTGACTTTTGGGGCCGGGAGATTGAGGAATCCGAGGCACCAGGGTCGCAATTATTTAGGTAGGGCGCTGTTGAAAGAGTTTATGCCATACTTTCTGGTAGTTTTGTTGGCTTCGACTACTCCATAGAAGTTCAATGTTTGCTTTTCCGTCCCTCGTCAGGGGCAACGCTAAGGAGTACCTTATTAGCTAAAAAGGAGTGCGGCACCCACAATTACCAAGTGCATTCCGACCTTGGTACATACACTCCCCAGTTGGATACATAGTAGAGTACATTAGGTAGCCAGGCACAGGGGCCGCAGCGATGCCGAACAATAACATATTAATTGGGTATTTTTCTCTACCTCCAGCCTCATGTCGAGGAAAGACATCGCTGTTCTCCAGCAGGAAAGTCGTCACTCATGCGCTCGTCATGGTTTTGGAGTAGTTCGTGATGCGCCAATGTCATACCAACACAGCTGCTCCCCTCCTTCCCAAACTCCACTTTATTTACCTAGGTATACAGATCAAAATGCAGACAGCTGCAGATTAGGAACGTGGGATGGCATGCAAGAACTGAACCAATCCTGCCTACGTCGAGGCCGTACCTTGCTCGTCATCGTCTTCCACCTCCTCGTAGCCACCTTCACTCGAGTTCTTCGACTGCACGACATAGCCGGTTTGCCGCGGCGGTATCTCCGACAAGATCTTTCCACCACGCCGACCAAAGAAATCCTCGGTCCGGATGCCCCGGACGTCGTCGGGGTTGATTTCGGACAGAGGCTTTCCAGACGCCCGGTGCTGACGGATGTACTCCCTCATGGGGGCCATTGCGGCGTCGCGGCACGTCTCCTTTATGTCACTGCCCGACATGCCTGCTGTAACTCTCGCGATATAATCGAGGTCAAAGTCTGGGTCGCGCTTTGTGCCGCGCAAAACTAGCTCCAGGATGCGCCGCCGTTGTTCCAGACCAGGTAGTGGCACTGGGAACTGCTTAGGCATCCTCCTGAGAATGGCCTCATCGATATCGTTGATGCGGTTGGTGGCACCCAGTACGACTATCCTGTTCGGCACACCCGAAGCATTTGTAGAGGTCAGGCCATCCCAAAGGGTCATGAACCTGTGCATGTTAGACTGTGCTTCCAAGTTACAGCAATACCAACACGAGGGGAAACACTTACTCGGCCTTAACCATCCCACTAGCTTCGTGCTCCCCACTTCTCCGAGTTCCCAAAACAGCGTCGATCTCATCGATAAAGATGATTGATGGCTGCAATTTCTTCGCCAGCGAAAAGACGGCGCGGACGATCTTGTTGGAGTCGCCGTACCACTTTTCGGTCAAGGTCGAGATGTGGAGGTTGATGAAGGATGCACCGCTCTCATGGGCCACTGCTTTGGCCAGCATTGTCTTGCCGCAACCGGGAGGACCGTATAGAAGGACACCCGACGGCGCCGCCAGCAGCGCTCCGCCGTGCTTGTACAGATGCGGCATTGTTAGGGGGTAGATGATGGTCTCCTTAAGCTCTTCAATAATATCGTCTAATCCACCAATGTCATTGAAGCCGACTGGAATGTCTTCAGGCGCCACCACCTCGAGGGCCACTTGATTCTCATATTCGTTGAGGACGAGGTCGTCGATCTTCCTACGTCGTGATGGGTCGTCTGTTCCATCTTCATTGTCGCCCTTTTCCGCGATCTGTTTTCGCCGTATTCTCCGGAGGTTTTCTTGGGCCTTTATCCTTGTTCTCTCATTTTTTTCATAATCAGGATCAATGATCTTGACCAGGTAGGGGGCGATGAAGTCTCGGACAATGAAGTAAGTCGATATTGCCTAGAGCACCACTCAGCAAGGTATGTTCTTGTCGTCCAGCGGGCACCAGGCGCATGTTCAGCTTACCACGGCACCAAATAAGATGCCTGACATCAGTTCCTTCATCTTTTTCTGCTCACTCATTTTTGGGTATTGATAGCGTCTCCACAGTCGCAGAAATTGGAGTAGTATGTAAATGTGGGAGCTCTGAGGGGGCGATCAGAGGAAAGGGGATGGGATCGCTAGACTGCCAGCCCGTGGGTGAAGGAGGCTGACGGTACCTGAAAGCGAGGTTGCGCCGAGGAAAGGAGCTGGAGACCGAGAGAAACCATGACAGTGCCACAGCACGGTTGAGAGCGGAAAATGGTACGTCTGTACGGTAAACACGTGGAAATACGGAAGGCCAGAGGCGCCGCTGTGATCGGTCTTTTGCCCCTCCAATCACGTAGCTCCTCAGCCAGCCACCTTTCTGGCTGCAACAGCGATCACTAAGGATGCAGCGCTTTCGCCAAAATGAGACAGAGGCCATGACTGATGTTTTTTTTCAAGCATCCATGTATGCTTTATCCTTGGATTGAGTGTACAGCACGCACCGGCTTTCGCTTTGATCTGTTGTTACATCGAGCTATCGTGTGGGGCAACCGATCGCTGTTTGGTTGGATTATGCACAACCCTAACCCTGAAATGTGGGCTAAGTAAACGGCAGGATAGATTCACGGAGGTGTGTGTATAAGACTTTCCAGAAACACTACTACCCTGAAATGCGTGTGACAGTGGGAACACACAACACAAGGAGGCCAACAAACCAAAACAGTCCCTTTGTTTACTTTAATCCTCCAAAGACCCACCGCGGCCGAATTGCCCCCTGCATCTGCGCAAGCATTGAGTCGCAGCCCCCAAAGTTTGTCGCGACAAGCGACAATCGACGCGCCACTGACATTCAAATCCTCCACAGAGCGCTTTCCGATCCAGAACATTGCACAACAGTCTGCGTGCATGACCGAAACCAAAGCCGGCACACACCTACTGCACTTAGTGGATTCAGACTCGGAGGATGATCTGGGCGTGAGCACACACAGCACGCAACCTTTCCCTAGCATCAACGCCTCTCTAAATTCCAGCCAAGTCATACGGAGCATCGCCATGCCGCCGGTGAAGAAGGGCAAGGTTGGCCGCCCGCCTGCTAATCGCGTTACGAAGCCTGTATCAAAACCGACGACGTCAGGCCATCGCTCAAGTGACAGGGTTGCTGCGGCGATTGACGAAAGTACTTTGGACGAGAAGGAAGCCTCGGCCGCTAAGCTATCCAATACATCATCTGCGCCAGAGAAAAGGGGACCGGGTCGCCCTCCCAAGCAGAAGCGCATCGTTACTGCTGAGAAGGAGGAGATCGAGGACTCAGTAATGATGGATGCCCCCGTACCGACCCCTGACGCTGCCCCAAAACGTGGTCGCGGTCGTCCAAAAAAGAACGCTGTCGACCCCCTGGAGCCGGACGCCCCTGGGGCGCGCAGGAAGGGGAAGATAGCTACAAAGGGCCCTGAATTGGACATCACTCAAGCTGCTGAAGTATCTGAAATCCCTGAGACACAACTAAAAGAGGAAACGGATGATGCCACTGGCGATCGCGAGGACAATGAGCAGGGTCTTGATGAGGATAGCACGCAAATAACCCCTAGGCAGGCTCGAGCCTGCCGGCGAAAAGCTGCTGCCCAAGCCAGCGTGTCCAAACAGTCCCCAGCAAAAAGTCCAGAGAAAGGAGACTCAGCCTTGCATAAAGAGCTTGCTGAAATGAGACGGAAATATGAAGATATGAAACGTCAGTATGAGGACGTGAAAAGTAAATATGATGATATTCGCGAAACCGGTGTCGAAGATGCCAACCACAACTTCATTAAGTTCAAAAAGCAAGCTGAAGAGAAGTCCAAAGGTCCGCTCCACATTCACTCATGCATACAATGATGTATGGACTGCATTCACTGACTCACATAAACTTCCAGTGGCCCAACAACTTATAGCAGCACTTCAAGCTCAGCTTGCTGAACATAAGGAAGCAGCCAAAGAAGCTATCAGCCTTCGAGCCCAGATCGAGGAGCAGGAATCAATGATAACTTCTCTTCAAAGCAAGATCGACAGCCTGACCTCCTCGCTTGCAGAGGCTAGATCTGAGATCAAGTCTCTTAATCTCAAACTTGCTGCGGCACGCAATGCCGAGGCAGCTGCCAATGCAGCAGCTGCTGCAGGAAGACAAATTCCTGGCAGTGCTATCAAGGGAGCCAACTCTCGTGAGGCGCGCCTGGCAGCAGCTGCAACGTCAGAAGCAATCCAGCAGGCAACTATGGCCGCACAAAAGAAGGAGGACTTGTATGGCGATTTGACGGGCCTAATTGTCCGCAGCGTTAAGCGGGAGGACGGCGAGGACAAATTTGATTGCATCCAGACCGGACGCAATGGCAGTAAGTGTTTTCTGAGGCTTCCCTTTCTTGTCGGGAAATGAACGCTAACACTGCTTCCTTAATTAAAGCTTTACATTTCAAGCTTGCTATCGATGCTGATCAAGAAAGCGGCGCCGATGCTCAGTGCCACTATATGCCGCAGCTCGACCCTAACCGCGATCGGGCGCTGATCGCTGTCTTACCCGAGTTTCTCACCGATGAAATCTCGTTCCCACAGTCTCAGGCGGGCAAGTTCTACGCTAGGGTGTTGAAAGCTCTGAACGAGACACCAGCGCCGAGTTAAACACGGAGCTGGGTGAGACTTTGGAACAATAAGGGATGATGTGTCGCTAGTCAGTTATAGTCTGTCCACGTTTGTATATACTCGGCTTTTGTGGGCATAGTAAGTGTACGTGGTTTGTGTTTGGGATGCTTGAACTGGTCTCTTTCTCAACCTGGAAAGCGGGAAGGGCTCAGGGCGGGTGGTTGGTTGTTTGGGATTGGTCTATGGCGTTGAGGGTTGCTGGCACATGAACTTGGGACTATCAATGACGAGCGAGGCCTTATTGTGTAATTAAAGTATCCAAGCAAACTCTATGGTTTATTCCCACTCATGCAGCGTTCATCTCATATTCATCGGCACTTACACACAACCGTAAGTTCTGTTAATAAACTATTTGCTGGACCTCATTAACCTAGGTGTTCTAGTTGCATACCAGTCTTACGTGTATCAAGATAAGTTTGTCATTGCATGCATTCATTATACCGCGACACCAAGCAGCTCCAATTTCACATGCAGAGATCCGAAGTGGGTTTCAACATAAGGAGCTCTAGAAAGTTACTCTTTCCCGTTCAGGGCGTATCCAGGCAGCAAATAGTCAAATATGGCTCAGGGAAGGGGGGGGGGCGGAAGGGAAGAGCAGGATTGTATGCACAATAGGACAGAAACAAGGAGATATACACTATATTAAAACCGATCACTCGCCGCACGAACCGGCCGGGGCTCTGTTCTTTTTATACATGCCCACTCCCACAGGGCACACACCATGATAGCCTTCTAACCCTCTTTCATGGTTCCTTCCCTCTTTTTCTACTTCCCGTCTCGCTCTTATTATTAGCATTATTACGATTATGCAAAATAAGTTGTCTTAGCCCCGTAAGAGACCAGTCATCTGCGGTGGAATGCACCATAACGAGCCAGAAGGCAAACAGATTGACGAACTGGTGTAAAGTGTAGGCGTATGAAACGCCATAGACAGCAGCGTATAGTGCAAGACTTAATAGCAGGATGCTAGTAATGTGGCGGAGCAGCACGCAGCAGCGACCATTGCCAGTGCCGCCGGTGCGAGGAATCATCTGGCCTGTCGTGTGGGTTTCGACAAGCAGAATGAAAGGCATGATGGAGAAGACATTATGGTGTGACGTGAAGGGTGTGAGCCAGTGCACAGAGAGGTTGTGCATCCAGACCACAAGCGTCGGCAGGTTGATTGGGAGAATCCACAGCATGAGGATGAAGATAGAGTGGACGTAATTGTGAAAGTTTGAGTTGGCAGGCGAACGGAGCTCCGAGGAAATGCGCTGCGCGCGGACAAGGGTACCTAGCTGGACCAAGCAAGCGACCAGATATGCTAATTGATAAGGGATCATGGTCGAAACGAGGAAGAGCAAGACAGCTGTCGTGATCATGCGCCGTCGTGGAGAGGAGGGAGGAAATATGGCGGGGTTGCTTGGTCTTCTGCGGTCCTCGGCGTTGACCCAACCGAATCGAACAGTAAGGAAACCGATGAAGCTTATAACAACGCTGATCAGGCGCGTCAATGAAAGAGCAATGTAGTTGACCACCGTGCAAACTCCAACACAAATGATTCCAATCAGGGGAATCAGAAACAAGAAAAAAGGATCTTGGGTCCCGATGAGCAGGTCGTTTTGATGGAAGTTGGTGAATGTTGTGTTGCCTCCCCAGTGCCACAGGCCAGCGCTGCTTGAGGGGGCCATTTTTGTCGTGGAAAGTGTTAAGGCCGCGAGTACGATGAGCATCACCGGGATGGACTGTCTCAATGAAAGATCAAGCCCCTCTGCGAAGGTGATAAAAGAGCCAGTACTGTCATAGACCTGAAACTGTTTGCGCAGGACCAGCGATACGATAAACAAAGGAAAGGCAGCAAACACTGTGCGGTAGCGCATGTACAGCTTTCCAAGACTGCCCATCACATCGACAGTCAGATCAACCTGGATGCTTGAATTGCATGTAGGATCGGTCCATAATTGGAATGCCAATCCTTCTGCCTCCGGCTCTCTTGACATAGGTGGAGGGACATAAGGGGCCACACCGTGAAGACTAACGGCCGCCTGGCGAGCATTGACAAAGTACTTCGACTCGTATGGTTCTGCCAGGTACTGTCGCACTAATGGAGCAAAAAGATCTTTCCTGCCGGAGCACTCCAGGGCACTGATACGGAGATTGTAAGCCAGCAAACTGGACTTAACAGATGGGATCCTAACTTCGGACATCATCGGTCGGTTGGACGGCAGGCGCAGGCTTATACCGAAGGTGAGAAGATTGCGAAGTCCGATATGGCGGGTGTGGTGCGAATTGGAATGGTCGCTGAACTCAGCAATCACGAAACCAGGAGTGGGTATGGTCGCCTTTTCGATGACTGCGACAAATTGATGCTCCGAGATGTCGTCGAGGACATATTCAAGATAAGAAAAAGGCGGAATTTCTGCCTCTTTCCTGACGGAGAACGGGAAGCGAGCAAACCGTGTGGATGCAGGAAGAGTGATGACGTCGGGAGCAACGTTTGTACAAGCCAGTCGTGTGGTGCCGGCATTTCCCTTGGAGAGATCCAGCTGACTGGGGATAGCAGGTCCTGTCGGGTTGGGCTGCGACGGAATGACACTACAAAACATGACCTCAAGCTTTCCGTTCTCTCCTGGTTTGTCGAGTTTTGTATCGGTGAGCAGAGTGAAGCGCTTGAGTTCCGGAGATCCAGGAGGGGGGATGGGCATTAGATGAGCGCGAACCGAGCCCTGTGTACCCAGCTCGCGCAAGACCAGGCGCTCCCCCTCGGCAGTGATGGAATCAGATTTGTCGTCGACGATAAGCAAAGTGGTGGGGTCCGACGTAGGCGCTATCTTTTCGGCAACAGTCTCCATGCCACTGAGGAACCACTTCTTAAAAACCCTCATCCGCTGTGCCCTCGGCTTTGTCTGGCTGGCTCGGTGGACATCCACAATATCGAAAAGCGCGCGGATAATGACCTTCCTGAACTGATCGCACCATAGGATCGCCTGGTGATCCATGCTCGTCCACACATTCGGGATAGTTGATGTGAAGACGGTAAACCCATGAGTATCTGGGACTAGGGACTCGATACTAGCGTAGTCCGAAGGCACAACAGTATCCAGACCGCCACCAGCGATAGACACCAAAGTGACATGCCATAACGGGTTGTCATTCGCCCACTTCTGCGAGTAGGCATGTCTCCAGTAGTTGTTGATGTCTTTATACGTCTGTACGATCTGGCCATCAAATGAGACAGGGGGGCGCGCGTGGGGAGCAGACATGGTGATAATCGTATTGATAGAGTTGTGCTGATAGTTGGGCATGATAAGCATCGTACGGGCAACAATGCCGCCCATCGAGTGGCCAAGAACAATAACCGACGTAGGGTCAGGAAGGTCGGGGTCGCGCTCTGAAACTCGCGGGTCCAGATAGAGGGACAAGATATAGCGGATCGCTTCATTCAGGTATTCGGCTTGGTCAAGGAGCGTTTGGCCGTGGAAGGCTGTAATATCTTCGTTGAAGTCGACAGTGAAAAAGTCGAGGCTTCGCACGCCTGCCCTGAGAGCAGCCTCGTCGTGCTGCAAGACGTCATGGAAGTAGTTGGCTGCTTCGGCAGCAATGGGACGCACTTGTTTGTAGCTCCCTGCGTTGCCGGGAATAAAGAGGACGGGCACCCCCCTGACCTGGGCAAGAAGTCAGCAAACAAAGTTCCAGTAGTTCCTCTGCCAGCAGTGCTAGGTCCCCCACCTTGACATCATGGTCAATGCCCTGTTCGCGATAGAGATACAGCGAGTACTTGCTTGCCAGGCGTGTGTGTTCGGTGTCAAAGTCCGAAAGCTTCGCGTAGGACGGGCGCATGTACGACATGCGACAGCCCTTGGGATCTATTTGTCGTGTTACGGACGAATGAATGACGGCAAGCAAGAGGCCGATACCGAGGAGAGATGTGACAAAAGCAAAGACGCTGATGGCCCATGGGCTTCGCCAAGGGGCGCGACGCCCGACAAACCCGTGTTCCTGTGCTTTCCCCATCATCACCATCTCTTTTTCCTGCACAGCGCCATTTGCAGCCAACATCAGGCCGAGGGAAGAGGAGGGCGGCGGCGTCGTGGCGGTTGTGGCAGTCGATGAGCCGGCTCTCTCTACTGTCGCATCACGGGAGTCAAAGGGACGCCAATTGGCAATGCCAGTGCCGGTGCCAGTACCGGCGCCAGTTCCAGATCGACGGTTTGCGGAGAACGACGGTCTTCGGTCAGCGCTACGACGACGATCGAGCTTGCTGGCGGACTGCGCAGGGGACTGCGAGTCTTTTGTTCGGGAGGTTGCGCACTGGTTGACGCGAGGGACGCGGATAGGAGGGGCATCGTCGTCGTCTGACGAAGCCGACGAGAGGCTCCTCATCCCAGCAGGGGTCGTGGAGGCGCAAAGAGATCGATGCCCTGGGAGTGGCGCGATCGGGGATTGGGGCTCGTCGTTCCTGAGTCTGGGCGAGTCAAGCGAGTGTGAAGGGTCGGGAGACGCGGCGGGAGCGGCGAGCCGTCTGTCATAGGCCGTTGGGAGCCGCCCGTTTGGTCCGAATGTTGCTCCTCTGCGGAGGTTGCCGTCTTGACAACAACGGGACGGAAGATTAGAAATGGGGAGAAGAGGAAGAGAAAAAAACACAAGGATGCGCCAATTGTCTGCACCAGGTCAGGGCTGCAACATGCCCCAAAGCCTTCCCAGGCGAACAGAGAGTGCGTGCCGGCAAGCAAAGGTTGAGGTGGTACAAAAAGAGATAAAAGGCGATGCAGTGCCCAGCCTTTTTTTCCGTCCGAAAAAAAGATGCTGTGGCGAGCTGTTGGGTTGCGAGGGTGCACTCGATCCTGGCATGGGACTTGGGGCAGGGCCTAGAATGCGATGCTGCTGCAGTGCGCAGCGGGATTCAGCCTGGAAGCGAGGAGATTCTCCGCTATCCACAGCAGGTAACCCGCTGCCAGGTCCGGGCAGAGGTGCCACTGTGCCAGCGCTTCCACCACCGCCCGCAGGTCTTTGAACAGTCCACCGATAGGCTACACGGCTAGTGGCTCGCTTCCTTGTCAATGGGAACTGGGCATCCGACAGATGGCGGGCGGGAGCCGAGGTCGGTCGGGTCATTTGGAAATCTCCATCATCGACAGATGCTGCAAACTGCTTGCACTATTGGCTGCGGACCGGTTCTGGAAACAAAGCATCCATGGATCAATCACACGAACAGCCAGCACCGTAACGGGCCGAGTTCATTGAACGCAGTTCGGACCCTGCACAACACAGAACCTGCAGGGAGGGGGGGGCCACAGACCACAGGCCACACAGCCCACCGAGCTGGTCCAGATAAGCTTTCTTACCAGCCACTCATGTGGGGCTTTGCAAAAGACAATCTCACATACCAAAAGACGATGGATATATAAGCCACAGCAAGCTGAGAAACTTGAAAATCCTCGTCGCAGAATGCTGTCCAGGGACAGCCAAATTCTTGAGGGCTTAGTAGAGCACGCTGAACATCAGCCTTAATTGAGCGACAAAGGTGCAAACACTGCTTCTCGAGCGTGCTGCTCGCATCATTTCCTGAATTGTACCACCATCATCTCCACTACATGTGCAGCAAGTTTCAGGTACGTAGCACTCTCGAGTTAGGTACCTAATCAAATCCCATAATGGCCGGGGTCCAAGGGATCCATGGCTGCCTTACTAGGAACTCCATGTTGCCAATTTAGTACTCTATGTCTCTTCTAGAATAACATAAAAGACGCCCTAGTATAAGCCCCTGGGATTCCTATCTCCGTATCTTACCAGAATCTGCAAGACGAGGTACTTTCTTTGGCCCTTGCCAAAGTGTTACACCTTGGGAGCTTGCCTGAGCTACCTGCAGTACCTGGGCGTTTTTGCCTGTCGGTGTCACAGGAAGTACCCAAGTATGTAAAGAATCTCTCTGTTTCGTCCTGCTATCAGCCTGGCTGGCCAAGAACAAAACGTCGTTCCGCAGTTCTTGATATCAACTTGTAATCGTGTTGTTTCCGCAAAGTACTTGAACCTACCAACGTTTTGTCATCGAGTTTCAACTACAGGTAGGTTGGTACCTGTTCAGGGAGATAGTGCCATTCTCCATAACCGGGGTTTACGACGAGAACCTCTACCTGGCTGCATGCCACTACCACTGGATCGCCATGGCCAGTGATTAGGACATTGTATCACAGGGGTATACCGACGCCTGATTCGACGATGAAGGCCTATGACAAGTGTTGAAAACCAAAAATGAACCAATACACAATAGAACCGAAACTTCCATGTTGGGAGAGTGTAATGAGTGTGATGTACCTAGCTAATTGAAGTGCACCATCCGTAGTTTATATACAGTGCAGGACCTGAGAATGTACAGTGTTGGCACTGTCCATATATGCAAGCAATCAAGATGTTCAGGCAGAGACGCGTTTGCTCCCCGCATACGCGTCAGGGCCATAACCCAACCCATCATCACAGAGCATTTGGATGATATTCAATGCACCTATTGATGTTGACATGGGATTGGTGATTTCCTTATAATCAACCGAACAGCAGAAGAGTGTTCCATTACCACTTTTAACTCCGAAGCCGACAAGCACAGGAGCCAGAGAATGCAGGGGGGTCAAAGCAATACTTAACGAGAACCATGGCCTCAAGTGCGACCATCAAAGCAATTGACTCCAACACTGTGCGTTTGTTCGCTGTCTTGAACTATTGTCCTCTGCAAGTTCACTGGCTGATTGCTGCGCTGCATACAGATCCATCAAATCCAGTCTGGCCAGGTCATAGTCGATCTCTGCTCGGTTGCCAAAGAGCTGGTCGAAAATAGCATCGATGCTGGTGCTACAGCCATTGGTAGGCTATTCCCATTTTGTTACCTTGCTATTGTCGCTGTGATGTCGCCTTCCTGACGTAGTTATCAATCCCAGAGGTGCGATTCAAAAACCAGGGACTGGATTCCATAGAGGTCCAGGACAATGGCTCCGGCATCGCTCCCCACAACTACGAAACTGTGGCCCTGAAGCACTACACATCCAAGCTCTCCAGTTATGATGACTTGGAGACGCTTCAAACATTCGGCTTTCGAGGCGAAGCCTTGTCCTCTTTATGTGCATTGTCCCGACTCTCCATCGTGACGTGTACCCAAGAGCAGGCTCCACGTGCTGCGCGATTGGAGTTTGAGCCGTCTGGAAAACTCAAGTCTACCACCGTCGTGTCGGGTCAACGGGGCACCACAGTTATCGTGGAGGATCTCTTCCGAAGCCTTCCTGTCCGCCGTCGTGAACTGGAGAGGAACATCAAGAGAGAATGGGGCAAGGTAATCAACTTGTTGAACCAGTATGCCTGCATCCAGACCGGGGTGAAATTCACTGTCACGCAGCAGCCTACTAAGGGCAAGCGTATGGTGATGTTTTCGACAAAAGGAAACTCAACTACCAGGGAGAACATTATCAATGTTTTTGGCGTGAAGACCATGAATGCCCTGGTTCCTATGGATCTTACGTTAGAGTTGATCCCTACTGCTGGGCCTCTAACCAAAGGCAAGGCGAGAACGGACAGAAAGTCAACAGAAGTTCGCGTGGTCGGCCATATATCTCGTCCTACCCACGGTGAAGGCCGCTCAACTCCTGACCGGCAGATGTTCTATGTCAACGGCCGCCCGTGTGGTTTGCCCCAATTTGCCAAAGTTTTCAACGAGGTCTACCGTTTGTACAACTCTTCGCAGTCCCCGTTTATCTTTGCTGATATTCAGCTCGATACTCATCTTTACGATGTCAACGTCAGTCCTGATAAGAGAACCATCCTTCTCCATGATCAGGGACAAATGTTGGATAATCTGAGAGAATCTTTGATTGAGCTTTTCGAGACCCAGGACGTCATCATCCCGATGTCTCGCGTTGCTGCGCTGAAGCAAACATCTTCGAAGATTTCCACAGCACGCCCATCTCCCTCAACTTCCCCCCAGGAAACGGGGTCAAAGTCTGCCGCCGCAGATTCCCGGCTCTCGAAAGCCACGACTTCATTTAGGGCCATGGAGAATACTGGAGACAATGCCAACGAGGAAAGCGCTAACACAGAAGATAATGTTGACGACGTTGAGAAAGAAGATACGAGACCTCGACAACAGCCGAAGATGCACTTCCGCCATTCCAAGCCACAAGCCCAATTCAAGGGATTCACAACTCTATCAAACTGGCTACGAAATGAGTTGCCGAGACCGTCTCACACTTCGAGCCCGTTATCCGAAGAACAGGCGACCGAAGCCTCTACTCGGGATAAAGGCATGTCGAGCTCTGTAACCTCGGCCGGCGACAGAGGAGATCGAATACCTCAATCTCAAGTGACGGGTGACACCAATGTACGAGACGATGAGCGATCTCTGTTGCCAGACGTTGGTAAGGATGATGAGATTGCTCCAAACGAGCCTGAATCTCCAATTCGTGCTCTTTGCCCTCCTTCCCAACCACCGACTTTGAGAATGAGCTCAACTCCTTCCAAGCCGTTGAAGCGTGCAACGCAAGAGATGGCAACCATCACAATAGGCGACCATACTGTGAGAAGTGCCATTGGAAACCCATCGAAAAAACCAAGGGTAGATGAACCGGCTAAGCCAGTGGTGAAGACTGGTGTGCTCAAAGGTGGCATGCGCAGCACACAGTTACCATCCTTTGGAATACGACTCTCCCAGCTATTTTCGGCTTCAACACAACCTGAGGGAGACCTCGAGCTGATTGAGGATGCAGGAAAGGGGATTGAAGAGCATGAGGTGATTGAAGAAAAGAAAGGAGAGGAAGGCCGGGAGGAAGATGATGGACACGACAGTTCCGATGATGACGCTGACGGTTTGTTTGTCTCTCAAGACGGTAACAAAGATGCTGAAGATGAGGGAAGCGGTGAAGGGCAACCTGAGGAAATACTCAAGCCAATGGAGACTGATCAGCCACAGTCTATGAGTGACGCAGACGTTCCAATGGAGTCACTTGGGACGCATCTAGCTTCCTGCGATCAAGAACATGGGGACAATGACTTCGAGTATGTTGACGAAGAGGAGAAGGTGGCTCGCGAGAACCAAAAGGTGCAGGCAATGATACAGGAAGCCGAGATCGCAACAGCCGAGTCGACTGAAGAGACGGAGAAGCGTTCTGAGACCTTTGTAAAGGGGCGGCCAAAACGAAAAGACATGACTTGCAACCTTGTACAAAGGGTAAAGGCCAATTGTTCCGAGATACGGCGTCGCATTGAATATCTCTCCAGCCGGTTGCCACAAGAGGCGTGCCAAACAACAGCGGGGGTAAGGCTGGAAAGCATAGAATCAGAAGATGCTGAAGCGAAGTTATCGCTCAAGATCTCGAAGTCCGACTTTACAAAGATGCGCATAGTGGGACAGTTCAATCTTGGCTTTATTCTTGCCGTCCGCGAAGCTGTTTCTGCTTCCTCGTCCACCAGCTGTAGCCGCGACTCGGGCACCAAGGACGACGACGAGCTCTTCATCATCGACCAGCATGCATCTGATGAGAAATACAACTTCGAGCGCCTTCAAGCAACCACGACAGTACAGTCACAGCGCCTAGTCCAACCTAAAACTCTCAGCTTGACAGCTCTAGAGGAAGAAATAATTCTGGCTAATCTCCCCGCCCTTGAAAGAAATGGCTTCTCTGTCTCGGTAGACACATCTGGCGCGTCCCCTGTCGGCTCGCGCATCCAGCTCCTGACGCTCCCTCTCTCTCGTGAGACAACATTCAGTATCGCCGATCTCGAAGAGCTCATTTTCCTCCTGGCAGACAACCCGACTTCAAATGCCACGACGGTGCCACGGCCGAGCAAGGTGCGTAAAATGTTTGCAATGCGGGCATGCCGCAGCAGCATCATGATTGGGCGGGCGCTGTCTCTTAGGCAGATGGAAAAGGTAGTTAGGCATATGGGAGAAATGGACAAGCCCTGGAACTGTCCACATGGACGGCCAACAATGAGGCACCTTTGTGGATTAGGAGCGACGTGGGATGGGGGTAGGTTGTGGATGGAGGGTGATGGGTTCGTGAGGGATGGGGATGATGATGGACGAGGGAGGAGGACAGATTGGGCTAAGTGGGTGAGGATCAAGAAAGCAGAATAAAGAACCGGGCAACGGTGAAGTTGAGCTGTGTTTCTTTATATCTACCTGTCGGTATGAACTATGGATTGCTTTACAAGTACAGTGTTGTGCCCTGCCGGCAGTGGTTTTAGACATGATCGTTGCTAGACATCAGCTGATTTTAGGGCGTGTCTATCATGTACCCATCAAGCATACATGGATCATTACTCGTGAGCTTGTAACATATCTAGATGGAATCCCAATAACCATTATCAATGAAACTCCCCACAAGCCCCCCTCTTGCTTACCAGGTATTGTATTACCTTCATTCCTACCCCAACGCAATTCTGAACTCCGCCCATGCCCAATGTTTCCAATCCAATCACTGCGAGCAAATGCTCAGAATCGGTCCGTCTCTCCTCAACCCAGCGTATCCTTCCTCTGCGGCCCTGCCACTCAGCACCCTTCTCCCGAGCGAAGCAGCCCCCAGATCCCCGTAATCAATTCCCGTGGAAACCTGCCTGTTGCCGTTATTGTGCCTCGCGTACAGACTGTCCACCATGGTAGGTGGTGTCTCGGGCCGCAGCTCGCCATACGGCTTTGTGTAGGACTTCTTTCCCCGTGCACAGAAATCACTATCGGGTTGGATCGAGCTCTGACGGTTGCGCGGCTGGAACGGCTTGATCTTCTGCTTGTCGTCGGCAATGTCGGTCTGATCGGTTATATCCTGTGACCCACTCACGCGCCGGTCGTTGGGGTGAATCTCGGTGAGGCCCATGGAAGCACGCAGACGAGCAAACGGGCCGGGGGTTCGGGGCCGTTTGGCTGCAGACCTTAGGGAAGAAGCATCAACGGGGAGATAATGATTCGGATCCGGAGCATAGTCATAGTCAACAGGGTGCGAGCGCAACGGGTTGGGTTGAGCATCAGAAGCAGCAGGGGCCACCTTGCTTTCGTCCTCATAATCGCTATCGATGTGCTGGTGGCTGGCGACGGCGTTGCAGTGCTTGGTGCTGGCTGACCGCGCGGTTGTGTAGTCGTCGTCGTCGTCGTCGCTATCGTTATCGGGCGAGGAGTTGGGGGAGTCAGGCAGATCGGGATGCTGCTGCATGGAGGTGTAGTACTTGGCATTGTTCTTGGCCGGAGTCGCAGCCACAGCTGTAACAGCGTTTAGCCGCTTCTGCGTGCGGCCGATGAGCGAGTCAGAGGCATACCAGGTTTCAGTGAACTTCGCTGTTCGTGGCTGGTGCTGGGCTGAGGTTGGCTTCTGAGCGGTGTCGGCGTCGACAGCAGAGGCAGACATGGACTTGGGGCCAAGTGGCTTTGGTTCGGGATCACCCAAATCAAGATCAACAAAGGGGTTGCCTGGATGATTGGAGCTTAGCAAGGTGGGTGGCAGGGAGGCATGCTTGCTGCTGGGGAAGCTTGAGCGGACATTGTCGGCGGTGATAGAAATGTTGGAACCCTGACGTGTGTGCATGAAGGGGACGGATGGAGGGCGAGAATCGGAATCAAACAGGAGGCTGTCGCGATGCTTTTCATAGGAGAACTCTGTCGAAACCGTGGCGATCGAAGGCTTATTCCGTGTATGCAGATTGGGAGGCGAAGTAAATGTTGGCTCCAGCGGGTTCATGTCCGGAGGCATGCGAGCGATGCGCCGGAACATCAAGGCCAGATACAGAGAGATGGCAAGGGAGACGACATGTAACCCGCCGGCAGCAATAAGACCGTACTGGACGGAGGGAATCATATAATTCATGAGATGAGGCTTGTCCTTAGTGGTCCCCTGCCATTCCTGTCTCTTGTGATGGACAGCCAAGGCACCGTAGGCATACAGAGGCAACACGCAAAGGTCAGACACAGCCGAAAAGACCTGGTAGGCGGCCGAGGAACCAGGAGCCCGTGACCCAGCCCGTTGAGCATGATGGAAGACACTGTAGAGGCAGTGGACGACAACAACACCGAGCTTTGGTGGGGAAAGGCATGGCAGTCAATATCCCGAACACCAATACGGACTACCCCGTACATTGATGGAGATGGCTCAGGTGGGAGCTTACCGTCACACCGATAACCAAGGCAATCAGGCCCGAGATTGCCATGACCACAAAAAGACCAACGGCAGCGATGGCCTCAAGAACGCGAAGGCAAAGCTGCACGGCTCGCATGCGCTTGATCCAATTTGTCGTGCGGTAGCTCATGGGCTTGTACTTGGCCCGGCTACCGCTTGGCACGACATGGGAGCTGTTCATAATTAGGCATTTGTTAGTCGCGGTGTGTTAATTACACATGAGCAGTGAGTGGAATGTGCTGGCGCGGCACATGAGAACCAAGATGAACATCAACAGCTGGCGTGGAATGAATTCAATATGACGCGACAGAACTCGAAACACATACTCGGGATGGCGGTTGATTGCGACGTAAGGTGCACTGGGTTTTGGTTTGGGCTTATTCGGCTCCCAGCTCGCACGAGTCACGGCCTTGGGATCAAATGGCTTCTGAGGGAAGCGGTCATCGTCCTTGCGGACCGGCTCGTACATGAACGGCTGGCGCGCCATTCCGGACGAGCAGGAGAGCAGGAGAGTAAGAGAGTAGGTGCAGTGTGATGATCAGACTCAGAGCTCGCTCTCACCCGCACTTTCTGCGACTGCTCAGGTTGCAATGGGAGCAGGGCCGTAGGTATCGGGCTGGCGGCTCCCTATGCTCTATCCCATATCATGAATGCAGCTCGCAGTCGTCTGGCGGTGCCGCGGTGGCTGTGGTCGTCTAGTGGCGGCTGTTTAGGTTGGTTGCCTTGGCAACTGCTGCTGGCGGCTAGGTACCGCGGCAAGCTGCCACATCGGCAACGCCATTGGTGCTCCTAAAACCTTCGATTGGATTATCGACACGACGCGATTGGCAGCGAGGCAGGACCGGCGCATGGGCAACTCGCAATATCTTCAATATGTTCCCATGTATGCATGTACATACCTTACTCACTCCGTATTGTACGGTAGTTTGATTGATTACTTTGCAACAAAGTAATTTTTCTCAAATGAAATGTAACTTAACTTTTCTATTGTTGTCGCGTTTCTGCCTATTTTTTCAGGAAAAAAAAAAGCTATGGTAACCAATTACGGCCACCAAGATCCGAAGCCGGGCCGCTCGGGAGGAGTGGAGCAAGTCGGAGCGCCGCCGGCCATGGCTTTGCTTCCCCGAGCTTGCAAGCTGCGATAGAAGCAGGGCCCACAAAAACAGCTGTGATCAAACGACAAAGCCGATGGTCTCTTGCAGTCGTAGCAGCTCTACATAATTGTTGGAAACCCCCTTTCCCAATTTTTGCAAGAAGTTGAGAGATACTCTAAGACGCCATGACGCCCATTCGCTGGGCGCGGCCGTCGTCGATTCGATGGCGACCGGTCCTTAATGCGTCACTTAACCTACTCTCATCCCATTTATCCCATTCATCTCATTCATCACATTTAATCCACACCTCGGCTTCATGTCGTTCAACAACCCCTATTTCGCGCAGTGGGAAGCCATTTTGCATGGCTGTCATCGGTTCGGGTCCGGCAGGCTTCTACACGGCTTACCGGGTCATGACGAGGATCCAAGACGCCAGAGTCGACATGTATGAGGCGTTGCCCGTACCATATGGGCTTGTGAGGTTCGGCGTTGCACCAGACCATCCGGAGGTGAAGGTCTGATATCTGGCTTCTTATTTAACATCTGGCCCTTCTGCCCCTCGTCTGTCTCTCTCAGCTCGTGTCCCTTTGCTTTTCTCACTGCTTTCCTGGCTGATTGCTAACACTGAACACACACACAGAACTGCCAAGAGAAGTTTGAAGAGGTTGCCTCTTCCCCCAACTTCACCTTCATCGGCAACGTTTCGGTTGGCACGCCCACCGACCATCCAGATGGCTGCACTGTGCCCCTGGCCAGCATCCTTCGCCACTACAATGCTGTGGTCTTTTCCTATGGCGCTGCCAAGGACCGGACACTCGGTATTCCTGGAGAAGATACGCTCAAGGGCGTGCACTCGGCCCGTGAGTTTGTCGGTTGGTACAACGGTCTGCCTGAGCATGCCGACCTCAACCCGGACCTTATCGAAGGCGAGGAGGCTGTTATCATCGGACAGGGCAACGTCGCCTTGGACGTAGCCCGAATGCTGCTCGAGGATATCGATGTGCTCCGCAAGTCTGACATCGCCGAGCATGCCATCGAAACATTGTCCAAGAGCCGGGTGAAGCGCGTGCACATTGTTGGCCGTCGCGGGCCGATGCAGGTAAGCCGCACATCATACTGTCATGTCCGCCAGGACCGCTACCAGTCGCAGCACTTCAGATATGCTCACACAAACACCAGGCCGCCTTCACCATCAAGGAAATTCGCGAGCTCATGCGCCTGCCTTCTGTCGCTTTCCATCCCATCGACTCCTCTTTGATCCCCGAGGATCTCAAGTCCCTTCCTCGTGCTCGCCTTCGACTCATGGATATCCTCCTCAAAGGCTCCCCATCATCTCCTGAGAGCCCTGAGGCTAAAAAGTCCTGGTCACTCGACTTTTTACTATCTCCTCAGGCCTTTATCCCCGCCGAAACCGATCCTTCGCGTGTCGGCGCAACATCGTTCCAGCGCACAGCCCTCTCTCCATCCCCCTTTGACCCAAATGCCTACACCCTGCCTGCCACGCCAGAACAAATAGTGACCATCCCCTCGTCCATTGCCTTCCGCTCGATCGGCTACAAGTCGACTCCGATGCCCGAGTTCTCATCGCTCGGAATTCCATTCAACGATCGCTGGGGCGTCATCAGCAATGACGGCCAAGGTCGTGTGGCTCATGAGGAGCGCACGAAAGATGCAGCTATGACGATGGGGCGGTTCCCGGGGTTATATTGTGCTGGATGGGTGAAAAGGGGTCCGACTGGTGTCATTGCCAGCACCATGGAGGATGCGTTTGGCACGGCAGACGCGATCGCTGCGGACTGGGGCGATAGTAGGATAGAGTTCCTCAATGATGGGGCAGACAAGGTTGCGGGATGGGATGGGGTCAAAAGTGAGGTTTCCGAGCTGTCAGGAAAAATTGTCGTGGATTGGGAAGGTTGGAGAAGGATTGACCAGGCCGAAAGAGAAAGAGGAAAAGAAAAGGGAAAGGAGAGGGAGAAGTTTGTGAGGACACAGGACATGTTGGCCGTGGTGGGATGACGAGATGTGACAACGGTAGGGGAAAAGAAAAAAAATCAAGCTTCAGAAAAGAACGGAATGGCTCATGAAAGATAACGAACATGCCAATTGTTTTTTTTGGTACATGTACATTTCAACTGTACAATAAAAAAGTCATGACAGTGATGCTCATCCATCTCCCGTCCCCCCTTTACATGCCTTCTATGCCTGCGCCTTCTTGAGCTTCTCCGTTAACTCCGGTACCTTCTCAAAGAGGTCACCCACCAAGCCAACATCAGCGACCTGGAAAATGGGAGCCTCGGCGTCCTTATTGATAGCCGCAATAACCTTGCTGTCCTTCATACCCGCCAAGTGTTGGATAGCACCTGAGATGCCGACGGCCACGTAGAGCTGTGGTGCCACCACCTTACCCGTCTGCCCGACCTGCAGGCTGTTGTCTGCGTAGCCGCTGTCCACAGCAGCACGGGAAGCACCAACAGCAGCGCCCAGGGCATCAGCCAGCGGGAGCATGATGCGGTCGAAGTCCTCTTTGCTCTTCAAACCACGACCGCCCGAGACAACACGGCTAGCCGTTGCCAGATCCGGACGGTCAGACTTGGCCAGGTCCTCGCTCACCCACTCAGTCGGGCTGTCGGCCTTGGGATCGACGCCCTCCTCAACGGCAGCTGAGCCGCTGCCCACGGCGGCAGCGGGAAAGGCGGTGCCACGCACGGTGATGACTTTGACGGCGTCGGTAGACTCGACGGTTGCGATGGCGTTGCCGGCATAGATAGGCCGCACAAAGGTTTTGTCGTCCTGGACGGCTGTGATATCCGAGATCTGCTGCGAGTCAAGCAGGGCGGCCACGCGGGGCATGACGTTCTTGCCGAAGGCAGTAGTGCCGGCCACAACGTGAGTGTAGCCGCCCTTTTTGATGTTCTCAACCAACAGCGGCGCGTAGTTTTCGGGCAGGCCCTTATCGTACGCCGGGTTGTCCACTGCGATGATCTTCTCGACGCCCTCGATCTTGGCTGCCTCTTCAGCCACGGCCTTGATGTTGCTGCCGGCGATGAAACCATGGACGCTGCCGCCCAGCTGCTTGGCAGCGGTGACGGCGCTCAGGGAGCCTGCATTGAGCTTGCCGTCGCGCTGTTCGAGGACGGCCAGGGCGGAGAGGAGACGCCTCAGGGCGGCGGGGGAGGGGCGGAAGGCGAAGGCCACATCACTGCGCAGAGTCGGGCGGGCCAGTGCCGCAAAGGCCCGACGACCAGCCGACGACAGCATGGTTGGAGATGGAGTTGGGGGTTGCCAATTGCCGCAACGGGGAACAGGCTGTTGCTGGTTGCTGGTTGCCGGTTGGTGTCGCTGATGCGAAAGTTTCCGGCCCAAAGTTGACGGGATGGATTTCTTCTGCCCGCTTGGCGCTGCCAGTTGAATTGAACTGGATTGGATGGTAGTGGTTCCAGGTTGCTCGACCTGTGACGCTGCCCACTACGATTTCCCACTGCCCATTGTCCACTGCCCGCGCTGGAGCGACGGAAGCGGGTTGCGGCGGCCCGAGGTTACTGGTCCCCTGCTCCCTCAACGCACTGACGCACTGATGCCCTGCTCCCTGAGCCCGGACAGTGGACCTAAGTTTCGCCCTCGCGGTGAAGTTTGCGCCCGCAAAGCGGTGCCCCGCTTCCGATCACCAGAACCGTGTGGCTATGGCATCTATGTGTGGCTTTGCAGCACTTATGTGGCTAATGCCCCGCTGGCCGCTTGCGTCCATCTGCACAAGAGCACCCGAACGGTGGAACCTCACCGACTGCATCACGTGATCAAAATGTCCAGAGCTTGGCGGCCTGTGCGCGTCACCCGCTCCAGTCCCTTCACCTTGCTTTGGCGCGAACATTTTCCTCGATGCGCGACCGCCCCATCACGACGCCGGACCCGTCCCTCCCACCAAACGAACCCCCCCCTGGTGCGCCGCTGTCATCGCGAATCGATCCTGCATCCACCCCTTTGGCTGCTCCGTCGCGTTCCGACCAGCGTTTGCCATCGTACGCTCCGCTTGACACCCAAGCCGATTGACTGCCCAAGTTATTTTGTCCTGGTTGTCCTCGACTCGTCCTTTCGTTTCGTTTGCGTGTCCAAGTCCCTGCATCCCATCAGCTGCATCGCCCACATCACCCGCATCGTTGCATCGCCGCAATGGAGGAGGGTTCAGTTAGCTACGGCACGCCCACAACCGGCGCATCCCCTGGCGCCAACCCCATCCTCGCGCAACCTCCTCTTCCCGATGCTGGCGACCAGAGCGAAGGTATGTGCTTCGTTTGTTTGGCCCGCTGAGCCGCCCCAGCGTTCTCTCTAACATGGCCCCTTCCCTCCCCCCGACAAAACAGATATTCAAATGAGCGAGAGCCCCGCGATCAAGCAGGACAGCACGACTCCTGCTCCCGGCGCGGAGAATGCCGCCGAGCGCGCGCAGGCTGCCCGTGAGGACACCGAAATGGGCGACGCGCCCAAGAATGAGGCGGGCCATGCCGATGCTACCGGGCAGAATGAGGGTAATGGCGAGACGAAAACAAAAGATTTCATCGAGAATGCTGCCAGAGAACACCTCATCGCCCAGACGCATGCCATTATCCTTCCTAGTTACAGCACTTGGTTCGACATGAACACCATCCACGACATTGAGCGCAAAGCCCTGCCCGAGTTCTTCAATAACCGAAACCGTAGCAAGACCCCCGCGGTATACAAGGATTACCGCGACTTCATGATCAATGCCTACCGTCTTAACCCAACCGAGTACCTGACTGTTACTGCATGCCGTCGCAACCTGGCCGGTGATGTCTGCGCTATCATGCGTGTCCATGCATTCCTCGAGCAATGGGGCCTCATCAATTACCAGGTTAGTGGTTCATGATCGCGCTGACACCACGACTCCTCTGTTTCCGCGCGGACTAACACGTAGCAGGTCGATGCTGATCAACGGCCGTCGCATGTTGGTCCTCCATTCACGGGCCACTTCAAGATTATTGTTGATACTCCACGCGGTCTCCAGCCATGGCAGCCTGCCGCGGACCCTGTCATCACCGAGGGCAAGCCCAACAAGGACACGGAAGCCAAGGCCAGTGCCACGCCGGCGCCCAAGACCGAGCTCAATCTAGAGGTTGGCCGTAACATCTACGAGGCTAATGCCAAGCATAACAAGATCAACAAGTCGGACAAGCCCAACGGCGAAGCATCGGCGGCAGCTACTAATGGTGTGACTGGTGCCGACGAGCTCCCCAAGGCGCCCATCATGAAGGTCAACTGCTACAACTGCGGGACTGACTGTACGCGCATCTATTACCACAGCCCGCAGTCCGACCCCAACTCTAAGGTCAAGTACGACCTCTGCTCGACATGCTACCTGGAGGGTCGTTTCCCCGGCAACCAGACCAGCGCTCACTACACGCGTATGGAGAACCCGACATACTCGTCAACTCTTGATAGGGACGCGCCCTGGAGTGACGCCGAGATCCTCCGTCTGCTCGAGGCTCTGGAGCGCTATGACGAGGACTGGAACCAGATAGCCGAGTACGTGGGAACACGGACACGCGAGGAGTGTGTGCTGCAGTTCCTCCAGCTGGACATTGAGGACAAGTACCTCGAGTCCGAGCGACTGGACGCGCCAATTGGCTTGCAGATGCTGGGCAGCCACGGCGGCCAACTTCCCTTCAGCCAGAGCGACAACCCTGTCATGTCGGTGGTGAGCTTCTTGGCCAGCCTGGCCGATCCTGCTAGTACGGCTGCGGCCGCCAACAAGTCGGCCGAGATCCTGAAGCAGAACCTGCGGAACAAGCTTGAGGGCGGATCCAAGACCGCTGAGACTGCCAATGGCAAGGGCAAGGAAAAGGAGGGGACTGTCAGCAGCGGCGACTCAATGGACGTTGACAACAAGGAGACCGGCAGCGGCAACGGCAGCAGCGAGAAGCTGACTCCATCGCAGCTGGCTAACATCCCGCTCGCGGCTATGGGTGCGCGGGCGAGCGCGTTGGCGTCACACGAGGAGCGTGAGATGACTCGCCTGGTCTCTGCGGCGGTCAACGTGATGCTCGAGAAGCTGGAGCTCAAGCTCAAGTACTTCAACGAGATGGAGGCGATGCTGCAAGCCGAGCGGCGTGAACTCGAACGCGCCCGCCAACAGCTCTTCCTCGACCGGCTGACTTTCAAGCGCCGCGTGCGCGAGGTGCAGGAGGTCCTCCGCCAGGCGGCCGCCACGGGTGGCGAACAGGGCTTCCGCATGGCTCAGGAGGTGTTGGCTGGCGCGGCGGCTCCCGGTGCCGGCAATGGCATGACCTTCCAGCCCGCGCCGGCGGCCAGCGCAGTCCAGCCGCTGAGTGCGGAGGGGCCGGTTAAGAGCTATGAGGCTTGATGAGAGAACATCAAAAAAAGCAGCCTTTGTAGTGATTTTCTCGGCCGACATATCGTTACTTGGGCGTTTCTTCTAATTGTGTTTCCTTTCCTTCTGCTCTGGTTACCTCGGTAGTTTGGTCCGTTCCGGGCGTCAGGAGTTGGTTGGTGGAAGGGTTGGCTGGAGGATTTGGGTGACGGTGTTACATCCAGTAACGCGGGAGGGAGAGATAGTAAGAGGCGGCTGATATGTTATGTAAAAAGCGAGGGATTTTTTGAGACCTATGTCTGGCTGCCGACTGCTTGTACTGTATAACCTGAATGCGGACATAGCATGCCGCGGTGGTTCACAGGTTAGGAGCCTCGTTATTTTTAGGATGGGAAGACAACCGGGATAGTTCAAGTAGGTTGCAGGTCTGCGCGAGCAAAACGTCAGGTAATCGAGACTACATCCGCTTTACGGCTTGCTTATGGATTATGTGATTCTTGATGACGAGAGTTGAGTGAACACAAATACACTCTAACAATGCGCTGCAGTCCAAAAAAGAGACGTGGAGGGGCAAAGAAAAAGTACAGCTGACGGAAGTGGGGTTCGAACCCACGCTCTCTCACGAGAAGAGGAGATTTAAGGTAGGAAAATAGGTTACTTAAATCCTCCGCCTTAGACCACTCGGCCATTCCGCCTTTGGCTAAGAGTAACGAACTCTTGCTTCCTAAGAGCATGCAAAGGTCAGGGTTGGCTGGAGCAGCCCTCCGGCGGCGTTACGGCCCACAGAGCGTAGCAAAGAGTGCGAGACAGCTCCGAGGTTGATTCATCAAGCTGCTGTCCATCCGATTCACAATTTACAGGCCAACTTCTGGTCTGCCCAGGTTCATTATCTCCATAGGTCAGTTCCAAGTTCAAATTCCGGTTGCTGTGGCTTTCAGGTTCCTGATGATGGGGCTCTTCGCGTCTCCTAGCTTTCTCTTCCTCTAGGATCCTGTAGTACCTGGGTAGACGCGTCTTTCACGGTTCCTGGGCCCTTGGGGGGGGGGGGGGCGCCATGTGGGACAATACGTCGATCACTGACGGAAGACGCGCATACGCTGCACTGCAAGAGGGTGCAAAAACCCAGGTGATCTCACATCCTCAGTGCACCTTACCTACAGTTCCATGTTCCATCCTTCGGACAAACGCAAGACCGACGGATGCATGCAGGAGTCACGTCATTCGCGGGACGCGCCGAAGTTCCCTCAACAAATTTATCTTTCAATCCTTCAAAGTTCTCTATTTACTGCAACTAACTCCTACTCTGCCCGGCTCTATTCCGTTTTCTTCCTGTTTCGCTGTTCCATTTCGTTGGGCGTCTGCGTGAGCGCGAAATGCGCGAATGAATCGAGCGAGGGGTTCGCGATGGCATCCCGTGCCCTCGTCATCGAAAAGGGGGGGGGGGGTTTATCTTCATTTGTGGTGGAACGTAACGGGCTGCCATTGGATCTTAGAATTGTGATTCCTGGATACTATGCTCAGATGCTGGGCAGCTCAGCAGCCCTCAGCAAGCCGCTGGCATGTGAAAGTGGCTGATGAGGCACGGGGGGACGTTGCCTCTGTCCGCTTGGCCGCAACGTCGTGACACCCGCTGACAGCGCAAGCAACAAGAAGCGACGTCAGACCCTGGCAGGCCGTGATACAACTGTATACAGTAATCCGTAATCCGTATGCTATTGGCAAACGGCGAGTCGGTGTCCGCCTGGCGTGGGAAGGATGCAAGCCCAATCACAAACGCAAGCAGAATTGTATGGATAGAACTTGTTTTCCGAAACCGAGTCGAGCGATGGATACTGCTGGAAGTCACTTACCTGCCTTCCTCAAACAATCTAAGTCAATACAAACAAACCCGACCCCCTCCATGTTTAGATGGACGGAGGGGTCCTTCTGCGTTGAACTTTGAAGTGGTTCAAATGTTCAATTCCACTTGATGGAGGCGACGACGACGGGCTCACCTGCGGTCTCCAGCTAGTGCACGGTACGTACCTCACCTCCTGGGGCTTCCACCCAGGATTCCCCACACTTGGCAGCACCTCCAGCCGGAATTAGGGCGGCTCAGTGGCTACGGTTACCCCACGGCAGCCGTGGACCCGCGGCTCTCAGTGCAGGGTGTCCAAGACCAAGGACGGCAATTAGCCTCGGCTCGAGGGGCAAGCTCGGGTCGGGCAAGCGCATCCATGGACGAATTGCCCGTCATGCGCTCCACCAGTGAACTCCTGCCCGCGGCGTCCCGGCCGATGCGATCGCGTCTTTGCCTAGGTACACCGGTATAGCACCTGAGGTTTGTGCGAGTCCCTGTCGTGGCCGCTGTACGGCGCACAAACAAAACGGGCCGGCTATCACGATCGGGGTCGAACCGTCGAACTGCAAGGAAATAAATCGACGAAAGAAAGGGAAGAGAAAGGAAAGAAAAGAAAAGCAAAAAAAAAATCGCTACGGGAGACTTGACTTACTTGACTCTGTCATTTCGACTCCCAGTCCCTGGTCCCGCGGCTCGTCCAATCGTCCAGCTCGCGCTCCCCGCGTGCCCCTCCTCCACTCTGCTGTTCACACAAGATTTCAGAAAGCACATACTAGTCGACCGAACTCCGGGACACAGGACACAGGACCCCAGCATCCCACGGCCCTGTCCATCCCCGTCCCCCATCCGCAGAGCACACTAGGTACCGTAACCCCATCGTTCCCCGCCATCCCCTCCCAGGTGCCCAGGCTCCGGCTTACCCTCGGGCTTCTTGCAAATTCCAGGGAGTCCGTCCGAGCCACGCCGTGCCGCGTTTCGTCTCTTCTTCTCCTGATCCCTGGTCGTTCGTCCTTAGTCCTCGTTTCTTCCCTCGATTCGTCTTTTTTTTCCCGCCCTCCGTCTCCATCACTCCCTGGTCTGCTTGACTCGGTGGCCTTCCCTTTCTTCTCTTCTTTTCTCCTCTCTTCCCTCTTCGTATTTCCTCCCTCCATTCTCCATCTTCTCTCGCAAAAGGTTGGGACATGTTGGCCCGGATTGCCAGAGCAGAGGCCCGCTCTCCCGCTTTCAGAAGTCTTGTTGCCAAACAGACGCAATTGCAGACGCCGCTGGTGTGTTTCTGTCTTGTCTCGTCTCGGACACCGGCCGGCTAACACGCAATCTCGCAGAGAATCGCAGCCATGGCTCCCGCCGCGCGCCGCAACAACAGCACGCTGCCCGCGGGCTACGTCGAGGATAAGTCCAAGGGGCCCATGCTCCGTTTCCAGGACTCGCTCCCTCGCCTGCCCGTGCCGACGCTCGAGGAGACGGCCGCGCGCTACTTCAAGACACTTAAGCCGCTGCTGACGCCCGAGGAGCTTGAGAACAGCCGCAAGGCCATCGAGGAGTTTATTGCCCCGAACGGCCCCGGCCGCAAGCTGCAGGAGAAGCTCATCAAGCGCCGAGAGGACCCCAACATCAAGAATTGGATGTACGAGTGGTGGAACGACGCTGCCTACCTCAGCTACCGCGACCCCGTCGTGCCCTATGTCAGCTACTTCTACTCGCATCGCGATGATCGCAAGCGCCGTGACCCCGCCAAGCGCGCCGCCTCCATCACCACCGCTGTGCTCGAGTTCAAGAAGATGGTCGACGAGGGCACTCTCGAGCCCGAATACATGAAGAAGCTGCCCCTCTGCATGGACAGCTACAAGTGGATGTTCAACGCCAGCCGCGTTGCCGCCAAGCCTGCCGACTACCCCGTCAAGTTCGACCCGGCCCAGAACAAGCACATCGTCGTCATCCGCAAGAATCAGTTCTTCAAGGTCGCCCACGAGGTCGATGGCAAGCAGCTCAACACCGCCGAGCTCGAGCAGGCCTTCCGTCGCGTCTACGAGCTAGCCGGCGAGCGCGGTCCTGCTGTCGGCGCCCTGACCTCCGAGAACCGTGACGTCTGGACCGACGCCCGCGCCATCCTGCTGGCGGCCGACCCGGCCAACGCCAAGGCCATCGAGGCCATTGAGTCGGCCTCCTTCGTTGTCTGCCTCGACGATGCCAAGCCTGTCACCCTGGAGGAGCGTGCTCACCAGTACTGGCACGGCGACGGCCAGAATCGCTGGTACGACAAGCCGCTGCAGTTCATCATCAACGATAACGGCACCTCCGGCTTTATGGGCGAGCACAGCATGATGGACGGTACCCCGACCCACCGTCTGAATGACTGGATCTGCGACGTTATCTTCAACAATAAGCTCAACTTTGACGAGCCGACCGTCCGCTCCAACCTGCCCGAGCCGGTGCCCATCCGCTTCGTCGTCACCAAGGAGGTCCAGGCCGAGATTGACCGTGCCATCACCGACTTCCGTAACGTCATCGACCAGCACCAGCTGGCCGTCCAGGCCTATCAGGCGTATGGCAAGGGCCTGATCAAGAAGTTCAAGTGCTCTCCCGACGCCTATGTGCAGATGATCATCCAACTGGCCTACTTCAAGATGTACGGCAAGAACCGCCCGACCTACGAGTCTGCTGCCACCCGCCGCTTCCAGCAAGGCCGTACCGAGACGTGCCGTACCGTCTCGGAGGATTCGGTCGCCTGGTGCCGCGCCATGGCCGACGAGTCTGTCTCGAACGAGGAGCGCATCCGCCTCTTCCGTAAGGCCATCGACGCCCACGTCGAGTACATCACCGCCGCCTCCGATGGCAAGGGCGTCGACCGCCACCTGTTCGGCCTGAAGCGCCTGATCGAGCCTGGCGAGGAGCTACCTGCCCTGTACAAGGACCCGGCCTACAAGTACAGCACCTCTTGGTTCCTGTCCACCAGCCAGCTCAGCTCTGAGTACTTCAATGGCTACGGCTGGAGCCAGGTTATCGATGAGGGCTTTGGCATTGCCTACATGATCAACGAGAACAGGTACGTTCTTCCCCCTCCCCCCGCTCTCCTTATCATGTAAAATTTGATAACTGACACAACTTTGCAGCCTCAACTTCAACATCGTCTCCAAGAAGCTCGGCTCCGACAAAATGAGCTTCTACCTCAATGAGGCGGCTAATGAAATCCGCGACATGCTGCTGCCTACTCTCGAGGCCCCCAAAGCCAAGCTCTAAGCTTTAAACTCTAGAGCCTTTTTGTCGTTATCCCACCTATCCTTATCATCCATTGGTTTACGAATCTCTTATCTCACTGTGTACTTGGCGGAAAAGGAGCGGGCGGTGTGCTGGGGAATATCATTCCTGTTGTTATAGGACTTTGCATTGCTCGTCATCTGGTTCTCGATATCAAACGTGTTTAGAAAGCATCTTTATTAGTTGGTGCTTCGAGCTCCTCAGTTCTCGGTGATTTTTCTGGTTCGCGTCGTATGGGAGTATACAATGGCATGGTTGCAGTCGCTGCATTTCAGCCAGCTGAAATTCCTGCTTTAGCCGGTTTACGATTGTGAGAGCTATCATAGATCATTTCATTTTTGATAGAGAGTGTGTTTCGCGGCTGTTGATAGTTGTATACGTATCTAAAGTTGATTCACCAATACCTACGCTCTTGTGTTCCACAGATTACATCCAGAGCCGAAGTCAAGTGAGGAAGGAAGAGCGACTTCTTGTGAAACGTATGAAACGTCCCCAACCAAAAAAAGGCCCGGTTCCTTTGCATTTCGTCTATCATTCCTCACAAGGCAAGACATCTCCTATATATATCACACACCTTCTTAGCCAACATGTGACACAATCTCATTCACCACTTCGCCCTTTTCCTTGTCATAATACGAGCAAATCTGCGACGGCAGCGGGATTTCCTTGTAATCCTCCTCGCCGCCCTCTGCAGCAGGGGCGATGACATTTAGATTGATGCCGGCGGACTTGCTAGAGTAGACACGCGTCTCGGAGCTCTCCTTGCTTAGGTAGATCTGGGCACCATCGACTTGGTCGAGCAAGATGGTCGGAATCGTCTCGAGGACCTGGAGAGCAAAGTTTTGCGACTTGACCACGTCAACCGTGGAGACGAGCGACTCGACGACGAGTGAGACCCGGTTCGTATTCTCGATCGTCACAGCGTTGGCCTTGCCGCGAAGGATGATAGTCGTGTTGTTGCATTTGGAGATGAGAACTGAGTGAGCCAGCTCCACCTCGATCTCAATGGGCGCCGGGTGTTTGTCGAAGTTTTCCTAAAATCAGGAGTTAGCACACTAGGCACATACTTTGTCGCGAGATTGCGGGCTAAGAACAACAACGAAAAAAAAAAAGAAGAGAGAGAGAGAGAGAGAGAGAGAGAGAGAGAGAGAAGAGAGACATACAAGAGTCCACTTGTTACCCTCAAGTTCCTTTTTGGGCGGCTTCTTGACCCTCATGCTCTCCGGCTTCGGCTTGGCAATCGGGGCAGGGCTCTTGCCGCGCGCCGAGGGGCTGCGGTCAGGAACAGTCGAGCCGGCACGCAGCGACGGGTTCTTGTGTGTCATTTGCGACTTGTCCACTTTCCTGAGACCCTTGGTGATATCCTCGCCCTTGTTGATCTCGGCGAAGACGGCGTTCAAACCGCCAGCTGGACTAGAATCTGCCTTCTGCTCGTCAATTTTCAACACTGGCGGGGGACCGGGAGGAGGCGGCGGCGGCGGAGGAGCCCCCCCGGAAGGGGCTGAGGGAGCAGACGGCGCTGCGGTCGGACCGGCCTCGACAGCCCTTGCAGCTTCAGCAGCAGGAAGGCCTTTGGGATTCCAGGGGATGCCGTTGGGGAAGTAGGTCTTTGTGTACTCCATGAGATCGCGGAATATTTGATAGAAGGCCTTGGTCCATTCAACCTGTTGGTTGTCCCTGTAATCCCAGTCAGAACCGTGAGCATTTTGAAGGAGCTCGTAATTTGGAGGAGCTCACTTGTTCTTGTTCGCTGTCAAGACCTTGTTGCCCCAAAACTGGGCCGAGTTCAGAAACTCTTCAACATGCTTGAACGGCTTGGTGTCAACAGTTATCCAGCCGAGAGCCATGACGCCCTCGGCGACCGTGCTGAGGTTATCATAATGCGAGCTACCGCGGTTAGAGTCCTTAATGTTGCTGATGGCCATCATAAGGTCGCCGACGGGCTTGAGGAGGTCCTGGAGCACGGGAACGTCGGGCTTCTTCGCCTTGGAGGTGATGAGCAGGAACTTGCGCTGTTCTTTGAGGGCCTCGACGAACTTAGAGGCCTGTTCAGCCACCAAGCCGCCGATGGCGTCACTGAGTTTGGCCCATTTGTCGACAGACTGGCTCAGAAAGTTGTCGAACTCCTCGACAAACTCCGGCAAGGGCTCCGGCGGAGGGGGGGGAGGGGTCGGGGCAGCAGCAGGAGCCGAAGGGGGAACTGGAGCTGGACGGGGGGCTTGAGCAGTCGGGGTTGAAGCAACTGTCGGGGTCGCGGTCGCCACGTGCAGGCCGGGGACGCCCTGGGGAAGCTCGAGAGCGGACTGAGCGATGTCCTCGAGGCGAGAGGTAGCAGCCTCCAACCTGTGGGGAAGCAACGGGGTCAATCAGCCAGCTTACTTAGGCACATGAATCAGGGGCAGAGAGAATGACGAACACACCTCTTGATGAGAGTGGTCAAGTTATGCATCTGGTTTGCCGTCGCCATGTTGGACTGTCGCAAGGCGAGGGCGACGTACAAGAGTGGGAGGGAGGTTGGAGTATCCAATGCGACAGATATGGAGCCTGGCAAGCTTGGAGGTGATGGGAATCGCTAAAAGCAGCAGATCGAGTAATCTGTTGCGATGTTCGCCGGTAAAAGGAAGCTTAGAAGCTCGATCCACAAGACGGTAAGATACCTCTAGATTCAAATGTGCGATGTGTCGCCGTCGAATAACACTGGCTGCGACGTCGATCCAGAATCAGGTGACAGGCTACGGTTTAGTAGCGTGGTGTAGAAGTAGTAGGGGGGCAAATGGTTAGCCGTCGTTCCAGTTAGGAAACAGACGTCGAGACACAAGACCCCTGACGCCAGCGATCATCAGTGATCAGGTCGGGCCCTGGGCCCCTGGCTATACTGGCAAGCTGCGCTGGGCTTGGCGGGGCCCCTCTCTCGCAGGCACAACCGGCCAATCGGAGTCAGGCGCTGCGATAAGAAAGTCACCAGCCAAGCCTCGATAATGATAAGGGTCACCGGCTAGAAATGGCGGGGCCACTCAGGGTGTTGCAGGAGTATTCGTGTCCATCCCACTTCCATGCTGACATCTGAACGCTACTTGCTTGGTAGTACAGCAGTATGTAAGCAAAAAAACATTGCAGTGAACAAGCATAAGGTATTGGCTTCAACGTAGGCACTTCTATTATTTGTTCACTGCTGTCCTGACTCTCGACTCCCGAGTCTGGTACAGAGTCAGGTATCAGCGACGTATTTTACGGCATACGTATTGTGGCATTACTGAAGTTCAGATAAGCTAGCATAAGATACCTTATCATGCCTGGCACCTACAACTACCCGACTTGACGCTTGTTTCCTTGTTTATTGCTGAGAGGTCGTCGTCCCCGACCACAGTCTGCTCTCAGCAAGTCCAATCATGCCTCGCCCATGAATCTGACAGCTGAAAACGCTGACTGGGGACCAAGTTGAGCTGTAGCCTGTGCGTACGCTACGTAGCTGTCCACTGCCACTCACAGTCGCTCAATTGATCGCTCCAGATTTCGAGATTTTCAAGATCTGGCCTCCACAGCACCGCAGCACCACAAGACCATGGCAACCTATAGGCTGGAGACTAGGTAAGTATACCGCATAAGTGTATTACCAAGGACCACTCACCACACTGGCGGCTTGTCTGCGGTTCTACCTGTCGTGGGCCGCATATCATGCTGCTGTATCTTTCTATCTTCCTGCCTACCCTGTGCTGTTCCTCCGCCACTTCCAGGTGCTTTAAGCTCTGTTGTTTCTGTGTGATTTGGTCTAAGCGGCAGCGAGGTGGTCAACCACATTATATGCCTTCTTTCTACTTGCAGTCACCTTTTCTTTTCAAGCCTTGCTTTCTTCCTACTGTCTTTGTTGTGCTCCCTTGACCTGGTTACACTGTACAGAACCACAGCCGACACACGTTGCAACCGCGTCTGGCTGTCTTTGGACTTTTATCTCGGCATATTCAGGCACATTGTCCATTGCTCTGATTTGGTTATTGCTGGACGTTGCCATGAAAAGGAATGTCCCTGAGGGCGAACAGCGCTCCAAAGCTGGGTTTGACCAAACCGCGGACGAGATTCAAAATGTGAAACGGAAACAAAATATCGACTTTGTGACTTTGGGCATGTTTATTATCGGTATGTGCCTGCCGCCTAAATATGGCCGAAATTGGTCGCTTCATCTCGAGCATTGCACTGTTCCCTTTTACTTCCATATCATAATCCTTCCCTATATTTGTCTCGGTAGATACCTTCCCGAAGACTAATGACCGACCTTGCGCAGATGAAATCGAATTTCCCCCTCCCAAGCCTCCAGTCAAGGACATCATCGGTGGCGCCGGGACCTATGCGGCCTTAGGAGCTCGGATTTTCTCTCCAGCCCCCAACCTTTCTCGGACCGTGGGCTGGGTCGTAGACCAAGGCTCTGACTTCCCCCCTTCTATCACTGCTCATCTGAAGTCCTGGAAGACATCGGCACTCTTCCGCTATGATCCCTCACGCTTGACGACCCGCGGCTGGAACGGCTACTCGGCCGACGAAGAGTCTGGTTCAACATCTACATCTCAGCAGCGAGCTTTCCGTTATCTGACTCCCAAGAAGCGTCTCACCCCAGCCGATCTATCCCCAAATCTCTTGTGTGCGAGGGCGTTTCACTTGGTCTGCAGCCCATTGAGATGTCAGGAGATTGTCAAAGATCTACTCGCCAGACGTAGGGCTCTAGCCGAAGCAGGGGGCGGCGAAGGTTTCCTTCCTCGCCCATTGATCATCTGGGAGCCGGTCCCGGACCTGTGCACTCCGGATGAGCTGCTCAATTGCACAAACACGCTGCCACTAGTTGACGTGTGCTCGCCAAATCACGCCGAGCTAGCCTCTTTCATGGGCGAAAAGCCCCAGGATATCGCGGCAGCCGAGGCCGAGTCTGATGGGCGGGGCGTCCGACGCATGGTGGAGCGGCATTGTGAGCAGTTGCTCGCGAGCATGCCGCTCAAGACATACACGCTTGTCGTACGCGCCGGTGCAAACGGCTGCTTCATCGCCCGCAACGGGGGGAGCAGGCAGAAGGCGCTCGCGACCAGCAAGTCAAAGCCACAACCCAAAATCAGCATACCCGCTCACCATGGGCCCCTCCATCCCTCCCTGACCGCTGACCTGTCGGCCCTGCTCATGGCTCTGCAAGACGATGATGGACATATCCCCATTCCCGAGATCGAAATCGACCCGGGCATCGAAAAATGGATCCCTGCCTACTATGGTGAAGGATATGCCGGCGAGCCGAAGGTTGTCGACCCTACTGGTGGGGGAAACACCTTCCTGGGAGCATTGGCCGTGGCCCTGGCCAGGGGCAAATCCATCGAGGAGGCCTGTGTGTGGGGGCATGTTGCTGCGAGTTTTGCAATTGAACAGGTCGGTTTACCCGTCTTAACAATCGATGAAAAGGGGAATGAACGATGGAATGGCATAGGAGTGGGTGAGAGGCTGAAGGATCTTTTCAAGAGGACAAATATATGCGTGGATGAAACTTTTGACGATGCGGATGACACAGAATGGGTTACCGAATCGGAGGATGAATAAACGAACATCGACAGTCTACAAGAGTCAAGAAGATGCACTTTGGTAATTGTTAATAAGGGGTTTCGGTTGCTCATGGATTTGCGGCTGCCGAGAACAGCCGGCGATAGAACTAGTAATCAAGTTAATATGAAGTGATATGATGCGCCTCTCGGGACCTCAATCTATGGCGGCTCGATGATTGCTTACCTCCTTACTCACCGACTATGGCCAAGCTGACCTTGAAATCTCACCATTAAGACAAGAGGTGCACGGCTCATAGCCTCAGCAAAGCCAATATCTCAATAATAGATGCCAATCAAACCGTCTACGCTTAACCTCATCCATGTCCATAGAACGCCATTGTTTACAGATAACATCCCAACAGCCATCATACATGCCCATCCCAGAGACCATAATACCATTTTCAAGCCATTGGGTTCGTCATCATGGCATGACAGGTACATTTTTTTTTTGAAGTTGTTGTTCTTCGAATCCTGATATATTAGATCTTATACACCAGCTCGCCATCGGTGTACCTATTCATCGAGAGTTAGAACCGATGTTTCAAACTGGCTGCATGCATGGGAAACTAGTCATTAAGGGGATACTCACATAATCTGATTCCTCTTATCCATCTCCTTCAGTGCTAAGATTGCCTCTTCGCGCGAGAAGACACCGCCACTGCCACCGAGCGTGCCAACTCGCCGGTTGACCGCCTCGATCAACTCGTCCACCTCAGCCGAATCATCCTCGAACAGAGGTGTATTCAGCAGCTGGCCGAGGGCGCGCCGGAACACCTCAAGACGATGCTCCGAGATGGTCGGTTCACCGTCTTCGTCTACCTCAGCATCATGATCGTCGCCCTTATCATCAGTGACAGTGAGGTTAGCTGTACCAGAAACCAGCGTCTGGTCGTCGTCGGGCAACTGTGACGCCGGCACAGACGAAGCGAAGGAGGGTTGGGAGGAGGATGCGTTGTGGGCAGTCGAACGAGTTGACCGGCGAGGCGCCTCTTCCTCTTCTTCTGCTTCCTCCTCTTCGTCCCCGTCTGATATGCTGGCTGCTGTTTTGCGTGTGGGCGCGCCGTTCGGGCGACGACGGTTAGACCGTTGGGAAGAGCGGGTTGACCGGGCGGCGCTGGCACGGGCAGTGCTGCTGCGAGCAGCGCGGCTCGCAATGTCTCCGTCGTCCGAAGACGAACCGTCGTCATCCGAACTGCTGTCTTCCTCATCTTCCAGGGGCCGGGTCTTGCGCCGCTTCTTGCGGCTCTCGTCCTCAACGATCTCCTTGAAAAGAGCGAAGCGCAAGATAGATTCGGCGGCTTCAGCATCGCGTTCCTCGACACGGTTGGAAAGACGAGCCTTGGCGTGCGCCGTGGCGAGACGAATCAAAGTCTCGAGAGTACGCACAGTCAGGGGGCTCGTCTTGCGCTGATTGCTCTCCATGTCGTCGTTGCGCAGGCTAACATAGATATCGGAGATGCGATCCGCCGCCTCTTGAGTGAGAACGGGCTTGATACGCGTCTTGGCATATTGTATGTACTTCTTCAAGAAAGGGATGCTGAGCACCTCGGGCTTCTTGCCTTTCCTCCCGCCCTTGACGCCAGCGTGCAGCATGGCATCATACTTTTCGTACACCTCTGTCGGCTTTTGAGAGTCGGCTTGGCTCGTGAGCGCAACATTGAGCGACTGCCCAGTATTCTCACGCACAGGGGCACCCTCCTCGGTGCCAGGCTGCCGGTACCGGTGCATGCGCAACACATGTTCGGAAACCTGACGATCTCGGGTATCCTCGATATCGTCCGTGACGACGAACAAGAGGTCGAAACGGGAAAGCAGAGAGTCGGGCAGAGCAATGTTTTTATGGGGGTCCTTGTGCGTATCGTACTGCCCATAGATGGGGTTAGCGGCGGCGATGACGCTGCAACGGGCGTTCAGAGACGTGTGGATGCCAGCTTTTGCGATGGTGACTGTCTGCTGCTCCATGACTTCGTGGATGGCTACTCGGTCGATGTCTGACATCTTGTCAAACTCGTCAATGCAGACAACACCGCGATCAGCCATGACCATGGCACCGGCTTCCAACCGGCGTTCACCAGTCTCCTTGTCGGTCGTCACCGCAGCCGTCAGACCGACACCGGAGGAACCGCGGCCGGTTGTGGCAATGGCCAAAGGTGCAGTATTGAGCACAAAGCGAAGAAGTTGGGACTTGGCAGTTGACGGATCACCAACCATCAGAATGTTGATATCGCCTCTCAGATGTGTGCCGTTCTCCAGGTTCTTCTCCATACCACCCAACAGCATCAGCAGAATAGCTTTTTTGATGTATTCATGACCATAAATACTGGGAGCCAAGGACTGTGATAATAACTCGAAGACGTTGGCTTTCTTTGAGATCTTATTGATGTTGCGAATGTCTGTGTCTGTGATAGTAGCAGTTGCAACGCCGCCTCCGGATTTTGTCGACAACAGAACGACATTGTTGGCTATCAGGACCGTCTTGAAGACGGCACTATTGTGATTCGTGTTCCTATTACCCAGCGTGCGGTAGATGCCGACAAGCTGCACACGGTCGCCCGGCTTGCACGAGTCAACAAGGTCGTCATCAAGAATAACGTCGACACCGCGGGGCAACTGGCCAGCAGGTGCCCGCTCGGGCATTTCTTGGATAGAAACGGTCTGGTGGTCCCTATAAGTACAGAGACCGTACTCTGTTTGCAAAGGATTGCCATCGGCGTCCTCGGTGGGGTAGACGCTGGAAGTGGTGACGCCGGTAGTCATGGTCTGGTCACGATACTCCTTGAACCAGAACTTGCCGGTAGCCTCGCTGTAGTGGACGCTCTTTGCAATTTTGGGGCGAATCAGCGAACAGCGGGTGACAATACCCTCGATGGAGACCATGTTGTTGAGGTGCTGAGCCGAGAGCGTGCGCGGGTTGCACGAGTTGGACCCAAAGCTGCCGGCCCAAGCGCAGTAATACAGCACATCAGGGTCGGTTTGATCGGGCCTGGCCTGGGGTAGTGTCTTGACGATCTCTTTGAGCGCATGGTTGAAGGCTGGAACGTAGTTGAAGGGGTCATGCAGTAGGCCCTCAGCCATGGCCGGGTTGTGGTCGCGGACATGGTCGATATTAACGACAAGTCTGCGCTGGTTTTTCTGGAGCATCAAGATGATGTCCGGCCGGTAGCTGCGCACATTCTGGTCGTCTGGCAGACATGTTAGTAAGGGAGCGACGGGGCCGGCACGCAGAAAGCCTGGAGAAGCAGAAGCAGAAGCAGAAGCAGAAGCACAGCATACTGGGATCGAGGAACTCCAGGGCCTGGCGCACGCGATCACGCGCGGCCTCGTCCCGCAGCATCAAGCTGTCCATTGTATGAAAAGACTGCTCTTAGTAGGCCGGACAATATGCGGTCTGACGTCCGACGAGAGAGAAAAAGAGAAAAGGGCCAAAAGTCTCGGGAGTGTGCGACGGGCAGGATGGGCTACTGGGTAAGATGGACAAAACGGGCAAAATGGCGTGTGTCTTGTCGGCGTCGCACTTTGCTTGAACCTTGTGATGCGCTCAGGCTTGACTCGGGACTTGGGGGACTTGGAGTTGGGTTGCAAATGTGCAGCAGACAACAAAGAGTAGTTGAGTGGGAGCAACTTAGCAAGCGGCATGCAGAAGGGTGGGGTGCCAGATGCTATCAAAACGCGTCCACGACGCGCCCGACGCGCTAGGGCGCGTCGCGATTGGGGACCCTGTTTAATTGAATGCAGAGACCCAGCGACCCTCAGGATCAGCAATCAGTCACAAGGCCCACCTGAAAACTGTGCAAGCCATGCTTTAGCACTACTCTGTACATTGTACATGGGGAGACGTCGACGATCAGCATCATCGAGTTCTTTAGTCCCTGCTGACTTGTTTCTGTTGATTTTTTTTTGCAGCATTTCTTAGACCATCGGGACTGAAGTCGCGTCATGGCAGCCGTATTTCCCGTAATCTATTCGTCCCATGTTATGTTTCCGGCGCCTTAGCAAATACTCGGCTTACCCATGGCCTTTGTTTCCTGGTCGAGATGCCACACCGTTGAGATTTGAGATACAGGTTCTAGGATCCAATAACTAGGTATAGACTATCTTATTAGTTACCGTGTAACTGTGCCTTTTCGGTGACTGTTCGGGCATTTTGAGCGCATCCATCTCCCCAGAGGATCATCTATGTGTCAATATGGTGGGAGCTGGGGTTTTCTTTTGCAAAGCTTGAGCACTGTAGCTTGCTCAGCTACTCGGATAATCAGTCTCGGATTGTGACAGTTGCTGTGGTCTGGATAACTGCTTGCTGACCTGCATCACCCCTAGGTCCACAGTGTCTTTCGCGGTACTCTGTCATGGTTTAACAGTCTGCAAGAGAGAAGCAAGAAATGACCGTTACAGTTGCACAACAACGTTGCGGACGTCTATTGTAAATCTTTCTCATGCTTTTCTAGAAGACAAAGCTATTCATCCAAAATATCAACCGTGTGGGAGAATGGGCTAGCCCAGTTAGCGCCCGACGTATGTTGTCTCTTTGACCCAACACGAAGGCAAATCCAGCATGGCTGAACCTTGTCCATATCTTCCGCTCCTTGCTATCACCATCTGATACCCTCGCATAGCCTTGAGCTGTCGTGAGAGCCGAGACACCCTGCAGGATCATGTTTCGAGGCGACAAAGTTTATAAGGATCTTTCCCATGACCCTTTTCATATTTTCCATGGAGACTTACTTGAGTCCTTGTAAGCAGCAGCCTCAGCTTTTGCCCAATCACTTGACCTGCCCCTGGCCTGTGTCAGACGAGGAACAGACACAACAGTCAATGGGATGCACATGTCTAAAAACGACCGGTTCACGCATCATGCAATGCGTGTGCCACGTTCCACGTCTATACCTGCGGAAATGTTCTGCTTCTTCAATCGCCGCGAGAACAGAGAGTGTGTGTTTGGGGTGGAAAGACGAGTAAACAAAACGACCAATTGGAGCTAGTGGTACGACAACAGAGCTGCCGCCACTTAGCCAAACAGTCTGTGACGCGAGGGCTGGTCCATACATCTATCACATCTATCACGCAGAGAAGATATCATCTCAGGTATGGCAAGCACGCGCCGAAGAATGCCCGACATGAGAATTGTTGGCTCTTTTTTGCTTCATTTCTAGTGAGCTTTTGATCCACAAGATGCAGAGCCATCGGCGCTAGCATTCAAACGGAAAGGCAAACAAAACATCAAAAAGGGAAAGAGAATTAGCAAATGGCTGGTTGTAGATTGAATAACCATGTCATTACATGCCAGAAGCCGTTGTAGCGTGGGATGAACTGGACAGTTAGCCGCGTGTTTGAAGTCCGGCGCAAACATGCAAAGACGGCCATGTTTTTTGTGGCGCAATCCCACTGACCACTGGCCTATGCATTAGAATATTGCGTTCACCAAGACAATGATCGAGTGACTGAGAAAACCGCAGTGAGTGAGGACATGATGTCTCTTGAGGCTCGAGTCTATACGGTCCCAAGTCACCCAACTTGAGTGTGTCTAACGTTGATAAATAATCATCTTGTTTTGACCATTGGGTTGTGGTGCAAGGTGCCATAAACATGCACACATGCCCTGGGACTCGACAGGACTTGGAATGGAGCAACACCCATTTCTTAGGTTTCTGTAACTCGTGCGTCCCGTCCAGCAACCTATCCCATTTCTCACAGCTAAAATAGCACTGATCAGCCGGTCCTACGCTGCATGTGTTGTTGTTCTACGTAACAAACATCACTGCCAGTTGGAAGAACACTCGTTCCTCCTGGTATATCGGATTCTTCGCGGGCAACTTTGTCCGTTGAGTTGCCCCAGGACACCGCACTCCAAGAAAATCGATTGGTTACCACCTTACTGGGCAAGCGGCCCGAGGACACCATGAACTCTCCGAGAAAATGTGCTTTTTTCAGGCTGCGTTCCAGCCTTGTGGGTGAGTGGCATGGGTCTGTTGTCAACATAGAGGAATCTGTCATGGCTGCGGCCAGCTCCGAGACTCTCGGCTGTTACCGTCTCGCTTGTCTCGGTCTTTTCGGTGAAAGCGCTTGGCGGGTAAGCTAAATGGCCCAGTGTGTAATAACTTGAAGAGGGATAGGGTACAGTGTTAGGTTTGGTGCAGGTGGCAGCTCATCCAAAGTGTAACTAAGAACTGATTGCCGAGTAATATAGGCATACTCAGACAACCGAAAAGTGTTTCTAGAACGCCTTGTTCCTCTGGGGCCAGACATTGTTCTCGGTGAGGGAATGCTTCTCGAACGTCTTTGGGCAGAACATCTTTAGATAACGCAGAGAGTCAACGGGTGGCTGGGGTCGCCTGATTGGATAACACCCGCTGCGAGTGACAACTTCGAGTAGTGGAACACAGACGAAGAAGGCCCAATTGGGATGCATAGCGGAGGTGACGTGCAGGATCATGGCTTGAGAACTTGCAGCTTCGTCTTCTTTGATGCCACCATGGATCAGGGCTTCTGTGGCCAGGGAAGTAAGGCCACCTACGCAGGGTCCAATCGCTGCTTTCCAGAAGGAAGAACCAGGAGCTTGATGTGCGCCACCGCTCGGCACTTATCGGCCAACAAAAGAACTGCCAGCACCTGTTGAACACGAGGATACGGAAACGAAAGCGTAGGGACGGTGCCCAGAACAGCTCGGACAACAGCCCGGTGAGTGACACGAAAAAGGCAAGGTGCATTTGGAGAAGATGCCGCAGAGGAGAGAAAAGGTTTGACCGTTTTGGAAGACTTGAGAGAAACACTGTTGCATCCCAGGTTTCATGTGCCTGCCCATTTATCTTTCGAGTGGCTGTTTCTCATCGTGACGTTCTCCCGCCCGGAATCTGTGAGTGAACCCTTAATCGCTCAGACAAGGAGTTGCTGACAGTACCAGAAAGCAGTCTTAGCATCCCATACTGATCCTGCAGGTCTGCGCCTCGTGGTGGGTGATGATACTAGACAGGGGCGAGCTTCTGTTCAGTGAGCTGCAAGGTTCGAGCATGCTTTGCACGGAACTGCGCCTGCTGTGATCCAACGTCGGAGAAAGGAGCTGTAAGGTCTCGGATTCCTACGCCGGGACGGCGGCAGCTTTCCACAGGCATATATTGTGTAAACTTATACCCTATCGGAACGCCAGGTAGACGGACCAGAAAGAAAGTACACGCATCATGAATATCATAATCCCGATGGCCCGGCTGCCCGCAATAGGGTGACCAATAGGCCGAAAGGCCCGTCCAGGGACCAAAAGGCGCTCCCCTCCCCCAGCCAGGGGGTCATGATACGGCCGGGTCAAGGCTGAGCAGTTGGTACCCAAAACCAGGCATGCCTTTTTCGCCACGAACAATGCCGATGGGGGGCAACAGCAGCAAATCGTGCGCAAAAACCAGCGGTGAGTGCCTGCCTGGATGGTGGTCTCAAGAATCCCAAGGATTCGGAGCATCGAATCTTCGGTTCCGGACAAGGTTCTGCCGAGGGAGAAGGCGCTGTGGGGCCGAGATCGGGATGCCGAGTACTGGTTCTTGGTTTCTACCCCTCACTCAAACGGCTGCCGAAAAGGGGGAAGAGGCGTTCTCAGCGGTGGTTGCACAGCAGCCATGACAAGTCGAGGCGGTTGGAGGCGGGAGACTGCAGGCCGTTTGTCGCACGTGGGACAAGCTTTCCACGCCCGCATGGCGTCACCAACCGCCTCACTCGCAGCAATCGTATGTTCTGGCAGGATGGCTTCAGTAGTGGTCACGAGAGGGTGAGAGAAAGGGAGAGGGACAGAGACAAAGCTGTCCCCCTTGTGGGTTTTCCCTTCCTCCCGGCACCCCCCGTCTTGTCATGAGGGGGATTCGGAAAGTTAGTGCGATGTAGGAGCAGCCTCCACGCAAACCGACGAATCATGCTAGTAACCGAAGATCCACATCATCCCCATTGTCAGGCAGCGTTGAAAAAGAACCCCCCCCAAAAGAAAGCGACTCGAGCGCTCTGGGGAGGTTGTGGCGAAGGGAGAGGTACAGTAGTTCGCGGGCACTATACTCCGTAATCCCCGCGCGTACATGCGTGTCGTGTGCTGATGTTGGGACACCTGAGCGCGGAATGATTAGGCCTGCGCTCCGCATTGGTTGTTCTTGTATCTAGGTAGGCAGGGATCCCGCGATGTCTGATGGGCCGTTGCTACCCACAGTTGCCATACAAATAGACTCACGGAAGACGGTTTTGTTTCGCGGACGGTACGGCTCCAGACCAAGTCTTCTGCTCATAGTTGGTGGCCGTTCCACGGGCCCCTTGGTTCAACATGGTCTTGAGACAGCTTGCACCCGTGCCCCAGGCCAGTAGGAACGGCAATACGAGGCCTGCGAAAGAGTCGGCCGTTCTTCAACGAGATCTTTCTTATGACTTTGCCCTCCTTGCGCGAGGCGAGGGCAACTACCTCGTGCTCGAGGATGGACGGAAGATTTTTGACGGATCAGGAGGGGCGGCCGTTGGCTGTCTGGGCTGGGGCAACCAAAGGGTGGCCGAGGCTGTCATGAAGCAGGTGCTCGCCATCCCATACTGCGCAACCGTCTTCTACACAACGGGTGTACAAGAAGAATTGTGCTGCTATCTGGTCGAATCGACCAAGGGACATATGGGACGTGCTTACATCGTCAACTCTGGTGAGCACCGCGAGCCCATAAGTAGCCGTACCTCAATGCTAACTATTCAAGGCTCCGAGGCCATGGAGGCTGCAGTAAAACTCGCGAGACAATACTTTCTGGAACTGACTCCCAGCCAGCCCCAGAGAACGCGCTTCATCTCGCGACGGCAGTCGTACCATGGAATCACACTCGGGGCGTTGGCAGTTGGAGGACACGACTATCGCCGGGCAAAGTTCGAGCCGTTATTGATGAAGAATGCGACACGAGTCTCGCCATGTAACGCATACCGTGGGAAGAATCCCGGAGAGACGGACGAGGACTACGTAGCTCGCCTGGCAAAGGAGCTGGATGATGAATTCCAGACTGTTGGTCCAGACACGGTCTGCGCTTTCATTGCTGAGCCGGTAGTTGGCGCTGTAAGTTCTCTTGGAGCTAGTCGATTCACATGGCGCTGATAAGCAACAGGCACTGGGGTGTATGCCCGCCGTTCCCGGGTACTTCAAAGCAGTGGCGGAAGTGTGCCGCAAATATGGTGCGCTTCTCATATTCGACGAAGTGATGTGTGGCATGGGCCGAACGGGAACACTGCACGCATGGGAGCAGGAAGGAGTAGCGCCCGACATCCAGACAATTGGCAAGGCGCTAGGCGGAGGCTACCAGCCGGTCGCGGGTGTGTTGGCGAGCAAGCATGTGATGGATGTGCTCCAGAAGGGCAGCTCGTAAGTAGCAACAGCCTACGTGAAGGCCGGTCCGTTTTCGAAACTGACAAGAGGGACCCGGACAGTGTCTTTGTGCATGGGCACACATATCAAGGACACCCTGCGGGATGTGCTGCAGCGCTCGAAGTGCAACGCATCATCCTGGAAGAGAACCTCCTCGCCAACGTCCGAGCCATGGGTGCGCTTTTGTCGAGACGGCTCAAGGAACGACTAGCAAGTCACCCCAACGTCGGTAACATCCGGGGCCGTGGGCTGTTCTGGGCCCTCGAGTTCGTGGCAAATAAAGCGACAGCAGAGCCTTTCCCGGTCGAAGACCATGTTGCTATGGAAATCTGCGAGAAGGGCTTATCAAAGGAATACTTGGTCAACGTCTATCCGGGTTCTGGTTCGGCAGATGGCATTCGAGGAGACCATATCATCATCTCTCCCGCCTTCAACATCCGCAGTGACGAAGTCGAATGGCTCGTGGAGACGATTGGGAGGCTGGTTGACGATTATTTTGCTGAGAAGCGAAGGCAGTGAGTGAATGTGGACTGCGCATGTGCGCATGTATCGTCTACGTATCATCGTGAGCTGAGAGCTGAGAGCTGTTGGAATAGAAAACGGGGAGGGGCTTGGATGAGAAGATATACGAGTGTCCTGCACCCGGAAATATCGGGGAGACGGACGGACTGCTGGCGTGTAGTGCGTAGTATGAGAGAGAAAGTTAGTTGGGAAGAAAGGTAAAATCGCTGTTTGGAGAAATGCCCAACCACTGGACCTGGGAGCGAATCGAATTTCAATTCGTTTCGGGAGCCAGGAGCTCATCGGGTAGCGTAGCCGAAAGCCCCACTGCGCAACGCACTGTGCGACATAGCGGGAAAGCCCACAAGAGATACTGAACAGGTCCTCCCAATCCAGCTTCAAAGTTGGCAATTGATAAACCCGAGGTAGAGGCGAATGAAAATTACAAACGCCTCTCGGAAGAATGTTCTGCATTGGATTTACATATCATGTTCTACCTCTTTGCGTGCAGCACTATGTGAGGGTACTGTCGCGACTCATGCTTCTCACACCGTCAAGTGGGGTTTTGCCTTGTCCCTAAGAGGCAGGATGCGATTGGTTAATGATGCGGACTGCTTCACGCGGCGGAGAGGTCCCCTCCAGCCCTCCTCCCGCTGTGGTTGAAAGTTGCGCTGACATCAGCTACCTTACCTATAGGTACCTGAGGTACCTACCTAACATTGCTTCGCGAAGGTTCCCACATTCCCAACGCAGTCCATATTTAAGGAACTCTAGCCTCCCAGCTCCCAGGACTTCCCACATCCAGCAAAAGCCGCGCAGCAGGATCTTTGGCATCGGCTGTTCCTTGCCCCCCTTGGACGACCAGCAAACATGGCTGTCGGCGTCCTCTCTGGCCGGCACGCTGCCGACGAAGAGGCTCGCGCCGAGGTCGATGTCCTCAACTCGCGCCTCGAGAAGACGGCGCAGCTGACCAAGAAAATCCAAGCGTGCCTCGGAAGGCTCGAGGCCACAGGCAAAAGCGTTCGTGATGTCGCTGGTCCGCTCAGCGGCGAAACTAAAAAGCTGCAAATACTCGGAAACAGTGTGTGGCCCCTTCAAACCCTCTGACTCTGGGCTGGCCTTTCTCCCAGTCTAACCGCGCTTCCTCCCTCCCAGACATCGATGCCGTTCTTGCCGCCATAGAACGCTTGCGTCAGCCTGCCGACAGCAAGAATGACGAAGAACAAATTATCCGGATGGGCCCTGAAAAGGCCGGGTTGCCGAACTACTTGGCATCCTTGAAGCGCCTGAACAAGGCTCTCAACGAGATGAAAGCGACAAACCTCCGCTCTACCCAGCAAACCGTCCAAGACCTCCAACGCTTGGTCAAGGTTGGAAACTCTCAACTTGAGAGCGCCTTTGATAAACTGTTACGGAATGAGACGCCGCGGTCGATCGAGCCATTGCATTTTATCACAAAAAACAAGCCATTCCCGGTGCTGTCACAAGATAAGTTTGCCCGCTTGGGCCTGATCAACTCATACGTTGCCGGTGTTCATAAGCAAAGCGGAGGTTCGAGCGCCCCGCAAGATTCACCCATTGCGAAGATATACATTGAAATTCGCTCTCAGTATCTCTCTTCTGCGCTGGTCAACCTGGCGGCTGCGAGCACCAATACGGCTAAGAAGAAAACGCCAGACGCAATATATAAGGCCGGAACCAACGGGATAGGGACGTATGCACAAGCGATGGAAGGCCTCTTCTCTGCCGAGTATGACAACATCTGCAACATTTTCACAAGAGAAGATTGGGGGCCTGTTTTTGAGGCAACATGTCAGCCGTCGCTCATGGAACTTGGGCGAACGCTGCGCGAGCTGAACAACCATATCAAAGCGCATCTGACAACGGACTGTTACCTCGCTTACGAGATTGTCGAGATCATCTCGTCACTGTCAAACAGCTTGGAGAGGAGAACGGGCGAGCTCAAAAACTCACTCGCCGCCTCGCTGAAACCAGTCCGAGAAACCGCTAAATCCTCACTCGGCGAGCTCCTCGAGGACACGAAAAGAAGGGTCAACAGTCTGACAACACTTCCTGTCGATGGCGCTGCAGTCTCAATCGTCTCAGAGACGATGCAACGCTTACAGACTATGGTCGAATTCCTCAGGCCCCTGTCCAGCATTATGATATCACTTGGTGACGGCGGCTGGAAGTCGAGTTCGGCATCTCGGGGAGGAGCTGCGGATAACATTCCGAGTCTAGCCTCCTTCGAGATAGGAGCCGATGGCAAAGAGATCTTTGCCCACTACTGCGCTGATACCATCGAAGCGCTCCTGATGGCGCTCGACGGCCGTGCCAGGATGCTCCTCCAGAAGAAGCCCGTCATGGGTGTGTTCCTTGCCAATAGTGTCGCCATTATTGAGCGCATGATACAGAACTCCGATCTGGCATCTCTTCTAGAATCCCGGCTCAGCGTGCTGGATGTTTGGCGCAAGAAGGCTACCAGTCTCTACACCGAGAGCTGCAAGGACGTCAGCGTCCACCTCTTCGACGTGATCCATACAAGTCGTGGCGGGGCAAGCAGCGCTGCACAGCGGCCCACGTCCGGGCAAGGCAGTCTGGCAGCAGTAGATTCAGCATCCATCCTGCGCGGCCTCAGTTCCAAGGACAAGGAGAACATCAAGTCCAAATTTGTCGCTTTCAACGCCAGCTTCGACGAAATGGTTGCTCGTCACAAGAGCTACGCCATGGAGCGTGAGGTCCGCCAGCTATTTGCCAAAGACATCCAAAACATGATCGAGCCTCTGTACAACCGCTTCTGGGACCGTTATCATGAGGTGGACAAGGGCAAGGGCAAGTATGTCAAGTATGACAAATCCGCGATTGCTGCCGTCTTCCAGACCCTTTACTAGGGCCCTGGATGAAGTCGAAGAAGTCCCTCTCGCGTCCGTGTTCGGGCTCTTCCCTACCAACCGAGTCTCCGAGTGTCTACAAGTACATGCCTGTCTACAGATAAGCCAGGCACATCATGTACGCGACTCAGGTCAGGACCTTGCTTTTGCTGTGTTGGGAGAAAGGGTTGGGAAAGACCCGCGGATGGTCTGCGTCCAATGCGGAGAAGCATATGGTAGACTTGCATCATAGTGCTTACAGCTAATCCGTATGCAAGGCGACGTTGGAATTGGTTGATTGCGGAGATGATTATCCTGTACCGCATCCTCTGCAACATGCAACGTCGAGACACCACTGGCCCAGACCCAGCTGCCTGGTTTTTTTTTCTTCAAGAAGGGCAAGGCGTCCTACCGTTTTGGTCAGTTCTAGGCTTCCAACCGGCAACGGCCTCTTCCTCTTTGGGATCCCACGAAACTTAGTTCCTCCGTGCCCGTTGACATGACTGGCTATTGCAAGGCTTAGACCGGGTTAGGATGCATAAAAACCAGGGTGCGCAGCTTGTTGGACAGATAAGTGAGTTTCCTGGTCTCATCAGCAGCCCGGGGGAGGAAGGGGGAGGGGCATTTCTGGGTCACTGTCGATGTGTTCCTTCCTTAGGTTTTTGACGGCCCCCATCTGTCCCCCACCTACCAGCCGCTTATCTGTTTTTTTTTGGGGGGGGGGGGGGATTTTTAGGGTTCCATGATGTTTCGTTTGTTTTATTCTACTTCTTGCGTTTATGTTTGGGATGTGTTAGTTCGCTGCTTGCTTTGGAGTTCCGGATGTGAGATTCCTGGAGGAGTTCAAGAAGTCATCTACTTAGCTATACCAACATAGTACTAATATCATGAAAACAACGGCGCCGTTGTACAGGGCTTCAGTTGAATGTTGGATCATGCATTTCAATGTAGATTAGCAGTCTCTTGCTCATAAGGGAAGGGAAGGTCAGACGAAGTTCACAAGATACACCCTGTTACCACATATTTTTAGAGTTGACCACTAGCAGTTGCTCCAGGGTGCTGCACCCGTTGACCCCTGGTTGTACACCCCCATATCAAAGCTTGGAGGTTGCACTACATGCTGACAAAGGATGCATCCTCCTCAATTCGGCGGTAGCAACCCCTAGTAGAAGAGCTGATACGGCACCATCGTTCTTACACAGGCATGCTCACGGACCCTCTATGTCTGCCTTTGAGGGGTTGCTGGGCTTGGATGTCACCCATACATGACCGCCATCCTGTCCAAACGTCTCCAGTCGTTTCCAGTGAATAAATCTAGGACCAATATGAATTACATGCCTCTCCTAAAATCCGGTGATCGGATGCTTCAGCCAGCCTTTGCACAGCACGTGGGAAGAGCCTACACTAGCGTCGACCTATACACAATAATGCTGCCGAAAGCTACACGTCTTCAGTTAGCGCTCCGAACATCTTTAGCAGCTAGATGTTCCAGGCTTGCCTAAACATGTAAGTTGATGCAGATGAGACTGTGCACTGTACTTGGGTGTTTCTGTTATAGGCGGTTGATAGGTTGCAATCCTGAGGTACTCCCATCACAAACGATCTTGGCTCCGGCATCCCGAACAGGTCGTCGCAGTATCTTCGATGAGCCATCCACTCTTTACTGTACGGGCAAAGGTCCTCCGGCTGATCATAGGCTGGGCCGCTCCGAACCGTCCCACGCCTGAAAACATACGGCTAGGTAGGGATCCGTAGGTAATGTGCATTAGCGCATCGAGACTTCCCTGGCTACCTAGTTTGGGCTTCGAGCATAACTGTTGTTGACTCGCCCATGACATAGTATTTTACTGCAGTTTTCTCATCCACTCAGATTCTTCTACACAGTACATATGATTGAAAACATGGAACTCAGGAAGCCCACCCCATGTCAACATGAGGTTGTACTCTGTCAACGTTACATCCCTAAACCACACTACATCTGTGCATAATCAAACATGGAAACCACCTATCAACAAGTACGTGTGTGCTATTTTCCACTAGGTAAAACAACCATTTCTCCTCAACGGTTTCGGGATGTAAGAATGCAGTGTATGTGAAGTCGACCTCACGCACAAGATCAGGAGTTGATTTCTGTTAGTCCCAGCCAGCGCTGCCTGAGTCAGGCCCGCCCAAACGATACCTCCATGGTCACAGGTGCTTACCAAATGAACAAGAAATACAGCCTAATCGCGGCCCTCAACATAGATAGTCGCATTGCCTGATAATGTTGATATTCGCCTCATTTCCAATATACACTTCGGCATAGATTGCACCGCAGTCCTACATTATATAGGTGCTCTGCGTCGAAGCCAGTCACAAACGTGAAGCGAGGCTGCTAGAATGGTGAGAGGAACAACATATTAGGCAGCTCCATCATTAAACTGGGAGCCATAGAGACAGCCACGTCCTTTACACCCTTGTGTCGAGGCACCTGCATTCGTCCAGATGTGGGAATGTGGCGTAAAAATTACCCGCATACTCTTACCAGGGGAGCTATTCCTGCAAACATACGTGGACTGGAAGGACCCTTGACAACTGTATGTCTTGCTCAGCTTTGTCTGTTTTTGAAATGGGCTCCAAGATGTAATTCGGACTTAGAGGTTCTGGGCCAAATGGACCCCCAACCCTGCTACAGACACTGACGTCAAGGCAGTGTGCGTATCTCCCAAATTTGGTGATTCGGTGTGTAAAGGATCACACCAAGTCAGCCACTTGTGACCGGTGAAGATACTACCCTGTGCCTAGCCCCCGATATTTCGCCAGGCACGGAGATCAGTAATACCTTTTAGCGGATAACTGATCAAGTCAACACAAGGAGCGTAAGGAAAGCTATATTACAGACAATGTTGAAGGGTTACTTGATGTAGTTCTAGTGGAGCTCTCTTTTCTGATGAAATGAGCATCTGCAGATGTCAGGGCCCCTGATCAATTTCCCGGTCCATCTATGGCCCACAGTGACGCACCACTGAGGATCAACAATGTAACGGTGTTTCATGCGGGGATGCTTCAACAGTTTGAGGGAAATCTGCAAGGAAGCGCACAGCCAGAAGAGAATGCATGAAAAAACGCAACAAACACAGAGGGTAGGGGACAAGGGGCAGGCAAGCAGGGGTTGACAACGTCTACCGATCTCGACATCCTCCCAAACACTTCTACCTTGTTGAATGAAACCAGCTGAGGGGCTTGGAGACGTTGATAAATACAAAAGTCAGATTGTGAGGTGTAATGCTACCATAGAATATGAAAAAAGATCATTCCCGGGCCCAGCTCAAAACGAGGGGTATCTGCAGACGGAGCCCGACCTTGTCTTGCACCTTGAACCAATAAACGCCTGTTAAGACAATCTTCCGACGCCGACCCATTGAAGAGAGAGAAACCAGAAAAATTGCCCATACACCTGAGTAATATGCCACTCCAGAGTCCAACGACAATGCGCTATTCCAACTCCAAGAGAAAGCCAACATGGAATACATAAAAACACTGGTGAAATGAAAATGAGAGTTGAAGGATGAGGGTTTCCCGGAAGGCTTCTTGAGGGGCAGGTACATAGACAGGTTAACGCCACGGACGAGTGTGCCTTTTCACGTCAATGTATACACATCCGAAAAATCGACTAGAGCCCTGCAGCCACGCATGGAGTGGGTGAAGACACAACGCGGAGGTTGTAGTGCATGAGATGTTCAGCGGGTGCTCCCACCACCATTCCTGCCCATCTGGGGTAATGTTTGCTCCATCGCCGTCCGGGGAACGTGGGGAATCGCTGGGCTAAACGGTATCTGTATGGTCGAATGGCGGTTTGGCTGATGGTTAATGCGCTTGTGTGTTCCGTGTCGCGAGAACCGAGCAAATGGAGAGAAGGCTGGTGGGTAGCCGAAGCAAGAAAGGTGTGGTAGCGAGAACCCGGCTGGATGTGTTCTGGCAGATCACCCCGCAGTTTGGCAGGCTGGACCGCAGCTGATGAGCCATCTTCGTTCTCCAGAGGAGCTCCAAGGAAATCAGTGAGCGAGAGATAACAGCGAATGGGGCAGGCCGCAGGTCGCAGATGCTGCGGCCTGTCGAAGCCGTGCGTAGAATATGGCGGCATGTCGACCTTCGGGCCATGCCATATGCAGCTGGCCCGATTGGGCGGAAGATTTCATGATATGCCAATGTCTGCTGTTGGCGTTGTTGTTGTTGTTGTTAGAGGCATCGTGGTCTCAGTCTTCAGAATCCTTCATCCTCACAGCTTGCGCAGTGAGCACCGCTGGGGCAGTAGTCGTGGGTGCCGAAGTCGACAGCCTTGCAGCAAAAAGAGCAGCACTCGTTGACGAGCTCCTCGAACTCCTTGACGGCCATGGTTTGCGGGCCTGCTGTGTGTGCAGGTGAACTTGTGTGTTTGCTGGAACACCGGGGAGTTGAGACGCTAGAATTCGATGATATCAATGGAGGCTTGAACTTAGAGAAGTTTGGAGATCTCGTATCCCGCCTAGAGGTGGAATCTTGAAGCCAACTGAATGGGCCGTGTAGATGATATGGGATATGACTTCTGGGAGACGATTGAAGGGCTCAACACACAAGAAGGGGCTATTACTTGCTTGCTCACTCGAAGCAACGAGATATGGGATGTGAGACGCAGCGGATGGGGATGAAGTGGGTGAGATAGGGGTTTATGTACTTGGACATTCTCGCAAAACTTCCGAGTTGACAAGAGCACTCGGATGATGCGGCGGTTTTCTAGCCCTGGAGCTTGTGGACATCAAGGGCGCAACCCCAAAAGAAAGCATCATTGCTGAGCCTTGCAACTTTGCAGGAATTTGGAAGGATGGGGCATGGTGACGGTAATCCGTCGGTGGGGGACTAGGGGTGGAGGGGGGTTTGTTCGGTGGTGATGTTCCATCCCAGCTTCAGCAGCATGGAGGCTCGGATTCGGGCTGGACTTGGTAGTACCTCCAGACCAGGGATTTCCTGTGTGCCTGACAGCTAATATCAGTACCAGCTGGAGT